GAGTAGGTGGACTTCTGGCAGCAAAAGATGCAGAAGGACCTCTTTGGGTAACTCAGCTAAAAAGTCAGGACTTCAGGGACAATGCATGAAAGGTACGCAACCTCACTTTTATGTCATACATTGGCAGCTAATAGCCACTTTTGTGCATTCCCAACTTTTGTGTACTATACTGTAGGTGGACGATGCTCCTGCTCTAGACATTCATTTCCATGATTAAAGTAGGTTGATCCGAGTTGATTTGGTTGAGTTACGCTCACACAAGATTATATCGGTTGAGCTACATCGAGCGTGCTTTATGTTCAGAGTGATGTAATCTCTCTTTGACTGCAGCTCAGTCAAATCAGCTCGGATCAACCTACTTTAATCATGGAAATGAATGTCTAGAGCAGGGGCATCGTTCCCATGCAGTGGATCTCGCAACAATGATGATTGGATAAAAGTGGCTGTTAGCTAGCAATACATGCCTGTTCCTAGATGATCCATAAAGTAATTATACAATGACCCTTTCATTCATGCAAACGTAGCTGTGTTACACAACACGACCCTCTGCATCTTTTGCTCTGCCAGGGTCTAGCTACTTTACATTAAACAAAGACCACTCCTCATATAGCATCACGCTTACAAACATAAAGGTGCCTGTATCTCCAAACTTTACAATGAAACGTGGGGTTTCGAATAGAGCAATGTGCTCGGCTTGGCCAACGGCACCTTGTGTGAAAGTTTCACGTTCAATGTCGCAACTAGCCCAAAAAATATTTTTTGGTCGTCGTCGTAGAAGAGGTCGACCCCCGGATCCAGTTTGGCTGGTGGTGACATTGCGAAATCTGGGATTGGCCATGATGAACATGAAACTGGCACCCAAGGTGCAGTTGGCCAAGCCGAGCACATTGCTCTAATAAAAACCCCACGTTTCATTGTAAAGTTCGGAGATACAGGCACCTTTATGTTTTTACTATGTTGTAAGCGTGATGCTATATGAGAAGTGGTCTTTGTTTAATGTAAAGTAGTATGACTATAGTAGAGCAAAAGATGCAGAGGGCGTGTTTGTGTAACTTGAGTCGTTCAGCACAGGCGATGCATGATTCCTGTACACTATTGAGGAATAGTTCAAAATGCTAACTAATAACCTAGTCCTCCCCTTCACCTTTGTTGCCCAATCCCATGCATGTGAACGATTGTCCTACTCCAGCTCATCATTTCCATCATTAAACTTTCTTGATCCGAGAGGATTTGACTGAAAAACGCTCAAACACAGAAGTATTGCCCAATATGAGAAAAATCATTTTGCAAAGTTATTTGTAAACTGCCAGCTAGCAGCCCATTCCTCCCAGCCATCTTTGTTGCCCAAATCAATGCATACGATCGATTGTCCTGCACCACCCCATCATGCCCATCCTTCAACTTTCTTGATCCGAGAGGATTTGGTTGAGTTACGCTCAAACACAGAAGTATCATCCAATTTCAGAAAGATCAAATTGATTAGTTATTTGTAAACTGCCACTTGATAGCCCATTCCTCCCAATCGTCTTTGTTTCCCAATCCAATGCATGTGAACGATTCTCCTGATCCAGCCCATCATTCCCATCATTTAACCTTCTTGATTCAAGAGGATTTGACTGAAAAACGCTCAAACACAGAAGTATCATATAACTATTATTAATTTCCAGCTCTTCCACTCCCACCTTCTTCCCTCTTTCTCTCATTCTCAACTGTTGCCCCATTCAAGTATACAACTACCACCTGCGAACGATTGCCCTGCTTCAACCCATCATGTCAATCCTACAACTCTCTTGATCCGATTGTCTTTGACTGAATGGCAAGTCCATGGCGTGTACACAACTTTCTTGCCATTCTTCTACAACACACGAGCCTCTTCTCTCTTGGACACTCCTCTGCCACAATCAAACGTAACAGCATTCATTCCAGCAGTTGCCATTTGCAATGTCTTTACTTGATTGTCTCAAGTTACTTGCAGCAACCTTCATTGCGACCTTTTTTACGTGGACAGCAGATAGCCATGGTATAGAAGCAGCTTTATTTACGTGCAACAGCTCGCTTTGATACAAAGGGATTCCTATGGATGATGCCATATCAGCTATCAAGAAAACAAGCAATCTTCAACTGGTTGAGCTGTGATAGGGATGACCAAGAAGAGGATACAACCGCCTGATGGAAAAGGAAGCATATCAGCAACGTTACTGGACTTGCAATGGTATGGTTATGATGGATGGATGGGATCATGATGTGCAGCAATGAGAAATCTTGTAGTGTTGCTTGGCTACTTGATACATACTCAGCTGGAAGGAAGGATCTCATCACGTGGATACCGCCGAGGATTATGATGCACTGGATGGAATTGACAAGAGGGCTTGTATCTTTGACGAAGGGGATGTGTTACAGCCATGGATGGTATTGGAATACTCAAGTCAAATCATGCAGCAATCATGGATGAAGGGTGTGTATGATGACAGCAGCAACCAAGAATAGAATGACACGTTCTTCCCTGTTTCCTCTGTTATGTAATTCACCTGTATCTTATTCAATTTGTAATGCTGTTCCTTTATCATGTTTACTTTATAAATGCCCACGCTACAATGTGCTATTCTTCGACTTTTCTATTGAATTCAACACAATATTTAAAAGGAACTCGTACTATAGCTCATATGGGGTGTTGCTACGAATGTATTAGATTTCGCCATGACTGGTCGCAATGATCGTCAATGAATAGCTTTATGTGGTACGTGGTCTAATACATGATGGCTATCCCGAATCCAACAATCAATCAGCTGTGTTGCATAATGTGGCGTAGTGATACCAAATGCAGCAAAAATCAGTGATACCTTATAAGCTCTTGTAAACGCGTTTCAGGATCAATTTGCCTTTGCTTTTTCACTCTCTACATGTTGAGCTCTCACCATCACCAACCCATCAACACCATTAGCGACACATTCGGCGGCACAACAACCATTCAGGAATTGGACTACTTGAGAAGTGAATTCCACTCGGGTGTCAGCGCCACACACAACGGCCAAGAAACCACAGCAGTCAGGATATTCGACAACGTACTCGCGTATGCACACAAGAACTTGCTTATGCCTTTACTCTTGCGGCGCTCTGTTTTATGCCGAGAAATGGAGAACCTTGAAGAAGCTTTGAGCAGTGCACGACAAGCCATACAACTCGCCCCTACCAACGCTGATGGCCACATTGCTGCGGTACAAGCATTCGTTGCACAAGGCAACCTTACAGCCGCTCTAAGGCAATGTGACATAGGATTGTCTCCTTTCTTTCCCAGAGATAAACGACACAAGGATCTCCAATTATTACAGCAACAGTTATATGAGCACATCAATCATGCAAACCAATGGCCACTTGATGATGGGATAGTCGAGCGTATCATCCACATGCTTTATTTCTCGGACAGACTACGCTTTGCTGCCACATGTCGACATTGGCGTAATCGGATATACAACCTTCCAGCAACATGGGAAGACGTTGCCATCACTCCAAGAATCTCCCATGACAACCCTTTACTCAAGTATATGACAACATACAAGATACGCCATCTTGCTATATCCACAGAGAATCGTTTACCCCAAGAAGTATATGGTCTTTGGAATCAGCTTGAATCCCTTGGTAAGTTGACCTTTATTAACAATAGCTCTCACAAAAACTCACATATAGATTGTATTTAGAGATCATTACAGGAAAGAGTGGAATGGCCATCCCTAGCATCAAATTGGCAAGGGCACTCGTGCTTCAGAACAGGGCAACTTTGAAACAGCTTGAAGTGGAAGTGGATACCGTGGATCTCGAACCCTGCGATTTGTTCGATGATTTATTGGCAATGTGTCCCAACCTCACACGTCTCAAGATGCATAAGCACCTTCAGCCTTTTCCCAGGATGTTTATCAATTGGCTTGTAGCTCCTGCCCATCCTATTCCACTTACACAGCTCATCTTTGTCAACGGCGAATTGAGTTGGTTGAAGCATCTGATTCCAAAATGTCCTCAATTACAGCACATAGCTTGCGTTCCTAAAAGATATGGATGGTATGATAATGAGGTGCTCGAGCTTGCCAACCACTATTGCCCTTGCTTGCAAAGCTTTCGTGTGGGTGAAATAGACCATCTTCGTGCATTTCCCGACAACTCTTTGGTGTATAGGACTGATGTCGCTCAGCCTACTATTGGGATGGATATTATTGTTAGTTCCATGGATAATGCTGCTTCACACTTTCTGGAGAGGAGCCACCTTACTTTGGAAGGACTAAGTCTACCAGTGGATAGCTTGTATCCTGTATTCAAAACATTGGTCACATTGGCACAAGTGAACGTTCCAAGATTACGCAATCTTGATTTACGCAAGTCGAGGCTAAGGACACAATATCTATCTTCGTATGACTTATCAGTGATCCTTCAAAATTGTCCTGTACTCGAGGTGTTGTGGATTGCAGATGCAGCGGTCGTGGATGATAATTTGCTGTACAGCTTGCATCGCGTGAGCAGATTGAGAGATTTGGAAATGACCATCATGCATGCTTTGGATGGGAAGGAGAGCAACATATCAACATCTGGTTTAAATCTCTTATTCAGCACTGCGTCTTATTTACGAGATGTGCATTTGATCTTGAATCAACCTGTATCTATCACAAGTTGCTTGTCATGTATCGCTCAATCCTCGTCTTTGGTTAATCTGAAGTTGACGTCTCAAAAGAACGTGGCGTTGGGTGAACTAGAAGGATTTGCAACTAGTTTATGTGCACCTTTACAAACACTGAAAATCCAATCGACCTATGGCGTAGTTGGTGTGGACAATGATAACTTTACACCCTTGACATGCATGCCCCATCTTACACACGTTGAACTTACACCATGCTGGCAATCATTTGAAGACACAGTGAATGCATTCTTAAAGAAAGATTTCAACAACAAAACTGATATGACCATCAAAATGACTTCGAAGCCAATCTTTGTATTTGCATACCTTCCTGTTAAAAAACATGTTGCGTTGCGTATAGAGAGAAGATGTTTACAACAATATTAAAGTGCCCCATCAATCCCCGAAATAAACAACACCAACATTTGCATTGATTCAATATCAAACTTTTATGAATGTATTGTATGGATGGGTGGTGGGTGGGACTGGTAGGCTGAAACGCGTGGTGGTGTGCGTGGTGGAATTGGATGTCAGCAGCAACGGGAGAAGGAGGTTGAATTGATTATGGACTCCTCACTGTTGCTTCGCAACCACACGCTCTTTTTCCTATTCACACACTATTGCAACTTTTCCAACATGGCATCAGGAATCAACGCTCTTGACATGGCCCTTGACGATGTTATTTCGCAAACGGGAACCAACAAACGTAGACAGCAAAGCAATCGTGGTCGTGGCGGCATAAGCAAGCCTTCTCGTGGCGGTTTTCGATCAGGAAACAACAGCTACTCGGTATGTTGCGTATAGTCCAATCATCCGTTTCCAATGCGCCAGCACAAGCACAGTCGTACGCATACGCACCCAATATTACGCTCAATCTCAGTGGGCAACCATGTCATGTGTGTGTTCGTGTCTCTGTGTGTGGTTGTGTTTCATTGCGTTCATCTTGTTCAGTCGTCTATCACACTTTTTACACGCACGCACTTTTTATCCGCTTGGGAGGATCGAACAGTATACTTGAATCACCCCTGATGGGTTCAGGTGCATATTTGGTGTGATAACGACATGCGATGCATTGTGCTCTTGCTTTTCCCCCCTTCCACCCCTTTCATCAAATCCACCCTTTCACCCTCTCACCTTTATCTTTTTTCTTCCATCCAAAAGCGCGCTCCTTATGGTTCAAGACAGCAAGATCGTAACGCTCCATCCAGCCAACCTGCTGCTAGAACGTCGCGTACCAACTTGATCGTATCCAACTTGCATTACAATGTCACAGAGAGTGATCTTTATGTAAGTCATATATAGGAGGAGGAAGAGGAAGAAGAGGAAGAGGATTATTATCGTACAAGGAGATAACATACATCATATAGGAACTCTTTGGTCAAATGGGCCCTGTGAAACGTGCATTCTTACATTTGGGTCCTTCTGGTGGTTCTGCAGGTGTCGCTGACATTGTCTTTTCTTATCCACCCGACGCTGAGAGAGCCTTGGCATCCTATAACAATGTTGAACTTGATGGTAAGTCATTGTGTGGGGTGTGATTTGCCAAGCCAGATAATAATAATGTTCATTGTGTGTTATATTTAGGTCGCCCCATGCGTATCGCCTTTGCTACCTTGCCTGGTGTTGCACAACAACAACAATCTGGTGGTCCTATGAGGCGGCCCATGCGTGGTAGCAACCGTCCTCAACGTGGTCGAGGTGGCAACCGTCGTCGTGAAAATCGACCCAAGCCGTCCGAGGAGGAATTGGATGCTGAGATGGATAGTTACATGGCTGGACCGGTAAGTAGGCAACTAATGATTGATATTGGATACAAATTGTATTGACATCTAATTGATAGAATGATGATCAGTAAATGCCAAATGCCTAGTACGAGAAACATTTTTGTATAAACGATCGAGATTGAAATATAAAGCATTGAGACAAACGTATTTTTCGCATCTTTTACTTGGTCGCCGCATAGTCTAAAAATAGCACCATGCGCTCGTTTTCTGTTTCTGCTGGTGCTTTGCCTAGTCTTTTCTTTTTTCTTATACTCCACACGCCTTTTCGCTCTTCCTTTTTGTCATCATTGAATTCAAGGAGTAGACCTGCTTTCTTTCCGTATGGCTGCTGCTGTCATTGCAACTTCTCCACACCAGTCAACGGGGCTGCGTTTTGCTAACTCATTCTGGGTAACACCTTTTCTATTTGACACCACCCCTTCCCCCCGACTTTTGTTCATTTCGAATACAATAGGATCCAAGCGATCGTGGAGTCGACGTTATTATCGAAAAGCTACACAATTCCAAGCAAACTTGTGAAGAGATCAAGAAGCTCTATGAAATAAGGTACAGCTTTATACATATACTGCTCCTGTACCCATGGAAACCACCCCTTTCTCGTTTCTTTCCCCACCCCCCAGTGCTTCATTATATAGACATGCATGCAAATGAGCTTACTCGGATATATAAACTAGGTCACAGATCGAAGAAGACTATGGTGAACGCTTACTCAAGTTATCTCAATTGATTGTCGGCCAAGCCGAGGAAGGAACGTTATCCGAGTCATTGTCGCATATTCCCAGTGCTTTGGAAACAACGGCTCGTGCACATTTGGACCTCGCCCAGCAGCTCAAACATCAGTTGGAAGCACCATTGGATGGTTTCTTACGCGAACAACGTGAATCACGAAAACAGGTATGCGTATCATGTCAAAACATAGCTCATAGCTGATACTCACGGGTTGCTGTAGCATCATCAGCAGATTGAAAATGCTAGGCAACTAAAGAATATGCATTATACCAATGCAATCAAGGTACACAGGCCATTTCCCCCTTTTTCTCAATACCCCTTATATCTAATCAACACGATGCACAGGCCAAGGAATTCTATACTGCCGAATGTACCAAAGTGGCTGGCATGGAAAAGTATCTACGAGAACGAGGATCTGAAATGACTGAGGATGAGATGCATCAAGTAAGTGTATCGATTAATCTACTATTGTAGTATCATCCATTGACGATTTGGTTGTGTTGTAGATGAAGGAGGAGATTGATGAAGGTCGAAAGATGATGAATGCAGCGGAACAAGAATACCGGCGTGCTGTTGATGTCTTCAACTCTGTGACAAGCGATTGGGTGGCAAGCTGGAGGGGAGCATGTGACATTTTCCAAGACATGGAAGAGAAGCGGATACACTACATCCATGGTAGCTTACGCTCGTAAGTGTTGATTTTTAAAGTGGAGGGTAGTGTACTAAGCTTCATGATTCGTATAGATTTTCAACCATGATGTCCAGCGTGTATCTCGTGGATGATCAGGTAGATGGTGCATTGTTTATTGGTTGTCATGTGCTGTTTTTTTAATCAAATGAGCAAAATAGTGCTGTGAACGTATTCGAACAACATTGGAGCTGACAGATGTGCGTAAGGATATTGAAGAGTTTGTTACACGATACGGTACAGGCAATGTAATGCCAGGTAATCCATAGCATTTCATACCTTGAAAGCAGCTGCTAATCCAATGAAAATAGATGTCATGCAATTTGAACCATTCTCTTCGATGGATATACAAAGTACGCCTTCTTCATCTATTCACCATGGCCCTGTGCTCGAAACAAAGGAGCTACCACCTATGCCAGAGTCTGTGAATGACAACAATGACCCAGCACCAACCACGGAGCAGCAGCATGTCAAAGAACAATCACATGACGATTCCCAGGGAGATGCAATGACCACGGCTATGGCTGAAGTTGAAGAAATGCTCAGTATCCCAGAATCTAAACCACCAGCAGAAACGAAATCGACACATGAAGAAGTTGTTGTTGCACCCAAGTCGACGACAAATGAACAATCAGCACCAACAATCGATGAACAGCCGAATACAGAGTCAAAATCAACATCCGATCAACCTGCTAAGGAGGCACCAGTTGCTATGGATACCAATGATAACGCTGTCAAAGAATCCGAATCATCCGCAAAGGAAACGGCCGTTGCCATGCAACCCGTGATTAATGAGGACCATGCACAATCCACATCAGTATCCCCTGAAGACCCACCAATTCCTGCAACACCACCTTCGCCCGTTAATGTGGATTCAAAACAACGAGAGGACCATGAGGAACATGCATCAGCTGTTGAGCCTGCAGTTGCTGTGGCTGCTGCTGCTGTTGCTGCTGTAACTACTACTGGAATGGATCTTTCAACAAACAATGATGCACAGCAACATGATTCAACATTACAAGATGACAAATACAAACCAATGCCAAATCCCGAATTTCAAAGTGGTTCTTCAACTTCGGAGCAAAAGCGAATGTCACGTGTGGATTCAGGCAATGACATGCAAACGAGCGTTGTGGATCCTAAACCAGCCGATGCTGTAGCAGCGACTACTTCAGCTGATGCATCCCATCAAGAGCTGAAACCTACCACGAGATCACTTGATGCCACTGTTGCAGCCGCTCATGAAACGCAACCAGCAAACGATTCGATTCAAGGTGTGCATTTATCTGATCCAGCACCTTTATCAGCACCAGCAAATGATAAAAATGATGATGATGGATCTACAGAGAATGATTACTCTCTTCCCCCACCTAAAGCTGAAAAGTGGGTCATTTCATCGATTCGTCGTCCTCAACAATTGCCAGTGCGTGTACAAAATGTGCGCATGAGTATGAATGCAAGTTCACCATCTCTCACAGCTCCTGTTGTTCCTGAACCTGATAGCCGGACACCCACAGCTAGCACGAGCACGGGTAACAAGTTCCATCGTCCCAATGCTCCTTTAAAGATTGAGATACCCAACAAGCCCACATCATCACCTACCACTACACGTAACAACATCAACACAAATCCACATCAACAACAACAGCAACAACAACCATACCAACAACAACAAGCTCCACAAGCCGCAGCACAACAAGTAATTGCAGCTGGTCGAGCACATGCTCACCAAACACAATCATGGCAATCCCCTGTCAACCCATCACCCAGTCGACGTTTTAGTGCAATGGATGGTACTCGTTGGCAACAACAACCTCCTTTGGAGCCTCTTGAGCAACCTCTATATGAAATTGAAGGAGAAGGACAACAACCCAGGTCTCTTACAGATGCCCCACGACCTTCAGAGTCTGCCAGCCATCACAAAAAGGGACATCTTAGTTCCTTTGTTAAGGGTGTTTTGAAATCGGACGATAAGCAAGATAAGCGTGCTAGTGCATTAGCAGCACCTCTTTCGAGTACGGCTGATAAGAAAGAAAAGCGATTTTCAATGAACATCTTTGGTGGCAAAAAGGACAAACGCCAGCATAAGCAATTCAACGACGATCCTCCACAACAACAACAACAACCTGTCATTCTCGAAGATGAAGAGGTGATCCACAATAGCTTGGGTTCAAGAAGCACGCCTGTTTTGTCTCGACCTGTTAGTGCTGTCCCGGTGATGCGATCCATGAATAACAACTATCAGTCATCACCATCGCCACAACGTATGATGCAACAACCAGTACCATCCTCATCCACTGGAAAAGCACCTGCTGCTCCTCGACAGGACCAATTGGAAGATGGCTCACCTATCATTGAATATGGTAAAAAGTGGATCGTGATTTGACATGCCATGAGCTGACAATGCCTTTTATTCTTAGTACGAGCCATTTGGACCTACGAAGCCAAGATTCCTAGTGAAATGAGCTTTATGGCTGGTGATCCATTGGCTGTGATTACCAAACAAATAGATGGATGGTGGCTCGCCGAGCTTATGGATCCGCAACGACGACAACGAGGTCTTATTCCTGGCAACTACATGGAGCCGATCAATTAGCGTGTACCATAACAACAATCCTATTACAACAACCCCATTCAATTAATAATATCAATTTGATCATTTCATGTGAGAGAGTTTTATTCTTTGAGGAAAACAACAAAGGAGTGTTTACAAAGAGTCTCAGCTATATTGAACATGCCTGGTGCCTTGGATGTGCGTCATTTCGGATGGGGGGAAAGTCTATAGTGTGTTTGTTTTTCACGCTCAGTCAACGCTAATGGACTTTTATAGTATTCGGCTTAAGCGTGGTCACCGCCGAGGAAGACCCTCTCTTTGACAATTGACTATTGAATCGGAGAAATGGTTGCAGAAGAGGAAATTGACCCGCTCAAACTGAAAAAATCCGGTTGGTCCATCCCCCTTCATCCCCACATTTGTATAAAGGGCGTCATTCAGCTTTTCGTTTACAAACGCTTTTGCTTCTTCCTCTCTTTTAACACAACATGCTGCCTCAAGACGAAACCAATCAATGCGTCGTTTTACGCGAAAAGAACAACATTGTTATTGTAAGCCTAAGTCAATACATAAGACAAATGGAGACGTGTTGTATTGAGATCATTGTTGCTCCTATCAGGAAAACAGACCAATTCCCACCTTGAACACCGGCGAAGTACTTATCAATGTCAAGGCCACTGGCATTTGTGGTTCGGATGTACACTATTGGCTCCATGGTGGTATTGGTTCATTCCAACTCAAAGCACCTATGATTTTGGGACATGAATCTGCTGGTATTGTGGCAGCTGTTGGAGAAAATGTAAAGCACTTGAAGGTTGGTGATCGTGTTGCTTTGGAACCTGGTGTAGCATGTCGTATGTGCGATCAATGCAAATCAGGTCGTTACAACTTGTGTCCGGAGATGGCCTTGTAAGTGTCTCTTTAATTGCTGCTTATGGAAAGTGAAAGGGAAAAAAGGCTCACGATCACTTTTTTGTCCCAGTGCTGCCACTCCCCCCATTGATGGCACCTTGTGCAACTACTACAAGCACGCTGCCGATTTTTGTTTCAAGCTTCCAGACCACGTGTCACTTGAAGAAGGTGCATTAATTGAACCTCTTTCAGTGGGTATTCACGCTGCTCGCCGCGCCAACATTACTGCTGGTGATCGTGTTATTATCTTTGGTGCTGGTCCTGTGGGTTTATTATGTGCTGCTGCTGCTAAGGCTGCTGGTGCCGGTCATGTTACTATCACTGATTTGGTGCCTTCGCGTCTTGAGTTTGCAAAGACCTATTGCACCGATTCTCAAGTTTTACTTCAACGTCCCAATCCTGGTGAACCCAATATGGATTACGCACGTCGTATGGCAGCTGCCATTCTCGAGACCGAAGAGCTTGCCGATGCTGTGATTGATTGTACCGGTGCAGAGACTTGTGTCCAAATGTCGGTATTGCTTTCTAAAAATGGTGGTCAGGTCGTATTGGTTGGTATGGGATCTTCTGTTCAAGCCTTGCCGATCTCTGAAATTTCTTCACGGGAGGTGGACATCAAAGGCATCTTCCGTTATTGTAACGTAAGTGATAACTTGTATGATTGAATCCATATGTGTATCTCACAATCCATCTTTGTAGACTTATGGTACTGCTGTCAAGATGCTTGCATCAGGTAGTGTGGATGTCAAACCCCTGATCACCCACTCTTATCCCCTGCAAGATGCTGTCAAGGCATTTGAGCATGTCAAAGAAGGTCGTGATGGTGCCATCAAAGTGCAGATCTTAGGTTAAACTTGGTTTTATTGTTCGTTTATTTTCCCTTTCCATCACATGCATTCCTCCCCCCAACCCTCAAACGCTGATCAAAACATCATAACCACACGCACGCATTTACCGCCACCATGTTCATTTATACACCTCATGTTTCCACCTACTACTTTGCTTTTTATTTCCTTCCGATCATGTTTATATACAAGCGATATCAAAGTGATAAACCACCTGGGAAAAGCATTATACGTTATTGGGACTTGTATTCATTTTGATTGCCATGTTGGGAAAAAATGAAAGAAGAGGCCGGCTCCATTCCGGGATCATCTGACGCACTGCTGTGTCACGGGATTGGACCAACCAATAATAGGACATGTGCCGAGTTGGATGTTTAGCTTGATGATCCTATTGACGACAAGAACGCACAATGATCTAAACAATGAACACACCAAGGAGGTGGCGAATATGATCTGATCCTATGACAAGGTCACATGTGCACATGGCACAATGGACGTTCGTTGAATGAAACACGATGGCTCCCTTGTTCTATTATTGTTGTCAAGGATACGGGATAATTTAGGCCGTCCCACTCGTTTTTGGCAAAGATGGCCATGTTGCACATACACGCCACATAAAAGGGAAACGGCGTTGGAAAATAGGGTAGGATTCATGTTGCAAAGAAATAAAAAGAGAGTGCACAATGAAACAAACGCCAACCAAGCCTGCGAATATCCAGTCGCATGGTGCCAAGGTTGCACGGCAACATGATGCATGTGTAAGGAGGCACATCACAATGTCAGAGAGAGTCACACTTGCATATGAATGTGTGGAGAAGAGCAAAGAAGTTGATTCTTCTCTCTTTTCTCATTTGAATGTCTTACTATCCATGTACGTGGTTGGTTGTATGTCCCCCTTCAAGGTATTAATCTTGCCTTTCTTTTTTAGTGTACAACGTCAATCTGTATGGTTACGGTTATCAAAATCCTTTCTATGGCCAGCTGTATCCATCCATGACCCCACCTTATTACTATGGTGCAGCAGGGTACTATCCTTCATCATACTATGGCGGATACTATGGGGTGCCTTATCAAAGGCCTGGTCTACTACGTGGAATTATGAACCGACTCCGTTATGGATCATACTATTACCCACCACCTTATTACGACTATGGACGATACTATCCAGAGATGAATCAAGTGAGCACGGTTAAAGATCTTTGGAAGAGTAACGAGTATTATTGATACAGCCACCAAAGCGTTGGACAATGACATTTCCCACAGCACTACTTTCATTTGGCCTCATCTTTGCATCCCATGTATTCTATAGTAATATCACACAAACGCTCAACCCATGTATGGGAAGCCCTTTGTTATATATACCATGTTGGCTAGTTCCAAATAAATCATTCCTTGTGCATAGTATCTTCCCCTTTATTTCGGGTGTGTTTCCGTCGTCTGCCAAAAATGATTTCTCATGTGGGTACAGTAGGAGGAGCTTACATGTCATACCAAAACAAAGAGCAATGTGACATCATTCAAGAATAAGGTGATCATTAAGTATATATATACATCTTGGTCAAATCATTATTATCGCACACGCATATTGTGAAGTAAATGGGGGTATAAGCGGCTATCTAGTCCTTGTTCTCATAGGGCAATAAGTACGTAAAGAAGCGCGGATATGATTCCCACAACGATGGCAAGTGAGAATTGAAAGGATTTTGTCTGCAAAAGCGATTCGTTAAATGATTGTCTCGTTATCCCCCAATGCCACAACGTGTGTTACCTGCATGAAATCAAAAAGGGAGGGTTTCCTGCTTTGTTCAAGATGCTTGATCCGCTTCTCCAACATCATGCATTTGGTCTCGTATTGCTTACACCGCTCCTTTTCCATTGTCAAATCCTTGATTAGCCGTGAATAGCGTTCCTCAACATCCTGTGAATTGCGTTTGTCGTTGTTGTCTTCCTCTCCCTGCTGTAAAGTGTTGCCAGCTGTTTTATCTTTGCTGTGTTCTAGTGTGCGTATGATGCTTTCAAGTCGCCTAAGTTCTTGAGATGCTGATGATATTGCTTGACTTTGATGCCGACATTTCTCAGCGTAAGACGTCAATTGTGCATGTGCCTCATCCAATTTCCTTTGCATCTCGATATTCCTTGCATCCTATTAATGCCAATCAGATAACTTCCTTATACAATCGCTCCTTCACAATGATCCCCCAACGTACCGCCTTCGTTAATCTCTCATCTTTGAGTGCGGCATCTCCAATTGCTTCCTTTGCTGATAATAGTTGTTGCTCAACGTCTTTGGAGCGCTGAATCTCTTGCTATTACAATAAATGAATGTCATATGATTAACACACGCGCGTTTCCCGAAATCACCCCGTTACCACAAAGACCTACTTGTAGCTTTCCCAACAACAATTCCCAATTCCGAGCAGACCACTTTTCTGATGATGATAGTTGCTTTGTGTCGCTGGCATTTGATGCTGTGGGTGAAGATGTTGATGAAGTGGAGTTGGAAGATGTCGAAGATAAAGAAGATGTGGATGATTTCTTATGCAGCTATATTCACATAGGTGTGAGACATCATACATCATCCATATCTCCCATATACCTCTTCTTTACCTTATGATTGCTGTTACCATTTGCAAAACCAACAGTGAGATCCTTGAGCATATTGCTATCCACCTGGGAAAGCGATGTGGGAATAATATGGACTTGACACGAGACCTTGTGATAGAGGACTAATTGTATTGTAATTAGCGAAAGCTTGATCCACACACACACACGTACGTTAACATACTTGACCCATCATCTTGTGAGATATCTATACCGAATTCAACCTGGTCGGCCGGCTTTAACTCCATGGCTGGGCTCTCTTCATTCTCGTTTGATAGCCGTTGGCCGTTTAAAAAGGTGCCGTTACTTGACTTGACGTCCTTGATGTATACCTGCATCGATCCCTCGTAAGAACCCCTCGTACGCACATATATCTCCTATCACTTTGTGGTCTATACCTTGCCCTCTTCAGACCATATTTCAGCGTGTGTCCTTGACAGCACCTTGGAATCAAAATACCCGTTCAATGGCCCTGGTGTCGTTTTGGATGATGTCTGTCGACCGATTCGTATACGCATGTTATCTCGCAACTCGAGTGTTTTGGTCTGAAACATAACATGGCGTGGTTGCAGCACCACAGTGATCACTGTGCTCCCGTTGGATTGTAACATCAAGAACTACGTCGAAGGTGTTAAGGCCAATGTAACTAGGGAGCCATGTCGTTGGCAACTTACTAGCACAGTATGTTGGAATGAGGCGTGCTTGAATACAAAGGAGCGATGAGGGAAAAGGAAAGCAAGATGAGCAGCAAAGTATCACGAGAGAGAAAAAGGGTCGTTGCCATACAACCATCCACCCCCCCCACACCATGTGCACTACTCCGGGTCCCCACTACACGCGCGCTCGCAGAAATGCTTGTCATGCAGCAGTATATTACATGTCTCACTGTGTTATCCAAATCTCATTAAAGAGTGATATCATTAGCTATCCTTCGTATTACATCATCCTTTATGTAACCTTGTTAGCTCATTTCGGGTGTCATATTGTTGTTAAATGGGTAATTTTTTCTCATCATGTATCTTGCTCTTAGAGTGGATACATCATTATTAATCACTGAGCTATGCTTTCAATCGTTTGTCTATTCCACATGCATTGATCCGTGCGCAACAATATCGGAGACATTGTCAAATTCCCATTCATGCTGATAAATGATTACTATGTAATTGCTCACTACTAACAACGTTTGATCCCTATTATGTATACATACGTTGAAAATGACATGATGACAAATACAATGGTAGAAAGTTTATTTACAGTAGCTCATATTGTATAGTGGATGCGGATAATCGATGTTGAGTGTACCGGGAAGATGACTCAGAAAACAGGCTTATCCCAAGGAAAACTACCATAATTAGCATTGGCATTGAGGAGGAGGAAGGCTGTGCTAGATACTAGCTGTCATCATCAGTGATTCATATAAAAGAAAGCCATCCCTTGAGCGAAAATGAACCATAGCATTTGTCTTGTTTCATTATGATCACTGAACAACGTCCCCTTGGCCTTTTGGAAAAATACCAGATCTCCAAGCTTATTACCAAATGCTATGGATCAGTGACAGGCACAGCCTTGTTAAGACACAACAGCCCTGCACCGGCCACTGACAAGGAAGCTATCAAGACGTTTTATCTGAATAGGCTATACCCCGCTGTATCCCGCCTTGTTCAAAAACATCCACAGCTCACTATGATTGTACTCGATGCTGATAAGCCAACCGCTCGATTTGCCACTTTATCATCCTTCAATCTTGCAGCTATGGTGAATGTGAATTCCAATGTCAAGTTTTGGGAACAAGCTGTGATCGATGACATTATATCCACCGAGGTTGATAAAGAATTTGGTACCACCTTTCAAAATGGTCCTTTATGGAGCCTGGGCATTGATACACACCCCGAACGTCCCCACGAATGTGCCATCTCTTTTACCTTACACCACGTGATTGGTGATGGCAAGAGCATCATGCTATTCTGGAAAGAGTTATTGGAGCAGCTCAAGGATGGTGAAATGGTCGATAGCAGCAATGGGTACCAAATTGATATCATGGAGCTCCATGTTATTAAGCCTCCACAAGAACACCGCAACCCAGTGATGCCTAATGAGATCAAGCTACCAGGTACCAAGGAGGACGAGTTAGCCATGTGGCAAGGAGACTATGAAGCCATCCGTGACAAGACCGCCCAAAAACATGACACAGCTGTACGCACGGTCGTTGTGGATGGTGAACATTGGCCCAAGATTGTAAAGAAATGCAAACAACATGGGGTCACTCCGCATGCAGCATTGATGGTTGCTTGTGCTCTTGCATTTGCTGAGTTGTATCCGGATCGAGTTGTGCGCACAATGACACCTGTAAACACGCGGCCTCTTTGTGATCCACCTGTACCTGAAGATGAAATGGGCAACTTTTTCGGCAACTTTTTCCGTTTCTGGCGACCTGGATTTTCAAATGGCAAATCTTTTTGGGAGCTTGCAATCGAATACCAAGCACGTGTGCGTGAAGGAAAAGCCTTTGCAGCTGGGTTTGCTAATCATTTCTTTGGCCATCTCAAAAACTTCCCTGAAGACTTCATCAATTACTGGTATTCCAATTGGGAAAAGTATCCTATGGGGCGAGCAGGCGGTATTTGTGTCTCTGACTTGGGGCTCATAACTACCAAACGCGTGACAAGCACAGAGTGGCAGCTTCAAGAAATCTTCTTCAATCAAAGTAGCCACATGTATACGCTTGCGCTCACTATTAACACCATTAGCACATCAACTGCTATGCAAGCTTGCGTCGCATGGCAACGCAACACCTTGGATATTTCAAAAGCCGATCGATATGGCTCTTTGATAGCTAAATACCTTATTCAATGCATAGATCAATAAAATCAACCGCCGACCCATCATTGTGATTCTGTATTCATGCATACTCATCCATAATAAAACCATCCTTTTTCAAACAGCATTTACCGTTTCATGTTGCTATAATGAATGATTAATATGGTCATTGCCCATATCTCTTTAGCACCAATCACCTCCTCAGACAATCAAACCATCGCCTTTATATGCGACATAGCCATTGGTAGCACTCCGATTCTTATGCAAATCATGTTTCACTCATTCTCCAATCTCATTGAAGTGCGCTACGCCACTGGCTACATACTCCCATATAATATCAAGCGTCTTTTTTTCCCTTTATGATTTGGTTATTGCCGTAGATCTCACATGGGGATATACAATAGACTTCTTTATAGGGGCGCAGTTGAAAAGTGGATAGCATGCTTTTTCAATCATGCATGACCCACAAGGTATAGAATTCTTCACCAAGAGCCGCTGATCTGTACTTTCACAGCGTGTACATGCGCCTAAAGCATAGCTAGACGCACCTTACCTTGTATTGATTCATGCAGATGGACGTTTTCTGGTGGTCGTTCACTAAAGAATATGGCATGATACATGTTAAGCATATACATAAAGTGATCGCGTCCTGATTTGATCAAGGATTTAACAGATGCGGATAATTGTTAATGAGTACTTCGGGTAAATGACTCAAGGGGCAGGGAGGAGCTACCATAATTAGCATCGAAATGGTGAAAATGGTTTTGCTGAGTAATAGCTGTCCTCTAAACGTGACTCATAAATGAAACTATCACTTGAACAAAGGAACCCATTATCGTTTTCTTTCGTTCCTTTGATGATCACCGAGCAACGTCCCCTAGGCCTTTTGGAAAAGTACCAAATCGCCAAGCTTCTTACAAAATGCTATGGCTCAGTGACAGCAGCCGCCTCGTTGCGACACAACAGCCCTGCACCTTGTGGTGATGATAAGCAAGCTATCAAAAAGTTTTACCTGGATCGACTGTATCCCGCTGTATCCCGTCTTGTTCAAAAGCATCCCCAGCTCACTATGATTGTGCTCGATGCTGATAAGCCAAACGCTCGATTTGCCACTTTATCATCCTTCAACCTTGCTGATATTGTGCATGTGAATTCCAACATCAAGTTTTGGGAACAAGCTGTTATCAATGACATTATCTCTACCGAGGTTGACAAGGAATTTGACACCAACATTCAAACTACCCCTTTATGGAGCCTGCGCATTGATACACACCCCGAACGTTCCCACGAGTGTGTCATCTCTTTTACCCTACACCACGTGATCGGTGATGGCAAGACCATGTCATTATTCTGGAAAGAGTTATTGGAGCAGCTCAAGGATGGTGAAGTGGTTGATGGCAATGAGTACAAAATTGATATTGTGGAGCCCCACACAATTAAACCTCCACAAGAACACCGCAACCCAGTGATGCCTGATGAGATCAAACCACCAGGTACCAAGGAAGACGAGTTAGCCATGTGGCAAGGAGACTATGAAGCCATCCGTGACAAGAATACCCAAAAACATGACACAGCTGTACGCACAATCGTTGTGGATGGTGAACATTGGCCCAAGATTGTAAAGACTTGTAAGCAACATGGGGTCACTCCGCATGCAGCATTGATGGTTGCTTGTGCTCTTGCATTTGCTGAGTTGTATCCGGATCGAGTTGTGCGCACAATGACACCTGTAAACACACGACCTCTTTGTGATCCACCTGTACCTGAAGATGAAATGGGCAACTTTTTCGGTGTCTTTTTCCGTTTCTGGCGACCTGGATTTTCAAATGGCAAATCTTTTTGGGAGCTTGCAATCGAATACCAAGCACGTGTACGCGAGCAAAAGGCTGATGCAGCTGCATTTGCTGACAAAGTCCTTGGTCCTCTCAAAAACTACCCTGAAGATTTTAACGACTACTGGTATTCCAATTGGGAAAAGTATCCTATGGGGCGAGCAGGTGGTATTGGTGTATCTGATTTGGGTCTCATATCTACAAAAAACGTAACAACCACCGAATGGCAGCTTCAAGAAATCTTCTTCAATCAAAGCACACATATGTACACTATTGCATTGGCTGTCAACACCATTAGTACAGCAACTGCTATGCAAGCTTGTATCTCATGGCAACGCAACACCTTGGATATTTCAAAAGCCGATCGATATGGCTCTTTGATAGCTAAATACCTTATTCAATGCATAGATCAATAATAATGAACCATCATCATCTCCCACTCTATATTATTATTAATAAAGTAACTATCTTACAAGAACTAAATCACAAAAAGAAAAGGATCATGTGTCACAACTTTATTGACAAGAACTATACAATCAACGTATAAAAAGGGAAGTGGGTTATACTATCGAATACAGCACAGCCTTTGTTCAAACACAATGAATTATTTCAGACCCTTTCTCCTTTACCACAGCGTTTACAAGTAAATGTATTCCTAACAATCTTACATTTGCCATATCATAGCCTCTCTGTAATGCAATGCAACAAGTGTATATACACGGCGAGATCCAAAAGGAAAGTCTTTAGAAACGAGATATCGCATTCACTGAAGTGTTCCTTTAACTCAACATCATTCCCAAGATAGGCTGAGAGGCACACCGAATTGATCCAATGGGAGAGATACTTCGATATTGAATGTTTCTATCCTTTGGGCGCGCGTTGTGTAGAGGTGGAGGCGTGTCAAAACATGGACTTGTATGATGATGGGTGTACTGGTTGCACAAAACATGTTGGTGGCGATCATAATATTGGATGCACCCAATCATTCGGATGACAGCATCATGCATGAACACATAAGCACAGGCTCTTTCCTCACAAGTTTCCTATACCCATTCCTTCCATCCCATGTACCAAACCAATATCCATATCCATAGCCATATCCATAAGAAGTTGTATATATTGAAGCACGTTGCTACACGTAAATAAAGCTGCTTCTATACAATGGCTATCTGCTGTTCGCGTAGAAAAGCTGTAGGCAAGTTGCAAGTAAAGAATGCTGTTTGAGGCCATGGAGTAAAGACCTTGCTAATAGCAATTGCTGGAATGAATGCTGTTACGTTTGGTTGTGGCAGAGGAGCGTGCACAAGCGTGGGTTGTGTCAACGCGTGTGTTGTTTACGCCATGGACTTGCCATTCAGTCAAAGACAATCGGATCAAGAGAGTTGTAGAATTGACATGATGGGTTGAAGCAGGACAATCGTTCGCATGTGGTAGTTGTGCATGAATGGGGCAACAGTTGAGAATGAGAGAAAGAGGGAAGAAGGTGGGAGTGGAAGAGCTGGAAATTAATAATAGTTATATGATACTTCTGTGTTTGAGCGTTTTTCAGTCAAATCCTCTTGAATCAAGAAGGTTAAATGATGGGAATGATGGGCTGGATCAGGAGAATCGTTCACATGCATTGGATTGGGAAACAAAGACGATTGGGAGGAATGGGCTATCAAGTGGCAGTTTACAAATAACTTACCAATTTGATTCTTCTGATTTTGGATGATGTTTCTGTGTTTGAGCATTTTTCAGTCAAATCCTCTCGGATCATGAAAGTTGAAGGATGGAGATGATGGGCTGGAGCAAGACAATCGTTCGTATGCATTGGATTGAGCAACAAAGGTGAAGGGGAGGAAGTGGCTGCTAGCTGGCAGTTTACAAATCATTTTGCAAAATGGTTTTTCTCATGTAAATGAACTCATGTGTTCGCTGCCCCGACCATTGTTCTAGGGCAGCTTATGTATTAAAGAAGAAGGCTTTTATTGTTGTGGATATGGATGATAGAGGTCTGCAGATTCATATAAAGAAGATGAATACTACGAGATTGTAAAATGGTTGCGTAAACGTGTATGTTTATTATAGGGTACTACTCCATAGGTAATGTTAATCCATTCAACGAGAAATAAAAAGTTTACGATCGAAGCAGCAATGCCTTATAATATTATTGTATTCATAGCTAAGAATCCTTTTTTCAAGCAAGTTTTATTTTTCTATCAGACCATCAAAACCAATCCTCATATTTATTTGGGACCAATCATCTCCTCGGGGCGGACCCATTGCTTGAATTGCTCCTCAGTCAAGACACCAAGAGAGATGGCAGCTTCCTTGAGAGTGGTACCTTCCTTGTGAGCCTTCTTGGCGCACTTGGCAGCATTGTCGTAACCAATGTGGGGGTTAAGAGCTATGCAATACCATCATGTCAACTATCTATCCAACATCACTCACAATAAAAGGGACTTACCAGTGACCAACATGAGAGACTCGTTCATGATGCTGTTGATCTTTTCTTCGTTAGCCTTGATACCAACAACGCAGTTCTTGGTGAAGGAGTTGGAAGCATCAGCCAAGAGACGCACTGATTGAAGCAAGTTGCGGATCATGACGGGCTTGAAAACGTTCAATTCAAAGTGACCGTTGGCACCAGCAAAGCTGACAGCGGTTTGGTTGCTATATAAAAACATCATGTTAGATCTCTGATGCATATACAAATGTAGATTGAAGAATATACATACCCAATAACTTGAGCACAAACCATGGTCATAGCTTCACATTGAGTGGGGTTGACCTTGCCAGGCATGATGGAGGAACCAGGTTCGTTTTCAGGAAGGGCGAGTTCACCAAGACCGCAACGAGGACCAGATCCAAGGAAACGGATGTCGTTGGCAATCTTGTGAAGGGAAACAGCAACAGTGTTCAAAGCACCATGGGCTTCGACAATGGCATCGTGAGCAGCAAGAGCTTCAAACTACATAACCCATTATTAGTTTTATGTACTGTATCCCATCCTCTTTCTCATCATCCATACCTTGTTGGGAGCAGTCTTGAAGGGCAAACCAGTGATGGTGGCAATAGCAGAGGCAACCTTCTCATCAAAGCCCTTGCGGGTGTTGATACCAGTGCCAACAGCAGTACCACCTTGTGCAAGGTTGTACAAACGAGGAAGAGTGGATTCGACACGCTCCAAGCCATAGTTGAGCTGTTGAACATAGCCAGAGAATTCTTGACCAAGGGTCAAAGGAGTGGCATCCTGCAAATGGGTACGACCAATCTTGATGATGTGGTTGAATTCATCGGACTTGGCCTTAAGAGCATCACGCAAAGTGGTCAATGCAGGGATCAAACGGCTGGTGATCTCAGTGACAGCAGCCACGTGCATGGCAGTAGGGAAGCTTAATACATGCATATACATGAGTACTTCATTTCCTTTCTCTTTTTTTCTTATCCAAATACTTACGTGTCGTTGGAAGACTGGCTCATGTTAACGTGGTCGTTGGGATGAACAGGGTTCTTGCTACCAAGCTCACCACCCAAAAGCTCAATGGCACGGTTGGAGATAACTTCATTAACGTTCATGCTAAAAGATACCAATGGTACATGAATAAGGGTGCTGTAATTGCCAATAGCTTACACTTACTTGGATTGAGTACCCGAACCGGTTTGCCAGACGACAAGAGGGAAGTGGTCCAAGAGAGTACCATCAATGACCTATTTCCAAGGTGTGAGATACCATAGCAACATGTATCCACGCGTTGTTTACCTCATCAGCAGCCTTTTGAATGGCTTCGCCAACCTTAGGATCCAAACCATAGGTCATGTTAACTTGAGCAGCAGCCTTCTTGAGGACACCAAAGGCTTGGATCAAGGGCTCAGGCATGCGTTCACGGGGACCACCAATGTCAAAGTTCTGAAGGGAGCTATATCCATTTTACTGATAAGAAAGCTTATCTCGGTAACACGTTCTATGCATCTTACCGTTGAGTCTGAGCACCCCAGTAGCGATCAGCAGGGACTTGGAGATCACCAAAAGTGTCGCGTTCAGAACGGAATTTTTGCTATGTGCAAGTACAATCAATCGTTGAGTACACAGGGCCTGTCAAAAGTATACAAGAGCGGGGAAAGGGTAATGCATAAGAATGAGGGCTCACCATGGCAATGAATGAGGTGCTGAAGGCACGGGCCTGACGAGTGGCAGCAGCTTTCAAAGGCTGAGAGGCGGTAAGAGCGCGCAACATATTGTACAAGACGTCAACAAAAAAAAGTGCTGGGGAAGAGGAACACCACGTTTCGGCGCTTTGTAGCAGGGGTGGCTATTCAACTTAACTCCGATTGTCCCTTTCTTCCTGCACTTCCCTTTCAAGGTGTCCTTGTGATCCGAGTCGATCCGTATGTGCACGTGCCAGTGAATGATGAGGCGACAGCTTCTTGAAAAAATCAAGGATCTTCTATTTGAATGAGGATGTAATGGAGATGGCCATTGTCGGAGGACCACCCAAAGCATCCTATTCCATCCCGACAAGTATGTAATCTCCCCACAACGACCCCATCCAATACCCCAATCATAATAAATATCATTTCTGGAGATGATGTAGAAGTTGGCCCTTTTCGCTTCACATACATATAACGATTGCCCAACGCATAGAAGTAAAGTCAAAAAGTTATTCCCATGGATCAATGGATGCCACTTCGTATGAGCTGAGCGTGGTCTTTTGTGTATCCAGGGGGGGGGTTGCATTATTCAATTCATTGTTTATACTTTCATTATCCCATTATGCAATCAACCAGATTGCGTATTAGCGGTCTATGAAACTGACATAAAGAAGTACATACCAAAGACCAAATAAGATTTAAAGCCATGATGGTAACTTAATGCGCACGTTCAATTTGACGATCTTCGACTCTTTTTTTTACCAAACCCAAACCAATTTGCAATACATCATTTGCTTAAATGTCAAAGTTTGTTTTATGCTTAAGGTACAGTACTCCATCATATAATGGTAGCCTACATGACAAGAAGTAGATTTGGCTAATGTGCTGTAAAATGGTTACAATTCTGCAATGGATCATCAATGCCGCAGCTGCTTTGTTACCATAGCAACGCATTTGTATCCCTGATACCATCCAAGCCAACCGATTACCAATTGCAGAGATAGATTAGTCATCATCCGTGATAGTATGTTGTAGTTCTACACATTCACATGTATCCATGGTAATCAAGGAGATTGATGCTTTCCAAATTCTTTATGACTGAAAAAAGATATACAAAGTGGTTGGAAGGATTATGAAATTGTCCACATAAAAAAGATGCACATGATGAATCCGAAAAAGAGGGAGAAAAACGAGAAAGGAATTCTTCTATGTTGAATGTGCGTTTTCATATTTTTACTGTTGAGCACACTGAACACCAGGGCCGCCTCTAGGATCATCATCTTCATCGTCGTATGCTTGTGATCTCGAGGTTTGGTAGCCATCTGCATCAGCCATGACAACTTCATCGACATGCTTGTTATCAAAGGAAGGAAGAGGGTTGCGAGCAGGCAAGATGGCATCGAGCTTGCTGATAGTTTCGGCATCGGCCCAATTGGGATCAGGGAATTCGACGTTGAATTTGACAAACATGTGACCGTGGTCATGGTGGCGATAAGTGGGCATGCCCTCGTTGGGAATAACCTTGACCATGTCAGGCTTGATGGCTTCACCAGGAAGGACAGTGACAAGAAGTACACGATCATCAAGGTGGGGAATAGCAAATTGACCACCAGCGAGAGCAGTCAACAAGTCGATCTTTGCTTCATAGACCAAATCGTCACCCTTACGTTGGAAGCGAGGATGGGGCTTTTCGTCGATAGCAATGATGATATCACCTGGAATGATGCCTGGTGCCTGATCACCTTCACCAGAGAATGTGATACGTTGACCATCTCGCATACCCTTGTCGATGAACACTTCAAGAATCTTGCGTTCACTCATAACCTTCTTGCCCATGCAGTGCTTGCAACGATCCTTCTCATTGACGATTTCACCTTCACCACGGCAATCACCACAAGGTTGTTGGATTTGTTGAACCATAGGACCCATTTGTCTCATAATGATACGAACACCTTGACCACCACAAGTACGACAGGTTTGAACAGCACCTTCCTTGCCACCACGGCCCTCACAACGAGAACAAAGAACACTCTTTTGCAAAGCGAGCTTGGATGTCTTGCCAGCATATAAATCCTCCAAGGACACCTTGAGATGATGCATCATGTCTTTACCACGACGAGGACCTGAAGGACGGCTGGATCGACCTCCACCACCAAAGAGACCTCCACCAAAGAGTTGCGAAAATAGATCCTCAGCATCCATACCGCCCATACCACCTTGGCCGTTCAAGCCTTCCTCGCCAAACTGATCGTACATCTGTCGCTTTTCAGAATCAGAGAGAATCTCATATGCATGAGAGATTTCCTTGAACTTGTCGCCAGCTTCAGGGTTCTACATGGCCATGACGTACACACCCAATCTGTCAGCATGTCGCACATTGACGCACATGGATTACAAAGGCACACTCCTTACCTTGTCAGGATGGTACTTGAGTGCAAGCTTTCTGTAAGCTTTCTTCAACTCGCTCTCGGAAGCGTCAGGGCTAACGCCAAGAATATCATAGTACTTGGATTCTCGAACCATGGTGGTAAAGTATTATAAGGTGAAAAGGGAGGAGAGAGAAAAAAAAAAGAACCAGAGAGAATGCACTGGAACTAAACCGTTAAAATACAACTCCAGCTAAGGCACAGCTCTGCAAAAACTTTTCTCATTGGTCATCGATCTCTTAGACAAATCAGGGTTGGCCGATTGAAAGGGGCAACAACTTATTCTACTTACTTGGTACTTACTTGCATGGCCAGCTGATTGACAGGTTTCATTGTCCATGAATAAAGAAATGATGTGGTAATCATGATGCCATCATCTCCATTGACAGCATTCCTACCTATATTGCTCTCTTGTTTTTCTCACACACACTCACACACGCCTTTTTCCCTTTTCTTTTTTGCATTATGGAAACATACACAGGCTATATCTCATTTGAACTTGGCCATTTTGTCAAACCTGAATTTGACATTAACTTTGTTTTGTATCCTGAAACCAATCAATAGTAAGCACAACCTCTGCTTTCTACCTTAAGCAGCATCCTTTTAATACTCGTCATCAAGTGGACCAGGAATGAACTGCAAAGCTAGCGTGGCCGATATCCTTGATTCGGAACTACGAGAATACTTGACACAAGGTGGCATTTGCAAGGCCGTTGTGCGTGGAAGTAGTCATGTTGCAGGCGCTCACGAACCAGGATGGTCAATTGGCTCAAACAGATACTTGCGAGTGTCATGGGTTATGCATGAGCCTGAAGATTGGGAAGAGCAAGAAAGACGTTTGCTTGAAGAAGAATCTGCCTCTGAAAATGAAAATGGAGCTGAAGAAGGTACCATCATCATCGATGACGAAAATAGCGAACGCACCGAGAAGCTCAAGAACCTCCAACAAAAGCCATATCGTCCCACAACCCACGCTTCCAATGTCTTCCACAAATGCCAGCAGCACAAGGAAAAGCTCTTTTGAATCGATTAGTGATATGTACATCTCATGATGATTAAAGCATCAAAGCCCATTCTCATGCACGCGTGTTCCCACTCGAGAACATTGCCCAATGCGGTAACCAGGGTTAATCATACCAATGTGGAAGATTGTGTAACAAAGCTGCGTTATGCCATTACAAAAGGATTGACCGGTACTATTCGCATTCATCACCGATGCAAATGCAAGCACTTTAAAAAGTGATTTTCTAAAAAAGGCTCAGCTCGGTCCTTTGGTTGAAATGTAACGAATGCCCGTATGCATCATTTTGGCATAATGTTTGACTCTTTTCCTTTTACAGCTGTCAGTGCGACTACGAATTTTGTGGTGTGTGATAAAATGAATGAATCATCACTGGTGCTGTAAACATGATCAAAGGGTGATGGGTCCACACGATCGGATACAGGTTGGGTGATGATGATGATTTCAATGAGTGATGGGGGTAGTAAAAAATAGAGCAACGCGTATGCATATGTCTTTGGTGGAGAACATGGGGGAATTGCATCAATAAAGTAGGATCATGCATCACGTGTGGAAGGGCTGAGTTTATTATGACTATCCAAGCCCGACCCATAAGAAACGAAAACGGCCCAAGAAGTATGTTGGGTCGCGTAAGCGAGTAGATTTCGTGGTGAGAGATGACGTGTAGTGCGAGGATGGTATGGACACGGTTAGACGGCAGATGTGGAAAGAAAAAGTTTTTCGGGTCGAGTAAACAAAATCTAGACTCAATTGAGCGAAACATAGCCAATGAAGAAGCATATCTTGTAACAAGGGACCCCATTATTGACTATGTTACAAGGGAGCAAGAAGAGTACAATGTAGACACAGCTGCAGCAGGCTTGATATGGTAGATGGCGGGTGGAAGAATATGCATGAATCACGAGCTACGACTACAACAGCAATGATCCTCGCTCATCCATTTTTACTACAGGCGAGAATGAATGAGAGTGGTTACGTTGGTGGTGTTAGCATCTTGCTGTCCGCCCCCAAGCTCTCATTCAGTAGGTTTCTCATTTTATACAGCACTGTAAACACCTCGCCCACTTTTTATATTTTTCCACTCGTCCGGTTTTCCTTTGGTCTTTTTTCCTTTCCTTTTTTTCCCAGAAACCTGTAACATGCACATTTGAGTGTATGACACTTTATCCCCATCTTTACTGTATACTTTAACTTAGATTCCACGTGCTTTCGACACTCGCCGTTCCTTCCTTCTTTACAAGCTAATAACTAATTGGATAAGATACCACTACATCCACCCATCGACCAAAGTTTATTATCAGAAACGACACTACTACTATGGCGGCTCATCAAATATCAGCTGCATTCTCCTTCTGCTACGCTCCACCAGCGTCAAGCGATTACATTTCAACTTGTATCGATAGTAGCGACCCTGTAGCAAAACGTGAAGCTATCATGTCCGATCTTCGAGATACATGCAATAACGTCATGGCTCGCCACTGCTGTCAAATTGCTCTTACCGCAGCAGCCGATCCTACACTGGTTTCGATTAAGCCACAGACTATCCACGTCGACAAGTCCACTGACTACAACCTCACATTGACCGGTCCATTGAACGAGGTGATGAGTGCCCGAGGTGATTTACTTGCCACGTGCCCTTTTAAGGTATCTCTCTTGCCGATCGCCTTGACGATCTGTTGCTTGTGTACTCAACACTACTTCATGTAAAGGTCAACATTACGCTCAAGATTCCTGCCAAGGAGTTCCCACCCGCTCATATCTTACAGAAACACATTGACTTGATCGAAAGCGAGACCGATACGAGCATTGCCATTCTATTGCCACCAGCCCATCGTTCATCGTTGGCATCTGAATATCGAACCACCATCGTTATCACTGGTCTTCCTGATCTTGCTGAACATGCTCGTGTGCGAGTGCTTGTAGCACTGGATGAAATTGTAAGTTTGTATTCTATATTTGTTATCAACGGGAATAGTGGGGAAATGGGCTCATATGTACTTGTTTTTTCCTAGGCCAATTTGCGGTCGGATGTCCTTCGAGTGCCTTTGAAGCTGCACAACCTCATCTGTGGGCGAAAGCGTGCTGGATTACAGCCAATCATCGAGGAAACGGCGACAAACATCTATTTCCCATCTCCCTTTGGCGACTTGTCTTCCGTCGAATCAGGCTTACAGCTCGCCGTCGTCACTGATGGTAGTGCTACCCCCTTGCTGGAAGAATTGGCTCCTCCCATTTATATCACTGGTGAACCTGTCAACGTCACTAGAGTGAAAGAGATGCTCAACAAGCTTGCCATGCAAAAGGTATGTGTTCTTTGTTATGAAGGAAAAATGAAAAAGAAGGACCTTACTCATTCAACCCCCCCTTTTTCTAGGCAAAGTCCATGTATCACAAGGATGCCGTTCTTCATTCCCGAAAATTAGATTGGATGTTATTGCATCGTCGTGATGAACTTCGCAAGATCATGCGTGATAATGGTAAATGTTATCTAATGTCTCTTTTATCATCCTATTAACATCTTCCTTCATCCAACTAGGCTCCTTTATTGCATTTCCACCTATCGGCTCAGGAAGCGGCACCGTTACTGTTTATGCGGAGAACCGAGTCAATGCAGAAAGGACACTCCGGTCACTCAACTTTTTGGTAGGTAGCACACACAAGGTATACCATGTCATCCATCTCACCTTATTTTACATAGACTTGCAGCATCTATGAAGCATGCTTCTATTTCAACAATCGCGATGGCGCAATCTTTGGTGCTGATGGTGGTACACACAACTTTTTCAGCAACATCAACAATATCACGGGCCTCATTTCTCAATTGTCACAAGTCTCGGGTGCTGAAGTCATGTACAAGGATGATATTGGATGCATTGAAGTATTTGGAACAGAAAGAGACGTTCGCAATGTGTATCAACGTGTCCATGAAATGACGTTTTTGAAGGTAAATTGCTTATCGATATTCAAAAGTGACATCATTGGCTTACATGGTTACCATTGTAGGTGTTCCATCAAAACACTGTCTTCAACATTGAATTATCCAATGATCAACGTGAATTCATCAGTGGCAAAAAGAGCGGCAAAATCAACAAAATTATGAAGACAACGGGTGCCAAAATCAAGTTCAATGCATTCAGCGATTACAATTTCGTGATTGAAGTCGAGAGTACCAGTGTCATCAAAGCATTGGATGGTCTATCAATGTTGCAAGATGAGCTCCCGGCAGAGATTTCATTTTATGTACCCGAGATGTATCACAAACGAATCATTGGCGTGGGTGGCAAGAACATTCAACGCATTATGAAAAAGTATGGTGTCTATGTCAAGTTTTCGAATGCGGAAGAATTTGCAGCTTTGGGTGGATACTATGACAATGATGATAATGTGGTTGCTCGTACGCCAATGAAGAATCAAGTCAACCTTGACAACCTACGACATGCCGTTATGGAGTTGATTACCCAACGCGACAAGGATTACGTGAATCAAACGGTCAACATTCCTTTCCGTATGCATCGTGTTTTATTGAGGGATCAAGGCAGCTATTTTGCCGATGTCACCAAGAAAACATTGACGAGGATTATGTGGCCTGATCATGAATTGGCAAGCGATACGGTGACTTTGGTTGGGCCATTGACAGAAATCGAGCATGCCATTGAATTGGTGCAGGCTGTTGTACCCGAAGAATATGATGTGGTGGTTCCACGATCATCGGCATTGACAGCTGCTCTTGCATCGGATAATTTCCATGATCATGTGGTTGTACGACTTGAACGTGAATGTGGTATCCAAATCGATCTTCAAAGCACTCCACAGCCACCTCCATCAATATCATCATCCTCGCCATCGCCATCAGTACCAGCAAGTACTACAACAACGACAGCAGCACCAGCAGCAGTAAGTGGGAGCGTCACCACTGGTAGCCCAGTCAGCTTAAGCGCACCTACATCGCCATCACGTTCAACTCCGGCACCATCCACTGCAGGATCACCTACAGCGGCTGCCTCTGAGACTGATTATACGATTCCCTTGAAGATGAGCAAATGCAATATCCGCAACTTGCCAAGTGCTTTGGATATCCTCATCAGTTACCTGCGTAATCATAATGTCACTTTATACGACAATGCTACTCCAAAGACCAGCAGAACAACACCTACAAGTGCAACTCTCTCAGCTAGCAACGTTCCTCTTGTTGACAGCTTTAGCCATTTTGGAAGCAAAGTTTTGCCTTCTGTATCAGGTAATGTATATACGTAATGTTAAAATGCATCGTAGCTAACAATGCAATTTATAGACATTGGCAGTGGTAGTGGGAATCAAAAGTTACACCATAGCTTCTCAAGCTTTTCACTCTTCGATTTTGCACCTGGCACAAGTACAAGTACAGGATCGCATCATGCTTTTGACACACCATGGACAAGCAGCTTCCGTGATATGAATTCGCCTAGGACAGCCGAGAATATTAGAGCCATCTTTGATTCACCACCTCATAAGCAGGATGAAATGGGAGGTAACATGCCAAAGCAACGAATGAGCGTACCTGTCATGGGTGGTCAAAATGGTGCACCTGGTCTTGGCGTTTTCAGAGCCCCGCCTGTGAATGGAGGCACATCTTCGGCAAGTGGATCATCATCGCTTGGTGGCGGTGCCGATATTTGGCTTCCTCAACAACTATCGCAAATGTCATTGTCAGGCCATCCCCATCTATCAGCAGCTGCCAACAGTGGTGGTTTTGGTAACGTTGGCTTAGGCACATCCAATGCAGGAGCAGCCGCAAGTGGCAACAACACGTCAACCACTACTAGCGGTACGAGTGGATTTGAAAAGAATCGCAATAGAGTAAGTTGGGGGAAGATAAGGGCATTTACAAGAAAAGCAAATGCTAATGGATGATTTTGCTTTATATCAGATTTTCGGTCATGGTGGGGATTCCACTGTGGGTGGGGCAGCAAGCTTCTACCAACCATACCCGATAATCGGAGGCGGCGGCATCGCTTCTGATTTCAATCATAATCATCAACAACATCAGCATTTTAACAATATCTGTCCCACATCTTCTACATCGACTGGAAGCAACAATTCGATGCAATCATCGCTCTCTGTTTCAGAATCATCTTCTGCTTTGGATGGTGGTGATCTACGTCCTCCTTTTAGTCGACAACAACAACATCAAAATCGCGGTTGACCTGCGTTGTGATCACACTTAAAACATTCGTGTTTCCTGCGACTGGAAAATATAAAAACAAAGCAAAACCCAAAAAAATCCACAAACACACACATTCCAGGTACATTCTGTAAATAGGTAGAATTCTGTATTACCCCTCAATTCCTTCCCCCCGACAATAAACTGTAAGTTACAAAGTTACAATTTGGCTGGTGAAGGTACTAAGCTGGCAGGGATTTCAACATCAAGCCCTGTGAGAACGAGTTGTGCAAACGTTTTGCCTTGGCGATCAACCACCAATGAACTAAGACCGCCACCACCTAAGTTGTATATAGAAGTTAAGACCCTTATTGTTACTCATAGCTCCGTATCGAGATAATTCTTACCGAGGGATCTTGTGAGCACAAAATTCATGGCAAATAAGCCTGGCAAGTCATAACGTGTGACAGAGCCCTTGCAAAGATGCTTCATGTATTGAGCAACGGCTTGTCCGGTGATTGAGCGTTTGATGTATGGGTAGTAACGAGGGTCACGTGCAATGATACCTGTATTTGGACATGACCATTAGCATGGATAATCTTTCATTAAAGCTCTTTGTTGACATACCAATGTTGCACACATCGCCCTTATCACCACTACGACCATATGCCAAGTTGATGAGCTTCGTCTTGACAAGCTGCTCTTGAGGATTGACTTTGGCTTCAGGGATAAGTGGTACAGGTGTTGGGGCACTGAATTTGGCGTTTTCATCCCATTGTTCCCACTTGACGGGTTGAACTTCACCATCACCAACAACAACACCAGCTTGGACCTTGGTCTTGGGGAGCAAGCAAGGGAAATGCACAAGGTTTGGTACTGGTTTGGGACGTCCACTACCACTACCAGTGATACCAGGTACCATTACAGTGCCGGTCTAATACAATACATGAATCAGCATTTTGATTATCGTATATCATGTCTCACTTACGGCCATGATCTCACGTGCAAATAAGCCGAGAGCCTTGGTATCATCATGGTGCGCAACAACACGAAGCACCACTTCACGTGATTCAATGGGGTTGGCATGTGGACTATAGTTACGTGATTAGCATCGTTTAATCATAATCGTCCTATTTGTTTTTTCTTACCCATAAAGCACTTCACCACCAAGAGGCTCAATATTGATACCACGGAAATCAGCCATACCGGCTTCTTTGAGCATACCACGCACACGGCGGAAGAGAGCATCACCCATGGCCTTTGCCTATAAACATACATACAACATGTCAATTATCATTGCAATGGATAAAAATGAAATTGAAAACCATACCTTGGCCTTAGCTTCATGACCACCAATCACTAATTCACCGCTAAGCTTCCATCCATCCAAAAAGATACCCGAGCATTTGACCCAAGGGGTAGGTGCCAGACCACGAGCACCCTGTACCAATACACGGTTCTTTCCAACTTGGCTCAAACGCACTTGGCGCATATCCAAAATCACATCGGGTAGCAAATACAATGCAGGATCCAAGATTTCATAAAGGATTTGTTCTGAAACAGTGGCTGTAGTCACCAAACCACCTGTCTTTTCTGGTTTTGTTACGACGAACTCGCCATTGGCTTCGAACTCGACAATAGGATAACCCATGTTTGCATAGCCGCCATGAGGAGAGGAAGCAACAAGCTGCCAATCGGTAAAGTTGCCACCAGTGGATTGAGTACCGCATTCAATGATGTGGCCGGCCAAAGAGGCAGCAGCAAGGAGATCATGATAGTTGCCATTCTTTTCTGGGGACCATCCATATTCATACATCAATGGGCCAACAACCAATGCAGAGTCAACGACACGGCCCGTGACAACAATTTGAGCACCTTGAGCTAATGCATCGGCAATGCCACGTGATCCAAGGTAAGCATTGAGTGACACGACCATTTCATCAGTGGGTAAACGATCCGAGTCCAGCTTGTGATCCACAGGAGAGATGGGTGAAAAGGATGTCACATTGTCCTTGTCTTCAAGGACATCATCGCCCACAACAGCTGCAACCTTCATCTTGATGTTCATTTTTTGCAACAGCGCCTCAATAGCCTTTTTACATGCAATTGGATCCAATGCACCAGCGTTTGTCACCACCTTGGTACCATTCTTGGCAATGTCAGGAAGGATACGACGAAGCACCAATGACAAAAAGTCTGGGACGTAATCGATGCCTTGTTCCTTGCCTTGCATCAAACGACGTTGGCGACGTGCTGCAAGAATACCCATTGTGATTTCTATAGAATGAATTTGGTGAGTGATGATGATGGCCCAATAAGAATGCACCTGATGATTCTTGTTTTACCAGCAAGGTAATCCGCCACCAAATAGTGAAGGTTGGCGCCTTCGTGTTTGACGAGTTGCATGGCAGCAGCAGGGGAGTCGCCCCAATAAGCAGAGTAACATCCGATACGTACAGGTCCAGTTGGCATTTTGTTGTAGCGAAAAAAAGTGAAGAAGAGGAGGAGAAAAGGAAAGAAAAGCGAGTAAAATAGCCTGCAGGGGGGAAAACGTGTGGGGTAAAGCTTTCAAATTCATGCGTGCAATTTTCAGGTGGGCTGGGGTTGTTCTTTTTCACACTACAAGCGGAACCTTCAATCGTCATGACTAACAGCTCCCATCACTCAATTCACCTCTGCCAATGGGAAGGAAAACAACTTACCATCATGTCCATTTGAGTCATGCGTCTACTTCATTGCCTTCGGTAACCATCGCAACTCGTTGACGTTGACCTGGAAACCAAATGGGGGTCAAAGTGAAAGGCCGTCAAGCAGGATTCGTCGTACTATATACGTAGTCACCATGATAGGGAGATGGTGTTGGGTTTTAGAACATGGATTCCAGTGGTATGTAGTTAATAGAACAGGTAAAGGAATAAAAAGACGACAAAGATTATCACGTGTTATCGATATGCATCTGCATGCCTCATCATAGAGGGGGTTGACATTGTGAGTGAATGTATGTGTGTGAGCAATAGTGGGAAATTGAAAGTAGTGACGTATCATTGTTACGTTCTCTTTTGTGCTTGATCCCAAGAATGGATCCTGACGGATGATCATTTTTCTCGGCGCACAGATCGCAGCAGGGCTGAAAAAAGGGAAAATAAGGTTGGGCAAATATGGAGTGCAGTAAGACCTGATGTGCTGTGGTACATCTTTTAAGATGCACAAGCTGACTTTTTACCATACGTTTGCTCTCACCAATACATGGCTGGTGTCAGGCGTTTATTGATCCATATAAAACTAACCTTTTTTTCCCAAAGCTACCTTTCGAGGAAAGCTCTCTCATCCCTTTCTCCCTTTTCTTTTCTGTACATTCATTGTACATAGTAGCTTTTGGCTTCTCACAATGACCAACATCCGGTGGTTTTATATCAAGTCAGCTACCATCGGACAAGTTGTTTCCGTCGACTCCAATGCCAACGAAAATGATACCCTTCGATCCCAAGTTTACGTGAGACGTCCAGAGAAAACAGATAATGAATTATGGTGTTGGGAAGGGCGTTATCTTGTCAATAAATCAAGCCGACTCGTCCTTGACATTCGAAAGGGTAAGTGGTGGTGATGATGATGATCATCATCAGTCCTATGTCGTAGTAGTAGAAAGGGATGATAATTTCATGTGGATGATAGGCAAGCTACGTTTGATCGAGGACACTGACATTTGCGTGTATTCCAAGAAACCAGCAGATGAAGCATCCAATCAACTATGGGATTTTCAAAATGTGACAGATGACGGCGAAGTGGTTCGGATCTTTTCTTACTCCAACAATGACTGGGTGCTTGACATACAATTCAATGGAAGAGGCGATCGAAAACTAGTGCTTGCTCCACGACAGCCATTTGATGATGAGAGCCAACGATGGGTGTTTGTCCCCACGGCAATCGATGGGAATGATGATGCTGCGCTTTCTGGGGACATGCCATCATTCGAGGTTGCACCTATCCGCGTAGATGCATATAAAGCAAGTCATCAACTCGTCTTTTTGGAGGGTAATCCCCATTTAAGGTTTGTGTAGTGAACGTGTTGAGATTATAGATGCATCTTTATTTACAAATTTACCATTCATTAGCGACAAAAGGATCGCTATGGCAGCGGCTTACCATGTATGGAAAGCCTGGAGACAAGAAAATGCATTACAAAAGTATCATGATGACGATAATAGAGACAAGAGCAGTTCTAAGGCTGTTCAAACGCATTTGCAGGAGATGGCAAAAGTTGAGGTAGTAAGGGAGGTTGTATTTCTCCTTTCGTGAGCTAAAAGTATATACCTACTTTAGGCATCGAGGATCTTTGATGAATCTGATCAGTTGAACAATCACAAGGAGACAGCTATTTCTTTGGCAGAACGCTTGGTGATCAATCTCTATCTGCTTTCTCCACAACAATTTATATGATGATGCCTTCCCAATGATACCCTGTGATAAAAGAAAAGCTCACATGTACACTCTTCATTCTCCTTAACCATGTACAACTCTTTGGGTCGCACGATGGTGTGTTGTTGTATGGTTGCACAATCTCTTTGCTCCTATACAAGTATCACAACAACGACATCTACCATGCCAACTTCATTGAACACTTTTCATATCTGGTTAAAAAAGCCCATTTCAAAGGTATCTGACATACATTGTACATTGTGCTACCGGCTCAAGTCCTCCGGATCTCCCCGTACGCATATACATCACTTGTTGCCGTCCACCGAGAGAGTGCAAACATCACTTTGCCCAACGACATATACTTTGTGAGAATGTTCCTTCCCTTTAATCTGCTGACGTAAGCATCGTTTTACAATGCACAAGGCAGCATGACATTGTCATGTAAAGAATGTGGATCATCATTCGAAAGTAATTGCTTAAAAAAGCTTTGGACCACTCTCATCACATGTTGATCTGTCATATGCGCACATTGATACATAAAGCAATTCATCATTCATGTCCTTTCTCATATCCAATGCCCCCAACAAACATTGTCCATCACCAGAGTTGATCATAAAATTGACTCGTCGTATGTATTCTTATAAGTCTAAATTTTGGCGGTGGGATGTGTGTTTGTGTGTATACATGTTTACAGGTGTGGGTGACTAGAATGATGATGATGACCTTGTTTTGCTTATGCTGATGATGAAGATTCGAATCGTTTTGCTGCTTCTTTCATCCAAGGCTTCGGTGGTTGAGGAATCAAATCGGCCTATAAAGAAATGACAATATCAGTATTCTTCTTATCCTTCACGGCCATCTTGTTGAATGTATCTCTTTTACCTTGACAAGAAGCTTCTCTACAGTTTCAGAAGGCTGTGCTCCCACGGTAAGCCAATATTTTGCGCGATCGAAGTTCAAGTTGATCATCTTGTTGCCGGTCTCGTCAGGAATGGGGTTGTATGTGCCAATCTTTTCGATAGGCTTGCTGTTGCGAGCTGTGCGTGCATTGGCGACCACAATGTGGTAAAAGGGGAGATTGCGACGGCCAAATCGAGCAAGGCGAATACGAACGACCATTTCTGTTGACGGCTTGTGTTGTATATAAGTGAGAGAGGTGTCAACGCAGGGCAAGTCAACAACGATGCAGAGTGATTCCACCGTCACGAGTCGAGTTCCCCGCCAATCATTTCTCATTGAGGAGGCCACCATACCCAAGGGTGACCACACACAAAGAGATGCCCCACTTTACAAAGAACACATGCTCCGAGTGATATGAATAGATCCCCACAATGAATGTTCAATATGAAATAAAACAAACTTTTATATCGAATGATCTTTATGGAATTGCTCGTATATCTCAAGAGATCCTTCTTCTAATACACGATGCCTTGCTTTATCACATATAGAGCCAATTACTTGATTTACTTGTTCCATATCGATTGATTGAGCATTTACGTCCTTCCTCAAAGCGATTGTTCCAGCCTCACTATATGAGCCCATGAATGAAAGTGATTAGTAAACGAACGTGGTAGCTGTTTTTAAGACTTACCGGAAAAGGTTCTCAATATCTGCACCTGTACAATACTCCATCCTCTCGCTCAAGTCGTCAGCTTTCACATCAGCACCAACAGCTGTCCTCTGAATCAAAGCATCGATGATTGCCCGTCGATCCTCTTGGGTAGGCAGACCAAGATAAACAAGTTGATCAAGACGACCTATCGGCAAGGTAAGCTATCAAGATGGCAACAACTCTTCCTAAGTGTAAGCGCTTACCTGGTCGCAGGATGGCATCATCAATTTGATCAGGCCGGTTTGTGCATCCTATGACAATGACACCTTGCCTTCCTTCCACGCCATCCATTTCATTCAATAATGTGCTTAGGACTCGCTCATTCACACCACCGCTGCTGTCACCAGAATTCCATCCTAAGACACAGCCGATAATGAGTTTTTTTTAGGCTACTCAATCATCCTTCATCTACATACCTCGGCGTGTGCTGATAGCATCCATCTCATCAATAAACATAATACATGGGGCAATTCTTTTGGCGGTTGCAAACAGATTTCGGATCTTGAGCTCCGTTTCACCAAGGTACTTTGAAAAAATCTCTGGCCTAGACAATGATGAGCATGAGAATCCGCATGATAGCATAGCAAGGAAAAGTGACATACCCTTTGATAGAAATGACATTCAACATTGATTCCGAAGCTAGAGCTTGCACAAACGCTGTCTTTCCGCATCCTGCTCATAAATCAATCATAAGAACCATGGGTATACAATGCCAGGGTATTCCATGTACCTGATGGGCCATAAAGTAGTAGACCTGAAGGTGCCTTGATACCCAATTTGGAAAACACTTCAGGTTGCAACAAAGGTAGTAGCGTTGCTTGCCGAATCCTTCGCTTCACAGCTTCATACCTGCATTGGACGTCTTCAGTTAATATCGGATGGTCAATAAAAATGCCCTCACACTTACCCTCCAAGTGCACTCCAAGACCGTTTAGGAAGATCAGATTCAACTTGCATTTGCTGCGAAGGACGTTGTCTTGACAATGCATATTCGAAATCCCCCCATTGAACTTCCGAGGATAAACTACCCATGTTTGTATGAGAATTGCAGCCAATTTCAAAAGGATAAAACGAGCTCTTACCGTGCTGTTTCGTTCAAAGTGAGCCGTGATAAACTTTCCTCAATGCCTGATCTTCGTAACGACTTGAGAAGTGCTCGACGACAAAGAAGCTTGAGATCACGTGCTACATATCCAGAGGTACGCTTGAACCCATCATTAGTTTCCTATACGTGATTTACGTCATCATATCCATACTCACAAGAGCAATCTCTTTTGCATAGTATCCTTGTAGGTTCTCTGTTGCATCTGAAATCTGCTCCAGGGAAATGGTAGCAAGGAGATCTTTGATGATGATGATCCTTTCTGCCCTGAAAAAGGAAAACAATCAGACCTGGATATTCATATGACAAAGGGATTAGGGACGTACATGGTAGGTATCGGTATATGGATGTGCTCTCCAAAGATGTCGTTCTTTTGCATGGGATCAGGGACCTGCTGTAGCTCGCACGCTAGGCCAATAATACAAACCTGGATCAAGACAAGTTAAGACTAGTTCCATCATAGCGGTATTCCCAATACATACTTGGATTCCATCTTTCAAACGAGCAATTTGGTTACAAAGGATAGTCATAAACTTTTCGGTTGCTGATTTATCATGTTCTAAAGACATAGCAGTTAAGATACACATGTCCAGGGATAATTGTTTGAGCATCATACCATATGGCAAGTCATCCAAATTCCTTATAACAACAATGGAGGGTGGGTATGCGATTGCTTGAGATACGGCGAGTGTCAATGGATTGTAGGTGAGAAACTCCGGGCGATCAAATTCATCCTTGAGTCGTAAGACATCATGCACTGAGAGATCGATCATTCGACATCCAAGTTCCTTGCCCACAAACCTAAAGGATCATCATTTGTTACATCCTTATCCTTTCACTCATATCCAGTAACTTACTTTACAATTGTACTTTTTCCAACCCCTGCAACGCCGTGGAGCAGTAGAGATTTCACTCGTGGCATCCCAAGTTGCCGAAAGGCAGCAGCATCATTAAACATAGAACCTATCATGTAGTAATCATAATGAATCAGCCCGTTCGTCATCCTCTTCATCTTTTGAAAACGTACGAATGGATCCCATCAAATGCATAGTCGTATCACCATGTGTTGCTGTCAAAGTAGGTTGTGCCGGTTGTGTATATTCAACATGAATTCGAGTGCGTTGTCGATCAATCTGCAGCTGCGTCGTTTGGTTGCTATCAGGCGTATACAAGTCTTTGATAGTCGCAGTGATGGATCTGCCACCGATTACCCATGTGTACTGATCGCCAATGGCCACCTTTATAGTTCACGCGTAGTTAATACCTCATTGCTTCGCCCATCGTTGTAACACACACATACACGCCGTGCGCCTAATCGTCGTTTGACCATGTGGGTGTAGTCGGGTGCACCATGTTGGCAAGGTAAATGACCAAGAGCAACAGTAACAGAATTGGTGTATGTTTGATCGACCATGGCAGGAGTGCTGAGCTTTGACGTTGCAAGAGGTGAAAAGAGCCGACGATGAAGGAGCTGACAACAAATTATCACGACGATCCAGCATAGTAACCTTTTCCCCCCTTATCGAGTTCATGGCTTGTATCTATACCATGTTAAATCAGCTGTCCATTCATTGACAACATTATAAAATAAGCACTGCATTACACTTTTAATGCATCAATAACACGCCAGCATTGAACATGTGTTTTAAAGTTGATATAGCGAAGGGTCCAATTTAATGAGCTTAGACAAAGAAAAGTGTCGAGATAGATGGCTACGACGAATAAAAGGGCGCCCACGAGCCCGAATATATAAAGCTGCGGTTTTCGTGGTATGTCGACCAGACCCAATTGGCCGATCTGACGTATCTCCACCCCATCCTCATCGTTTTTACAATGCCGTTTGATTGCAGTATGTCGTTGGTCTCTTAAAGACTTTCCTTTTGCTGTTGCCACTGATGCATTAATACCAATCCTTGTATTACGAGCGAGGCCTAATGAAAGTCTATTGCGTGTAAGATCAGTCGAAATGCATCTTTAATAGGGAGCTTTGTTGTTATGTATTACCATTGTCACTCGTCCTCGCAGGCTGGTCATCCGCTATAATAATGCTGCATTTAGTGGATTGGTTTTTTCTTCTACATGGATTTGTCACATACATTGTGTTGAATCTCTCATGCTTTCAAGCGTATCAACCATGTCATAGAGGATCTAGCATCATCCATAAATGCGTGTTAGTTACACAACCAAGATGTAAAAATACGCGTTGCCATGGAGATTGTACTTGCCCTGCTCCGGTGCAACAGCGACGCCCGCATGTCTCTCAAATCATTGGTCGTTTGTTGCATAGATGAAAGGAGTTGCTCTACACGCTGATCCAGTCGTCCAAGTGCACTTGAATCCATAGCCAATTGACGTTGTCGTGGAAGTGGTGAGACATTCAATGGGTATCGGGCATATGATCAATGTTGACGTAATGGAAATAGTAGCGACGTTGGTCTCGTGTGGGTTTGCGTTTGATCTTGTAGAGCTCATCGAATCGATCGCGGTGGAAAAACTGGTGCTTGAAGTCGCAGACAGATGATTTGATCGTTGATTGAGCGTCGGATGATACATCGTTACTAGAAGTATCTACCCTTGGATCGCAATCAGGAAGTTTGTGGAAGTCGTACACTAAAAAGCACATATGAATTAATAACATTCCTTGTAATAACCTTGATTTGGCATACTCACTGTTAAGTTGGCGGACAAAGCTTGACCACTTGTCGTGTCTAAAGTAACGCGGAAGGACCACTTGGGAGAATAAATAATTATCGTGGATACGAAACGAGTCGCCTGATGACGACCACGACACCAAATGTGAATACTCGCCGTTGTTCTTTATCAGCCTTTGCATGCAATTTAGCACAACTAGAAGGGGAATTGGACCTGGTGAACTAGCCTGTATAGCTTCAACACAAAAGGTTGAATCTCCAATGTCGACGAGTCTGCATCACCACTGGGGCTTTTTCGACACAAAGTGTTGGGAACATTTTTCGGCGAATGCGGACGAGTAAACATGATACTTTTGTTGCAATAAAGGGCAAATTGTGTAAGGTGAAGGGAAAATGAGAAAAGCCATTGCTAGCAAGCACGGTTGTTATATGGATTTCCAAACCAGACTCAGCTTTGATGAGAAGAGGGAGGGCTTTTATTATCAGAATACCAGCATGACAAGAGAAACTAGAGGATTCTATGATCTTTGGAGTGTGTGATGTTGCATGAAGGTTGACTTCAGCATGATCAACTGATCAAACTTGGTTAGAAACACCACCAACAGCAGCTGACCAATGTGTTATTTGCATTCCGCTTACTCGTCTAATTGATAGCTCTTGAATCAAACACCATTGAAAATCCTTTTATTTACGCATGTGCTACTAATTCATTGTGTAGTGCCTTCCAAAACCATACAACATATATATGCATGCGTTGCCCCAGACAACCAAATGATGCACCGAGAGTTCTCCCAATCCCAAATCCGAAATCCCAATCAACAATGATACCACAAACAACAAACCTGATGCTGGATTGCTTTCATCACTTTTCATTGAAGTCTACAAAAAAAGAATATGCACCCATTATTCCACACAATAAACAAACATCGAGGGTAGCGATAGCGATGATATAGTAACTGGGGAGGGATATTCATTGATAAACCCAAGGTGATGGTGGATGGTGTGTGATGTATTAATTCTTCCCTGACTTTCCTGCTGCTTCAGCAGCTTTCTTGGCTGCAGCCGCTTCTTGCTTGGCACGCATAATGGCAGCATCACTACAAGTGAATCATTCGTTGAGTACCTTGTACTTGTCATCCATCTTCAAATATAGACTCACTTTTCCTTTCGCTTGGTCAAAGACACACCACTCTCAGCAGGTTTGCCCTTGTTCATTTTTTGTTGCTTCTTTTGGTTCTTGGCACGAGCCAATTCACGTTGGTTACCACCTAGGAAGATCGATCAGTGACATTGGACGTTGCTTGGGATGAGGATGGAGGACACTTACGGGTCATTGTATATTGGAAATATCGGGGACAAAGAGAGGAACACAAATTATTCGTTGGTCTTCTTCCACTTTCACCTCTTGTCGCTCTTAGAAAAAAATCGCCACACAACGACACATCCCTAAATCTATTGGATATCGGGCGTATCGAGCACCTCCCCATTGCATCTAGAATACACATTGACATAGATAAAAGGGGTCATTATAAACCATCTTTTCTGCCAATGCTGTCTCATGTTTCACACAACCTGTTGTAATGCTTACTTTATAATCCAGGGTTCCACATAGAGGAAATTACGTGCATGGGAAAGGTTCAATGAATGGTTTAGCGTGTGGGGCTCCACTTTTGCTGCTACTTTTCCCGCCTGTTTCCAGGTAAAGTCTAGCAATGATCAACAGGGTCGATTCTTCCGAGGTACAAAAGAAAGGGATTCTTTTTCCCAGGTGATTGAAATGTGTGATTTTGTTTTGTCAGCATGATGAATACATAATGTACAATGCCCTTCAACATTCACCACCGCTCGTCTCAGACGATAGCAATGCATCATCATGTATTTGTAAATCAATTGAACAACGTTTATGATCCAATTGCTCAGCATACAGTAAGTTGTCATGTGCTGTAAAGCACGCTCATGATATACTGTTGGAGGCACCTCGCGCATTATTGTGCTCTCACGGGTCGAACCGTGGAATAGAGTATCCTTCCCGCTCCTCCCGCCTTCATCTCATGATGTCGTTACGCTTAATGACACTATGGGTAATTCTACTTATTATTCATCTTTGGGAAAAATAAAACGTCAGCAGGCTTCATATACGGCGAAAATACCTTGTTATGAAAAAAAAAGTATAAATACGAGCGAGATCTACCATAGTGCCGAAAGCTTTAGATCAACAAAGGCATCATGGCCCCTCTGAAACAAGTGGCATTATTCATATCATGTGCGGCAATTGGTGTGCAAGCAGCAGCAGCAGCAAGCTCAAATCAATTGTCATGGGATGAAGCCTACGTCAAGGCCAAGAGCGTGGTGGATCAAATGTCCATCGAACAAATGGTGAACCTAACAACGGGCGCTGGATGGGGCTCTGCATGTGTCGGCAATACGCGACCTGTCGATGATGATCTTTTCCCTGTGCTATGCTTACAAGATGGGCCCATTGGAGTACGTCTTGCTAACAATGTCACTGCTGGACTATCAGGCATCACCGTGGCACAGACATTTGATAAAGCTGCTTTCCATGATCGAGGTGTATACATGGGCAAGGAATTTCGAGGCAAAGGCATCAATGTGCAGCTTGGGTAAGGCATGCTTGTAGTATTGAAATCATTTGGAAATTTATCCTAATGACCATAAAATTAGACCATGCGTAGATCCAATGCGTAGCCCTTGGGCGGGTCGTCTTTGGGAAGCATTTGGTGAAGACCCATACCTTGCTGGTGTGGCTACATCAGAGACCGTACAGGGAATCCAAAGCCAAGATGTGGTATGTAGTAGCTATGTACACGCGAGCCCTTATCCTTCCTGCAATGCTTATTTTTTATCGATGATGCTATTATAGGCCGCCACTATTAAGCACTACATTGGCAATAATCAAGAAACCAATCGCACCACTGTAAGTATTATGATGGATTGAGTATCGTGCTCACCATTCTAATGTACCTTGGTTTTGGCAGTCATCGGTGATCATCGATGATAGATCCTTGCATGAAGTTTGGTTGTACCCATATGCACGAGGAATTGAAGCTGGCAGTGCCATGGTGATGTGCAGCTATAATATGCTCAATGGCACCTACTCATGCGAGAATGAATACACTCTCACCACAATTTTGAGGGATGAGCTTGGTTTCCAAGGTGCTACGGTTGCCGATTGGGGTGCTACGCATTCAACTATCGACTCTGCTAATGCCGGTTTGGATTTGAGTATGCCGGTTTGTATACACAATGCTTCACTTTTATGTATGCACTATGGCTCATACCCGATTATTAGGGAGAAGATGACTTTGCCAAAAACCTTACCCAGGCCGTCAAAGATGGAAAAGTCAAGAAGGAAAGGGTAAGTGGTCATTGTTTGGCATGTCATTATTATCGTATGATGTCTTTGTCTCACGCTATAATAACATCATCAGCTTGCAGAGATGGCAATGCGTGTTGCAGCTACATACTACAAGGTGAGATTTCCCTTCTTTTGCCATATGACCTTTTTTTGGCATTAACCAGAATCAATCATGTTGTTGTAGTTAAAGCAAGATGCATCGGATTTCCCAGATGTGGCCATCAACTCCACCGATCCTGATTCTGCACCTGTGGTTCCTGTACAGGAAGACCATGCCAAAATTGTGCGAGACTCAGGTGCTGCTGCTGTCGTTCTCCTTAGGAATGAAGATAATGTACTCCCATTGGGTGACTCTATTCAAAAGATTGCTATTGTTGGAAGCGATGGTGGTCCCAATCCAGGGTAAGAAAAAGAGCTGATCACCGTATCATCCATGAATCTAATTTTTTCATTGATTTATTTAAAGCGATATCAACAATTGCACCGATGGTGCATGCGACCAAGGCACGCTTGCCATGGGGTATGGATCCGGTGTTGTCACTTTCCCTTACCTTATTTCGGTAAGTGTTGCGCTTGCGTGCTTTCATTACCTTTGGATTTCTCACATGGCGCTTCTTTTGTACATAGCCCAAAGAAGGCATTGAATCAGCTGCTGGCGACAACGTGGAAATCACCTATACCTATGATGATTATGATCTTGACAAGGCAGCTGATGTCTCAAAGGATGCTGATGTAGCACTTGTTTTCGCAAATGCCATAGCTGGAGAAGGTGTGGATCGCGCCAACCTTTCTTTATGGAACAATGGTGATAACCTTGTAAGTACTTGATCAAAGATTTTATGGAAGCTCATTCATAAATGCGTATGCGTCTTATAGATTAAAGCTGTTGCTGATGCCAACGAAAACACTGTTGTTGTAATCCATGCAACTGGACCTGTACTAATGCCATGGCTGGATCATCCAAACATCAAGGCAATCCTCTGGCCTGGTCTTCCCGGCCAAGAATCTGGAAACTCGTTGGCAGATGTTTTATTTGGAAAAGTCAATCCCTCGGGCAGATTAACTTACACTATAGCGGAGAAGGAGGAAGATTACTCGGCTCATATCAGCAAAGAGGCAGAGGTACGTATAACAACGTATTCATGTTATCCACTAATTTTTATTAACACGTCTTCTTAATGATAGTTTGAATATGAAGAAAAGCTCCTTGTTGGATACAAGTGGTTTGAAGCGAAAGACATCAAGCCCCTCTTTGAATTTGGATTTGGATTGTCGTATACGAAATTCGATTATTCTGATGTCAAGGTTTCAGTGGATGACAAGGAGCAACCCAAGGTGACAGCTACATTGCAAGTGCAAAATACGGGTGATGTTGATGGTGCTGAAATTCCACAAGCCTATATCTCCTTCCCTGAATCAGCTGGTGAACCACCGAAGTTGTTGAGAGGTTTTGACAAGGTCGACCTCAAGGCCGGCAAGAAGGAAGACGTATCGTTTGAATTTGGCAAGACCGAGCTTAGCATTTGGGATGTGTCTCAACGTGAGTGGGTTGTGCCATCAGGAGAGTACACTATCCATGTCGGTGCCAGTAGCTTTGATATCCGCACATCCGCTACCTTTACACTTTAATTGTTCCTGACTGATGATAATAAACCCATACACAATGGACTTCCTCTTACTTGGGCTCATTGTTATTGAAAAGCCAATTATTAAAGGAGGGTTTAATCAATGACACTGTATCATCTTGTACAAATACACAAATGAATGAAGGATTTCGTCAGCCACTTTTGACATAGTAATGATGACACAGATGTGTCACCGGAGATCATGCCGAGCGATGCAGCCAAAACCGTGGTCATTGTTACCCAACCCCGCTACTCCCTCTCTTATTCACGCGTCTATATCTTGCAATGGGTCACTTGTAAATTGGGTTGCTTGATTCGTTTATTCATCGCTTGCTAAATGGCTGTATAGGATTACTGTTGCTACCTGTTCGCTTAACCAATGGGCGCTCGACTTTGAAGGCAATCTTGAACGCATTCTCGAGAGCATTCGAATTGCAAAGGCTAAGGGTGCAAAGCTGCGTGTCGGTCCAGAGCTCGAAGTCAGGTATGTCTCTGTTGTTTGTAACCTTGAATCAGTATCTTGTTGCTTATACAAATTACTTTAGTGGATATGGCTGTTACGATCATTTCCTTGAAGGTGAGTTGATGTTTCAGGAAAACGGGTGGATAATGTATGCTCACAAATGAGTTGTTTTAGGCGATACGTATCTTCATTCCTGGGAGGTTCTTGCTGCTATTCTCAAAAGTGATGTGGCCAAAGATATGATTTTGGATATTGGCATGTAAGATCATGGGTATTGTGGATGGAGCAATGGAGCTGTTTTTTGACGCACAGACATTTGGTAGGCCTGTGATGCACAAAACAGTAAAGTACAATTGCCGTGTCATCTTGTGTGACGGAAAGATTGTTTGCATTCGCCCAAAGATCTTCCTTGCCAATGATGGAAACTACCGCGAGCTTCGTTTCTTTACGCCCTGGGTCCCAAAGAAGATTGAAAATTACTACTTGCCCCGCATGATCCAAGAAATCACAAAGCAGGTTTGTGTCTACATGTCCCATACAATCAAGAAGGAAGCGTATACTCAAGCTCAATATTAGTTCACCGTGCCCTTTGGAGATACCGTGGTTAGCACTTTGGACACATGCATCGGATGTGAGACTTGTGAGGAATTATTCACGCCACAAAGGTAAAGGATAACGAGATCTATAACACCCTTCGAAGAAGCTCACATTGCACTTCTTCTTAGTCCTCACATCTCTATGGGATTGGATGGTGTAGAGATCTTTACCAACAGCAGCGGCAGTCATCATGAACTTCGCAAATTGGATACTCGTATTGATCTTATCAAAGCTGCTACTGCCAAGGCAAGTATGGAATGGATACCAAAAGCGACGAATCGGCTAACCAGTGATTTCAGGTTGGCGGCATTTATTTGTATGCAAACCAGCAAGGTTGCGATGGTGATCGTTTGTACTACGATGGTTGCGCCATGATTGTCATGAATGGTCGTGTGATGGCTCAAGGATCACAATTTTCTCTCAATGATGTGGTATGTGCTTACTTTTATTGATGTATTATTGAAGATGTCTAATTCAATCATATATAGGAAGTTGTTACTGCAACATTGGATCTCGAAGATGTTCGATCATTCCGTGCTAGAGTGGCTAGTCGTGGTATCCAAGCTGTGCACACGGAGGCCTATGTTCGACAAGATGTTCAATTTTCACTTTCGCACCCACATATGGATTCCGATCGATACCTGATCCCTAACAAGCCTCGTGAACCATTTTACCATTTGCCAGAGGAGGAGATTGCTCTTGGTCCCGCTTGTTGGTTATGGGATTACTTGCGACGATCCAAAACAGCTGGTTACTTTTTGCCATTGAGTGGTGGTATCGACAGCTGCGCTACAGCGGTGATTGTTGCATCAATGTGCCGTCAAGTTGTGAAGGCTGCTGGTGAAGGCAACGAGCAAGTGATTGCGGATGCGAGACGCTTAGTTGGTGGAAAGGAAGATTATATTCCCACTGATCCTCAAGAATTTGCCAACCATATCTTTTACACCTGCTACATGGGCACATCCAATTCGAGCAATGAAACACGTAAACGGGCAAAGGATTTGGCTGAAACCATTGGCAGCTATCATACCGACCTGAATATGGATACGATTGTCTCGGCTATTCACAGCCTCTTTTCACTTGTCACTGGCAAAACACCAAAGTATCGCGTTCATGGTGGATCCAACACGGAGAACTTGGCATTACAAAATATCCAGGCGCGATTGCGTATGCTCTTAGCCTATCTCTTTGCTCAATTGATGCCATGGGCTCGCTCCAAGGAAGGTGGCCTATTGGTCCTCGGCAGTGCCAATGTTGATGAAAGTCTTCGCGGCTATTTGACAAAGTATGATTGTAGCAGTGCTGATATCAACCCCATTGGTGCCATTAGCAAGACCGATCTCAAGAGATTCATCGCTTATGCACGTGACAGCTTTGATATGCCTGTTCTTGACGAATTCTTGGAGGCTACACCCACAGCCGAGCTTGAACCAATCACTGAGACTTATGTGCAATCAGATGAAGCGGATATGGGCATGACTTATGATGAGCTCTCGCAATATGGTCGTTTACGCAAGGTGGAAAGATGTGGTCCATTTTCGATGTTTTACAAGCTCTTCCATGAATGGGGAGGATACTTGCGTCCAACTGAAGTTGCAGCCAAGGTCAAACGCTTCTTTTTCTACTATTCGATCAATCGACACAAAATGACCACTATCACGCCTTCCTATCACGCTGAAGGATATAGCCCTGATGATAACCGCTTTGACTTGCGGCCATTCTTGTACAACGCCTCGTGGAAATGGCAATTCAACAAGATCGACAAGGCTGCTGAAAAATTAGAGCAAGAAGGTAGTGCAGCCGAGAATAGCAACGCATAATCTTGTAATCACTTGTCTTGGGACACGCATACATGTATTTGTCACACAATAAACACACATCATACAATCCATACACATGCGCACACACTATAGAGCTACTACTTTTCAAAAGACAAGATACAAATTGACTATATAACAAGTTGCTTAAGCGCTCTCAGGCTCTCCAAAATGTTGCTTGAGGACTTCCATCGCTTCGTTGATTTTGCCTTCCAATGTTTCCTTGTTGTCCAACAATTGCAATAGATCGTTATTTTCCATTTCAAGCAACATGCCAGTAATCTTGCCAGCATAGTCAGGCTGTTGTTGATGGCTACATTATATATAGCAATGAGTATAAAGCGGTTGGTTTTTCTTCACTTTTATACGTACATGAGAGGATACAAGCGTTCACCCAAAGTCTGCTTTTGTTGTTCTGCTGGCATTGCTGCAAGAGAATCAGCTGTCAAAGGTGCAGGTTGGTTGGTAGCAGGAGGGCTAGGACGTGGTTGTTGTTGTTGTTGTTGTTGATTTTGTTGTTGTTGTTGTGGCTGTTGTTGTTGCTGGGGTTGCTGTTGTTGTGGTTGTTGTTGTTGCTGAGGACGAGGATAACCCTGTGGGCCAGCAGGATAAGGAGGTTGTTGTTGTTGTTGTGGCCATCGAGGACGAGGTGGCATCATACCAGCAGGAGCAAACATTGGAGGACGTTGGCCACCAGGGCCTGGGGGTACAAAAGCACCAGGAGGATAATAAGCGTTGGGAGGCATGTATCCAGCATGAGGAACAGGACCACCTGGCATACTCATCTATAGAGCAATTAGTATGCATTCAAATCTCTCCCAATAAAACACCCATACACTTACCATACGCATTTGACCACGTTGGGCCATTTGTGCTTCAAGTTGAGAACGACGAACATCCTTACGTTGAGCAAGGGCAACATAAATAGGCTTCGATCCAAGCATACGACCATTGGCTTCGGTGATAGCACGTGTAGCTTCATCAGCTTCAGAGAAGCAAACAAAACCAAAACCTCGGCTGACACCTGTTGTATCATCTCGCATCACTTTGGCACTGGTGATATTACCATAGACGGAGAATTCTTGTCTTAGGCGTTCATCATCGACATCATCATCGAGATTCTTGATATAGAGGTTGACACCTTGATACTTGCTAAGCTTTTCAAGACGAGCTTGTTCATATTGTCGACGAAGTTCTTGTTCACGCTCATTCTTCTTTTGTGCTCGAGAAACGTACAAGGCCTTTCCATGATATTCTGAACCATTCAATTCCTGCACTGCTTGATGAGCATCATCATGCTTTTCAAAGTTGACAAAACCGAATCCACGCGATTGACCCTGGTCGTCCTTGGCAACAGCAGCCGATGTGATGGTACCATAGTTACCAAACAAAGTACGCAAATCTTCATCCTTGACGTCAGGGCTGAGATTCTTGACATAGATGTTTGTGAAATGTGCCTTCATCTCATCAATCTTGGCTTGTCGTTCCTTGCGTGAAATGTGATGGCCAACATAGCTATACGCAAAACAAAGGTATAAGATACCATATAATATCACACATACACGCACAACATTCTCCTAACCATTTCCTTTCTTACACTTTTCGGTCATTCAACAACATGCCATTGACCTTTTGGATAGCAGTAGTGGCAGCTTCTTCGGTATCGTAATGGACAAAGCCATAACCCTTGGAATGACCAGTTTCATCCAAGGCGATCTTGCAAGAAAGGATGTTTCCAAAAGCCGAAAAGGTATCATGCAAAGCTTTGTTATCAATGGTAGGATCAAGGTTCTTGATGAATACATTGCCGCTGCCAGTCTTGCGAAGAGCAGGATCACGTTGTGACCACATGATACGACAAGGACGTCCTTTGATAAGACTATAATTCATTGTGTCCATAGCACGCTCAGCTAGTGGAATGGATGGATTAGATATCTTTAGCTTAAAAGACACGTGGGATATGTATCTATCTTACCATCGTCTGAGCTATGAAAGTTCACATATGCGTATCCCAAACTACGACGGGTGATTGCATCGCGACAAACGCGAATACTGGCTACACACACAAAAATGGATTATTAGATAAAACACGTATCCATATACACCTTCCAAGCATCACATACAAATTGGGCCCAATACGTTGAAGCACTCAAACAGCATAGCCTCGGTCACAGTGGGATCGAGTTCACCAACATACAAAGAACCGGTGGGGGCTGGGACACCTGATTCAGAATTGGTTGGAGGAGTCGTGTTGCTCGGCTGGCTGGTTGTGGGAGGAGAGCTGGTAGTGTTTGCCCCAGATGCTGAAGTAGATGCAGCCGACGACGCCATTATGGTTTTTTACTTTGTGGTGTGGGTAAGGCAGAACCTGAAAAATATTTCAGCTGGCATTTTGGTTCCGATACAAAGCAGACCTGTGGCTTCTGTTATGCCGACAAGCATAGCTGTATACGTCACTAATGTGTAACCAACCTTGTTTCTTATCTAAAACATTCATCCATCAAAGGATGGTTGGGAGAGTAGTTTACTCATAAGACCATATAAAGCATAATAAAACAGGAGCATCTTTCTTCTTTGTTTAAAGGGATGAATGAAATTTATCATGAAGAATGGATCATCATTGCTTCTCGTTGTGTTATATATTCTCATCATCTTTTCTTCTTTCATTGTTTCCCATTCAATCAATAACATGAAGAAGTCCTCCCTTTATGTCTTCGCTGCTGGATTAGCTTGTTGTGTAGCGCTGATGCCTACACCAGCATTGGGTGACGATTGCTCTGGTGATCTTAAGGTGGATTCCCAAGCTGAATTGGCTAAGGTGCAATCATGCAAATCTTATGCAGGAACCATTACCATCGATTCGACAACAACGCCAACATTGAACCTTGCTGGTGTATCCACCGTGGAGGGTGATATCGTTATAGCCGACAATAGTCAATTGACACAAATCGTATTCCCCGATCTCGAGAGAATCACTGGAACGATGAGACTAGAAAATAATACGCTGCTATCCAAAGTTGAATGGCCATCACTTAACACGCTTGATGCATTGAATGTCACTGTGCAACCATCCTTGTCGTCCATCTCCTTTCCAGCAGGTCTTTCCAACGCGAACAAGATATCAATTGCTGATACAATGGTGGCATCCATTGATGGCATTGTGCTTTCACATATTGATACGTTGGCTGTGGATAACAATGCACGCCTTAAAAAGCTGGATTTAGGCAACCTGTCAGATGTCAGCTCTACAATTTGTGTCTCTGCCAATTCACCGCAATTGAATTTGGATGTGGGTATCTTTTATCATCATCATCATCATCATCAAATGCAATAACTAATCCTTTATTAAGCTCTCACATCTTCAAAGCGTAAAACAAGGGTCCTTTGTTGATCTTGCCAACATCACTTTACCCAACTTGGAGAAGGTCAAAGGGGACCTATCATTCACCGATAACCATTTCAGCTCGCTCAAATTACCCAACATGACCGATGTCAGTGGCACCCTTACAGTTGCTGGGAACAATAAGCTTGAAAAACTCTCGGTACCAGAATTACAGCGTCTTGGAGGAGCATTATTGATTGCCAACAATACACGACTCGATGCTGTGGAAGCATTTCCCAAGCTAGAGCAGGTGGATGGTTCGGTGGATTTGACAGGCACCTTCCGATTAGTTGATCTGCCCAAGCTACAAAATGTAAGTGTAGACGATATAAAGAACGATGACGAGATCAAGGTATTAACGTATGAATAGGTTAAGGGTGGATTGAATGTCCAAACAACCAATGATCAATTCTCTTGTGATAGCGTAAATGACCTCAAAGGAGATGTGATCAAAGGGCATGAGTTTGTATGTAAATCGGATGTTGACAATCCCGAGTCAAGAATCGATAACCATGGTCAATCCAATAATGGGTCCATGCCTCATCCACATAGTATTCCCCTGGGCATGTTGCTCTTTGCATTGATCACATTCCTCTCCTCCTCCTCCTTATAATACCTTCCCTTCCCCCTCCATTGTCCATATATCATCCATCACCATCATCATCATCATCCAATGTATACACAGGTTCTCTATATTCCAATCATACAATACATTCATCATCGTTCGTCTATTCGATTCTTCTATCCAAAATGCTGTGTAATTGCCGTGCGGGTGAATCCAAGGTGCTGAGCAACTTTCTACCAGGTGCTTCCAGTACACCAAGAAGCTCGGCTTGCAACTGAGGCAATCCAGGCAATTGGACAATCTTGTTCACGTCGTCGTGTGTCAATAGTGTATCGTCAAGCTTGCCACCAAGCAACATCATCTTTTTGTTCTTGCCGAGAACTGCCATAGCCTTCTTTAATAGATCGGGATGTTCAGTGTCGTTGGCGTTGGTATGGAAAATACAAGTAGGACCACCTTCAACAAGTGGCTCCAAATTGGCGTACTTTGTGCTGCGAAGAACAGAGTTGAATACACCGGATCGCAATACAGTGAGCTTTGCTGGTGCACCCAATCGAGAGAGTTCCTGACGCAAGGCTGTAAACTCACGCACCGTCAAGTTGTTATGTTGAAAGATAAACATGGCACGATCGTTGTTGACAATCGACTCATACTGCTGGTGAAGATAGGTACGGCGAGGAGGATGGACCGTTTTTCGTTGTTTAGGACGTGCTTCTGTGGCGACTACAAAGAGCAATGAGACAACAAAGAATGGGTCGACATGGTTGCATTCACTCACATTGTCGTACTGCACACTTTTGTGCAATGTTCAACTCTCGTGTAAGCGAGCTGGTACCTTGAATACAAAACTAAAGTCAATAAACTGTGCACACATATGTATAATGGATGTGTTTATCCTTACCAGTGCGAAGAGCCATTGCTGTCAAGTGGAAATAAAGGCAACCTTCCGGGGTTGGGTGGTGACACTTTTGGTGTCCTAGGAACTAGCCCAAGCCACTCTCGCCGCCCTTTGGCCTTAAATTCGTTGATGCAACAACCATCCCCCATGACACTGCCTCTAGATACACACAGCCTGGATAATAAAAGCTTGACTTTACGAAATGATCATTCGACAATAGAATGAATATTGGTATGGCATGTCTTCAAAAGTATTGAAGAATACTATACATGATCGCATTTAAGACACTCCATTGGTATGTAAAACCCCATTCCCATTATGCATTCTACTGTAAAAGAGTAGTCATGATGAGCTATAACACATAAAGATACCAACATCTTGTGTTAAGGTTGCATTTGCAGCTACGTACGTAGGTCTTTATGTTGCAACGTTCGTTATGGTGGTTGTCAATGGTAAAAGTAGTCATTATGGGAACTCTTTATCGTGATTTTCGATATACTCTCTAATTATTATTTTATCTATATGGAATGCTATGATATGGGTTGGGCTTATTGGGTTTACTAGATCATCTCTTTTTATGTTACTGTGCATTGAATAATACCACGGAGGCACGGCACAAGCAGACGGCGGATAAGGACTCCGATTGTCAATGTGCTTTTATCGCCCTTTCTTTTTATCAAACTTCCTACACCTTCTCCCTTATGCCGACAGCTTTCAGTATCCAACTCACTCGTGTATGAAATGGCAAAGCAAATGAACACGTCAATGGAGGAGTGCATCGATAACGGTCAAAGGCATTCCGGCAATGAGAGCGCTGCGCAGTTCCATGCTACTATCAACGTCAAGGCTGATCTCGCTAAGGTAGGGGTCCACCGTGTTCAATGCTCCCACTTTCAATGCCTATACTCATATGCAACGATAGAATCGAGAGTCCTACAAGGAGCGAATCGACGAGTTTTTTGACCAAGCACAGCTACGAACGAAGCTTTATGAATATCGTGGAGCGTACTTTGACATGCCATGTAGGTCATTTTGCTCCCTACAGGGTGGCTCATTGTTCTCATCCCTTTCATTATGATTTATGCTCCTTTGTATTGCATCCTGGCACCCAGATGATACGAACATCAAGGAAGAGCAGATTCATTGGATACTGGAGCATTTGGGAAATGGACATGACAAGGATGTTGAAACACGTATCAACCTTACTCGTGCTTTGATTTACGTGTCTTTGGGTAATGCATGCGATACAAGCTTTCTTCTCAGCATCTTGCTAACGTCACGATATAGGCGCTTTTGGTGATCCCTGCACCGTCAGGAGCGAATCAGCCCTTTTGAATGCTATGGTGTCAAACAACAAACTTCTATACGCTTCTGGAACCACACATGTGATAGGCGTTTTGATCAACAAAGCCAATGCGTAAGTATCCATCCATCTTATCCATATGCCGTAAACTCAATGTTTTATCACAGGGATGGGATCGAAGAATTGGATGGATATATCACCGTATTATACGTCATGCTATCGTCTTGCTATTACGACCATGTATTGATGGACAGTGATCAACGTCAGTATATGTGGGAATCCTGTAGTATTGATTATCCTTGATGTTGACTCATTTTATTCAGTCCTCGCACTTCTTGAATGCTTGATCAATATCCTTTCAGATATCACAAAGCCCATTTCTCCCAATTATCCAATGAAGAAGGTAAGCACCCTTGCTGCTTATAAATGACATCAACTCATTCCTCGTATAGCTCTTGGCATTGGTGCACATGTTGCTAGTTGCTACCTTTGGCACTACTGATGACGCTGCGGCTATGAAGCAGCAAATCAAGGACCTATGGAAATCAAAATCATGCAACACGTCTGGTACTTATCACATGTCAACTACTCCTAATGGATTGGAAAAGTAATGTGTGTTATGGATTATAGAGCAACCACTGAAATGCACGCCTCATGATCTATACGATTTTCGCCGTGAGACCAAAGCAAAATATGTTTCTTACCAGCCACCACAATACCCATTTGCTGTGTCTTCCGAAGACAACATTCGAGCAACCAAAGAAAAGAATGACATCATTTACGCAACAACATCGATACCAGCATCGAATGATATGCCTTATCGTATTCGCTTTCCACCAAAGCATCCAGCAAAAACCATGGAAACCATCCCTTCCGTCATTGAATTCAAAAAAGACCTTGAGCGATCTCAGTCAACCACGCCATTCACACATGGGACACCTACTTCAATCAAAGAGACTGGTGATCTGCTGATATCCAACATGCATATATCGGCCTATGATCACCAAATTATACTGGAGCGGGATCATGCAGCAAAACATAGCCAAAGCGACCAGCATGACTGTGAAGCCATCAGTACCAGAGATCAACACATTTATGCAAAGCAGCCTATCTTACTTGCAGTGGAGAAACTCTACGTAAGTTACTTTGAAGCTTTATCTGCAAGGAGAGTGGAGCTGTATACTAACCTCTATTTACAGACAAATATCATGCCGAAGCTTCCGAACTTTGTGAACGTACTTTTGGATCAGCTGGTTACTATTGCTCCATCATCGTCATCATCATCATCATCATCATCATCTATCATCGATCCCTTGCGAGAGAGTGTTGGTGGGGACCTACAGGCAGACAACAATACCCAAAGAAACCGTGAAATCATGCGATCATCCCTTACATCCATCCTACTCTTATTGCTCAAATGGTTCAAATTGTCACGTATGTATAACTTCGATACCACTTATTTTATTCACACGTATGGAACTAACGTAAGCAACTTGTAGATGCCTTGAAATTTGAGTACATGAGCCAATTACTCGTTGATTCGGGTTACATGCTATTAGCAGTGCGCGCTTTCATGACGGAGGATTTAAAGGAGATCACTTGCAATTTGACGGATAATCGAGCACACGGGTAATGTTCAAAGAGGTGACTGCGTACATTCAAGCAACTTGCTAAATGGGCTGTATTTTAGATTTTTCGGGCAGATTCTGAGTCTTGAACCTAGGGCATGCAATGGCAACATATATCCACCATCATGTTCAACATCTTCATCCTCCTCCTCTTCCTCATTAATGTCCAATGTTTCACTTGCCAAGTCTTGGGACGAATCGATACCATGGGCAGCAAACGACGTTAGCGATGACATGAAGATCACCAATAAGCGTAACGTATCCTGGATCCTTGACACTCTACGCAATTTGCAAATGATTACCAAGGGGAAAGTTTGCCGCAACAAGATGATGGCTTTATACAAATCATATGTACGTGGGAAGCTATGGGATTGATTTTATGGTATGGTTGACGTGTTCTATTTGCAGATACCTTTGAAACGCGTTGCACTAGCAAATCGTGGCACCGATCTCGAGCTATATGCATTGAAGTTGCTGAAAAGTCAAATCACCCATCTTGGTATCAAATGGCGTGCAGGTAAAACGGATCCTTTATCATTTCCAAAGCATTCAAACTCACATTGTATGATAGGCAACATGAAATTGATATCGGCAATTTATCGAAGGTGCTCTCCCAGGCTGCGTGATGAATGGCTTACAACAAGAGAATTTGATGGGGATCGTGATGCCGAGGATATGGTAATGTTGATTTGATATCAAGGAAGACGTGTGCCTGTCATTAATATTGGTTGACAGGTGCATGAAATGAATATTCGAGCTTTGATTTGCTTTTACCATGAAACCCGATATGCGTTCACAACTTTGTCAGATACGTCATGTTTCAAAGCTACAGCAAACGTTGAACCTGAATCGAATGGATGGGGCGAATCTGACATGGATACAACTCAAACACAATGGCTGTCGCTGGAAAAGGATACTTCATTCGATGATCGGTGGGACATTGGCACACCAGCTCCAGACGCAACACCACAACCTATCACTGTCGACGCATTAGCTGATGCCATCAACCACCTGTATCTACAACCAGCTAGGAAATTCAAAACGAATACTGCAACTGAAGCTGAAGGAGATGGATGGGATGCACCAGCACTGACAACATCAAACACCTTTTCGTTTGGCAAAAAGCCTACCAGCGACTCGGGTACCGACAGCGAGGATGATGACGATGATGATGATTCGGAAATGGAACGTAAATCACAAGATGATCCTCTCAAGAACATTGATTGGGAAACATTGACTGAAGACGAGCTGATGGATCGGATGACCAAAGTCAGTGAACAATGCGAGCAACGATGGCTATCGGTGGACATTGACGATCCGGCCTATTGCAAGGTCCTCATTGATGTGGAAGGCTATAACGACAATGAAGCTGAAGATGGAGGCAACGTTGATGACAGCAAAAACGACAATGCATGGCAATGATCACACCAAGAACAAGATAATGTATATAGCCTTATATTATATCCCCTCGTATTCCTTCTATTCTTCATCCTTGTAAACATAATAGGAAGCTTTTTGCATAACTTTTGTTGTCTATTGAATAACACGGCCATGGCATAGCCAGTAATACCATTTACAATCAGCGTGGGGACATTATGAAAATGCTAAGTCATGGAAAATGTACTTGGGAACAGGATAGAACAAAGGGTGAATGTGCAACGCAGCACCATTGTGTAACACTATTACAATTTTTCATGTTGGCTCGACCACATGGCCTCGCATCATTGTTACAATTTCTTTGTTACTAATACAAGTATCACTAAGTATCCCTACAATTAGTCAAGTCTGATTCTGTCATCCTCGGTAGGACAATAAATCTGCATATAGCACTCCGTGAGAAAAATCGATCACTACTAACACCCACCATCCTACCCTGGACTTACGCTTTGGTTTTCGTCGAATTCCCAGGTACCGGTCTTATTTGCCCGAGGGATAAAGAGGTCACCCCACAATTTCTATAGGTATCGAAGCATGCATGTATGAGTTATACGACATCAAGGATATCATACCATCCTGTACCTTGGCAATCCATTGATGAGTGATCTTCGAGGGATGGAAGTAATCAATGTTGCTATAAAAAAAAGGCTCCATGTGTGAGCACATTTATCATTATTTCAAGGTGTCCGCGACAAGCTTACTTTAGTGCTTCGATGGGGAAGCCGAGAATGTTAATGTTGGCTGGTTGATACAATACTGCAAAGTTAGGGTCGCTTTCAGAGCTGTACTTGTTATAGATTTCCATGAGCTCATCATTGTAACCTATGGGCAATCATGTAAATCATCCATGTAAACCTTCTCCAGCCCATTTGTGCTCTTGCATCGGTATGCAAACCCTACCATTGACAAGCGTATCCATGTGTGTCCTATTGGTATCGTCGCCTTGGAAACAGCCGCACATTTGCCGATTGAGAAGTGTACTATTTTGTTGGTCCTGTACGCTTTGCGTAAGGGTATAAACTTGGGATACATTGAATACGCCCACTACATAATGCAATAAGTCACGTGTTTTGTTTCATTGTGCGTAATGCTTACAGATATTGACAATGACGCGAGGAACATTTTGCTTGATGCGATCAACAGCAGCAGAGAGATACTCTCCGTACTTTTCCACACTGTAATCCGATACATCACCTTGAGCACAAGAAGCGCATTGATCGTTGCCTGGATATGACAATGTTGATGATAAGCATGCTATTATGGGAAACGTTTAACTGTAATAAAGGCTTACTTCCAATCTGGATTGTGAGAAGCTTCCAATAATTCTCGAAGTTGGAGCCGAGCATGTCCTTCATTCCTTCATAGCCAATATAGAGTGAGCAACATCGATAATTTATACAGCATTGAGACCTACGTGGGATCAAGTAATCGAGTTCTCTATCGAGGTTGCGTGCGACAGCACCACTGATAGCACCATTAAGCCTGTCACGTAATGGGCGATCTATATCAACGAACACGTAAATCATCAACCAAAAGCTATCTTTGGTCATGCTTGCAATTACTTACAGATGGTAGTGCTGCTGCAGTCAGGGTCATCTATTTTGATTACGTGAGCATGCATACGTCAATGGCTGCTGTTGCTACCACTTCAACCCATCATTGGGCTTTTAGGGTGTGGTATACTTACTGCCACATGTTGAGCCAATACGTTGACCAATGGATGCACCTTTGACGGTTGGACTATAACGCTGTACAAACTTTGCAATCGTGGTGGCACCTTGATTGCCACCGATGGCATAGCTTTCACCACGGTATTCGGTCAAAGCACCGATAATTGGAGGTCCATCAGTACCCATCATGAGGGCACCTGCCATGATGCTTTTTGCACAAGTGTTATTCCATCCGCCATCTTCAATAGTGAATTCCATCCAATAATCACATACCTATCACCCATTGCAGCAACCACCTTGATGTCATCTGGTCTCAAATCCGATATGTTCGTTGGTGCCTGCGATCTTGGTTCTAGGGTTGGACACGAATCGATGCTCGAGGCGCTTAATGCGCTCACAGAAGCGACCAACAATGATGATAATGTAAGAAACAGCATGATGATGGTTGTTTCAATTATTGGATGTAGGCTATGTAGTAGGTAACAGCAGCTCTCCTCCGAGACAAAAAAAAAGTACCCTTGTCCTTTTTATATAAAACATGTTGCTCCTTTTTACCCAAGAATCGGGTTTGTCGGACACATATACCCGTTTTCTCTCATTGTTCTTCCGGTACAATCAGTAATCGTCATCCTCACCCTTCCTGGGTCGTATATAAAAAAGTCATTCGGCTCCACAAATAATGCATGAAATCTCACGCGATTACGCAAGTATTCTTTATAGCGTATCACACGAGTAACGTGGAATCGATGTGTTGCTTCTTCGTGTAAAACGTGTACGTGCACTTGAGTGAAACGCCAAGACAACTTGCAATCGGTGTTGGTGCCGTTCTCTCTTCCTCTTTCAATTAGGTTGAAAAGATTTCCCGTGGTTCTATTCATGGCGAGAAAAGACAAGGAAAACACACCCACATTTAAAAATGGCTGTATTATGGTGGAGGCATATAGGCGCACAACTCATTCGTACATCTCAAGCCACGCTACACAATTCATTGATGTGCCTTTTTTCATTTCCCAGTTACGCATCTCACAGAACCTTGTCATACTCTATACTGCCAAGGTGTAACACCATCCTTGCTTTACTTTTCGTTTGCTGCCTATGCTGGTACACAACCATGATCGCGTGACCACAATAGCCCGCCTGGTGTAATGACGGGCAATTTTCCCCGCGCCCATACAACACAAGATAGAGGGAGTTTCTCGAGCATGCTGGCTATAGTTGTAAAGGTGATAAAGGGACACAATGGAATGGCATATGATACATGGTGGGATACAGGATAACGATTAACGCATGGGATAGGACAGCGTTACTTTATTACACGTGATGTAATAGTACCACAACAAAGAGGCACTCAAATTTGAATACGATCGTTTTCACCAGGACAATAAATCTATCGTGTAACAATAGTCATGAACCATCATCAGTGTAAGTGAAGCGTAATAGCACATAGAGTGGATTTTCAGAGACGATGGTCGATCTCGTAATAAACTTACGGGAGTATTGGCATCAAAGTTGTACACTCCGCCTCGATCTCCAGCTGGCGTAAAAAGGCTGTTCCAAACAATCTATGGTAGTGGATTATGGTGCAGCATGGGTTATTCATCCATTGAATTCTCATGTAAAACCTATCAATGCCCAAAGAGCGTTTGGGTTTATGCACGTTACCTTGGCAACCCACTTGTGTGTGATTTCACTTGGGTGAAAGCAATCTACGTTGCTGTTGATATAATGCTATTTAGTATGTCTCGGAAATGGCATGCATATGTGTCTCCATGCCAATGACCCTAACGATAGGTGTATGTCTACCTTAGAGCCTCGATTGGGAAACCGGCAACATTAATGTCTGCAGGCTGGTAGGTTACAGCAAAGGTGTCACTGTTTTGTGCCTTGTATTTATCATAGATGGCCTTGAGCTTGATGTTGTAGTCTACATGATGAGTGTGGTGTTGCAGTAGCTATTATGAGAATCAAGTCCAAATTGAAAGGCTTCAACATACTATCTGCTAAATCATCCATTTTAGCAAGGTCCTCGTCCGAACCTAGGAAACAAGAGCATTCGACACGATTGAGCTGGGCATCAGGGAGATTGGGGATAGCCCGACAATACTCTTGACCCTTGGTGAGTGAGTATACAGGGGACACTTTAAAGCTTCCAACAAGGTTTACAATGGTGCGTGGGATTGACTTTTGAATGCGCTGCACAGCTTTTTCAACGTAAGATCCAAACTTGTCAGCCGTTACTTCGGATTTCCATGGGCTAAGACAAGATGCACATTGATCGTTGCTTCCAATTTGAATGGTAATCATCTTCCAATCATTGCTAAAATCGATGTTCTTCATAGCCTTCATGCCTACGTACGTAAATGGAATAGCAGGTGAGCCTTTACATGCAAAGGTTATATAACCATTATTATTCCAAATCAAGTAGCGGGTTGATCTGTATCACACAATGACACCACGTACGTCTTATCAAGTAATCGAGCTCATTGTCAAGGTTCATTGCAATAGCACCACTCAATGCTGCATTCAACACGTCTTTGCTTGGATACCCTAGAGAGAAAGAGAGGCGATTGCTCAACATTGGAAGGTAGTGATCAGCCATAATATGGTATGATACTCACGAAGGAAATCTAAACAAAAGAGACCATTACAAATTTCAGCAAGATGGTGTCCAAGAGAAGGACCTTGGAGGCTTGAGCTATAGCGTTTGACGAAATTCGCCATTGTTACGGCACCATTGTCGCCACCAATGGCCCAGCTGTGGCCACGGTATTCGGTGATAGCACTAAGGTTGAGGATGCCTGATCCACCCTCATCGATCCCCATAAGAGCAAAACCAGCCATGATGCTTTTCATGCATCGTATGAATGAAACTGGTTAATAAATGCACCCATTGCAAACGATCTCTTGATTCCTTTACCTATCTCCAAGAGCACCAACCACCTTAATGTCATCAGGACGTAGATCACGGACATTGGAAGGAGTTGAATTACGTGGCGCCAAGGAAGGGCAATCCCCAATAGTGGATGCCGTAAGCGCATTTACTACACGACCAGCAGCAACAGCAATAGCGGACCAGAGAACCCAACGCATGATGAAGATTATATCCTCGTTCAAATTTGAGACGACGTTGCCATGGAATTATCCAGCAGTTTTTATACATCCCACTTCTCTAAAATCTTGGGGTAGGTCTCGGACGCAGCAACCAATGTATTTTTTGCGTACCCAAGGCAGCAGTGTAGCACATTGCTTCGAAGCATTTGGTACCATGGAAAAGTGAGAGAGCTGTAACGTGCACAAAGATAGGGTAGGAGGTCAAAGGTCATCATTGTTGTTGCATTGTTGTGCTCATTGTGCTACAACACCTGCAGCAATGTTTTGATGGGATTTACATATGTTTACCACTGCGTTTGTTTTTTCGATCAGGAAATCGGTGTCAGATGACATTTGTGTGTGTGTGAGCGTGGTATGTGTAAATTTATGCACCAGCAACTACGCCTTTACCGATTGCTATACGTTGCTTAGACGTGGTGGAATGCTATGATCAATCCGAATCCGCGGGTATATCGCTTGCGGTACACGTGTAACTATAATATCGATCATAATGCATCATTTCATTGTTGCTATGTGTGTTGCTATGGAGGACATGTAGGATACGGTCATAAGCTAGCCGCCATATCACATCAATAAAAAAAGGGTGATACTAGGTTCACATTGTTGCATAGCAACCCTCATTGTTAATGGGGTTACGGACATTTGATTGTCATCAAAAGGGGAAATGCATGAAATCCCATGAACTCTCATTGTTCAACCCTGACATACATAGAACACGAAAAGGGACAATGTACAAAGATGCTCATTCATTCATTGTGGGTCAGCTGGTATCGGTTCTTGTTGGCATATGAAAGGATGTGTGTGAAGTCTTACTGCCAATAATGAAGAATGCTCAATAGTGTATGCTACCGATCTTCCCTTATTACCCTACAATGCAATTACCAACGATGCCTTACACTTCCCATACCATCATCCCACGCATTTACAAATCACCCTCTGGGATTGCTGTGGCATACAAGATATCAGCGTCATCAATTCTCTACAAGCTCCAAGAGCAATTCTTTGGTGTGTATTGACATTCATCGCATGATACATTGTATAAAATCTCAAGCACGGGGTCATTGTTTAGAGCGAAACATTTGATAACAAGGGAGTACATACTATAACATGATCCGATCCATGAGTGGCAAACCCCTCAATTTCAGACGATGGAATTACTACTAGATGCATTAGACGGCTGTTGAATGCAACAACAGGAGGGCCTTGATATACATAGATATGAGATATAGCATTTTAGTCATGTGATGAAGACCATTTGTCCAAGAAGTTTCATATGATGGCTTTCCGGTAGTGGTATGTTTTTTTATTTATTATAAATGAATGTGTGTGGATCGATCATTTTTTACATGTATGCTATCAGCTTGTTTACATTAGGTGCATCATCCGGATGTCATTTACCTTGTTGATTGACATCAGCCGTTTGAATCAGGCACTATACAAACATTGTTATGTATGAATGATCTTCGGGCGAACGACCGAAAACGGTACCTGAAGATGCCGCCACATCTTGTGAGCGGCGGCCAAGCCCACAAGTGGTGGTGGTGCCAACCAATCATGTTCTGGACCGCTTTAGGCTCGGCTTAAGCACCCAAGCCCGCTTCCGCTTTCGTCTCTTTCTCTCTCTCCCATCTCAAGTTCTCATTCACAACACCATGTTGACCGACGACGAATACGATTACTTGTTCAAGTTGGTGCTGATTGGTGACTCTGGTGTCGGCAAATCCAACCTCCTTTCGCGATTTACGGTAAAGTAGATGACGTACTTTTGAAAGGGGCACAATGGCTCATCCTTACCCCCTCTCTTTCTCTCTTTGCTTATATGTAATAGACCAACGAGTTTAATCTGGAATCGAAGAGCACGATTGGTGTTGAATTTGCAACAAAGAATATCCAGATTGGTAAGTCTTTCTTAATGGCAACTTACACTCAAGGTTGGTGTTCTTACTGTTCTTTTGTTTTATAGATAACCACACCATCAAGGCACAAATCTGGGACACCAGTGGTCAGGAACGCTATCGTGCCATTACTGGAGCGTAAGTACTGGGAGAGGGATTATAGCCAAAGATGATTGGTATCAAAGACACGAGCCCTTTTGCTGATCCAGCCATGATTGCTTTTATCCAGATATTATCGTGGTGCTGTGGGTGCATTGGTTGTCTATGGTAAGTTGTGATAAAGCGCTGCAATCAAACGTTCTCTTAGTTCAACGATGAAAGGTAACACAAACGATTTCATTCTCAATAGACATCACCCGCCAACAATCGTTCCAGAACGTGATGCATTGGCTTAAGGAATTGCGTGACCATGCAAGCACCGAGATTGTTATCATGTTGATTGGAAACAAGGTCGATTTGGCAGAGACTAGCCGTGCAGTGAGCATTGATGAAGGTGGTGCGTTGGCGGAACAAGAGGGCTTTTTGTTTATGGAGACTTCGGCTTTGGACGCAACCAACGTTGACAAGGCATTTGAAACTGTTTTTGACACCATTTACGCCAACTTGCCCAAGAAGAACAAAGAAGGTGATAATGCTGAAGGCACCAGTGGACCCACAACTGGAGAGCGCATTCAACTTCGACCACCCAGTGTGCGTAGATTGTCACGTAGCAGCGCAACGGACGAGAAGCCCAAAGCTCAATCGGGTGGCTGTTGCTCGTAATCCACATGATATTATTCCTTCATCCACACATTTATTCTTGATCCCATCTTTATTGTTCCCTTTTTTTATTCTTTTATTTTCCTTTTACCCTCTTTTGAATCGTTAGAAACGATACGTGTAACAAACATTTCTACAAGTCTATCACCCATTACAGTATATAAAATGATTGCCCCATGTAGGTCGGGTTGTTGTGTGGAGAAAGGTAATTCGTTGATTGAGTGTTGAGGCTTCTTACATACTCCTGAGAGGATTGGCTGTTGGTAAAGAGGGGAGCAAAGAAGGGAGATAGAAATGAAGTCTTTTAGCGAGCAGCTTATATATCAAATGGCAAATGACAGGGAGATCGAGCTGTACGAAAATGAACCAACACGTACTTTTACAAGGAGATTGATAAGGAAAAAGGGAGAATAAGAAGCAAGAACAGGAGGTTTCGGAGGAAGAGGAGTGAAAGAACCAAATACAAAGCATGTGTCGACTGACGTGTGTTTGTATCTAGGCGAGAGTGCATGTATGTGTGTTCTTTGTGGCAGTTGAATCAAGCTGACTGGTGGTGGATGGATCGCATTCCCTGGGTCAGGAGTAGGAGAAGGCAACTCGTTGTGATTCCAAGGCTGACTGCATTGTAATAATAATAGGTGCACCACAGCTGCTGCTGGGTGATCGAGAACTACAACAACGTCAAAATGTTCAAGAATTACTGTAAACAGCGTTCCTCTTTTCCCTACAAAGACCACTGCCTTCATCCCTTTTGACCCCTATTCCTATTAGCTTTTTGAAATCACATCGAGGTGAAAAATCACGGGTTTTACTACCTTGTCTTTCCAATGCTTGCTCCTTGTAGCATTCGAAGATAGATGATGAGAGCTCTCAACCCCCTATGCAGTACAACACCTGCTCAAAATCATCCCTCCTTGAACACCTTTTTTATCTCTTTTCCTCTCTTTTCCTTTGTTTGGCCCTTCGTATTTATCGTTCTATGCACGTCGTCGACTGTAATAATACCATCTGATATACCTTCCATCGCCTACGCATTATACCCACAGCAAGGTACATACGCGAAGAACAAAAAATAGAGGCCAACATCTGACCATTTCACCTCATCTATCAGTGCAGAAGAGTCATCTATAGAAAAAGTGCAATAGTCCTCTCTTTCGTCAAGCAAACAGCTGCACATTGCATCCACACATACATTACCTTCTTTTTCTTTCTCTCTCTCTCTTATCATTCTTATCCAGCCTAATCTCCAATCATGACTTCATTTACGATTTTTACGGAAACAGAACAACAATTGAATCGAGACATCGATTACCATGGTCCAAGACGGCAAGCATCCTTGATCCGCCCTGAGCGTGAGCGCATTGATCCCAATCACCGGCATTATCATACTCGCATGCATGCAGCAGCCATGGAAGAACAACAACAACAACCACATACGCTTCGTCAACCTCACCATGTGATTGATACACCTTCAACAGCATTCGATCGTTTTTCGCCAACTCGACGTTCAGTCATTCGACGAGATCTCCTTACAAATGCATCGAATGAAAAATTGCAATATGAAGAACCAGCCCCTTCGGAGAAGCCAAGTCGTATGCCAGATTTTTGGAAGATGTACTGCTATGCAATCACATGTTGCTTCCCGCCATTTGTGTTACGCTGCTTGGGTAAGTGCTGTTCTTACTATCTCGTGCTTTCGCAACACCCCTCTCCTTTTTATGCAAATAAGCAACGTCATGAAAGTGGGCCATTGTTGATGATTTGTATATTATAGGCAAGAAAGACAAGGCTGCACAATATGCATTTAGAGAGAAGATGGGTCTTGTGGGATTCGTATTATGCATCATGGCATTTGTGGGTTTCCTTACCTTTGGTTTCACGCAAGCAGTTTGTCCACGACCTCCGCTTAGTTTTCGCCTTGACCAAATCAACAATGGATACGTTATCATCAATGGTTGGGCGTACATGCTAGCATCATGGAACGGGCATCCACCTATCAATGGTCAAACTGATGAAGTCACCAACCCCGTTTATCCACCTATTGATGCAGGTGGTAAAGATGCATCGTTTTTATTTCAAGAGAGCACCATTTGCAAAGATGTGATTACACCAAAGACGGCCCTTGCAAGTGATGCTCAAGATATACTTTTCCCATGTCAATTGTTTGATCCCAAGAATGGCAACAGCGTGCCTGATAGTGCCATGTATACCAATCAAACGGGGTGCCATAAGAGCCAACAAGCTCGCTCCATGTTTGCATCCATGCAGGTGAATGGCGTTCCCAAGTCTGAAGGTGGCTATGACAAGGCTGGTCGTGTGTATTATGAATGGCAGGATATTGCAGCATCAAGTCATTTAGCTGTGTACAACAGGTAACGTATATACATACACAATGAGAAAGTTTTGTTTCACAAACATCCGTGCGCTGATTGATTCATATACATCAGCCAGGTGATCAACTTGAATTTATTGCATGCATTGCCATTGGATAAATTCAACATCCCATCATCAGGGTTGATGGCAGCTATATTGCAAAATGCAGCACAATTTGCTGGTCAAGATTTGACACGCGTCGTTGCATCTCATCGAAACTCGGGCGGGCAATGGCGTCAAGAAGCAAGTTGTCTAGCGGATATTGTCAAAGTTGGGGAGATTGATACACGTAGTGTTGGGTGCATTGCATCGGATGTGGTATTGTACATGTCCTTGGTCGTCATTCTTGGTGTCATTCTCGTCAAATTTGTATTGGCTGTAGCCTTTGGATGGTGCTTATCGTGGAAGCTTGGCAATTTTAAAGAAGGTCAATCATACAAAGAACGTATGCGTCGTGATGAAGAGATTGAAAATTGGACATCTGAAATCCATCGACCAGCTGAAGCTATTCGACCCTACTACAACAATACAACAACACGCACACGACGTAAATCAATCATGCCACGCACATCACGCTTCACTCAACCTGATCCTGGGTCGACGCACTTTGGTGTCAATCCCATTGATAGACCTGTCAGTACTATTTGGAGAAACTCTCATAGGTGAGTGAGCGAATGAAAGGGGGAGGAAGCTTTATTGAGAGACGACATTTAATTTACTCCTTATTTGCATGTGCATCTAGCTCTCGTGTTCTTTCTCCACTCGTTGCTGGTAGTGATCCTTCTTTAAGACGACCCAGTGACACCACTTCTCGACGCTCTTCTTATTCTTCTTCCTCCGGCAACACCAATTCCACAGTCGCTGTATGCCCATTCCCCATCTCGCGCCATGCTGTTCGCCAACCCAAGGCCGATTACATGCCATTTGGTTTCCAATTAGCACACACCATTTGTTTGGTCACTTGTTACTCTGAAGGCGTCGATGGTCTTCGCACGACACTCGATTCTATTGCCACCACCGATTATCCCAACTCGCACAAGTTGATATTGGTTATTGCTGATGGAATGATTACGGGTCATGGCAATGACCTATCAACGCCTGATATCTGCGTATCCATGATGGAGAACTTTTTGATACCACCCGACAGCGTCGAGCCCCATTCATATGTTGCCATTGCCGATGGTGCCAAACGACACAATATGGCCAAGGTGTATGCTGGATTCTACAAGTATGACGATAGCACGGTGGATCCATCACAGCAGAAGCGAGTACCCATGATCACTATTGCAAAGTGTGGCACACCTGAAGAGGAGCAAGATCGAAAGCCTGGCAATCGTGGCAAGCGAGATTCACAAGTTATCCTCATGTCGTTTCTTCAAAAGGTCATGTTTGATGAGCGAATGACGACCCTCGAATACGAGTTCTTCAACAACATTTGGCGTGTCACAGGCGTATCACCCGACAAGTATGAGATCGTGCTTATGGTGGATGCTGATACCAAAGTGTACCCTGATGCGCTCAGTCGACTGATATCATGCGCTGTCAAGGATCCTGAGATTGCTGGTCTTTGTGGAGAAACCAAAATTGGAAACAAGTGTCAATCATTCATATCAATGATACAAGGTAAGCAAGTTGATGATGATGCTATAAATATCGATGATATATACTAACTTTGTTATCAGTGTTTGAATATTATATATCCCATCACCAGAGCAAGGCATTCGAATCCATCTTTGGCAATGTGACATGTCTACCAGGATGTTTTTGTATGTATCGGATCAAGGCTCCCAAAGGCAGCAACGGACATTGGGTACCTATTCTTGCCAATCCCGACATCATTGAGCACTATTCCGAGAACGTGGTTGACACGTTGCACAAAAAGAACCTTTTATTACTTGGCGAGGATCGTTACCTGTCAACGCTGATGCTCAAAACATTCCCTCGGCGCAAGATGTTGTTTGTCCCCCAAGCCGTATGCAAAACAGTGGTACCAGATGAATTCAAGGTGTTGCTTTCACAACGTCGTCGTTGGATCAACTCAACTATCCACAACTTGATGGAGTTGCTACTTGTCTCCGATTTGTGTGGCACTTTTTGCTTCTCAATGCAGTTTGTGGTTTTCATGGAACTTGTCGGCACACTTGCTCTTCCAGCAGCCATCTCGTTTACGTTGTATTTGATCATTCTCGCTATTCTCGGCCATCCAGCTGTCGTATCTCTGATCTTACTCGCCTTGATTCTCGGCTTGCCGGCAGTGCTTATTGTCATGACGAGTCGCAAGATCGTCTATGTGGGATGGATGATTATTTATCTCTTCTCATTGCCCATCTGGAACTTTGTATTACCCACATACGCTTATTGGCATTTCGATGACTTTTCTTGGGGCGAGACACGCAAGGTTGAAGGCAGCGGCAAAGATACTAATCATGGTGACAAGGAAGGCGAATTTGACAGCTCAAAGATTGTCATGAGGAAATGGAGCGAATATGAGCGTGCACGTAAATATCGAGCTGCCCAACAGCAACAACAGGGCCATCACTTTCCATCACGTCGAGGAACCAAGCTACGACCACACGATGAGGAATGGACGATGGAGCCTTTGGTTTTACCTGATACTCACCTACCCATGCCAACCATGGCTGATGATCAAGATGATGATTGGCATACAAGCGTTTTACATTCTATTGAGGCATCGGCACAAAATTCATCATCTCCACCACCATCTCCACCACCATTACCTTCTCCTCTATCCGGCCTTGTGGAAGACCACCAGCATGATGATGATAGAAACGAGACTGAAGCCTCTAGCACTGTCAATCACGAATACGATGATGATGATGATGATGATGATGATGACGCCAATGACAATGACACCACTCACGACAACAATAACAGCATTCACGATAACAACAACAATGACCATCACAATCAAGATGATCAACATTCCCATCATCAACGACAGCACAATTAGGCTCCAATGTATACCTTTTAGTTGTCGTTCCTGCATATCACGCATAATAGCATCATTCTCCTTTGCGGCACCCAACACCCACACACATCTCTTGCTATAGTATTCCGCTTTCCTTGTTTGCGTATCTACATACAATACATTACCTTCCTCATAAAAAAACACGCCTCATTCTATTTTAGCTCATTCTTGTGCGAATGATGGATGCACAATCTTACAGCAATGTTGACTACCTGTACAACCCATTGTGATGGGTTTAGCAAAATGTCGTGACACAGAATGACCACATGAACCAAACGGTTGGCGTTATCCAACAATTAATAGCCGGAGGCATTCTTCCACTCACGGAACTAAACGTAATACTGCTTCCGATTTTTACATGTATCTGCTACGTACCTGTCAAAGCGACATGCATGTTTGGCCATACATCATAGTAGCTGTAGCTGTTGTTGTATACAAAAAAAGTGTCATTTATCCATACACATCCACACACCCACACTTTTTCTTTTCTCTTGCACATGAAAAAGATATGTATGCTCATTGAACATGTACTTAATCAGCAGCCCAACCTTATCTCAAACATAGGTGGCTACGTCCACATGGACTTCCCGAGATGGTCATGTTTCCATCACTCTTTTTTATTGTGTCCAGTAGACCTTGAACACATGAGGAATTACTTGCGTATTACGTTTGCTTATTGCGAATCTGGACTTTTGAAAGTTGTCTGTTTCCCCTTCTCTTTTATCCCCTTGTTCCTTGAGCGTGATTGATGCAGGTGTACTGCATAAAGCTAGCAATTTTCCAACTACCGTTTACTGTTTTTCTTTTGAACCAAAATGGCCATATGATGTCCACTGTTGTCTGCAGCTTTGTTTTGTCATACCTTTCACTCTCCTCTCACAAATACTCATAAATCATGATAACAAGAAGATTAATCAGAAACACAAAAACATAGTGCTGAATTAACAACGTGTGCATTGAAATAGCAATTGCTGTTGTTACGTCTAGATGCGTTGTTATGGGTGTAGCATGTAATGCGGAAACGGCCAACTTTCTTGAAACAGCTGACATGGGTCAAATGGTTTCCCTTTGCCCATTAGTCTTTTTACTTTTCCCCTCCCCCCAGCAACACTCGCCCCTTCTTTCAGCCCATTCCCCCTTTCAAAAAGGGCGTTGTAGCATACAAGGCAATCTGTATGTTTGTATTCGTATAGGTTGCCTTGGATACGCTTGTGTGCTTTGCTGCTGTCATTATTACAACATGGTCAAAGCGTGGTCCAGTGAGGGGGTTGATTACCCATGGATGTATGTTTTTTTCTTTAAAAGGTGGGATGCGTATTTCGGGGGCGAGTGTGTACAAGTGTGCGGAAATGAGTTTACACGTGAGCCTCTTTTACGCCACTTCAAAATCCTTCTTGCTAAACTTGTTGATCATCACTTTGGGTGTGTGTGTGTGTGGACATGATAGAAATAAACCTAAAGTGGTTATGTATTCTGCAACGGAGACATGGAAATAAATGTATACATCGTGTGTGGTGCGTGACATTTACATATATAAACGTTTCCTGCGTCTCCTAGGTTGTTGTTTTTCCTTTCTTCTCTTCCCGCTCTTGCCTATTGCTCGTTGTTCCCACACACGATTATCGCTTACTTTCTTCAGCAACGCATACTTTTTCCCTTCTTATTCCTTTTTTAACCTTTCTTTCATTTGTGTTGCCATCACCAGCACTACTTCATCTACGGCAAGCCCTTACACGGCGGGCAGTACGATGATACGACATTTACAACAACAACAACAACAACATCCATCACCTACTCAACAGCAGAGCGTGACGGCGAGAAAGGTTCAATCACGTCGTTGCTCATCATCAACACGCCAAAAGCAATACCATCATCAACAACAGCAACAACAACGTATTCTTCACTATGGTGTAAATAATAATACACCAATGCACCATCATCCACAACGATCATTGTATGGTGCCAAACGCATGTCACTTGGAAGTTTACGTGGATCCAAGAGTACAACAACAGCCGATCACAATCAACAACAACGACGAGTACCCATCAGCCTTAAACGTCGATCAACAGGATGCTTACGAAGACCATCAGTGTTATCCAACCATTCAACCGCCACATCAGCCCAGTCACGTGCAAAGGTGAGTTGATCATGAAAGCCAAGCATAGGGTACACGTGCCAAGAAATCTTGGTTTTGCTGCATAAAGATGAACTAAGAGTTGCAAGTCATGTAGGAGAAGTGGCGTGCACCTGGGCGTTATGAAATTCCCAACATTTTCGGGCACGACTGTTTCCTAAAATACGAAGCGTTACCAAACAATACGCACCAGCTGTTCTTCTTTAGGCCGTATGATCCACAAAAAAATGTTTCAAAGAAGCCTTGGATTCCTGTGGGTCGCACACCAGAGATTCCACAACCACCACCCATCATTCGACCCGTTGCATCTTCAGCGAGTAGTGATTTTGAACGCAAGTTACGCAAGGCTCTTGCTAACAAAGTAGCCGTGTCATCGCTTGACCCCAACAACAAATATGATGGCTTTAAGGAAATCGGAACAGGTGTCAATGGTGCCGTTGTTGCAGCTGTACACAAGTACAAAAAGAACGTCGTTGTTGCTATCAAACGATGCCGATTACATCCTGATCATGAATATCGTGCAGCTATCATTCGAGAGCTCCGGATTATGAGCATGGGCCATCCAAACTTGATTCGTTTACGTGATGCAACTTTGTGGCGTGACGATGTATGGATTTCTATGGACCTTATGCGTTGCTCCGTTTTTGCCGTTCTTTGTAAACGAGGGCTCCCAGAAGAATGTGCCGTCTACATTGCACTCGAAGTACTAAAAGCGCTTGATCACCTTCACACCAAAGGGTACATTCATCGAGACATCAAGTGTGAGAACCTATTGCTGGGTTGGAATGGTCAAGTCAAGCTTGGTAAGTGCTTGTGTTTACTTACACGCACCAACCACGCATCTCTAATCATCATTATCTCTCTCACAGCTGATTTTGGTCTTGCCACACGTACCAATCGCAACAACTTTGAACGTCTTGGTACAAGCAAGTGGATGGCACCTGAAGTGATCCGAGAACAGCCTTACAATGAAAAGATTGACATGTGGTCGCTTGGCATCACCTTGATTGAAATGATGGATCGTGTACCTCCACACTATGCACATCGTGATGATATTTCACTATTTACTGCCATCCTTACCGAGCCCAGCCCTACTTTTGTTTATAGCTATCCAAGTATGTATATGCGCGGCCTAGTCGCGTGGTTACTCGACCTTCATCCCGCTACTCGACCTCCTGCACGAGACGTTGTCAGAGAAATTGATTTGCATATTCAAAGCAATTTGCTTCGAGCATGCTCACCCAATGATTTGGCTCGTTTCGTCCATTTTGTATTATCCACCGTCAAATGAAATCCGCAACCCACCAAACACCCATCCCGACCATCAACAACAAACATATACAATAAAAGAAAACACACACACACACACGTAAAAACATCATCACTATACATCAGCATTACACAAGCCAAGAAACAAGCAACACATGATCATCTCTCTTTCATCCATTAACCCCCTTCTTCGGTTCTCATGACGCAACACATATACAGAGATTGTTACGTTGCACAAAAGGAGGGAGAGAGGGCTGATAATGGATTGACAAGCGTTAAAAACTCCCATGTTGCATGCAGCGTGAATCTATACACACACACGCAGTGTAATCGCTATCCACACAATGCTTACTCCTCCTCCATAATTCTACTTGTTCAGCTATTTATACTTTACAAAGCACGCCATTTGTCGTGTCTTTGAGCTCATTGTAGTTGCTTTATATGATGGATGTATATGTTTATATTGTGTCAATGTACAAAGGTTGTAGATAATCGTAAATGATGGATGGTGGTGTGTATGTCGTGGGAACAAGAAAAGGAGAGTGACTGCAGTGTACAAGTCAGGTTCACAATAATCGCATTCTAGAGGATGTAATAGCAAAAGATGGATCGTAGTAGTAGCGTCGGGATATCTTACAATTCGGAAACGTAGTTGCCTAACAACACCATTTCATGCATGAGTCATCTGTCAATACCTCCTTATTTCCAAATCTCCTTCCCTCCCCCTCCCCCCAACAATATTCCAGCATGCAAATTACCAGGAAAGATGCCAGTGACACCACGTAATCTTCCTGTCCACCAGTCGTTTTGATCAGCCGTTCTTTCAATAAGCTCAATTTTGTCATCTCTTTTGAAGCTCAAATCCCCTTCAGCTTGTGCATCGTAATCGTACAAGGCAACCACATATTGAGTTGATGGCTTATTGGCAATTGGAGGTGGTGGAGGTGGTGCTGGACCTGTACGTGAACCCGATCGCTGATGTTGTTGTTGTTGTGGTTGCTTTCCATATGACATGGGTGTTGAATCCAAAGGTGTGGTACCAGCAGATGCACCATAAGCGGGTGGTCCTTCTTCATATCCAGTAGCAGGTGATGATCCATAAGATGATGGTCCTGCTGGTGAACCTTTTTGCTCCTCTTGGGCACGTAATGCTGCACGTTCTTTGAGAGAAAGTTTGGAATTGTTGGCACCTCCTGATACACTCAGCCATGCTTTGCCGCCTGATTTCAACAGATCGAGGTTTTCCAGCTCGGCACGTGCGTCATGTTGGGACTTTCGCCATTCATAGCCAGCTTCAATTGGCATCGCATGTGTCATAAAGTGACTCTGATTCGCATTGATAAGCTCGTAGCATCGTGCATAGATCATGCCATACACCTTGCATTGCATAAAGTACAAGTGGTCAAATACTGGCTGAATGAATTGAGCCTTCATGGCAAAGAACTTTGGCAGCTCAGCCTTCAACATGTCGTTCAAGTACTCGTAATCTTGTGTCGCTGTCTCCAATTGATTCTCCACCTAATAAAATCATTCAATGGATTAACGTAATGTCCAACGATGATTCCTTTTCTAATAATGCTCACCTTGAAGATTTGCTTCTCCTCGCTAAAGCTACGTTCTTCTTTAGCTTTGAGTTTGTTGAGAGCTGTCCTGTGTCGATCATAATCGATCATCTTATGATTGCGTTTCACCATGGTCTTGTGAATGGTTTTCATAATCTCCTTGAGCTCAAGCATGGGGCGTACCACATCACGATCGATAGCATCCTGTGAAACGTATCAATGTTGTCATGTTCGTTGGCTCCTGAGCACTCACAACTTACCAATTCGGGTAATACTTCGTCTCGGCAATAAGCCATGGCAGCTTCAGCGTCGTTGGCTGCTTGAGTAGCTGATGCCGGAGTTTGTTGAAACCGACGTTGAACACCTTCAGAGCTTTGGACGCCAAGCTGAGGATCATAAATGACTGTAAGAAAAGATGTCATGGCCGCTTGATGGGTCAGCAGAGCTATTATTGAATGACATGATGTATTATTATTCACATGATCAGTAACAATGGTTATCCTGGGGGAAAGAGAGAGAAACAAACAATGCACCCAAATTCCCCAGGGTTTCTTTTCCCTTTCTCTTACCTGCTACGGCATCCCGAAACGCCTCTGCATCCTTTTCCAATCTTTCCACCACCTTTTGAAACTCATTGAAGCGTCGTTCCAATACGGCGTATTCCTGATCATTGGTTGCTGGACAATATCATGTGAGCAACAAGAAAGCAAGTGCTATATGATGTTGCTTACTTTCTGATTTCTTGGATAGGATTTGGTGTGGTAGACGACTGACGGCTTTTTGGATACCCTTTTGATAACAATAATATAAGCAATTGTGATGTATATATATGCATGTGTGTTGTGTGTGATACATACCTTCCAGCTCATGGTTGGTAAAAGGGGTAAAGAATAGGTAGGTCGGTGTAAAAGAGAATAGAAAGAAAAAGAAAGAAGCCAAGAGGTTTTTCCTGTGCATGGAGTTGTTGGTCATCTCCCTTAATCCCCATTGTTGTGCTGTGGCGTGTGCGTGCGTGCTTCAATTTTGATACTCAGCTGCCTATGTTGGCATTCACACACTCTTGGCATAATGAAACCCTGCTCCTCCTCCGCTGCCCAAATCACCCATGCTCTCGTGAATGCGTTCAAGTTGCAATTATATTGAAAAAATGATACACTTCTTCCTCATCCATCATGGCAACATGCGTGTCACATGAACTACAATGCACTGGATAGAATGCCTCATCGCTGCCCTTGTCCTTGTACCGCTCGGATTTGATGATTCGGCAATTGGTGACAAACATGGCTCGATATTGATTCGTATATCGCTCGTGCCTAATCATTGTCATTCAATCTTCATGCCTCATATTGAATATCCCTTTTTTACCTTTGGCAATTGTACGAGAGTGGAGAAAAACACATTGGACATGTCAAAACGGCATCCGTTTGAGCTTCTTTACCACCAGCCTCTAATACAAAGATTGGGATTATTAAGCTATCTCATTGCCATGTAGGAAGTAAACTTACTTTTGATTTGATTCAGGATCCAAGCCTCGTCCTGGTCGTCCATACTTGGATCGTAAAGCAACTCGTCGTTTGTTGGGATCTTGTGGTCTGCTGTGGGGGGGGGGTTGATCAAGAGGTGGCAATGGTTGTAGTATCGATTGAGTTGTTTAGTGCCGTGTATACATGTGGACGTAGGTGAATTCGCTTACTGGCATTGTCTTCATCGTCTGTATCGTAGTATATGCTATCATAGTGTGCTGACTTGTTGTTGCTGCTACTCATTCAAAATAGGAATATCCTAAAGAAGGATGAAACGCCGCCTAACGCCAATTGCTGTTTCTTTTCACTTTCATGTCTACTTCCACGAACAAGGACCGCAACTTTCTTGCCGTTATCGGTGACGAGGTTTACTATCATCCATGCGACGACTCTCGCTGTATCATCGTTAACTCGACTGCATAGGACTCTGTCACTGGTCTCTTGCTTGCCGGTATTGGCCACGTCAACCAACAGCAAAAGCGTAACTTCCTCGTTGTCGATGCCAGTAAGTTCACCATGACTCAAACTCGCCAACGGTAACTGCCCATTGCTCATCCGTCCACGCATTCCAGAAACCCCTCTTGCCACCATTGAGGAAACCTTTTCCGAGTTTACCCGTCGAAAGGACATTGCCATCATTCTAATCAACCAACACGTAAGTTCCTGGCAACGGTAGCAGCGTTGTGGTGGTGTGGTGTGGGGTGGGGTGAGACGAAGCATGTGTGTCGTGTATATATGGGATGGCATTGAGGAGTGCGTTTCATGTTTACAAGTAATACTGACAAGGGATTCTATGATGTAAATGCAGATTGCAGAAGACATTCGCGAGTTGATTGATAGCCATCAAGCAGCCTTCCCAACCGTTCTCGAGATACCCTCCAAAGACCACCCTTACGGTACGTACAATCGATATTTCTCCTTCTCCCCCCTGAAATGTCCCAGCTCTTGTTGAACTCTATTCTGATATTGGGTTGTTTGATTCATCCATAGATCCCGAAAAGGACAGCGTGCTCAAGCGTGTCAGACGATTGTTTGGTGAATAAGCATATATTGATTCTCTCTTTTGTAAGAGTAAAAACATACAGAAAGTGTAGTATGTACATGTGATAACTTTTTTCGGTCTATGTATCATGATGATGGTGGTGGTGGTGATGGCAATGGTTGTAATGGGATGATGAGTAGGAAGGATATTGGGAAAAGTGATGGGGGAATTATGCAGTCCGCTTAATGTAACGAGAGACATTGTCAAAAAGACGTTCAATATCGGGAGCGCACCGAATGAATTCATGATCCCAAAATCCAGGACTCTTGATCAATCCAATAAACGTTGCCAATAAGCCCCAAGGATGTGGACGATTTACAATCAATCGCTCCAACAGCACTCTATTATTTACAACATCAGCATCGATCCATATCATTCATTTGACCCAATACGAACCTCGTCACTTGTTCCTTCATCTCCTCTGGTTGTGTAGCAAATAAATGGAGCACTGCTTGACTGAAAAAGTGTGTATGGCTATTGGGGTACCGTAGCTGATCTGCAATGGCATTCAAGAGAGCATAGCAGCCTTTTAAACAAGTTAACCACTGATCCACAATCCAAGAGTGATATCAACTTTTTACCTTCAGGCGGCAAAACTTTCAATAATCGCTTGTAGGCAATGATGGCTGGTAGCTTTTCGATTGATTCATCACTTGATGCAGTCTTGGACCCAATGTAAAGGACAAAGGCACCCATGGTATCAGGACGCTCTGTGATTAGCTGTTGTTGAGCCAATCCATGGAATGCTTCGTTCCGATCTTGCACAAACTTGTCGATGGCACTCTTGAAATCCGTATTCAGTTCTTTGATATAACTCTTGACCAAGAGAGGCTCTTGCTTGAATTCAGGTATCCGATCCATGTTCAAATCAGGGGTGAAAGGATCTGGCAAATGCATGATACGAGGAAAGGCGCTGAGCACAAGATTGCGTAGTTGTATGCATGAGTGGGGTATGACTTGAACAAACACCATGTAATGTTCACAAAGAAACTCGGGAAAATCATGCAGCAGAACGACAAGAAAACGCAATGTCCCACGATAAAATAAACGTGTCGACTTTTCCAAGATGTTGCGATCGAGTAATGGACCAAGGAACTTGAGGAGTGCCAGCATTAATTTCTCACAAATCATCCATCCGGTTTGTCGATCATTGCCAGCGAGCAGCTGTGGCATAAATGTCCGATGCGAGATCAATTGTAACCAAGAAAAGGCAAATCCAGGAAAGTTGTTGGGTTGAAGCATGTACAACGCGTCACTGGGTAAGGGTATACACTCATGTTAACATACAAGATCCAAAGTCCTGATCATGCACTTTATTTTTACCTATAGGCTTCCAATAGTCCTGCGTGTACCACCAGGTTCCTGATCTTGCTCAATTCAGCGTACAGCGATGACAATATCCTCATAAAGGCTTTTTGATTGAAATTCATTCCCCGCGTCTCATGATGCTGTGACAAGAGAAGAATCATCACCGAAAGTGCACGACTGCCAACTGCCACCTTGCCCGTATCTCCATCACGTGACTCGGTCCTGATCATGTATGCAACCAACTTGGCGTATGAATCAATCAAATGGATGGCACGCTTTTGAAATGACGAGCTCAACGACTTGAAAGATAAGAAATGATCAATGCATGTCTCGGTACATAATCGGAAAAAGAAGCTTTGGCCCTCCGTGTCTTTGGTCAATTGCAACGCCTAGTATGTGATCAAAAGATATAAGCTTTTGGTGTTCGTTTCCTTTCCCAATGTCGCGAAAACCTTTACCTTTTTTGCCAATTGCCTGAATATACGTTGATTGGGAACCGGATATTGACAAAGCCTTGCCCATTCAGCGAGCAACATTCTCATTTCCATGCAATCCATCGCATTCTTTTCAATAGACTTGTACGGTGACTCTACGATGCGTTTCAACTCGGTCATCAACATGGATACGCTATACATTGAACATTAGTATACACATGAATGATGGTGAATTAAGCATGTACCTTGAAGGTGGATCTTGTATTTCATGTAGCGCTGCCAATGTAAGAGCATGATCCTCCATAAAAGTGATTGGACTGGGAGACAAGAGGCACATGCCAAGTAAATCAACGGCGTATTGGATCACTTTTTCTTCGCCTGACTTGCGAATCGCTTTGGCAAGTTGAATGTCGTATTCTTCAAGAGGGATCATTTCGTGCCTGATCATCATTGCCATCACCGGTGCATTGAATTTACGCTATAACACGTGACACTATCCGTCAATCCACTCCATCCCCATTCGAGTCCTTTGAGTCTATTCGCGTACCTCGTCATTGGCATACACGATCCATGACAACGTTTCTTTTTCCACCTCGCTCGAGAGCTCAAATAGGGATTGTAGGAAACCAGTATACGCTTCAAATGCAAAGTTGGTGTTGCTCTTGTACAGCATGTAGACGACTTTTTCCACAAAGGTGAGCATGGTCTGCATAGGGGTCATGCTTTGCGATATGATAAGCGGGATTTGGCGCATGCGTAGACATATGTCGTGGTTGGGTGGAAGAAGTGCACAAGTGGTAATCCCCGATGTACGTATTAACCGGTCAAGCTCGAGAAGGATTTGCTATGGTGTGGCATTAGCTTTCCCTACGGTAACGCACAATGAGGTGCTTGCTTGCCTCGAGATTCATGTCGGTATTAATGCTAAGGGCTGATCCTCCCAAGTATGCTGCTGCTGCTGCGCCGTTGACTCCTTTTTTTGTTACTCTTTTTTAGTTTCCATGGCGTAGTCGTTGCATTGGACAAAGCTCACCATTATCTCGAAGCGGTTGTTGTCTGGAGAGTGGCGATTGGCTGCCAAAAGAAGTGTTCTGATCAAACATGTATTGTCGCATACTGGGTAGTGGAAGGAACGCCGGGTGTAAACAATGAAGAAACGAGTGTTCGTTGGTAAGGCTGAAAATCAATTCAATACAAAAACTTCGTTAGCACCGCTGCGAGTGTCACGGACCTAACATGTTACAGAAGTAGTGCCTGGTTACCATCTATGCATGCATGACAACATCTCATTCAATTCTAAATAGCATTCAAAAGTAGGCTATGTATAGTAGTCTCGAATAAACCAAATGTTGTCATGAACAATGACTGCATGGATACAGTATGTACTATTGCATAAGATCACATGATGATGGTTGCTATCTCGTATACCCATAAGCAATATCTAAAGAACTTGTAAATGGGACTTCAATGGTACATGATCCAAGTCTATGTAATGCTATGATGATGTTGAAGTGACAATAGACATTAGAGTCAAATCCATGGTTTATTGGCAGGATACATAATATCACGCTATAGTCATCTACATCAAATCAACTAGTATTCATGCAACGAATCGATCCATATCATTATCATTGGAAGCAACGGGATCATGATGATGATGAAGAATGAGAGAAACAAAGGGCCAACAGCAAATGTGATACATTGTTGGGAATAATGAATGGATCGAATGTCGCAGCAGCAGCAACAGCAGCATGACTAAATCCGGTCATGATCGATTTCCTTCCGCTTGGTGCTCTTTGTTCCACCTTTCTATCATGTTTGGCGCTACCAAGGACTTCATTGGCAAACCTGCACCTCCCAACTACGTTGCTGGTCTTGGTCGTGGTGCTACAGGCTTTACAACACGTTCAGATATTGGTCCGGCAAGAGAATCAGGCGACTTTGGAGGGTAAATGGAATACAACACACATGTTGGGCATAAAGCAACGATGCTTATTGATCTGTTTGTAGGGATGCTAAACAAGGTGCTGCTGGCAAAGAAGGAGGCGACGATGACGACGAACGTTTCCAAGATCCAGATAATGAGGTTGGCCTTTTCTCGGGTGCACCGTATGAAGAGGACGATGAAGAGGCTGATCGTGTATGGGCTATGATTGACACCAAAATGGATGAACGACGTAAAGCACGACGAGAAGCAAGAGAACGAGAGGAATTGGCACGCTATCGACAAGAACGACCCAAGATTTCACAACAGTTTGCCGACTTGAAACGACAACTTTCTTCTATTGACGAGGACGAGTGGGCGGCTATCCCTGAAGTGGGTGATTTGGTTGGCAAGAACAGAAAGCGCAACAAGATGCCTGAACGCTATACGCCAATGACAGATACAATTCTTGCAGCAGCACGAGATAAGACGGGCTATGATACAACACTTAGTGAACAAGAACAAAAGCTTGGTGGTGTCACTACGCCAGCTGATGGAATGATGACCAACTTTCGAGAAATCGGTCAAGCGAGAGATAAGGTGTTGGGCTTGAAGTTGGATCAAGTATCAGATTCAGTATCGGGTCAAACGACAATCGATCCAAAGGGTTATTTGACTGATCTCAACAGCGTCGTCGTCAAAAGTGATGCAGAGATTGGTGATATCAAAAAGGCTCGATTGTTGCTTAATTCAGTTATCACGACGAATCCAAAACACGCTCCTGGATGGATTGCAGCAGCAAGATTGGAAGAAGTTGCTGGTCGACCCGTACAAGCACGCAACATCATTGCAAAAGGTTGTGAACAATGTCCCAAGAGTGAAGATGCTTGGTTGGAATCAGCTCGTTTGAATGTAAGTGAAGAGACATTTTAGGAAGCTTCATTAAACTGACAACATTTTTCTCTTTTCCTTTTAGACTGTGGAAAATGCAAAGATCATCTTGGCAAATGCTGTGAGACAATTACCTCAATCCGTCAAGATTTGGTTGAAGGCGGTTGACCTGGAAACGGATCCCAAGGCACAAAAGCGTGTGTTGAGACGTGCTCTCGAATTCATTCCTAATTCGGTGAAGCTATGGCGAGCAGCTGTCAATATGGAGGAGAATCCCGATGATGCAAAGGTGTTGCTTTCGCGTGCAGTGGAATTGGTCCCTCTCAGTGTCGAATTATGGCTTGCTTTGGCTAGATTGGAATCCTATGAGAATGCACAAAAGGTCCTCAACAAGGCACGTGCAGCCATTCCTACGAGTCATGAAATTTGGATTGCAGCAGCTCGATTGGAAGAACAACATGGGAAACCACACATGGTGGATCGTATTATTCAATTGGCAGCACGTGCACTCTCACAAACCGGCACTGTATTGGATCGTGATCAATGGCTCAAGGAAGCAGAAAAATGTGAAAAGAATGGATCGGTGCTCACATGTCAAGCCATTGTGCGAGCAACCATTGGACTTGGTGTCGAAGAGGAAGATCAAAAGGCAACATGGATGGAAGATGCCGAGAGTTGTGTTGCACATGGCTCCATTGAAACTGCTCGTGCTATTTATGCACATGCTCTCAAGGTGTTCCCTGGCAGAAAGTCGATTTGGATGGCTGCAGCTTATCTCGAGAAAGGACATGGTACACCACAAAGTTTGGAAGAGCTGTTACAACGTGCCGTGCGTTATTGTCCCCAAGCTGAAGTGCTATGGCTTATGGGTGCCAAAGAGAAATGGCTCGCTGATGATGTCCAAGGTGCTCGTGCTATTCTTGAAGAGGCTTTCAGAGCAAACCCCAACAGCGAAAAGATTTGGTTGGCAGCTGTCAAGGTGGAAAGTGAGAGCAACGAGTATGAGCGAGCACGTAAGCTTTTGGAGTTGGCAAGAAAGGAGTCTGGCACGGATCGTGTTTGGATGAAGTCGGCAATGCTCGAACGACAACTCAAGAACTATGATGGCTGTTTGGAGCTTTTGGAAGAAGGATTACAACGATACCCTACATTTGACAAGTTGTGGGCTATCAAAGGACAAGTTGAAGATGAAGCACTCAACAACTCCAGCAAGGCACGTGAGACGTACAATAAGGCTGTCAAGAATTGTCCCAAGAGCACATTGTTATGGATCTTGTTGGCCAAGCTTGAAGAAAAGATGGGCATGGTGACAAAGGCACGTTCAACACTTGAGAAAGCACGATACACCAATCCAAAGACTCCTGAATTATGGGTGGAAGGTATTCGCATTGAAGTACGAGCAAAGAATCAGAGCGTTGCCAAGTCTATGTCTGCCAAAGCATTACAAGAATGTCCTACATCAGGTGCTATTTGGCGTGAAGTGATTTTCTTGGAAGCACGACCACAGCGTAAGGCAAGAAGTGTGGATGCCTTGAAAAAGTGCGAGCATGATCCTATCGTTGTTACTACGGTGGCTCTTTTGTTTTGGACTGATCGCAAGATCGACAAGGCACGTAATTGGTTCCAAAAGGCTGTGCAGATTGACCCAGATCAAGGAGATTCTTTTGCATGGTGGTACAAGTTTGAGCTTCAACATGGCACTGAAGAACAACAGGAAGCTGTTGTCAAACGTTGTGTGGCATCAGAACCACGGCACGGTGAGCGATGGACTGCAGTTGCCAAGGACATGGCCAATATTGGAAAGCGTACAGCTGATATCTTAAAGTTGTGTGCAGCACAGCTGGAGCCGATAAAATAAGCTAAAGAGATCATCCATACCATTTGTTCTGCATTCATGTCCCATATTCACATATAAAAACCTGATTCAAAAACAGCGTACATAACTTGATCGATGATTGGAAATTGAGCTGGATATCTACTTTATCATGCTGATGGATACACTCATGATGTATCAATCTTGTTGAGCAAAAGGATAAATGTATTTCGTGTGATGCCACTGTTCTGGTCCACAATAGACAGGCACTTTTGACTGAAAGCTGTCCTACAACACCCCTTACATTAGGATGTGTACGATCGCATGTAAGTTAGTAGGGCTTACAATAGGGGCTAATCACTATGGAGACTGCCACAAGTAGCTGCGACGACATACTTGACACAATCTCACCCCCTATATTACCAATGGTTGAGAGATCTCGATTCGTACATAGGATGTCGTTGTATATAAGATATGGATACCAATTATCATTTGACAATGTAATAAGCCAAGCTAATACATATCTTATCTCTTGTATTATTGTTCATGTTTATGTATAAACTATCACGATGTGCATATGCCAAGCTTCCTCAGCAGATATCAATTAAGCTTTGATGTGGGCTTCTTCCCCTCCTTAGTATCACCTGTTGTTGTATGCTTGGCCATTTTCTCTTATGGCAGTAATCAGTTGCACTAGCTCAGATGCATATCTATATGGAAAGGGCAGCATGCAAGATACATAAGCTATTGACCAGAAAGCATATTTTGTTGAATGATAGGCTTTCCTTGTGCTTCCAAGTGTCCCTCTAACCAAGTACCCTTGTGCAACAATGTGCACATACGTGTCCCTCTTTACTCTTTTGGATCTGCATGAGCAAGGGGTTGTGCAACCTGGTGGTGGGTGGAGATGTGTGGTTCATCCATAGTGTTAGAAGGAGAGGGGCAAAAGTGATATGGTGAGGATGTTAAAAACTGTAGCCATCGCATTCGACACGAAACTCGCACGGTCAGGGATGCCTTACATTTTGGGTCTTATGATCGTAAAGCTTGATGCATATCAAAAAGCAAATGTATGTGTACAATGCAAGTGCAGAATGCACAATCGTACTGCGTATGATACCGGGGCATCTGTCTTGGGCCAACGAAACTACCTTAGACTTTTTTCCCTTACACATACACACGTACATAGTTCCTTTTATATAACTTGCTGACACCACCACCACCACCACTCAAACAACCCAACAATATCCCTTTACAATACCCCTTGCTCTTCTCTTCCCTCATGTCCATTCGACCAAGTGATGATCTTCAAGCTGACATTGCAGAGCTTGAATCGCTTATTGCCATGACAACGCGACCCACTATACTCCAAACGCTCGAAAAACTACGCAACAGCTTGCACGAACAACAGCAACAAAACATGTCATCCTCTATCCGCAACACAATTCAACGCAGCAAAGTGAGTTCCTTTATTGGTCAATGTATCATAGTGATTGACATGGATGAGCGTTGCTAGGCAAAGGCACATACGGTGTATATAACTACTGGCTACGGATGGTGTCAAACAAAGGATACGGTTATGTAAGAGGAATCTATCATTGGAAGCGGATGCATTATTCTCATGCACACATCCAATGGATGCAGTATCTATTTGACAGTAAAGAACGCTTCCAAACTATCACCTGGTCAATATACGATGGATGTGCAACGACGATCAATTCAACTTGATATTGTATGTACCGCTTCTTGCTTAATAATCATTTGTCATGCATACTCATTACTGTGCTGAGATGGTTAAAAGATGGACCATGAAGGTGCCAATTATAACTTTCGCATTTCCCAATTGAATGGCCAAGTCATCCCTGAGAAATCAAAGATCAAAGTAGGTGGCTCATCGATCCAGCAAGCATGGCAAAGATCTTACAACTTTATTATTAGCTGAAGGACTCCAAGTTGATTATCTACCTCTACAAAGAGAACCATGGGCGAGAATGGAATGACATACGCCTCAAGACCACAAGGGATGTATACGATGAGCTCCAAAGAGCTGAAGGAAAAGGTGCAGTATGTGTTTTAAAGGCATGATGAAAGGATCCTACAGTACGCTAAGCAACATAACCTTCCTCTTCAGACACCACCACCTACCCCAACGACGAGTATGGACCTGTATTGCATGGGTTAGATCAAGATAGGGATGCGCTTCATGCCACGTTTAACCCATTCGAGCTAAATACGGCCTCCAAAAGCTCTCATTGTCACCAACATCAACATCAATAAAACCATTTTCTCTTCGCATGTTTATAGGTTCATTGTCTTTTTGCCGAGAAATAGGTTGTTGATCGAAGCGTGTATCTTGTCTAGGCATCTTGCTCTTCTAAGTAAACGATAATGGTAATCATCTACCATACCAATCAAGGGATGAGTGCTTTATCATGATTCCCTCTTTATTGTCTCGTTGGTACAGCGATCCTCAACAATGACATGCAATGATATTTTTAGTGTCAAGGCCAATACTTGCGTGTGTGTATGTGCTCATGCATCTTCCATATCACGATTCTCCTTCGGCGGCCATCATTTGATTCCCCGCATAAGTCGCCTTAAGCGCGTCCATTTCACATCTCCTTTCATTCTCTGCCGTCTCAGTAAACCAAGCATGTCTTCAGTCGATCTCACTTTTTTCGGTGACATTCAGCAATCGCTCGAACAAGAATACAACCGCAAGGATGTAGGTGATCCCTTCGTACAACGATACTATTGTTCGTCACAACTCACTTCCAATGCGATCATAGGAAATACGCGTCAAAGTCAGGGAATTAGAACGCACGTGTCGAAAGCTTGTTGCTACTCTCGATCTTATTCATTCCAATCCCATTGGACCTGGTAAGGTACTCTCGATTCATGTGATATATACAGGCTATTGACAAGGAGGTCTTTGCAGTACCCGAGATCACATTTACCGAGGTGCAGCAACACGTCAAGGAGTTGGCAGCTCTCATCCCGGATAACGAGTTTTACAAGTAAAGTATCTTTATGTTGCTAGGCAACGACGTGGAAACTGATGCATGTTGCATACGTTGCATTATAGATACTGCGATCTGTGGTCAAGACAAATTCAACAAGCTATTTTCCTCGTCGTGTTCAAGCATTATCTCGAAAAGGAAGAATTAGTACAAATCCCTGCCATTGAGGAAGCTATCGGATGTAAGCTCCAAGCGATGAATGGTTCAAGATGTTGTATTGATTCATTTATTATCATAGACAAGGTGGATTTGGACAATAGCATGAATGAATTCCATATTCAGCTCGAGGATGTGTTACACGCTTATATCTCTCTCGTCAATGAATTGGTACGTCATCTGAAATGGGTATTACGTGCAAGTCTTAACATTTATACAATAGTCGAGATTAGCTATCAATGCTGTGACAGCAGGTGATTACAAGCGGCCATTGCGATTGTCCTCTTTCCTCGCACGATTGAGCGCAGGTTTCCAGTTATTGAATCTTAAGAATGACGCGTTGCGAAAGAGGTAAGGATCCAATCAAAGGCAGGATGAATCTTTTTTTTTGCTCACACATCCATCATAGATTCGACAGCATCAAGTACGACGTCAAGAAGATTGAGGAGGTTGTGTATGATATCAGCTTGCGCGGATTGCAAAAGGACGATGAAGACAATGAACAAAGCAAAAAGAAAGCAAAATTATCTCACAATGAGTAATCCTTTTTCGCGATAACCATAATAAAGCATATCCAGATGCGATGCATGGATCGACGATTATTTACAGAGCGTGTATCTATATGCTGGGGGGTATCATTATGCTAGCTATGAGCAAAGGAAATCATTGATGGGGGGAATCACAAAGGGATATTGGGAGTGAAGGGGGTAAAATAACGAATGTGCGAGGAACATGCTACCACCAGGCTCAATTGAGTTTCACCTTGAACTGCATATCCTTGGCAGCTTCAGATCGCAAGAATACAGACACCAGAATTGCAAGAGTGATAGGCAATGTCCAATCATCGGTGACTCCCAACTGCGAAGCAAAGCCAAGCGCTCCTGCCAAAACAGCAAATAGAGCAAATGGATGTTGTCCTCTTTCTCCAGATGAATTACTCTTATCTTTGATAGTGTCATTGATGCCACGTTCATGTAATTGCTCCGAGTAATGACATGGGATACTGATGTTTGCTGCTTGGTGGTGCTGGGAGGATGCTTGCTGCAACGACTCGTGATAATAATCATCCAATGGTTGATCATCGTGTAGTGGCTCATTATCAATCTTGAACGATTCGGATAGCCTTGAAGGAGTGCTGCTTTCCTTATCACATAACGTATCCTCGTCTTGATCATTGTAAAGATTATTGTAATCCAGGTCACCAGATAACATGTGCTCCAATTCATTGCTGTCCTTGATAGCTAACGAACGTCTTTTCCTCTCCATAAGAAGCTGCGATTGCCGTTTTGGATCCTGCAGGTGTTCCTCCTTGGATTGCGTCAATCGGCGATCATCCAACTCCTTTTGTGTAAAAGTATACAAATACGAATTGAGTCCACTGTTTGATATCCTAGGTTATCCAACTTACGTGTTGCAAGTATCTCAGCTGCTCTTCCAAGTCCAAGAAATCTTGTTCCAATTGAGATACAATGTTGTCCTTGAGTTGTAACTCCTTCTTGAGCGTCTCGATATCGTTGTCCTTGAATGCCATTTGACGTAGTATTTGTCCCTTGTCGTCATCAAGCTCCTCCACCACCTGCTCAAGGTGTACAATCTTATTTTCCAATTCGATGGCATAGGAGCCTTGGGATACGGAGGAGTGCACAATTGGCCTGCAAATGTGTTGGGAATCCACTTTGTCGTTTTCTGGAGGCAGGGTCATGACAGTGGTTGATTGACTAATTGGCTGAAGGGTGAAGCAGCAAGTCTCATTGCATGTGGGGTCTCCGCTAATCTATGCAAATTGACAAAGAGAGGTCCCTGGTAAGTACAAAGGAGTGGAAGAAGGCTCACCCAAAACACATCATCAAATGCATTCCCATTGTCGAGATTGAGATGGATATCCCTGAACCCTGACGCCTACTAAACATCCCCCAAATCTCCCCGTATCCAAGCAAATAAGCTTCCCATCATCATCATCATCATCTTACCTGGCGATGTAAAAGATTGATCATTTGTACAAGAAACTCGTATTCAGGGCCAACTGATTTCATCTGAGTGATTTGCTCTTGCTTCAACTTTTCAAGGCACATTGACTTTTCTTCCAGATCCTGCTGTAATAAACGTGCTGCTCGTTGTAGCTGTACATTGGCAAGCGTAAGTTGACGGACGTTTTCTTCCAATGGTTGAGTCTTTTGTTTGATCAAATTGTCGGTATCCACTTTAAGTAGTCGATTGGTGCGTTGCAACTTGACATTTTGAAGCGTGAGTCGTTCAATTTGTGCATCCAGTTGTCTCGTTTTGGTGTTTGAATTCCCTCGTTGAATCTCTCGCCGAGTCTCTTTTCCAGCAGCAGACTCCTGATAAGCTGTCGTCGTCTCCTTTTAAAGTATACCTTGTCGTTAGATGGACAATGCCCCACTACAGCCCACACACACACACACACATAATACATGCTGTTTTTGTACACACCTTTCGATCGCTTGTTGGTAGAGAGTAATTCATGAGATTGGAGTTGGCACTGAATGACAGCGCATTTGCCATTGATAAACCAGAGCACGATGAGGAGTTGCGTGGGGTTGCCTGTGGTGTTGGTGGCAATTGGGCAGTGGCAACAGAAGGATAAGGTGACATGAGGAGATGAGGAAAAGGGAAGAAGAAAAGTAGAAAGAGGCTGCTCGATACAATCCCCCCATTTGTCAAATGAGAGTTAGTTACACGAGTTACCATGGCGCGACGCTGCAGCCAACTTAATCGGTTACCATGCATAGACACGGAGTGCTTCGCGCACATGTCATCCATGCATCAGCCACCACCATCATCACCCATCCCTTCGATCAAGGACAAATAAATGTATCAAACATCATTGTAATGAGATCTTGGAGAATAGCATTATCGTGCATAATGTTGGCAGCTAATTAGCCTTTGCTACTTTCTGCATGATGGTGTGTCAATGTACATAGCTATAGAAGTTGAGTAAAATGATTGTTGTGGTGACCCCAAAGTTTGATGTGATACGCGCTATCCCTTTCAGGAATCCTTTATCTGGGGTGCAAAAGATCTACAGGCGCTGTGACACCAATAGCTCCTTCCAAATGCAGTAGACGACCAGTAATTAGTTGGATCAAAAGGACATGGATGATCACTTCAATAGATGCTTTCATTCTTGAAGCATGGTATCTACATTTGGGTCCCATCAACAACACCGAGGTTTGACTTTACATACCTTACGATGATACGAGGAGCTATTTAGCAATTAACGCCTTGCTGCAGACCAACATTATGTAACGCTTTATACGTAGCATTAACTGCAGCATGCATGTATGATCACCAACCACTTTAATTTACAGCAAAATACGGCTTCTTTTATATATAAGAACTATGAGCTGCAAAGCTACACGAGCAATCTATCTACGTATTTGTTATGCGATCCCACTAATAATCCATATTCGCTAACAATAAACCAGCGTTCGATCTTTTATTACTTGATCCCACGTACTACGTATCTATCTTTATCAAACGTATTCTTCAGTAAACAAGTACATAATAAGATGTAACTCTCAGTCAATGTCTTCATAGGTATAATACGTCGATATAATAAAAAGCAGGCAGTATGTCGCAGCAACGATGTTGTTTTGGTGCATATGATGTCGTATGATTGAAATGATTGGAATAAAGGTAATCGAAAGACCATCAATCAAGTGTGAATGTTTCAACTCGGTAACGCTGAGGACTGAAGTCTATTAATCGATCGACGATGTTCCATTGCTCGTGATGATGGGCGATCCTTCATCCTGTAAATCTGCTGCTTTTCTCGAGAATAACCACCAGGTGTTCTTTTTCGATGACCATCATCTGAACTTCGCTGTCGCTATCATATAATCCAATAAGCATCAAATCGCAACTTGATCAATAGCCATCTCCTCACCGATGTTGTGCTGCTGCGTTGTTCAAAGTGGTTGGGTATCGAGTATCCTAGCATGATTTCTTGTATGATGGCTGTATTTTAAGATAAGCAATGTGTACATGCATTGGAAAGAGGAGCTTTGCGAGGTGGAGAGTTACCTTGCAATGAATCAAAGTGTTTGTCAATGAGCTGGATTAGCTGTAATCTTTTATTGTCTGGAAATTGCTGGTGGTGTAGTCGGTAACTGAGCATCACACATGCTGCTGCAATCAGCTTTGGTTCATGTATCAAACATACTGGCAATCGTAAACTAACCCATGTAACCATTATTAGTGTCACATTTCCAAGTCATCGCCCTTGAACATCGTTCCCATGACCACCATGCCATACCTATCATTGGTGAATCCCCACGCTGATTGGACCACACTCTCTGATACTGCCGGGAATAAAGAAAGGTTAAGTACAATGAATACAAAGGTTGATGGAAAGCAAGCATAATGAAATTACCTTGTAGTTCGCCCAAAATATCTAGCAATGGTTCATAGGGATGATTGACCGTCAAATCAAAGCATAAAGTCTCGAGGACAATGATCTCATATCGAACAATGGCATCTCTCCAGCCGAAAAACATCTGTGTGTGTACATACGACATGGATTATTTTAGTGAACAATCGAATACATTCCCACAACATCTACTTTAACTTACTTTGGCCTTTTCATCGTTGGTGCTTCCCGTGTATAAATGTGCCATGCTTACACCTACGACGTCATTGATCTTGCAAAAAGAATCTTCCACCTTACAAGCCAAAAACATGCATGTTGCTGCTAAGATCTACGCCACGAGATGATCCATGTGAGTATAGACTTCTAATTGGCTTTAGTGTTATATACCTCTGGTTTGTATATCGAGAAAGAATGCCGGGTATAAAAGCGATGGAAGAAGACCATGGCGGTGGCTACTGCTGGCTGAGGACTTCGCACAAAAGAACATGATTAGAATTGAGTGATACATACATACAATAGCCGAATGACATGTTTACTCACGTCCCAAGACGACAGCCGAGATACTCAATAAAGGTGCATCCTTGGAATCGCCTTTGGCGATCTTTGTCTTTGGACATGTCTCCATTAGACACAGAGGGAAACCGTTGGACCTTGTAATGTGAGAGCAACCACAAAAGTATGATGAGCAATACCGTAACGTGGTTGAATGACGACGCTGAAAGAGAGAATAGGTGTATGTACCTGATCCATGCTGATGTAGTTTTAGAAGGAGGAAAAGGTCTATGCAGCGTTCGGCGGAGGAAAGTTCATTATAAGCAGTGTGCGAATTTCGTCTTTTTATGGCAATTCACCAGCAAATGTAATGCAGCTTTCCGATATCCGCTTGATTGTCTTGCATGGAGAAAGATAAAGCACATACACAACACAATGAATGCATATCATCAATATGACATTGTCCCTTATTGCACTACGTATTAAATTATGCAACCCTGTGTCAAATGGATTGTATTATGCTAGGGGTCTTGTGATGAGGATTGCTTTCTTGCGTGTAAGGGACAAGGGTGGTCGATTGGTTGCTGTTAGCCCAGCATAACCCTTTCCCCCAAAAATCACAGGGGAATTCAATTGACAAGGCCCATATCACCCTCATCCATGCTTACTACTACCATGGCTATTCATCCATTCCCATCCTCTTTATTCTTTTTCTTGTTTTCTTCAGAGAATGAAGTCATTGACTATCTGTACCGCTCCCATCCTTGCGATGTTGGCGGCATCTTTGGTGCAGGCTGACAACAACACTACTATTCAATATGGTCCAGAAGGAAATCTCATCGTCCCCCATGCTATAGTGCGTCGATTTGCAGAACAACAAAAGCAAGCACAAGCTTCCATTTATGATGAAAATGGCCGAGTCAAGTTGCCAGAGCATCTTTCTACTGCCCATCCCGATGATTTCACTCATGATCATCATGGTCGTGTACTTTCCAAACGTCAAGCAGCTAATGGTGGTGGTGGCATTACCTACAACAGCGAGGGCGGTATTGTTTTACCAAATAAGGCCTCCTTTGCAGCAGCACCTGCACAACAAGCGGGTGGCAGTGGTGTGACCTACAACAGTGAAGGTGGCATTGTTTTGCCCAATAGACTCGCATTTGCTGCAACACCTGCACAACAAGGTGGTGGCATATCCTACAATAGCGAAGGCGGCATTGTGTTACCTAATCGACTCGCATTTGCTGCTAACAGCAACAACCAAGGCAGCGGTGGTGGTTTGAGTGGTGACACTGTTCCTATGCCATACACCAAGAATAAAATGGCAGCAGGCGGTTCCTCTGGTAGTAGCGGTGGTGATCTTAGCGGTGACACTGTTCCTATGCCATACACTAAAAACAAGATGGCAGCAGGCGATTCTACTGGTGGTAGCAGTGGTGGCGATCTTAGTGGTGACACTGTTCCTATGCCATACACTAAAAACAAGATGGCTGCAGGTGATTCTAGTGGTGGTAGCGGCAGCGGTGACCTTAGTGGTGACACTGTTCCTATGCCTTACACCAAAAACAAGATGGCAGCAGGCGATTCCACGGGTGGTAGCAGTGGTGGCGAGCTTAGTGGTGACACTGTTCCTATGCCTTACACTAAAAACAAAATGGCTGCAGGTGATTCTACTGGTGGTAGCGGTGGTGGTGACCTTAGTGGTGAAACCGTTCCTATGCCTTACACCAAGAACAAGATGGCTGCTAACGAGCAAAAACAAGGAGGCATTACTTACAACAGTGAAGGTGGTATTGTTTTGCCAAACAGCATGGCCACATCCAATATGCAATTTGCAGCAGCCAATACTCAAGATGATAGCCAATACCACAAAGGAGCCGGTTCTTTCTATGATGCACAAGCCCATGTTGGTGTATGTGGAAAACGCGTTAAGAACACTGATCCTGTTGCAGCTCTCAATGTCAACCAAATGGGAACCAACTCGGGTAAAATGAAGGAGAAATGTGGCAAAAAAGTGGAAGTGGTCGGTCCAAAGGGTGACAAAGTGGAAGCTGAGATTGTTGATCTTTGTAATACTTGCAACGAAGGTAAGATTGGAATAATAATATTGAACATGCGTGCTGATGATTCGATGTTTGTAGGGGACATCGATATGAGCCCTGCTGGTAAGTGCTATCACTGCTTAGAATATGGGTATAGCAACTCATCTACGTTTTATTATAGCTTTCGAGAAAATCGCTCAATTCACATCCATGAAGACCGATGTCAAATGGAAATTTACATCATAGTTATTTGTATTGCAAATAAAACATCCTTAATCTTATTTAACCATCACCAAACTTGTTCGTGGGCAACATCTAGTTTATTGTTTTCATGCAACTCAACATCGACATCCAAGGTGGGCGTATTCTTATGTGCAAGCGTTGATCCGTGATACACACACGTATACATAAACCATTTCAGTCATCCACATAATTTGATATACTTGATCTTTGGTATTGTATGTTGTCTATGTATCTCCCTAATGACAATCGTCATCATCCATTTGTGCAGCAAGCTATCAAAGACGTGTCTGTGTAACACCACGTGCCATTTCACTCAGCTCTTCATCTTTCCGTTAATGCAGCCGACACAATCCATAGCAGAAAGCAACTCCATCACGCTTACGGCATAGGTAAAACATAAAGGTGTCTGTATCTCTAAACTTTACTATCAAATGTAGGGTCTTTAATAGAACAACGTGCTCGTCGGGGTCAAAGGATTTTTGGCTGGTAGCGACATTGGGCAAATCTGGGATTGACCACCTTGATCGTGAAACTGGCACGCATGATTCCTTTGACCCCGATGAGCACGTTGTTCTATTAAAGAGCCCACGTTTGATTGTAAGATTCTGAGTTATGGGCGTCCTTATGTTTTATATATGCTGTAAGCCTGATGCTATATGAAATGTGGTCTTTGTTCATTGTCAAGCAGTTAGAGCCGAGTAGAGCCAACGATGCAGATGAAGGATTTGTTGGTGTAACAAAGCGAGTGGGATCTTGAAGGGTCCGGAGAATGCATGATAGATTTTCCTTCCCCCATCCTACCTATGGTAAGGTCGGCTCATGATAACCCGTATGACAATTTAACAATGGTGTTGTCAATAGGCCAAAAATGACTAGTGCATTCGAGAGTATGGTGGGTGAAAGGATGAGGGTCGCAATCATCGAGACCGTAATAGTATGTAGCACTTGTTACTTGAACATCTTTTTTGGGTTGCCATGTGCAGCAGCTTCTTAATGAATAAAGCATGCAATAAATACCCGTAGTCTTTATCCAAGATCGTTCAACAAAGACTTGAAGCTTCTTAAGGGAATAAAGGTACGGCCCGTCGGTCTTCTTTAACATTTGTGAACAGCCAACCCAATGTTAAGGAAGACACCTCACGAACCTATTTCCACCTATGTATGCCAATCACGATTCACAGGTACACTGCTTTCGGGCATTGCTCTGCGTAGCTGTTGTTGCTGTGTAGGTAGTTGGATGAGTTGGCTGGGTTGTTGACGCTGAGGAATAGCACCTTCAACAACGATGAAGAGGATGACGTTGGTAGGAATGTTGTCGTTGCTGTTTGGAGTGCACATGATGATCGGCGTAACCACACAAAAGATGTACGTTGACGTAAATGATGTGGAGATGTATAATAGAAAAAGAGCGAGCCATCGGAAAAGTAATGGTGGATGACGCTAAATGGGCATGCTCATCTACTTGATGGCATCGTATCACATATTACAATGGAGATCCTTGCCCACTAACAAACGTTATCACTATGAATGCCATGGCACTAGTATGAATGCCCGTATCATGGCAACCCATAATATGACGAACAAAGAATTGAGCGCCGCCATGTTCGATTTCAACTACGCTGTGTCAGGTGGCTTGTGGCACGGGGATAGCTTTAAGGCGCTCGCTATTAAAATTTTTCGAGTCTACTCTTCTTCACTGCACAACCATGGTAATGTCAACTCGATTGTCCAAAGTCTTTGCTTGTTTATTGACGAGTGCTTTTCACATTCTATAGTCTGCTGTTAACCCCAAGGCCTTTCCCCTCGCTGATGCTACTTTGACCAACACCATTTTGGACCTTGTTCAGCAGGCTTCTCATTACAAGCAGCTCAAGAAGGGTGCCAATGAAGGTATGCATATACATCTCTATCCTCGTTCTCTTATCAATAGGAAACTTATATATCTTTGATATAGCTACCAAGACTCTCAACCGTGGTATTTCCGAATTCATTGTGATGGCTGGTATGTATGGAGAATGTTACACGTCATGAAGAGGAAGCTAGGGGAGAACAAGAAGCAATGATGAGAAACTCGTATGATGACAAATGCCTTTACTTGGTGACAAAGCTATGGACTTGGTATACGATTAGTCTTACTGAAGGGATTTCTTGTCATTGCATCATTCGATCCTGCTTCTTTAATTCATGGTCGCGTGTATGGGGAATCTTGGAAAAGGACACTGTATCTTACACGTATTTTTGTTTTTCTTTTCCAATAGCTGACACCGAGCCTCTCGAGATCTTGCTTCACTTGCCTTTGCTTTGTGAGGACAAGAACGTTCCTTACGTCTTCCTTCCATCCAAGACTGCTTTGGGTCGTGCCTGCGGTGTCTCTCGCTCCGTTATTGCTGTTTCCATCACCTCGAACGAAGGTTCCGATCTCAAGCCCCAAATCCAATCGATCAAGAACCAGATCGAAAAGTTGCTTATCTAAGCCACATACACAATCCATCACCTTCTTTTTATTTTTGTCAATTATCGCATTCTCATATTATTCTTGATGATCATGTTGGTGCGGACGCCGTTTATTGTCGCTGAGCTCCGTTAGGTAGAATGATGCACTGGCAGGAGAAAGAAACAGTGTACATAGCATTCTAAACAAATTAATAACAACACAATGTATCAAATGTCTTTTTTTCATATCTCAAATGGGTTGATCTAATTTGTCAATGGATAAAAAGGGGGTGTGCTACTTTGTCTATCAATATCAATGCTTGCTTGCCACGCGCGATATGCTGCATGCTAATCATGCTAAGGCAACTAATCTTCTCTAACAAAGTTACCGAGAGACATATTGAGTAGATCCAAAACAACCTGGGAGTTTATGGGTTGCCTATATAAGGAGTGTAATGTATGAACAATGAACATCCAAGGAGGAGAAAAAGTGTATCCATAATGGTGGTACGTGAAAAACAGCAATTGATTGTTGGCTTGATCTGTTCCAGGTTGATGCATGATCCCATTCAAGCGATCTACTAAATATAGATCCACCCACCTCCTGAAAGCATTTGTGATGATTGCCAGGTGGCTAGAGCCAAGTCTATATAAAAGATCGACACACTCGCAGAATGTCTATTTCCTTTGTTCTTCTGTTATCGTTCCACCTGCACAACATGAAATTGCAATTCTTGGTTCTTGGTCTTCTTGCCTCAAGCGTCTTGGCTCAACAACGTAAGTAGCTACATGCCTTGTACCTCGTACGTAAACCTTTGGCACATTTGACTCAACATGTATATGTATGTATCCATAGCTGGTACACCAAGTGCCGATTCGGGTGATGTTGCCGCTGGAGCTGGTGATGCTGCTGCCAGTGGTGATCCTTCTGGTGCTGGTGATGCCACTGCTGGTGACCCAAGTGGTGGTGATGCTGCTTCTGGAGCTGATGAAAATGGAGCAGATGCTTCAGGAGCGAGTGATGCTGGTACTCCTACCTCCTCAGCACCTGCTGCTGATGGTTCGGGTGAAGCTGCGACACCTACCCCTGACACTCAAGCTTCAGATGACGCCAATAGTGGTGCCTCTGATTTACCACAAGCTTCCACATCCATTCCCGATATCAACTGGTGGACAAGTATGGTGAGCGATACATCTGGTTTTCCAACAGCAGCACCTTCTGCATCCGAAACTTCTGCAGATGTATCAGGATCAGCTTCTGAAGGTAAATGATAACATACATGCGGCATGTACATTCATTCTCATATTGACAATTTTACATTACTACCACTACTACGTATTATAGCTCCTTCTGCATCTGGCTTATCATCTGCAGGAACGCTTCCTTCAGGATCCTTATCATCTTTGCCATCTTTGCCATCATCTTCTTCATCTTCATCTTCCCCATCATCCATGTCCTCGTTGCCCGCTTCAGCAGGAGCAAGCAAGACCCAAGCCGGTGTTGGCCTTCTTGCAACATTGGTGGTTGTTGCATTTTCGATTTGGAACTAGTACAATTATGGTCAAGAGCAATATCCTTCACACATCATAGTATAGGAGTAGTTTGAAGTGCTTTGCACCTTGTTTTTCTTTATATTTGCTTCGATGATATTCTTGATTTTCCATTATTGTGCAAACAAGTCGTAACAAGAAAACAAGTACATTTTACATATTATTAGACATTGAATTGCTAGTTCGAATATTGGGTCGCTGCCAAATGCTCACGCGGCCACGTCGATCTGTTGTGACAATTACATCTTCACGAAAATACACACCAACGCATGGATCGGCATGCACAGTCTTGACCATTGTAGGTTGAAGGAATGCAACGTGATCTTTTGATTGGACTGGGTGCAAGATTGGTGTGCGATCTTCTAATGCTTTCAATATGTTTGGCGCAGGATGATGTTGTGATGAAACAGAGCTTCCTCGATACCTTCCAGTAGTCGTCCTCTACATTAAGGAATGTTTCTCTTGCTGGTTAGATAAACATAGATGCATGCCACCTTCACCGTTCTTACCGCTTTTGGTCGATGTAATGCATTCACTGAAAAATCCCACAAGATCAACTTGGCATCCTCTCCAACACTTGCAAACCGGTAAACATTCTCGTCACATCGCCATGGATCAAAAGCAACACCCGTCACCTAATTATAAAGTTAGGATTACGAAAGACTCTTTGTTCCATTTTACTTACCCAGGAGGTGTGGCCCTGACATCGAGCAATAATACGTTGTTCATGGAACGCCCAAATAGTCACCAAGTCATCTTCTCCTCCAGTCTAGTAATAGAATGACAGCAAGTTAGAAACAAGAATACATCACATACGCCACGTTTAGAATTACCAAGATGTATCGTCCATCAGGGCTCCAAGCTACACTCGTCAAACCTCCATAGTATGATTGATAAATGTCGTCAAGCCTATATACGAACACAATCAGCCATTCTTTTCCTATCATCTTGATCCCTTGGATACTCACGTTTCCCGAACAAAGTTGATTACTCGTAACAAGCCATCCAAGCCTACCACTGCCACATGCTGACAATCCGGCGAAAAGGCAAAAGCTAAAAATGATCACGCGTAAGGGGTCTCACACCATTATCATCTATCCATGGCGTTTCTCCTTACCCGTTATTGACTTGCTCGATAATTTCCAATGCGAAACTGGATTCGATTTACGGCCCGAGGCTTTTGGTGATGGTTTGGAAATTCGAAACCTAGATATAGAATCAAGGTTAGCTTGATGTATATGGGTGGCATGGATTAGGCTTACATGTATTTTTGTTCTTCGATGGTGACATTGGATGTATTCTTGTGGATATAGTGTGATTGTGGTTGCTGAGCATTGAGATTCCCCGTGCTAAAGTGTTTGCGTCGATGGTGACCAGACATGCCGGGTGGAGTATTGCTTGAGAATCCAGTCATCATTCCATCACCAGGATGAAATGGCTCATCTTCACGATCCTTATCGAACATGATAATCACGCCATCAGAGAAGGAAGCCATGAACATATTCTCGGATCCTGGAAGCCATCGTATCATGGTCACAGAAGAAGAGCTCATTATTCCCTAAGTAAGGTGTAAGGCACAAAGCATACATTCCTCCTCAAAGATGACATACCCCTTTGTTGATCCTTCCATATTTGTTGCACAATGGATCGAACCAAACAACGTCTCCAGAAGTGAATCCAATAATAACATCCAAATGATCCGATCCTCTCGTTAAAAGGTTGACATCATGCGACGTTGGACACGCTTTGGCAAATACGACTCTCGATAATGGTTCCTACAAAGGGATGGGGATCCATTTATCCGTTAATAAAATAGGAGGTATCATTGTTGTCAATGTTGTGTATTTACCTTTGGCCTACCAAATGCATCGACCCAAACAAAGTTGCTTCCACAATTGTAAAATAAGTTGGTATCATCGCTGGTTCTTGCTACCAGTATTTTGGCGAGTTGATTATTGGTGACAATTCTGGATACGAAGCTTGATGTTGTTCTTGTGATGTCTGTCATGGGTATTCGTCGACCCACCGTATTGGTTCTTGAAAGAAATGAAAATGCAGTGGATGGTGGAGGAGAAGGTGGGATAATTGAAGGTGAAGCCGATGATAGAAAAGAAGGCCCTTCCAATGAAGAACCAAGTCTTGGATTTGCATGATCGATTGCAGGATTGGTATGATGTGAGCTGTTGCTGCTGGAAATAGACGACAGATCCTCGTCCTCAGAACCACGTCGTATCAGTGAACGAGCACCAGGAAGAGGTTCATATCGCTGCATTTGGTTGGGCACTGACTCCTTGTATTTGATCGAGATAAGGCTGGCCGTGGTCCCAGTAGAAAACGTAGGCTGCAACGAACGAAAGGCGATATGGTGAGCAAGCTGATAGGTTCCTTCAGGTGCTTGGAATTCTCGGCAGTCATGATTGGGTATAGAAGGTGGACAATAAGAAGTCAATGCTGGAGCGGACGACGATCGAAGCGCATCACCAGCCGAATGCCGTCGAGTCAAAAAGTTCCCACCTGTTATTGAAACAGACTACATTACAATCTAGCATTAGCCACTGTTCGACATTACAACCCATGTGCTCGTTATGAAATACCATAGAATGGACAGCTTTTCGACCAATGTGGATATAAAGAGTCGAGGTTGGGTTTCAACAGCACAGCAACAAGGCTGTTTCCTTTCAAAGCATTCAACCCTACAAATTCTATAGCCGCCAGCCCATTTGATTGACCACGTAGCATAACACATTACACTCTACAACACACCTCACCCACATAGATTCAAGTTCTACTCACTTATGCAAGCTGCAATATACAAATGAAGACTATTTATAACACTTGATTGACATCATTTTGCGTATACGTTAATAAAAGAACATCCCCTTATCTCGGGATTCTATTCATGCACTACTACTGCTGGTACAACGATGGTTGCACTTTGTACAAGATCACACGCTCATATAACCATTGATCATCCAGCTGACTTATGTCCCACCCAAAAATAAAAAGAAGATGATGATGATGATGAGGAGGAGGAGGAGGAGGTGAAAGCAAATGTTTAATGAATGGGAAAGGGTATCGGGAGGTTGGGGCTATACTACTGGCAACAAAGCTAAGTAGGTTATTTGATGGTAGCGAGTTTCTTGTTGGCGAACTTAAGCTTGAGACCTGTACGATCTACATCAGCATCCAACTCATCCAAGATCTGGTTCTGGGTCTCCAGCTCATCTCCAATAGCCAATCCAAGTTGTCTTTGACGAGCCAAAAGTGCACTGAATTGTTCCACTTGAAGATCTTGATCCTTCATCACTTGTTGCTGATATTGTACCAACCCTTCATTATCCAATCCACGAGTCTCCTCTGTTTCTTTAGCCAACTGATTAGCTGCTGCTGCACCAAATGCACGACCAGGACCGATCGTATTATTTCGACGTGCTGATCCTCGTTGTTGTTGTTGTTGTTGTGTTCCATTGCTTGATGCTGGGAAACCAAAATCCTGTGCTGCACTATTGCCACCACCACCATTGGTCATTGATTTCTCACTCACGCTATTGGCACGGCGAGGCGATTGTTGCTTGAGTAACTCTTGCTCCTGACGACCGGAATTCACCAATTTGAGTAATGCATCCTTTTCATCACGCAAGGTGTTGAGCATATCTTGACGTCTCCTCGTTTCACCATCGGCCAAATGAAGTCCTCCTAATCCGGCATCCAAATTCGATAGTCGTGATGATAATGTCAACAATAGCTTTTTGGCTTGCACCGTACAATTGTGGGAAGCGGATATTTCATTGCGAGCAATATGCGTGCTGCGTCGATTGATAAGCGATCGAACCTCTCGAGCCATGTTGTTCATATCATTATATTCATCAAGCCAAGTCTCTGATGTGTACATGGTCGATGCATCCAAGGAACGTCCCACTGGAATAGCTAAGAACTCCTTCCATATATCCGTTTGTCTCCAACGATCATCTCGGCTGCTTAGGATACCACGCAAGTAGGCTTCTAATCCACGTCGTCGTTCTTCAACCTTATCTGGACTGGAAAATGTAGAAGGAAAGATGCGCTTGCTCGGTAGATTGACGGGTGGAGGATGCGATGGGAAGATCTTGAGGAATTGGTTATGCAGCTTCTCGAATTCAGAATAGCGCTTCCAAACAACCCATGTCCTAACAGCGGCATGCACTTCAACTTGGTACACAGTGTGAGGCTTGGGTGTAGAACGAGTATCGGAAGATTGTATAAAGATGGCTTGAATAACTTCACTCATTGACACAAGGAGTTGAAAGGGAAAAAAAAGGGAAGAGAGAAAAAGAAAGAGAGAGAGTTGTGTGTGTATAGGAGGATCATTGTTTCACAAAGGGTCTTTATGTTGTTTGAGACTAGCATTTGTCATACACGTATACCACTGCTACATACAGAGCCTAACAACCAGGTTGTGCAAGACGACGTATACTTTCACCATGGGCTTGTTGTTCCTTTGTAGGGAATACCTTGTAAGGATTCATGATGCCATTTGGATCGAAGAGCTTCTTGATATCCCTCATGCGGTTAATGATGTTTTCAGATTTGGTAAATGCAAGATACGGAGCCTACAGCCACTTTTGGTCAGGGACACTCACGATTGCATGTGAGCTGTGCAGCATTATTATTATGTACAATACCTTCATCAACCCCAATCCATGTTCTGCACTGCAGCTACCATAATGCTTAGAAGTCCACTCATACACAAAATCATCAATCTTCTCTCGCACTGCTTCATCATCTCTCAATGCAGGGATCTAATAAAAGTGCATCTTGATTAATCAACTTTATCATCCTTGACGTTGCCATGATACAACGTACTGTCAAATGCATGTTGCCATCACCAACATGACCATATCCATATACGGCGTAGATGTCCGTTCCTATGAGACCTTCCTTGGTAGCCCATTCGCGTGTTGCTGTCACCAAATCATATAACAATGGCATCTCAAGTGATATGTCAAAATGAATAGAACTTGGTCCACATTGCACAATGGCCTTTGGTGTATTTGATCGCCATGACCAAAAACTCTCAATCTGTTGTAGTGATGATAAAGAATCAGTAAACAACCCGATCCCTTCTGCTGCAGCTATTGCATATGTTTGTATCCTCATTCGTACCTCATCCGGTGTCCTGGCAACTGCGCCTTCCAAAATAACATCCTGAGCAAGCATGTTTTTCAAGAACCTGTCGGCCCTCTATAAAAAGCTATGTAAGCCCTTCATATCTTGTCTTCAATAAAGCACTTACCAGGTCCTCAATTTCACGATCCTTGCCTGCCGTTTCCATGACGACGAAAAATGGATGCTCATCACTGATAGGGAAAGCCGATCCTTTGGGTACTTGAAAGTCTTTTTCTTTTACCACCTCAACAGTGGATTTGTCAAGTACTTCAAATGCGCTAATAGTTTCAGGCAATTCACGACGTGCCAAGGTATACGCTTTGACAACATCTTCGAATGAACGAAGGGCAATAATGAAAACATTCACCGCCTCACGGATTTGAGCAGTAGCAATGCTCACCCCGGTGACGATACCCAATGTGCCTTCTGATCCAATAAAAAGATTCTTCAAATGGTATCCGGTATTATCCTTTCGCATGGTGCTCAAATTATCAATAATGGACCCATCCGGCAAAACCTAAGGTAGTGATCTATGTCAGCTCGCACGCTTGCATAAACATGCTATCCCATACACTTACCACTTCAAGGCCCATAACGCTACCATGGAGGTTTCCAAAACGCATTTGTCGGATGCCTCCGGCATTCGTAGAAATGTTGCCACCAATTTGACAAGCATGTCTTGCTGGTAAATCCAAAGGTATCTGCATATGAACCATCAGCCAATGGCGAAAGATGCAGTCATCTTCAATCCTGCAAATCATTTTCAAGCATACCTGAAACCCAGCACGTCCGAGGAATGCGTCAAGATCTTGTAACACGCATCCAGCGTCGCACACCAAATCACCTAATCGTCGTGAGAATTTGGTTAGCACATCATGCACACACACACACACACAAGCATTAGGTCCCTATCTCTAGACATCGCTCATTACCTCGTAGCTCATCAAACTTGCGGATGGTTTTCATGTTCTCGGTACTCACAATGATTTCATCAAAGACGGGGATCGATCCTATTATCGGGGAACCACTTGCATGAATAAATGGCACATGCACCCTTTAACTATTTCCATTTCTGGTTTCATGTATACTCACCTCCTGATGCACCAGTATTGCCACCTTGCGGCACCACAGCAATGCATTCGTCATTGCAATACTTGAGAATCTTGGAGACTTGATCAGTGGTCTCAGGGAGCAAGATAAGGGACGTGTTGGCTCGAAACATGTTGTACCAATCACAGGTGTATTTTGTATGCTGTTCATGTGTAATAGCATCACGCTCTAAAACGCACTTTTCGGGTAAAACGCTTTTAAAGTAGGCTACGTCCTTGTCTTCAAGCTGCAACCTACATAATCAGTAATGCATCAACCAGCTAATAGCACTTGCCGCGAACATACGTACCTTTTTGTATCGTGCATCACGCTTCACACGATCGAGCTTCTCACATGTGAGTTGGGTTAATTGAAAACCATGCTTATCTGCGGTCATTGTGAGTAGCTGTGGGAAGCAAGAAAAAGAAGGGAAAAGGTTGCAGATTGTAGATCCAGGGACTTTTTGATCAAAGTTCATGCTGAGTATTATACATGTCGGGTTCCCACCTCTTATTCGCCGAGGCACACAATATAGTCAACCACCGGTGATCACCGAATGTTTACTTGATAATGTGGCTGTTACAATGAAACAAACTACCTCTGCCACGTTACATACATGTGAGTTGCATGCTTTGATAGATTAATTGCTAATGTGTATTACCAACATTCACATCATTGCGTGTCAGCACAAAACCATGATAGCTGATGATGTCGCAAGACCCAACAACGCAAGGTAAGTATGAGGCGAATTGACACGGATGGTACGTTGTGCATAGCAACCTGATAGCAACAAGGGGCCAAAGATCTGGTGATTGAAGTGAGCAGTGTACTATAAGAATGACATGTAAATACAGCTGGTTTCATATGCCGATTCGCTTATGGATATATGCAGCTCCCCAAGTCACTAGTGAATGACACCATTAATCGTATGATAACGCAAATAGAAAAGTGGTCAAAGCATTGTAGTCATAGCAACAACAATGGGCGCATTGTAGCGATAGCAACCATCATCTTCATGTTTGGTATCAGCTTCAAGCGATACTTCTTCCTTGTCATCTTATATACATAAGGGGGGGTAGCAAGCAATAACATTGTACCTCGTTTCACCCAATGACGAGTGAGCGTATCATCGTGAGGCGTGATACTATTTACATGGCATGAGATAAAGCGTGGTTAAATAAGAAATGTGCTGCTAAGGTATATACATTATCATCCCATCCTATCGTTAGCAACGATTTGTAACGAATCGTAAGGTTACATGTGCAGCCTGGGAAGAATCCCGAAACTTCCATTTTGTATTCAGCTTGCATTCTCGATTAATGGCGTCTCATTTTGAAAGCACACAATCAACGAGACCCTTTCAGGGTTGGTACAATGACTATTATCAGTATCAAGGTGGTACAAAGGGGGTGGATCGTGAGAGTAATTTTCGATACCAATCAATCAAATTATCAACCACCAACATGGTATGGTATTATAATGTCAAGAGCAACAATGTAATAGTATAGCACAAAAAGATGATAACTACATGTCTCATTATGAACCAAGAGAATGAAAGCAAAAGAAGAAAATGAACAAAAGAGCCTGCTATGGAGCTAAAATATCAAGTGTGTGGTCTCATTCCATTCGTTCACAAAAAAAAAAGTCGTGAGGGGGGGGGGATGAAGCTGGGCTAAACCATGGAACGGACCATAAATGGTAATCATCATCGCTGGGTAAACCAAGCCACCAGAAAGGTATAAAATGGAGGCGCTCATTTCAGATTTTTCTTTACCACAGGCACTTCTTCCTTTTCTTCACACTTCTTTATATATAAACATGTCCGGATTCAACATTGCCACACCTTCCATAACCACCCCTGCTGTGCAGACACCATCCGTACCAACTCCAATGCAGAATCCTACTACGCCATTTGCTTTGCCATCTACACCAGCACCCATCGATGCACCTACACCTAGTAGCAAAGATCAGAACCCTTACGCAGTGGCTGGCATCACCCCTATTCTGCAGTAAGTATAGTGTTTGCTGCCTGATCAGGGTGTACGCGCATTGTGGTGTTTTCCACGCGTCAATCAAAACACGTTTTGACACGATCTGCTTCCTTCTTGCAGAAACATTGTGGCAACTGTCAATTTGGATTGTCGACTTGATCTCAAAACTATTGCACTTCATGCTCGTAACGCTGAATACAACCCAAAGGTATACATGGGATGAATGCTTTTTCATATTGCAAATGGTCGGCTAAAGCCTCTGGTCAACTGCATTGTTTAGCGCTTTGCTGCTGTGATCATGCGTATCCGTGAGCCCAAGACTACAGCGTTGATCTTTGCAAGTGGCAAAATGGTGGTGACAGGCGCCAAATCAGAGGATGATTCCAAGCTTGCCGCACGCAAATATGCGAGAATTATTCAAAAGTTGGGCTTCCCAAGCAAATTCACAGACTTCAAGATTCAAAACATTGTGGGCTCATGCGATGTACGATTCCCTATTCGATTGGAAGGTCTGGCTTATTCTCACGGACACTTTAGTTCCGTAAGTATATCATGCTTGGGAATGGAATGGGGGAGTTGATGATTTTGGATTGTTGTTGGCATGGGAGGGAGGGGAGGATCTTTCAATGTGCTTTGGAGCGGGGGTATTGATATTGCCATTAGTATGAGCCAGAGCTGTTTCCTGGTCTTATTTATCGTATGGTCAAGCCGAAAATCGTATTGTTGATCTTTGTGTCTGGTAAAATCGTATTGACTGGTGCCAAGGTGCGTGAAGAGATTTATCAAGCATTCCAAGCTATATACCCTGTGCTTCTCGAGTTCCGAAAGCCTTGAACGCCATCACGCGATCTCTTTATCAACCTTGCACTGCACCCATCACCACATCATTCAATCAACAACGGTCATGTATATGAAGAAATGAAAAGGAAATGGTCAACAACACATACTACATTAGCAAAAAAAAGTTATATCACTCCACATCTGTATCATATCACTACGCAGTTATATAAAAACTGGCAACATTGTTCATACAAATAAAAACAAGCTTAGCTACTACCATTGTCAAAAACAACGCACTGTCTCCCAATGCAATGATAACTTTCCTAAACAAGGAGTCAAAGAAAGTGTGTGCAACACGACGCGGGTATAAATTGGCTCGGCAATCCAAGGCGCAGCAATTCGCTTCTCTTTTGCCTTTCTCTTTTTCCTCCTCTTCTTTACTTGTTACATAAACCCTCTCTGCTTTTGACAAGAACAAAGGCAAGGAGGATTGACGGATTGTCTCATGCATCGAAATCTTTCTTTGCTGGAATAAAGGTCAACCAACACACATTTCAATATGGACACTGCTGCCACAAGTGATTCATCTTTGGAGTTGCCTCCCACACCACCAGCAGACGACAGTCCATTCTACTCAAACCACAACAATACATCATTGCACAATACACAATTCTCTACCGTAGCATCGTTGCTAGTAGAGAACGAGCAAGCTGATATCCCGCTTGAGCCGTTCCTTCCTTCGCTTGCTGCTCCGGATCAAGACTTTGAGCTTTTCCCTTGTAACCAAGATACAGAAAACTCGCAGCTGGAGCCACCGATATCGCTGTTTAGCGATTTACCAGGAGAGACAAGCAATTGACTTTTTGTATAAAAGGTAAAGAAAAGAAGAAGAAAAAGAGATAAAAAAGGAGAACAAACACATTGCACCTATGCTTTGGACACTGACGTGGACTGGATCAAGCGTTTCTGGAGATATCGATCAATTCTATATTCCCTCCCATTTTTGTTACCCACCCCTTGTTGTATTCAACATGTTTATCATTCCATCACACTGCTTTGTCTTGCATTCAATGTTTTCTTTTGCCATTACAATAAAGGAATATTTTGAGTTCAACGCTTGTGTTATCATCGCATACCCGATCTGGTGAAATGTTCAACTCCAATATGGTAAAACCAGCCCTGAATCATCCTCGGAAGCCAACATCCGGGGGTCATTGCACACATCACAAGCACCCACGTGCCTTCATCCACTGAACACCTTATGTTGCCGAATCTTGTTTTATTCATTTTCCTTTTTCTTCTTCTTCTTTCCAATAAGGATATAGATGAGAACGATGATGATTATATAAGCGTAAGTCGGCCTCGTCAAATACCAAGGGAGGGAGGGAGGGGGGAAATCATAATGCAGAGAGAACATTTACTTGTTGTGGCTATATACTTTGAGTTGCAGATGTCTTACAGGAAATGAAATGCAGTGAAACAAAAAAAGATGGTGCATGACAAAATGAAGGATAAATGATAGTAAAAGCTTTTTGTGTGTGAAAAAGTGTCAAAGGGGGGTATCTCTCTCGCTCATCTCTTTCGCGAATCTCACCCTGTTGTGTTGCCGTTAACGGAGTGCGAATGGAGGTTGTATGTAAATCTTGTATGTGTGTGCGTGTGTGTGTTGTGTGTGTATGCGTATGTTGTGTTGTGTTGTGTGTGTGCAAATGGTGATTGTTGCCTATATCTTACATGAATGGTTTGTTGTCTGATCCAGATTGCTTTTCATCCGATTCGCGTCTGGTATTGGCATTGGTGCTGGTATTGGTAGAAGCTGCCATAGCAGCAAGGTATTTGGCGTGTAGAGCAGCAGCAATTTCAGGATTCATTGCAAAGGAGGGTGGAACGAGCCCTGGTAAAGCACCCAAACTTGCTCCAGGATTTGAGTCACCCATAACCATGTTGATTTCTTCCATCAAACGCTTGTATCCTTGAACATGTTGTAACTTGAGCTTGTTCAAAATTTGCTTGACACGTTCTGCAATGCGCTGTCGTTCACGTAAATCAACGTACGAGCTTGACAAAATCTTTTGAACAAGGTTGACACCATGTACTTGATCCATCAATACATCATCAATCACAGGGTCGGCGGTTGAAAAAATAAGAGCGTCGAGGATAAGGGCACGTGCATCAGGCTCTTGTCGCTGATTGATAATCTTGAGTACAGTCAATGAAGCAAGCTTATGAGTACAAAGACGTGTCAAGTTGCGTTTATCATGGATGAGGCGTGGAGCAAGAACACGATAACGTCCTGGTATGCCTGATGTGTCGAGTAACCAAATCAACAAAAGAGCACCATTGGCATTGGTGGCCAAGACTGAAGCATGTTGCACAATTGTGGCTGCAATGTAACGCTATAGGAGGTGGAATTGTTGTGGGGGTTTAGCCACATGCATTGGTTACGCATTGCCACCTTCCTTACTTGTTGACGTTTTGTCACATGCGGACTCTCCAATGTCGCTCTCACGGCACGGGCACCAAATCGACCTTGAGCGATCTCCCAGCAATTATCCACAATGGCATCAAAGATAAATTGATTACGCTCGGGTCCCAATCCAAGACAACATTGCACAACGTAATTGCCAAACTGGTCAAGCAATAATGCAGGCACATATGGAAGAAGACTTTCACAAATGCGATTGATCTACATTGCATGTGTCAAGAAAAATAAGCTTTGACAGCTGGATTACTCTTACCTGTTCGGGCAAACGCCCAGTGTCGATAATCTTTTGTGCTGCCCATGTTCCATTCTTGTGTATCCCAATAGACGCCAAGTAAGGGGCCACTACCTCTATCATTCTTGATCGAGTTGCCTCTGAGCACCTCTCAAATAGCCGTTGAATCACCGTGTTGCCTATGTAATCTATAACAAAAATCAGCATGTTATGATTTCACATCCATATTGTGATTGTAAACATACCACTGCAAAGCTCCACTATTTCATCCACGCATTCCACAGCAATCATCTCCAATTCTTGAATTGAGATATAGCCCGTATCCAATCTTTTTCTGATATCCCTTAGTCGAGCAATATCAATCTTGCGAGTTTGGCCTAACTCAGGTGCTGGTGGGATGGTTGGGAAGTAGCTGAGAGGTAAATGAAGCTCTAAGATCACGATGTATATCATGTGAGGGCTATGTGCATGCCATAATTTCCATCTCCTTACCATCAAATGCAGGGCCATCATTTTCATCATCACCCGTGTCACCTAATTGCTGCATGATGATTTGTCGTTCTCTTGCCACAGCTGCATAAAGATTGGTAGAACCAGGGCCCATCATCTCAGCCATCATGTACATCATCATTTGCTGGTATTCCTCAGAATTGGTGCCATTGTTAAGAGCCGCCCAACCCATCTTAGTGGTAGCATCACCATCTCCATTGTTGCCAGCAACATCCTCAAGTGTCGTTGTATATCCACCAGCAGCTGTTTTAACAGGCACCTTGGCAAAACCAATACGCACTGCACCCGTATTGGGTCCCATAATTTCGGTATTCTGCAACGCCTTTTTAGCCCGAACAGCGTCCTCGAGACATTCAAAGTTGACGAACCCACAATTCTTGTGAGTGAGCACACGAACAGATTCAATGGCACCAAAAGGAGAGAAAATTGATAGCAACGTCGAATAAGTTGTTGTTGCAGGAATGTTCCCAATCCCTAACAAACGATGCACACACGTCAATATCCCAAAGATAAAATAATAGCCATTGATCACTTACATAGTGCACGAGTGGGTTCCTGTTGGGCGTTGGGACCAATATCTCCGCATGTGGGTGGCTCAGGCTTTCCAAATCCAACTTTTACGGGAGTATTACCGAGTCGCCCATTCATCTTGTGTACGAGCTCATCTTTGGCACGTAATGCATCTTCCACTGAAATAAAATTGACAAAGGCGCATTCTCGATCCGGTAGGATACGCACACTCTCGATTGTGCCAAAGGGAGCAAAGACACAGGTGAGGTCTTGAGTGGTCAATGATGGATCAATATTGCCCAACCAAAGGGATCGTGTAGGGGCTTGTGTAGCACCAGGCGAATTTTTACCAGATGAGATGGGTGGATCCATATCAGCTTCTCCAACACTTGCAAAGTCATAATTGGATGACTGGCTGCTGCTGCCACCAAACGGAATAGCATCCTAAAAGGAAAAGGGCAAACAAACAAGGTGAGCATGTAGACAAATAATGTATGATAAAAGTGATAATGTACATACCCAATCATCGTGTGCGGCATCATCGGTTGCCATGGAAGTGCGTTGCCTAGCCATCAATTCCAAAAGATCGGCGCTGCTATTGGAAGTGCGTAAACGACTAGGATTGTGTTGTTGTTGATAGCGATGACGGAGAGGCGGGTGCCAAATGGATCGGTAAGAAGGAGAGAGCAAGTTGCGTGATAGGTCATCGGTTGATGAATTTGCAGCAGGTGGTTGATGTGGTGGTGCATAGTGATGAGAACCAGCAACACTCATGCTGATAGCGCGTGGTCTACCAGTCTGGGATTGGAATTTAGCCATTATAAGCGAGGGGTCTATATTCGGCGATTCGGCTACTGCAGAGAAAGGAACCATGGATTCGGAAATAGGTGGTGCCTGAGATGTTGTTGTTGTTGTTGCAGGTGTCGTAGTAGTCGTTGTTGTTGTTCCCCAAGGCGTATCCATGATACTTTCATGCCCCGAGTGACGGTGTGGATGATGCCAATTGGCCACTGATCTCAAGGATGAATAAGAGTGACGTGTGTGGATAGTATGCCTTTTATCACGTTCATCATCCAATCCCAATTGTGCAAGAGTGCTTGCTATTGTATTTCCTTCACCTTCCAAGAGTTGATCCGTTGTTGGTGTTGTGGGGCTTTGGACATGTTCTCTTCCCCAATTGTTGCTAAAAATGCCTTCACCAAATGGATTTGCTGCTAATGATGGTGGTAGTGTCACTGAACCAGAACGAGTACGGAGAGTTGCAGCTGATGACGAAGATGGTGGGACAACTTGTTTGGATGTCGCTGCTGCTGCTGCTGCTGCTACCGATGAGCGTGTAGGAACATCTTTTGCAGCTGATGTTTTGGATAATGCAGCTATTGTTGCTGGATCGGATGAAAGGTAAGGAAACGCAGTAGATTGTGAAGGCATCGTATCAGCACGAGAACGACGAACAGCAGAGGATGTTGGAGATAAATGTCGGTGATGATGATGATGATGTTGATGTTGTTGTTGTTGTTGGTGGTGGTGGTGATGATGATGATGGTTGTCAACATGTGACACCAGCTGCACCTTCTTGTCGTGCCACGCTTTTTTGGGTATCATGCGATCGGCGTTCATCATGTTCGCATCGTCCTTGTCGTCACTGAAAGCATAGTGTAAGTTAGCTGTTATATATACATTCATTCATCCCCTATCCCTCATTTATCCTATCACCCCATCCACACTATCACCCCTTTCCCCATATCCTAGCATGCTATTTTCGCTTGTCATGGTAAACCCAGCTTCAATAAGAACGCGCTACGTTACCTTTTTCGGGACATTGGGTCGTCTTGTTCGGTTGAATACCGAGGTGGCGGTGAGGGTGGCTCAGAATCGGAATGCGTCATGTTGAATGATGCCAGAACCAAGATCAACTGGAATCTGCCAATAATGTAGGGAGTGGTTGCAAGGATCGTCACAGTGAGTGGATCGAGTTGCTAGTGTAGCTCAGGGCATGTAAAATAGATATAATACCAGGCGAATGTTGCGTTAACGAAAATAAAAAGGTGATATTGCCGCTGTTGCTGCTGCTGCTGCTGAAAAGTAAAAGAAAGAAAAGGGGAGAGATAGAAAGAGAAAGAGAGTGAGTGAGAGAGAGAAAGAGACAAAGAGACAAAGAAAGAAAGAGAGAGAGAGAGAGAGACAAGGGATAAGTTGTTGGGAGACTGAGATCTATTTCCTCGTGGTGAATAAAGAGAAAAGAGAAAGAAAGAAAGAAAAAGAGGAACCGATACTAAAAATACATGTCATCGTGTGCGTTGGAGGACATTATGTGGAGGGGTAGGTTGGGTATTGAGCGGAGAGGGGTGGATGATTACAGCGTTGGATAAAAGGGTTGGGCAAAACATCAAGGCACTTGGTTCATTACACTATTGCCAATATCACTCGGGATAAGTTCCGAGTGCTGCAACATTTTGGCAAGGCACCTTTCCCGTGGTCCGACACACATGCGCCCCGCTTATTACCACAATCGTCAATGCAAACATTCGTAAACACATGCTTCCAATTCCTACTCTTACACACACATGCCCATTTGCTTGCAGATGCAGTGTTCTTCTCGGCTCCTTGCCGTCTTCCGATCTTTTTTCCCAATCGGGCTTCATCTCATCATCCATCATTATTACGCTTAAATTGTTATTTCGTTCCTGGAACACTACCACCCCCTTTCATTCGTAAACTATCCTGCTGCTAATCAACGCGTGTGAATACTTCCACCCAACCAAAAGAATGCTTCCACACCACAACAACAAGTGCTGCATCGTCTGTGCTTCACAGCTGCTTTTCCAATACATCAATCTTGGGTTAGGGAATGTTCTCGAAGATAAATTCTTAATCAAATACCAATAGCTCTATTCGTAATGCTATACCGTTGTCGAGTACTCTACGTATAATGGTGCCCTTGACGCGTTGCCATGAAACAGGAATGCGTAAATGCAGGGACCTTGTGAAACTGAAAAATTGAATCCCGAACTCATCAACCCATCATAGACAACCAACCAGTGCACATGAACAGCACAATAATGCATATGTAGTGGAAGCTCAATCAAACATCACAGCACCTACATACGCATAAACATCATGCATGATTTCATCTTGCTGTCATACCAAAATGGTGGCATGACCTCCAATCTCTATGTGCGTATGTATGTAAAGGGCATCAGCCATCGCTGTCGATAGGATCACCATTGGATAAATCTCGATATAGTACTTTATTTCTCCAGCTTATTGTATATAGAATACGAGAACGTTGTTTCATTGCTTTAAAAATTGCCAGCTACAATGGTATTGGTGAATCACGTGATGAGATGCCGCATGTTGATGAAGGTAACGCTCTCTTTGTGTAACAAAACGTCAATGTACTAAGTGATGGATCCTTTGAGCAATAGGAACATACCGTTGCTTGGTAATCGATGCATGGCAATTAACGTCTTGATGAGTGGTGAAAAGAATCAAGTGGAGATTGGATAAGGCAAGATGATATGAAGATTGATTTATAGACGCTGATTTGGATACAAGGTTCAATCCGGTGTTTCTCTTCTGTTCCTTGCACACACACACACACTCTCTCTCAACACAATGTCCATGTACGAAGTCTCAACCCATGCATATACCAATGACCCCTCGCATTACAAGCAGCTTGATCTATACATTCCACATGCTGGTAGTTCTCATTCGCCATTACTTGTCTTCGTGCATGGTGGAGCATGGCGATCCGAGGACAAGGCTGATCACCGAGCACTTGCTGAAGCGTTTGTTGCACGTGGATATCCTGTCGCTGTGACCAATTACAGGTACACACATTGGGTAGAACGTGGGAATATGTGGGATGATGGCTCATTATGGATTGTTGGATAGATTGAGTCTATGTGAAGTTGAAGGCCAACCACCCACTGTACAGCATCCAGCACATATCCAAGACACCCTTGAAGCGATTGAATTCTTGGCTCATCATCCTCCCAAAAAGAATGCCTATGACCCATCCAAGCTCTATTTGATTGGCCACTCAGCAGGAGGACACATTGTGACAAGCCTGTTGCTAGATTCAACCTATGCCAGCAAAGCTCATGCCTATGTTCGTGGTGTAGTGGGAGCGGATGGTATCTATGACCTGCCATTACTACTCAAGACGTATCCAAACTATGACTTTGTTGCTCAAGCATTTGGCTCGGATCCATCTCTTTATGCCGACGCATCTCCAGTCACTCAATCTCCCATTCCATCACTTATGCCACCACCACCCATGCTGATTGTCCATAGTCTCGAGGATGATCTACTCGATGTTGAACAAGCCAATGCCATGGTACATCATTTGCAAAATATCGGTGCAAACGTCAAGCTTGATACATCCGTCAAAGGCAAACATTACGACATGTTGTATACCAACGAGTTTTATGATTTGGTCATTCGCTTCGTCAAGGACAACAACGGCGTTTAGATAGTAGATGTAGTACACGTAGCAAATGGTGATCAATAGACTACTATGATTTGGATGGCTGATGATGATACATACAATTTGGCACTCTGTGGGATGTGTGTGTGATGGTAAATTCTTGTGAATGAGTGTTGAATACGTCCAGGATCAAAATGGGTGGATAATTTGGATCAAGCTATCTATCTCTACAACAATGAAATGGGTTGTACGTGCAACAAAATAAGTTGATTGTGCGGAGGTTTAGTTTGGCAGATAATGATGATGCGAAAGTAGCTCTATGGCAACCATAAATGCGTCGCATAGCGACCGTAACGTAATGATGTGGTCGACGTTTACGATTTATTTTGTATATGGATCGATATCTAAAATGAAGCCAAACATAAGCTGTGTGCGGCATGATGTCGAAAATTGAGTGGATGGGGGGAGGCGACCAGTCGCGGTTTTGAACCAACAGCAGCAGCTGCTGCCGCCGACCGAATACTTTTCTCCACTCTTTCCTCCCTTTACAAAGACGATCATGGCTGGCGATGACGAATTCTACGTCCGTTACTAGTGAGTAACGCTTTCAAGTTGCATTTCACAGGTCACTGACATGCTTTTACTACTACACAGTTCCGGACACAGAGGAAGATACGGCCACGAGTTTTTGGAATTCGAGTTTCGAGCAGACGGCCACTGTCGCTACGCCAACAATTCCAACTACAGGAACGATAGTTTGATCAAGAAAGAAAGTAAGCATCTCATCCCTTGAACAAGGCACACAATCAACAAAGTAAAAGTATGGCAAGGTTACTCAACGTGTGGATACGTGTCATTATAGTGCATGTCAGCCCTGCCGTGTTGCAAGAATTAAAGCGCATCATTGAAGATAGCGAAGTCATGAAGTATGGATCAGCTTTTGTTGTTGACTGGTATCACTTTACTGACGCGGTATGTGATGGCATGGATCATATAGGGAAGATGACAGCCAATGGCCCACCAAAAACGTCGTTGGAAGTCAGGAGTTGGAAGTGCGATTGGGCAATGAGCACATCTCCTTTGAGGCAAGTATTGAATGGATTACAGGATTATAGTGTGGATGGGTGTATACAAGCAGCCATGTATTAACACTCACACATAGACATCCAAGTTGGGTTCCCTAGTTGAAGTGCAAGAGTCTCAAGACCCTGATGGTCTCCGTATCTTTTATTATCTTGTTCAAGATCTCAAAGCATTCGTGTTTTCATTGATTTCTTTGCATTTCAAGGTATGGTGATGATGTGGATCTTTTTGTGATTCGAGATCTGGTTTCTCACATTTTGCAATTATAGATCAAGCCAATTAGCTAAATCAGATGGTGGTAACATACATGGGAGAATAAACGTGAATACAAACAAAGTGTATGGATGGATGGCTGTATAATCGACAATGGTGAATGAGTCAATTAAGGAGCTTGAGTCTTTGTCCAAAACGCCCGCATTGGATCGTCATTGTTACATACGAGCTAGCGGTTCATTCTCTTGTTTCACTCTCAGGATATGAGTCTTCCATTGCATAGGCTAAATGACTTACAAATCAATCGTTGGCCTATCTGTAAATGCCATCTCGTAAACATAGGGCAATGTGTAAACGCATCGTTGTTGTGGGGCAAAATTCATGCACAACATGCGGCAGCTGTCATTCTCAATAGCGTATGTGCCTTTTTGATTGAGGCTATATATTATTCATGGGTGAACGCATGTGCAGTTTATTGGGATAGATTACAAAATAAGCAAGCAAACTCACGTATTTACAACCAGTACTATGAATGAATGGTAGTATGGCAAGATGGTGTAATGAAAGCACTGTACAGGGGATTAGGCGCGATATTAATTGTTGGTTCAAAATGATCCGTAGGTGGCAGCCAATATTTCTTCGAGAACATTGTCGGAAACAAAGTTGCTGTCCCTGATGGTTGATGTAGAATTGTCGTCTTGTCGAGATCGGTTTTGATCATTCGTAGTTTGTGGCATGTCTGGTGTTGTTGTTTGGCTTGTGGCAGCCAATATTTCTCCCAAAACGTCATCAGGAACAAAGTTGGTGTCATTGCTAGTTGATGCAGAGTTGTCTTGTCGAGGTCGCTTTGGATCACTGGTAGTTTGTGGCATGTCTTCTGTAGTAGTCGTCCTTTTGTTGCTGCCATTTTCTTGAGGTGGTTGCTGTTGTTGTCGTTGTTCCTCTTCATCTTCGTCATCACTAATCAGGCTAATAACATTGGGCGGCTCTGCATCAGGCTCTGTTTTTGCTGACACGGGTGGACGGCTGGTGGCGTTTTCACAAACAATGGCAGCATTCGAGTCATCAACGGCATCTTTCTCATCGTCTCCTTCTCCATTCTTGATCACCTTGTAATGGTCACAATCCTCCTCAAACTCTACCAATTCCACGTTGTCACCCAAATCATTCAAGAGCTTCTCCATGAATCCATCTCGCGTGATCGTTGTCGGTGGTATATACTCGTTGCAAATAGGGCATTTCCATTGAGGATTCTCTGACGTGATGGAAAGGTATGACATCATATCAAAACACTAAACACACAATATCAGTCAATGTTGATTCATGTCAACAATGATCCCGTAATACTTACATCAGGATGCTTGCACTTCTCGCCCTTGACAGGTACCTCAATCCGCTTCATAGATACTGGACATGAAAGTTTTATGCGTACCACACGTTGCATCACTTGAATGTCATCGTCATCGCTTGCCGCTCTATTCTTTCCCAGTAGCGTGTTGATGATATTGCGTCCCACATCCACATCCAATCGTTTTTTCATGATGGTTTGCTTTAACATGGCTTCTGTTTCACGTGCAAAAATAATGATTGCAAACCAATGCGACTATATCCATATCAAAGTTAGATTATGATCCATTACTTTGTTCATATAACACTTACGCATGCACATTCTGGTTGATGGATTTGCAAGAGATTTCTCCCTTCCACCAAATAATTCCCCAGCTCCACAGGTCGATCTTTTCCTCGATAATGAACCGCATCTTGGGTACGCACTTTTTGACGCTATAATAAAAAGAGCACGTTTTAGAGTCTAATTCCTTCATGATGATGGATGATATGACTTACCCTTGTAATAGCAGGTGCCCTACCATTAATGGTAACACCAATCTTGTCAGGCCATTCACACTTGCTTTGAGGAGTCCCATCTCGCCAAGAAGTCAACACAAACGACAATGGATGCTTAACATGATCTGGTGGTGCCGTCCCTTTCCATAACCTTTTGAACGCATCGGCGCCCACAAAGAAAGGCGTAACAGTGTAAACTTTTTGATGCTGTAACCTGAAAGGCGATACGGCGTCATTGATGCGACGAATGTATTTGTATGGATTGATGATTCCCCATTCTTGTAAAAGTTGAGCTGTCGAGATTTCAGGCATCATGATTTGCTGGGGAGGTTGCGTATTTTGTTGTTGTTGTTGTTGTTGCTGTTGCTGTTGTTGCTGTTGCTGTTGGGGGACATTTTGGTAAGGTGATGGATATAACTGTGCAGGTAAAGGTTGCCGATTTAATTGCTGTTGGAGCATTGTAGCATTGGGTGGTGGAGGTTGTGGAGGTTGAATAGGAGCATGGCTGATCGGTTGCTGCTGTGGTGGTGGCTGTTGCCTTGTAGGTATCTGTTGCTGTTGCTGTTGTTGTTGTTGTTGTTGTTGAAGTAGAGCTGCTTGAAGCAATGATTGTTTGATTAATTGTTGTTGAATGTGCTGTTGATACTCAGGCGAAATTATCGCAGAAGAAGATGCGACAGATTGTGGTTGTGGTTGCTGTGGTTGTTGGATGTGAGAATGAGTATGAGCTTGAGATTGTGGAGAGCTTTGCGTGGGGGATGATGCAGCATTTGTTGATGGGCTTGGTGATACTGGAGTCATAGGAAGAGGTCGACCTGTGGCAGCTAAATGGATATCATTATACATTCTTGAAGCAGCAGCTAAGATAAGATCGTATATTAGTCATGAGCCTCATTTCCAATTGAATGTTTGAATGCTTACCTTGGGAACTTTCAGATAGATACTGCCGGAATTTGTGTATGCGTTCCATGATGCACAATGCAGACCACAAACCCATTGCCTTGTTCTGGTGAGCCACCTTTAATCACAATGTGAGATGTCTCGATGCGTAAATAAAGATTTCTTTATCATACTTACCCCCGCACACCTCATCAGAGCTGCTTCATTGGATGGATGATAAGCACGTCTATCTGAAAGCCATTCACGAAATTCATCACATGCTGGACCATATGTCGCTTCTGATTGCATTTCTTGAGCCAAAGCAGCAAGTCGCTTATTGTTTCGCATATAAATATCGTGGACTTGTTGTGCTTGTGTTGGTATAATTGGAGACGAGGTGGTGGATGATATAGTTGAGGTCTGGTTGGGAGATGCAGAAGATGGTTGCACTACAGGAGCTGAATAACCTGCTTGCGTGGCACTTGGGGATGTCGGCCATTGGCCTTGCGTCGTTTGTGGAGAATTATTGACACTTTGCATAGGTAAAGCCGTAGTGGGCGAGGCTATGGATCCTTCTAGTATTAATCCATCATACCCAAGATCATACCTTCTCCCCAATATCATACCTGGATTATATACAACCCCATTACGCTGTTGATATCGCTGTTGAGTAGCCCACGCATTCGTTTGCTGTTGTTGCTGTTGTGGGATAGGCTGATATGGAGACTGCGGCTGCGATCTATACATGTTGTGCTGATTCCAGCCTAGTTGGTCATTGCGCGTGTGTTACTAATCTGGACATTTGCACCACCATGAGGGAGTCGAACATACCTTGAGTTAATTGTATATTGTTAGGCTGATATTGACCTTGGTTACTCATGTTTGCACAGCAGCGGATGGCCGAAATCAGCAGAGCACCAGTGGGTGTCAGGGTCAACTGTATCGATTATGGGAAAGAGAAATAGTGATTGGTAGCTCCGTTCCACTCGCAATTTTGTACGCCATCAAAATCAACCCCACACCACCCAACCCCCAGCTGCCCACCCACCACCCTCCTTGACACACAAACCATACACATTCATATACGCCATTGAACATTCATCTTTTTTATGTATCAATCATACTCATTAATCTTTCTCCACTATTCTTTGCAAATGATCATCAATCTCCTCCACTGAAAGAGTACGGAAATCAGGTTGATCCTTCTCCACAATGCCAACTTCAATTTCAGATGCCTTGAAATCCACTGCTAACACTGTCGAAAGTGTGGTGATTGCCAACTAAGAAAAAGGATTCATAAGCATACATGTTCAGTATCTCCCCCTCCCTTTGACACCTACCTCGATAGTATCTTCCATGTTGAGTGTTGGGTTCTTTTTCAACTTCTTCTCAAGATGATTCAAGGACTCTTGTTGCTTGGCACCAGCTGATGTAGCCTTGTATCCAACATAGTAACCAGCAGGATCAACCTTGAAGAGTTGGGGACCCATTTCATCATCATAACCAATCAAGATCATAGCTGTTTTGTATTCATTAATACCATTATCCCTTACTTTCATGCATCAACACAATTCCCCTTTTACTTACAAACACCAAGAGGTCGCATAGCAGCTTGTTGAGTATACACTTGATTGATATTGGCGACACGCTTTGCAAGCATATCGGCTGGTATCTCGTAACCATACTTGTAGCGGAATTCAGCAGCCTCTTGACGTGCTCTGGTTACTTGTGAACGAGCGTCCGCTGAGAAAGTATAGACATTAAATGATAGCTCCACATTGATGTTGATATAGCCAATAAAACATACCAATCATGCCGGTCATGACACATCCAATCTTGGGCGTGAGTTTGAAGACGTGTGTAATAGTAGAAGGATCAAGCAATTTGTCCTTTGGGCAAATCGAACCAAATGAGCGTCATGTTCATGTCAATACTCGAGTGTCGTTACTTACAGGCACCTTCTTTTGAGTGACGATAACGCATCCGTCTTGTCCTCGCACACCCACAGAGGTGATGCCGCTGTTAGAAATGGCCTTGAAGGCGTACTCTGTTGGCCATTAGTCCCTGTACTTTGTTTGTGTGCTCAAGTCGAGATGAGATAGCAACCTACCGACTTGATATAATCGACCTTCAGGTGAAAAGATAGTAATGTGACGATCGTAACCAGCACTGGAGCCTCGACTCATGGTGTATAAATGGCGTAAGACGAGAGAAAAGAGTTCAAGTGTGTGTGTAGTGTAGCAAGAGGTTTCCCCTTCAATCTCTCTTAAACTACGCGTTTCGGCGCACACGCAATTCCCAATAGCAAACGTCATGCTTGCTGAGTTTGTAACGCACACACACACACACAGGATCACGACTCCATGGATACTGCATAGCAACCACAATCCATCATTTATCTTTGCAAGAGAAACAAAGGGATCAAACCCATGTGCTTAAATTTCATTTCAAAGTAGGTAGGGTGAACGCTATGACAGGGAATATGGAAGGATGTATTAAATGGGAGTAGTCTCACGCTTGAGCCAAGCAACGGCATCGGGATCGGAAGCAACCAAAGGTCCAATCTTGGCCAAACACTCGGCATGATAGTCGTTGACCCACTTCTTTTCATCAGGCGAAAGCAACTCCTTGTCAATCAAATTGAGACCAATGGGCACCAAAGTCACGTGCTCAAATCCAAGGTAACCACGATCACCAAAGTTGTGAGGTGTATCAGCCTTTCGTACGATCAACACATTCTCGATACGGATACCAAATTTGCCATCTTCATAGTAACCAGGTTCTAATGCAAGCAGTAGTCTTAGTAAAGTGGCTCATACACATACGTTGTAGAAGAAGCTTACCATCAGTGACTGTCATGCCAACAGCAAGAGGTGTGTCATTGTATGCAATACGCACGCCGATACCTTGGGGACCTTCATGCACATTCAAGAACGAACCAACACCATGTCCAGTGCCGTGACGGAAATCAAGACCATCCTTCCATAGTGCGTGGCGAGCAAATGGATCAAGGAGGAAACCAGTGGTACCTTGTGGGAATACAGCACTGTCAACAGCAATGTGACCTTGAAGAACACGAGTGAAGCAGCGCTTTTCGTAGGCAGTGGGTTCGCCAAAGTGGTATGTACGAGTGACATCAGTGGTACCATCCTTGTATTGTCCACCAGAATCACAAAGGTAGATTTGCTTGATATCAATGACCTTGCAAGTCTCTTTTTCAGGCTTATAATGAATGATAGCGCCATTCTCACCAGTGGAGGAGATCGTATCAAAGGAAAGACCCACATAGTCGGCTTGTTGTGCACGGAAGCTTTCAAGCTTATCAGCACCATCCACTTCATCCAACTTGGTACCAGCCTTGAGTTGATTCTCCAACCATGCAAAGTAGTGCACAAGTGCAGCTGCATCACGCAAATGGCAATCACGCATACCCTTCAATTCAGCATCGTTCTTGATAGCCTTAGCATCGTTAATGAAAGATCGCTCCTCTTGTACATTATCCTGTAACATATAAAAAAACCGGATTAGCCCTATCCATTAATGGATTGATCCATGTAATGAATTACCTTGCCAGCAGCCACTTCCACAGCCAAACTAGTCTTTGAGTTGGCAATCAACTTTTCACCCGAAGCAGCAAGAGTCTCGCTCAACTTGCGTAAATCATCAAAGATGGCATCATAAGGCTTGAGTGTGACATGGCTACCAAGATGTTCCTTGACGGCATCAGGCACCTTTGCAGGATCAACGTACAAGACGGCATCAGCCTTGCTGATAATGGCGTAAGAGTAGAATACGGGGTTGCACTCGACATCGGATCCACGGAGGTTAAAGAGCCATGCAACTTCATCCAAAGCAGAAACAACAACACCATAAGCTCCCTTTTCAACAATGTATTTGCGTAAATCCTCCAACTTGTCAGCATGAGATTTGCCTAGTTGTAATGATGTAGCACTGTTAGTATTCAAATAAAGTAGTTTCATCCATAAAGAAACATGAACACCCACCTGCAAACGTGATAGGTTGAACGATGACGTGATCCTTGGGTGCTGATGGGCGTTCTGCGCCCCATGCTTTATCAACAAGGTTATCATGAATCACCACGAGGGAAGATCCCACGGTCGAAAGAGAAGAAGAAAGTTGACGAGCATCCGCTAATAAAGTCCATGAATACCCTGAACAACATGATCAAGCATTCCTTTCATACTTACAAGCAGTAATCAACTTGGGATCCACACCAATGCGCGAGCCTGCAGGCAAATTCTAATATACGCGTGTCGTGCCAAAATTTCAATCACCGGTCTACTCTCTCCGCATAACAAACAGAGCAAGATTTACCTTAACGAGATACTCTTGCCAAGTTGGAACACCGGGAAGTCCTTGTTTCATCAGGGTCCAGTTGGAATCCAGTTGTTCGGAAGCTTGCAAAAAATATCTGCCGTCGGTGAAGAGTGCTGCTTCGTGGGTCGATACAATAGCAAAGCCTATAACCCATCTTACCGTGAGAAAATGGCTTTCGTGTAAAAAAGGACGTCTTACATTACCTGCAGAACCCGTAAAACCCGAGATCCAGTGTCTGCGTTTGTCACAGTCAGCAATATACTCGCTCTATTATCGTTGGTGTTAGTATTGTTTCGTGTATGTGCATGTTGAAAGGTACTTACTTGGTGAGAGTCTTCAGAAGGAATAAGGCTGGTATGGGTGCATATCAGTTTGACTGTGTCGTTGTCCATGCGCGATTAGAACTTACAAGGCGTCGACATTGTACTCTTGCGACTTCATTTGCGCGCGCAGCGCGGCCAAACGATCACCTGTGTGGACTGCCATGTTAAAGAAACGGAGGAAAGAGAGCTACGACAAAATGCGGAGCAAAGGAATGCCGTCTTATACGCTGTGTGACGTATCGAGCTGAGGTGGACAATGCTGCTGCAGCCGCCATAATCATGCCATTACTTTGTTGACTGCTGCTAGTTATCTTGTGCATCCACAATATCCGTGATACCTGATTTATAGGATGAAATGATCTTTGCAGCTATATAAAACTTCATCATTGTTGGCAGTCATCGACTTCAATAACGAGAAGATAGTAATGTGAATGCCTAAGCTATGTCATGTGATCGTTGGCTCATCCACGAAGCGAATAAACTCCTATTGATTATGAATCTATGTGAATGATCCCTTTTCAATGATGCTTGTCTATGTTACGAGATACATGGTCACAAGGATACGCAAATGCATTCTTCACTTTTAAAGTAGGGCATTGCTCCCACATGATTGTATAATTGTATGCGTGAGATTTTACCCACTTGGAGATGAAAGAATATGCACCATACATAGAAGGTCGTCATCATCATACTTTACACTTCAATAGAGATGAAAGGCCAAATGCTTTTTATAGGCAATCTCTTAAGAGGACAATCCCACCATCATTCCTCCTAAGCAAATGCTAAAAGCCGATAGCATAAGGTGGTATTGGATTGAGCAGTAATAAAACTAGTTGTCAACACCCATCATCGTTAAAACATAGGCAAATCGATGGCTTTGCTAATGCAGCTATGTGGTTTAGGTGATCCATGACATGTATTGCTATTGTTAGATTCCTACATTCTTTGTCCAAAAGATGCCAAAAGCTATACTTGAATGCGTAATGACATCTTCAAAAAGGTTATGCATAGCATAGTGTCATGGCATGGATTATGTCTCGGTAGTTACCACCTTGCAGCACATCATGTCACAATGCTATTTGTGGTGGACAGGGACCAGGCGCTTATGTTATTACCCGTGTAATCCTGTGTCACCTGGCCCTTACCCCTTACGCAATACCATCCCTCCCCCCAAATCTTTTATAGTCTAGTTGGGGGAGATGAGTAGAAAAGGGGGGCATATCAATAGATGACTAGGGAAGATGCATTTCCCATGAACAACTTTTCCACTAGCGTAATTCATTGGTTATCTCTATTGGTATAATGTGTTTATGGTAATCGAGTATCATGAAAGGTATGGATAATCTTTTTACAGGATCGGGCCTGATGCGCAATTGCAAATGGACAAACCCCAGAATTCGGTGAGCGTGGATTGGCTGTGTTTCCATTGGTCTAAAAATGCAGGATAGGGGGAGATCATATTTTCTCTTACACTCGTGCCTGCAGTGAGCACAGCATTATTGTGATCAGGGAGAGATTTAAGCAATGTATGTTTTTTCTTGTCATTGTGGATACCTACCATACAAATGTAAAAGTTGTACACCTAGCAGCAGTAGTCATTGAGGACGTTCTTTTGGATGATGTCTCGTCGTTGTTGTTTCCATACTTGCGAAGGTCGTCTCGTACTTTTTCGTGGCTAAGGTTGAACATGTCAGCTCTGTGCAACGTATAATACGTAACACCCTAAACGATGCCTATGGTTTCGCTGCAATGTGTTTTGTTAAATGTTGTATCATCAAATGCCGGTGGTGGGTTGTTGATGGGCAAGGACAGCTTGCATAAACAGGAAAGTCTGTCGATTGTTGTCATGAATGCAAATGGGAGGCAACATCTTTATCAAGCTCTTTAATGGATTACACATTTAAAAGACACCACGTACAAGCCTTGTCATAAAGAGATATGAAAAGACAATGAATTATTGTTATTACTACTAGAGGATGGCGGGATAACAAAATGAGCATGTCTTAGGATAAGCAATAGAGACGATCATGGTAGAATGGATGGATCAACCCGACTCATGGCCGAATATGACAAGACATATATGGGAGAGCGAGATACCACACATACACATTTGTATAGATACACGAGGGCAAAAGAGCGTTGTTATGCACCACTGAGTGTCTTGCACTTTTCCTTTGTAACTCCGTGTGGTTGTGTGTGCGTGCGCTAGGCCATCCATCATTTGCCCCTTCCCTTTTCTCTTCCTCTCTCTTTCTCTCTCTCTCTCTCTTTTCTCTAAGTGTATGCATACACTTCATTGCTCGTCATGTCACAAGTCAAAGCTTCTCCACCTCCACAAACACAATCACCCTTCTCTCTCAGTCACAGTAACCAAGACTTGCACTCCACCCATCGCATAATGACTCGTCGGGCAAGCCGATCAGCACAATCAAGTTCCACTCCTTCTACTACTAAGCACGACACTATTCAGGAGAACGATATCACTGACTCGGAACCCATCGGTCGTATGACAACACGCTCTCGGTCAACCGACGTGAATACCCAAACATCATCTTCTGCAGAGGAATCCTCATCCACCAACAATACTACCACTACTCCATCATCCAATGCAACCACCAAACGCCACGTGCGTACAAAAAGAGTGACAAAGCCATCACCTTCCTCCTCCTCGTCTTCACCCACTAATACATCCATGCGACGGAGGCGAGCTGCTGCAAACAAGGATACGAAACCCGCTGGGATGATGAATGCTATCAAGCAACAAAGGTAAACAAAATGGCATCCATTGAATCATTCTTGTTGCTAAGCAACGGGTAATTAGGCTAGCTGAACTTGATGAGCTTGAGCAATCTATTTTGAATGGAACACATGAAGAGTATCAAGAGCGTATGGCAGATGCAGAAAAGAAGCGCATGGATCAACGACGAATCGCCGAACAACGGCGTCATTTGGAGGAGGCTGATATTCGGCATACATTTGATGCCTGTAAAAAGGCGGCTTATGACCAATTTCATGTAAGTTGTCCATTGTGCTGCACCACCCCAGGTCATAAGAGTAACACATTTATACATTCCCTTTTTTGTTATGTAGCAATCTAAAGCTGCCTTGCGTAAACAAATGATCACCCAAGTCCAGGCTCAAATTAAACGGCTTGAGGAGGAATGGCATTCTCGTCAAGGTAAGGATAAACATTAACACACCCACACGCACGCACGCACGCACACACACATACACAAATTTGAATCCGGGGTTGATCACATGACATTTTAGGTTTCCCTGCCGACGACGATCAGGAAATTTTTGATTGGGTGCCACCCGACCGACAGACTTCAATTCATATCCTTTTTTTTGTGCAACCTAATATTAGCTCAGCATACTTTCAGGCACCATCATCATCATCATGTCATTGATATCCTTAACTCTTTCTTGATACATTGCGAACCGATAGGTCTTTCCACCGATGAGATTATGGATGATTTGAAAATAGCCACCGCTGTACCTTACTCCTGAATTTATCGTCGATCCTGTACAGAAGAAAACAATCGCCCCATTATTACTTCACCACCACAAACAAAACACACATACACCACCACCCATTCAATCGCATCTGCTCATTCTGCCTTCTTTCTATCCTCTCTACTTATCATTTATACCTTGCAGTCACTCAATATATATGCTTTGGACAAAGTTTGGTAATGAATGCATCATGCAAAAGGGACGTAGCAGGCTCAAAAAGTCAATGTTGTTATACTACAATTGACCTAGGATCGATATGCAACAATCGCCCACTCCTACATTAGATCCATCATCCCCTTATTGTTCCAAGGATATGTATGTCTCTCTTTACACACATACCCCCCTTTGCTATTATTACCCCCCACCTTCACTTTCCAAACCCTTTGATGTTGTTGAATAAAGCAAGTTTATGAGTGAGATAGATGCTATTACTATTTACAAAATGCCCCAAAGTTCCTCGACACTGCCTGCAATTTTGCCACATGCGACCGATGCTGATAGTGAATATTCAGAAACACTAATCTTATCATCCACATACGAGTCTGCGAAATCATCCGTGCCATGAGCCATTGCACCAACAGCAACCACAATGGACTTGTCACTGGGGATGGTTGGGAGGTATTCGGACAAGCGAACTGTGGGAGCATCCCATGAGAGTGCTTTAAAAAGGATTGTTGTTAGCATTTGGATGAGGTATTCAATCGATCAAACGTACCAATCTTATGGCTGTTCATGGGAAGATACTTTTCGACAGGGTTTTCAATCACACGCAACAGCTTTTCGTTGCCATTGACAGCACGAATACTCAACTTGTGAAGTAATTGTACTAATGTGCACTATGTCAGATACCACTCATATAGAGCCCTTTGCCACATGCCCACTTCCTTCCTTACCCATTAAACCAGCAAAACGCTTGAATGTTCTAGGAATTCTGATATGTGGGTTGACTTCAATCAATACGTTCTTGTTGGTGTGAATAAAGACTTGCAAGAGACCAGCCTTGTTGATAGGACTATCCAGCAGGGTCAAAAGGCACTATTTTCATACCATGGTCAGCTGATCATTGCCCAATGACATAGAGTAGACAGTACCTGATGCAGGATATCGGGTCGAGCCTCATATGCTTCTCGTCCATTCTTTTTAAGGATATGTTGGTGGTCATCGACATTGAGTAGTTGGTAGTTTCCTTCTTGTTTCTTGCCAATCTTGAGGGTCTCCAAGGTAGCCTGCTCCAAGACGACGATCAAGCGACGAGTCTTTTCCTTCTCGGCCATGGTCTTTGGCACCTTGGGAGCTTGGGGCACCATATGAACATCGACATTGCGAGTATCACCGACCTTGATGCGCTTCGATGGTGGCTGTTGTTGCTGATGCTCGTTACGATCAGGGCTGCTACTCATGTCTGGGGCTAAAAGAAAAAACTCTGGGTGATTACCAAATCAAGACCGAGCATGAATTAACATCAAAGTAAGCTTCAAAGCCACCTATTCTGTGTCATCTTCTTTTCGTTTGTTGCCACTTTTATATATATTTATATACCCTCTCTCCCCGAATTCGCCTTGTACATGTCGAAGCATCTGCTCTCACCCGATGATCACGATCGACACAAGAAACGAAGGAAGAAAACGACTCACGACAAGAACCAACAGCCTTCGTTACTCGAACAACTCCCATATGAACTCTTGACGACCATATTCATACAATCATCCAATGCACAACTGCCACTCGTCAACCGTACATTCTATTATGCCTTGTATCAATGTCCTGAAGATGTCAAAGTACAATGGCTGTTACACCGAGACAACTATGCCATGGGATTGGCACTTGAACATGGACTACGTTACCGATTCTTTAATCAACGACTACTCGAACGCTTTGATGCCATGCATGGAACCCCGATAAGATTAGATAACAAGATGCTACCGCCTCACTTGTTTGCTGAATGTGATCCACAACGACATGATCTTGTTGTCAAATTACTTGAACGAGGTGCTTCACCACACAAGCCCCAAGGATACCCGCTCATCAAGTCTGCGCAGATTGGTCACCTTCCGATGATCAAGTCGCTTGTAGCTTTTGGTGCTGACCCCACTGCCAAAGACAACATGGCTCTTCGCGTATGTGCTGCTCGTGATAACAAGGAATTGGTAAAGTACTTTTTATCGGATCTCGGCGTCAAACCCGATAGTGAGACTCTCAAGGCATGTGTACGCAAGGATCTCTGGGATATGGTCAACCTTCTCATCGCTCATGGTGCGGTCCCTGATCTTTCTACTATCAATTGTACATAATATTATTGCATTTTCGTCATTCTGTATCATATAAACTATTAATAGAAAATATCTAAATCATCATGATAACAATGAAAATGGTGGGATCTTTATACGATGTGCATCATTATTAACAAAGAAGGGATCGGATGCTCATTTCTAATGTGCGATTGTTCTCTACGGCTCCAATGGCCTTGTCATTATTAGCAGCCATATGGGTGACGAGGGGTTGGCTCATGCATCGATTCCTTGATTGAGCTGCCGATGCAGCTGCATTCAACATGCTGCTGGATGTTTGTAAAAAGTATTGCGTAGTAGGATGATTCACAGTGGTTGCTGGTGCTGTTCTTAGTGTGGGGCTTGGACATATTAAAGATGCTGATGACGATGGTTGATTGAATGTGGGTCGAATATCCAAACCACGTGTAGGTGCAATATTAACTTTGGGTGGTGATGATGGCATATAGGATTGACTTCCAAGACGAATCCGTGGTGGTGAAGGGCTAAATCGTGTAGGTGGTGTCTTTGGACGCTGGTTGTTGAATGATGATATAGAAGGTGATGATGGTGATGGCGATGATGATGTTGACGATGACGACGATGACGATGACGTGTTCAATGTACGATGGAGAGGTAAGGTTGGTGATGATGATGATGCTCGTGGGGTGTTGGAAGACTTTCTCAATTGAGCAAGTATATAAAGTTTAGGTAAAGTTGATGGTTGCGCTAAATCAGCACCTAGACCTCCTCCAACTGAAATAGCAATTTCGAAAAGCTCATCCTCACTGCCACACCTTTTCTTGATCCTCAAAGTATCCGTAAATGTGCTTGCTCCTGATGCAACAGTGGCCAGCTGTTTGAATGTGGTTGTATGGAAAAGATCGGATGTTGTGCGCTGTGTCGTGGGAAGGATTCGTTGTCGTCCAATCTCAAGCACATTATCCAATAGCAATCGATGTAATTTGGATAATCGATCGGTGTCCTTGCTGGATACAAAATCGTATAGTGACCGGTGTGCCAGCTCTTGTGGATAGTAACCCCACATTTCAGTCACCTGCTCACTCACACGTGCGCAACATACATCCATCGATAGCACCAATGTCGCCATGGTAGGATTTTGATCATCCAATGATACTTTGCTGTTGTTGCTGTTACTTGTTGTCGTCGTTGTAGGCATGGGTGATGATGATGATGTCGTTACCATGCCATCCATACACATATCCATTGAAGTAGGGTGTCCTCCTTGTTGCTGTTGCTGGTGGTCTGGAACACCTTGTGGATGATGATTGGCATGAAAGGTAGCGTTGTGATGATTGGTCGCAGGTAAAGAGGCGTATGCATTAGTAGCATCATCCAATGGTAGCATATCATCAAAAGGTAGCATATAATTCTGCATCATGGCGTCTCCAGAAAAAGTCAGCTCATCAAATGGGAATTGCAGCCCATCCAAGTCCAATGGGTGATGCAAGAATTCGTGCGTTGGATTATCATTATTTGTTGATTGCAGCATGGATGATGCAGCTGTTGATGGCGATGATGTTGTAACAGGTGGTAACGATGCGTGGAATGCTTCAACCGTCTCCTGGATAATGATAGGCTCAGCAGGTTGAATAGCACGTTGCTGTTGTTGAGATGAAGTTGTTGTTTGATGAACAGCTGCTGTTGGTGAAGAAGACAAAGAAGAGGTGGATGGGTGGTGTTGTGTTGCCATGGCAGCCGTAGTAGCCGTGGTAGTAGTAGATTCGGTGGCAAAGGTGGGTGTGTGAATAGTACCACACATGACCTCGTAATCACTCTTGTTGCCCGATTGCTTGTCACGAAGGCGTGGGCGACCTCGTTTCTTGTGTTTAATGTCGTAGCATGTGTCTGATTTACCGAGAGCCACACAACGCTTACACGGACGTGATACTAATAGGAACAAAGCCAAATAAAGTCAAACATGTAAGCAAAAATGGTAATCTTCCGTTTGTGCTGTGGGATTTACCATCGCATGCCAAATGGGCTTTTTTGCAGTTGACACCTAATTCCGGAAATAATGAGTAACCTTGCAATATTTCTCATCCGGAAAATGATCGGTCCAAACCGTATACTTACATGCACTCGGCACATGCGATTTGTATCCTCGCTTAGCAGGGATTGTACTAGTATTGCTGCTGCTTTTCTCGGATGATGGATTCAAGCCCCCTGATGGTGTTGGTGTTGGCGTTGGTGGAATAGGACTAGTCCGCTGGTGTGGTATTGGAGCTATGGTGGGCAAAGCAGGGGCAATGTCAAGGGTCATTGTTGTCGAGGGGTTGAATTGTAACTGGGAATGTTGAATAGAGGAATCGATAGGGTAGAATGACTCGGTCAGTGTTGTCAAAGGTTGTTGCGTGAAAGAAGGAGGAGGAGGACCTTGCATAGTTGATAAAAAGGTAAAAGAGAAAATAGAGCCACCGTTCATCCCCACGGGTCAACCTAAAAGAAATGCGGGGGTTGGCTTAAGAGAGCGTCACTTCCCGACCTTTCCAGTTTACTCCACTACTACACGTTGCATTGACCCAAACATTTGACACCCAATTTGATTGGCTTGTATGTATAAACGACGTTCCTGAAACAGGTGATTGATCGTACAAAAGTTGATTGAATAATACATCAGCCGTGTGAAAATACTATGCACCTATTTCCATGGAAATGAGACCTGGGGAAATCGCACAAGGAATGAAGCGGCGATCCTACATAAAGTACCATGATTTGTGGTGGTGGTGGCGGGTCATGTTTTGTTCTGCTTACTTCCCGTATTACTCTAAACTCTTTTTGGTTATGCTATTTTCCGATTGGCCATAGTTCTCCACTGTTCAATACCATCCGACAGAGAGATTTTTTGTACCAGGAGTTTTCATCATCGTACCACTGCTACGAGAAACCTCCATGTATACACACATCCACACGCAACGTGGCTTTACGTTTATTAGTCCCTTTTCCTCTTCGCTGCACATTGCAAGCTGGGAAATCTTGTTTGTACATCCTCTCATGATCACGCCGCCCAACCTTGTCATGTAGGACATTGACATTACATAAGCTCATCTGAGTGTGTGACAAACCATAATAAATCTCATTCTTGAATCTATGCTTCCATTGGTGCCAGCATGTTTTATGGGAAATGCTCTCCCCTCCAAATATATGTAAACCACTGGGGTTGGATAGGAAATCCAAAAACATGAACACGATGAGACGACAATACAATACCCTCACCGAGACATTAATCATGGGATGAGCTGCTGGTATCACTGTAACTTCAACCAAAACCATAAGCAGCTCATTGCAAAAAAAAATGATCGGAGGTAAGATACGTACGGCGAATGTGGATGGTTACAGCCTGTATGCCGTGGATGGCCAATGGATACAATTATCCTTGTGGCGATCCGTGTAAACGTAAGTGCTATAGGTTGGCATCATATTCTACTACGTCATCCAGCATGAAAATCATCGCCTTCATCCCTGTTGACAACATTGATACGATAGTATGGCTCGAGCCACATCGATTCACATCTCACTCTTTCTTGAACGTAATGGATTAAACTTACAATGAACCAAGAGTCTTTTGCCAACCACCACTATGTTGCTGGGCATCATCACTCCCGAAATTTTTATCTTTCCAATACAAGCGTTCGAAAATTCCCACTCCCTTTCGTGATCAGCATGTAAATAAGGAAGATTTATCAAATGTAATTGTGTGGTGACAAAAGAACAAGAGCATTTCGATACGATGATGTAGTAAATGACCCAATTCCGCTATCCTTCCTACAAATCTAGTACTCCTTTCAATCCAGACACTAGCCAAGTGATCCACACCTTGCAGCTCCGAGCTGATAGTACGATAGCCAAAGAATCGTGTTGAATTCAATCTTCATTCAATTAAACGTCGACGCATACGTAGCACATGGTGTTGTGGATGTTTATCGAGTAAAAATGACAAGGGAACAAGAAGAGGGCACGGGCGAAACATATAGAGTCCATTGGTATCATTGTATTCTTGATTGTTGCTGTCTTAAGCATTCCTCATCCATGATTGCAAAATAGTTGCTGCATGCATTGACTTCTTGAGTATTCCCATACCATCCATAGCTGTAAAACACCTTCTTTCGTCAGAGACAGAGGGCCTTTTGTCAATGCCATCCAATCCACCATCACCCTTACCCCATATCCACATGGTGTGATCTTTCCTTCCTGCTAACGGCGTCCCAAGTAACCAAGGCGACATTCCGAGAATTTCTCTTCACTGCACTTGATTGCATCCACCCATCCAAACTGTTCCAATTCCAAATGTTGATTGAAAGAGCCACGTGATCGCTGTTGATATGCTTCCTTTTCAATCCTGATCTTCGTCTACCTCTTTCTTGGTCATCTCCATTGCAGCTCGACCGGGTGAAGAGTGCTTGTATTGTGATGTACATGATGGCTGATATCGAATCATTCGAATCCGTATGTAACAAAGCAAGTTGCTACACGTAAATATTGCTGCTTCTATACGATGGCTATCTGCTGTTCGCGTAGAAAAGCTGTAGGCAAGTTGCTGCAAGTAAAGAATGCTGTTTGAGACAATGGAGTAAAGACACATTGCTCATAGCAGTTGCTGGAATGAATGCTGTTACGTTTGATTGTGGCGGAGGAGCGTGTTGCAGTAGAGTGATAAGGTAGTGAATGCTGTTTGGAACAATGGCGTATAGACCTCGCTAATAGCAACTGCTGGAATGAATGCTGTAACGGTTGATTGCGGCAAAGAAGTGTCCAAGAGAGTGCGTAGTGTCAAGAGGCTCGTGTGTTGTAGAAGAGTGACAAGAAGGCTGTGTACACGCCATGAACTTGCCGTTCAGTCGAAGACAATCGGATCAAGGCATTCATAGGATTGACATGATGGGCTGAAGCAGGACAATTCGTTCGCAGGTGGTGGTTGTACTTGAATGGGGCCAATAGTTGAGAATGGGAGCAAGAGGGAAGAAGTTGAGAGTGGGAAGAGCTGTGAATTTAAAGGAGTTGAACTGAAGTTGAATGCTACTTCTTTGTTTGAGCGTAACTTGGTCAAATCCACTCGGATCATGAAAGTTAAATGATGGGCATGCTGGGCTGGAGCAAGACAATCGTTCGTATGCATTGGATTGGACAATAATGGAGAATGGGAGGAATGGGCTATTAGCTGGCAGTTTACAAATAACTTTGCAAAATGATTTTTCTCATATTGGGCGATACTTCTGTGTTTGAGCGTAACTCAACCAAATCCACTCGGATCAAGAAAGTTGAAGGATGGGCATGCTGGGCTGGAGCAGGAGAATCGTTCACGTGCATTGGATTGGGAAACAAAGATGATTGGGAGGAATGGGCTATGAAGTGGCAGTTTACGTATAACTAACCAGATAAATTTTTCTGATTTTGGATGATACTTCTGTGTTTGAGCATTTTTCAGTCAAATCCTCTCGGATCAAGAAACTTGAATGATGGGCATACTGGGCTGGAGCAGGAGAATCGTTCACATGCATTGGGTTGGGCAACAAAGGTGAATGGGAGGAATGGGTTATTAGCTGGCATTTATGAACTATTCCTAAATAGTGTACAAGTATCATGCATCGCCTGTGCTGACTGACTCAAGTTACACAACACGACCCTCTGCATCTTTTGCTCTGTCAGGGTCTAGCTACTTTACATTAAACAAAGACCACTTCTCATATAGCATCACGCTTACAAACATAAAGGTGCCTGTATCTCCGAACTTTACAATGAAACGTGGGGTTTTGAATAGAGCAATGTGCTCGGCTTGGCCAACAGCACCTTGGGTGCAAGTTTCAAGTTGATCGTGGCCAATCCCACATTTCGCAATGTCGCCACCAGCCAAAGTGAAACGAGTCGACCTCTTGAATTTCTTTTCGACGACCAAAAAATATTTTTTGGGCTGTTTGCGACATTGAACGTAAAACTTTCACACAAGGTGCTGTTGGCCAAGCCGAGCTCATTGCTCTATTCAAAACCCCACGTTTCATTGTAAGATTCTGAGTTATGGGAGTCTTTATGTTTGTAAGCGTGATGCTATATGAGAAGTGGTCTTTGTTCATTGTCAAGTAGCTGGACCGTGGCAGAGCAAAAGATGCAGAGGGACCCCTTTGTGTAACTCAGCTACTTTGCATGGCTGCAAGGATGGAAGGATGATACTGTATACTATTGACAATAGCCGATACATTGCGAGCTAACAGCCACTTTTATCCAATCGACATTGTTGCAAAATCTATTGCATGGGAACGATGCTCCTGCTCCAGCCGAGCATTTCCATCATTCAAGTTTCTTGATCCGAGCCGATTTGGCTGCGCTACGCCCAAACAGCGAATCTGTAAATTAATGAATCGCAGACCCTGCGAATGTCTCCGTCTTTCAAACTTTTGGACTCTCCCATTCCAAATTTTCAAATGAAGCGCGAGGTTTTTATTAGAAAAAGTTGATCAGCATGCTCGAGAGCACCCATCTGACCAATTTTCAAGTTGGAGGTGGGCAACTTCGGGGCGGTGGGCCGTTCGCTCTTTATTGCCCGTCATCCACCATTTGGACACCCCCGCATTTTAAATCTTCACAATGAAGCCTGCGTTTTTAATTGAATGAAGGTGATCAGCATGTTCCAGCGAACCTCCTGACAAAGTTTCAAGTTCGAAATGGGGAATCCCAAGGTAATACATACTATTTCGATAAATCATGGATCTGACGCTGACCTCCATTTCCGACTTACATAGTAAATCCACATTGTACCCTCCCATTCTAAATTTTCCAATGAAGCATGAGGTTTTTATTAGAACAACCTGATCAGTATGTCCAAGAGCACCTTGTGTGAAAGTTTCAGGATCAAGAGGGGTATCTCAATATCAAGGATTGATGTACAGTGTTCATGCATTTATACAAGATGAGGCGTACGCTATTTAATTTCCACTCCTTCCACTCCCACAACTTCTTGTCTCTTCCTCCCATTCTCAACTGTTGCCCCATTCCAGTATACAACTACCACCTACGAACGATTGTCCTGCTTCAACCCATCACGTCAATCCCGCAGCTATCTTGATCCGATTGTCTCTGACTGAATGGCAAGTCCAGGGCGTCTGCACCCCACTACAACAACACACCTTCCTTGATACAACACACACTATTGCACACTCCTCTACCACGACCAATCGTAACAACATTCATTGCAACAATTGCATTAGTAAGGCCTTTACTCCATTGCCTCATACAGCGTTTTTTACTTGCAGCAACTTGTCTTGCGGCCTTGTCACGTGAACAGCAGATAGCCATTGTATAGAAGCGGCTTCGTTTATGCATAGCAACTTTGTCCAATACATACGACTTCTTGTTGTTAATATGAATATGGATCTGAATACTGGTTTGGTGTATGGGATGGAAGGAAGTGTATACATTGTCTGGTTTGGTTCCCTTGGCCCATTTGGAGCGTGATGTCTATTTTGGATGACGCGCTATCAGCCATCAACTACGCCACAATACAAGTAACCTTTAGCTGGTTGAGCTGTGATGGAAAATGACCAAGAAAGGGATTGACCAACAGGTGGTTGGAAAAGGAAGGATGTCAGCTGCAATATTGGGTTTACAATGGTTATGGATGGAAGGATGCGATCAAGTGCAGTGATGAGAAGTCTTGAAATGTTGGTTTGGTTGCTTGGCGCGTCATCAATAGGAACGATGAATCATACCCTATGCATACGACTGAGGAGAGGATGGTTCGGATGGAATTGAGGAGAGGGCTTGTATCTTTGGCGAAAGGAGGTGTTTCACAGCTATGGATGATACTGGAATAATACTCGAACCAAAGCATACAACACCTATTTTGCAATCATGGATGAAGGGTGATCATGACGACAGCAATCAAGAATAGTATGACACAATTATCCCTATTCAATTTGGCTATATTGTTCCCTTATGTATCATATATCTACTTGATAAACATCGTCCACAATACCGTGTCTACGTGTTTTTCGACTTTTTATTGAATGAAGTTGGATTCAACATAATACTTTGGTATCATACGATCAGCTTAGATGTGCAAGGGGTGGATCACTTGGGTTGTTTTCTGCATTGAAAGGGGAACTGCAAACGTGAAAGGTGGAAAGCGAGATATCATCTATTTGGTGGGGGGGTTACACAGTAGGTTACACAAGTTGGTTCAGGAGTGAAGTTGCATAACTAATCGATCGATGTGATGCGCACAGACCTAATAGCTTAATTACGCGGGCTGTTCTCAATTGAAGTCTTGAGCAGTGATCATTCTTATGGAGCTAAAAGCATAGAATATTGTGGAGGTTACGTATAAACAGTAATAGCTGTAGCAAGCGGGGTGGCATGGAGTGCAAGAATTGGAGACAACAGGAGGAACAAAGAGGCCACTCTTCTTCACTTCCACTTCACAAAAAAGGTAAGCTTGTCTCCATTTACAAACCACAACGCGTTAATTGCTGGCATTCCTTACAATGTACAGCGTTCATTGGGGTGAACATGTGGTCAATGACGGCACTTTCCAGCTGCAGACATTCAGCAACAAGTACGCGCGCGATCTGCCCATGACTCAAGCTTCCATTGCAATACAACATGTACGTTCCATCGCTGCATCACTTTACCATTCAAGCTGGACATTGAGATACTAAAGTTCACGTGTAGTTTGCTGTTCTCTCGTTTATACAAGTTCCAAAGGGGGCACCGTGTGTCGTGTGTATGCTTTCCATGGTTGTCATCAAGGAGGGTCGCAACCTATTGTTACTATGGGTATGTCGACATGAAAAGCGAATGCTATTGTTACCTTACACTTCATTTACTGTAGCTTGGACACGTTGGTTTATGGTACCTGTGGCAGCAACAGGATACGGATCTCAAAACAAGAATGCTGTATGGTTGGCTCAATGGTATGCATGGTATTGGACCTACAAAGCGAAACCTGTTAATTCACGAGACTTACAGTGAAACAGCAGCAAGACAATATGGATGACATGGAAATACGGCTTTATTTGAGGCAATGATGCTATTGAGAAATACCACAAGGTAAGAGGTTCATTGTGGGATTGATTGGATTCAAGTGGACTTACCAAACGCCTTACAGTGGCAGAGCCTCTTTCGGCGATACTATTATTATCAAGGCTGCACGTCGAGGATGTCATTGTATAGTACTGTGCTCTCCTGGGGAATTTTGGCCCGTATTGCCTTCGATGGTGTATTTGGTTGCAATTCCTTGTGATCACCATGGCTCAGGTATGTATGACTCTCATGCTTTTTGGGGACCTTTGCTAAACGCCTACCATTATTATTTAGAGGGACCATTGCAGAGAGCTACTTGTCTTTTGGTGCTTTGGAGTTTACAAGATCACAGCTATGATTGCTAAGTATTGTTGGATGAGTTTGGACAATTGTTTATGGTGCATCTTTTATAGGTGAATCATGTCAGCCATGGGGAAATGTTTATGTCTTTGGTGGTGTCAACCTTTATTGCGTCTCGGGTGGTTGGTTACCAAGCAATGGGCGGTTTCTCTGGAGAATGTCAGCCAAGTCTTTCATGAGTGGATTGTATCAGCAACAAACAACAGCATCCATATCGTTGGTTCCATATCAAGCTTTATCCCATCATCTGGTTCTTCTCGTTATCGGCAATTCGGTGGGCATCCTGAAATGAAGGTCTCTTATCGATTGATCACATCAGCAACAAGGAACAACTTGTATATCTTTGATATCAGCAAGCTTTCTATCTCTTGGTGGTTCTGGTTACAGTATTGGCGATTCCTTTGATGGATCTCTACAACTATACGTGTCTTATGGATGGATCATGTCATCAACAAGCGATGAGAGTCCACGTTGACATCTTTGGTGTTACCAAGGTCATTTATGCATCTCCTCAAGGCATTCATCGTCAAGCTGCATTCGATTTCCAATGAAAAACGATTGCCATTCACATCGCTCTTTAGCCATATGTACGTCACTCCGCAGCTAGGATCTGGTTTGGGCTTTTCGATGCACAATGCTTTCTCGATTTGCGTGTGGTCTTGGGCAGCAAGGATTGTCTCGTTGTCTCTCTTTGTAAGGGCTCTTCGGCATCATGTAAGTATGCTCTCTTTGGTGGTATCAATATTACTCAACCTTCTCACTGCATATGCCCATAAAGTATCGTTCCATCGCTTTCAAGCCGAGTGCCACCGTAGCGGGCCTTATCAACAAGCGGACGATTGCAAAGAACCGGCTGGATTTGGATATCATCAGGATTGCATGCATATGACTATCATTGGTAAATGATGATCCGTTCTTTTCTACAATGCCTACCAACATCCCCTTTGGCTATAGTGTGCGGACTATTCAGCAAGCTACTTGTCTCATGGTCATTTGGGGTTTTCATGGATGCAGCTGTCATTGATGTCAACCTGTTTTCGTGCGTATGGCTATCATTGGTAAATATGGGATGATCCGTTTTTTAGTTCCAAACCTAACCAACCTCCTCTTTTATTATAGTGTGGTGACTATTCAGCAAGCTACTTGTCTTCTGGTTCTTTGGGTTTTCATGGATGCAGCTGTCATTGGATGTCAACATGTTTTCGTGCATATGGCTATCAGTGGTAAATAGTGGATGATCCGTGTTTTGGCTCCAATCCCAATCAACCTCCTCTTCTTATTATAGTATGTGGGATATTCAGCAAGCTGCATGTCTTCTGGTGCATTGGGATTTCTATGAATGCAGCTGCCATCGGATGCCTACATGTTTTCGTGCGTATGGCTATCATTGGTACATAAATGATGATCCATTCTCTTCTTCAACGCCTGCCAACCTCCTCTTTTATTATAGTATTATGTGGGCTATTCAGCAAGCTACCTGTCTTCTGCTGCATTGGGATTTCTATGGATGCAGCTGTCATTGGTAAATAATGATCCATTCTTTCTTTCAATGCCTACTAACACCCTCTTTCATGTGGGTTATTCAGCGAGCTACTTGTCTTGTATTCTTTGGATTCTTGATGGATGCAGCTATCATTGGATGTCGACAGGGGTTTATTCATTGGTAAATAGTGGGTCACCCGTTTTTTTGGCTCCAGTCCCAACCAACCCCCTCTTTTATTATAGTATGTGTGCTATTCAGCAAGCTATTTGTATTTTGGTCCTTTGGAATATTCATGGATGCAGCTATCATTGCTAAGTATCGTTCTATGGATTCGGGAAACTGCAACGTCTACAGCATCCTTCAGTGTCAGCTTGCCTTATTACATCGTTCGATGGTTTTCGTTACTGTACCACCTATTGGACACTTCCTTTTATAAGCATCTGCAGCGGTAAGGCAACAAGTTCTATACCTTTGGGTGTCGCCAAGTTTTATCTCGTCTTATTGTGGTCCTAGTTGTTGACACCCCTTTCAATGGATATCCTGCTACGCATGCCTGTTATCGGTGGATCATATCAGCTACAAGCAAGAAGCAGCAATGAGCAACAGAGCCCACATCTTTAGTGTCAACAACATTTATTTGATCCTCTGGTGTTCTCGTTATTGGCCAATTGATTTCAAGAGCCCTCTTCACCGCACGTATCTTATGGATGTATCACATCAGCAAAAAACAACAATGTTACGTGTCCTTTTGGTGCTGTCAAGGTGTATCCATCTCTCATGGCATTCATCATCAAGTATCGCTTGGAGAAACGGCTATCAGGATTGGTCACTGTGTCGACATCTCTACAGCAAGGAAATGTGTTCTGATTACTGGGTGGCATCAAACATCGTGGATTCTCATTTGACACTGGCTAAGTATTGTTACCATTACCTCAAAGATAAATTAGTGATATGCATGTTTATAGGCCCATCATTCCATCAAGCTATAATTTCGCATGCTCTTTGGTGCCATCAAAGTCTCTTCTTACAGCTGTCAATGGCGAATCCTATTGAATTGGAAGACGAAGATCAACATTTGAATTTGGGTGGGTGTCTCAGAAGCAAGCAAGCGATCTCTATCTTATAGTTGTGGTTGTCAAGGATACCGTTTCCATGGTTTTGGAAATCACCTACCTGCAAGTCGTCTCTTTATCGGTGGATCTTCAGAGCAATGTTTTTATCGGTGCCATGGCGGATCTCATTCCTCAAGTATTTGTATGGATACCTTGGACGTTCTCTTACAAGTGAATATTCTCGTGTGTGCTATTTCATCAAGACCGGATTTATTTGTTGCAGTGCATGATGTGTCTCTCATGACGCCTACCCAAGAAGGTCGCTTGATGGCAGCTACTACTGATATGGCGGATGTTTATTTGCTATGGGTAGAACGGGATGGTGCCTTACTATTTTGTGTAAAGCATCGTTGGAAGCTATGATTCATTTGCGACAGTGTGGTCAGCCCTATCATGGCCCTATCAATTGCATTTGATGATTACTGCCTTAGCCGTTGGAAGTTAGACTGTTACTCAGTGGCCTTGTGGTAGATATGGGATCATGTATTGCTTTTCGCTCTTATGGGTCGGCCTCTGTGGGCGTGGGATGCTATCCTTTTATCAGACCGAACATGTTGGCTCGAGCAGCACCCATAGAAGATGCTGTTGTTTACAATGGCAGCCCCCGTTATCCGGCTTGGTGCACCGTAGGGGAGAGGGTGACAGCAAAGCCTTCGCGTGGCCATCCTTGTCAGTACATGGGTTTCCATGGAAGCTAATTTGCCACCTTATCATTTATATATTTTTTACGCATTCGTGAGCATCACTAACAGTACTCTAATAGCTATACCAACAAGTGGCCAAAAGGTACAGGCTGGGAGTCGAACCCTATGAGAGATGATGCCCAACGTTGCACTACCTGACCAAGAACCTATTCAATAATAGCAGCATTCATTATTACAATAAACTCTTGTTGGCTGTGAGGTATTAACACAGTTCTGAATATGCATTGTCAGGGAGTGAGCGTGGTTGGTGGTTGGTGGTTACCATAGCGATATCGCTGCTTCCTTTTTTTCGTTGCTATTCCCGCTCTACGCTTGATGTCAACAGGTACATTCAAAGTCCAATGTTGCAGCCGAATTGGTTCCATTGATGCGTCAGCTTGTATAGAGGGCAAGTTTGCTTTCAAGACGTTGGATGGTTTGGCGTTTTGTTTCGGCTCAACTATACTACACCATGGTTTTCTGTTTCCAATAACCAACGACAAAGGGTCTTTGTGTATATGGAAAAGGCAAGTGCAATGAGACAAACAATGAAAAGGGCGTTTATTGTATGTGTGTGCTAATAATGAATTGAATAGGTTTCTTGGTCAGGCAATGCAACTTGGGGCATCATCATCATCTCTTTGGGTTCAAGTCCCAACCTGTATCAAGTGGCCGCTGCGTCGCTCTGCACTAGCCAGTTTGCTTAAAAAAAAAAGCTTCTTGGAACGCGTCCAAGGCTCTATAGGCCTGCGTTGAGTTGATGGGTCGATGACGATAGGGTTTTGGAAGAGCATGGTCACCGTGTTGAGGTAAAAGGGGATTTGCAACAGCTTGACATCAGTGCAAACCAACACGCTCTTCTAGTGATAGGCTCGTTCTTTCCCTTGAGGATTTCTTTTCATGAGGTGGGAAATGATTGGAAGGATTGGGGATCATTCTTTCTTTGGAGAGGATGAATGAGGACAACTATGTGCCTGGATTCTACGTAAGTGATGTCCTTCCTTGCCATGGATCGAACTGGCCTTGCGCGATTCGTGCAGTGCTTTCTCAATAACAAGGGATCGCCCGATGTTGCTCGTATGGTGGTGATTTGGTTTGTGAATAAATTCTGATTTGCTTTCTTTCTTAGAGAGGATCACCTAACGGTATACCAATAATCGTCATCATTCCCGGTATCAGATGGTCTAACTTGCATGCTTTCTTATTTGTAGAGACGACGATCACGATGACACCACATCCACAACAATGACAATTACGATAATCACCCCATTTACAACAATGACAATGATGACGACAACGAGATTCAAAAGGAAGCCTGTAAGATCCCATTCTTTTCAACTTGTGTATTTTTGGATGTTGGTGTGACGGATGAGATTGACGACTGGTGACGAGTACGAGTAGGAATGATGACGGAGGACGACTACGACGATGGTGGTGGCAATGTACAGTACATAGCAAGATAGCTAGATGAAATAAAGCATTGTTTATTTATTATGTACACGCTTGTTGGAGGTTGCTAGCTTGTGGATTACATACTATTGCTTCGAAGATGGAATAATAAAGGTGGTCCGGTTATCGGTCCTGCAAGAAGTAGATGGATTTTGTAATATAATAAGGAGGATTGGGAAGTGGGATGAGCTTGAGAAGAGAAAAAGTGAAGTCATCCCTCCATTGAGTTTCAGGATGAGTGACTCATTCAATGTGTATATGTATCTTTTTACATATACAAATTGGGTTTATGCAGCTCGACTTTCTTCTACATGCAAATGTGATGCATACCGTGACACACCTTCATTATTGGATGCTGTTTACTTACGTACCTTCACAAAAGGCAATCATCATCATCATCCATTTGTGTAGCAACCTGTCAAGGACGTGTCTGTGTAACCACCACGTGCGGTTTCACTCAGCTCTTCATCTTTCCGTTAATGCAGCCGGCACCATCCACTAGGAAAAAGCAACTCCATCACGCTTACAGCATAGTGAAAACATAAAGACAGTCATATCTCAAGATTTCACAATGAAACGTGGGGTCTTTGATAGAGCAATGAGCTCGGCTTGGCCAACAGCACCTTGTGTGAAAGTTTTACGTTCAATGTCGCAAACAGCCCAAAAAATATTTTTTGGTCGTCGAAAAGAAATTCAAGAGGTCGACTCGTTTCACTTTGGCTGGTGGCGACATTGCGAAATGTGGGATTGGCCACGATCAACTTGAAACTTGCACCCAAGGTGCTGTTGGCCAAGCCGAGCACATTGCTCTATTCAAAACCCCACGTTTCATTGTAAAGTTCGGAGATACAGGCACCTTTATGTTTGTAAGCGTGATGCTATATGAGAAGTGGTCTTTGTTTAATGTAAAGTAGCTAGACCCTGACAGAGCAAAAGATGCAGAGGGTCGTGTTGTGTAACTTGAGTCAGTCAGCACAGGCGATGCATGATACTTGTACACTATTTAGGAATAGTTCATAAATGCCAGGTGAAAAGTTATATTTTTATTTGGGTACTAAATGACCATAGTCCTTTAGGCACGCGGTCGACCCATTGACAAAACGAAATGTATACATAAAAGAGAGATTATGATGTATGAATGGTGCATTAAAAACCTCGATGAGGAGAAAAGTCAACCATTTGGTGAAGGAAGCAAGAAGAGAAAAAAGGGAAAAAGGAAAGTTCCAGAGCGTATGGAGCGGGTGATACTAAAAGGTGTGTGAATGCTGAGTTATGTGGAGTCGAGTTGAGCACGGGCCTCTTGTTCCAAATGAGCATGGTGATCATCTAGCGCTTGCATTGGAGGCTCTTCTTCGTCAAAGTCCGCTGCATCAGGATGAGTGAGAAAGTCAACTTGACGGAGGTACTTGATAAGCGCCAGCCATATAGTTCGCCAATGTGGCTGTTGTAATGTGTCAGCTGTCCTTGGTAGGGAATTCATAACGGCATCCACAAGGTGGAGGTCTCCATTGTCCTTAGCAAAAGCTTGGCGTAAGGCTTGATATTCTTCTTGGATCCTTGTGCATGTAATGAAATGCTTGCGCCCGGCCTCAGTCGTTGTGTTGCAGCGACATGGTTTGAGGGGATACGATGGTAGCCAATACATGCGCCAATGTATTAGACGGTGTCGATCTCGACTTGATGCTGGCAAATACAGAATCGGATCAATCATGCGGACTGGGCGGAGGGCCCTGATTGATGAAAAACGACTACGTCGTGATGATAGTTCCATGTCGCGATGCTGTTTGATGGTAAACGTCACAGGATACTTGGGACAATCAGCCACAGGACCGGTTATCAAATCTTTCCACGTACGAAACAGTGGGTTTCTTGTTAGTCTTCTCCAGAAATGGAACGCTTGTCGTTTTTGCAGCCAATTCATAATCACTGATCGTAGCATCGTCGTTGGAGGTAATTCAATAGCTCGTGCGGTGAACATGAGTTGAAGAGTACGTGCACGGAGTGTCATTGATGGCAAGTCTGCTAAAACTTGTGGCACGATTGTAGGTAAGCGTCGATCGGTGGTGCTATTCATGCAGAGCTTGATACAATTGGCTTGTGTTCGTTGAAGGGCCGTATGTTCGTCATAAGAGAATGGGACAATGGCTAACCCATATTCTAGCACTGGTCTCACGAATGTTCGATATGCACGTAGAGCTTGCCACCAACCCAACCCGTATCGATGGATACCCATTTGTCGAAGTGTTGCCATGGCACTTGTAGCCTTGCATGTGCGGTCTTGCAGTAGTTGGCGCCTATCAATACCCTCCTTGCTGAATGGAATACCAAGATACGTGAATGTGGTGACATTTGCAATAGGTTCGTTGTAGAGCTGAAGGTTGAGATGAGGTGTTGCGTTGATGGTCTTGCATTTTCCTGGATGCCAGTGATATCCTGCTGCGAGTGAATGGCTCTCGGCTGCTTCCAAGAGTGAAGGCATATCCTCTGCTGAACCAAGAATGGCTACATCATCTGCATACAGTAATCCATTCACCATCAAGCGAGCTGTATCCGGTCTTCGAGGTGGGCGTCCTCTTCTGAATGGTCGATCATAAACAATGGTGGGACATGTGGCTTCCGTAATTGAGTCTTGAGGAGTGTGGCTCATGAAGATTGGTTTGTGGATATGTGTACAATCACGTAGGCGTTGTGGGAGCGTATTGATGAAGATAGCATATAGAAGAGGACTGATGATAGAGCCTTGAAGAACCCCTCTTTTTGGTCGAATAAAGCGAGATTGGAAATTGTGGAGAATCACCGAAACGTGGACATCTTCGAACATGTGTTGGCAGAGGAGGTATAATCGCTTTGGGAGGTGTTGTTTTAGGTATCGCCAGATGATGGATCGATCCACAGAGTCATAAGCGGCTTTGATGTCAAGGAACGCTACAATAGGCCATTCCTCGTAAAGTTGGTGGTAACGATGCATAAGTGTGTGTAACACAAATGCTTGATCCAATGCACCACGACTGGTTCGAAAACCGCCTTGGGCGATGTCAAGCGCTGGGATGGAGCTTAACAATTGCGGCAACATGCTCCGTTCGAGGATCTTACGAAAGATGGATGTGAGGCTGATCGGCCTATAGTTGCTTGGTATGGTTGGATCGCCTTTCTTGAAGATGGGGACAACTTGCGCTATCCGCCAATCCTTAGGTGTCCATGACCACAACCAGCACAGCGTAAAAAAGGATGCGAGCAGAGGTGAGATAAGGTTGACAATGGGCTTCAACATTGCTCCTGTAATATGGTCCACACCAGGGGCCTTGCGAGGATTTGCTTGCTTGATGATGGCAGCGACATTTTCATGTGTGAAAGGTGAGTCGTCAACATCCGTGGTATCAACCGAAGATGGGTGAGAGACAATGGAATCGTTGTTGCCACCAAATACGTTCTCCAAGTGGCTCACCATGCTTTCGGCTGCTGCTTGAGGTCCATCAGGGTGTGATAACATCACTGGTGCTACCTTGGCTCGTCTCATTCGCTTAATCACTGAGTTGATTTCATTGGGTGGTTTACGTCCCATATTCACTACGAAGCTCTTCCATGTCTGTCGTCTGGCAAGTTTGATCTCCAACGTGAATTTCTCACATGCCTCAACGTAACGTTGCCATGCTGTTGCTCGTACAATTACATTGTCGGGTGCACGGCGCCATTGTCGATATCGCAATTCACGTTGATCCGCCAGCTGCTGTAGTTGTTCATTCCAAAACCATCTCCATGTTTTGGGACGCATTCGCCCACGTGTGACACTTTCATCAAGTGCCTGTGTAACTGCCTCTGTTATTTGTTGCCCAAGAGACTCCAAACGCTGTCGATCCACTTCTTGATTCTCCCTTGGTTCCAGTAGGTCATTCAATTCAGCAGCCAGCGGGGTTGCTAATGTGTTGAATTTTTGCCGATATAGCTCCACTACATCGGGATCCGCCAAGCGTTGTAATTTCCAATGTTGTCGAGCTGCTGTTGCTTCCGGCAAATGTGGCAATGTTGACCGTGGAATGAATGACATGACGCACAAACGATGATCCGAGTTCATAGACATGTCACTATAGATATGTAAGCTGGGGTCGATGATAGCGTGATGACGTGAAATAAAGTAATCAATGATACTTCTCCCATTGTTACGCTCAAACGTAAAGATGCCATGTGTCAAGGTGGAATTCCAGACATGGAGGCCATGATCCGAAAGCCAATCCCGTAAGACTCTCCCACGAGGGTTGGTGATAGAATCGCCTGTAGACTGTAAACGAGCATTCAAATCGCCAATGATAATTGTGTGATCCGATATTGTCATAGTGCGTAGTACTTGATGAAATGCGGCATTATCCATCGATGGGGGGAAATAGCAGCCGTAGATGGTGTACAGCCCAAGTGTGAAGGTGAGGACATAAGGTGATGTGATTGGATGCATATGTATATGGTGAGGGAAGTTGGGTCGAACCAGCAACGAAACTCCACCAAAACCACGAGTCGCGTTTTCCGATTGGATTGCATAGTTGTGAAATTGTATCCATTCCGTGGCGAGACGGCCATGTGTAAGGTATGTTTCGTTGAGAAAGATCATGTCGATATTGTCATTGTTGCATAAAGTGATCAGCTCATCCAGCGAGCGATTGAGTCCAGCGGCATTAAATTGTGCAATATGGATACGTGGAGTCGAGAAATTACTCATTGGTATCCATTCCAGCGTTGCTCTCTGATGAAAGCAAACGACGAGCTTCCTCAATTGATGGTATTGCGAGAGGAGTACGTTCACGACGTGTTGGTCTTGGACGCATGATCTCAAATTGTTTCTCAACGACTTTATCCAAGTGATGTGGATCGTCTTCGGCAAGTGACACAAAATGTCGTAAAATGGATGCTCCAAGGTATGCCTTCGGCATGCGAGCACATGCACGTAGCATCCTATTGCTATAAAGTTCCTTGGCTTTGTCGGCACGCTGTTCACCGGTATAGTCGGCATATTCCGGGTTGATGATTGTTGCTGGTGCTGTGGGGTTGAAATCCACAGGGTTCACCTTGGCCTGTTTGAGTAAATCCAACAACTCGGTCTTGAAGTCTGCATGAATCAATAATCCGATGATGCCGCGGATCGGAAAATGTACATCAATGATTCTTGCCTGTGGGATCTTGAAAATAGCAAGAGCACGTCTTGCTTCACCGTGTGATGTACGTTGGGGTGATGTTAGATAGACAATATCGTAACGTGCACGTGGTCGTACAGGTTCGTGAGTATCATCCATATCCTCCGTATTGGTGTTGGTAAATTTCCTCGTGGCCCACGCAATCATGCCCTCCGTAGGATTGTCCAAACGTTGTTTCCTTCGTTGAGAACGAGTGCTGCTTTTCTTTGCAATGCTTGCATATGAAACTTTTTTCAATGGCGAGGCATGTGCATGAATTGAATCTTTGGTGGATGATCCTTCTTGTGCAATGGTTGCCATGGCAGCGGCTACCTTGTCACATGCCTTCCCGATTGCATCTTGCGAGTCGTCCTCATCATCAACTACCATTTCAGTGTTGCACGTGGTCTTTGGCTGGTTCATGTCGTTTTGCAAGGCATCCAATTTCTTGCGCAACATTGCATTTTCCTCCTTAAGCTGAGTATTTTCCTCAAGCAGCTGCTGGAAACGTTGTATCACCTCGTGGTGCTGAGCTAGCTGTTGGGCTTGTTGCCGAATTTGTTGCCCTTGTGCTGAGAGCTGCTGCTGGATATTGCGGGCCCAATCGAATGCGTTTGTTCCTGTTGCTTGTTCCTGTTGCTGGTTCTCGATATCAGAACGCACCTGTTCAGCCCAATCGTCAACGTTGCTTGTTGTTGCGTCGAAGTTTGCCAAAGCAGGAGGCTGCTGAGGAGGTTGCTGTTGAGAATTGCTTTCGTTTGGATCATCCATTGTCGATATTGTGTTCACTGTTTTTGTGTTTCCAGCACGATTACGCTTCTCGGCAATCGGCACGGGGAGTTTGGTTTCACGAGAGCTTGCACTACGTTTCTGGACTCGTGCTTGACCCCTGGTGGTAACCGTAGGTATGGTGGGTGATGTGGTTTTGGTCACCTTGCTAATTGTTGAATATGGCTTTGTGGAACAGACGATTTGGTTGGCCGGCAAAATGAATCTACCGTGAGGGTTGAGAGAAGTATAAAAAGGCTCCAAATTCGCCGCGCGCGATGCTCGACAGTGTCTCGTTCATAAATGCCAGCTAATAACCCATTCCTCCCATTCACCTTTGTTGCCCAACCCAATGCATGTGAACGATTCTCCTGCTCCAGCCCAGTATGCCCATCATTCAAGTTTCTTGATCCGAGAGGATTTGACTGAAAAATGCTCAAACACAGAAGTATCATCCAAAATCAGAAAAATTTATCTGGTTAGTTATACGTAAACTGCCACTTCATAGCCCATTCCTCCCAATCATCTTTGTTTCCCAATCCAATGCACGTGAACGATTCTCCTGCTCCAGCCCAGCATGCCCATCCTTCAACTTTCTTGATCCGAGTGGATTTGGTTGAGTTACGCTCAAACACAGAAGTATCGCCCAATATGAGAAAAATCATTTTGCAAAGTTATTTGTAAACTGCCAGCTAATAGCCCATTCCTCCCATTCTCCATTATTGTCCAATCCAATGCATACGAACGATTGTCTTGCTCCAGCCCAGCATGCCCATCATTTAACTTTCATGATCCGAGTGGATTTGACCAAGTTACGCTCAAACAAAGAAGTAGCATTCAACTTCAGTTCAACTCCTTTAAATTCACAGCTCTTCCCACTCTCAACTTCTTCCCTCTTGCTCCCATTCTCAACTATTGGCCCCATTCAAGTACAACCACCACCTGCGAACGAATTGTCCTGCTTCAGCCCATCATGTCAATCCTATGAATGCCTTGATCCGATTGTCTTCGACTGAACGGCAAGTTCATGGCGTGTACACAGCCTTCTTGTCACTCTTCTACAACACACGAGCCTCTTGACACTACGCACTCTCTTGGACACTTCTTTGCCGCAATCAACCGTTACAGCATTCATTCCAGCAGTTGCTATTAGCGAGGTCTATACGCCATTGTTCCAAACAGCATTCACTACCTTATCACTCTACTGCAACACGCTCCTCCGCCACAATCAAACGTAACAGCATTCATTCCAGCAACTGCTATGAGCAATGTGTCTTTACTCCATTGTCTCAAACAGCATTCTTTACTTGCAGCAACTTGCCTACAGCTTTTCTACGCGAACAGCAGATAGCCATCGTATAGAAGCAGCAATATTTACGTGTAGCAACTTGCTTTGTTACATACGGATTCGAATGATTCGATATCAGCCATCATGTACATCACAATACAAGCACTCTTCACCCGGTCGAGCTGCAATGGAGATGACCAAGAAAGAGGTAGACGAAGATCAGGATTGAAAAGGAAGCATATCAACAGCGATCACGTGGCTCTTTCAATCAACATTTGGAATTGGAACAGTTTGGATGGGTGGATGCAATCAAGTGCAGTGAAGAGAAATTCTCGGAATGTCGCCTTGGTTACTTGGGACGCCGTTAGCAGGAAGGAAAGATCACACCATGTGGATATGGGGTAAGGGTGATGGTGGATTGGATGGCATTGACAAAAGGCCCTCTGTCTCTGACGAAAGAAGGTGTTTTACAGCTATGGATGGTATGGGAATACTCAAGAAGTCAATGCATGCAGCAACTATTTTGCAATCATGGATGAGGAATGCTTAAGACGGCAACAATCAAGAATACAATGATACCAATGGACTCTATATGTTTCGCCCGTATCCTATTCTATTTGGATTTATAGTCACCTTGTGATTTTTTTATAAAGCCTACATTGAATGAAAATTGGATGCAACATGTTATTAGAAGGGTATCGTGCTATCAACTCATAAGCACGAGATGTGGATCACTTGGTTGTTTTCTGGATTGAACGGGGAATAGAGATTTGCAGGAAGGAAAGCAATATGTATGGGTTCATTTACATCATCGTGTCAACACACAATGTCGTACTACATGGTGGATCTACACGAAGTAAATGTAGATCCATGGTATTGTAGATCTCATGTATGTACATAATTACACGTTTAATAATAGTAAGAAAAGAAGCTATGTTATGCAAGGTGGAATCGCTCCTTGTAATGGAGAAATGAAGGGGATGCGTCTTCATCCTGGACCTTGAGCTTAGCAAGACTTGGCATACTACGCAATCCAGCTGTCGCAGTATGATGCTTGTCGCTCTTATCGCCTTCATTAAGCATGCGTGACAAATGATGCTGATGTGGTGGTGGTGGATGTAAAGGTGTTGTCAATCCATTGTAAGTATTGTCAACGCCATAGGATGACAACGAAGAGCATGATGAAATGTCGGAAGGTGATGATGATAAGCATAGACTGCCGGATTCGTAGAAAGGTGAATCTTGAATGATGATGGGTGGAAGGACGATACCTCGTCGTCGAGACAAGGATGGTGCCGGACCCATTTTCCTAGGTCGTGGACGTGGAATACAATCGTCATGGGTAATGGCATGATACAGTGGTTCTGATGATACGTTGATATCAGACGTAGAATGCTTTTGTTTGCGTAGCCATGAAAATGATGGACGTTTAAGAGAGATGGATAATGATGTTGCAGTGATGGTTGTGGTAATAATACTCGTTGTATCGGGTGACGACATGAGAGGGACAAGTCGATCAAGACGTTGACGTAGAATATCAAGCCATGTTTGCAAATCAATTGATGATCGGCAAGCGATGGTCCATGGTTTGATATGTGCTTCACGATGCGGCTCGAGGCGGATACAGTAGGATTGTTGATCAACAGCCATCGCCACAGCACCACGGATCTGCCGAAGATTTAGGATACCTGATGGGGATACAACATGCTGATCAGAGGGGTCAGCAACAACCATGGTCACACAACACACATTTATGACATTTGTTGTTACTCACCTCATCTTTGTAATAACGCAATTCAGTATCCAAAAGAACAAAAAATCGATCTTGCCATCGCGACTTGCCAAAGGGCAATGGTGTCATTTTGGCTAGCCAGCCAGCCATGGGTGTATTGTATGCGCTTGTATATTGTTGTTGTTGTGCGTGCATTTTCAAGTGGGAATGTAAAGATGCGTTGGGTATATACAACAATGATGGATGCAGGTAATGTTGTTGTTGATGGGTCCTCCCTTTTTATATGCAAAATGGTGGTCATTGTCTTCTTGCGCACTCCCAACAATGACCCCTGGGTCAGCAGATTAAGCTCTCGGTGAGTAAATTGTTGTCCGCTTGAAATTGAGTGAATGGTGGTACAACGCTCACACATGCGCGGGCAAGCATTGGCTGTTTTATCGCCCATGTTGGATCCACCGCAGCTCTTGGTGATCCTTCCTCGTTTGGACATGCTCTACTGCTATCGTTACCATGGTCTTGGTTTGTATGCGCACATACCACTTCTGCTATGCTACGCATTCAGAACAAAACAAATGACACGATGGTCATTATTTTTCCCACCATCACCAACAACAACAACAAGGGATGCAAAGGGGTGCTGTTGCTGCAGTCTAAACATGAGAAAGGGGATATGTATGCAAAGGCGCCCAACTAGATAATATGCAACATGGATAATGGGCGTCTCGGGGGTCTGAGCGTGTACAGCAAAAGAGTGCTGATATCCCTTTCATAATTTCCCAAGTGCTTCTTGTCCCCCATCCCTGATTGGCACGAACAAAAGCTTAAACAGGCAGGTGCCCATTTAGTCCTACAAAGAACTTGATCTTGCTAATCACCTTCCCTGATTATTTGCTTCAAAGTGATCGTGGTGGAACAATAACCCGGAAGTCATTCCCGGTATGTAGTTGGCAAAATAAGCTGTGCATAGAGATGCGATAGCCGTTGTCTTGGCACAAAAGATGCATGCACGATGTGCACGAATGAAATCAAAGACAAAGCACATAGATGCCATTTTGACACAAAAGCGTCAAGTGATGATGATCTACGGACGTGCGCCCCATTGCATATCAATAACCCATGGGTGAGGAGGATTGCGTGGCAGGTGGTGGTATTTTGTGCATGTGTGTCACACACACACGCACAGCGATTCAAAGTGTGGTTATGATGATTGGCTTTCTTTACGTAGCTGCATAAAGGAGCAGCACATGATGCAAGCTTGTCTCTCTCGCGCACTCAACAACTCACGCTGCTGCATCCTAAAATTAGCAAAGGAAACTGTGTTTGTAAAGTACATCGATGCGGCAAGTTTTTTTGTTTTGGAAAATGAATCCAGGAGCTTCAGGGAGAAAAAGCTCAACACGCTCATGGATTTCTTTTCGGATGCTGTCATTGCAGTTTTGTCTAATGAACGAGCAGCATGGCTGTGTCATTATGCGTTGGTCATATGCAAGTAGTAGTAGCCAAATGGAAACGATCATGATTACTGTATCATCGTCAACAACAACATTATTTATTAGCAGCTGCGCATTACCCAGGCCGTTTTCACTCGACATCAACAAACATGCAGGTAACCCAATCCTCTTAAAAAGTGTGCGTGCACTGATGGATCGGCGTGTTTGTGGACGTCACGTTGATTTTTTTGAATACCACTACTACTATTGTTACTACAAAGACGGGTACATCCAAATAAAATGATCGCTCTTCATGTGCTTTACATCATCGTGCATCATGAGGAATAAGAAAGAGCAACTAAGAAGCTTTTATTCTTACATACCAAAATGCAAAAGCGGGGAAGGTTATGCCGTTCTATGGCTGCTTGCCCGAATGCACACATGCATGAACGCTATTGCTGATATGGCTTGTCATCTCGTGCCATGTTCCTTTACTGGAGCGATGTGCCCTTCTTTCACAAAGACGCCAATACACATTAATTGATAAAGGCGGGCTGTACCCCTAATGTATCTTTTGCATTACAAATAAGGTGGAAGACAAATGAAAATGGCATCTCTTCATCAACAATAAAGCTCACTGATATGTATTCGATCATGCCAATGCATATATTTCTTGGGTTTGTGGATTGAGAACAACAGATTTCAGTAACAAAGGAAATGGGTTTGAGGGGGACAAAATGATTCAAGTTTTGACACCGCAGGTAAAAAAAAAGGGAATGTGAGAGGCAAACACAATGACAACGACTACATGAAATACATGACTGATCATGGTGAACACGACGTTAGAAGGATATAAGAATTGAGTATGATAGCGCATACGGACGACGTACCTTTACCAACCGCATCCTTGACAGGAGCCAAAGAGCGCTGTTGTTCCTCGACCGTTTGACTACTTTCGGATGATCCTTGAAGATAATGAAGACGAGCACGCGAGGCAACAAGATCAGCATAATAGGCAGCTGGCACAATGGAAACGGATCGGGTGCAACGGGCGTATGTGAAGCACAAATTGTACGTGAGTTGCTGCAAGTCATCAGGTGAAAAGTTGTTATCATCGTACAAGACGTGATAATGGGCGGGGCGTGAAGTTCCTTGTAATCCGGCATGAGATTGAAGGTCTATGGAATTTAAACACACCCTTTAGTTGTCGTCTCATCGTACGTAATTGCATTGATCGATGATACTTACAAAAATCGAATTCAAATGGATGCACAATAGTAGTATCGACCACCGTACCAGCAGAGCAATTTCCACTTTTATCAGCATTTTGGGATCCAACAGGGAAGAAACGTGCATGATGGCGCTTTTGGACAACGACAAAGGTGATGGAGGGATCATAATCCTTTGCAATGGATTGGCATACACTCTTGATAGCAAGCACCTCATTGCGCAACACGTCTGCAAATTGGCCTTCCGATACTCCATCACGATAGAAAAGGATGCGTTCAGGTCTCTTTTTGTTGCTGTCAATGAACTTCATGAGTAAAGCGTGTGCCATGATCGACAAGTCGGCAATGATTTCAGTCCTTCCTGCTTGAACACGAGTCTCGGCAGCATAACGTGATAATTGAGGATCCATACTTGCAACAACAGCGGCAAGAGAACCACGCGCACTGTCTCCTAAAAAAACATACCAATAAATAGCATTATCAGCAACCGACTCCTTTGGATCAATGTTATAAATGTATATACCTGGGCTTGGATGAGATACGTCTGCTCCAAAGACGATTGTTTGATCATTGATGAAGGGTACGTGCTGTTGAGGGATATACTGATTCATGCCACCAAGCTTTACATTGATTTTCAAGCATACATTCATGCAATAGGCTTGTTTGGGCTGAAGGATATGCTTTGCTAGAAGGCATTGGGTCACCACTCCCAAATCTAAAAGATCATTGTGTGAGTGAGGAATCATGTTGTCATCTCAATCCGATAATCTCTTACTTGTATCACCGATGCGTTTGATCTCTGCATAAAGCTGCCGATTCATGTTGGGTAGTATACAGATAATAAGTTGAGGAGCCACTCCTTCGCTCTTTTGGTAGGCAAGGTTTCCAGCATCAAGCATAGCAACTCGAATATCACTTTGAGGATCAGCTCGTAATAGCGGTGGTGAGCGTTGTTTAACATCCTATAAGATGGGATTATGTATCATGTTAAATATGACATGATTTCCAAAGATACACCACCACACTTGACAACAACTTACCAAGCCAGCCTTGACAAGACAATCAATCATCGTACGCACAAAGGTCTGAACCACTTGAACTTGCTGGATTTGCTGCGCAAAATTGATAACCGCCCATGACTTCAGTGTTGCTGCCTTGGCCAACTTGTTGTTCATGTTCCAAACGCCATTGTTGGGACGAACTATACCACCAGGCTGTGTTGAACATGCTACTTGAGGAGGTGGGAGAACACGGGCATCGATCGTAGCCATTTGATTGCTGATCCTCATACCCGCTTCTTTGAGGTAGGGATTGCGACCATACTCAAGTTGTTGAACACCTGTTGTAATCTTGTTTGCACGTACGTGAGGCTTTTGGCATGTATGTCGAATCATCTCTGCTGTTTGTCGTTCATCAAGCTTCCTTGTAAGACGCTGACCAGGTAAAATGCTGCAAATTTCCATTGGTAATAAAACATCTCGACCAACGAGGACACATGGCAAATTGGGGAATGCAAGGCGGATGTTGTATTGTTGCAAAAAGTAATCCTTGACTGTGATGGTCGTGCCATCTCGTTCAAAATGGGATGTTGATGGTGTAGCAGGTACAAGTCGTTTGATGGAGTATTTTGGCTGATGTGTACCACCACGATGCATGACCTTGACACGTACGCTTTTGATGAACTTGCTCAAGCGCTTGAATTGGATGTCATCAAGTCCACGTCTAAGCTCATCCACACTGCGACATCCAAGGAATTTGGCGGCTTGATGATGCAACATACCCGGCTCATAAAATGCTGTTGTTGTTGTATCCACATTGACATAGAGTTTGTCTATTTTGAATAAGCAAAAGGTGGTTAAGCATCAATCAGGCAAGCAAGCACTTTCTTTACTTACCAATACCAGGACGCACGGATTGATAGTATCCCGACCACAACTCGGCAGCACCAGACAATGCCCTTCTTTCTTCTTGAGTATAAAATGAGCGGCCGATTGTGACATGGCGAATGCTGGGCAAATAGCGAATCAAGATATCCAAAGCCATGAATCCTTAAATAAGTGATATTAGCATGCTATGATAAGTTCACAGGATAAGAGGTCACTTACCGGTCAACACGTTGTTGGTTCGTGATGCCCTTCCATGGACAAACTCTGCCACCTCGTGCATGTTGATTTGATTGACCTTTCTTATACGCACACGGAAAGCGCTACCTCCACCACGAGGTCTTTCACCAGGAACCACGACCTAAGAAAAGACACTAGTTGAGATGCCTTGTATGCTTTGATCATGGTTATCATTTGCAGCCTTACCTCGAAAGTCTTTTCTCCTTTATCATTCAGTGCAAGAGGAACGATAGAAAAGCAATTCTTCTTCCCATCAAACACAGCGCTGATAGCATTATCCTTGTTCTCACAGAGTGTGGCCCAAATACGCTTGTAGAGAGCAACAGGAGTGCTGGGTGGATCAATGTTGACATCGTAGTGATGAAAGTCTGCATGAGGAAAGTTCACCACCTCAAAGAAGTTGGCGCGAACCTTGGTCTTGTTCCCTTGATGACCAAAGGAAGGTCGCTGTACGAACTGGGTCAACGCAAGAGACATGATGATGATAAAAACGTAGAGTTGATGAAAAGAAAAAAAGACAAGAGGACGATCCAATCCAATGCTCTATAAGTACAAAAACAATGGCCGCATAAGCCATAAGCTGCATACTTGTTTACTGATACAATGCATGTTGTGGCCTACCACTAGATGGGTTCATAATGTGTTCTTGATTGCTTCCTCTCCATTTTGTTTCAATCCGCAGCAGTAGGTTTGTGGTCACCACTATTCTGGTTTCAGATAAAGTGGGGGTTTTGCTTTTTGTTTATTACAAAGGAATGCAATGGATGCTCTCTATGGACTTCACCAACGTAGACTTTTCCTCTTTGATTGAGAGCTGCTATCATCAGGGATAGGAACGATGTACGTGTGATTGATCACTGAAGCAGTTGAGGAGAGTGGTGAAGGATGAGCTGATTCAAGTATTTCATCCGGGATCAAACGAATAAGAGCGCCCACGGGGAGAGACATCAAACCAACAAGTATGCAAAGCACCCAATCCTTCATGTGAAGAGGCACGGTCTGGAACGCCGAACCACCAAATTGGACAATCAGAATCTGGCCGATGATCGTGATCAAAAAAATCCCAACAAAGAACTTGTTTTTGGTGATCCCTTTGAATACGTTGAATTGGTTGTCTATGCGTCGGCAGCTATGTTTACCCTCGATTAATACCCTAATTTTCAACCTCGTCATTGTTTATGTACTTACTTGATCTCGTTGAAGAATTGGCAAAACACAAATGCAGTAAACACCATAGTTGCCAGAGTATCCTTGTCATCATTGAGGTTGAGAATGTTTGTGTACATGAGCGTGAGGATGACGATGATTTGGTAAATGGCTTGGCCCACAATCATCTTCCACATGGATCGAGTAATCAATGGTGCTGTACGTGGTTCAGGACGGCGTTTAAGCAATGATGGTGTTGGAGGATCAGTAGCCAATGCAAGAGCAGCGAGCGTATCCATGATAAGATTGACCCATAATAATTGAACAGCTGTAAGCACCGATTGTTGATCATCACTAGTAACAGCTGACACAAGCGTGAGAACGACAGCAGTAACGTTGACCGTGAGCTGAAACTGCAGAAATTTCTTGACTGCATCATTGACGCAACGTCCCCATGAAATGGCTCGTACGATACTCGAAAAGTTGTCGTCCATAAGAATAATACTTGACGCCTCTTTGGCAACCTCAGTGCCTGAAACACCCATTGAAAATCCAACATCGGCAGCCTTCAGTGCTGGTGCATCATTGGTTCCATCACCCGTCACCGCCACGGTATCACCAAGTTCACGTAAACCTTGTACCAGGAGACGCTTATCTTCAGGACTCGATCTTGCAAGCACTTGTAATCCGGGAAGCACACGTAATCGTTCGATTGGAGAAAGTTGTCGAAATGTGGGTCCATCAAGAGCCTTTCCACCAGGAGTATAAATACCACATTGCCGGGCAATGCTTTTGGCTGTCAACATGTTATCGCCAGTCACCATCCGCACGCATACGCCCGCTTGTTGACATGCTGCCACAGCCGATTTCACGCCTGAACGTAAAGGATCCTCGATACCAACAATACCAAGTAACGTCAATCCACCTTCTGCCAAGACATCTTCAATATCCTGTTCAGGTGACCAGCTGTCAAAGTCTCGATAACACAAGGCTATTGTTCGAAGGCATCGTGTTGCATAGCTCTGAATGATCTTGCTCATACGCGTACGATTGGCATCCGTCATAATACGTGTTTCAATGTCGTAGCTGTTGCCATGTTGAACACCTTGAAAACGATCATAGGAAGCTGCATGCATCGATACAATATGGGTAGCGGAGTTGAGCAACATCTCTGAAGCACCTTTGACATGCAATCGATAGATAGTCTTCTCCCTCTTGGTGTTCTCATCCAAAGTAGTAATGCGTACCACTGTAGCCATGCACTTGCGTGTTGAATTGAATGGATAAACAAATTCCACAGGCCACCATGATCGTAGCTGTTCCACAGGCTCGCATGCCATACTTTCTTGAGCAAAGTTGAGCATGGCTGTCTCCGTTTTGTTGCCCACCAGTGTTGTCTTTCCAGATTCATCCGTGGTCGTCATTACACTTGAATTGATGATCATGGCTTGGTTGAGAAAGTTGCGTACAGGAAGAGGTAATCGAAAGTGAACGGCTTCGAGATCAATCAAATCACCACGTGACGAGGGAGAATCTTTGAGAAATCTGAATGATGATCCAAATGTACCAGCAACCACGGCCATCTTGTTTTGTGTCAAAGTGCCAGTCTTATCAGAGCAAATGGTGGTGGCATTGCCCATCGTCTCACATGCTGCCAAAACACGCACCAAATTGTTGTCCTTGAGCATGCGTTGTGTTGCATAAGCAAGTGCTATGAAAATGTCATGATTTAGTGGATTATCCCCAAATGATGTGGTATAAAGCATAAACAACTTACCAAGCGTTACTGCCAGAGGAAGACCTTCAGGAACAGCGACGACAACGGTTGTTACAGTGGTGATGAGAATACGCATAAGCTGTGATATGACATCGGATGTTGAGATTGGATAATGAGCCGTAGCAAAAGAAAGGACGCAACGCACAAGCAAGATGATAAAGAGGACACCAGCAGCTGAGACACCTAATTTGGCAATGTTGCCTGCCAATCGATCCAACTTTTCTTGTAAAGGAGTGCATTCATCCTTGGTGCGTAATGCCATCAAGGTCTTGCCATGGATTGATTGTGCGCCCACTGCTGTCACCAAATACGTGCATTCACCTTCGAGGACCTTGGCACCTGAAATAAGGAATGGATCTGGATGGCTCGAGCTGTTATCAAGGGCACCCTCGTCACCTGATGGTGCGTCTCCGTTTAAAAGACAATCATGCAGACTCGCTTTGCGTACAGCATCCGATTCACCAGTCGCTGCAGACTCATCGCACTTTACGACATGCGTTCCCTTGATCAAGACTCCATCAGCTGCAAGAATGTCGCCAGGTCCAACATGCAATACGTCGCCCACTTGGATATCATTCAAAGAGATTTGCACGTTCTGCGATGAGCGAATGGCCTAATACAATACGACAATGTTAGCTTTCATAACATGGAGCTTCACAAATGAACAACTTGCATTGAGTTTCCTATCTTGCTTTTTCGCATTGAGGCGCTGGAACTGCTTTTCCTTTTGGTAATCATTGATGCTGCCAACGAGAACGACGAGAAGAACCGCTACAATGATGGAAACTCCTTCCACCCATTTAACAGCTGGTATTCGGTTGCCGCTGCTGTCATATTCCACCGTAGTCAAATCTTCATATAATCCCACTGATAGTGAAATAGCAGCTGATATTGTAAGGAGAATCTATATGCGAATAAATATGAGAGACCATATTAAATATGCCTGTATAGGATAGTTACCAATGTTTTATCCTGCATAGCTTCCCACATTAAGGTCAATAAACTCTTGTGTTGGACACGTGGAAGGACATTGGAACCATAGACAGCCAATCTTTGAAAGAAGGGGCCATGCTTTTGTTCTTCGGATACATCGGATAAGCTATATCCCACAATGTCATCTTCAATGTCGTCCTCATTGTCTTCGTCGCTCTTTTGACTACGAACTTCATCATTCATAGCCATACGTGCAATATTGTAAAGAGACACAGGTCGTAGTTGGTATTTCTCGTGCTCAGGAGTGAGGCCATGGATGATGTGTGAATGTAACCCCCGAGCTACTCCTTCCACCCCGCCCAACATGGATAGTAAATTGACATCTCTCTTTTCAACAAGTCGTTCAAGCTGTCCCGGTGTAAATGCAAATGGATTCGTTGGATCTTGATGGGCTGTCAAGCCGCATGGCTGTTGTTGGTGATAATAAAACATGCCATCATCACCCTTGGTGCTGCTGCTCTCACTGTAACGTAAGCTGCTGTCATCACTGTTGAATGATTGGCGTTTCTCAGTATAGGGTGGTGGAGGGCTATTTCGTCCTTGATGCATTGTTTAAATGTAAATAATATGATAAAACGAGTGTGATGGGTTGATGATTGGGTTAAAGGAATGACGATGAGAAGATCAAAACGAAGACCGGCTTCTCGTAGGTAAGGAATGGAAAGGTGCACAAGTACAGCAAGTAGAAAATGATACAAAAAGACAAAGACGACAAAATGAGTTACTCATATATCGACAAGGGAAGAAAATAGGGAGTAGGTTTTACTGATACAGTAGGATGATCGTCGTGGTTGGTCTCCATCTATGGTATCAACCACCTCCTTTAAGTTTTCAGAATGAAGCTATTTGGGTAATCCCGTAATGTATCCCGATTGCCACCCACCCACCCACCCACCCACTCACTCATCAACAATGATACCATACCTATATATATATACATACATACATACAATGGAACTACCTTTATGATAATGCTTAACCCTATCAAGCCTTCTTTCCCACATCATCACTTCTATGTAGAGCATGAGTAGAATGAATCAATCTTCAACAACATCCAATAGAAGATGCATTTATTGTTATTCTTTGGAGGAGAAGAAGAAGATGTGGATTAAACGATGAAGGGCGGGATATAAAGGGGACAATGATACAAGTTGATTGTGTATGTACAAGCCAATGAGACGTGTTGTGGAAATATGGGAATAGTACACTGGTGGTAAAGAAAAACCAATCATTACTGCTGATCCATGTCAGTAGTGACAATCTTGGGGATACATTGCTCATCACAACCGACTGACGATGCGTTACTGCTGCTGCCAACCAAGGCTTCGGTGCTCTCAGCCGTTTCCAGGCAGATTTCAAAGCGCCCCTTTTTGATCACGCAATTATTGATGGCTGAGCGTGAACGCGAAGAGTCGTTGGATGTGGATCGTCGACGACCCCATTCTTGCTGCTGCTGTTTGATACTGTTGCCATCATGATGATGATGATTGTTGTTGTTGGTTGTTGTTGATTTTGAGGAAGATGCATCAGGATTGCTCCAAAATTCAGCATCCCAAATATGTGGAGTGGGTCGTAACAAAGAACAAGAAGCTGCACTTCGCATGGATCGATGGTGAGAATAATCTCGTCCTTGCAAACTCGACCGTGTTGATGTGGAACTTGTATGCATAATCGCGTCGTTATCACAGCATGATAAACTTGCATCATCCAGGATGCGAATACCAGCAATATCTGCAAATTCTTTAGCTGTCAAGTCCTCGGAATTAACAGTGATGTTTGACGACGACTTTTGTCGTATGTGATGATGACCACGTCTGGAATGGGTGGATGATGATGATTTGGATCGTGCACGATTTCTCGTTTTTGTCGTCTTAGTAGTGGCGGCAGCGGTAGTGCTCATATTGGATAACACCGAATCATCCCCACGTTTCACAAGGATGCTTGCAGGTGGTGCTTTGTTGGATGAATGGTTGTCTCTTTGTTGCCATGGCAATCCCATATCATCGTCATCATCCATCATGGGTGAAGGAAGTGGCGATGGTGTAGGAGGCATCGTTTGAGCATTTTGCCGTACGTGTCGATCATCATTACTGCTGTCAGATGTTGCTATTACTGTAGATGTCTTGAGATCAAGCCTTGAATGGGATCGACTAGCTCGTCTGTATCGTTCATGCTCGTAAAAGATATCATTGGCAAATGGATACTTGTCATGTTGTTTTTCACTTTCAAAGAGACCATAGCTCAATATGCTGGATAGTCTTCGCTTATCGAAATGCTGTGACCAACGATGTCGCCATTTGGTTCGTTGCTGTGGTTGTGGTTGTTGAGCATCGTGTTGAGGTGGGGTAAGCGGTGGCGATGGTGGTGAATGCGAAGTGAATGGGCGTTTAAACTTTGTGATAATAGATAAGCTCGATTTGAACTTTGAAAGCCTGCTGGGTGATTCGTTGGTGGAGGAAGAAGGATGTTGTCGGTGTTGATCAGAAGCTGTCCTGAAAGTATTATGGGAGCGTATCCTTTTGAGCGATAAAGGAGGAAGCACACTGCTTGTAGTCATGCCTATTATCCCTAGGATGACCGAGAAAAGGAATAAAGAAAAGAAAGTGATGCAAAGAAAGGCGTGGTTGGTTGTTGTTGTATGTATGCGAGTGTTTGTGATGCCAGTTGGATATGCAAGAAGCAGTGAAAGTACTCTAAAAAATCGGTTGGGGAAACGTTGCAGGATAACGTGATGCTTATATACACATACTAAGCAATGCAGATGGATGCGAGGAAGCGATTTCCACACCGCATAACCCCCACAAAAGGACAAAAAGAAGGGCAAACGAAAAGATAGAGAAAGCGAAAAAAAAGATCCACACCCAATCTATCGATTTTTTCCAATGAGCTATTCCGGCTCTGTTACCGTAGTGATACACAAAAAGTGCACGTCATTCATCTTGTCATACAATACTCATATACTTTTACACTCAACGAATGGATCCGACACGACACATCTTCCTGTAATGCTTGGCTGATGTTGACTGTTGACTAACAACTCGCAGGTTTGTTTCGTATCATGGACACTTGACATTTGCCCTAACCATTTTTGCCCGCCAAAAAAAAGGAGCATCAAGTGTATGATATGCTTGGTTGAGTCATCACACCCTCGTCAGCTTACAGATGATGGTATTGGCCATACTACTACTACTGCATGCATATCTCCAAACACACCCACATACACCCACACGCGCTCTCTCTCTTTCCTTCAATCGTGTCACAATTCTTACACATGAAACCACCGATGATGTGACCTTTTGATCGATAGCTTGCATTAATATGAGCCTATCTTATCAATCACCAACAAATGACCATATTTTCCGTCGCCGTCGTCAGGCTCGTATTTGCTCACTTGCGACAACAATGTCGATCATTCGTGTCTTGGCATTGTGGTTCACGTCAGATGTTTCTCGTTCTTGGCAAGCATTATGAACAAAGGGAGCCGTAGCACTTGTAGCACAATCCTATCGCTTGTCCCCGGCTCTTGCTTGTGGTATTTGTATTTGCAACACAAAGCTATTTTTAATATCCTTCCTTGTAACACAATGGGCAACTCTCATGCAAGCCTGAAACGATCCACGGTCCATGAACCTTGTCATTCCTCTCGTTCAATCACACGTATAGGAAAGACCCATCATTGTTGTTCTTGGCATTGAAGATAGGAGGAGTCCAGAGAAATCACCAGCACCTTTTACATTTTGTAAATCAAAGCCAAGACTTCCTCTGCAAATCGGCATGCATAAACTTCTCTAATTTTGACCACCACAGCCACCTGTACTCACATCATCCGTTTAGCATGCATTGAATGTTCATGTCATTGCACGCCATTTACCCTCCTGATAAGGTTGCCATCATACTACAAACATGCTGTTGTTGAAGAAATAATAATAAACCTTGATTTGCATATTCATGTTGTTGTTTGTTTACTACTTGCGATGGTGACTGCAGCAATTGCTTATGCTTAATTGAGTAATGGGTTCATTGAGACCTTTTAAAAACCGACAATGTAATAGGCTTCGAAAGGTACAGCAATAGATCGAGAAGCCTAAGGTCTAGCATGGCATCCAACATTATCATTAAAGTGACAAATCTCGTACCATGAAGCACTCTACTTGTCTAAGCATATCACACCGATCATTTGTATTTTGAGATCTCGGGTAGAATTGTAATCATGATCGAGATTTGTTATCAGATATTTGATCGATGGGCAAACTTGTGATTGTAACCCCTGCTGATAAGGACGCACCATCTTTTATTAAAGCTGTGTATGCATGATCGGATAGTAAAAAACACGTAGTGGTTTGAGTTGAGATACCCATTATTGCTTGATGTGCCCATACTTGAGCTGATCATCGAAGATGTAATAGCGGGTGACGTTGTTGGCTGCTTTACATATTACCGGAGGTTGTGCAACTCTGCGAGATCGATTGATGTTGCTCCGATCATTTGAATGAGATTGTAATATCAGATACGTACATAAAGACATGCATTTGCTACCTGCCACGCTATGTTGATTAGCATTGGCAAAGGAAAAAAGTTGCATTGCCAAAGTGAAACATTCCATTGTTCGAGAAAGCCATCGATGCTCACCGAAAATCAGCGATTACTGGCAAAAAAATGCGCATTGATCGAGCGGTGGGTAAACTTAACATTGGTATGACACAATGCTGTAATCAGATCGGCATTCTCATTCGCTTGGTTCTTTGATAATGATGCTTTTTCTGTGGTTTTCTCGATGGCGGCCCACAAGATGCAATACGTCTAGATTTCTATAGCTACGGAAGTCCAGGGCAACTTTGAGCGGATTGTTGACCATATATGGATGGATCTCATCAGAGAAGAGAAATTTTGCATGGCTATTAAAAATTTTTGAGCCGAGAGTGTCCGCCTGTGTCCGTGCCCAATAAAGGTTTTTCCAGAATGAGTAAATGGTATACCTGTACAATGACCTTGCTATCGTAAAGGCGCTTGCCAATAGCTACTATGCAAGTAAGACATATGATAAAGGTGGCGAGCAAAGAAGCTGATCGAAACCATGAATACCTTCCATGATGAATACGTCATTATGAGCAGCCATGGTGTCAAGCGGGGTATAATGCGGCAGACAACGTGGCCTTAATGACGATGAAATTCAGCCCATCGGAGCTGGGATGGTGATACAAGGGACAAAAGATATAAAAGAGCATGACACTTTCCCCTCTTTTGCCGTTTCCATCAATCGTTTTCCCTACGCGTACTTTCTTTTATAAAGGCACCTTATACCTTTTCCCACTACATATACACGCATGATGATGTCCACTGGTTCTTTTGTCATTGCTGCCAATCCTGGCAAGAAGATTTCTCTTGAGCATGCCACCCATCAATGCCCTCGCTGCAAGAACCCAACCTCTGTACAACTTGTTCGTTCCGAAAAGCAGTTGATTTTGCTTAACAAAAAGATTACCAACAACATGCATGTGCGCTACGAATGTTCAAACTGCAAATGGAAGAAGGCCGAGCTACCTGATGATGATACCACCCTTGACGACATCCAGAAAATTCTTGAAAGAGACCCCAAACCTGAGCAATTTACTTACTACTTTTCGCCGGTATCATCCATTTCCTCCTCCGCATCATCATCATCGTCGTCATTGTCTTACTCAAAATCACCTGCCACAATCTCCTCATAATCCAACGTATTTGCTCGAGTCATTTAATGCATAATACCCCCTCCTCATCTCATTGTATATATCCTTCATCTTCCAATCATTGTTAAAATTAAAGCTATTGTACATGCAATAACACATTCCAATGAAATTTATGCTGGTTTTGATGATGTATCGTTTAACTTTGCTGCTTCATGCTAAGGTCTAGGCCAACTGTGATCCATTTTGCGTCCTCGTCATACCATCCATAAGGGGGGTGTGTCATCTTAAACAAATTGATATGAGACCTACAACCAGGATTTTGGGACGCTCGTCTCGGCGATCCATTAGGCAAAAGCCGATCGAGAGTTTTACCATACCGATCGAAAAATTCTTGGAAAAGCATCGATGCATTCCAATACCTCCCACGGTGCCAGATCAAAGAACAGCATGTCTAGATGTTCCTAAACATGGAATATGGAATCTTGTCGAATGCCAATCATACAAATTTTCATAGGTGTATGATCTAGATAAACATTACTCCGTGCATGCTAAGGATTGATTATATCATCCACTGACGATTATGTCATACATACGGGTGAAATGATGCAATGGTTGGCCACACAATAGAAGCCCGATTGCTTATAAAGAACCATCAATAGTCATTCATTGTAAGCCATCCCTGGCACCTAGATACATAATCATTGTACAAGAGCTATGTATACATCATTGCCAGTGATGGTGCAACTAGCCTTTTTTTCCATTGTCGTATCCAAGGACAACCAAATTTGTGTGAGCATTTGGGACGCTCAACCTTTTCCCGCGTAGCTGGAAAAACCCTTACCGGAAGACCAACCGACAAACGTAATCGGGTATAATTCTTTTGCATCCGTATCGGGTAATAAATAAGGGTTGTACGTTCGATTGATTATGCAAGAAACACGGGTCCAGACACAGGCTGAAAGTGACATAGTGAAGCGGTTGGCTAGCTTGCATTCCGCAGCTATGAGTAAGTGTATACCAGGGGATAGCTACTCAGTAGGACGTGTTTTTAGCGTTGAATTTGACATACAACATCATAACATAGTCATCAGATGCATGGTGGATGAAAATGGGGCATTTACTTTTAAAGCTTAGGAACCCTACCACTATGACATTTCTTCTACCACTAAAGTTGAGCTGTAAATCTATCTTAATGCAAAGATGATGTGTCCTTGACGTTAAACTCAATAATGAAGGGCCTCCCATACCTTGAGGTAGGAGCGACATTAGTTATTGACTTATTGGACGTTGCCATGGAAATACAAACGGTGGGACGCACACGATGTTGGCCGAATTTGGCAAGTGCCCTGCTTGTGCTTCCCCTTACGCCTTTGATAGTTGCAGCATTTTCAAAAACAGCAGCCCTTCAACTTTTCTTTACTCATCTATACCCTTTACTACGCCATGTGCAAACACATTCTAAACGCCCAGGCAAGTACAATAACTGTAGATAGCTTTATTTGAAGACTCTTATTTACATGCTCCCGGGATTGTGTAGGTTGCCATTCGTGCCCAATGTTGTAGACGCTGGTTCGATTGCTCTGAATGCCACGCCGAGGTTGCTGATCATCCTCTCCGCAAGACTGACGAGATGGTGTTTGCGTGCAAAAAGTGTAAAAAGGCCTTCCGAAAGGATATGACGTGAGTGGGCTCAATTGGATGCAATAGAAGGGTGATCGATCTAACCAAAGGCGCATGTATAGTGATTATGAGGAGGAAGACGAATACTGCCCACATTGCGATAATCATTACGTCCTTGATGCTATAACGCCTGAACCCAAGGTTGAAATTGAACATGAAGATTTGCGTAAAGATAGCAGGTAAACAAGAGATACATGTGGGGATGAAGAAGGATAACGTCAACTCTCGTTTTGCTGATCATGATGCATATATCAATTATAGAGTTATCAAAGACGCACGTACTAAACTCAAGCAGGATCCAAAGAGCATCTTTGATCTCGATGTCAGCGAAATGATGGGATAGAAATAGAAATACAATAAATCAACATGCTTTCATACCAAATCAAAAGAAAAAGAACGCTATGTATATAGATATGGTTGAATAATGTAATATACAAAAGGGCTGCATGGCGTTTTGCTGTAACACGCTTTTGTTTTTTCTTTTGTATTGCACATGAATGACATCGACTTTTCTTCTTCACGTTATTCTCTCTCTCAAAGTAACAAGCATAGGTGGCTTAAACAGCTATTCATAAAGAGTGTTATCCTCTGCATGATTCTTTCCTCGTTGCCATGACACTTACCGGTTTCCAAGGCCCGATTGGCAAAAAACCTCACATCGACATCAGGATCTGAGCTGAGCTTCTCCAACGTTGGCTTTGCCATACTTGACACCAGATCGAGCATAGCTTGGTTTTGTTTGAGCAATGGTATCATCGTTTCCAAGGATTTAGCAACATTGAATCGAATATTAGGAATGGGATCACTGGATAGCTCAATGACAGTTGGCAACACTGAGTCTCGTACTGTGTCAGCAGGAAGTGCTTCGGCCATTGTCTATAATAAACATTGATCAACGTTAATGCTGTTGCTATTTGAAAATCAATGCATCATCATCAAACTTACGGTCAATGCAAAAATCACAGTCATTCTGTGTAAGTAGTTATCATCGCTTGCCATGGTTTGTATTCTTGGGATAATAGCTTGTTGGGCCCAGGATGCACCAAAGACTTGAGTCAATCGCTGTAAGTTGGTAGTGGCAGCTTCTCGAATCGAAAAGACCTTGTCGCGTAACCATGCCATACACAAGTCCAAAAGCTTCTCTTCAAAGAACTTGGCACCAAATTGCTTGGCAAGCAAAGGAATGTGTTCAATAATAGCGAGTCGAATACGCCATTGCTTGTCTTCAGAAAGTTCATGGATAGCAGGTAGCAAGGCTTGGGACAAACGCTCAATGCCGATGGCTAATTTCTTTGTATTAGCTCACATCCAACAAAAAGACACACGTTTCAATCACCTTTGTTGATTTCATCCAAGCTTGAAATAACGTTCAACCGTACATCTGGGAAGTCGTCGGTAAGCTGTTGTAGGAAGGTTGGCAGCAAATACTCGGTTGTGCTACAAGAAAGGAAGCATGTAAGAGCCTAGACCTTCGTTGTGCCCTCTTCCAAAACATACAACCCCCCAACATGTATAACACTTACGGATCCTGACCAACAATAAGAGCCAAACCACTCACTTCCTTTGCAAGAGCTGCACGAGCATGCTGATTCTCATCACCAACAAGGTCCCTGACGCAAGGGAGTAGTCGATCGATCACCACTTGTTTTTCAATGAGCTGTGAAAAGCCTATCTTGATTATTAGTTGTTGCCCTTAATCATAATAAAAAATGACTTACCAGTGATGCGACCTGCAGCAGCAGTGCGAACCTCGCCTTCGGGATCAGCCAAGAAATGTAAGAATGGCTCTGTGAAGTGTTGCTCAACGATAGCGGCACCAAATGCTTGTGCGATCTGTCACGTGATTTGAGTGAGGTACTCACAAGCTTGTGTGAGTAAAGCGCGATATCTTACCTCGACGTATTCGGAAGCAACCATATATCTTACACGCCATGATCTATCTTCAGCCAATGCCGAGAAGATGGGGAGCAGCAAGTTGCGATTTTGGTCTTCGTTAAAAAGCTTGCCGAAAGGTACGAGCTCTTCAGCTGCCAACAAGCGAACCGAATCTTGAGAATCTTGAGCTAGTTGTTTCAACAACTCGAGACCACCTCCAAGTAATTCATCTGTAGGCAGTTGAGCCACAAAAGCCTATTGTCCACGCGCCAACTCGCATTAGTTGCGGGTAATATGGCAGCACGTCGCCGTAGCAAAAAGACACTCACGCCCAAAGCCTTAGCTGCCGATCGCCGCACCATCGGGCTCTCATCTCCAACAAGCTGGGCAAACATGCTATGATCAAAATCACCCATTATTAGTTGTTGCCTACACTCACTTCCAAATCCCTATTCATCACGCAAATGATCACTTACTTTCTCAATTCGGATTGGGTGTTGGCAGGGACCTTCTTGTAGGTGCTGGCATAGAGGCCTGTTGCAGATGTTCGACTAGTAAACCATTCACCCAAGCTCAATCTCTTTACTAATGGAAGGAAATACTGTTCAACGTGATTGGCTGGAAGAATATCCACCAACTTGCAAAGCGATGAAACAGCCTATCCATGTCATTGATAAAGCCATGTCAGCTTGTACCTGGCAGCAGCATCATCATCTCCTTGTACATTGTAGATACCTTTTCCCGGACAGAGCTTTCCTCCACTGCTGCAATGTTCTCCAGGGGCTCGAGAAGATAATAGGTGTATTCGCGGTCGCCCAAATGTGCAGTAAGGTTAGCAAGCTCCTCAGCAAGCACAACCAGGACCTCATCCTCGTCATCAATACACTCTGCAGTCAAATGACGGTTAGTAACCTTGCGTCAATTCAGCCGAGCTGGTGTGGGAATCAAACCTTGGAGGAAGGGCAATAGCTCATTACGAGTTCTTTCGGGACCAAGGGCTTGAGCAATAACCGTCAAGTTTCTCATCGCGTTCAATCGATATTGCACATCTTCGTGTTTGAGCTCGTCAATCAACAAAGCCACGGCAAACATGTCATCTTGCTGCTCCTGTTGTTGTTGCTCGCTGGATTCACCGGTGGTGGCAGGATTAACGGGATCCTCGTCCATGTATTCTGTTGTAGGTTGTGGCGTATTGGTATCGATCTCCATTGCTGATACAAGCTTTTAGGGTATTCCTTGGTCTATTTTAAAGAGATACGGGTTGTTTGAAGGGAAGAAAAGAGAGAGAATATGTGTGTGAGAGGTAAGTAAGAGGAAAGGTGTAAAGAGAAAGGGACAGCTCGATCACACACATTTCTTCGTGACGGCGCTACTAACACGTTACAGTTTAGGCATTGGTTTACACGACTTTCATCATGTTCATTCTTGCATGATACTCGTCTTCAAGAAAATTATGGTACCCCACCATCATGTATCCAATCCCGCCATATCATAGATAGTTGTAAATTCACATCCCATTGTAGATTAGGAACATTTGTTGAATATATCAGTCATCATCTTTATTATCGTCAAACTTGAGCTATTATCATTGTCTGCTAGTCATAAATCAATATCGATGTCGTATCATGGCAACCGTTGTCCGTTGCTTTGTATTCTTACCTACGTGGCAACTCGCGTTGGTGGGCAACCACACGTAATAGCACCGCCGGTGTTTTCCAGCATCAGCTGATATTCAATGCTTGTTGATTGCATGTCAAAGCATACGTAGGGGTATTTCAATCACTTGCAAAAACGTATACCACCGCTGCATCCTTAAAACCCATATTGTCATCTACCCATGAAAATGGCGTCGTAAGTCGAAGTACCAATGAAAAGGTAATGCTGCTGTGTGGAAGATGGAAGTAAGTGAGATGATGGAATCATCCAAGTCGAACCTAAATGAAAATGAAAGCACTCTACTACGTAGGTATCCCCTCCAGAGTTTGTAGCATATAAAACAAAAGGGAAGAGCATTGCTATTGCTTGTTGTTTGGAATGAAGCACATGGTTTATTGATACGAACTACTATACTCTCTCTCTCTCTCTCTAAATAAAGATGCCACCTGAAGAGATGGTGTCCTTGCATAAATCGAAACGTGCTAGTAGAGCATGCATGATTTGTCAGTAGTAGTAGAAGAGCGATCGGGAATGTCGTATGCACGTGATCACGCGGGGGGATGGCTAATTAATATGAAAGGAGGTTGTTGTTCTTTTTCGCAGATCTCCCTTCCACCCGTACATGAAACTTGACTTGATCCTCTTGACTTTGGGATTTGTGGCTCGTCGTCTTTGCATTTACATTGTTCTTGCGCTTCCATCTCTTGTTACCTTTTCCTAATACAACAACTACCTCGATAACGCCTCTCATTTCTGGCACCAACACTCATCCAGCATTATGAGCGCCGTATTTCAATTCGACGATGAAGATCTAGCAGCTCTTCAACGGCGCAGCATTGATGGTCACTTTGAAGTTGGCAATACTGATGCGCATGGCGACGATCGCACGAGTAGCAATAATAATGGCACTTTGGCTGTTGGCGGTGGATTCGAGAGCGGCTATGCATCTGAAGCCGATACTGCTGAACCGACACCTATCCCAGCAGATGAGCAGCTGTATGAAGTATCACTTGATCAGGATTATATATCATCATCCGTCAAAGAAACGCAACGACCTCGAAAGCGTGTATACAAGGAGGATTTTGAGATACTCAAGTTGCTTGGTCGGGGAGCGTAAGTCAACAACAATCAACCAAACGAATATGGCACGTGGACTCAAACAATGGATATCAATAGATATGGCAAAGTGACATTGTGTCGGCACGTGGATTCTCGAAAGCTTTACGCAATGAAAGTGCTCAAAAAGGCGTCGTTGTTTGTTCACGGCAAGAAGAATGTGGAATACATGAAGACCGAGCGACAAATCCTTGAAGAAGTGCGGCATCCTTTCATTGTTCAGCTTATGTATGCATTTCAAACCGACGAGCGATTGTTTCTTATTTTGGAATATGCTGTGGGTGGTGAATTATTTACACACATGGCTGCAGGTACATCAACAAACGGACTAGGATCATGCATGGTTACTAACTTTTTTGTTGACATTAGAACAAATGTTTTCTGAAAGAGTGGCTCGATTTTACATTGCAGAATTGGTTCTGGCACTGGATCATCTACATACGCTGGGCATTGTTTATCGTGACCTTAAACCTGAGAATTGCTTGTTGGATGCCGAAGGTCATGTGCTTTTGACCGACTTTGGCTTATCAAAGGTGTCTGTCGATGGAAAAGCAAATACATTTTGTGGCACAGCTGAATACATGGCACCAGGTAAATGATTACAACGATGGATGGCAAGATCAAATATTGATACGTTGTATATAGAGGTGTTGATGGAATTGCATTATGACAAGAGTGTGGATTGGTGGACTTTGGGTATCCTCATGTTTGAAATGTTGACGGGGGATGTAAGTATCGAGTGGATGGATTTAATCTTTACACGTCTTATTTACATCTTATCCATCAGACACCTTTTCGTGCCGGCAATCAAAAGAAGACCATGGATGCCATTCAAAACAAGAAACTACAAGTGCCTTATTACGTTACATCGGATGCCAAAGATCTTCTTAATCGAGTATGTGCTTTAAAAGGGGTTGTATTTACGTCATGACTAACCTTTAATCCGATCATCTTGCATGATAGCTCCTACGCAAGAATCCAAATACCCGTCTCGGTTATGGTGATGATGGCACAGAACAAGTTCAAGCACACAAATGGTTCAGACGTATCAAGTGGAAAGACATGCTGGAGCGTAAAGTGCAGCCACCCATTGTACCTATTATTGTGAGTTGATCTTCTTCCCGTTCGGTTACCTTGGTCATCGCTGACACATCGCTTATTAGACCAACCCAGAACTTGCCGAGAATTTCGATGACAAATTCACCAATGAAACGGTTAAAGAGACGCCCATTGAAACGGCTTTTGACGCCAACATGCAGGATCACTTTCGCAACTTCAGCTTTATCGCCCATTCACACATCCTGGATAAATAAAGTTCGACGGCTGCAAAAGACGGGAAAATACCCGATAGATGGCAACAACTTTTTTTGGGGGGTACATCATGGAAGGTTATTGGCTGCATCTTGCACACCTTGTCCAGTCGTGTATTTTCGACTAAGCAATTGGGAGGCCGCAACAATTTATTCCCCCCAACCAGACACTGATCGAAAACATCATGTATAAAAGCGGGTATTGCGGGTCACAAGTTAGTATTTTGTCCTTTCTTCTTTCCATCAACATTCTCAAAATGGTCCAAACTATTGATCAACGCGCTATCAACACTGTTCGTGTCCTCGCTGCTGATGTCGTTCGTGGCGCCAACTCTGGTCATCCAGGTACCGTATTGTTGTTGTTTCTCGTAACTGGGGTGTAAAAAAAACACGTATGACTCACATCATATACGCCTTCCTATATAGGTGCTCCTATGGGTTGTGCTCCTATGGCACACGTCTTGTTCAACAAGTTCATCACCGTCAACCCTAAGAACCCCAAGTTCGTCAACCGTGATCGCTTCGTTCTCTCCAATGGCCACGGCTGTGCCCTTCTTTACATCTACCTTCACCTTTTGGGCTTTGATGTCTCCATGGATGATCTCAAGCAGTTCCGTCAAGTTGGCAGCAAGTAAGGATCTAGTAATTTTCAAATGGGCTTATCATGTTGCTAACGTAACCTTATCAAAAAGGACCCCTGGTCATCCTGAAGCCCATGATACCCCCGGTGTTGAAGTGACCACTGGTCCTCTTGGTCAAGGTAATGTATAGTGTTGAAGGATACGATAAGAAGATCAAGATTTCTGATACATTCATTATATACCAGGTATCTCCAACGCTGTTGGTTTGGCTGCTGCCGAAGCCCAGTTGGCTGCCACTTACAACCGCCCTGGTTTCGAGCTTTTCAACAACTACACTTACACCATTGTTGGTGATGGTTGTCTTCAAGAAGGTGTTGCTGCTGAGGCCGTTTCCCTTGCAGGGTAAGTTTCTAATTGGGTGTGTGTGTGCGTGTATATCGATACGCGTATGTGGCCCCATCGCACTGTGTTTCAAAAGATAACTCAGAGAGATATGCCGTCATCATAGTCACTGGAAGCTCGGCAAGTTGATTGCTCTCTACGATGACAACAAGATCACCATTGATGGTGACACTGCTGTATCTTTCACTGAGGATGTTGTTGAACGTTTCAAGTCCTATGGCTGGCACACTCTTACTGTTGCCGATGGTGACAATGATGTTGATGCTCTTGAAAAGGCCATTGAGGAGGCTAAGGCTGTTACCGATAAGCCCACCATCATCAAGGTCAAGACCACCATTGGTAAGTGGGGAAGCTTCTATGGCGTTCTTTGCTCTGTCAAGCAGATGGCAAATGTGTTACCATGGCATCATCATGTTGCGGAGATCTCACGATGCGATTTTTGGATTTGTAGGTTATGGTTCCTTGTTGCAAGGTGAAGAGAAGGTTCACGGTGCCCCTCTCTCAGGTATGAATTCACATGTCATGTCTTTGTTTTCTATCTGGCGATCTGTGAAATATACAATTGACTGATTTTCCATGATTGTTATAGCCGATGACATCAAGCAAGTCAAGGAAAAGTTTGGCTTCAACCCCGACGAGCAATATGTTGTACCTAAAGAGGTATGGTATTATCGATCGATATCCATTTTCCCCCCAGGGACACGCACGTCCACATCAATGCATGAGAAAAAAGGGCACAGGGCACTTGTCACTGACGTACCTCCCCCAAACTTTAATTGATAGGTCTACGAACTTTATGGTGCTCGTGCTGCCCATGGTGCTGCTGCTGAAGCCGAATGGAATGCTCTTTTTGCCAAGTACACTGAAGCTCATCCCCAAGAGGCTGCTGAACTTTCTCGTCGTCTTGCTGGCAAATTGCCCGAGAACTGGCAAGCTGCTCTCCCACGCTTCACTCCCGCTGATCCTGCTGTTGCCACTCGTAAGCTCTCTGAAGGTGTTTTGACCGCCTTGGCTGATGTTGTCCCCGAATTGTTGGGTGGCTCTGCCGATTTGACTGGATCCAATCTTACTCGCTGGAAGAAGGCTGTTGATTTCCAACATGTGAGTTGCACATACATGTATACATTATTCGGGTCCTTTGAATTAAGATTAACTGATCCTCAACCTTATAGCCTTCCACTGGCCTTGGTGATTACTCTGGTCGCTACTTCCGTTATGGTGTTCGTGAACATGCCATGTTTGCTATCATGAATGGTTTGGCTTCCTATGGCGTTGGTATCATTCCTTATGCTGGTACCTTCTTGAACTTCTTGACGTGAGTATGGGATACATGATACAGGTTAATAGAGATATAACTAACATGTGATGATCAATAGTTACGGCTGGGGCGCTGCTAGATTGTCAGCTCTCTCTCATATCAGAGTACTTTATGTCATGACCCATGACTCCATTGGTCTTGGTGAAGATGGTCCTACTCATCAACCTATTGAGACTTTGACCTTGACTCGTGCCACTCCTAACATGTTGACCTTCCGCCCTGCTGATGGTAACGAAGTCTCTGGTACTTACCTTGTTGCTCTTGAGAACGCACATCGTCCCTCTATCATTGCTTTGTCCCGTCAAGGTTTGCCCCAACTCGAAGGCTCTTCCATTGAAGCTGTCACCAAGGGTGCTTATGTCCTTCAAGATGCTGAGAATGCCAAGGTTGTCCTTGTTGCTACTGGCTCTGAAGTTTCTCTTGCTGTGGAGGCTGCTAAGCTTTTGGCTGCTGAAAACATTCCCGCTCGTGTTGTTTCTATGCCATGCTCTGAACTCTTTGATGAGCAACCTGCTGAGTACCGCAAGTCGGTGTTGCCTGCCAACTTGCCAGCCGTCTCTATCGAGAGCTTAGGCGTGTATGGATGGAACAAGTACGCACACGCTCAAGTTGGTATGACCAGCTTCGGTGCATCTGGTCCTGCTGGTCAACTTTACAAGAAGTTCGGTATCACCGCTGAGAACACTGCTGCCAAGGCTAAGGCCGTTATTGCTCATTACCAACAAGTTGGCTACGTCCCTGAGCTTGGTGTTGAATTCTAAACGCGCTTTCCTGTCATCCATTACCATCCCCAAGAAAATGTGAACAAGCATTTGTAGAAAAAGATCCCTTTGATTCCATTTGATCACCCGCTCTATTATAGAACGAAGAATACATCAATCCAGGAAAAAGTTATAAGCACATGGAATCCTGTATTATAATAAAATGATGTAAAAAAGCAAAACGGATGTAAAGTGTTTAATAAGATTACATGTGGATGGGATGATTTCTATGGCAAAAGAGCGTAGTGGTGGATTGTGTATGTTGAATAAATATGACAGGAAGGGTTGATATATAGATCATTTGCTTGCTGGATCATCGTCACCATCTTCTTCTCGAATAGTCATTAACTTTGGTGGTGGGTTGTGTAAAGATTCCATCGACAAGAGAACGGGATTATCGGTAGGGAGTGATGCTGTAGCTCGTTTGACCCACTCGTTTTCCATCCGAAAGATAACCCAAACCCATCTTCGAAAGACTTCCAATAGCTCCATTGTAAAGATGCTGCCTTCAAGTCTCTTGACGTAAAGATGAGAGCTGAGTTTCAGACTCCAAGTGGTTCGAAGCACAAAATCAAGCGTCATTGCAGCATAGTACCAAATCGGATCATTGAAATGCAAGTGGCGACGAAATCGTAGGATAGGTGTTTGTTGATGTGTACGTGGTGATGTCGTAGTAATATTGATCAAGGACCAATCCATGGATATATCCCACCAAAAGGAGTACATTGAGTTGATAAAGACAAAGAACATCCTAATTTTCCCAAATCAGTATCCCTCAACCTACTCACATCCTTGAAAGATTGTTACCATATACGAAAAAGATTGGTATCATTGATCCACCACGTGCTTGGTACTGATCCAGTAGCTGCAATCCAATGATCTGCACGCTTTTGAGTAGCCGAGATGATGATGACAGGGAATGCGGATGCATATTTCAAAGCGTTGAAAAGATGACGTTTGGTCTGCCCTCCTGATTCCAAGTATTCTGAAATGCATTGTCGTAGTCGTATCAAGTAGGGCAAGCTTAAAAAGGTTGTCAGGGCATAATTGTATATCGAATCCATGTTGTACTATACTCTACCTAATGAGCAAAGGTACCAAGATATCTCGGTGACAAGCATCCGGATTATCAGATGGATTTCCCAAAGCCGAACAGCCCGTAGTGAAAAGATCGCCAAAGACATTAGAGAAGCTTGTGAGAATATCGGCCAAGATGATATCGGCAAAGTAGACCGTAGATAGAATGTTGAGAGAGAACAATCGTCGTAAAACACTAATGATATATAAAACTTAGCACTTGTAACATGATCCATATCCCCAAAAGACACTTACCGTACAAAACGTTCACGCTCTTTTCGATAGAGCCCTTTACCAGGCCAAAGGACAAGTGCAAGAGCCAATACATAGCATATTAACGGTGTCCAAGTCGAAGCTTGCCCCTTCATAAGCGAATACCACCACATATTGAGAGTGACGAGTAAGGTGATGATAGTAGCGAGTGAAAACACTGCTTTATGCATGGGTGAATGCTTGTCGATGGCATGGATTTGAAGAAGCTGTGCTGGATCGATATGATGTCTTGAAAGTAGGTAGAGATTCAGGCCCCAACCCCACAGGCCAATGCAAAAGACGACGATCGGGCGATAGGTGGCTGCGGGTAGGATGGAATGCAAGAGCGAATGGTGAGGAGTCATCGACGACGTGCCATTGGCGTCCATGGGGTAAAAGGACAGCAGCAGAAAACGAGTGTGTGTATAGTCAAAGAAGACAAAAGGAGTTGTTCACAAGCTACGCTTTAGTGGAAGTTGCCAATTTAGGAACACCAGATCGCTTCTATTGCTATGTACGCATCCACAGCAGTGGTGGAAATCTATAGCACCCCCTTCCCACCCAACCATACACCTGTTAGGTCATGTCTTACATCTCTTGTCTTTATATAATAAAGCGTATACGTTGATCAAAGTGTTGATTTCTATAATACAAAAAAAAGATGGGTGGACATCCCAAGCAGAGAAAAAGAAGCATACTAACGGTAGTGCTATGCTATTCCAGAACTGGCTAATCACCATGGAATGTTTAGATGGCACTCGAAACCAAAATAACCAGGTGGAGGGGCCTTGGTCCATAGAACATGTGCTCTCTGTGTACTACCATAAGCCCATCTACCCAGCTCACTGGATTTATATGTATGCTCACATGCACCTTGTTGTTGTGCTTATAAACAACACATCAAAGCAACAGGCAACAACAATGTCACAAGGTACATACATAATGATCCAAGGAGCTCTTATTTTCTAATACGTATCCCCCAACCCCTTCTCTATCATCATCTATCATACACGTCAAAAGAAGATGAAGAATGTGTTTCTGGACTTGTCATTTCTTTAAAAGAGCCTTATGCAACAAGATAAACAACAACAACAACAAATCCCATGCGTGCCATTTATTCAAATGCATTTTCGATCCCATTGTTGACATGACGTCTCGTGGAGAATAGTGGGGGTAGTCTTAGTGTCTCCTGTTCACCAGTAGCAATGGCTGTTGCAATAGAGGGTAATGTTGTTGTAAGGCATTCTTTGATATCCCTGACGCCTGAAGAGGGGGAGGAAAGGATTTGGGTATCATTTGGATACTTAGCCGTACCACACGGATATCTATGGTTGAAAAGGCAAGTCCCTGTCGAACCGCTGATGTGACCTTGTTTCGTTCTAGATAGCTGTGATGCATATCGCTCGCATTCATGCATCAACCTGTCTGCTACAAAGACCTTGTTAGAAGCCATTTCTTGTCGATCCCCATCACTCACTTCTCCCTTCATCCTTTTTTACGATATTTGCCATATACATGTAAAATAAAATGGTAGTTGCAGAAACAAAGGGACATGCCTACCTTGATTGGATGATGATGCGGCATCAGGCATAGAATTGACAAACGCCAATATGTTGTGCAAAGCCTAACTCTATCCCTGTTAAACAATACAGATCGTGTATATAGATGTAAAGCTGTATCATTTACCTGATTTTGATGTGTTTGTATGCGTTGCATCTCAAGGAGGTTACTGCAGACATGTGCGTTCCTACTTTCCATGTCTCGCAAGTTGTCCTCAATTAGCTGCAGGCGTGTTTGGAGGGCGTTTGATGCAACAGCAGCTGCGTAGTTTTGCCTTGTATCATCAACGTTTATTCCTTCATGATCGATTGTCCCGGTTGAAGATATGACAGGGTTGGATTCCGATGATGATGATGAGGATACCAAACCGATGGGCACCGTATAAGGGGGTACAAACTTCATATTGAATTGACCACTACTACCACCAACACCTCCTCCTCCGCTGCGTTTTCTCTTCACATATTGCAAGAGATGCTCTGCACCTTTCCGAAAGTAACTATGCCGAAAGTGCCAACCATCGCTTTGATGACTACTATTATCAGCAACGCCACCACTGGTATACGTATTGCACACCTTTCGGAATCCATACACTGAAAGGCAATAAGAATGAGTGCTACTTTGTCGGGTAACAACCATGCAACCCATCCACCTACGATTCAATTGCCGCACAAAGCTCTGCCAGTTGCCATGTTTAAAGTAACACGGTAGAACCGATTTTGAAAACTCGCCAGCATCTGCTATCCATATCCCAGTGCCGTCATTCGTCCAGCATATGAGCATGTCAATGCTTGTCTTGTTGACCAGCCTATGATTATTCTCGCGAGCAGCATTAATGATGATGATGCTATGATATAGAGTGACAAGATGAAGAGAGAGAGAGATTACATCCATAACTTCTTGACAAAGTTGGGTAGAGGTTTGCCAGCACCATTATCATCCTCATGATCCATTAGGCTTGGAGAATCGTGGTGCAGCATGATGAGATGGATATCAATAAGAACAAGAATCCAAGAACAGAAAAGGAAAAGAAAAAGAAGACGAGAAAAAGAAGGGGCTGAGCTGGATACATATCCTTTGTGTGCAACTGATCTCTGCAAGAATACGAGACGCAGCATGTGTATTCTTTGTTTCACTTTACCCACAGCCCTTTTAGCATTAACAACATCATGAGGATCCACGTGTGGTCAAACTACTCGATAGCTTTTATTACATCAATAGATATCATCTATCCTATAAACAAAACCAGGGCTAGCACATTCGTATCCATGGACACGGGGATAAGCTCAATTTGTTGAAGATCACCGAGACGGGTTTATTGTCATTATGGAATATTGTTTTCCCCCTCCTTCCTTTCTATCACCATCCATTTTCATCCCGTACTCCATTGTGTGTTCATACTTTCAATAATTGATCCCATGTTCAATACAAATCTCCATTGCCGTATCGTCAACTTCATTTTCGAAAGCGATTGGATGTGCGTAAAAGTGTATATGCATTCTACGATCGAGGTCGATATGGTTTATTGATGGGTGTACACAAGAAAGATAGCGCGCTGTTTATCAACCATTGCGAATCTACTGCTCGTACTTGTGCTTGATGTCCTTCCATTGTTTCTATCGATATAGACACTGTGAGCGATGCATGATGCGACAACCGATCTCACGCATGTATACTTACACCCTTGTTCATGTCATCCCAGACCTTGTCGCTGATGGTATCGAAGCCCATTTCGAATGCAATGGCGGAGGCGAAGATGGTGGTCACATAAACCGAGTTACGCTTGAAGAAAGTGTTGTACACAGTGCGTGCAAGACCAGAAGAAGCACCAGCGGCAGGCATTTTGGTTTTGAAGAGGGGGGAGTAAAGAGAGAATGAAAGAGGTCGGAACACTGTCCGCCTGGCAACCAAAACACAAAAATATCGGGTGACATCATCTCAGATACTACCACCACCAGCAGCTGGCAACCTATGCGGAGGATATCCAATATGTATTACCTACCTACCACCTGCAATCTAGATGACTTTTTTCTTATATCAGACACAAGGAGATACCACCTATGTTGTCGTTGTCAAGCACATTTACCTTAATATTAGCATCATAGCATTTTGTCTTCTCACCCGCTACTGTTGTTGATGCATAAATAAAGTATCATTCGTGTTACTTCTTGGATGATGCCCATGATGGCTCTCTCATAAGATCAAATTTCTCCTTGACCATACCATAAGGTCATCCAATGTGTATACGATTTGGAGGTTCTGTTTAAGACCAAAATGGGGTTGCGTATAAGGAGCAATGTGTCTCAGCCATAGACGTGTGCCATGAAGCAGTGCATGTGCAAACAAGGAGATACATCAGCAGCCAAAGAATCCCACATACCACGTCCAATGTACATGATCACATGATACTGTACATGAGTTAATAAATTACAAATGGTTTGCATGGAAATCTTTTAGAGTGTTAGTAAGGGGCAGGAAGGCTTTTTGCATGTCTCCAGATTCTTGGGAGCAAAATGTTATTAGGCGCATTGGTAATCATGCATAGTAGTAGTATGATAATAATAACAGTGAAGGAGATGACATGATAATGACGATCCTTTCATTGCTGGGGATGATAAAATTTAGTGCGCTATGTAAGCGTCATTATTAGTATGATAGAAACAACAGAGAAAACGGAGGAGCAAAAGATGTGTCTTTACGTATCATTACCCTTGATGCCCCTTAGTATCATGCGTTAGTATTATATATCGCAGGGAAATGACACAAGCTGCCGTAAATGGTAACAACGCAACAAGAGGATCCTAGGGATGGGCACATTAAGCGTGATGGTATATACATGCTTGTTGGGGTTCGCAAGATAAAAAAAAAATACGCCAAGGGCTTTCCATATCGTGGGGTAGACTGACAGTGCACGCACATAATCACGCATTTCCAACCACGCACATAATACCTTTCTTCTCCTTCATCCGTGGTGCTTCCCTTTCTTGTTTACTTGCGGCGAAGGAGACCCTCTCTTTCTCTCTCTCTCTTTCTCTCTTGTGTCCTTTTTTTCCCTTCTCTGTTATCATTTTTCCTTTTGCTTCTTTTTTTGGGGCATTGTTTCTTTTAACTTTCACATCTCTTTTGTTATAATAATACAAGGCAGTCGATGCATCTCTAGTCGACCATGAACATTGTTCGATCCAAGCTGTTACAGTTCTATCTTCCGCAAGTGTTTCGTTTGCAAAGGTGTGCAGGAATGGAACGAGTATCATACATTTTTATTCATGCAAACTTTATATTCTATTGACAGCATGGGTCTGTGTCACACCGAAGAACAGGCCAACAGCATCCAGCGCAACACCGAGATCGATCGACAGCTTGAGCGTGATCGTGGTCGACGAGAAAAAGAATACAAAATCCTCCTTCTTGGTGAGATTATCCCATCCCTCTTTCCCATGGGCTCCTTCAACTCACCTCTAAATCGCCATTGTGATAGGGAGCGGTGAGTCTGGCAAATCCACTATTCTCAAGCAAATGAAGATCATCAATCAAAATGGATACACCCAGCAAGAGCTCTTTTCATGGCGTGTCATCGTTTATCGCAATATCGTCGAATCCGCACAAGCCCTCGTTCAAGCCATTGCCGACTTTGGAATGACATTGGAGAATGCTGACAATGAGGTAAGGTCATGGCATTGTGGTTCTATTGTTGAATGACGACGAGGGATTGACGCGCGATGCGACCCATCCAAGGAACATGCACGGCGTATTCTCGGCTATCAAGTGCCTGGCGACCCCAAGTTTGAGCTTGACGATGAAATTGTGGATGCGATAGACAACTTTTGGAAGGACAAAACGGTGGCCGAATGCGTGGAAGAAAGAAGGCATGAATTTTATTTGATGGATTCGGCACCATAGTAAGTCAAATGACATTTTTTGGTTGCAATTGCCCTGACGTTACATGATAGCTTCTTTAGAGAGATTAGACGTATTGGCGATCCCAACTACATCCCACTTGAGCAGGATGTCTTGCGGGCAAGACTCAAGTCAACAGGCATCACTGAGATCCGCTTCCAATTAGGAGGTCTCTTTATACAGTATGCAGGGAGAGGAAAAGTGGAAAATACAATAGCCCACCAGAGGGATGACTGATCACAAGTTACAATAATACATAGCATGTTCGATGTCGGTGGTCAACGGTCCGAAAGAAGAAAATGGATCCATTGCTTCGATTCGGTAGCATCAATCATATTTTGCGTCGCTTTGAGCGAGTATGATCAAGTGCTTTTGGAAGAATCACGACAAGTAAGTCTGGAAACACCATTGGCACTCAAGAGTTGCATGCTAATCTATTGCTAACAGAACCGGATGCTTGAGAGCTTGTCACTTTTCGAATCAATCGTCAACAGCCGCTGGTTCATCCACACATCCATTATGCTATTCTTAAACAAAGTTGATCTCTTCCAGGCCAAGCTCACCCGTGTACCTCTCAATAAATACTTTCCGGACTATGGAGGTAAGAAACGAATATCTTTTTCATCATTGGTTATAGCAAAGTAACTCAATTTATGATTGGAAGGAGGCAAGGATGCCAACAAGGCGGCAAAGTACATACTGTGGCGGTTTCTTCAAACCAATCGGGCAAAGCTTAACATATACCCACAGTAAGTTGATCAATTTCAAGGCAACATCAACCATCTTGTTCTCACATACGCTGTATCCTGATAGCTTGACTCAAGCGACTAATACCTCCAATGTATGTATGATACCAAGTAGTAGGCGTAAGTTTCATTATTGATCATCTCCCTTTCTCATTGTATAGATCCGGTTCGTGTTTGCAGCTGTCAAGGAGACGCTACTGCAAAATGCGTTGCGGGATTCCGGTATGCTTTGAGCGTGGCATTCATTCTATTCCCATCAGTATTTTCTTTCTTCACACCAAGGTGATACCTCCTTTTGTACATTTTAATCCGCCTCTTTCCTCGTTATCATCGCTCCTTGTGCATATGGAAAAAAGAGAAACAAAGTACATCCACCCTTTTTCTCTGCCTCTACTTGTCTCTCTTTGTCTGTGTACTATCTTCCCTACAATATTCCTTCTCCTTGACATCCTCTCCCACTCCCCATTTTACACTCCTCCTCCTTCCCTCCTGTTGCTCATAAAACAAGCTTGTACGCATGCGCGCACATGCCTAATAATATTATCATTACACACACACGCACTCATTTGACTTTGAAAGTAAATGAAAGTTGGAGAACATGACCCTTTTTAAAGACCCTATTTTCATGCACCCTATTAGAATACATGGGTGGGCTGGTAGAAACTAGATTTTTTATGCACAATGTGTGAAGACCATCCATGACATACATTTGCGAACATCCTTATGTGTGAATAAAAGAAAGCAAAAAAGATCTATTTTGTAGAATAAGGGAATAAGATATCTTCAGGTTGTACCAAAGTAGAGAGTAAGAATATTTTGGCTGACATTGAAGCCGAACAATGAAGCGACATAGAGAATAGTGCCAATGAGGATTGGATAAAGGAAAAGTTCAGTGTGCGCCAAGAATGGTAATGCTAACAATGATACATGAGTGATAATGAAACATGGAGCAAGCCTTTCAACCTTACCATTGAATCCCAAGAATGTACCATAGATATACCATACAGCTGCACAAAAGTAGATCGTGTTGCCAAAGAAGAGAGAAATCCAGTTGTCGTGCTTGAGCACAGGCATGAAAAAGAATTGAAGTACGTATGTGATAAGGAACACCGGGAAAAACGAGTTGCAGTGCACGTCAAAAGCATAGGCCCACTCCACTTTTTGTTCCACCGCATGTGCCATTGTATCCATGATCAAGAATCGATTTGAGACGAACCTAGTAATTCTCTCTCCATATCAGCTTCAACCTCCATTTCGATATCCATCATCGCATCTTACCAAGTAAAAGTGGCTGCCAAAGATCCTACCAGTAAAAAGTCGACCAATACCATGAAAAGCATTGCCCGTAGTATACCAACCATTCCTAAACCATAGGCAAGACCCCAAGCAACAGCCGATACTAGCATAGCACAACGGGTATAAGAATCATCGCTTGTTCCCCATTTTAGGTACGGATGGCCCCCTCTCCTTTCACTTACCGCATAATAAAGAAGCCAGTAATACAAGAAATGCCGGATCATCTCGTGCCCATTGGTTCTTGGTCTCTAATCATTATCGTCCAATGTCAATATCGCATAATGCATCCTTCCATTCACACACACTCTCTCTCCATCCTACGTTTATGGTAGTAAATGTTGCGATATCTATTACAATAAAAATCAGTGTTCAGGTACACTTTATCTTTTTGGTGACACTCACACTCGTCGAGGGGCGATTAGTAGATACGCCATCTGCCATAGAGCAAACTGGAACAGTGCGTGAGCTTGGCAATTGACAGCATAGTGAGATTCAGTCTTACTTCAAAGTCCATTTGTGGAAAACGAAAGAGACGACGTAGTATTATAGGAATTGAATGAGAGGAACGACGATGGCGACGTGAGCCTCCGAATGAAGGTGGTGATGTGTTTCGTGCATATTCGTTGGTGATTGGCAGCATACTTCGTATAGGGTGCGTGTGCGTGTGTGTGTGTGTGCACAACAGCCTTTCAAGTTCCAAGAAAAACCACGCTTTCAAATAGGGAATTGGCGGGGATTTGCCTAATGCTATTATTCCTACTAGTACAGATGTCACTTTTATGGCTCCCTCATCATCATCATGGATAACGTCAATATGAATAAATGGCATTGCTTTTATATCAATGTTTTTCTACTCTTTGGATTTTCACGGGAAAAAGTGGCATAAGGTATGCTCAGATCTATCATGATTGTAAGTGAGAAGATGCCTCTACATGTGGATAATGACAACCACCACCACCACCACCCCATTTACCTCGTCAATCTCAAATTCAAAGTTGACTTCCTCGTCTTCTTCACCAGCAAATGCTTCATTTTCATTAACCTTGGTAGTATCGGGTAGCTCTCCATATTGCTTGAGTTGACGAGCTTCATCAGGGTTGTAACGTTGAATCACATCGGCTTTGTCATCTTGATATTCACGCAAAGAAACGAGGATGATGTCGCCTTGATTGATCCACACCTTTTTACGCATTGCTCCTCGAATATGGGCTAGTCGCTTTACTCCATCAAAGCATTGTGCCTCCAAACGACCATTACCCAACATTTTTGACACTTGAGCGTATTCTACAAACAAGAGCGAGAGAGAGTCAATCCACGATCTGGTCGCCTTGTTGCATAATAGGATTGATACCTTGGCCTTCTTCTTTGAATATCAGTTCACGCTTGCTTGCTTCGTTGTCGTTCTTTCCTCGCCTTCGATTCTTGCCACCCTAAGGATCTCAATTGTGAGTGACATGGATACACATCTAGACATGCGATGGTGGCAGATTACCTTTCCTTTGTTCTTTGGCATATTATAAACACTCCAAGTGTGTGAGAGTAAGAGAGTAAGAGAGAGGGAAAAGGAGAAACAGAAAATGTATGCCGACACTGTTGCGTATTCTCCGGGATTAGAAAGAATGGTCTCAGTTAGTTTCCATAAGCATCCTCATTTTCTGTATTGTGTCATCGGCAACATCATGTCCAAGCCAGAGCGTTTATTTACATCAGGTTATATAAAGAAAGGGAGCAGAGAGCAATGTGCATATGTGATGTGTGTGTGTGGTTGATATCAGAAAGAAAGAGAAATGAAAGTGCGCGCATGCACGAGAACAGCATTACATGTACAGAGACGAGTGTGAGGCGACTGAAAGAGTGTAAAAAAAGAATATGGGAAAATGCCGTGCTCAAGTCGAAGAAAGCATGTTTTGTTTGATAAGCGTTATGTGTCCTTTTTTTTTGTATGCAGAGTAATTTCAAGTGGTTGTGGTTGCAGCAGGTTCACCTTCCTTGGGGGTCACCACATCAGGTGTCTCAGCCGTTACCGCTGGGGATGTGTCAATAGCAGCAGGATTGGGTGCTGTTGCTGTTGCTGTTGTAGTAGTAGTGGTAGCTGTTGTAGTCGTCGCCGTAGTTGCTGAACTACCACCACCACCTCCTCCACCACTACCACTGCTCTCTGCATTTGTTGTCGCCGTTGCTGTGGTTGCACTATCATCGGGTGTTGTTGTTGCTATCGTTATCTCTGCTGGTTCTTCCTTCTTTGTTAGATGCTTTGAAAGATCTCGATTCATTCCAAAACTATTCACTCGATCTTGATCAAAGATAGTTTTGAGTTGATCGTCACACAAGATGTAACGGCGGTCGGCAGGATCTTGCAGGTTGTTATCCTTGATGTACTTCCAAAGCTTCTTCACAATATCCGGTCGAGACATCTACATTTCAATGGGTATCAACAACCTCCATCCAAAAGGATAACGTCAACTCTTTTCTTTCTTTTACCTCTGGATCACCACCAACAAAAGCTGAAAGTTCAGGGCTGAGGATAAGTGGTTTGTTGAGACCTGTTTTTCGTTTGGGTTTGGGCGGTGCATTGGGGTCAACTGGTTCTTTGACTCGCTTTTTCTTGGCTCTTGTCTTCTTTTTGGGCACTGCAAGTTCACCAAAATCTTCCATGCCCTTACGCTTCTTTTGATTCATATCCATCGGCAGCTGTCCTTGCATTTGCTGAAGCTGATGCTGCTGAGGATGATGTTGAGGATGTTGATGATATCGACCCATCATGGCAGCAGCTGCTGTTGTGGGTGAATGAGTCCCCATCGGTGCTGGAGCGGCATAATACGGCTGTTGATAAGGTGATGCTGAAAGTGCTGGTGGTGCACGATACATGGTAGGATGAGGAGAAGGCTGTTGATAAGAACCACGACGCATGTGTTGCTGTTGCTGTTGATGCTGATGGTGCTGTTGTTGCTGTTGTTGCCACTGTGGAGGCATCATGACATGACCTGTTGCATGAGGGTGAGGCTGATTGTACAAAGGTTGATGATGATGCTGTTGATGTGGATGATGCATAGCAGCAACGGCAGCAGCGGCGGCAGCAGCTGAAGATGTTTGCTGTGTCAAAGGATCATTCAATTGAAACGTGTGGTTAAATTGTTGATAAGGGCTAAAATCATTCATTGATCCATCCATGAAACTAGGATTGCCACCAGCAGCCGAAGTTTGTCCCATCGTTACGGGTATCGCAACAGGAGTAGGTGGTGGGATTGCTTGTGGTTGTTGTTGTTGTTGTTGTTGCTGCTGCTGATGTTGATCACCGGAACGATAATAGCTCAAGCTCCCGATGGTTGGATCGGGTTTACTCGAAGGGTAAACAGGCGAAGCAACGGGCTTGTAGCCGAGTGAGCCATAAGCATTCAAGTCTGCATAAAGAGAAACACACATCAGTGTTGCTCATGCAAAGAGACTTAACATGGTGAGGAGTGTTGGGCGATAACCGACCTTCCAATGATGGGTTATAGTTGCCGTATTCCATGGCTAGGGTTATTCTTGAATCGATAGGATGGTATCAAAAGCGACGACTTGTTGGTCTATGCGTTGCAATAGAGGGGGAAGAAAAGGAAATCATCAAGGTTAGTAGATGTGTCACTTGTACCTTTTCAAGACAATGATAGCGAGGCAAAATAAAGGAGTAGTGAAGGGGAAAGGATAAAAAGACAAAGCTTGGTGCATTATGTACCTGGTTGTCGGACCAAAATGTAGCAGCTAGTGATGATAAAACACTAACTGACAGTCAACGGTAGGTGTATACGGGCGATATGAGCAAGTGTGTATATGAGCAAAAGACAATCGGGAATTATGTATATACAACTGAGCTGCCGTAAACACACGCAAACAGAACACACGCACAATGAGAGGGGCGGGACAAAAAGAGAAGCAACGGATGAAGCACGGGAGAGAGAGAGAGAGAAAAATACGCAAGATGCAAGTTCAAGGTTCACAGTAGATTTGTATTGTAAAAATGAAGCACTCCGTGACTTTTTCCCTATCCAACCTTTTCTTCCACAAGCTTGTGCATGCTTTGCCTTCCCTTTCCCCATTTGCTTTGAAGATAATGGATCCATACGCACGTACCTACGTATATGAAACAGCGTGAATTATCCATTACCGCTATTATCCAATATAATCCGATAGCTTGATGGTTTCGATTGAAGCTGTGGCAGTATCCTTCTCCGCTGGTTACAGTTACGGGATCGGGGGTAGCCGCCCGACAAAAAAAAAAGACATGTGCCAAGGACACGCTTTCCTTTATCCTTTCAAACGAAATCGTGGTTTAGCATTGTATACAAGGTACTCTATAGTGCATGATGAATGTAAGGTTATACAATTTTACGTTCTCTATTCCATGTGCCAGATGCAGCTGTGAAGTGAACAACAGTGATGACCTGGGGGACACACAAGGATCTTTTTCCAGACTCACCCGCCCTAGACCATTTTGGGACATCACGGACGTGTCTTGACCTTAAACCCCCATGTTCAACTTTCATCGTCAAGCCCCCTTTCTCACTCAGGAGGGATCGAAACCTTTTGAGGAATCTATGAAAAGGGGGGAGGATCACACACACACACACACACAAGGAAAGTAAAAGGATTACATACTTTTTTCTTCGAGGCAGATAAAGGATGTTTGTGTGTACAAGCTTGTAATTTTTGGTCATCTGTGGGACGACGACGAGAAGGGGATTGGGTCACAGGGAAGAGATAAAGGTTGGCAAAGTTGTTTGATTGATTAGATGAGACCCTTTCAACTTGTAGATGGGTTGGACTTTTTCATATCCTGCATGTTTCTTGTTGCACAAAGGATGTTTGTAGTCGAATGGAAATAATGGTCGTCAATCTTTTGTATTTTCTAAGCTGCATTTGATAGCTTTGTGTACACCCCAAATGTCATCCTAATGGTGGATACACAGCATTGATCTACATGTGTGAGCTGTAACGCACATGCACTCTCCCTCTCTCTTTCAATGATGTCGCACAAAAAGATACGTAAACCTTGTCTCTCAGCATCATGACAATAACCCCAATGTCCGTGAACCAAGGTGAATGGGTAGATTGGTATGATCGTTTATACATAAGAGTCATTATTTATCCATATTTAGCTATCGAGTCTAGTTGCCAACATTCCAAACAAAAAGTGTGTGGATACGCAATGTAAGGGATACTGTTACTATGCAAGCTTTTCTGGACACAGACCAAAGAGTCATGTCGTTTTATGCAGGGAAGACGCCACCCATGGTCTATGAGAAAGAAAGCGATGATAGGAGGAGATGGGATGGATAATAAAGGACGCGCATGAAATTGTTCAGGCTGCTGGGCCTTGTTCACCTTTCACCATGTCCGAAAAGCGTCCCAATCCATACCTACCCAATGAGCACGATCAACAACAACGTCCCAAAGCGAAGCGACACAAGAACGATAATACAAAGCACCTTGGTGGAGGAGCGAGTGCTGTTGTCTATCGCGATCCAAAGAAAGCGCAAAAACCAAAGCAGAACCACTTTATGTACGGCAACTATGCCAATTACTACAGGTAAACCTCTATACAAGGGAAGACTACCATCGCCCACCTAACGCTCCTTAAGCAATCGTCGCAATCTACAGTTGACAGCTGATCCAAGACTTGAATTGCTTGATGCTTCTCTCTTTGAAGGCAAACGCGTGTTGGATATTGGATGCAACTCTGGGAATATCAGTATTACTATTGGTAGGCAACTTTGGTACGGGAAGGTGATGTTTGTCGAGTACTGAACATCGTGGTATGATTAGCTATGGAATATGACGCTGCACACGTCGTAGGTGTCGATATCGATCCGACTTTGATCAACAAGGCAGAACAGCAACTTCGTGTCGCCTACTCTTTGAAAGATCCAAAAGATGAACACAAGCATATAATGGATATCAGCATGCGTTTCCACTACTTTCCACGATCACTATGCAGCATGTTTGGTTACATCCCTATGACACTTCCTCCAAACACGCAAAGATACCAATTCCCACACAACATCAAATTTGAAGCCGCCGATTGGATGGATCAAGAGGTGAGGCCTGAGGAATATGATACCATATTGGCGTAAGTAGGAATGGAGGGGAATATCATTCGTGGATCAAGATGTTGATGGCCCTTTTTTTGTTAGATTGAGCATTACCAAATGGATCCACATTCACCGAGGAGATCATGGCATGAAAGTGTTCTTCAAGCGGATATACAAAGCACTTAAGCCTAATGGAGTTCTGGTTCTCGAGATACAGCCATTTGATACATATGAGCGCCGTGCCAAGAAGGATGAGGTAGGTCATTAAGATATGTCATTGTGGGATAACAGCTCATATCATCTTTTAGACTACCATGGCTATGTTTGAATCAATCGAGTTTGTGCCGGATCAATTTCATGAGTTTCTGATGGATACGGTTGGGTTCTCAAGTTACAAGACACTCAAAGTACCAGAGGGTCACAAAGGTAATTGGTGAATGGGTATCAATGACTTTATCCTTTCTAATCCATTGCAATCACAAACAGGGTTTGAACGTCCTCTCACGATTTACACCAAGTAATAGTATATGTGGATTGAAGTATTTGGATCTCGGGAAAGCCTATGTAATGATACACCGTTAAGCAAAACTTGTTTCTTTGTGACATCAATCATACACATTGTGTAATGTAATAAAAGCATCTTCCTTCTCTTTTACAATGAACCCAAGCAATCATGTAAGAGTGACGAATTTGTGTCACGTATGCATGGGGGGTGAGGTGCTTGAAAATGAATCGGATGCTCTCGCGTTTGAATCCTCTCTTTATTCGTGATATTCCTTTACTTTCAATATGGCATTCAAGGTATGTAATGCGATCTGCATTCCAGCATGAAGACTCACAGCGTCATCACAGTGTTTGTCTCAAAAGGTGGCACAGGCCATTGACGAAGAGCTCATGTCATCGGGTGGTTTCTCCGTCGACCAACTTATGGAACTTGGTAAGGTCGCGTTGAAGTAATAGGATCATGGCATTAAGCACACCTTCCCGTAGCTGGTTTAAGCGTAGCACAAGCTGTACAACGAACGTATGATAGAACGCAGTTCCCCAACGTCTTAGTATGCGTGGGACCAGGTAAGATGAATGGATGGGGATAATCTTCATGAGACTCATGCATGATTTATGATAGGCAATAACGGCGGTGATGGTAAAACTCAATCCCCTTTTGATGATACGCTTCCTTCTCATTCTTGTATTGATAGGGCTGGTTGCTGCACGTCATTTGTATCATTTCGGTTACAAGCCTTCATTGTATTATCCAAAACAGCCAAACAAGGATCTTTATCAGGTATAAAAAGGGAGGATGATAGAAATGGATGGTTGAATAGTATAACATTTGACACATCATACCCTTTAGCGTTTATTAGTACAATGCAATCAGCTTGGTTTATCAGTACACGAGTCATTCGCTGACAAGACGGTGGAGGAAGCTGATGTCCTTGTGGATGCTGTATTTGGTTTCAGTTTCAAAGGTGATGTGCGCGATCCTTTCAAGGAAGTAGTCAAGACGTTCGAGACGACAAACAAACCCATTGTCTCAGTGGATATCCCATCAGGCTGGGATGTGGAACAAGGCCCTAGCAACAATGTCAAATTCCAACCCGATGTCCTCGTCTCTTTGACAGCTCCAAAGATTTGTGCAAATCATTTCAAGGGGAAGCGCCATTTCTTGGGCGGTCGATTTGTTCCACCTGCCATTGCAAAGAAATATGATTTCGAAGTCCCTCCTTTCCATGGCTCAGATCAAGTAGTAGAGCTTCCCCTAGCAGTTGGATCACCGTAATGGCTTATGTATATTTACAAAATGATGAACAATGTAATACAGATGTTGGGAATCTAAAGGTTGCTGTCTATAAAGGAACAATGGGTGGTTTTTCAATAATTGGAAAGGAATTCCTTAACACTATGATGGTAGAGAGAGCATGTAAGCAAACATCAACATTATATGTATAGTAGTGGCATCCTTTTACCTTGGTGCTACACTCTTTGTCTTGAGTAATGTTTCCTTCCATTCCTGCTCAGGTGTGGATAAAAATGTCACAGCTCCACCGGCACCAACGGATAGCTCAACTATAAATGGGAGTGAGCATAAGCATACTATGACTTCGATGAATCCCATTAGCTTACCTTTATCTGAGACGTTTGTTGCCACTGCTGTGCGAATGATAACACTGAAATCAGCACTACCATCCAACGAGAAATACCCTAAACATCCTGAATAGATCCCACGACGGCGATGTTGCTCGAGTTGATCCAAGAGTTGCACCGATCGTAGCTTGGGTGCACCTGTCATTGAGCCTGGAGGGAAACATGTGCGTACAGCTTCAACACTTGTTACGTGTGGATGGAGTGAACCACGAATCGTTGACACAAGATGATGCACCTTTTCGTACGTTTCAACGTTCATCAATTTTGGTACACGCACTGTGGATGGTTCGCACACTTGAGCAAGGTCATTTCGAATCAAATCCACAATCTAATGTAACCTGGCTGTAAGTGATACAACTTCCCTTATCTTTCATATACGCGCTAACGTACCATAAGATTTTCAGCCCTTTCTTTGACATCTTGCCACAAAGTTTGCTTTCGTCGCTCATCTTCAGCAATACGACGTTCTTGACACTGCTCATCACATCCATCCTTTGGGCACACACAACCAATGGCACGTGCCATGGTGCCTTTGATAGGCTTCATTTCAGCTGTTCCTGCAGAAGAGACGCTCAAGAATCTTTCGGGGCTTGAGCTGAGGATCGCCATATCACATGAAGGAAAATGAAGCAAAGCTGAGAATGGTGCAGGGTTGTTTTTGCGTAGATGTCGTGTATAAAGTCGCCAGATATCGGATTTACTACTTGCCGCGTCTCCGAGGTAGCTATGGAAACGTGTTGTCAAGCAAATCTCGTATGACTCGCCCTCATGGATCTCATGTATACACCGCTCAATAGCATCAAGATACTGATCATGCTGTGCATCGGTTGTAAATAAATCATCGTTGCTACTCAATACTTGCGGGATTGGGGTTGAGCGTGTTGATGATGCTGGGGTCATTTCCATATAATCAGCAGCTTGCGCTAAGCGGTGTGCATTTGTAGCAGCTTGCGATACGATACGCTCGGCATACTCCAACCAACGCTCCACGTCTTGTTGCGTTTTGAAACCCACGTTCCATGGATTATCACCACCAGTCCACAAAAGACAGCAAACATGGATTTGTCGTGCTTTGAGATCAAATGACCAAAATCGATCAACGAATTGGAATCCAGCATCAGGTTCAATCGAACATCGACAATCATCTTGGCCGTTGCATTGTTGTTCCTTTGGTGTAGCATAACCATCCAAACTCTCACGCTTCATTTCATAGCCAAGATAGCCCACGAGTCCACCACAAAAAGATTGATGTGCTGATGTCGTGTTTTCAAGTTGTAGATCTGATAGAATGCGTGAAACGTAGCCGAAATAATCATCGTCATGATCAAGATTCAAAGATTGATCATCCGCTTCTCGATAAGTGTGATCCACCCGCTTGTGCAATGTTGAATACGTCATGGTGAATGCCGGGTCGACTGACAGAATCGATCTGTTCGAGTAAGGCGATGCTTTCTTCAATAGAATAGGTTAATGGATAAGCAACAAGAGCTTTCAATCAACAACTTACTCGGCTGCTGTCAAGCCAGCTGATAGCTTTGATTTGGTCACGCGCATCGGCCACTAGCTGATCGAAAACATGTTCTTCGTTGACCCACATGTTGATTGGTTTAGTCACAAGGCGAAGTTGTGTCTTTGGTTGTGGAGACCGAGAAATATGCGTTGCAAGCGATGAAAGGGATCGAATACCATCACTCAAAGGACTTTGAAGAGCCATATCAATTCCATGCTTAAAGAGTACAACACGATGAATACCTTGCATCATGATGTTCCATATATGCACCTACCTGTTGATACCAATTGAAAGTTTCTTGCATAAAGTTTTTGATCATTTGAGTACCATACTCTGTGGACACCGATTCAGGATGAAATTGGACACCCCACAAGGGCAATGATGTATGCTGGAACCCCATAACTGTGACCAGATCAGATTTGTTGACAGAGTTGGTGGGCGGATGTTGCAGAAAATGATGGCTCTCGAATGAATCCTCGTCGACTTTATCAGCCACATACTCGGCATTTTTCAATGCTTGAACATCAGCGTCATCTTCCTCACAATAAGCATTCAATCGTAGACAACTTGGCAATGCTATATGAAACAAGATGAATAACAACGTCCATTGGATTATTACAATGATAGCTTACATTTTCGATCCACGATGAGAGAATGATAACGCACAGCCCAGAATGGGGAATTGCAGTTTTGGAATAAAGAGCTTCCTTCTGTGATATGGATTTGCGACATACGGCCATGCATAATGCGTGGAGCATAAGCGATCTACCAAATCTAATGTCAGCCTATAATGCATTCAAGCCATTGGCTCCCGACAATAACCAACCTCTCCACCCAAAAGATGAGCAATGCCCTGGTGACCAAGACAAATGCCAAAGATAGGTCGATGGTACTTTGATTGTGTCTCATCCAATTGTGCCTCGATTAAGCTGCTGCAGATACCAAAATCCTAGAGCAACAAACAATAAGACTATTTTCATTCTGCAGGAATCAAACTCGCCTTACCGAAGGTCGTTCAGGTCGTCCAGGTCCAGGGGAGATGATAACATTATGAAAATGGGGAAGCACATTATCCTTGAATTCAGACCTGCATCATCCATCAGTTCAAATCATCCTGTATCCACGTGATGACATTCTCCTCGTTGCCCTACTATTATCCTTACCACTGGAACTGATCGTTTCGAACCACAACAACGTTTTCTTGGTTGTCACATAGCTGAAGCAGGTTGAAGGTGTACGAGTCGTAATTGTCAATAATAAGCGTCCTCATGCACGTCAATGACTCTCGATCATGGTGTGCGAGCATTGCAAGTCAAACAATGGAGAGTGTTGAGGGTTGTGGTAAAGTAAGACAAGAGGGTTACTTTTACGACCTCTGTTTGATTTCTTTTCCTATTCCAGCGCTGCCGACCAATGGATTGTGATCTGCCTCTCAAATCCATTTCCTCCATCTCAAATGCACATCTTATCCTCTGTTTCAACCAATGCATTCCTTGTCCTCGATCATGCATCTTATAGTATAGCACTATCCTTTGCAATGTTTTTATTCCATCATCAACAACAGGGGGAGACCACTATCATCTATTCCTATTACATTGTGTTTTGGTTACTAATACAACTATGGCGTTGCTATGCACATCCATAAAGGTGACTTGAATGTAGTAAATCAGAGCAACAATAAATGCATTTCCGTTTCCATGGTCACCTATGAGAATGAATGAGTGGCACAAAGTAGCTGAGCTGGGAGTCGTGTGGTGTGTGTATACAAAGAGGACGTGATGCAAAGAGCTAATAGCCCAGATCCTTTTTTTTCTGTTTTTGTTACTCCAGCGACACAACGCACCCAACCCATGGCTGTCACCATTGAATCACTTCCCGGTAAAGTGTACGAGCACCTTGCCAATGCCCTCGAGCCACGTGATATGGTGATGCTGGCTTCAACTTCCAAGACGCTCTATCGGTCATTGTTCAACGATCAGATCTGGAAGACGTAAGGACTTGGACCCAGCGACTGATAACACACACACAACCCATTGACACACTATACCTATAGCAAAACAGCTCATGACTTTGGCGATCTATTCAACATTTATAACCTGATCACTGTCGGTGCCGGTTTAGAACTTGCGCCTGATCTTGCACCCAAGTTTGGTCAAGAACCTAGCGATTGGCGTGCCTACTATATCCAGAAACACGGCTCCATTGATGATGCGGATACGGATGCGTTGGTGTCGCAAGCTGAAAAGGAATACACAGAAGCACAAACATACTTGAAGACCTTTCAAAAGGATGGCAATGTTGTGGTATTGGGTCGAGTGGCATCAAAGATGATTTGGATTCTTGGTAAGGTATAGAGAATGGGATTATCATTTCTGTCTCTAATGTTATGGATGTAGATGTTTTCCCCACTCATGCTGGATGCTATTATGTCCTTGGCTTTATTCTCTTTGTGTTGAATCGATTACAAGATGCGCTTGTGCCTCTTCAAGTGGGTCGGCGAGTGGATCCCAATTTCGAACCCTTGGAAGGTTAGCAACGGGTCGCTTTTCAATGTTGGTCATTTTTCTCACGGTTGTCTTTTCACCTGTCAGAATTGGAAGAGGAAATCACGCGGATATTAAGTGGATATACCGGAAACCATCATGAAGCATCTTTACTACAGAACGATTCCTTATCTCCGGAGCTGACGGATGCATTGTCAGAAATATTTGATGCCTTCGACAAGGATAAAGATGGTGCTTTACGAGCAGAAGAGCTTGGGAAATTCATCTTGGAGACAAATGGATCTCGACCACCACCACAATTCCTTCGACAAATGGGACAACGTTTTGGTTGTAATGGACGAGGATGGCTCACAAAGGCTGGCTTCTTGGTTAGTTGACACTTGGATCTTTCATCTCGTTTATAAGACACTAATGCCATTTTGGTAGGCTTTCTATTTGGAACAAACTCTCGATGACCCTTCAGAAACCCGTAACGATCTTGCTGTTCATGGCTATGACCCACATTCATTGAAGAAGCGCATGGAAGAATAGGAGATATCTGTATTAATTAGAACATTGTAGAGTAGAGTAATATAAAACTTTGGGATTTTGGGTAACAACAAAAAATGATCATAATGTAAGAGACTAGCGGCCCCGTGTACTCGTTTCGCTCGTAAACTTTTTGATTTCTCGTTGAATGGCTTAACATTATCTGGGGAGTAATGGTCCGACACGTTAAGCAAACCATGTAGCATCCATATTTACAAGAAAAGATTACCTATGTAGTAAGCTGCCAAGGAACAATGTTCCCAACCCACAGCATGTGAACTATCCTCCTGCTTTAGGCCATCATCTCCATTCTTCAATTGTCTCAAAGAAGTATCCTCCAACAGCAAAAAGATCAATGTGATTAATGATTTGCCAACTGCCAGCTAGCAGCCCATTCCTCCCATTCACCTTTGTTGTCCAATCCATTGCATGTGAACGATTGTCCTGCTCCAGCCTAGCATGCCCATCATTTAACTTCCTTGATTTGAGCTAACCTGGTAGTAAGGCAATGGCTGTTGTTGGATCATCATTATCATGTAAAGTGTAAAATGGCACACACCCTTCGTGAGGATCATAGCTTTTATTTACGCTTGCCTATTGTCTATCGTGAGGGTGATGATGACGATGATGGGTGAGTTGTGTGTTTGGGTGGATGGTGTGTATAGGGTCATTGAGTGGCCTTAGTGTAATAGCAGTAGGGGGATTTAAACTTGGGGACGGTAGCTCCACGACTTGAGACAACGCTTCTCTTCTCTTTCTCACTCCTCTGCTTTTATTCCATTCACGACATCTCGATCAAGGTAATGTACTATAAAAGAGTGCTCTTGTTGGCTGTGAGGTATTAATGTAGTTCTGAACATGCATTGTCAGGGAGTGAGTGTGTCCAAATGCTGAGGAATGGAGAGGGATGGGTGGTTGGTTGTTGCCATGGCGATATCGTTGCTTCCTCTTGTTCGTTCCTATTCCAGCTCTACGCTTGGTGTCAACAGGTACATCAGAGTCCAATGTTGCAGCACAACTTGTTCCATTGACGTGTTAGCTTGTATAGAGGGCAAGTTTGGTCTCAAGACGTTGGCTGGTTTGGCGTTTTGTTTCGGCTCAACTACACTACTACACCATGGTTTTCGGTTTCCAATAACCAACGACAAAGGGTCTTTGTGTATATGGAAAAAGGCAAGTGCAATGAAACAAACAATGAAAAGGGTGTTTATTGTGCGTGTGTGCTAATAATGAATTCAATAGGTTTCTTTGGTCAGGCAATGCAACTTGGGGGCATCATCATCATCTCTTTGGGTTCAAGTCCCAGCCTGTATCAAGTGGTCGCTGCGTCGCTCTGCACTAGCCAAGTGTGCTGGAAAAGCTTCTTGGAACGCGTCTAGAGCTCTATAGGCCTGCGTTTGAGTTGAGGATGGGTCGATGACGATGGATTTTTGGAAGAGCGTGGTCACCGTGTTGAGGTAAAAGGGGGTTTGCAACAGCTCGGCCGTGAATGTGTTGACATCAGTGCGAACCAACACGCTCTTCTCGTGATAGGCTCGTTCTTTCCCTTGAGGATTTCTTTTCATGAGGTGGGAAATGATTGGAAGGATTGGGGATCATTCTTTCTTTGGAGGGGATGAATGAGAACAACTATGAGCCTGGACTCTACGTAAGTGATGTCCTTCCTTGCCATGGATCGAACTGGCCTTGCGTGATTCGTGCAGTGCCTTCTCAGGAACAAGGGATCGCCCGACGTTGCTCGGATGGTGGTGATTTGGTTTGTGAATTCCTTCTGATTTGCTTTCTTCCTTAGAGAGGATCGCCTAACGGTATACCAAATCGTCATCATTCCCGGTATCAGATGGTCTAACTTGCCTGCTTTCTTATTTGTAGAGACGACGATTACGATGATTACCACATTCACGACAATGACGATTACGATGATCACCCCATCTACGACAATGACAATGATGACGACAACGAGATTTAAAAGGAAGCCTGCAAGATCCCATTCTCTTCAACTTGTGTATTTTTGGATGTTGGTGTGACGGATGAGATTGACAACTGGTGACGAGTACGAGTAGGAATGATGACGGAGGACGACTACGACGATGGTGGTGGCAATGTACAGTAGCAAGATAGCTAGATGAAATAAAGCATTGTTTATTTATTACACGCTTGTTGGAGGTTGCTAGCTTGTGGATTACATACTATTGCTTCGAAGAAGGAATAATAAAGGTGGTCCGGTTATCGGTGATGCAAGAAGTACATGGCTTTTGTGATACAATAAGGAGGAGTGGGAAGTGGGATGAGCTTGAGAAGAGAAAAAGTGAAGAGATCCCTCCATTGAGTTTCAGGATGAGTGACTCATTCAATGTGTATATGTATCTTTTTACATATACAAATTGGTTTATGCAGCTCGACTTTCTTCTACATGCAAATGTGATGCATACCTTGACACACCTTCATTATTGGATGCTGTTTACTTACGTACCTTCACAAAAGGCAATCATCATCATCATCCATTTGTGTAGCAACCTGTCAAGGACGTGTCTGTGTAACCACCACGTGCGGCTTCACTCAGCTCTTCATCGTTGCGTTAATGCAGCCGACACCATCCACTAGGAAGAAGCAACTCCATCACGCTTACAGCATAGTGAAAACATAAAGGTGCCTGTATCTCCAAACTTTACAATGAAACGTGGGGTTTTTATTAGAGCAATGTGCTCGGCTTGACTAACAGCACCTTGTGTGAAAGTTTCACGTTCAATGTCGCAAACAGCCCAAAAAATATTTTTTGGTCGTCGAAAAGAAATTCAAGAGGTCGACTCGTTTCACTTTGGCTGGTGGCGACATTGCGAAATCTGGGATTGGCCACTATCAACTTGAAACTTGCACCCAAGGTGCTGTTGGCCAAGCCGAGCACATTGCTCTATTCAAAACCCCACGTTTCATTGTAAAGTTTAGAGATACAGGCACCTTTATGTTTGTAAGCATGATGCTATATGAGAAGTGGTCTTTGTTTAATGTAAAGCAGCTAGACCCTGGAGAGCCAAAGATGCAGAAGGACCTCTTTGGGTAACTCAGCTAAAAAGTCAGGACTTCAGGGACAATGCATGAAAGGTACGCAACCCTCACTTTTATGTCATACATTGGCAGCTAATAGCCACTTTTGTGGATTCCCAACGTTTGTGGATTCTATTGTATGTGGACGATGCTCCTGCTCTAGACATTCATTTCCATGATTAAAGTAGGTTGATCCGAGCTGGTTTGGTTGAGTTACGCTCACACAAGATTACATCGGTTGAGCTACATCGAGCGTGCTTTATGTGCAGAGTGATGTAATCTCTCTTTGACCGCAGCACAGTCAAATCAGCTCGGATCAACCTACTTTAATCATGGAAATGAATGTCTGTAGCAGGGGCATCGTTCCCATGCAGTGGATCTCGCAACAATGATGATTGGATAAAAGTGGCCGTTAGCTAGCAATACATGCCTGTTCCTAGATGATCCATAAAGTAATTATACATTGTCCTTTCATTCATGCAAACGTAGCTGTGTTACACAACACGACTCTCTGCATCTTTTGCTCTGTCAGGGTCTAGCTACTTCACAATGAACAAAGATCACTTCTCATATAGCATCACGCTTACAAACATAAAGGTGCCTGTATCTCCAAACTTTACAATGAAACGTGGGGTTTTTATTAGAGCAATGTGCTCGGCTTGGCCAACAGCACCTTGGGTGCCAGTTTCATGATCAAGCTTGCCAATCCCAGATTTCGCAATGTCGCTACCAGCCAAAGTGAAACGAGTCGACCTCTTGAATTTTTTTTCGATGACCAAAAAAATATTTTTTGGGCTGTTTGCGACATTGAACGCGAAACTTTCACACAAGGTGCTGTTGGCCAAGCCGAGCACATTGCTCTCATAAAAACCACACGTTTCATTGTAAAGTTCGGAGATACAGGCATCTTTATGTTTGTAAGCGCGATGCTATATGAAGAGTGGTCTTTGTTCATTGTCAAGTAGCTTGACCCTGATACAGCCAAAGATGCAGAGGGGCGCGCTTGTGTAACACAGCTGCTTTGCAGGATTGGAAGGGTCGATGTATGATACGTATACATCATTTAGTAACATTGGATGTATTGCTAGCTAACAGTCACTTCATCCCACTCCCAACTTTTGGCCGTTACACTGCATTTGTACGATTCTCCTGCTCCAGCCGAGCATCTCTATCATCAAACTTTCTTAATCCAAGCTTATTTGGCTGAGCTATGGTCAAGCAGAGAATACAGATAGCCCATGCTGATGTATACGGATTGATGTACTCTCTCGTTGACCGTAACTCAGTCAAATCAACTCGGATCAAGACAATTGAATCATGTAAGTGAATACCTGGAGCACGAGCATTATTCGTATGTCATAGAATGGGCAAAAGTTGGTGGATGGGAGGAGGCGGCTGTTAGCTGCCAAAGTATCAACTATCATTGAAGAGTGTAAAAGTATCATGCAATGATCCTTCCATTATTAGTTCTTGGCTCTGTTACATAATCACGACCCTTTGCATCTCTGGCTCTAATATGAGAGAGGCGATTGGCAATGAACAACTACCGCTTTCATACAGCATCACGCATGCAGCATATGCAAAGCATAAAGACGGCCCTAACCAAAAGGTGTACAATCAAGCCTGGGGCCTTTATTAGAACGAAGTTAATCAAAGTGCCTGAGAGCTTCTTCTAAGCGACCGTCAAATCCGAGGTCGGCAATTCATGTAACCCATGGCAGCTATGAGTTTATAGATTGCTCGATAGCAGCGACTTCCTCTCATTCGAAACGATTACCTATTCCACTTCATGTGAACTACCCTCCTATGGCAGTTCATCATCTCTATCCTTCAATTGCCTTGATTCAAGAGGAGTTGGCTGACCAATACAGGAGCAATGATGTTGTAACACCATTCAGATTACAGTGTTCATGAAGTAATTAATATACAGCGAGAGACATGACCAATTTATATAAAAGAGCTCATCAACAAGATTGCCCATCTGTTTGGGAAGAGGGTGAGAAGAGAAGATTGACACTATTGTAAGTTGCATTGATCATGTGATAATTCCGGGGTACAATAAGCTGAATTTCTTGAAATGCTATTAACCAAGCCTCTTGCAAGTGCAGCCTTTCTTTTAAAGTGGTTCGACATGCTGCCGATCCGAGCTTGCCGCCTCCGCCATTATACGGCTAGTCGATGCCATATCACCAGTCGATTGACTCAACGACAATGGATGCATTCGCAACAGCAACGTGAAAAACCGTTATGGGGTAATGCAACGCCTTGACTATTGACAACCCATTCAACTGGACTGACGCTTGTTCAAATATACCCAAAACAAAAGAACGGCTGCAATCTGCCTGGAATGACACTGAGACGAAATGGTATCCGATTCCCGTGGGTCTTGGTCTTGCTGTTGTCGGCTATGTTCAAATTCGCCACATTCGTGATCGTGAACGCAACAACCAGGAACAGCCTAAGCCAAAGTATGTTGCAGACGGTCCTTGGCAGGTAATTAGATACATGTATATTCATCCATTGGGGTGATGTACAAGGATGCATTATTCATGCAATGGTGTTATAGGTTCACGTGGCTTCGGCATTGCCGCTTCGCACCATGTCACGATTATGGGGAGCATTCAATTCTTTGACTATCCCAGAAGCGCTTCGACCTGCTGGTTTCAAGTTATACAGTTGGATCTTTGGATGCAATCTCGATGAAATGAAGAACCCGGATCTCTATGCATACAAGAACTTGAGTGAATTTTTCTATCGTGAATTGAAGGATGGTGCTCGACCCATTGCTGATTCGCCCTTGGTAAATATGAATGAGGCATGCTGGATAAGCCTATTCGCTGACGATTGGATGAAAAAAAGGTATCTCCTTCGGATGGCAAGGTGCTTCATTTTGGTGCCGTGCATGAACGAGAAATTGAACAAATCAAGGGCGTGACCTATTCTTTGGATGCACTCTTGGGTGAAGATGAGCCATCTACATCTCCTATTACTGAGGCCGAGTTTAGCAGCCACTTGCCACATTATGTCGATGAAGAAGAGTTTGCCAATGTGAATGGTATTCCTTATTCGCTGGATGAGATGCTGGGTGGCGAATCGCAACATAGTGTACAAGTTCCCAGCACAGTTGGCCCTGATGGTTTAGCTCCCTCCGAGAAGGCTACTGCCAAGGATACCAAAGCATTGATCGGCGTATCCGATGTCAAGAGTGGTATTCCCAAGCACGAGCATCACGTACGACCAGGCAATGCTCTTTTCTTTTGTGTCATCTATCTTGCCCCTGGTGATTATCATCGATTCCATTCTCCTACCAATTGGGTCGTTCAGAAAAGAAGACATTTTGCAGGCGAATTGTTTTCGGTTTCTCCTTACTTTGTCAAGCTTTTACAGAACCTCTTTGTTTTGAATGAGCGAGTGGTCCTTTTGGGCAAGTGGAAATATGGTTTCTTCTCAATGACACCGGTCGGAGCCACCAATGTGGGTTCTATTCATATCAACTTTGACGAGGTAAATCAAATTCACATTCATTGTCTTTGCAGCTCACTCAAACATAAAAATAGGCCTTGAAGACCAACCGCAAGGAGGATTTGCCATTGGGTACATACACTGAAGTATCTTACAAGTCAGCAAGTAAACTTTTGGGTGGAAAGCCAGTGAGATCAGGTGATGAAGTGGGTGGATTTTCACTTGGATCTACTGTGGTATTGGTCTTTGAAGCCCCAGCATCGTTCCAGTTCAAGATCCATGAGGGACAAACAATCAAGATGGGTCAAGCATTAGGTGATATCTTAGAGCATAATGATAAGAAGGCATAGAAACACATAAAAGTGGCATTGGCAAGCTGTATTTACAAAAGAGTGATGAAATTCTTTCATGGGGGCCTTAGGAAGGAAGGTGGAAGGAAGTAGTCGTGGATAAGTAATAAGAAAGAGGAACAATGAAATCTTTGGGTTTAACAAAGAGAGAAGCATAAACATAGGGGGACGAAGGACGAGAAGCAGGTATTGGATTTGTGCATAGAAAACGGCCAAGTCAGGAATACGGCTATAGCGTTGAAGGGACAATCGGGGGTTCAAGTGAATTTCCTGAGTATGCAAGCGCAAGTATGTCATTGGACAAAGGCATGGTACATGTTAGTTCTTCCTCTTCCTTGACATTGTACGATGAAGTTTTCCGCGGGTGAGTGGATGATACCTTTCAACCTTCCTAGAGCAATGGATGAATGGATGGATGAATGGATGAACGAGAAAACACTTTGGATACACACTTTACCATTATTCAACAACTCATGTTCAACATTGGCATTCATTAGACGTCAGCTCTTCTCGCAGCAAATGCCGTAAGGCTCATTTCACCGCTTCCTCGAATGAGCGTCGCAAGATTATGAGCTCCCCCTTGTCCAAGGAGCTTCGTGAAAAGTATAACGTAATAGACGAGCCTACTTTGTATACAGCCATGGTTTATTGATATATGGATCACTCCTACTATATATAGACTCGCTCTATTCCTGTCCGCACCGACGACGAGGTTATGATTGTTCGTGGTAGCTTCAAGGGCCGTGAGGGTAAGGTTGTTCAAGTCTACCGTAAGAAGTGGGTTATCCACGTTGAGCGTGTCAACCGCGAAAAGGTCAACGGTAAGCGGATGATTGTATATAGATAGATAGGATGGGTTGTGCTGATCACATGTCATACAGGTGCCACTGCTCCCATTGGTATCCACCCCTCCAATGTCGTCATCACCAAGCTCAAGATTGACAAGAGCCGTCAAGCTATTTTGGACCGCAAGGATCGTTCCAAGAAGAACAAGGATGCCATGCAACAGGTATAATCAATCAAAAAGAGACTATTCAATATGGCATATGGAAGCTCACAAGTTGATTATCTATGACGATAGTAAATGCCATGCAACCAATAAAGCCCCATTGTTTCCATAGCTATACAAAATGTGTGTGTGTGTCGTTGTTATGTGAATGTGCATGAGTTTGATCATCTGAAAGGGGGAAGAGAATCAAATTACCAAAAGCATCATGATCGTAAAGACACATGATAAGCATGGTGATAATATTATTACCTTGGTACCTTGGCAACACTCCCCTGGCAGGTACGATAAATGAGCATGATCTTTAATAGATAGAAATGAAGACCACGGGATGATGATTGCATTGTGTTTGTGGCTATATCAAGCATCTGAGCGCATCCATGCGAGAATGGGTGGGGGACGGACTTTATTGGGTACGTACTACGGCGCATGATTTGACCTTTGATAACTCTTCCTATAATACCTTTATCCCACAATGGAGAGCTCGGTACCCAACTTTGCAAAAGGAGTCTATTCAGCTTTACGAGAAAGTTTCATTCAAAGTCGATCGGCGTACATGCAGATGGAGCAGGAATCGGAAGACGAGGATAACGGCAGAGACATGTCACACAGCTTGTTTTATTCTGTACAGCAACACCACGACGAATTGGGAGACGACAGCATTCCATTGACAGATTCACATGGCTATTCAGACCGTAGTCAACTCATGTTTGAGAACGAATCGACCGACGAGTCGCGGCATGACCTTCAACAGTCCAATGGGAAAGGCGACTCTAAAAACCGCACAGTATGTTATCTCCTACCACTTCCTTCACCAAGTCTTCCACTATCACCACCAAGTCTCTCTCTCTCCTATGTATGACGTATGGCGTTATTGATGATATATTGTTTATAGAATCCAGCGACGATTTATTTGGACGAAGACAGTGATATAGAACCACCTATACCTACTACAGCACATCCAGCATCCGAATCACTACTTCCCACAACAACTGCATCTGCTGCGCCCACTGTAAGGGAACGAGCCATCATGGATTCATGTATTTGCCCTTATCTCAACCTCTATCTTCTAGATACCCAAAGAGATTACATCAATGAAGACCGGTCGCAAGCTACGTGATCCATTGTTTGCAGCATTGTATTGCCTATGTATGATCATCTTCCTATTGTCGGGCTTGATTACTCTCTTGTCTACAAACGTACGTATACCATACATGTAACGGTGTCATGGATGCTAACAATCACGCTTAGAGTCACGCATTAGAAAGAGCCGCTCGTGGAACAATGTTCAAGACAATGAAGGATAGCGCTGGTAAGTTGATCCATGATCATGTCAACAATGGTTTGCTGAAAGGACGACATGTATTACAAGGTTTAATCACCGGTATGGCTAGCATGTCATTTTTCGCCGGTGCCATATGGATATCCATTTTACGAACCTTTACCAGAGTATGGATTAGGTATACACCTATTATGGATTAGGAGACTAAAAGTATATGCTACTAGGGGCTTGTATGGGGTACCGTGGTGATTATTCCTTCATCATTACTGGGTATATTCCTATGGACACTCGTTGAATCTCGGCAGAGCAACAATTTAGATGGCGGGTAAGTGAATGAGGAGAGAGTGTGAGAGAGAGCCAGAATATCAATGACATGTTAACCAATGCGTATTATCAGCTTGACTGCTCTATCATTTATGCCACTTATCACAGCACTTGTATACATCAAGCTCCTTTATAGTAGTCGCCATCGTATATCCAAAACGGTTGCAATCTTAGAGGTATTTAAAAGGAGATGGGAAGGAAACGATATGGGTGGGATCATGCTAAGCAAGAACCCATAGTTGGCGTGCGATGTTTTGAGCTGCAATCCCGGGATCATTGTCGCTTCAGTCCTTGTCATGCTTATATTCATTGGATTTACTGTACTGTGGATGATTCTATTCAGCCGGCTTTGGTTGCTTGGACATGTTGCTTCCAATGACAGCTCATGTACGTTGTTTTATTGCGTTACGATGCGTATTCAACTAACGTATGTATATATCCGGTATAGCCTTGGTTTGGATCGTCAATGACAACGTCTATATACTCGCAGCGTTTTACATCTTTATCTATTTCTGGACATCAGGAGTGCTCATCAATATGCAAAGGTAGATGCAGCGATCTTTTTCGGTTGGGCTATGCTAATTCAATCATTTTGGCGGCAGATTTGTGTTGTCAGCTGTAACTGCACAATGGTACTTTCATCGTAACGAGCCTGCAAAATCATCTCAAGACATCACATGGAAAGCTGGTTTATTGCAAGCATCATCGACATCATTGGGAACTATTGCTCTTGGTAGCTTGGTGTTGACAATTGTGCAATGTCTTCAATACGCTACACAATGGATACGAAAGGTACGGATGGAATCATATCAAGGATTGAATATCCTCTTTTGGATCCTCATACGACTGTATATAGTACTTTAAAATGTCGTGGCCATTTATGACGGTGATATCTACGGTGTTGTCATTCATTGAAGGGCTCATTAGCGAGATCAACCATTATACAATTGCGCTTGCAGGAATTACCGGAGAAGGTTTTTACGTGTCAGCCAAATCAAGCAGCAAGATGTTCCGCCGAAATCTTTTATCCGGACTACTTGGAGGTTTGTTTCACATCTCCACAAAGGCATTACTGTCGATCCATGCTGACTTTTTTCAAATCATAGATTTGATGACCAAACTCATTTTATATGTTGGTTCCCTGGTGATGGCTCTATCATCAGGTTTTGGGACGTATATATTCGCGACTCACAGTCTACGATCACCTTACGGGATGCTAATTGGTGTTTTGGCGTCTATGGTGCCTTTGTATATGTCACGCTTCTTTTCCTATACCATGTCAAGCATGTAAGTTTGGATACAGCCCCCCTTTAAAGACTATGCTAATGTTGCATCGTTGTTAGTGTTGATGCGACTTTTCTTTGCTATGCGATCGATCTAGACACGGGCATGGTTCACATGTCAGCTGCCCATGACGTGTTTTCCGGATTTGAGTAATTTGTAGTAATCATTCCCCCATTCTTTTATCTGCATATATCCATGCCATAACATACATTGTTCCTATCAGCATCTTATATAAAGTGTGATATATTCTATATTTCGGCTAAGCTCGGGTACTGTGGAACATTGAAGTGTGAGAAATTAAAGGCTGGCTCCGATGTAATTGGAGGGCTCGACTCGCACATGGTAGATGTTGACACATTTCATACCAGAGTTTAATTGATCTTTATTTTATGATGGATGTGTTTGCTAGGATGAAGGGGTATGTCCATGGCTGATTATGCATTCAATCAATTGCTTTTCAATAATAGGCTTCATTGTTAAGATCCATATTCAATTACTTCTTTGTTTCGCACCTTGATTCCACAACATCCATTTGGTGCCCTGCCTGCAACACACTTAACACCGCTCCAAAAAGAACCGGCGAAGCAAAACAAATCCGCTTCCTCGCTTTTGCTTTTTCCCTTCCTCAACACTAAAGTAAGAGAACAGCATCCCTTTCATGGACATGGAATGTGCGTGAACTATTTCCCAGCCCACGACGCTTACCTGCTTGTGCCTTTGCAACCAGAACATGGCCGATTCCGTCGAGCAAAAGATCCCACCTGCCAATGCCACTGACGCTGTGGAGGACCCTGCTGCTGCTCAAGCTGCTGCAGAAGAAGGTAATAGGATACATGATGCGTGTCAAAGAAGGTTTAACTCAATAAACATTGACGTATAGTGGTTGCTGAGGAGACTTTTCAGTTGACGATCAAGCTTCCTGATGGTCAAGGTGAAGGTGTCAAGATCATTGTATGTGCATCATCATCATCATCATCATCCATCATGAGTGATATATTGGTAATGGGGATTGACACGTAAATCATATAGGCTAGTCCACGTGAAACCATTCATGACATCAAGCAATCTATCATGGAGTCGCCCGAGACGTGTGCTCACTCTTGCTTCCATCTTGCTTTCAATGGCCAAGTATTGAATGATTTCCTCGAGTTGGGTGAGGTACAAGGCATGACTACCGAGAGTGATTTGGTATTGGTGGAAGGTATGACAAGCAATTAGGTTTGAGAGTAATTTTGTGTGTTAACAGGTGTATTATTATTATGCCAGCCCCTTACAACGAGCGTGATGTCCGTATCCATATCAACCGCTTGCGCGATTTATTGGGTGGCCCATACAAACAGAATCCTTCTGCTGCTGGTATTGATGGTGGTATTTCCTTCTTGACAGCTGTCACTGGCGAAATTGGTAAGTTGAAAGTGTGTGGATATACGTGTGGTGCAAGAGCTAATTTATTATCATAGATGAAGAGATCGTTCCTGAAAATGAAAAGAAGGTCGAAGATTTGTTCTCTGATGAGCCTATTCCTGAGCACGCATTCACTGGTGCTGATATCAACGCTCGATCCAAATTGTCGGATTTCGTTCCTTCCGCTTTCCAACGTGTGGCACCACAATGTCTCAAAAGCATCGCCCTTTCTGGTTGGAACCCTGTTCCTCATGCTCGTAGATTGCAGGGTGATTTGTTGTATCTTGCCGTGACCACTCTTGAGAATGACAATGTGCACATCACTGCCAGCACTAAGGGATTCTTTGTCAACAACTCCAACACATCCACTTTTGATCCTTCTCGCAAGCAGAGCAACAAGAAGGTGTTTGCTCATTCTTTGATCACTCTCTTGCAAAACATCTCCGGTCAATTTGCTTCCAATTTCATCAAGTTGCAAGATTTCATCACTCGCCATCACATGCTCGAAGTGCTTCCCTCCAATACCTATTTCCCTGCACATCCGTGGGTGGTCCAAGCACCTGAACATACTTATGATCCCGCACGTCCTGCTGAACCCCTTCTTAACTTTGGCTCGGATGCTGTCGAATCCCTACGTGACTGGAATGACGAACTTCAATCGCATCGTGAGCTTCCAAAGTCCAATCTTCAGGAACGTGTGCTACGTGAACGTTTGATCAACAAGGTTCAAGCCGAATTCACTGATGCTGCTGTAAGAGGTGCAATGGCTGTTGTCAATGGCATTGTTGTCCCCTTGAATCCTCTTGAGCCCGAAGAGTCGCACATGTATGTCTACAACAATATCTTCTTCAGCAAGGGCAATGATGGCCGTGGATCATTTGATTTGTTGGGTGGTGATGAAGCTGCTCATGTGGCTACTGGCAAGGATCTTGAAGGTGTTCGTATCTTTAACAGCATCGACTCGACCAACTTGTATACTCTTGGCACCGTTATTGTGGATTACAAGGGTGTGCGTGTCATTGCCCAAAGCATTGTCCCTGGTATCTTTAGACGCTCAGAAGAAAACACCATTGTGTATGGTTCGGTGGACAATGGCGTAGAGATCCTCGCTGACAAGACTTTCCATGATGCCATTGGTCGTGATATCGTCAAGTCTTTGCATCTTGCTGAACATGGTGTTGTGGATGAAAAGGGCAATGAAGTCAAGTTGCACACTTCCATGGAAACCAAGGGCTTGTTGGGTGCCGATGGTCGTCGTTACATGCTTGATCTTTATCGCACCAACCCTGTTGATATCGAATTTCAAGAAAAGGAATGCAATGAGGATAAGCCTGATATGCCAGCATATCCCCACAAGATGACCTTGTTGCGTCCTGAGCTTATCAGCTTGTATTGGGAACACAAATTCCGTGAATGGGTCAAGGCTAAGACTGAGGAAGTGAAGAAGGAGCGTGAACAAAACAAGCCAGCTGTTGAAGAGAAGAAGGATGAAGAGAAGAAGAAGGATGAAAAGAAGGATGCTGAAGATGAAAAGAAGGAGGATGCTGAGGGCGACAAGAAGGATGCTGAGGAAGAAGAGGATATCAAGATTGATGTTACCGAATTCAAGTTGTCCTTCAACCCTGATGTTTTCACCTCTGCCAAATTAGCTGGTGGTGCCGACTCTGCCATTGTCAAGGAGGAAGAACAAACTGTGCGTGATGCATCCAAGTTTTTGAACGATGAAGTTATCCCCAGCCTTGTGCTTGATTTTGCATCCTATGCTGTTTCTCCTTTGGATGGTGAAGCTTTGACCAAGGCTATGCATCGTCGTGGTATCAACATGCGTTATCTCGGCAAGATTGCTCAGTTGGTATCTATCAGCGAGGACAAGCGTATTGAGCACATCCAAGAGTTGGCCATTCAAGAAATGATTACTCGTGTTTGCAAGCGTTTGCTCCGAAAGTACTTGAACAGCTGCAAGGTCGATGAAATTCGTGCTTGTGTCGCCCACTTTTTCAACTGTCTCCTTGGCAACCAACTCAACCCCAAGCCTAAGCCTGATATCCCTGATAGTGCTTCTCGTAATGAGATTGAATGGGCTAAGCTTACTCCATCCATGCTTGAGAGCATTGTCAAGCGTCAAGTCTTGCTCCGTTTCCGCTATAAGCTTGATGATGACTATCTCAGCAAGATCAAGCCTGTGCCTACTCTTCGTGAGATTTGTTTGCGTGTTGGTGTCCAATTGGAAGCCCGCGACTACCGTTTCCATGCCTACGATCACAATGAACATGAAGCTATGGTTGCTGAACAAGCAAGAATTCGTAAGGCTCAACAAGCTCAACAACAACAAGGTGGCAAGGTCAAAAAGAGCAAGAAGGCTGCTGCCAAGGAAGAAGCCAACAAGCCAAAGTATCGTGTCAATACCTTCCTTCCTGAAGACGTCCAAAACCTTATGCCTACTGTCAAGCAAGCATCGTCTAGAGTAAGTATATGGTATAGGAAAAGAGGAAATGATTCAATATTAACTATGGGAAACAGAGCTTGTTTGCTGAGGAAACCTTTGAAGCTGGCAAGATGAGCTTGGCCCAAGGTCACCGTCAACTTGGTTTGGAGTTGTTGCTTGAATCCTTGACATTGCATGAACAGACTTATGGCTTTTTGCATCCTGAAACCAGCAAGTGCTATGCAACTCTCGCCATGATTTACCATCACAGCGAAGATAGGGAAGCTGCTTTGGATCTCCAACGTAAGGCCGTGATTGCAGCTGAGCGCACCAACGGTGTTGATCATCCTGAGACTGTTCATCATTATGTATGTATATGATAATCGATTACCTTTATATATACTAACCACATGTATAGCTCAACCTTGGTCTCTTTGAGCACGCAGCTGGTCGCACTAAGCTTGCTCTTCGTTACATTCGCCACGCACTCTATTATTGGGATCTCCTCTTTGGTCCTGGTCACCCCGACTCTGCTACTGCCGATGTAAGTTGTGCTACTTTTTCTTGCAAGAGAGTTGCATACGCTAACTAGTATACATAGAATAATGCTGGTGTCATGTTACAATCCCTTCGTGACTATCCTTTGAGCACTCAATTCTTTGAGCGTGCATGCACAACGCAAGAAACCATTCTCGGCAAGGAACACGTTCTTACAGCTACCGGTTATCATGTGCTTGCAAAGGCATACACCCTTCAAGGTCAATTTGGAAAGGCTTTGGAGGCTGAACGTTTGGCATTTGGCGTCTTTGAAAAGAAGGTACATGTTTGTGTTGGATGGTAAAAGGAAACGACAAAGGAAAATTAACACAAGAGCTTATCTAGCTTGGTGCTGAAGACCCACGAACCAAGGAAAGTGACATGTGGCTCAAGGAGTTGACATCTAATGCTGTGTTGACTGTAAGTTTGCTAGGTTGATGGTACAAAACATCCTCATTCTCACACACACTCCTTTGTCATTTTCAGGCACAACGTATGCGACAGCAGGCTCAAATTGCAGAGTCTCAGGCACGTGTCTCTGGTCCTACCGCAAATGCTGCACCTTCGCAAATGCACCGAGGCGAGATGCCTATTGATCAAGTTTTGCAGTATATCAATGGTGAGGCACCCAAGAGCAATGGTGCACGCAAGGGCAAAAAGAAGAGTGCTCAAAAGAAGCGTCGCTAAAAATAACGGAGACCCATCCATCCATTCCTCGTCCATTTACTAGAAAACACCCTTTTCCCAAACCCAATTTGTACAAAAGAAAAAAAGAGATGGATATATATATATGTAATAAAGGCACATTGGTTTAGACATGTAAAAATCGGTCAACAGCACCTTTTTATGCATATCACACCATAGTATAGTACCCATTATTGATTACGAGTGCATCGAATGTATTGGATTGACATAACAAAATACGGGGTTTCTATGTAATGTATTCGTACATATAGTGTATTGTTGGCCTAATGCATAGTGTTGTTGTAATCCTTGCTCTAGCAAATTGTTGCATCGTCTGCTGTTGTTGCTATATTTACATGAGGACACAACTTGAAGTGCGGATATTGCGTTTGGTGCTCTCATGCTGCTGTCGTGTCATTGAATTTGCTTTTTGAAGCCGTTCTACAGCGCCCTGGTGGCCCTTGTTGGCAGCCTTTTGGTATAATTGCTTTGCACGTTCATAATCCCTCAATACGCCTACACCTGTTTCGTAGTACCAGCTATGGATTAAAGAGAAAAACATTCATGAGATCACTATCACAATACTCAGAGTTTCCACATACCCTAACAGAAACACGGCTTCATCCAATCCTTGATCGGCTGCTTTTTCACACCACCTGAAAGCTGCATCTTCGTTGCGTGTCGTAGCAGATAACCATTCAGAGACATCACGTGCAAGCCTCTCCTCTTCTGTGAGTATATCAGCGGGTCCACGGCATCCTCGATTGTAAAGGCGACTAAGGCCCAACATGGCTTGAGGGGAGTTGTGTTCTCGCGCAGCCATATCGTAATATCCAAAACTCTTTGCAAAATGCATAGGAGCACCATAGAGACCATGTTCATAAATGTATGCGATTCTTGACTGAGCAGGACCATAACCAAGCTGAGCAGCATGTTCAATATGACGCAATGCAGCTAATTCTCCTCCATAGCGATGAATAAGCTCACTACACACGTAATGACATCAATTGTTATTCTCTTCCATAGCAGATGATGATGTACTCACGTGGATAATTCCACCTTGGGATATGCACCGGTCAAAATTAAACCAAGAAGATAAGGAGGTTCGGGACACTGTTCCGTAGCACGATCAACGGCCTGCGTTAATAGCTCCAATCCAAGAAAAGTGTTGCGTCGTTGACCCAATTCACCGAGAAGATGGATCCTTGCCATTCGCTATACATAAGAGTAGTAAATGTGTTTGTTATGATGATGCTATTATCAGATGTTGTATACCATAAACTTACATAAATAGCCTGAACTATGTCCTTTTCGGCAGCCCCTTGATAGTTTGACAAGGCTTGCATTGTGTTGCCTGACCTTTCGTAAGCTTTGCCCACTTGATACATAGCTTCGGGTACAAACTCAGCAGCTGCCACCTTGTAGAGCTTGAATGCTTTGCTGGGATTCTTTGAGAAACCATATTCGCCACGATCCAACCATCGAGCTTGCAAATAAGCTGCTTCTCCCACATTCTTCTTGGCCAATAACTTGATCCATCGTACACCTTCATCCTGTAACATCTTCTTTTTGCGTCGACTAGCATCACTCAATCGATGTGTGGGTGTTGTTGATAAGGATGGCGCTGAACGAATTGTATCCAAAGATGTACGTGATGTTGCTGGATCATACCCATCGAGTGAAAGCCGTTGTGATGTTGATGATGATACACTTGTGGAGCTACATGTTGCATCATTTGATGTATGTTGTTGACCGTCGTACAAGTCAGCAATCTCAAGAAGGTATTTTGCATAGCTAAGCTGAACAATAGGATCTCGAGTCTTCTCAGCCATAGAACGATATGTCTTGATTGCATCTGGATGATTTGTCAGGCTGTACGACGCTTTTGCATACTTTGATTGAGTGATCGGATGTTGTATCTTTCGTGCAGTGGTGTTTGTTAATCGTGGTGATATCAATGACGATGAAGAAGAAGAGATGAAATGACCATAAGTGGAAGTGAATGATTGACGTGGAGGAAGAGGAAGGTGTTGTTGTTGCTGTTGTTGAATGAATGCCATAGGACGACTTCGTGTTGTACGTGGCGGATGTCTCAACCGACGGGGATCCTGGTAAATGACAGGAGATTGTTGTTGCTGTGGATACATCGGGAACATTGTTGGCGATGTTGGTGACAGGGGCGAAGCTGATGACCCACCATCAGATGAGTTATGCATTGTATCAAAGCTCACGCGTGGTCTATTGGTGGTAAGCTGTGGTGTAGGTGGTAATGATTCTTCCAATTCCATCACTTTAGAATGTCGTTGATAGGGTTGTTGTAGCTGTTCATCTTCTTCGGGTGTGCTGCCGATGATCTTCCATCCTTGAGAATACCTTGTTGTTCCTCCAACAATGTCACCTTGTGCCTTTTTCATATCGGGAGAAGATGACGAGGACTCGGTGGTGGGTGGTGTTGATAACGCATGCAAAGGTGTTGGGGGTGGTGCTGGTGTTGTTGTTGTTGTTGGTTCCTCTTTAGTCATCTCATCTTCGGCTACCATTGTTTTCTCTTGTAAATGAATCTCTTCCTCATCCTGCTTATAATGAATCTCTTCCACAATTTCATCTTCTTCTTCTTCATCATTGTCGTAAGCGCTGTCATTGTTGATTCTGCTGCTATCAGTGCTGCTGCTTGTGCTGGTATGTGGGTCTGGGTTAAGGACGCGGAAGGAAAGCCGTTGTGTCGGGCTCTCGAAGGTTGAAGCTTCCGAATCACCCTCTTGAGATTCGCTGCTGTTGCGTGTTGTATCCTTGCTCGCATTCACCATGGACACTGCTCGTCCCAATGCACGAATTTTGGTTGAGGATTGACTTGCATTGTCTACTGCTCGATTGGAGGAACGAAAGAAAGACAACGACTTGCGAGGAACTCCGTTTTCGGGCATTGTCGTTGAGGTGGTGGCGTTATGGGTTGTCAAGGACTGTATAATACAAAAAGAAAAGTGACAATAGCAGAAAGAGAGAGATGAGTTGCTTGATGATGCACCATTCACTCAAAAAGGACAAGATTATTTTTTCGCTGTATGTGCAACATGTAAAGCGTGTGTATAATACTTCTCCCAGACTGTTCCAATTCCACCAGTTATTACCAGCTGATATGAATGGACCCAATCGTTTGCACGTGGACATTCGTGTTCAAGCCATCATGTGCAAACACTATTGCTATTACATCCCATGATCGATTCGATTGGTAAGGAAAGTACTCATTTATTCATCTCTTTGCTCGCCGATCTGGTTTATTCCGAAGGCCCTGCTGAGTTACACAGCGGATGCACAGACAACGCATTACAAACAAGTGGGATGTTCATAAGTCAATAACAAAAAAACAATAAAGTGCTATGTATCTTTGCATTTACCCGGTATGATCATGAATGTGGAATTTAAGACGACGATGCACTTCTCAAAACGACACAAGCAATACTTTTCTCCGTTGCGAGGAATAGGAGGAGGTCTTCGTACCACCATTATGCATTCGGCTACCTCATCACAGCACGTTGCATTTAGGTTTCCATGTCAACGACGTATGTGTATACAGTATTAGATCGCTCTATCCTTTATTTCATGGTATTACATGTGCCTTTTTGTATGGGTATGTATGATGAAAGATACTGTTTAGTAGTTATGCGCAACGATGGGTTACACAGGCCTCGTCATCTTGAGCTATATCATCCTCACGAGATACAAACTTTGACTTTTCATAATCGGCAGGGTTTAATCGTGTACTCGAGTAGTAAGTGAGTATGCCAACAAGTGTGAGCACCGTCCACGAGATATGAACCCGTATATCATAAGGAAGCCAAGTCCAACCCAAAGATCTATTTGTGGCATATGCAGGGGTCAATATTATTATAATGTCAATTACATCGGATGTCATTTGCGTTAGATGTAAACTTACGCTGACCATATCATGCCACATGTTGCTGGTCCTAGCGCACGCATAGCACTTCCACAGCCTGTATTTTACCTTCATATCAGCTTGTACTCATCCACCAGCATCCTGTTGTAAACTTACATTGAGCAAACCCATTGACAGTCCCCAAAGTGTTTAAGCGTTTCGCTCCATTGTTGACAAGAATAGTGCATGCAGTGTACGATATCGAATGATAACATGTCCTGAAAGTGGCTGTGATAAGGATGCCCACCCACACCCAAAATTTTGTTTGTCTGGCACCATGAAGATCCGGGATCTCGTAAAACCATCGAACGTATCCTTGCATGAAATACAATGGTATGCAACCTGCTAACACAAATCGATACAATCGCAAGACGCCGAATCGTGCAGTGAGCTTGGGCAGGAAGAATAGCTGTAGAATCAAAGTGACGATACCACAATATGCCAATGCAATTCCTATTTCATCTGCCCTGTAGCCAAGACCACCGTTGTTTCGTGGACTTGCTGACCAGATTGGAAAGAGCTCTAAATAGTGCGTGTGTATCAGCCATAGGATAGCGTGTGAAAATCCATCCTTGTATGTAGTTATTACTCACCATCATAGTAGATAGCTTGGAAAGAGAAAAGGGCATATGATATACTGATAGCAAGTACAGCTGGCGTAATGGCTTCTCGAAATGTAGGTGGTGGACGAGATTCATCAGGGAGCGTAGGCGTGGGTGATGATGCTGAAAGACGTTGGCTTTCCTCAAACGTGCGATAACCATCATCTGAAGGGCTGTTTTGAATGAGTGGCTCCTCCTCCTCTTCTTCCTTTTTCAACACGGTCGACAACGTTTCATCCAGATAAAAGTATCCAAATGTGAGACTGATTGCGCATATCAATGCCGAAATGAAACATGGTAAAAAGTATGGGTATTCGGTGAAGAAATCAGTAATGAATCCACCACGTCCAAAGATTGAAGGAAAATTTCTGACAGGATTGGACAAGAGACCTATAGGAGGATATACATAAAGAAAGAGAGGTGGTGAGTACTCCTGAATATATACATTACATTCAGCGGATGCATCATTACCTCCCATTGCGGGTCCGATGATGCTTCCGAGGCCGTAAATAAGGGGTAGGTAGGTAAAAGCCCGGGCTCGTTGTTCTTCTGAATTGTTGATTGTGATCTCTGATACCATGGATTTGAGCACGCCCACATTGCCATTCTATACAAATTGTGTGTTAAGTAATACGTGGGATAATCGAATCATAGATGCATGTATATCATGACTCACCAGCAATCCACAAAGACTACGAGAGATAAGCGCCCATGCAAATGACTTTGATAATCCGAAAAGTAAGATGCTAGTCATAGCGCCTGCTGTGCCCATCAAGATCACTGGACGTCTCCCAATACGATCAGATAGCATGCCCCATGAGATGCCTGTCAATCGTGATCAGCGATTTGTATCATTGCATCATAATCCTACTATCATCATCATGTGGGTGCATTACCAGTCATCAATTGTGCCATAGCGAATGCTGAAGTAATCATTCCAGCATAGTAACCAACATTCTTCTCTTCAGTGATGTCGAAATCCCGGATCATCTATTGTTTGCGTGTGGTGTTACTATAATTGCTGAGAGAGAGAGAGAAGCTTTGGTGTGTTTGTGGGTGGGACATACAAATATTATGAATGGCAAAATTACTGTGAAGCTTATCGGTTCCTGAAGTAAAGTGTAAGCTAATCGCGACATGGACAATGGCGACATGAGCACATACCGAAAAACGACACCCGCATAGGATCAATAGTTGTCGATATGGGAGCGGCCTCTCTTGTGTTGCTGTGGCAGTGGCAGCAGTGGCCGAGGGTGAAGTAATCATGGCGGAGCAAGAGACATGGATTCATTACTCACTTTTGCCCCACTTTAATGCTTTTTGATTTCTCGGGTAAAGTTTAACCAATCGACATGCAGACTCTTTATGAAAGCACATTACACTGGTTGCATCATAAAACCAAACTTACAGGCAAATCATCAGGTCTGGATCGCAACGTAAAAATGTGTAGTTCGTGTCACACCCAAATCCGCCAATCGACTTTCCTCAATTGGAGCAATATCCAGAATATGTTGTGCGATCCATGCTTTATTATCCAAGAGATCTATCAATTGAGCGGGAATACATTTACATATTTGGAGCTGCATTTCAACACGATACGATGCATAATAGGGCCGAGATGTCGGTATGTGTGGGTGATCTTTAATGCATTTCAATGTTGACTATAATAATGGATGTCATGTGCTTGATATCTTCTTATTGTTGTTGAGCTTTCTGAGATCTCTGAGCAGCACGTTCAGTCGCTTTCTCCTTTGCACGATCGATCAATGGCTTAAGTTCATTGCGTTCACCGAGCATCCGAAGCAAGTCGTGGATCATTGGAATAAAGTTATGCTTCCTCAATAGATTCTCTCTCTACATATTAAGACATTAGCCTTTTTTCCCATAAACTTAATTCCATTCCAGGACCAGATCACTTACATGCCATCGTTTTCTCTTTTCCTTTTCCAATTGTAATTTGTGCTCTAAATCACCTCGTTGTGCATTCAATCTCACTCGCTCATTGTCAGCATCGTCGGGCAAAGAGAGGAGCAACCCATCCGTTTCTTCAATTTGCTCTTGGAGTAATTCAATTCGATCCCTTGTTAAGGCCATCAGACTGAAATGTAGCTCGCTCCCACCATATCGCTCCATACGGCTCATGATAGCTGCATTTGCCTTTTGTACCCAATCATCCTCGGTACATGCACCTATGATGATACATCAGTGAGCTGAAAAGAAATTTTGAGCAACATGGACATGCATTACCCAAGTGAACAGGACCACGGCTTAAGCCATCCAATTCGTATAATGCACCGTGGATAGGTAAGTAGGCAATGAAATGATAAACATCCTCATCCTTGTTCCCCTTGGCTTCTTGCATCTCTTCAAAGAAAGGATCGGATCGTGCAAAGCTGTTGTGTACTGAGCGGATCAAGTCACTGTTGGAAATAGCAAGACCTTTCATCTATGCCCATTGCCATGAATACCAATCGTCTACTACAAGTTCCAATGACTCGAATACTTACATCCGGTGGAAACTCAGCGGTGAATTCCTTAAAACCACGTAATTCTTGACCAAGATCGATATCATCACGGTTCAATAAAATCGATAGGATCGCTTGGGTAGCACATGCATTGTTGATGACTTGGTTTGCGAAAAAGATATGATCGGTTGGATGTTGCTCGCCTTCCGTAGCAGGTGATGGTTGTGCTCCTTGCCATTTGAATAAGAAAATCAAGCCCAACACCGGTCTAGTGGTGATTGTGGTGTGTTATCAGTAACAACATTGCACAAGATATCCTTTGTCGATGCTTACTTTAATTGTTCCATAAGGGACTCATCAAGACTCCATACTTCTTCCACTTGGACTCCTTTGACACCCATTCCAGAGATAAGTTCAGTGAAGACGCCTAGTAGGAACATGTTAGTATGACCCACCCAGGAGGTACCTTCAACGGCTCTTCTTACCAGGGTCACTCTCGATCAGACACCAATTTCCAGCTTCTGCCATGTTGAATCTACAACACCATTGAATGCGTTATTAGAGGTACTACGCTCCCATGGGAAAGGCCACGTCGAAGGCATTGATCCTGTCACTTACAATGGGAAGGTGAAAATAGAAAAGTACAAAGAGCCGAATGCAGAGTCAACCGACACGTACCAAGCATAGATAGGAGATTCAATTTATCCCCAACAGCGCCGCTTGTTGTCAGGCATCATGGATCATTGACAATGACACTGCTCATTCACATCACATACCCGCAATACCACCACCAACAGGAACGAATCATTTAAATAAAGGCATCTCATTATTGAATCCTCTTGAATGATTAGGCAAGACGTAAGTGCAATGCTTAAGCATCTTCTTTTCATACAATGTATCATCCATTCATATAAGCTATTCCATGATACAGTACTTTAATTATCATGTATCCTGTTAACTTTACAAGAAAAGGATTGTATCTAGTGGAGGTATAGTATAGTTTGTATGGAAGGTGCTTTGCCTGATTCTTGGCTTGATCACGTGACTCGCTGTACAAAAATAAGCTGGTGGGAGCGCCAAACGCGGTACGCGGGTCATCTTTTCTTACATTTCCTTTTTCACGCGCCTTGCCCAATATGTCCACCCAAGATCACGACGACGTTGACATGATCGACGTTTCTCCTTCACAAGACATATCCGTCAAACGAAGAAAGACTCGCCATGATCCAAGATTGTTAAAACAAGCTTCTTCGACATTCGAGCAGGAACTCGACGAAATGGGCTTCGACAGTAAATACTCCCTGGAATACACACGGCATAACGAATACATGATAACCGATTCTTTGATACTATAGACGAGTCTGCAAAGGCTACATGGAGTCGTGCACCAGCACCACCATTGGATCCATCCAAAGACAACTTGGGTATGAAATGGCACATGGCTCATATCTTCAACATGTTCTCTCATCATTCTCGTGCTCTATAGTGTTCCAGCAAATCGAAGCCGATGACTACATGGATCACAATTCAAGGAGGCCCGTTGTGAGATTATATGGTATCACCAAGGTATGCATATCATATAGATGTGTTGTTCCCATTGTACGGATTCTCATCATGGATAATTGTAGGGAGGAAATAGTGTCGTTTGCCATGTTCATGGTTTCCTGCCATACTTTTACTTCCCAGCACCAGTTGGCTTGAAGCAATCTCATTTACCCTCTTTACAAGCTGGATTATCGGCAAGTATAAAAGGATGGGGTGAAAGCATTGAATAAGCATAGCTAATGATGAGGGTCACCTTTCAATTATTAGACAGCAGTACAAAGTGGAATCAATCGTGTGGATCTAGTCATGAAGCAAAGCATCTATGGCTATCGTGGTGATGGATTTGTGCAGTTTGTCAAAGTCACGTGCAACGATCCCAGGGATATCAGCAAAGCCAGGAACAAGGTGGAATCGGGTATTACGGTCGCAGGGCTGGATAAACCATGCACAGCAGATACCACTTTCGAAAGCAACTTGGCGTATCTATTACGATTCATGATTGATTGCAAGGTGGGTAAAGAGCACTCTTTGTGTATGCTTTTCATTGTGCTAATCCAATATTAGGTACCTGGCTCTAATTGGATTGAGCTTCCTGCTGGACAATATCGCCATTCCCAAAAAAGGATATCCCATGCACAATATGAAGTGGAAATATCGTAAGTTGAATGGCAATGCAAAGTTCTATATGATCTAATATGGGGGTCATAGTCATGAAAAGTTTATCAGCCATCCACCAGAAGGAGAGTGGTCCGATATTGCTCCATTGCGTGTTCTCAGCTTTGATATTGAATGTGCTGGTCGAAAAGGTGTATTCCCTGAACCCGAAGTCGATCCAGTTATCCAGATTGCATCGGTGGTCAAAGTACAAGGTGAGTGTGATTTATCGGATCATGTTACAGCACACTTATACATTCTTTCTTATAGGCGAGACAATCCCATTTGTTCGAAATGTTTTCACGCTTCGCGATTGCGCACCAATTGTTGGCACTGATGTTCGTTCTTTCCATACCGAAGTCGACCTATTACAAGGATGGCGTGATTTCGTGCAAGAGGTGAACATACCATCAATCGCTTCTTTGTGAACAGCTTCATTGATGGTTGGTTATTATCAATAGGTCGACCCTGATGTCATTATTGGTTATAACATCTTGAACTTTGATTTTCCATATCTCCTCGATCGTGCCAAACACTTGAAGGTTGCACGCTTTCCTTTCTTTGGAAGAATTCAAGGTGACTTTTACATGGATGTCAATATCGGGATCATATAGCTGACATGGCACCCTATCTATCTACCTAGGAATCCAAACACAAACCAAGGATACAACATTCTCTTCCAAGGCCTATGGCACACGCGAGAGTAAGCAAGTCAATCTTGAAGGACGGCTGCAACTCGATCTTCTTCAAGCAATTCAACGAGACTACAAGCTTCGATCCTACACCCTCAATGCTGTTTCTGCCGAATTCTTGGGTACGTGGTTGTTGTTGTTGTTGGATTCTGCTTAAGGTAATTAACAACTTGCTGCTATATTAGGTGAACAAAAGGAAGACGTGCATCACTCTATCATCACTGAGCTTTACAATGGCAACCCTGAAACCAGACGTCGCTTGGCTGTGTATTGTTTGAAGGACGCTTTCCTCCCTCTTCGGCTGATGGATAAGCTGATGATGCTTTTCAACTATATCGAGATGGCTAGAGTGACAGGTGTGCCTTTCAATTATATCAACACCCGTGGCCAGCAGATCAGAGTCATTTCACAGCTTTATCGTCGAGCCCTTGAACAAGACTTAGTCATCCCAGTAGTCAAATCTGAAGGTGGGTTTTGTGATAGACATGCCACTTGGATATTTGTATTGACCAAGAATCTAGTTTCGGAGCAACAATATGAAGGTGCCACCGTTATTGAACCTGTCAAAGGATACTATAGCGTTCCAATTGCAACACTCGATTTCACGTCTCTGTACCCATCTATTATGCAAGCGCACAATCTTTGTTACACAACCTTGCTCAATCCTGAAGCCGTCCAACGACTCGGCCTGGTCAAGGATGTCGATTATGTCGTAACACCAAACAATGGTAAGGAGGTTGTGTAAGGCTTCTTATATGGGCGTGCTAATGCATGTGCTTTTTGCAGACATGTTTGTCAAAGCTAGCCGACGCAAAGGATTGCTTCCCGAGATTCTACAAGATCTGTTATCAGCCCGTAAACGTGCAAAAGCTGACTTGAAAAAGGAAACGGATCCCTTCCGAAGAGCTGTGTTGGATGGTCGACAATTAGCATTGAAGGTGAGTCATGATATCGAATCGAGGAAGTAACGAAAAGGTTAATGAGGTATCCAAAACTATAGATCAGTGCCAACTCGGTTTATGGCTTCACAGGTGCTACTATCGGCAAGCTCCCATGTCTGCAAATTTCATCAAGTGTTACTGCCTATGGTCGTCAAATGATTTTAAAGACACGTCAGGTCCGTAAAGTCACTCTACGTTGGCGGCAAATATGAACTTGGATCTAATCGTTATGATGTATTTAGGTCGTGGAAGAGATGTATAGCATTCAAAAAGGCTACAAGCACAATGCTGAAGTTATCTATGGTGATACCGATTCTGTCATGATCAAATTTGGAGTGGATACTTTGGAAGAGGCAATGAAACTAGGCAAGTACCCTTTTGTTTTCATTTCTTATGGAGCCAAGGTTGATTAACTTTTGGACCATAGGCAAAGAAGCTGCTGAGCTGGTAACCAAGGAGTTCGTTCGACCGATCAACCTCGACTTTGAAAAGGTGTACTTCCCTTATCTGCTTATTAGCAAGAAACGCTATGCTGGTCTCTATTGGTCAAGACCTGAAAAATACGACAAATTGGATGCTAAGGGTATCGAGGTAGGGTCATCATGATCATTACAAGGCAAACATGGATTAACCCACGCGTGATACCGTAGACTGTGCGTCGTGATAATTGTCGACTTGTATCCAACGTTGTGCAACAAAGCTTAAATAAGCTTCTCATCGATCGTGATGTTCAAGCAGCTCAAGAGTAAGTGCCCATTCCCCCTTCATCTCGACATTTGATTTGTATTGATATGGTGGATGACAATAGATATGTGAAAAAGACCATCTCAATGTTGCGTCAAGACAAGGTGGATTTATCGCAGCTCGTGATTACCAAGGCATTGAGCAAAAATGATTACAGCGCCAAGCAAGCTCATGTGGAACTCGCTGAGAGGATGCGTAAACGTGATGCTGGTTCAGCCCCTGCCCTCGGTGATCGTGTTGCCTATGTCATTATCAAAGCTGGCAAAAACGCACCCGCATACGAACGAGCCGAGGATCCGCTTTATGTCTTGGAACACAACATCCCCATCGATACCAGCTATTACTTGGAGAATCAGTTATCCAAGCCCCTGCAACGTATTTTCGAACCGATCTTGGGTGACAAAGTGAACAGCCTCTGTAAGGAGCTATATAGTTGGATAATGGGTGGATGATGATGGTTGATACTGATTTCGTAAATCTAGTGCAAGGTGATCATACTCGAACCGTGAGCATTGCTACTCCATCAGCAGGTGGTATCATGAAATTTGCTGTCAAGAAGACTACGTGTCTTGGTTGTCGAGCACCATTGAAGAAAGGAGGTAAGTGTATGCTTTTACCCTTTTGTATTGATATGAAAATATTAATGTTATCATCTCACACAATAGACCATCCAGCAGTGTGCGCACAATGCAAACCTCGACTCACAGCAATCCATTTACACCAGGTAAGATTGATCCTTGTTTGGTAGTGCAATGCATATATTAACTTTAATGTTTAGCTGAAGGTCTTCCGAGATGCGGAAACTGCTTATTCTCGCCTTTGGACACAATGTCAGCGATGCCAAGAATCACTTCATCAAGATGTCATCTGCTCAAACAACGATTGCCCCATTTTCTACATGCGCAAGAAAGCTCAAAAGGATGCAAATGAAGCCGAAGACAAGGTCGCTCGGTGCAGCATGGAATGGTTGTAAATGACATCATGTAAATAGATTCCCCTTCTCCAAAATACAATTGCAAGCTATCATTAAAGCAGAGCTATGTTCTAGCAATTAGTAAATGAGAGCTTTAAATATCAAAAACATGTGTCAACATAGCATGCTTTAACTTGTACATCGACGAGAGCCAATATGAAGCATCCTCATTGCCTCCTTTGTAATGATCAACCTTTATTTGTGTTAAGACGTCTAATGTAATCTATTCTGCTGCTGCTGCCGCTGCTGCGACATCAAATGTCAGCGGAGACATCTTCATGCATGATCTTGTACTCTTTTCTCTATCACAAACATGGAGCGATCCACATCAACGCCTCCGTCCTCCTCACCTACAGTGCCTCCATTAAGAACCGGGTTATCACGACCTGTTGCCTTTGTTCCAAGTAGCGACAATACACGATCACTTTCACTACCACCTCCTTCAACATCAAGTGGCGATGACATTGCCAATCTGTACCGATCCATAGTTTCGTCGACATCGTCACCAAGTAGTGAACCAGCTACTACCAGCATACCTATTGCAGAAGACAGCAATGCATCATCATCATCATCATCAACTACCTTTTGTGCAGAATGCAACAAACAAATACCCGAGTCTACTATGAAGGAGCATATCCAAACCGTTGCACATATGGTGAGTGCCGAGTATATGCGATCGGTGGATTTCCTTACTTTGAACCAAAGCAATGTGGGCTTTCGCATGATGCAAACGCAAGGATGGCAATACGAAGAAGGATTGGGAGCATTGGGTGAAGGCCGACGCCATCCTGTTGCCACGGTGCTCAAAAAGGATCGATCCGGCATTGGCCATAAACATGAACCAAAGCGAGTGACACATTTATCACGGGACATTGAACAGAACTTTAAAAAGGAGTTGCCACAACAACCATCAGGGAAACAATTAGCAAGGAAGGCTCGTCGTGAATCAAAGCAACGGGTAGCGATGTTGAAATACATGAATGAATGAATGAATAAATAAATGGGGTGGATGGATTTCTCTTTATTATGAAATGCAGTGTTACTCTTCCAATTCAATCTCTTCTACGAGGAAGTTCTCGGTCGACTTTTCAGCAATTTCTTCTCTAGTGAGTTGACAAGTCTCTACCGACATACGCTTGATTTCCTCTTCTTCCTCTTCCTCTTCATGCTTCTTCTTTTCCTCGACATGCTCTTCCCTTGAGACCTTCTTCTTGAGGAATTCTTCAATGGCTGGATAATAGCCAGGTTGGATACAAGTATCATTATGCATGCCGTTTGCCAATTCGACGTATTCCTTCGCGCCACGTGTGTCACACAATTCGAACAATTTACGCATATGCGTTGGGGGTATCAATTCATCCTTGCTTCCTGAAAGGAATAAAATAGGCACATTGGCGATTCGTTGAATGTTGACTTCAGATGGCCATTGCTGGTGGCAGAGGAAGGTCACATAGCGTAGAATAGGCATGACATGGGGTACAAGTTTTGGCTACGTATGCAAAATGCATGTTAATCTCTTATATGTTCACCCCATCCTTTTCCCCCATTTCCTTCCAGGATGGATACCTACCAAGCTCAAAAATGTGTTTTCGATAATAAGACCAGAAAATGCTTCCTCGTTATGTGATACAATGTCAATGGCTACCGCACCACCAATGGATTGTCCATAAGCAACGAGACGAGTGTCCTTGAGTACAGGATGCGATTGCACGTATTCCAAGAGTGTCTGTATGCATCGAAATAACTTGTTATGCATCCATGTAAAACTTGCTATCCACCCATATTACCTGAGCATCGATTCTAATACCCTTCTCATTTGGTTTGCCTTCACTTTGACCATAACTAAACGCGTGTATCTGTATGAATAAAACGTATACATTGCATAAACCATCCTATGACTTACCCTCGATAAGACAGCATAACGACATTGCACTTCATTTTTTGATGGAAGATTCTTGCAATAGGAAGACGATGGCCCTGTGTAACAAAAGTAAGCTATCAAAGTGTATATCCAAATCCAGTAGGCGCATACCATGTTGCCTGCATTAGCCTATGATTTTGATCCATTAGCATACATACACAACAAGAGACTATACATCATTGACAGCTTACATGAAAGTAAAGGATCGTGTTTGCTGCACGAGCTTCGTCTTCATTTTCAAGTACCATAGTGTAGGTGTGCAGTTTGATATTATCCTTGGTGGTAAGAACTTGTTCGGTATATTGCATCCCATAATCCGAAGGTTTTGCCACCTAATCACAACCAAAAATGTGAGTAAATAGCAACCACCGTATCCCATAGCAACCATGAGGTTACCTGCGTCCTCGATCCTTCGGGAAATGAACTGGGGTAGATGATCTCGCATTGGTACAGGTAGAGTAAGGCGGCACCTGTCAACCCTGCCAGACCAGTGAAGGATAAGAGATACGACACCCAACCTGGTACGTTGAATGGTAAAGCAGAATCGTCACTCATTTGGGGAAGGAAAGGGAAGAAAGAGAAGGGCTGTTGTTGTTGCTAGGGAAAAGGGGTTGTACTCGGCAACCTAAAAGGGTCACTCCGCAATGTGCTCTTGCAGCTGTGCCATCACACACGTACCCACTAAAAGTTGGCTTTGCACCACCACCAACACAAAACACCAATCACCACGACACTATGCCTTTCATGCGAACCAATGGATCCATCATCATCCCATGCTATTCTATGGATACCCGTTTAACATGCATTGGAAGAATCCCCTTGTCTACGTACATGGTTGTATCTTTTGATACGTAATAGAAGAGGCATGCCAAAGGTATCCAATACTATGGATTTTATATTGCTTTCCTTGATGCTTGAAACAACAACAGCAGTATTTATGCTACCATTTGAATACAATACATGTATACTATTATACTACCACTACCATTACAAGATGATTGAGAAGTCTTCGCAGTGTGGATTGAAGATTGTGATACGTACACAGGCCCGTATTGTGACATGTGCAGCGTGCAGCACATTCTTTTGTACAATTTGAGATTTCCGGTGCAACGTGGTGATACCTGAAAGGTTATAATGTCATTCTTGTACCAATGCAACAATGTTGAATGATGATGGATACCTGTCTCCATGGCGTTTCTCGACCCCTCCCCCATTGACGATGATGCCTTTGCAACAATGCTTCATGCAGGGTGAATATCAAACCTCTTGGATCTAGGTAAAGTACATCACGTGAGCGTTCATTTATTTATTACTACAATTGAATGCGACATTCCAAGTCATACGATGAATAGCGAACGTAAATCAGATGTTGAGGAGGAGAATAAGCGGTGCCAAAGTGAATGATGTGTAACCATCCTATTATAATGAAAGGCGAATCAGTTGTATAAATGACATTAGCACGATATGCATATATGTGTGTGTGTCACCGATGATGCAACGCACGCGAATGGTTCATTAAGGTACTTGACATGCGCTTCATCTATTTGCGTACGTGAGTGTATGTGTGTGGGCGTGTGGGCGTGAGCGACTGTGTGTGCGTGTATGTGTTATACAGCGGAATCTCAACCCACTTTGCTGTTAATTGAGCTGTGTGCCTCCTTTTGGTGGACCTGGTCTCCTTTCTTCACTCGCTCTTCATCAACCAACACGATACCCAGCTGTCATTAGCAACACATCTTGACAAAGAGCGACGCACTCACAATCTTTGCAACATCTCGGATATTGTGGCTCTTCATTTTACCCTCTATACCATTGCCCTGAACCAGCCATGACCGAAATCATCAAGGACGGCTACCTATCTGTCAAGGAAGAAGGTCTACGGGCTTGGATTTGGTCCAAACGCTTTTGTGTTCTTCGAGACCAAGCATTGACCTTCCATCGAAACGAGGTATATACATGCTTGGAAGAGAATTGGGGACGTAATGGGTTGGCTAATGATACGGTCCCTGACTTTTTTTATTATAGCAATCCGGGCAGTGTGTAGCGTTAATCTTCCTGAAAGAGATCAATTCGGTGACACGGACAGAGCTCAAGCCTTATTGTTTCGAGATTGCCGTCAAGGACAAGACATATTACATTGCATGCAAGAACGATGATGAGCTTTATTCATGGATGGATGAGATTTACAACGTAAGTTATAGGGGAAGGTGAATATTGTAATATAAACCCTTATTCCTCATGCTCTGTTACTATTAGAGATCTCCGCTAGGCGTCTCAGGTCCGACAAACTTTGTCCATCAGATGCATGTTGGCTTTGATCCACATACTGGTGCCTTTACGGTAAAGTCATCGTCGTCGTCATCAGGATAGAATTTACTAATACTCTATACATCTCTCCTTATTCCTTTTTTAGGGTATGCCAGATCAATGGACTAAACTGCTCAAGGGATCAGCCATTACAGCAGAAGATGCAGCCAAGAATCCTCAAGCTGTGTTGGATGTATTGGAGTTTTACACTGAACAAACCAAGCGTGAAGCAGAAGAATATGGTTCCTCTCATCTTCAAGGTGCCGTCGAGCGTAGAAGTGATGATCGATGGGCTGCTTTATTACAAGAATCCAAAAAGTCTGCTGCCTCTGCTGCTGGTCGTGTTCCACCACCTCGTCCACCACCACCACCACCGATGGCAGGAGGTTTACCTGATGTGGATGTGAATGAGATGATGGATGAGCTTAATATTCGCAACAACGTAAGTGAAATACACTACACATAAACATACAATCATTGGCTCATCGCCTTTGTAATAGGATCGAACCAAGCAACATCATCAAGCACCTCCATCCAAGTTGGCACCTGTGTCTCGTGACGATCGTGCTCCGCCATCACCTGTAAGTACGCCAACTACACGTGGTGATGTGTGGTACACTGACTTTTACACTTTATCCCCGAAAAAAGGGTTTATATCCTCATTCCCCGCGAGATCCATCAGTCTCACCACGTATCAAGCCTACAAGCCCTCGACCAGAACCATCCAAATCTTATGGCACTTCTCAACCAAGAAGAAATCCTGATGCTGAACGTGAGGAACGTGAACGTCGTGAACGTGAAAGACAACGACGAGAACGCGAAAAGGAGCGTGAACGACAATTGCAACGAGAACGTGAGCGCGAGAAGGAACGTGAAAGAGAGCGTGAGCGTGAGCGTGAACGTGAGCGTGAGATTCGTGAACGAGAACGTGAGAAAGCTGCACAACAAGTTTCTACACCCAAAAAGAAGGTTGAGCAACGTATCAGCACAATGAGCGAGGCACAAATCATGGAGAAGTTGCGTTCTGTCGTCAGCCGTGGTGATCCCAATTCTTCTTACAAAAAGCTCAAGCGTGTTGGTCAGGGGTAAGTGATGATGATTTTTTGTCTCTCCATAAGGAGACCTTGATTGTTGACTTGGATCCTTACAACACAACTTGTTTTAGTGCTTCTGGATCTGTATACGTTGCTTTATCGCATGCCACCAATACCAAGGTCGCTATCAAGCAAATGGATCTTGCCAACCAGCCTCGCAAGGAATTGATTGTCAATGAAATCCTTGTGATGAAGGAATCTCAACACCCCAACATTGTCAACTTTTTGGATTCGTATCTTGTGGGCGTTAAGGATCTGTGGGTGATCATGGAATACATGGAAGGTGGTGCCCTGACAGATGTGATCGACAACAACACGATGACGGAGCAACAAATCGCCACTGTGTGTTTGGAGGTAAAGTCATCGGATTCATCGGGGGGTTAAAAGGGGAAGGAGGATAGCCAAGGAAAAAGTGGGGGAGAATGAGTGTGTGTGTGTGTGTGTGTGTGTGTATGTTATGCATATGCAGGATTGCTTATATGACACAACAGACATCAGCTGGTTTGCATCATCTTCATTCGCAAAACATCATTCACAGAGATATCAAATCGGACAACATCCTCCTCAATTTCCAAGGCAAAGTCAAGATCAGTGATTTCGGTTTCTGTGCCAAGTTGACTGAATCAAAGAGCAAGCGTGCTACGATGGTTGGTACACCCTATTGGGTAAGTCAAGCTGGAGGGTATATGGGTTATCGATTCATCATCACAAGGAGGTGATATTAAAACAAGAAAAAAATGATAGATGGCACCTGAGGTCGTGAAACAAAAGGAGTATGGAGCCAAGGTTGACATTTGGTCACTGGGTATCATGGCGATCGAAATGATTGAGAACGAACCTCCCTATTTGGATGAAGAACCTCTCAAGGCCTTGTATCTCATCGCTACCAATGGCACTCCCACTCTAAAGAACCCTGAAAAGCTATCACGCGAATTGAAGAGCTTCCTTGCCGTATGCTTGTGCGTGGATGTACGATCGAGAGCAACAGCTGCTGAGCTATTGGAACACGACTTTTTGAAGAAGGCAGGGCCTTTGGATATCCTTGCACCATTAATGAAATTCAAGACAAGCAAACGTTAGAAAGATTAGCGAATTGTCAAAGTGATTCTTTTTTTTTGTTTAATCTGTATAAAAATCGGGCAGTTGACATGAGGTGTGATGCGCAGGGATGCTCCCTGCATTGCAGCGCCCACTGCAGCTTTAACAAAATTCCTGGATTGGGCAAGGATCGGAGCAATAAGGAAGTGATTAAATTTATGGCAATGGGGTGGATATACATAAAAGTGTGCATGTATGTGTGAATGTAAATTGCATTTATGTATACGTATACGCGTGTGTATGAGTGATGATGATGTATGTTGTGTGTATATATGTGCCTCGTTTTGTTATGATTTTGTGGATGGTGATGCTTTGTGGCACTCTGCAAGTATTTGTGCGAAAAGGAGTGCGGAAATTTTCATGGATAGTAGTTGGGTGGGTCTCCAATGCCCCTAGCCGTGTCTTTCTTTCTTTCCCTCTTCTTTTTCTCTTTTTCCCTCTCTACCTACTCACTTCACAACCGGCAACGTATTCCGAACGCCGCTTCGATAAGACGCGACCAATAAAGATCTCACTTACACACTCAGCTTTTATTCAATGCCGCTCTTGAAGCCTGGTCAGCCGATCCGTACCACTGGCAACAACCTCGTTGGTCTCTGGAGACCATCTTTTGTTAAAGTCGGCCATCGTCTCTTTGTGTATGGTGGAGGTGGTACTGTCACCAATGATCTACACGTTCTTAACCTATGCGACATGAGATGGGATACCATACAGGTATGGTATTCTTTCTTGTCTCCTTGTCAATCACCATGCTGCTCTCGTGACACCTATCACAATCAAAACCTCCCCCCTCCTCCTTTCATTCATTATGCTGTGGAGCCAACATTCATTTTTGATCGACATGTAGACTGTGAAAGGCGTACCACCTTGCAAACGTTACGGACATACGGCAACATTGTGGAACAATTGTATCATTGTATTTGGTAAATATAAAGAAAGGCGAGAGATGATGGTGATGATGATGGCTAAACTAATAATAATACTACAACAACAACAGGCGGATGTAACGAAGATGCAGAATACTGCAATGATGTGCACATATTCGATTTGGACAAATTGACATGGTTTCAACCCGAGGTTACCGGCAGTATCCCGGCACGATATCTTCATAGTGCTGCCGTCTTTGACAACAAGTTATTTGTGTACGGAGGTTTTGCAAAGAATTCAGATTGTAAGTTGAGCATTCATTATGATTTATTTTGGTGCTTGTTTGTTCACGAGATCATATACAAAAACACACACAGGCACTTACGTATTGGATGAGTTGAGTGTCCTCGATCTAAAGACATTTACATGGACGAAATACAATGGAGTGCCACCACGCTACAATCATTCAGCTACTCTGATAGGCCACAAAATGTACATTTACGCTGGCAAGGATGAGCATGGTAACACAGTCTCCGATCTCTTTGTCATCAATGTCAATGCTCCACCTTATACACCCCACCTCGTTCTCAGTGGATTCCAATCAAGTGCAAGTTCTCACATGGTGCTCTTGAAGAGTCAACACTTTTGTGAAGCTGTGTGTGGAAAGCTGCTTGTATTCGGACGTTATTTGGCACATGGCGTACAACACCATCCTCAAGCAAGCCCTGAATCGGTGTACGGATTATGGATGCTGGATTTGGACACTTTGGAATGGCAACGACAGGAATGCAACGCCAATTTCGATGTGGGAGGTTGGAACTACTTTACGGTGATCAGTGAAAATATTCCGCCTGCCGGCATAGGACAAGAGGAAGCTTCTCAAGTCGTTGTCAACAACCTCTTTTTCCTTGGAAACACGGATCCTTTCCGTCCACAAGGCTATGATCATTTTAGGTATATATATCTCCTGCTGCTGCTGCTGCTGTACTAGTGGCGATCAAAACATTGCCCCTGAATTGACACTTTTTTTTCTATTAGAGATGCACTTGTAATCAACGCCGAATCACTTGGACTCTACGACATACCACCACCCCATTTCTCGCATGAATTTGCTCAGCTACTCAACAACCCTGAATTATCTGATTTCGTTATTGTGCCGTCGAACGGCCAAGAGCTCCATGTACATCAAGTCATTCTTATCACGCGCTGGCCGCACTTTAGGAACATATACAAGAGTGGCATGATCGAAGCTCAACGAAGGAGGATGGAAATCCCAGAACCCTACGAGATTGTCCTTGCATTCCTCAAATACCTCTACAGCGATCGACTTGATGAGAACGAACCTTGGCATGTCGTATGCGAAGTATTGGTCGTAGCCAACATGTATCTACTCAACAGACTGAAAAAGATATGCTGCGAAAGGCTTTTCAGGCATCACATGACCGTTGAAAGCTGTGGATTAATCTTTGAAAAAGCTATCATGGCCGAGGAGACGGGTCTCAAGATGTTGGCTCTCGACTTTATGTTCCGAAATTATGGCTCTGTTCTCAAATCGGATGTTCTCCTGCAAATGCCACCGACCATAAGGCAAGAATTCCTTGAAGCCGTACCCGATGAAGCCGTTCTTGAAGTCAGCAATCGTTCCTCCTTTCGAACTCTCCCTCCCCCAACCAAATGCTCTGGTCCTTTCATCGCAATGAGTCACAAATCTACCTAGGTTAAAAGTAATCATCATCATCACACACACACACTCGCACACACACACACACACACACACCACAGCACACTCCTCTGTAATAGATTATAATACATCACGACCAAAAACCACAAATAATTATTATTGATGATGCGCGACATGCTTTGATGTATGAGCACATGTCTTATTGTATGCTGAGGAGGGGTTGAAAGCTGACCTATACACACAAAAGGATGACAAGGAGCTAACAATGAGCTATTTTGCCAAGAAGTCAGGGTGCTCTTTTGATCACATCAGCACCACCATCACCACCTGCTTCAGCTGTCATTGTGTATATAAAGGAAATGAATGAATAGCTCATCCACGCGATAACACAAAAATGTTTCTTCAAGCATTTTACCTTGTTGCTTCATCCACTCGTCGTTACGTTCTTGATTTATACTCTTCTAGCACTAAAAAACCGAGGAAATCAGTACGATTCAGTGGCGTCGATACCGTACAACTCACACACAGTCCATCTGAATATGATCGACATGCTCGAGCAACCTTGCGTATCAACACCAAGCTTGGTCTCCCTGGTCCACAATTTTTCATGCAGCCTATTCCTACACGCCTCGTTGAATTGTGTTCGTAGCACATTCCAGTACCAATACACACACACAACCATCCCTCCTAATACACGCATATCTTGATCGCTCATGTGATCAGCATACCTACTAATTACCAATAAACGCTCTTTCACAGATACCCTTTATGTTGGTGATGGTAAGAAGGGCGGTGTCATTGTATATACTCAAATTCAGGAGACCATTTTTCTTTATACCCGATGTTCTTTTGCCACCCCTGACACCGTTGTTGTTGATTTCTTTGTCTCCCAATTACAAAGGGATAAGGGAAGAAGAGAAGGAGTACATGTTTAGAAAGATCGATGCGAGATTTATTTACAGGATGAGGACTAGTAAAAGTATTGTCGTAATGAACCTTCATTTCTTAGTTGTCGGTTTTCAGCGATCACGTAATAGGTATGCAGGAATAGTCGAGGGAAGCGGGCTGTAAAGTAATAAAGGTAATCGTTTGGAGGCTCTCCCAATACTTGCTTCACCGGTTCATCGAGATCCGACCAATGGTGTTTCTATTCATATCCATGCATTATGAGCAAAAGAGTGGTATGGCAAAGCAAATGATTACAGCCTACCTTATTGCGCAATACGCGTAAAAGATCCCGTACACGACGACCATCATATTTTCGAAACTTGCGCAAGTCATTGATGACCACACGATCCAGACGTCGGTTCCAATCGTATCCAATCACTTCATGTGTATTCCCCTCCAAGCGCTGTAATATGGCTGATGGTGGATCACGACGCTCCACTTCAAATCGATCCGATGCATCTTGCAAGAATGCCAATCGTTTTGCTGGTGACCAAAAGAAGGGATGCTTTAAAACGGTATCGGCATTGGGCCTACAATATTGAAAATTAGTTTGCTGCACCTTATACTAAACATGGTAACATACCGAGATTTGGGATCATGCGATATCATCCGCTCAATCAAATCCATAGCTTCCACGCCATCCTCGCCCATATCTTGTAATTTATCCAAAGAGTGATTGGCTTTGAGGATGTTGTTTTCTCGCGAAAAACGATCACCAAAAGGATGATCACCACCTGACAAGACGTAATAAAAGACGCATCCAGCTGAAAAGATATCAATCGCCCGTGTTGCTTTGGTCGGTGATAGTAAGCTGTTGTTGTTGTTGTTGTGGTCGCCATGAGCCAACTGTGTGCCATTGCTTGTATTACTATCAGAAGCCTCTGCTAATACACCAGCGAGAAGTTCAGGTGCTCGCCAACCTGCCGTACCAGCCGGAGATATGGCTGTATAATGAAAGCTGCTTTGTTCACCTTCGAGCTTCTTGCATAATCCAAAATCGGAGATCAATACACGCATGATTTGGCTTTGGCTCCGCTTGGAAGGTGCCAGCAAGATGTTTTGGGGCTTGATATCACGATGAACAATCTTCAACGAATGTAAATGCTGCACACCACTGATGATTTGGTATAAAATGTCGCCTGGGTCCATTTGGTCAATCATCCGCATATCAGGTACCGACAAAGTACGCTCCATGTATTCATGCAGTGATCCATAGCAAAGCTCCAATGCGATATAGAGGAACCGATCCGTTTCTTCCTATAAATGACATTAGCATCTTGAAAAGTAATGTCATCAATCCTACCATACCTTGTAGAAATAACGAACGACATTTGGATGATCATCGCTCTCTTGCAAAAGCTTGACCTCGTGAAAAGCAATATCATAAAAATCGATCAAGAGACGTTTGACTGCAACTTGTCTTCCATCAAATTCTCCCTTATAAACAACAGTGCCATGGCTACCGTATCCTAGCAACGTGATCCATGTTAGTTTTTTTACACTCCTCATCATAAATTGGTACTTACCAAGCACTGAGTTGGATAACTTGAGTACACGTGATTCGGGTTGCTTCTCTGTGTCTTGCTGAATGATCGTTTTGGTGACCTTAAGTGGAGCTCCTCGCAAAGGTGATGATGATGATAACGATGATGACTTTTGTGGTTGTAATGACTTGGGTGATGAAGGTGAAGTGTCTTTGGATGATGCTTTCTCGGTTGATGATATTAACTCTCTCGTGTCGGGTATCTCTTGCGACTTGGTGGTATTCTGATTGATTGTCTCATTCCTGGAAATTGGTGATTCATCTACTAATGCTGCTTCTGGTGCCGATTTTGCTGTTGTTGCTGCTGCTAAGGCTGCCGCCTTTTTGGCTCGTTTTCTCAAAAAGATCTTATATCGTCTCTTTGCGCGTTGGATCAACCATGGCACGTAAATGATATAAAGCTGATAGAGTCGAGCACGATAAATGTATGCGATCGTTGCCAGGATGAGTAGATAAGTCTTCCAGAATTTACCAGCCCCATCCACAAAGAAGCCACCAATCTCATCCTTGTAATACGGCATCGAAGATCGAGGTGTCTCTGCTGGAGGTAACAATGCGACATGCCGAGTTGATTCATCTTTTTGCTTTGCTGAAGGAGGTAAGAGCACTGGATGATTACCCACAGCACAAACAGGATAATCCTTAGAACCAGGAGAACACATTCCATTGGGATTTTGAGACCAATAGGCATCTTCATCATCATCGTTGTCGTTGTCATCGCCCGCCGTATCGCCTGCCTCAAGCAAAAGTGGATCGCGTCCCGGCAAACCACGATACACGGGTGCTTTTGGCCAAAGTTGTGCCAATGGATAATTCTCAGTCGAAAGTGCATAAAGATTTCCCTCGTGTACTCCAACGTATGCTGTAGGTGTGCCATGTTGTTCCTGACGCATCGCTTCCAGCATCCTTCCAATAATTCCTTGTCTCAAAGTCATCGGTGGGATTTGCTTGCAAAGAGCAAGCGTGTAATCATGGCGCCGATACACATCGAAAACGCTCACTGGCTTTGGCAAGTCTCGAATCCACAGCTCGGTACCTGATTTTGTTACAAGGTTAGTGTAAATTCTATTCATATAAGGGCGATGTGATAATGTGTACCTGTTGTAGCATCAATAGCAGTGACAGCACCATCTGCACCAGGAGCAATGTAGACATCGGATACAATTCTATTGGCAGGCACATCGAAATCCAGCTTATTCGGTACATATTCGCTGTATTGGAGATCCCATCGACGCTGACGTTCATTGTCAAATATAGCAACGTTGTATTCTAAAACATGAATTAGTATGCTTATTGACATTGATCATTAGCATCTTACCATCCAACCCCAAATAAATAGTATGTGGTGGTAATTTCTTCTGAGTTGCCATATAGATTGCATCCTGCTCTTGGTCAAGATCTAATCTCTGCAGGATTTCGCCCGAACGAGGATCAATGCCGAGCATAAGCGTAGTCTTGCTTCCAATGTATGTTGTGCCATTTCTTGTCCTTAACGGTGATTCGTGAACAATGTCGCGGATAGTAAATGGTAGTTTCTAAGAGAAAGAAAAGAAAAGCAAGTGAGTCAACACTAACAACATCATCCCAATTCACCTAATTAGGCTATTACCTCTAATGGTTTGCCAGAACCGTACAAGTAGAGTCCACCACCATTATGGGGTTCCACAATGTAATAAAGGTCATGCTTCTCTTGCTCAAGCCAATGCTGCTCTTGACGATGGTCCTCATTGTTGTTGTTGTCGCTGTTGTTGTGATCATCCACCATGCCATCACTGCCTACAAGTGCACCTAACGAGCTGCCGGGAGTGATCTTTTTAGCTGTAGCTGGTATCTGCACAGTGGATTTGATCAAAGTTCCACCAGACGCTCGGCCAGGAAGTGTCCAATATACAATGCCCTTGAAGCGATCCACCGCACGAATCGAGCCGTCGAGCGAAGAAATGAGGACCATGTCGGTGGGAATAAGGCCGTCGGGTCGTTCATTGTTCAAGACTGTAGGCTGACCTTGATGTCGTTGGAGAGAATGTGCATAACGAGCAGCCACTTGCTGGTCTCGGGGGTATATGGTTGCTTTACGATAGCCGGTTGAATGGTAGTTACGCTTGTCTAATGCTGCACCGAAGCTGATTATAAAGAGTAGAATGGCGAATGGGATCGATATCCAACGCCGCATGTTGAAGAAGGAGAGAAGCTGCGAGAGAAAAGGTGGGTGGTATGAGCACTAAATTTAGCCTTGGCAAATGCTTAAATGCAAGAGCTGTCATATGCGGAAATGGATTGTCTTACAAGTCTCATTCAGTGCCATGGTTCCCTTTATGTAAATTGTTTCATGTCATTACCAATACTCGAATAAAGGTGCTTCTTTGTATTGCGGGAATGGTTCATTATGATGTAAATAGAGGCACTCTAAAAGCTCCAAACGTGTAGTATAATGCTGCTATTAATCATTTGTGACCATGAATGCAAAGCATCATGCAAAAAAAGACACAATTGAGGATGATGAGAATGGATGAAAATTGCTTTAGGTGGTAATGGATCGATAAGGGTAAATATACGAGGGTCTAATGAGAGAGAGAGAGAAAGAGAGGGTATTCTAGTAGTAGTATCACCGTGTCAACACATGTGCGGCCACCAATTCCTTAAACTTGAACCTATCCAGTCGAAGGCCGTTTCTTCCAAGCACCTCGTTGAAAAATGCATCGTGTTCACCTTCCATAATGTGTCCTGTGACAGCCACAGCGGCTTTAACTTCTTGGCCACGCTCTTCGCCGATAAATCCCATATTCAATGTCTTTACAGTCTCGCCAAAACTACCACCCCAAAGAAGCGGTTCCAGATATTTGAGTACGGCAAGACCAGTCTTGAATAATATAATGTCGCCTTCCAAAAGGAAAATGTCCCATAGCCTTGAGGAAAGATCAAGTGGAAGAATCGACGAAAAGATAGTCATGAACCAATCTGGCAAATAGTGCTCAGGTGTCAGGGACAAGTTCTTGAAATGGAGATAAAGCTTTGGCAGGTTCTCGGCAAAAACAATGTTGAAGATCTTGAAGTATCCACGTACACGTTGCTCATCAGAGTTGTATAGAGCAGAAAGGACATCACTCTTGTGTATCAGGTTGCATAAAGCAATAAATGTCTCTTGGCTGTTCATATTCAACAATAGCATGCCTGCAAGGAAAGATGTGCCTCGTGACTAGAAGCTACTCGTTAGCAATGTCAAAGCAACGTGAACAAAAAAGGTGTCAAATACATACATAAGATGGCTCATCTTGGCTTCGTACATAAGCATTGAGTATCTTTCGAAGGGAGTTGAACAATGGTCCATCAGGCTAGATGATCATAAAAAGGTATGAGACTTTGTAAAATGACTCATGTACCGGTTATCCATGTACCTGAAACACACAAAGGCTTGGTAATGTGCGAACAATATCTTCATCGATTGCTTGAACCAAGTACGCACTAATGCCGGTATTATCCAAAGGGACATCAGCTGAGTATTCGCTACTGGTCCTGTTGTCCGTATCACTGTCATCGATATCATCGCTGATCCGCACATCTTCTCCATCATCAGAAGTAATGGCATGTTGATCATGTAGCTCTACGGCGCTTCTGCTGGCACGATTGGAACGAGGATGATCATTTTCTTCTCGAGATAAATCATCTGAAGAATGCTGCATTGAAGTCCTCCCAGATTGCTCATGAATACTTTCAGGATAATCGATCTTTTCTGAAGGCTCCTCGTGAAGAACATTCAAGCTGCTCGTTCTCCTCACTCGTCGGATATTATATAACTCATCAGGGACTGCATTGTTGTCATTGGGTGCTTCAGACGGCCATTCCCCCTCTTGGCGTTGTGTCATCAACTCATTCGTTGCCGATTTCTCCGTACCATTTGCTGGATGTGGTAGTCGCTTTGTATAGTTTGTAAACATGTCTACAACAATACATTAAAAACTACATCCATGGTTCTCTCTGCAATGCATTAACCCACCTTTTGCAATCTTAAGATCATTACCAATAGCAAGGATCCAAACCCGCTTACGACACCGAGGAGGTACACCTTGTAACCATAATTCACGAGTTTTGGCGTCGTTTATCCTAACCAATGCTATTAGATCAATATCCTTAAAGCGAGTACCAGATTCCCTTTTACCTTGAACTCCAATTGGTGATGATGTCACTTTCCCATACATGAATTGCTTGGGCCATCATCTTGTCCTTTTCCTCTTTACGACGAGTCACTTCCTTCTCCTTCTTGGCCTCTGTGAATGTGTAACGAAACGCTTAGGATCATCCTATCTCCTCAATTGTATTATCCACATACCTAATTTGCGTGCCTTCTTCATCATTGCCTGATGTTGTTGAAGATGCTTCTTTTCTTCATTTGGATTCTTTGGAGGGAGCATCCTATTGAACATGAAAATTAGCTTAGTGCCATTCACATTATCCCGAATCCATTATCCATCCATTACCTTGGCCTTGTTTTGGATACCACGGTCTCCAATGGGGATGGCTTTTGCTGTGTAGTTTTTCGTGAGAATGGATTCAAACTATATTGATAGCTTACTTAGTCACTATGTGAACGAAATTAAGCTCGCTCATTCACTTGCCTAGAACGTCGTTTTATGGCTCTCGCTGATGATCCTCCTGAAGTGACGATAACATCCCTTTCATATACATTGCGACGAGCTCCTCGTTGCTGTGATGCTGGATCATCCTTGTTGTTGGTAGACGATGATGAAGTTGCTGCTACTGCTGCTGCCGCGGCTGCTGCTGCTGCTGTGGCATTGGTGTTGGGGCTATCACTAAGGACATCGGAAATAGAATAAAAAGGACCGGAGACATCAGCTGTAGTGATAGACAAGTTGGGAGGTTTTTGATCTGCAGTAGGGCGTCGTGGCATGAATTTCAGCAATTTGGATGCTGTCGGACTTGTGGTTGTCATGGAAGCGGTTGTGTTGGCAGGAGTAGCAGCAAAGGGCTGTTGAGTATCTCTAGGCAAATCCAATGATACTTCTTCAAAGAATTGGTCGTATTGATAAGTCATTCGGCTGTTGTCAGTACCACTCCATTCTTTTTCTGGAACAGCCGGTGATGATGGTGCCCCATTGCCAATAGACGCGTTGGATGTTTTGCTGGATGTTGAACGCGATATCTCTAACGGAAATGTACCCGGTGCACTCCTGTGCTGTGTCGTTGTTGCATCTGATAACTCATCAAGCAAATGGTCTGCTGTCATGCTAGCGGTGCGATCGTTGGCACTCGACATTGATAATTCGTTTGGATGATGCGAGATGGCGTCGTGTGAAATAGCACCAGAGGAATGGACTTGGTCATTGGTGTTGTCGGCAATATCGTTATCCTCTGACAGCCGCACACTCGAGAACTCCTGTGCCATGTCGATATCATTTACGGTGTCATTGTTATCAAGGTCTATTGTTGAGAACTCTTCTGGGGTATTGCTGTTCTTTCCCATTTCAACAGTGGTTGTGGGATAACGACTGCAAAAGATCAAGAAAAGAGAGAGAGAGAGAGAGAGAGGCGAAAGAGCTGGCAGGAAAATGCAATCACGGCGGGTGACACCAATGGCCGCCGGTCACACATACACACAATATCCACACACAGGCACCCACCAGTGCCTTGATTTGGTCATCATGCGAAACAAGTTGTAACTATGCATTGGTCAGGATAGACTTCGATACGCTCTCTCATTTTGAGTACACATGTAAACACTTTGAAACGGATAAATGTAATGCATTACACCTTCCCCTTCTCGAGCAGCTTACTATCGTAAATAAAAAGGCACATGTAGACATTGACTTGGTGCTTCTAAATCATTAATCCACTCTACACCATTATGACATCATGTTCTCTCTAAATTGGGATGAGGATTACATTGTTGGGATTCTCTTGACATAGCTAGCATCACCCCATCACGTATGTAGATAAATGAGACCATCGAGTCAAAACACGATTGATTTAGCAAGCTTATTGAGTACACCACATGTTGATAAATGACATTGGTAAAGTGCGTATTAAACCAAAGATTCAAAATTATATGTATCAATGTTATATCCTCGTTAGAATGTAGATATCAGATGTTTTTAAGAGAATGCAAGATATGGAAGGTGGGGGAGAAAGAGAATACAGTGATTGATAAACGGGTTGTTGAAAAGTGGTGGTGGTGGGGAAATAGGTGGATGTATAAGATAAATTAGCCGCTGCAGCTGACGCAGGCATCCTTATTCTCAAGTGAGCACATCATAGCAGCCTCGTTATCCTCTTGAGACTCCTTCTTTTGGCGATACTCTCGAAGTGATAACTGGTCAACCGTAAACTTGATGGCATCCACAGCTGGACGTGTGCGGAGATAGTACATGCCCGTTTTGAGACCCTTCTTCCATCCGTAAAAGTGCATGCTGGTTAACTTTCCAAAGTTGGGCTCGCCAATAAAGATGTTCAAACTTTGACTCTGATCAATGTAAGCACCACGATCGGCTGCCATATCAATGATGGTACGTTGAGAAAGTTCCCATACAGTCTTGTAGAGATTCTTGAGCTCTGCTGGGATATTGGGTATACGCTGAATCGAGCCATTGTCCGACATGATCATGTTTTTAACGTCATCGTTCCAAAGACCCATCTCCACAAGATCCTTCAAAAGCCATGGATTTACGATTTGGAATTCACCTGCGATCACACGTCGAGTGTACAAGTTGGATGTATAAGGTTCGAAGCATTCGTTGAAGCCAAGGATTTGTGAAGTAGAGGCTGTAGGCATAGGTGCCACCAAAAGCGAATTACGAAGGCCATTCTTTGCAATCTTTTCCTTCAGCTCAGCCCAATCCCAAAGACTTGATGGAGTAACTCCCCACAAATCATATTGAAGTTGACCTTTGGAAGCAGGCGATCCACTATACGTCTCGTAGGTGCCATCCACAGCAGCAAGTTCGCATGACGCTTCCAATGCAGCATGATAGATCGTTTCAAAGATTTGCGTATTGAGCTTTTTAGCTTCTGGTGAATCGAATGGATAACGCATCAACATGAAAGCATCCGCCAGACCCTGAACACCAAGACCAATAGGACGATGACGACGATTGGAACGCTCAGCTTCCACCACAGGGTAATAATTGATATCAATGATCTTGTTGAGGTTCTTGGTAACAACCTTGGTTACCTGGAGACGAGAATAAAAAAGGTTACTTTGCATTGTCAACGATCCAGGTACCATAGCAACTTACATCATGCAACTTTTTAAAGTCGTAATATTCACGATTGACAACAAACGAAGGCAAAGCAATGCTTGCAAGATTGCACACAGCCACCTCGTCAGGGCTTGAGTATTCAACGATTTCAGTGCATAGATTGCTGCATTTGATAGTACCCAAATTTTGTTGATTGGATTTGCGATTGCAAGAGTCCTTGTATAGCATGAATGGACCACCCGTTTCTGTTTGAGCCTCCAAGATGGCATACCACAGCTTTTGTGCCTTGACAACTTTACGTGCACGACCTTCTCGCTCATATCGGTGGTATAATTCCTCGAATTCTTTGCCCCAAACTTCATGCAAACCAGGAGCTTCGCTTGGACAAAACAAACTCCAATCACCATTTTCCTCGACACGTTGCATGAACAAATCTGGGATCCACAAGGCGTAAAACAAATCACGTGCACGATTTTCTTCCTTGCCATGATTCTTGCGTAAATCCAAAAAGTCAAAGACATCAGGGTGCCATGGTTCAAGATAGATGGCAAATGCACCAGGTCGCTTGTTACCACCTTGATCCACATAACGAGCGGTGTTGTTGTACACACGTAACATGGGCACAATGCCATTAGAATAGCCGTTGGTGCCAGCAATGTATGAACCCGATGCACGAATGTTGTGGATGTTGAGGCCAATACCACCTGCCGTCTTTGAAATTTGAGAGCAAATCTTGAGTGTCTCATAAATGCCTTCAATGGAATCTTCCTTCATCGTCAACAAGAAGCAAGATGATAATTGTGGGCGAGGTGTGCCGGCATTGAAAAGAGTGGGGCTGGCATGGGTAAAGTAACGCTCGGACATGAGGTTGTATGTTTCAATAGCAGCGTCAATGTCTTCACCATGGATACCAACAGCAACACGCATCAACATGTGTTGTGGGCGCTCAGCAATCTTGCCATTGATTTTGAGCAAATAAGAACGCTCCAATGTCTTGAAACCGAAAAAGTTGTATCCAAAATCACGATCATAGATGATGGCAGAATTGAGTCGATCAGCGTGATTCATGATGATAGCGTGTGTTGCGTCCGAAATCATGGGTGAATGCTTGTTGGTCTTGGGGTTGACATAGCTGTGCAAATCATCCACTACTTGGGAAAAGACCTTTTTGGTTTCCTTGTGTAGATTGGAAATGGCAATACGAGCAGCAAGAATGGCATAATCGGGATGGCGGGTTGTCATGTACGCAGCTGTCTCAGCGGCCAGATTATCAAGTTCAACCGTTGTGACCCCTTGGTATACACCAGAGATAACCTATAACATAGCACATGAGCATGTGTATACACTCTATGCTATAAAGGTGGTGAAAGGTGATAAATACCTTTTGGGTAACGGCAACAGGATCGACATAGTTCATATCAAGGCCATAACAAAGCTTGTTGATTCTGGCGGTAATCTACGTCGGAGACACCAATGCGACGCGTCAATTTTTTTACGCGTTTAAACACGAAAACACGACACGCGTGTGCATGTAACCTCCCAGAAATTACCTTGTCAAATGCGACACGTTCACGACGATTATCTATAGGCATGAAAGGTTAGCATACAAGCATTGTGAATAGGTTGTATGTATGTATGGACCTACCCCTCTTGTATACGAACATGTCTTGGATTGCTTGAATGGAAGCGAGTTGTTGGGTGGGTCTGTAGAGTGACGCCATGATAGTATCAGAGCACGGGTATATAGCTGGGTATGCCATTATAATAAAAGTAAAAGATGGTCAGCTTACCGAGTATAAAGAAGAGGATGGAAAGGAAAAAGGAAGAAGAAAAAACCAACGCGCCTCGGTAGTACGCGAAAATATAAAGGTAGAATCGGAGCCTAACCCATATGGATAATGGTTATGCAAGAATGGCGTTTTATTTCCCTTTTACCCACACTTTTTACTATGTTGTATTCTGGATTGAATTGAGTTTTGCTTCGTAGACCATGGCAACGGTACGCACGATCCCCTTTCTGGCTTCTGGTGATACATGTAAACGATGATCGGATATGAAGTTGTCTGTAGCTGTTTCTATGTCATCGCCCTTCCGAATGATGAACGATATGGTGATGCCTTCGGCAAGTTTGATATTGAAATGAAGAAGAGGTTGCTCTGTGGGTAAAATGGATGATGTAATAGGGGTAAGTGTTGTTGTAGATGTGGTGGAGGAGGGTGTTGCTGAAGGTGTTTGTTGTTCATCCAACAATGAAGATGATGACGATGATGATGGTTGCTCCCAAAATGGAACCGATAAAAGCTTTCCTGATCCCCATCCTCCTGCTGCTTGACGATTTGCAAATACTTCAGGTCGCTCTGTAGTAGGAACCTTTTTTGGCTTTGGTTGTTGCCCATTCTTGGTTGACGGTTGTTGCTGCCTCAGCCGTTGCTGTAGTATAGCCTCATCCGTAATAGGCTTATAGTTGGCGCCCTTTCTATGCAAGTTCCCTAGTCCTATTCCTCCGGGTTTGATGGGCGCTGTGGAATCTCCAAGTGAATGCCAAGCTGCAATGGGGTTGTCGGCAGTGTCGTTGTGTTGATCTCGCCAATCGGTAACATTCAAAGGGGAGTAGTTGTTGCCATGGTCGCTTTCACTGAACTGATCGAACATTGAATAGCTGAGAATTGTGTAGTAGTTGACAACGGTTGCCACGCTGGCCACGAATACCGTGTGTAAAAGAAATGATGATTGATTGTATCCGATTCTCAGACAAAAGGAGGCATCTTGTCAACACCCCCCAATACACCTACACGTGTGTGTGACATGCACATCATTGTTCCCAGCATCTTTGACCTTGTATCATCACGTGACCCTTGCAAGAGATGAACCGGGCATGGTAGTAAATTTTGGTAGTACCAATATTACAAGAATGAGAGGAACGCAAAGCAAGATGACGACATAGCAAACCGGCTGTAACAAGGATAGTTGTCACAACAAGCGGCAGACAAGGGGGAGGGATCATATAGGAATCATCTTGTAATAATAAAAAGTGAGGAACAAGAGTAGGAGAAGCATTCTACTATCAAGTACATGTGGATCTCGGGAATAAGCACAGACTCTGGTAGTCATCGGAAACGGCACATAACATATAAAAGGTGCTTCTCAATAAAGTTTCGGAGTCAATTAGCTTATGCGTGGTGCATAGTTTTCAAAGCTGCCTATTATTACTTCATAAGAGTCTCTTGTTCAACGTTAATATCCTTTCTCTCTCTCTCTCTCTCTCTCATATCTCTCTCTCTCTTTTCTATTTTTCTCTTTTGCTTATTACAATCCTTCACATTTCATCGGCTATTCAGGTCCTCTTTCCCGTTTCCTTAAGTCGTTACCAAGCAACATTTTATGCTCGTTGCAACATCCACCAACAACAATATCGATTCTACTGCTATGACCTCAACCTTACTCCCGACAAGCAACTCCCACTCAAAGTACACGCCTACGCACGACTTTCAAAGCATGCTGACAACACCTGTTACTACTCAGTCTACCCATTCGACAGCATCAGGTATATAGAAGGGGTTATTAGGGGTGCACTTGTAATGGCGTTTCGATGAACAAAAGGAGGGAGGGGGTGCCAATGAGTATGAATGCCAGGAACACTTAGAGTTTTTAATATAGAATGTCCACCTCCACCACTCGATCCATCACGCAACCACGATCCGTCAACATCGGCAGTGGGCACTGCTGACTCCTTGCCGCCTACTTATGCATCACTTCCACAAACAACAAAGCTTGAAGAAGAACCCAATCCTTTTGAGCAGAGCTTTTCATCATCATCTCGCGTTACCAGCAAAGACACATTGCGTCCTGTGTTACCACCTCTTGCATCAATTGATAGCCCAACCCGTGGTCTCAGCTTTCGAAAAGATGAATTGATTTGGGATTCGCTACGTACTGGTCCACTTTCTCCCTCGATGCTAACAGGACCTGCTGATGACAAAAGACCACCCCCAACGCCGATAAAAGGGACGACATCAGGTAGTTCCTTCTTGAGTTCTTCCTCCTCCTCCTCCTCTTCCTCCTCGTCATCATCATCTACCATTTCCTCCTCATCGTCTCCTTTGTCTCAGCACTCAGGTAAGAAAGAAGAAGAAGGGAATATGGGAGTTGATTCGTCATCGTTCATAATCCATCAGCTGGGGAAAGAAAAAGGGGGGAAAACTAAGGTTACTGATTCATCTTATTTTATTATAGCAACACCCCAGAAATCGAGCAGCCTTGCCAAATCTGATCCATCAGTGAACCGTGCACACGATTCATCACCGACGACAAGTGGACTAGGCAACATCGTCTCCTATCCAACGGAGGATACATCATCATCATCATCACCTCCACCATCATCATCATCTCCATCGAATGGTGTTGATAAGGCTCCTCCTCCTCCCACAACAACAACACCCTCGGCTGCTGCATGGTCATTTGTGAAACGAGCTGATTCAGCCCCAGACGCAGGATTCATTCAACAAAGACCCACATCCAAACGCCGTGCACAGTCCACCAACACTGACAACGAGGATGAAAAACGTAAAAGCTTTTTGGAGAGAAACCGACTAGGTAATGATGCCTTTTTGCTTTGTGGACAAAAGATCCCATTTATTGACAAAGTTGCTTGTATAGCTGCGTATAAATGTCGTCAACGCAAAAAGCAATGGATGCAGGATTTGCAAGCAAGAGTAGAATTCTTGACCACGGACAATGAGCAACTTCAAATGCAAACCACAGCCTTACGTGAACAGCTCATTGATCTCAAGACGATGCTGCTCGAACACAAGTCTTGCCCCGTCAATACACAAGCTGTCATTGAAGCTGTCAACCGACCGATTCCTGGAATGATACCACGATCACAATATCGAGCTACCATTACCCCCAGCAACTCTCGTTATTCTCCTTATCCTTCTCGTGCTCCTACTACTACTGCTGGTGCTGTAACGGGGAGTAGCCATCGCCCTTACCATCCTCACACGCATTCCCTGTGAAGAAACCAACAACAATCACCCTCTCTATACATCTTACTCCTTTCTAATCATCAAGATGAATTGTATCTAAATTTTCCTCTCCCCCCCCCACACACACACCACCACCTTCCCATGTTTCTTCTTTTTGCTTCTGGCATATTCTTTTTTGCTTTTAATATATGCACCATCATGCGCCTATATCGGTCATGCAACCTTGTGAATCAAATGTAATGGTCATTGTGTTGATTAATAGTGTTCATTGTTATCATGCTTCCATTATGATCGTCATCATGTTGTTCGATGAGTCACATACACACATTCCCTTTGATGTTCGTAGCTTCCTCTTCTTGAGATGCGTCTTCAAAATGTGGTCTTAGTGACATAGTCTACTACCACTACCACCACCCAAAAGCTGAAGTTGATATGATGGATGGCATCAAGCTTACTAGCGTTTCGAGATAGAAGGATCCTTCCCCTATCGTAGAGAATAAAGCTGTGTTCTACTACTTGCATCCATTACCTTTTATCCTTCGTCAACAGCATACTTCTCAGCACTTTTGTTAAAGCATGAGAACAACGTTGATATGGTTTTATATATAAGATGTCACGAAGCTGCAAGCTTCTGTGAACGTAAATATCTCAAACGTCAACAATGGGCAATATGCATGAAACATTTACCACGTTGCACATGCATGAAACTGGACGGCGTTGTCATGTGACGCGAAACATTTCTTTCCATCCTTCTCATCCAAGCACCCCACACACACGCTCTTTTCTCGGATGATACTACCGCTTGCCTTGCTCTCCTTGATACCCCTTATCCTCCCTTTAGCCGTCGTCTCTGCAGGTAAGCCCTTCAAGAACACATCGACAACATGCTCAATTCCATATTGTCATTTAGAGCCTGTTTATTACAAGCCAGGTATACAGTAACTACAATGGTGGTCTACATGGTACTCATTACGTATTCCGTTGACGATTGAACTCCATATACAGTGGTCCTTTGGCATGGCATGGGCGATGACTGCTGCAACCCACAATCCATGGGCAGGGTTACGGAGCTTATTCAAAAGGTCTTACCAGGAGTATTCGTACACAGCGTGCAAGTGGGCGAGACTCGTCAAGATGATCATGAAGCTGGTTTTTTCGGTCGAGTGAACGATCAAGTATGTATCAAGAAAGAGAGAGAGAAAGAAAAAAGAGGGAGGATAAGGATCTGACTATAGCAACTAGGTGGAACAAGTCTGCGAGCAGCTTGCAGGAATACCTGAATTAGCCGATGGTTTCAATGCTATTGGATTTTCGCAAGTAAGGAGTAGTAAAGGCAAGGGGAAATCATAGTGGATGGTCTAGACACTCAACGCTTTTCATGCGTCTTTTTCAAGGGAGGGCTGTTTCTTAGGTAAGGAGGAGTGTGTTGGTTTACATGGATTGAAAGCACGAAGACAAGCCATTACTAAACAGCCATTTTTCACCTTATCACCATCTAGGGCTTATGTTCAGCGTTGCAATCGACCAGCAGTGCACCGATTAATCACCTTTGGATCACCGCATGGCGGTAAGCATCGGATTTTATTAGGGAGGAGGGATAATCAGGGGTGGGTGATTTGATGAAGCTGACCTCTTGGCTTGGCGACGTTATGTAGGTGTTGCTGTAAGTAAGATCTGGACCTTTATTATCTGTGTAGGAGCCCTATTGAATGATTGCATCTGCATAGGATATCCCGAATTGCATGAACCCAGTGGATTTAACATGCCGTCTTATGCGTTCAGCCGTTCGCTTTGGGGTGTATACTGATTATGTGCAACATCGAGTCGTACAGGCTCAATATTACAAGGATCCCAGGAATTTGCAAGGTTTGTTAAATGATGTGATTGGAGGGGAGGAGACACTCAAACAATGCGGAACGGGAATGTAATAACATTATCCAATGAACAATTTTATAGGCTATTTGGATCATAATGTCTTTTTACCTGATATCAACAATGAATTGGGGGTCAAAAATGAGACTTATCGCGACAATCTGAGCCAATTGGACTATTTCATTATGGTGCGCTTTGCTGATGACTCTATGGTGAAACCATCCGAGACAGCAGTAAGAAAGAGGATTTTTTCTACTTTTCGTATTATGGAATGATCACAACTAACACGCAACGTTAGTGGTTCTGGGCATATGATGAGAACGAAGATTTGATACCATTGGATAAGCAAGACATGTTTCGTGAAGATTGGCTTGGCCTACAAAGATTAGGGGCTCGACTTCGATTTTTAGTGAGTCCAGGCCAACATGTAAGTGGAGTAGTGTGGGTGAATGTCCCTGTGTGAGTTTCTTGGCAGTAACAATGATTGTTCTTGGATCGACCCTACAGATGGAGATTAGCGACGACTTTTTGGAGAATGAGATCATCCATCCTTATCTTGCTTCCCCAGAAACAAGTGCTAAACATGCGTCAATCCCTGCGATATCCGCCCCACGTTTCATCAGCCAACCATGAGATATTGTGTACACCTGCCATGTCAAGGAACACACTCCGAATATGAACCGAGAATACGTGTCGATCCCATCAACCCCCGATCCTCATTTAGCACGATTTGCTTAGCATCCATCCAAATATCACCCACCGCTTTGCTTGTTTGTGTTTGAGACATTAAAGCCCCATCAGCAAATATACAGCATGCAAACCACAAAAGTGTAAGCGTAAAAGAGTTTAAGATGTGTACTTGTCACTTTCAAGATCGATGATGCAAGGAATCATGTGGTTTTTGCTATGTATAGAACTTGTTATTTTTAACATGAGGCATGGCTTGAAATGTCATAAGTCATTGGAAATGAGAACACAGGGATGGATGGGGACGATGGAATAATACCTGTGGCTGTTCCTTGTACTGGAACCAATAGCGGCATTTACAGTCAAGAGCGTTAGATCCATTTGATAGTGGGGATAAAAGACAGCTACTAAAGATTGAGATGATCACAAAATGATGTTGATGACGATGGCTACGGCGTTCGTTAGTTTCCATCAACGTTACGTTATCCGTTGTTTGCGGCTGTGTAGGCTTTTTCATCAGTCAAAAACACTAGTGGCCAATAAAATGAACCAGTTTAAGAATGTGGATATGATTGTTTACTGAAGGCGATCTCTGTTTTGGTACGATGATGCACGTAGATTCTGGCCAAGAGTAATAGGATGCAATGCGATGCCCAAAAGCGCCAAGACGTGCAGTGTGTTTTTCTAATTTCTCTTTAAAGTATGGAAGAAACCATGGATGATATGCAAAATATCAACACAGACCATTAGTGGCTACAAGGCAAGCCAACGACCGCTTTTGTGTTACCATTTGCGTCGATCTAGCTCCTGCCAATTTTGGATCAACACCCCCCATTCGCTTGGCATATAAATGGACCTTCTTCGATCCTCCTCCGCTCCCGCTTTTCTCTTTTGATCAACATTTTTTCTCTTCTTCACTTTTTTTCATTGCGAATGAACCCAATTCTTTTGCTCATTGTCATATCTTTGTCAATGGCCAGCGGTTTGCCTACACCGATTGGATCACCAATATCACAATTATCACAAGACGAATCTTCAAGCAGCACAAACAAAATCACGAGCACCACCAGCAGCAGCAGTACAACGGTACCTACTACCGATGCGGTTGATGTTGACGATTCAACACTTGAAGACGACGATCCAATTATGAATTCATCACCTCATGTTCAAATTGATCGATTTGCACAGCTGGTTGCTACGCATTGGCAATATGATCATTTGGAATCCATTAAAACGAGCAGCTACGATACCATTGCAAAGCAGATGCGTGAGCACGTGGAAATTATGATCCAGCCTTCATCATCAGCAAGTGACGATGACATTACTACAGCAGCTGAAACGGCGATGCCTGACGATGCAATGGATGTGGATATCCTCAAAGCTCAAATCTTTGGAGCAATTCAAGCACACATCGGTGGTGATCTTCCATTGGCATGGGATGAATTGGGTGACCAATTGAGCCAACCAGCAATCGAATCGTATGTACGAAGCCTCGTGTTAAAGCATTGTCCCCAAACAGGCGACCATGTTGACCATACTTGTCTCGGTGAACATGGCGAGCAGATCTTGAGCGATTTGGATGACTACGTAGCCAAGAACGTTGCTGACATCTTTGGTACCCTGAATCGTGTCTTTGTGCCTGATCTCTTAACGCATACGGAAAAAGATCTGCGTCAAGTCCTTGATTACTTTAATACAGCCTTTTTCCACCATCAGTCGAATGATCAAGATCAAGACGGCATGCAACTCACTCTCCGTGTCCTTCCTTGGAAACATGCAGGGCAAAACAAGATGGCTGCGTTTTTCTCATCTCCATCCAATGCCGATTCATCCGATCATCACTCACACAGTATTAACCAATACGCTGATTTGGCTCTTGTTTGATCAACGTTATCACCACCATTCCATCATCTTTTGTATATATGAGCATTCGCCACCCAACCTTCATTCCCCGAGCATTTTTAGAAACATTTTGCTTTGACTCAAATTCATCCACCTGCTCCTCTTTTCGATTTTTTTGTTCTCGCTCACCCACCACCCCTCCCCCTTTCCTCCCTCACGTTTCTCGCAACCACACTCCTTTACATATCAACTCATTCCTCCTTCCACCACCATTACTGGACCCGCGTTTCTCCCTTTCAAAATCCAGTTGTAGCCCCTTTTGATACTACCTGTCATCATCAAAAGTGGGCAACATGTATTCCCGTTTTCCCTTGCATGTGTGCATTTTACATGTGCTCTCTTGTATTTCACCCATTTGTCAAGCTAATCTGCTTTTTAGGCAGAGTTGTTTGCTTGTATGTATATATAAACGACAATAAAGCAAAATGCATCATACCCATCAATTCAACCACAAAAATATCCACGTGTGTATGTATCATGCAGCTGTGTATGTGTTCCGCTTGCAGTAATGTTTTTTGCCTTTATCGTGAATAATGACAAAACCCAAAAAGAAAAGGGGGGAAAGCAGAGCAAAGGGGGGAATGGCTCTTTTTTACCAATTTCAAACAATGCGACATGTGCTGCATACCACTGCATATACTCAAGTGATTGCAGTAGCAGCATAAGGAAGCCAACAATGCCAATGATGATGGTTTAAAAACATCAATGAAATCAATGCAATAGGATAATGTACACAACTTGGATCATGCTGGCGAGTGGGATAATGGGGAAAAGAGAACAATGAGCTAAGAGTCTACCGTCTACTACTACTAATTTTCCATTGCTCTGATATAGTTGGCTTGGGTTCACCACCACCACCGCCACCACCACCAAATGGAGGTGTTGCACCACCAACAATAGCACTTCGACGCCGCCGTTGGTAATATTCTTGAACAGCATGTTGTTGTTGCTGATAATGGTACATGAGCCTGCTCCTGGAAGACGATGACGACGACTGGTCCAAGGTTGTATGATCCATGTCGTTGCTAACTTGATGCTGTTGTGATGGTAAAAATATCATGGATTGACGTCGCTTATCTTTATGGTTGACCAGTGGTGTGGATGTTGTTGTTGTGTTGGTGCTGATATTCAAGTTTTGAATACTTGAGCTACGTGATGACAACAAGGGTTGATTACGATGATGCTGCTGGAGTGGTGAAACGACAGGTCCTTTTGAAGACGTTTGACTTGATGATCCAGGATGAGGAGAAGTGCATGAAGGCGTAGGTCGGGGTTGGCATGGAGATTCGTGTTGCTGTGGCTGCTCACTTGTGGATGGGGATCTCTTGTTTGGTCGCAGCAAAAACATGCTTGCCTTTTTCACCAATGTATCCATGGTCTGCGAACGAGGTCTGAAACTACGTTGTTGTTGTTGCTGCTGTTGATGCTGTGGATGATGATGGGATAAAGAAGGTGATCCATTCTCCTTGGTAACCATAGTTGTTGTCGAAGATGGTTCTAAAGGGGCTGATGATGGTATTACTTTGCTGTCATCCAATGGTGTGATCTTTTGTGCTGTTGCCGCCTTTTGTGATGTATCAGGAATGTAATCCATCGCATGTTGTTGTTGTTCCCACGTATCAGGTGAAGGAATTGATGACATTGCGTCGCTACTACTACTATCATCATCATCTTGTACAGCTTCAAGGCACGCTAATTCCTCCTCTATAGCTCGCACCATATCCTATACATCAAAGACATTAATAACCTCCATCCACCTCAACATCACTTGACAATGAGAATACTTGCATTGATACCGAGAATGAGTGCGTCAGCCTTTTTACGACCATACAATACTTGTGATGCTGCCTTTTTGTATGTTTCCTGCATAAAAGCATTGATACCACGTTCAAAAAGAGTATCGAAAATCATGTGATTGTACCTCAGCTGTGACGCATGGATCCACAGTTGCTATGCTTTCAGGTCCTTCCGGAGTCGTCGTTGCTGCTTTGAGTTGCTCAATTTCTTTGGATAGCTCGAGAATGAGTTCGGCATCGTGATCCACCCTTTGTACATGCGCTTTCTTCATGGCTTCCATTTCAGCATTGAGACAACGAATTTGGCCTTTTTATTATTGCATTGCACCTTGTCAGTTGGGTCGGCTACATGTTTCTTCAAGCATTGCTATTACCTTGGAGTTGTTCTTGAGTTTCACGATATGATTGGACCTTGGCCTGCCATTCGGATAAGGCTTGCTTCATTGTTGCATTTTCCGCCTTTTTACATTCTTTGTATGTGAGCGAGTGATTGTTTGAGGAATCATTGGATGGATGCTGACCTCTTTTTGTGCTAAACAGCTTCGTACGCGTGCAAGTTCATGCTGATCTAATTCAGGAGGTGGTGGCGGAGAGTAGTAATGATGTCGTGGTATCCCAGTGACATGTGGCGATGCATATCGGTCATAGAGTGAGGATCGTGTTGAGCTACTGCGTATGCTGGTTGGTGTTGGAGGAATACTCATATCATTCAATGACAAAGAAAGATAAAAGATGAAAAGAGAAATGCCAAAATTGATCTCAATGTTTGTGGATGCTTTGTTTTCACCCTTTCAAATATGGAAAGAAGCACGCCCTTCCCCAACCCCACATAACTCAATCACCCGCCTATCTTCTTTGGCAATGCTTATATGCTTTTTATAACGTAATGGGATGATCAAATATCACTGCTAGTATACACGATAGAGAATAATACACAAAGAACAGAAACTTGTACACGAAAAGAATTGTAGTTGGTGCAAGGATGAGGAATGATGGTGATGAATAAAGACTCCATGACGAGTATCCATTCTTTTGATGACGCATGATGTCGCCTGATTCGATGAAAAGTATCATGATGATCATTATGGATCGCTTTTGCTGACAAGAGAAGCGTTGTAATTTTGGCCATCATTGTTGTCCCAATACTCGTGGCCATTAACAAGGTAACGCAAAGCCAATTGTAGTTGCTGATGGTCCTCGCCTACTGCGTTGTGCCATACAAAAGAAAATGAGAAGCGATCTTTACTATGATTGCTGCCGTTGCAGGGTCCTTGATAAACAGCATCCGTATCGATAAACGTTCTCCAATTGTCAAATGTGTAGCGTACAATAACATGTTTTTCAAATGCAAAGTTGACCACACAGCATTGCCCTGTTACTAAGGGATGCTGTTGGTTAGGTTGCACAGAAAAGTATTCGAGCTTCACTGCCGCCTTATCATTTGCATGTGCATTGGCCGTGGGCAACACCAAGCCACTATTAAAAGATCCCTTATGATCATTGAGTTGCTGGCACCATGGTGATGTTGTTTCGGTGGTGGGTGCTTCCCATTGATAGAAAAACCGTACATGCTCAATTGTATCGCTGAAGCGCACGGTCTTCTTTTTCTTGATTGATTTTGCGGATGATGGTGATGATGGCGTTGTTTGTGGTGGTTTAACGTATCTTGCATTCTTTACAAGGGACACACGCTTGTTGTTCTTATGGGATACCGCTGAAGTTGTGGTACGTAAAGCATTACAATAGTAGCGACTTGCTGGTACGGCACCGAAAACATGATGATGATGGTAGTGTGAAGCGGCAACAAGTGTCATCAACAACCGAGAAATGTGCCAAAAGGCCGAGAATCAAGAGCGAAAGAAAGGGAACAAGATGAGGGGTGAGCAAGGTGTCGTATGACTTTAACATGTACAATTTCCAGCGTACACCAGAAAATACAGCAATCCCACCGAGCTGGAAATCGATGGGAAACAACATTCTATCCTGGCACCCAGGCTTCACTCCCATCTATAAAAGCACCTTAAAGATCGCTCTTGGATGTCTATTGCTGTGCTATTCCCACACACATACAACATTTAGCGGCACTAACCATGGTCGGTGGGTAACAGCTGACTGTGCACACACCAACAAGCATTATTGATAAATGAGCCTGTGCTCCGTATTCGGTAACCATACCTGGGGAAAGAGTGCTTGCGTACAAGAGCCAAACGTTACACCCACACAACAACAAACAAAAGCAGCGTCAATATATGTTTTCATCTCCACACACACACACACAGCCCTTTGTTTATAGCATTTCATTGTTTGTGCTCCTCGATTTCCCTCTTTGGCATGTCACAAATGAAACCTTTACTTACGACATGTTTGGATTGTTGAATGTGATGGTTGCCATCGTTACTCATACAATCAATCACAAAAGATCAGAAAACACAAAGCCGGGAAGATGCGGTGTGTGAGGAAGGTACAAGGTACTACATGACCCCTTGCCCGTTTTATTGGGCGTGAGTACATTTTTTGATATAAACATCGTCTTTTGTTTGTGGTCATGATCAAAGCGATCTTTTAAGACTTGGCTTATCACGCACGCACTGTTGCTTTACCCAAGGAATCACATATGCTGTGCAACAGCGCTTGGTCATAATCTCAAGACGTCTTCTTTTTGAAGATGCCTGTATGTGTGTATATTGCAAGCTATATACGGATGTCACAAAAATCATAAGATGTCAATAAAATACATATACAAGAGCGGGGGGTGGTTGTCAATGAAGAGTCAAAGTGAAAGGATAATACAGCATGGTAAAGAGGAAGATGAGTATACTACAAGTGATGATGGCTCCGTATGCGATCAAACGCCTTTGTTGTATTTAGCCTGGTGAGGATCGTCAAGATCGTTAGCATAGGCCGATCGCTTGGTACCACGTTTCTTGATGACCAGCATCTCTATGTATGCATTTAATCATTATTGGATGCATCACCAGATGCCATAATAATATTACGTACCTTGTGGTTTCGATTTGGCATTGACATGATAAGGTTGAATCAATGATGCTGCTGATGGAGGTTTACCACGTCTTTTCCTGTATCGCTCCAAAGGCCGTCCTTCAGCAGCAGCAGCCTTGAGAAGGATCATTGGCAAGATACGACGACGTGCATTGATAAACCAATTGCTAATTTGGTTGAGCGTAAGCCCTGTTCGCCTTTGCAACCAATTTTTTTCATCTTCAGTTGGGTATGGATTGGAGCAATGTTCCATCAACCATTGCTTGAGGATGGCCGTAACAGGCTTTGGAAGGTTGCCTCTACGTCTTCGCACCACGCCGTCAAAGATCGATTTGCCTGTATCAAATTGGCTGAGCTCACGAGATGGCTTTTGTCTTGTAAAGTCGCAATAATAGGGAGGGGTGATTGTTGTCATGTTGTATCGCTCGCCGCTGTAATGGTGAGAGTCTTCTTCACCGCTGCTGCTACCACTGATGCTGCTGCTGCTATCCTCAGCTTGTACTTCAGATGAAGAAAAAAAGATTGGTGGTGATCTCATGCTTTGTGGTCGTTGTTGCTGTGTAGATAATGAAGGGGATAACAATGGCGGTAACGAGGTCAAATGATCGTGCTGGTGATGATGCTGGTTCATTGTTTGATTTTTGTTGTTTCCAAATGATGGGTGGTGCTGATTGCTATTAGGCGAGCTCTCACGATTGTTACGCATGACATTATTCCAAAGTCTGCCATTGATCTCAAGCATTTCATTGATCTTGCTTCTTTTTTGCTCAATGAGTGGGCTGTAATATGGATCACCACAAGGTATATGCATCCTTTCGGTGCTGGATGGTGATGCAGGATATGAATAATCATGGAAAAGGATCACTGGACTGAATTCACGTGTCTTTAAAAAAAGATGATCTATGTTAGGTGCCATCAAGAAGGACCTGATGTAGGTAAAGCGTAATGTACCTGCATTTTGTTACTGCTGGGTGTGGCGGGCGAAATGGGTGGATGATGCAAATGGCCGGCACCTGCATGCATGGAGGAAACGACACTATGCAATGGTGGTAGTTGAATGTTTTGTTGGCAGGATTCAATCATGAAGATGATATGTGATGGATAGAGGGAAAAGAGAATGACGACTAATGACTGGGCCAAAGGATGCTGTAGATAAGTGAGCTGGGTTTTTATATATGCGATTTGACAAGAGATCAGCGTATGATGTTACACCCCAGGTTCTTTTTCCAACAACTATTCCATGCTTTGTTCATTGTAACATGTATGCATTCAACTTTTCTTTATTCATCTCAGCCTCCTCATTTTGCTCTGACACTCGGGATTTGTCGGGGAGATGGGCGCTGTGATTCGTACACACATCACATCACTTGGTCAAGTCTCATTCTTTTGCACAAGGAAAGGCGCCTTTTCCTCTTCAGGATGGCAAGATCTTGGCCTTGTGTGCATTATTTCATTTCCCTTCGTCATCCACCAACCCTGTCTATGAGCCTATCATTCATTTTAATGGAGAAACGAAAAGTATAAATGATCACATTTTATCCTACATAATGTTGTGTGGGGATTACCCATCATGTTGTATGCAAACTCTTACGTTAAGGGCGTACATAGGTATAACGTTGTTATGTCTCTTTCATTCTGTATAAATGACATCCATCCTTGATTAATGCACCGGGATCAACAATGCATCAAAAGTCAAAGACACACATGTCGGATCGACACATTTGAGTGGGGAGCCCCAAAAGAGTCAACCATGGTGTACAAGGAACCATGTGTGCGTGCGTGTATGTGTACGTAAAGTAGAAATGGAACCTTCCTCCACACCCTGCTTTGTCTCAACATCTGTTTCTTGATTTATGATGGCAAGTGGTAGGAGTAGAATGATGCTGTTGCTGCTATGGTTGGTAAGATCATGTGAGGTATTGGACCATTTTCAGCTGGTGCATTTCACTTTACCAACAACAGCATGATATGACTTTGATATGCAGCCAATTCTTAAAGCTGAGCGTAAACATGGCGAGTTTTCTTTCTTTATTGCCAAGAATAACAACAACAACAACGTATGCATTGTTGCTAGCAATAGTACACAATTCGTATGCACGTATACACGCGGCAATTTGCCGACAAGGGAAAATAGATCGTTAGCATCTGCCGGTGATCTTTATCAGCTCCCAAACGGGGGTTTGAAGAAGGAAAAATTGATAAACAGGAGGCTGTCATGCATATCTCTTTCTTCTCTAAATTGAGATCCGCGCATGGTTTGTACAACCAACAGCAATAATCACACGCACAAAGAGCACGCGAGTCAAAGTTCACACACCCGACAACGACGATAGCCACATGGCAAAATCCATTCTTATCATCATCGTCATCATCATCATCATCTATGATTTTATGTCGTTTGCTCTATCTTTCAAACTTTTCAGGAGAAGATTGCCCTAGCCCATATCCAACCCCGTCATCCCTTTAAGATTCCCACCCCACACTGACGATAATAAAATGTGTGACAACAACCCATCACCGCAGCAACAACAACACATCATGATCCGCAGTAATAACATCCTTGTACCACGCCACGATCATCAATAACAACAAAACCACTGCGCCACAACCCTCATCCAAACTATATAATGCACTTTAGTTGTTGATAAAACGAATGAGTTGTTCATAAAATCATCTCTTTGTATTTCTATCCAATGTTGTCAAGTGTCAATCATCAGCCCCAATTTGAATCAATCACCATGGCACGCGACGTCCCAATCATCTCTCAGCTTGGCGCCAACAAGAGTTGCTGTAAAACGCCCAAGAATGGATCAAGAGCTGAAGGCTGTAACCGTTGCTATAGCTGCTGGAGTTGTGGTGAAGAAGGAACGAGTGGCAGGCGACGTGGATGGCGTGGAGGTGGTGGTATCACGTCTCATGTTTCAATATTTGGACCTGACAATCCACATGAGTCGGCAGGCAGTGCATGACCTTGTGTCAGCATTGAATGACAACCAGCAATCGATTATTATCACAGCCAACATCGATGTTCATAGTACACATGTCGACTTTTCACAACACGGACGGCGGATTTTATACACTCCTAATGCAGGTGGACCAAGTATCATGAGTGAAGCATTGTCAGCCGAGATAATGGATCGCATCTTGGGCATACGTCGCTTATTCACGGAATGCGAGGTTCAATACAACAAAGCAAAGCCGAAAGCCATGACTGATTATGCTTGTCATTTATCGCTCAAAGGTGGTGGTGGCCTTGGTGTATCTGTCACTCGCGCAATGGTTCATCGTGGGCGACTCACTTCTAAAGCTGCAAGGCGACTTGTTACCAAGAAAGCCAAAGGCATACTCAAATCCACTGATGCAGTCCTCAATTGCTCATTCCAACGACAAGTGCTTCATATATGGGTACCAAATGGTAGTGACTCGGCTATTGTAAGGCGAGCATGCTCAAAGCTTTCCCCCTCTCTCAAAAGCAACACCATTTTCCTCATCACCACCGTCAACATGTCGAACGTCTTTAGTGCTTGAATCATCATTGTTGTGCCATAATAAAACATTCCTCTACTCTTGCTCTTCTTCTTCTACATCAGGTGCAGCATTGATGATCGGTTTGGCTCCTTTGGGTAATGCAGCTGTCTTTTTCTGGGCGGCCTGCTTCCTCCGTACAGCAGCAGGAACAAAACCAAGAAGCTCTTTTTGTAAATCACGTAGTTGAGGTTCAGCAGAGATTGTCGCAGCAGCAATTTGTTCACGCGTAGGCTTGGGAGCTTCAACTTGATTTGATACAGGAGCAGCATTCGTTGTTGTTGTTGTTGTTGTTGGAGGTTGATATATATGAGGTGGTTGTGTGTACATTGGAGGCCGTTGGGTAAAGGGTGGTCCTGAATTATAATGAACATCAATACCAATTCATCCATTAGCAACATGTTTATAAACTTACTTGGTGGTGGAGGTGGTGGAACACGCATAGCATGTGCTGGAGGTCGTCCTGGAGGTGGTGGTGGAGGAACCATCATACCATATCCACCAGGCATAGGCATTCCATGAAATTGAGGTGCAAAATGGAGTGGTCGTGGAGGTGGTGGAGGTGGTGGTCGCATTTGTGCTGCTTGTATAGGTGCAAGTTGTGTCTGAAATGGTTTTGGTGGAGGTGGTCCCTCTGGTAAAGGAATATCATCATCATCATCATCCTCTTCTTCGTCAACATCGTTGTCTTGTTTTGATGGATCAGCTGCGTTGGCTTCTTTTGGTGGTGGTGGTGGTGGTGGTCCTTCTGGAAGTGGAATATCTTCATCCTCATTCATAACGTCCTTGTCATCTTCTTTGTTGTCCAAGTCCTCAGTATCACTGATGTCAGAATCACTCATGTCGCTATCCGAGTCCGTTTCAGAAGATGAAGTGGATGACGATGATGATGAGCTGTCGCCATCAGATCGACGCGTTTTGCTGGATCCTGCTTTGGCACCCGTATCTAATCCATAGATATGTAAACACCCATTACCCTTTTTCATCCACAACATCATCCTTTACCTTTCACCTTGACAGCTACAAAGCTATTGGTCTTTGGATCATACACCATCTTCCTGTTTTCACGCTGCTCACGCTCCTGTTGTTGACGTTGCCTTTCAAGGAATGCTGCTTGTGCCCTATCGATAAACACATTTCAGTCCAACGTATCTCACAATTGCAATGATCATGCTAGGTATCCTTTACCCTGACAACTGAGGTTCCCGAGTCTACGACAAGAAAACAACATGTTAGCAATGATATCGATATGCCATCTTTCATCCATCCCATTACCTTTTTAGCCTTCTCTATACGTTCCAAGTCGGCCTTTAATTGTGTCAATCGAGCTTGGGCATTCTTATCCAATCCAGTATGTCGAGCTATGTTGACAACGTGTGAGAATAGCATCGATCATTTAACACTTGTTGACTTACCTTGGTTCTCCAGACGTTGTATCTCTCCTTTTATGGGATTCGTGTTCTTTTTAGCAAGTGCACTCTGCCGTGCTTCTCGACGTTGCTCTTTGTTCTGTTGCATGTGTGAGTTTATGGTCGATCGTTGCTACATGAGGTTGACACGAGTTCTCACCTTTTTGAGCTCCCGTTTACGTTGGGCCTTGCCTATTCCAAACTATACGATTAGCAACGTAGATTCCAAGTAGATCGGCAACTCCAACGACTCACGTAACGCATCAGCTGGATTGATGGCTCTTTTTGACTTTGGCATAACGAGAAAGAAACAAGTGAAAGCGGAGAGAAATGAAGCCACTGCTGCTCAATGCAAGAAATTGCCACTGCCACCCCCACCATCTCCACCCACTCTCTTCATACATAACCAGTCATCATTGTCTATATAGTTTACGCCAACTTGTTATCTAACCTTGTTCAATGAATAATGATTTATTAGTAATACATTATCATTTACGATTACACAGGAAGGGAAAAAGGAGTTGCTTGTTGATCATTGTTGTTGGTGGTTAGAGAACGAAAAAAAACAGGGGCTGATAGGAGGACTTTGACTTTTGGTGCCGGTGTGCTTGTGTGTGCGTGTGTAAGGGATACCAGCCTGCATTGAGGATCATATGTACATTTATGCAATATGGAGGCGATTTACGTGAAAGTATACACTGACGTTTTTATTTGCAGCACAAAGAAAAAAGAATAAGCAAAAAGTAATGTGATTGTGATGAAAAAAGACTAGTAACAATGACCCTTTTCACAAGCTTTATGGCGCCATTGTTCAATCAACAAACGAAGTTGATCAATTTGGTGTTGCACCTGTGCCCGGGATTGTGTTCGTGTGTCCTCAAGGTAATGAGCAATGTTTTCCAAAGCACGGTCGACTTGAGACTTGGTAAGAGCCTTTTCATCATTGAACACCTTGCTAAGATAACGTTGCACCCATTCAATTTGGGCTTCGGTGTAACCCATTCGACGATAAAACTCTCGCTCTTGATCGTACCAAAAATCGGAGAATTGCTTGTGCCAGCTATTGATGGTGTCAGTTGCTTCACCGTGAAGGGAGGATGCACTTGATGAAACTTCAGCTTCAATAGATGCCTTGGAACGAGCAGCAGCGGATGCAGATCCCTTCCAATCAGCTGCAACAGAGCTGACAGCAGAGCGAATGGTGTCGTATGCCGAGTCCTTTGCATTATGCATATCCTTCTCATAAAACTCGCGATGGCCACCAAGGACCGTTGGCAGGTAAGCTCGCACATGACCATCGATGTAATTGATCCAGTCATAAACACGATCCATTGTGTATGAACCAGTATCCTTGATCTTACGACCCATGTCATCGGCCCATTCTTGTGCATTCGAATACTTGTCACCAAGATAATCCATAGCAAACACCTTGTAAGCAGTAACGTCGTCTTGTAATTGATCCATCACAAGCTTGATTTGGTCCTTTCTCAAATCACCCTTCTTTTGGAGCTCATGCTTCAAATGATGATAAAAACGCTTGTTGCCCAAGTTGGATACATCGGTGGTTGATACAAGGGAGTTTCTCAAGTTTGCAATGACATCATTTGCCTGTTTCTCGGTCAAACTTGCCGACGTGACAAGACGATCGTGCACACCTCGCAACCAACGATTCAATGAGCTAGAGGCCTCATCGGTCTTACGGCTGATCACACGTTGATACCAAGCTTGGCGTTGTTCAAAGGATGAAAGCACGTCATTGTAAATATCATTCCATTGGCCTTCTGTAACAATCTTCTTTTGGACAGCTTCACGATGCATGCGATCGAGTGTTTCGGCAACACGATCTCGTGATAATTCACCTTGCAATTCAAGTCGGCGTAAACGATGTTGGATACCCTCAATCACATTGGCAATGTTGTTTTCAGAAAGCTGTCGCTGTTGCTCCAATTTGTTCTTGAGACCATCAACAACATGATCAACTTTGGTACCAAAGATTTCGGCATTCGTAGCAGCAGCATCCTTGTAGTACTTTACAGTATCGGCCACAGATTGGCTCACGCTCTTGTGTTTGGGATGACGCGTAATTCCATACTTGTCCATAAAGCCATGCAGCTGCTCACTTGTCCAAGTGGAAATGTCATGGTTGCATCCAGCTAATTTCGCATGTCAGCACAATTATATTGAACTATGCATATTCCTTTATCCATTACCTCTTGCAGATACTCCAAGAATGAACACAACGGCACACAGGAGTGCAGTGGTAATCACGTACAAAGATCTTTGACGCATGGTTTGACAGGGAGAAGGAAAAGCAGGGAGAATAAGTAAAACAGGTGGGGGTAGAGAGGAAAAAGCAAGCAAGGGTTTATACCATCCTCTTATGTTATCTGCAGCTGCTGAAGTCACTATGATCCGATTTTCTACAATGACATTATGCAAACCATGTCATTGGCTAAAATCCCTGTGCGACAATGATGTGATGGAACCATGTAGAACACGGCGACACCAAACATACAACCGATAAAACATGGGTCTACTACAAACACGTCGAGCTGAGTTATGGTTGTCAATTTAAGAAAGGGGAAGTCCTTGTGAAACAAATCAACCTGTAGACGTGCAAAAGAAAAGGGAGAATGTATATATGTAAGTAGTGTGTGTTGTGGTGGTGGGGGGTATGTGAGAAAGAGTACTCGGGCCAAAGGGGATCCCTCACACTTAAGTAAGGGACACAGTATGCGATGAAAAATACTATGCTATCTCCCATTGGGTAAAGGGCTCGCCCCTATACCTCCCCTTCACGACTGGCTTGGTTTTGTCACAACCAAGAGAAAAGCGTAAAGGGGAAAGATATAAAAGAAAGCAGGAGAAAAAAGGATGTTGCCACCATTCTTTTGCGATTTTCATTGTTCACTGGCAATGAGCACCACGGAGACCATTGTTTATGCATACACCAAATCAGAGGCACGCAAACCGCCTTACGAAAGACAGCCTATGCCGTCTCTCTTTGATGAGCCGATAACATCTAAAAATTGGCACAACCACGTCAACTGGGTACATGTTGTTCTTCTCCTTGGTACTCCATTGATTGCAATCTATGGTGCTTTCACCACTGAGCTATGTTCACGTACATTATTGTGGGCCTTTGTTTACTATCATATAAGCGTTTTTGGAATCACAGCAGGTACGCCTCTCATTTTCTATAAGCGTGTCCCGCATTGGTATTAATATCAACAAAATCTTTGCTTTTCAGGTTACCACCGGTTATGGTCCCATCGTGCCTATCGAGCAGTGTTGGCTATGCGGTGGTTTTACTGCTTAGCTGGTAGCAGTGCTATTCAAGGCTCGATCTATTGGTGGTGCCGAGGACATCGCGCACATCATAGGTACACAAAATAGTGATGTGTATCGTTCATCCATATGCTTAACGTATAGTGTCTAGATGGACTGATACCGACAAGGATCCGTACAGCGCCCATAGAGGTCTCTTTTTCTCGCATCTTGGATGGATGTTGGTTAAGCGACCCAAAAGCCGTCTTGGTTTTGCCGACGTTGCCGACCTCAAAGCTGATCCTGTGGTAGCATTTCAACATCGATTATACCCATTATTTGCCCTTGCTATGGGCTTCCTTTTTCCTACACTAATCGCTGGTCTTGGCTGGGGAGATTTTAGAGTATGTAATTGTATTGCATGTTGCAGCATGTTTTCTGACAAGGTTTTTTTTGGCACATGATAGGGTGGTTTTTACTATGCTGCCGTATTTCGACTTGTGCTCGTTCATCATGCTACTTTTTGCGTAAACAGCCTCGCACATTATATGGGCGACGATACATACGACGATCATCACACTTCTCGCGATCATTGGTTTACTGCGGTCATCACCAATGGTGAAGGATATCACAACTTCCACCATGAATTTCCTCAAGATTACCGCAATGCTGTCATGTATTACCAATACGATCCCACCAAATGGCTTATCAAAGCATTGTCATTGTTCGGCCTTACATATGACCTTAAAACCTTCCCATCCAACGAGGTCAGCAAAGGAATGATACAAATGAAGGAAAAGAAGCTGGCATCCATGAAACGCAGGCTCGTGTATGGTACGAAGCTCGAAGACCTTCCCGTATACACATGGGATGAATGTAAGTCATCAAAAGTGGTGAGGGGACTCTTTAGTAAGGAGGATAGTAAGGAAATCTAACAATGAATTTAAACTATCAAGTCCAAGATTTGGTCCTAAATGGAAACAGGAAATGGATCCTTATTGAAGGGATCTTGTACGACATGGAAGGTTTCATCAAGGAGCATCCCGGTGGTGAGAAATACATCCAAGCTGGTTATGGCAAGGACATGACAACAGCTTTCAATGGTGGCGTTTACAACCATTCGAATGGTGCCCGTAACCTCCTAACGAGGATGCGTGTTGGTGTACTCAAACATGGTAACTATCATGCAACCTCTTATGTCATTGTTTTCCTTTGCTGATGTACGTATTTTGACCCTGTAGGCATGGAAGTCATGGCGCATCATCATTTGTAATAACCACCATCACCACCACCCTCCTGTTATTTTCTTGTTCTTAGTGTATAATGTGACCCACCATAATGCAATGTATGTGTCGTTTTAATCCCAAAGCGTAATTTCCCCTCGTGTTTCTTGATCATCATCATCATCATCATTCTCCTTATTATATCACTGTCGTGCGTTTATTTTACATAATATTGCAATTCTCCATATCTGGCATACCGCCTTCTCCTAATTTCATGCCGGGTGCGATTTCTTCCATCATGCTGGCAGGTGGCTGTCCGAGATCTTGCATCTATTTGCATGACACAATTCATTTAGTATACGTTCTCTGATCCTTCTATCCTCTTCCCTTTTATACCTTTTGCATCAAATCCATCAATTCCTTTGCCTTGGCTTCATTCTTGTCGTCAAAGTCGGGCGACTCATACTTGGCAACCACTTGCTTACATAGCTCGTGCTGTTTCTGGTATCGCTCATAGTCGGCAGCAGAAATCTTATCCTTATTATCCTCAAGCCAACTGGTATACTATAAAACAAGTGAGTGACAAGGAATTCTCTTTTCCCAATATGCCACTTACATTATCAGCCATGTGTTTCATAGGTTCGTACAAGAGTTCCTTGGACATGAGTTGTTGCATCATTCCTTCTAGCAGGTTTTCAAACTCGCCGCTATCCGCCATGCTTTCCAATTGCCGCATCATCTCTCCCATAAAGGCATCATCGCCACCTTCCATGCTGGGTGTACTAGCCTGAGTAATATAGAAGAATCCCATCAGTCATCTCAAACACCCTTCCCATTCTATCCCAAAGACTTACATCAATGTTCTTAGAACTCTCCTTGAGCTTGTTCATGGTTTGTGAAATGCTCTCTTGGAAAGATTTGGTCTCACCAGGTCGTGCATCACCACCGTTGCCACTGCTATTGGAAGCTCCTCCTGCTGCTGCTGCTGCACCTGCTGCACCTTCTCCCTTGCCTTGCTCGGTCTCAAACGAGCTCCAGATCTTTTCAAAGGTCTCTCTGGTCTCCTTGTCATTATCCATTTCTTGCATCCAGTCGCTCATGGCCGATGCCAGCTGCTTTGCAAACTCGTCTTCGTCCATTGAGAAGTCGTCCAGCGATTCTTTCTCGGAGGTCTTTCCTGCTGGTGGTTGGCCTGCTACTGTCTCCTTTTCTTTGGAAGCTGACGATGCTGGTTGCTGTGGTTTCTTGCTTTCAGAAGTTGACAATGTGTTAAAGTCGTCGAGAACATCTAGCATAGAGTCAGCCTTGTGTGCAAAGTCTATTTCCTTTTTCTTTTACCATCGAGTAAATCGTCTAGATCAGAGTCGTCTTCCTTTGTTTGTGTGGGTTGCTTTGAAGGATCCTGCTTGCTTGGGGTTGCCATAGTGGGTTGCTTTTTTGGGGGAACAAGATGCGGGGTAAAGAGATGAAAGATAAACGTTATTTTCACATGGCCTATTATACCAAGTCCAGTTATGGAATTGAGTCAGCACAAACCACAGGCACGGAGAAACAAAAAAAGTCATGTGCCTTGCCTCTTTGGATGCCATTGCCATAATCCATTACCAAGCTGTTTACGCGAAATAGAGTCATGGCCTAGAACGACACAATGTGGTCAATGGTCTCTTTCATCATGGCATCCTTATTAATATTTTAGAATGGCACGTTTGTTCTTACAATAAAAAGATGCGTTTTGGAGGTTTCTATCGGTTTATTCAACGTTGCAAGAAAACACTATGATTGATCTTGATGGATATTGACGTTGTTCAGCACCAGCTGGTCCAATTCATCCTGCTATATCCGTACAAAGGATAATAGAGACGTGATTTTATATATATAAAAGAGAGAAAGAGAGGTTTTGTAAATACAAGAGGAGAAAGAGAGAGAGAGATAGAGATAAGAAATGTGCGTGTATACACAAGGAGATGCAACACAAAGGGACTATTCACATACATTACTGTCACTGCTGTTACGCTCGCTGCTGTAATACTTGGCTACTGAATTTTGAGATTCAGAAGAGGAGACGTCGACATCTGTGGTAGTTGGATCATGACCCAATTGCTTCTTTACTCGTTCTTTCCGCCGTCCGCTTTCCGTTTTGCGAATATAATGTTCATCATCATGGGTGCCCGCCATCCCGGCGGGCTCGTCGGAAAAAAGAACCGTTCGGCGATGTGGATGTGATGATGATGATGCTGTTGTTGTTGTTGTCAAGTCCATAGGTGGTGCAGAGTTGGGTAAAGGGGGTGAAGTAGTAGCTGAACTAGACGCTGAACCAAATGATCCATTTGTACCAGTGGATGTTGCTGATCCATTGGATAACCAAGATCGACGTGACATGTAAGCCGTATCCAAGTCATCAGGTAACACACCACCCACACCATTTACTGTAGATGCTGAACGTGCACGTTGTTGTTGTTTCTTGCCATTAGAATCCTGTTGTGGTGATTGCAAAAGCAATGAACGACGCTTTGCACGATATTGAGAAGGTCGCATTGTAGGTGGTTCTTCAATCCCTCGCCTTGCAGGCAATGACTTTGATCGATGAAGATTGTTGAAACGTTGTTCTTCGTATTGTTGAGCTGATGTTGTGTGTTGATCATCGACAACCGTTGATGTGGGAGAAGAACACGTTGCACCGGTTGACATTGGTTCAATCGTTGACAATCCAAGGTATTCGTAATATGACGATGACATGGGGCGAATATTGTTGTAGATGGTGCATAAAACAAAAATGTAACTTGCCCATAGAAAAGCTACAGCGATGATTGCATTGACGTACGTTGATGGATCGTTCAAGTAATATCGCATGTGGCTAGTCCAATCAACGTTGGCACCCATAAACAAGATACCAGAGGCGATGGCGAGAAAAGCTGTCAACATTCCAGAGACAATAGTAATGGATGCAAATAGCCATGTGTGTTTACATGCTGGAGGTTGCCCAGTGAGTTGTCGATAAGCTGATTGATAATCATTTGCTCGTCTGGTATCGTCGTCATGCTCATCACTGATATCGTCATGATCCATAGCCGATGTACATGCTAGTAGTTGTGGTAGATTATCGATTGGTGTCTTTCTGAAGATGATTTGGATGAATCGAAATACAGAAGCTGTTATGAGCAAATATCCAAGCATGACATGTACTTCGGATGTGAAAGTATCATCTTGTGCACGGCCGACGATCACAGCTAAAAAAAGTGAAACAATAATCAGCGCTGAGAAGGAAAAATCATGCGTTTAGCGGAGACTATACCTCGTCCTGTCAGGCACAAGATCAACGTATTGACAATGTTCCTTTCACGTAAAGCTACCATCCAAGTTTGCATGCTGATAGCAATCGAAAATAAACCACCAGTAAACCAAAGCAATCCGATATTGATAGCTCGCCATTCTGATCCTAACACGGGTACGCCTATCACGTAAATGAGTATCAAATCTAAGATAACGTGATCCCACCAAATTTATATACCTGACATGACGAGGCAAATCACTCCCCACAAAGTAAGAACAAGGGCTTCATAGTATTCAGGTGTTGATGCACGTGGAAGATTCAATACGTTGACGAGATGCAAGAGAACAAGAGTGCCATATCCGAGAAATCCGCTTCCCATAGCCAAAGGCATCAAACATTGCTCGATGGATGATGAGCAAGTGCCTGTGAAAACGGTGATGGCGATAACAAGGTATGCATAGGCTGTGAGCACGATGATCCAACCAATGATCAGGTGAACGCTTTCCTCAAGAGGTAGTATGAGTCGCATCAACCACGTTTCCTTGTTGTTGTTGACAAGCTGCTGCTGCTGCTTTTCACCGCCATAATAAAAGTTGTATACTGTTAAGCCAATATGACCGAGGACGAGAACAAAGAGAACATAGCCGAGAATAGAAAGAACGGTGTGTAAAGGCTGTTGTGAGGAAAAAGACGACGACCAGGAAGCAACATAGCCGACCAAAGCAACGAGAATGCCGCCCGCTAAGGTATAAAGGTGGTATCGACGGTGTCGGCGTGCGCCTTGTATGAGAGCCAATGGATAACATGCGAGAAAGGAAATAGTCATGAGAGAAAGATGTGCAATGACAGTTGGATGGCGAAAGGGTGCATTGTCAGGAAAAGGCTGGCCGTCATCAGTAGTGTCCATATTCTTTATATGTTTCCTTCTCGGAGCATTGAAAAGTGAGTGTATGCCAGATAAAGGAATAGGAAAGGGTCGATGGTATCGGTAAAGTAGTGTGTGTGCGTGTGAGTGGGTGTGAGTAGTGGTAGTGGTGGTGGTGGGTGTGCAAGAGACAAGAAACTAGTGCGGCACACAACGTCTCACAATAAGGTGCCTTTTTCATTTGATTGATTTTCTTTTTGTGGATGGGTTTGCAACATGTGCCGCATCACTTGTTTCGGTATCTCCACTTTTCGTCCTGAAAATGTTATTCATTTGCTGCCCGTTTCCATGGTGTTTCCCTGGCAACAAACAAAGACCTCGCAGCTACTTGCCAATAAGAGCATCAATTTAAGCATGCCGCTGTGCGAACCTCCTGCAGTTGCGTCATGTATAAATCTATATACAAGTACACACCTCCTCCCCCTTTTTGTTCCCTTATCCTTCTTTGTTCAATACAACATACAGATGGATGTCTTGGATGGCGTGTGTTTATTATAAGGATGATGAGTGTTGTTCGTATGATACACGGGTTTATAAAGAGACGATCTAACCAATGATGAGCTTGTCTTCCTGGAAGTTGTATTCTATATACACAAAAGGAGAATGTTATTTCATGTGATTCCTATGCAAATATATATAAACAGGTTTACACGTACCAGGAACTTCAAGGTTGAGTGGTGCAGGACCCTTACGGATACGACCAGAGATATCGTAATGGGAACCGTGGCAAGGGCAATACCAGCCACCGTAATCACCAGCCTCACCAATGGGCACACAACCCCTAATATCATGTGATAATGAGCCTATATGGATCCAATACAATAATTATCTTCCGATGGACACTACTTACAAGTGAGTGCAAACACCCAACATGACCAACCATTCGGGACGCTTGACACGATCAGCATCAGTTTGAGGATCACGAAGGTCTTGGACGTTGATATCGTTGGCTTCAGCAATCTCATCAGCAGTGCGGTGACGAATGAAAACGGGTTTGCCTCTCCACTTGATAGTAACGTTCTTGCCCTCGGGAATAGCATTCAAATCAACTTCGGCCTTGGCCAAAGCAAGCACATCAGCAGAGGCAGACATGTTGGCCAAAAAGTCGCTGACAGTAGCTTGAGCACCAGCAGCACTGATCAAACCAGTGGTACCAACCATCATGTAAGCGAATGAACGGCTGGCATCGGCACTAGTGTTGTTCTTCTTGTACTTTGAAAAATCGGGAATAGCAGTTGTGTGGTTGCGGCGAAGCTGAAAGTCGTTGATAGGTGCGACTAGTCAAAGATGTAAAAAAAAAAGCAAGGATAAGGATCATGATACATCATCCCTCTACAATGATTTCTCGTGTTGTATGTATGTATAGGTATCTTTACCATTGACAGCAGACTGGTTGATGAGACCACCGGCGGATCGTTGCTTGATGGAAGAACCGACAAGAGGTTTACCAGGTTGATCGTGATGATCGGTGACACTGCCAGCTGAAACGTTGAGAATCTTCTTCAAAGCAGGTGCTGATGCAGGAGCATTCACATAAGAACGGCTGGCAACCGCAAAAGAGCGCGACAAAGAAGCCATTGCGATGGTAGAGTGGGGAGCAGTGGAAATACAAGAAAACAAAAACGCCAGGGAGGTCCAACCCCAGCCCAGACACATCGCTGAGCGACGTCATGCTGCCATCTTATTGGATGAATTATTCACCTTTGTCTCCAAGCAATAGCAAACATCTCGATTCATTGATATGCCCATCTTTATTGTATAAAAGAAGCATTACTAAATCTCGATGTTGGACGACCTTCTTTCCTGTATGATCTTATACAAACGATAGCCGGCAGCAGCAACACCTAATCCTAAGCATACATAGCCAAATGCATCACCAATAAAACCATAGAGTGTCCATCTTCTCTTACGCAGTGGCAGATTGAAGATATAGTCGTTGTCATTAACCGAAGGTAGATGTTGTGTAAAGAGTCCATTGGCTACTGGTTCAAATACCCCGGATAGACCTTGTGATCCACAACGTAGCATAGTAAAGCCATTCTCAACCGCTCTTAATGCATTGCCTTGGCTATGATATGTACCAATTGGACCTGTAGTTGCAATAAAATAAGATTCACCGTTCACATTTATATATGCATGTCCCAACATACCCCATGTCCAAGATGCTTGAAGCATCAAATCAATCTTGTTCTTGCTACTTTGCAACATGAATGATGGAAAATTGAAATCAAAGCAGATAGCAGCACCAACACGACCAAACTCTGGAGTATCAACAAAAGGCAAAACATTTGGACCCGCTGGTTGAGGTTCCTATAACAATACTTAGCACCATGATACATTTACAGGATAATGCTACTCACCACAAAGGGTACAGGATGAGCTTTGATATAGTCGATGCCGATATCACCTTTGGGAGTGATGAGAACAAGCTTGTTTTGCTGAATGGGTCCAAGTAAGTCGTACGTTAAGGCAATGTATACGGATTGCTCTTTGGCGATATCCTTTCCACGTTGTAGCAATGATGCTTCCTCATCTGGATCATGCACTTGTGCCGTTTCCTCAGACCACAATATCATCTTTGCGCCTGCCTATATAAAATAGGATGAGACGAATCGTTGCATTTTCATAGAGACCTCGTATTTACCTCGGCAAGCTTGGTTGTCTTGTTGAACCAGTGTTCATGCTGCAATTGCAATTCCTGATTAATGTTACCAGGGCCTACAACGCAACCCACAGGCACAGTTTCGGGTACATAATCAGGATAACCGACTTGGAAGAATGAACCAGGGTAAATGCTTGTCTGAATACCACCATAGAACAAGAGGATACCAATGAAGATAGCATAAAGAGGGGTTGGTGATTTCCAAAAGTGAATAGGATTCGAGATAGGTTCACCAGCATCCTCCTCATCTCGAAGGAATACAGGGGCCTCCCACGAATGCTTGAGCTCGAGAAGAATAGTGCTGCCAAGTGCCAATACAAAATCAATCATGGGTCTTCCACCAATAGTTGCAGCAGCTTGTACGAGATCGGACCACCCCAATACAGGATTAGAATAGACATAGATATCACCGAATGGAGCGAGTGCAGTAAACAGCAACCAACTACCAGCCCATAGACAAGGGAAAACAAGTATACGCTGCCAAATGCAAGTGTGCTGCATAAAATGGTCGACTGCTAGACACCAAAGCACCACCACGTTACCGAAAAGAGAGAGCCCTTTGAAGGAAGGAAAGACACTATGAGCAACACAACAGCAACCACCACTACACTTGTATATCCTTTTACCAAACACAGTGCCCGGATGTTGGAATGAAGGTGCTTCTGCATCGCCGTCAAACATGCCCATGATAGCTAGCGTCGTTGAAAGGCTTGCAATGACATAGGCAAACAAGACATTGCGCCATTGCTTGCGTGAATAGTGTAGTAGTAAAGCAGGGTAAAGGGCCGTGAGAATGGGAATAGCATGGAATCCTGTGGCAAAGATGCTAGCGTGCATGCATGTTAACGGAATGATATCATTATTCAGGGTCTAATGAATACTTACCCTATTGCAAACAAGGGCACCACAAGCCAATGATCACGTAAAAGTGGGTGCATTGGAGCAAGATACGTTCAGCACCGGGGAACTTCCATTCGTCTTCCATATTCCTTGTCCCACCACCACACAAAGAGAAATAATGCATTTTTTTATCACTCTACCCATAATATACAAAACAAGTTAGACAAATGAGCATGTCGATCCTCTTGGTAGTAATCCATTGATACTTTTCCTCCTTGGGACAACAGTCCCATGAATAGAAAGCTCATCATCATTAAGCGGGAGAGAGCGGACAATATTATTGAAATGCAAACTACTATAGTCAGATAAAAAGGCTTTCACAAAAACAGCTGCTGGGAATGGAGAGAGAAAGGCCCTGACCCTGATTTTGTAATGTACTACACTCACTGTGAACAAAGGACACATTTTACGCCATCCCAAAAGACGCCTGCCGATCTTCGGAGATGCGCGTGTTGCCTCTGCAAGATTGGAAAGCGATCAACAACAAAGCCAAAAACAAAAACCATCAACAGAAAACCGAGCACGGTAGAAAGTGAGGATAATGGACATTTGTACTCTTCCTTAGCATACAAACAACACCGCGCTGTACTACTATATTTAGCTCGCATTACAAAAACGTCGTCTCTGCATGAGCCGGGGTAGTCAACTAGCAAGTACACATTCACACATTCATGGTGAAAGCATCGTATGTATATATATGTGTGTGTGTATGTTGTATTCACGAGTATAGCTTAGTGGCACGAAAAGGACACTATCAAAGCATATCGCAAAACCTAAATGATCGACATGGCATCGTTGATAACCATGATAGCACTAATAGGCAAATAACGACTTTCAGCAATGACAGAAAAATGAGATGGGTGGAAACAAGAGCCGCGAGCATCTTGTGCAACGGTACATGCTCGTGGTTAGCATCTCGATTAAGCGAAAGAGGAGGCGTACAGGCCACAGTAAAAAATACACCGGGGACAAAGTCACCGAAGCGCGCATTTCTTTTCAGCAGCCCACGAGAAATTTTAAAATAGTTAGGTGACACACACGAGCGATCAGCATCGTCCTTTTGATCGACTTAAATTGAGTCGAGTTGGCCCCTTGGGCCCTAGACTCAATTCTTTTTTTCTTGTTTTCATTTCTTTGACCTCCATTCCTTCCACCTTCTCTTTGCTCTCTCTCTCACACACTTCTCCATTCATTGCACAAACAAAGCATATCCCCTTAACAACAACTGCTACTATGGATATTGAGAAACCCAAACTACCATCCATTCAGCTGATGCTACAAGGTGTTGCTGTTGAAGGTATGGTGTTCATATGCATATTGACGAGTAGCCTTTATAACTCATTCCAAATGTATAGATTCGGTTGAGCTGCAAGTGGCAGCACAAGCTCGACCACAAATGGGCCATAGACGACATGTATCAGATCTTGGCAATCCCTGTCCACCACAAAGACCTCCTCTCTCCTTGTATCCTCACCCAGAAATGGCTGTGGGAGGTTTGCCAAGTCATATGCAAAAGCTATCTATTTCAAAGCCTGCAGCACCCATTGAGCCCAACTTGAACAACAACAACAATGGCAATAGCAGCCAACATCTTGGTTCATCCCCTCTTCACCAGTACCTGCAACATCAGGCACCTCGTTTTGCAACACCATCATCCATGTTGTTGCAACAGCATCGTTCACCTAGAAACATGCACTCGCGTTCCTTTTCCGATTACTCGCACCCTTATCCACAACCACTCTATTCATCGGCCGCCACTTCTCCGCCATCCATTGCTCGTGATGCCAATTCAGCTTCTCGCAGTACTTATTTGCAACCTGGATATCATCGTCGTGCTATTTCCACCAATACCCTTGATTTGATCTTGCAGCCTACCCATCATCATCACCATCATCATCATCATTCACATGATCAACTTTCAACCCCTCCTTCGTTGTATCCATCCTCATCTACAACTACAACTACAACGTGTACCAGTGCACCCCATAGCCCAACACTCTCACCCACCCACCACAAGATCCCTCAGTCCCCTGTTTCAAGTGATGGTGCAAGCGATTCTGATTCTAACGACAAGACCACCACCACCACCAAGTCATCTTCGAATAAGGATGCATCCTCATACAACAAATACCATTGTCCTTATTGTGATAAGGGATTTTCACGTCCTTCATCGCTTCGCATCCATACTTATTCACACACTGGTGAAAAGCCTTTTGTGTGCCCTGAACCTGGTTGTTCTCGTAAATTTAGTGTGCAAAGCAACATGCGTCGCCACCTGCGTGTTCATCGTCTTGGACGTGCCACCAAGAGATCCAATGCATCCACTGCAACAGCAGCAGCGTCTCTCAATATGACACCTGCAACAAGTGCTGATCGATCAAAACCATTGGCTGCAAAGCCAACTGCCACTTGGGTGAGGAGTGAAGAACAACATCACTTGTCGGCTTTTACCCTTCCAGGTCTTTGTTCGACAAGTGAGGATTAAATCTAGTCACCCACCCATTCAACACAACACCTTGCTATAGATAGATACCTTTCATACGCTGTTATTCTATTATTGTAATCTTTTGTTCCTTTTGCATCATCGCTACTACCTATAGCATTGCTGTATCCATTATTGTGGAAACCTTTTTCTCTCTCTCCCATTGAACCACCCCTTTATCAATGTACAATGCAAACAACAACAAAACAGATGCTGGATCATCGACTACTTTTTAGAACAATCACTCCATGATGTGGCGCACAAAATATGGTGTTATTACGAGAAGGGTGACAAGGATTATTTACATAAACGTGGGGTGGGAAGAGAGAATCCAAACTACTATGATGGTGATGGATCGAGCCTATTGACATGAGGAGAGAGAGAGAGAGAGCGACGTGTGTTGTTGCCGTTGCTATTGGATGATGAAGGAGGAAAAGATGTCGGTTGCTAGGAAACGATTATTCTTGTTGAGTGACAGAGATCCTTGGAGCAAGTCGAACGACCACGGTGATACCATCATTACTTGAACTTGCAATAGCCTCCACTGCCTCTGTGGTATTATTGACCGCATCCATAAGCCAATTGAAACGCATCCGCATGATCATGTCGCTTGATTTCACCATGTCGAGTTGCGCTTGGACGACATCCACGTCGCGTTCACTCACCAGCTCAAGTAACGACCGCCCCAATACCTGATCGCATTGCGCACCAACCAACTTTTCCGCCATTTGGGATATAAACACGATTGTATAATTGTACGTGTATCGATTGATGATCAAACAGAACCGTGGCTCTTGTGGATGCTCGACTCGATTGTTGATCCACTGGTTAGCTGTAGCCAACGTCTTGTGCATCCTCTCCTGGTTATCGTTCCATGCTCCTTCCAAGTGCAGTGCTCCATTCGTATCGACCACCCATACTTCATCCACAGAGGTGCTACGTATCTTGTGCCGGATATCTTGCGGGTCATATATAAAGTTGGTGCACACAATCACATCGTAGCAGTAATGGACAACCGTTTCTAGCATCACGTAATGGCCATCCTTGTGCCTGCTTCGGTAACGTGCCATGCTCGACATTTTCTCATTCATGACATTGGCTGCATGGATACGCGTCAAGGAACCAACATCCTCTGGGTGGAATAAGTCGTACGCCTTTTTGCCAATCAGCTCGTCTGGTGTCCACCCTGTCGCCTCCGTAACACTCTCGGATAGGTACACAAAGTTAGCTGTAGCTGTATTGTCGTAGATCGATATAAAGTTGGGTGGATCGCTTGACATTGGAGGTCGATGAAAAGAGATTGTATGAGTGGAGGAGAGAAAGAGAGAGAGAGAGAAAGGAAGAAAGAAGAAACGTACAAGTGATCTATATATTGAGTTGTCGGGACCATCATCACCACCTAACACACTTTGACATGTGTAACAACCTGGTACCTTAATGGTGGCCCTGGGAGACTTGCAAAAGAGAAAGGAGGCATTATAATAATATGGATGATGATGACGACGATGCTCCATCCAACATTGTATGGATTTTGATCGCTCTTGTTCTTTATCCCTTTTCACCCCTATGTTTCTAATCCCCTTCCGTTACAGGTCAGGCATCATCATCATCGTCACTACCTGCACCACCATATTCACTCCTAAAAACGATCATCGTCTAGTACAGTGCTTTGTCTATTGAATAGCTCACAATGATGTAAGCGATTAACAACATGGGTTCATGGTTCAAAGAGGAATCCACAACAATGTCAATCGCTCTCTTTCTCTCCTTGCATGCATGACGGTGTGCTGCAGCTTGATGATCTCTTTTCCTCTCATCATGCCGTGTTGTTGCATGTTACACTGCTACTAATCAGCCCACGCCGCACGCATTTCCAAATAACTACATGATTTGACCACCTCATGTGCCTACACGGATAATGACCATAATCGTCTCAAATGGGTGACCAGGAACGGGACTATGTCTTCTTTATTTATGATACATCGCTAACCTGAGACATAGAATACAATTATCATGTCGATGTACAACGGCTATCGTCTCCTTCCATTTGTCTCCCCTGTGATCTAGACGTTGATGGACAACATTGGATTCCTTCCTCCTTCATTATGCGTCTTTGTTCCCTTATGAATAGCTTTTACGGTGCTTTACTAATATAACCATCAATAGCACCTCAATCATCTACTACCTTGATAGTCCCTGTAATAAAAACAAGCTTTTCTAAAAGATCAAGTAGTCGGCTATTTGACTTTTGCTAGTTACATTGAATCCCATCCAAAATATGGCTACGCTATGGTATTCTGCTGCTACCATGATGTTTGGTAACATGGGGAACCCAGAACAAAAAGTGATCATTCGTGGTGTTCCTTTGTTTGCCAGCAGGTATATGATGTAACACCCATCCCCTGCTGCTCCCGGAACATCACTCTCTATTCCTTTTAACTTACCCCGCATGTTCCAGGCACTCGGATGTATAAATCGCATCTTTGAAAGGGGCATGCATGTATGGTGTAGCTCTAGGAGTATGTTTGTTACCTCTTATGTACTGATCAGTTCCCAAAACATCGTGCCAAAACTTTTGAGTGATCATCTTTCAAAAGCGAAACGTCAACAAAAAAAGGGATAATATGAGGAAGTATCTATTATTCAATTCGTCGTTCCGATAGCAAGGTGGCTATGGCACTTTATCGATATAAGGTGGAAGCATGTACCCATGGTAAATATAGCATGGTGCACACTCAACGCTGTAGCTTTACAAATTGTGATGCCGCTAGTCAACATTTCATGCAGCGGTCGTGGGAGTCGGTGATACAACAATCTCTTTCCTTTATTCTACACTGCACCATCATGACCAAAAATATGCTATCGTATACTGGAGGAGGCCTTGTTGGTCTCATCATTCTCATTTTGGACCTTATCGTCATTTTTGAAGTGATCAACTCGACTCGTTCTATCCAAGGCAAGATTGGCTGGTCGTTGCTTGTCTTTTTCTTCCCAGTGGTTGGAATCATCATCTATTTGTAAGGATCTTTTTATTGTCTTTGCATTGTATATACATGTGCTAACCTTGTGTTCTGTTATTAGCCTTTTCAGCAATCGTGCTGAGCATAACGCCCACTATGAAGCCATTGCATAGCTATATCCTTTGTAGCCGATGTCGATCATATCATCATCATCCTTTTTGCCCTACTTGCTTTTTACTTTTCATGTACGATGTAGCCCACAATAAACCACCATCATGTGTATAAGTAGCAGAGAAGCATTACTCTTTGTTTATCTTGGCATTGTCCTCAAAGAAAGAAAGATCCACGTCCAAACCCTTACAACTTGGCAAACCCAGCCAAACAACTCCCTTTTTCTTTCGACAGCCTTGCATAGCTTGCTCTTTTTTTATTTTACCGATGAAACCAGAAGCACATTTACCAACTCATACGAGCTCAAATATTGCACTCGACATGCCAATGACACCCGATAGCAGCAGCAGCCGACCTGGTCATCTTTCTGTTAGTGAATCAGAATCTGGCATTGAAGCTTCAATGTCCTCCATGGGCGAAGAAGACGATGACGATCACCAAAGGCGTTCACAAGCAATGACCGACCAAGACCCACCTTTGTTACAACGAGCTATGCGTAGTGCGAAACGATCAGCCGCTCAAGCGCATCACAAGCCTTTACACGGGGGATTTGCACGAAGGATGGGTGATGGCAGTAGTATGACAGCATCACAGCAACCACAAACATCGGATCTAGACTCGCTTCCTAGAGAAGAACAAGATATGGTAATGGCCGGGGTAGCCAATGCTACAATGGGTACAGATCCAGTTGTCATGTCAACGTCAAGCTCGTCATCCATTGATTCTATCCAAGGCATTGATGAACAACAGCAGCAACAATCACAGCATTATCCCATGCAACCACAGCCACGAAACATTCCCACACCTTCCTCGGGATACGATGGTGATTCGGAAGGTACAACTGCAGATACCAATCGTCCTCCACTATCAAATCGATCCATGGAACATCATCACCATTTTCGTCATCATCATCATCATCACCACCACCACCCCTCGACAGTGCCTGCAAAGCATCAAATGACCGATTGAATATCGCCACTTTCCTTGTTTCGAACGCCCCCCCTGTATAAATCGTTTACATCATGCTTAGTATTCAAGTACAGACGCGAGTAACCTATTGTACAAACAAAGTTTAGCAAAGAGTGTGCATGTATTATTTAACATCTCCGTCTGCTATGCATTTAACCATCAATTTGTTATGACATGTATGTATAATAAGTGAGAGGTGGTGGTGGGTGGCAGCAGGAAGGAAGATAAAATGAAAATGCGCGTAAATGAAATGATAAAAGAGACAAAGACGAGACCGAGCATAGTGAGACTCAATAATTGGATGATTTGATTTATCGATAGTGCGCTTGTTTACATGACGTAGCTTGCAATTGATATTGTGCCGCTATAAAAGACGCTTCAATGTCCTCTATCATATCCTTAATTGTGCTCATGATCCCAATGGTTGCAAACACATGATACAGTATTGGCATTCAAAACAACTATAAACATTTGACTAGGTCAAGGATGTAGTGTGACCATATCTAGTAAAATGTTTTACTAGGCCCACATAGTTGAGTGACTAGCGCTAGTAAATCAATTTACTGGCCCTAGTAAAACATTATACTAGACATGATCAAACTACTTCCTTGACCCTGTCAAATGTCGTCGTGTGCCTGTTCAAAGTATTTACTACGCCTACGCCAAAGATTTTATTTCGCCTAGTCAAAAGTTTTACTGGGCCTAGTCAAAAGTTCTACTGGGCCTAGTCAAAAGTTTTACTTCGCCTAGTCAAAAGTTCTACTGGGCCTAGTCAAAAGTTTTACTTCGCCTAGTCAAAAGTTTTACTGGGCCTAGTCAAAAGTTTTATTGGGCCTAGTTAAAAGTTTTACTAGGCCCAGTAAATTGACTTACTAGCGCTAGTCACTCGACTATGTGGGCCTAGTAAACATTTTACTAGACATGGTCAAACTACATTCTTGACCTAGTTAAATGCCATTGTGGGCCTGTTCAAAGCATTTACTATGCCTACGCCAAAGATTTTATTTTTAGATCACCATTCACCATGGTGTTGTTGTAGATGTGAAATATAAAGTGAACAATCATTACCGAAGAGCGTCGGAGAAGCTATGTCCGACCGAATCTGTCGGAGAAACGGCGCTTGACTATCGCAAGCGATTGGCGTAGAAGGGAAATTATCCATTGAAATCACTTAAATCTCCATTCTTTCATCATACACCTCCCCAAACTCATAATCAACATTGTCATCCAACATTACAGACACTCCGCTACACGCTCGTACTTCTTTCATGTCGATAGCGTTTGGTTCTTCATATGGAAATTTTTGGATCCATCATGTAATTTCCGGTTGAGATAACATGAGACGTAGGGCAGTAAGTTCGTAGAGAGGTTGACACGATAATCCAAATAAAGTAATCACAAGGGGTCCTTCAATCGTCAAATCCAAACAATAAGCAATCGCAACTGCTTCTCACAACGAGCTCCAATTCAAAGACAAAGATAAAGACAAGGGTTTAATAAAAATCTTTTCATGGCTATTCTAAATACACATCCTCAGACAAACGAGTGGTTGACAATGACAAGGTTTCAGCTATCCAAATCCAGCGACTATAAAAGGCAGTTGAGAGGCTGACTACTCCCCTACAGACGTCTCAAACAAGAAGTCGGCATAGCTCAGCTGGGAGAGCGTTAGACTGAAGATCTAAAGGTCAGGTGTTCGATCCACCTTGCTGACACACGATTTTCGCCTTCAATTCGAATCAAAAGTCGAATTGGATCATCACTTTTTGCATTTTTCGTGATTTTGTCGTTATCGTATGGCTGATTAGATCAGTGGCCAATGATATAACTTTTGGTGTTGCTATGATAAGTGATGATCTTTTATTGCTAAGGATGTTCACGATATATATGTTCAATGTATGGATTCTATGAATGATGTGGAAGATGCTAGTAAAGGGCTTCTAGCACTGCCAGCATCAAAAGGAAAAGGGTTCTAGAAGGAACGAGCAAAAGCTAGGTCACGTGGTCACATGACCTACGACAATACCCTCCTGGAAATCTCTGGTCGCCCTCGACCAACACGGAAGCAGCAATAGTATTGGCAGAAATGGTGTTGTCAACGTGCCTTTAGCAGTGGATCGTACCATGCGTCAGGATTACCATCGGCCTTGTTGATATGAATGGACGTAAACGATCAGTGTGCACCCAAGACTTGTATGCTTCACCATTCATGCTGTGTAACTTCAGATATCCGTGTCGTTTATTCAACAATCTTGTAAGGACTACGCCAATTGTATCTGCCAAACTTGTTTTTGTGTCGTAATAAGTCAAAGTCGCCAACCGGAATAAACTTGCTTCTTGGTGAGCAAATCCCATTGAGCCTTGTCTTTTTCACGATCCTTTTGCATCCTTGTAATAGCTTGAGCACGAGCATCACGTAAGGAACGAAGTGTGGGGAGTCGACTTGAAACATGTGCTTGGGGATCATCTTGTGGTTCATCAGCAGTAATAAGAGGACGCAATGGATCACCAGGTAACTTGGGGTCTGACCATACACCATGAAAAATGGACTCATTTGTGTCGTTCGATGTTTGCGAATGCGGCATGCAAACAAAGCGGTGTCAAGAAAATCATCCTGCATGATGTATTTCACCATGCACATACTTGCGTAACATGGATTTGAGTATCCCATTGGTACGTTCAACCTTTGCCATTTGAACGAGGATGGAAAGTTAAAGCCGTTGTGTTTGGCTTTAAGCTTGACCAAGGTAGTAATCCAAGAAATTTGCCCATAAAATTAGCGCCACGATCGGTTACGATTTCATCAGGACAGCTAAAACGCATAACAATTTCCTCGTGAATGAACTTGGCAATGGCTTCACTGGTTGCATCGGTAATAGCACGAGCAATACCAATTTGTCGCAGTCAACAGCAACGAGTATCCAACGATTACCACTTGTGGTAGTAGGTAATTCTCCAACAAAGTCCAAATGCCAACGAGAAAAAGCAGGCGGGATTTCCGGTCAAATGCATAGGTGCATGATGATTGCGGTCAGCACCAGCAGCCAATTGACATTGTGAACATTGGGCAATCCATTCTGAATGTCTTGTTTCATGTTGGGAAGCATCACCAACGTTTACGCACCAAATCCTGCATAGGTCATTCCAGGGTGTCCAAAACCTTGTGGATTTCTTGTACAATGTCAGCACGCCGAGAGAACATTGCAAAGCGGACTTCTTGAAGAGTGTTGTTCACCTTGACCTTGCGAAAAAACCATATCATTACGCACCACAAATTGTTCACGATGCTTGCGTAACAAATCAGCATAAGATGATGGCCACTTTTCTTCGGGACGCAGAACTTCGGCCAATCGGATTCTTGAATTGCGCGTGTTGCATAAAGATACCAGGCTCCATATCCGATTCATTGGTAAGCACAATGGCGTTCATCACGTCGAGAAAGGATATCAGGTACATGGGATTATCTTTTACAGCTTGTATTGGATATCGGGATCATATGCCCATTTCAGCAATCCATCGAGTCAAACGAGGTGTGGGCTTGCGTTGAGACCTGAAATACTTCGAGTGGATGATGATCCGTATACACCTTGTAAGAGCGACTCCTTCAATGAAACATCTCCAAGAACGTAACGCATGCGGATACTCCAGCAGCTCTCTTTCTTGTGCGGGATAATTGCGCTCCGCTGACGAAAGCTTCTTGGATTCAAAAGCCAAAGGAGTGCAATTCACCATCGTCACCTCTTTGCAAAAGAACAGCGCCAACACCAAATCGGATGCATCCGTTTCGATCACAAAGGGCCTTGCTGCATTGGGTGGTACCAAGGTGGGTGCTTGAATCATGCGTGATCAATTCTTCGAATGCCGATTGCCATCAGGTAACCATTCAATCAAACGCGTCTTGCTCCCACTTCCCTTTTGTCAAGTCCGTGAGTGGTGCAGCAATCGTTGAGAAGCCACGACGAATCGCCTACGAGACGCCAAACTGATAAACTGCCGCACCTCTTGAACATTGCGGGCTGGGCCACTCTTGAATCGCCTTGACTCCTTGACTTGATGGCAGGATACCTTGAGCACTCACTTGGAAGCCGACAACCCAATTCAGTCTTGTTAACCCGCACTTCTTGAGATTGGCGTATAGCTTATGGGTCGCAAACGATCCAAACACCATCTGAACATGCTTCGAGATGGTCTTCTTTGGTACGGCTGAAGATAAGGATGTCGTCAAGGTAAACCAGGGCAAACTTGTCGAGGAAATCACCAAGGATTGAATTCATCATCTTTTTGCAAAAGTAGGTGGAGCATTCGTCAATCCAAAAGGGAGCACTTTCCATTGCCATGCACCGTATCTTGTGTTGAAGGCCGTTTTTGGAACATCTTCAGGTCGGATTCGTACTTGATGGTAACCACTCTTGAGGTCGATGCTGGAGAAGAATCGTGCACCACCAAGACGTTCGAGACATTCATCAATTCGTGGTAAGGGATGGGCATTGCGACGTGTCACTGCATTGAGAGCGCGATAATCGATACAGAGTCTCATTGAACCATCTTTCTTGGTGGACAAACAGAACTGGTGCACCCCATGGAGAGTTACTTGGTTCAATCAATCCCAAGGTTTGGAGTTCAGCCAATTGACGCCGCAATTCATCCAGCTCGAGAGGACTCATCTTGAAAGGATGCCGATTGATGGGTTGAGCATCACCAGTATCAATCACATGCTCAATATCACGATCTGGAGGTAAGCCTGGTAGTTCGTTTCGGAAGACATCAGCGTATTCATGAACCAAAGTATCAAAGGTGCCATCGTATCGTCGATCTTGTCGGCGAGAACAAATACATCTCGCTGATAGCCCGGTGCGTGACAATCGTTGCATCTCGCGATGACTGAAGATAAGCCAAATCAGGAATCTGCCGTTTGCGACTTGGAGTCAAGATATGGGTGTGGTTGCCTTGTTTGATCTGCCAGGTGTCGTGTCGCCAATCTGGTATCGGTTGTACATGCTTGAACCAATCTCTGCCAAGGATGATGTCAAATTTGGTATCAAACACATACGCCTTCCATGGATGGGGTAGGCCGTCAGCCATTGAAAGATCAAAAGATACAGAGGACACTTGATCGCCATAGTATGTCCACCAGCTGTTTCAACCTCTTCGTCCCTGACCAAGTGATGCGTCATGTGCTGTAAAATACGTAGGTGAAATGTAAAAGATGTACTAGCACCAGTATCGAGCAAAACAGTAACAGGTGTCTCCATTGCAGACCATTGAATACAAGGGCAAATCAGATTCCTTTATTGCGTTGAGTTCCTTCCAAATGATTGACATCCAAATCTAGCTCAGGTGTCGGGTTGACATTTCCAAAATCGGGTTCCTCGTGGCATCAATGAGCCGGCCTTCAGGTACTTGCTGAGTAGTGGTGGTGGTTGCATTCAAGAGTTTTGCTGATTGATGTTTGTGCGCGACGATGACTCCTTTACATACGTCGCCTCGTCTTTTAAATGCTTGCTGCGGTCGTTGAGGTTAAGGTCGATAACGCCATTCACCAGGTAAGTTGATGGGCAAGAACGTTGCAGATGACCAAGGCCTCCACAATTGTAGCAACGAGGTGGTTCTTGATTCATGCGGTTGTCACGATTGACTGAAGGCTCCTGGTGTGCGCCAATCATTACGTCGATATCTTGTTTGTACAGCATCCAAATCCATGTATTCAACATCCCGAGATGGTTGTCGTGGAGGTTCAAGTCTTGTCATCTTGTCGGCAGCATTTTTGGTGTAACGACATATTCTTCGTAGGCGAATGCGATTCTTTCAGCTTGTGCAGTTGTGGTCGGGAATTGGCAAGTGTACATAGACTTGAACGTTTTCAGCCAATCTCTCGTACAAAACGGTCCAAAGCTTCATCATCAGTCATTGTTGGAATTTCGAGCCAAAGGTTGCGGAAGTCGTTCACATATTCTTCAACGGTGCCAGTTTGTGTCAATGCAGCCACAATCGGATCACGTGCAGTCTGTTTGGCATTGCGAGGTCGAAATTCGTCTAGTACCAGCTTGCAGAAATCAATCCAAGTGCTTGCATCATGTCCAACAATTTCTCTCTTGTACGCCACCATGTGTCAGCATCTCCTCGAAAAAGATTGATGGCATATTGACTCGGTCAACTTCATCCATTCCAGTCACATCAGCATAACGTTGTACAGATCGTAACCAGCTTTCAGCAGCATGTGGGGTTCTTGTTCCATGGTAAGTGTCCGGGTTCTCGTAGCTTGGGTCTAAACATTGGGCCTCTTTGGTTCTCCTTGGTTCTTGAGCAGTTGGGTCAATGCAGTCGTAAATAGCCGTATTCATATCTTGTCCTTGTCCTGTCCTTGTCCTTGTCCTTGTCGTTGTTCTTGTTCAATGCCTTCCATAATAAACGGTTGTCGATTTGTAACTTGAGATTCGTCGTCAGATAATTCAATAGGTTCCGGGATTGGTTCACGCATATTCTTGAAAAGCTCGATTGTTCAGTTAGCGGATGGATGATTAAAAGTCATCAATGCTCAATTGTCGTTATCGTATGGCTGATTAGATCGCGGCCAATGATATAACTTTTGGTGTTGCTATGATAAGTGATGATCTTTTTGATGGCAAGATGTTCACGATATATATATGTTCAATGTATGGATTCTATGAATGATGTGGAAGATGCTAGTAAAGGGCTTCTAGCAATTGCCAGCATCAAAAGGAAAAGGGTTCTAGAAGGAACGAGCAAAAGCTAGGTCACGTGGTCACATGACCTACGACAATTTTGGATGATCACGTGATTGATTTTTTTCGTTCAAACGATATATCGTGGTCGATGCATGCTAGCAGCTCCTCTGTCTGCATCTTTTGGTGCTTTAGAGAAACGCCTGTATCATCATTTTAAGTATACATGTATGATAAGCAAACAGGTGCATCAATAGACTACCATATCAAAAATTAAATCAATGATTACCTTTATGATGATGAACCATTCAGCAATTACGAAGAATGCCTTTGTACAATAACAGAATAGATGTTATGATATAAAAAAGGTTGATTCTATGATGAGGCTATCATGTTTATGGATAACATGTGTGTCAAAAAGTATCATATATATCCGGTTTGCAGCAGCAGCATCACCTTTGCAACATTGTGATGCTATTATTATAATCAATGTGTTGGTTAAAAGAGCTGCTTCCTTTTGCATCTAGCCGTTGGTCTATCTTTTTTGAACATCTTCCGCCGTAGCGTAAACAATGAAGATTGCTTGTATTGCGGTGTAATCGGCGTATGTATTAAAGCAAGTTGCTACACATAAATAAAGCTACTTCTATACTACGGCTGTTACTGATCACGTAAAAGAAAAAAGGGTGTTCGATCCACCTTGCTGACATACGAACGTTTGATCACTGAGAAAAGCTTTCGGGTGTTCGATCCACCTTGCTGACATACGAACCATCGGTCACGTAATAGAAAGGGTGTTCACCTTCCTTATAGTGCTCTCAACACCATTTTGAATAGGCACAATAATATAGGTAGCTGCTTCTCAAAATCTTCATAATCAAGCGTGAAGGCTTTATGGGAACAACATTGATCAGAGTGCCTGAACCCACCTTGTGTGAAAATTTCAAGTGGCAATCTCGTCTTGTGTCTCGATCCATCACCGTCTCTCCTCCATTTGGACCTCCCCGCATTTAAAGTTCTCGTAACGAAGTCTTCGGCTTTTAAATGATGAAGTTGATCAGCATGTCCAAGTGAACCTTCTGACCCAATACATACTATTTCGATAAATCATGAATCCGAGTCCCACATTATACCCTCCCATTCAAATTTTTATAATGAAGTATAGGTTCTTTATTAATAGAACATTTATCAGCATGTCCAAGAGCATCTTGTGTAAAAGTTACAGGTTCAAGAGGAGGGAATCTCAATATCAAGGTTTGGTCTACAGTGTTCATGCATTTGTAGGGATTCAATTTCCACTTCTTCCACTTTCAGCTTGTTCCTTCTCCCTCTCATTCTCAGCTGTTGCCCATTCAAGTATACAACTACCACATGCGAACGATTGTCCTGCTTCAACCCATCATGTCATTCCTACAACTTCCTTGATCCGATTGTCTTTGACTCCATGGCAAGTCCATGGCGTGTGCACCCCACTACAACACTCGCGTTTCTTGACCACACAACTACTACAACCAATCGTAACAGCATTCATTCCAGCAGTTGCTATAGCAATGCGTTAGCTCCATTGTCTCAAACAGCGTTCACAACCTTGTCACTCTACTACAACGCACGTTCTCTTGCTCACTTCTCCCGCAACCAAACGTAACTTGCAGCAACTTGTCCAGCAGCCTTCCTACGTGAGCAGCAGATAACCATTGTATAGAAGCAGCATTATTTACGTGTAACAACTTGCTTTGATACAAATGGATTCCTATGAGTGATTCGACATCAGCTATCATGTACGCAGCAATACAAGCATTTGTTTAGCCGCAATGAAAGAGATAAATCGACAGCCGGATCGAAAAAGGAAGCATATCAGCAGCGATCACGTGGCGCTTTCAATCAACACTTGGAATTGGAATGGCTATGGATGGATGGATGCAACCAAGTGCAACGATGAGAAATACTTGAAATGTCGCCTTGGTTACTTGGGACGTCGTTAGCGGGAAGGAAGGATCACACAACGTGGATACGGGTAAGGATGATGGATGGATGCTATTGCGATACTCAAGACGATGCATGCAGCAGCTATTTTGCAATCATGGATGAAGATGCTTATGACAATGGCACAACGATACCCGCCGACTCTATGTCATCCACTGGTTGGTTTCTGGAATGAAAGAGAGGATAGGAAAGCGAGATTAGATCATCTACATCATTGTATGCAGAGGTTGTCGTATTACATTCATTAAAGCTTCCTTGTTCATATGATCAGAGACGATAGGGAGTAGCAATAACGGATTATATACATGTTTAAATAGACGCTTGTATCTTCAAAGATAACAATTCCATTATAAAGGCATCCAAAAATAGTGCTTGTTGCAGTAAGTTTGGATCATTGTAAGCTTTAAAGCATTACGTTAGAAGGAGTAAGCTCTGATACAATGTGGCACGAGTACATGCATCATGCTTACCTATGAGAACCATCTACATGCGCTACCTTGTAAAGATCGAGCACTGGAGACAAGCAATACCATTACCCCTCATAGTCTTGGATCCACTGATCGCTTTGTCTTGTTACCCATACCATTGTTCATCTGAAAAAGTTCTCAAGAGGTCTACTATAGGCGGACCTTACTATAGGGGAAAGTGTCAATCATGCACCCTCCACCAATAAGAATCCTTCAAGCCCTGCCCCTCTCAGTTTTATTACACAAGCGAGTCCCTCTGCATCTTTGGCTCTGTCAGGTCAAGCTACTTGATAATTAACAAAGACCATCTTTCATATAGCATCACGCTTACAAACATAAAGGTGCCTGTATCTCCAAACTTTACAATGAAACGTGGGGTTTTGAATAGAGCAATGTGCTCGGCTTGGCCAACAGCACCTTGTGTGAACGTTTCGCGTTCAATGTCACAAACAGCCCAAAAAATATTTTTTGGTCGTCGTCGTCGAAGAGGTCGACCCCCGGATCCAGTTTGGCTGGTGGCGACATTGCGAAATCTGGGATTGGCAAGCTTGATCGTGAAACTTTCACCCAAGGTACAATTGGCCAAGCCGAGCACATTTCTCTATTCAAAACCCCACGTTTCATTGTAAAGTTTGGAGATACAGGCAACTTTATGTTTGTAAGCGTGATGCTATATGACAAGTGGTCTTTGTTCAATGCCAAATAGCTAGGCCCTGATAGAGCCAAAGATGAAGAGGGACGTGTTTGTGTAACTGGGTTAAAAAGTTTGGACTTCAGGGACCATGCATGACAGGTACGCAACCCTCATTCTCAGATCATACATTCGCAGCTAATAGCCACTTTTGTGCATTCCCAACTTTTGTGCATTCTATTGTAGGTGGACGATGCTCCTGCTCTAGACATTCATTTCCATAATTAAAGTAGGTTGATCCGAGCTGATTTGGTTGAGTTGCGCTCACACAAGATTACATCGGTTGAGCTACATCGAGCGTGCTTTATGTCCAGAGTGATGTAATCTCTCGTTGACCGCAGCTCAGTCAAATCAGCTCGGATCAACCTACTTTAATCATGGAAATGAATGTCTAGAGCAGGGGCATCGTTCCCATGCAGTGGATCTCGCAACAATGATGATTGGATAAAAGTGGCCGTTAGCTAGCAACACATGCCTGTTCATAGATGATCCATAAAGTAATTATACATTGGCCCTTTCATTCATGCAAACGTAGCTGTGTAACACAACACGACCCTCTGCACCTTTTGCTCTGCCAGGGTCTAGCTACTTTACATTAAACAAAGACCACTTCTCATATAGCATCACGCTTACAAACATAAAGGTGCCTGTATCTCCAAACTTTACAATGAAACATGGGGTTTTGAATAGAGCAATGGGCTCGGCTTGGCCAACAGCACCTTGTGTGAACGTTTCGCGTTCAATGTCGCAACTAGCCCAAAAAATATTTTTTGGTCGTCGTCGTCGAAGAGGTCGACCCCCAGATCCAGTTTGGCTGGTAGCGACATTGCGAAATCTGGGATTGGCAAGCTTGATCGTGAAACTTTCACCCAAGGTGCAGTTGGCCAAGCCGAGCACATTTCTCTATTCAAAACCCCCATGTTTCATTGTAAAGTTCGGAGATACAGGCACCTTTATGTTTGTAAGCGTGATGCTATATGAGAAGTGGTCTTTGTTTAATGTAAAGTAGTATGACTAGAATAGAGCACAAGATGCAGAGGACGTGTTTGTGTAACTTGAGTCATTCAGCACAGGCGATGCATGATTCTTGTACACTATTTAGGGATAGTTCCAAATGCCAGCTAATAACCCATTCATCCCATTCACCTTTGTTGCCCAACCCAATGCATACGAACGATTGTCCTGGTCCAGCCCAGCATGCCCATCATTTAACTTTCATGATTCGAGCTAACCTGGTAGTAAGGTAATGGCTGTTGTTGGATCATCATCATCATGTAAAGTGTAAAATGGCACACACCCTTCGTGAGGATCATAGCTTTTATTTACGTGTACCTATTGTCTATTACGAGGATGACGATGGGTGGATGGTGTGTATAGGGTAATTGATGAGTGGCCTCAGTGTAATAGCAGTAGGGGGATTTAAACTTGGGGGACAGCAGCTCCACGACTTGAGACAACGCTTCTCTTCTTTTTCTCCCACCTTTCCTTATTCCATTCACGACATCTCGATCAAGGTAATGTATTATAAAAAAGTGCTCTTGTTGGCTGTGAAGTACTAACATAGTTCTGAACAGGCATTGCCAGGGAGTGAGTGTGTGTCCAAATGCTGAGGAATGAGCGTGGTTGGTGGTTGGTGGTTGCCATGGCGATATGGTTGCTTCCTCTTGTTCGTTGCTATTCCCGCTCTACGCTTGGTGTCAACAGGTACATTCAGAGTCCAATATTGCAGCCGAATTGGTTCCATTGACGCGTCAGCTTGTATAGAGGGCAAGTTTGTTTTCAAGACGTTGGCTGGTTTGGCCTTTTGTTCGGCTCAACTATACTACACCATGGTTTTCGGTTTCTAGTAACCAACAACAACGGGTCTTTGTGTATATGGAAAAGGCAAGTACAATGAAACAAACAATGAAAAGGGTGTTTATTGTGTGTGTGTGCTAATAATGAATTGAATAGGTTTCTTTGGTCAGGCAATGCAACTTGGGGCATCATCATCATCTCTTTGGGTTCAAGTCCCAGCCTGTATCAAGTGGCTGCTGCGTCGCTCTGCACTAGCCAAGTGTGCTGAAAAGACTTCTTGGAACGCGTCCAGGGCTCTATAGGCCTGCGTTGAGTTGATGGGTCGATGACGACGGGTTTTTGGAAGAGCATGGTCACCGTGTTGAGGTAAAAGGGGATTTGCAACAGCTTGTGAATGTGTTGAACCAACAAGCTCTTCTCGTGCTAGGCTCGTTCTTTCTCTTCATGAGGATTTCTTTTCATGAGGTGGGGAATGATTGGAATGATTGGCGATCATTCTTTCTTTGGAGAGGATGAATGAGAACAACTATGAGCCTGGACTCTACGTAAGTGATGTCCTTCCTTGCCATGGATCGAACTGGCCTTGCGTGATTCGTGCAGTGCCTTCTCAAGAACAAGGGATCGCCCGACGTTGCTCGTATGGTGGTGATTTGGTTTGTGAATTCCTTCCGATTTGCTTTCTTCCTTGGAGAGGATCGCCTAACGGTATACCAAATCGTCATCATTCTAATATCAGATGGTCTAACTTGGCTGGTTTTTATTTATAGAGGCGTCCATTACGATGATTACCACATTCACGACAATGGCGATTACAATGATCACCACATTCACAACAACGACAATGATACACAACAAAGAGATTCAAAAGGAAGCCTGCAATATCCCATTCCTTTCTACTTTTGCCGTTTGGATATTCTCACGAGAGCGACGATGGTGATAAAGTAGCTAGACGAAATAAAGCATTATTTATTATCGCACTTGGACTTTGCTAGCTTTTTCTCCTCTTGCTTGTGGATTACTATAACTTTTATCTTGCGTCATTGGGTCAACCAACCAAAACACCATTTTGTTTTGCGCTATCATGTAGCCATAACCAAGTACTTTCCATGGCGTTTGATATTCTAGTAACCGTAAAAAAGTACTTGGGCCAGCATAAATGCTAGTTGTTTCATGGCCACGTTGTCTTTTAAAGGGTGTGTGATTGTTGCAATGGTAGCAGTATACATTCACGATTGGAAGCTATTCACATAAAGCGATCGACCGACCTATCAAGGATGCCGCGTTGCAGTTGCATGAATGAAGCTAATATGTGACCGAGACGGGGTGGCCAATGGTCTTTAAAATACAATGCATGCCATGTGGTCGGCTAGCGCTCATCCAATCATTGAATGCTAAAAGTGAGAAAGGTGCCTTATAATGTGACAAGAATGGCACTCATTTTTGGACAGCTGAAAACACATTGCTATCATCGAGATCGAAAAGGCTGGCGAGATCAATGTACAAACGCATAAACGCAGCTTGGTCGTCTATTCACGGGTTTATTTATCTATGTGCTATGATCGAATGTTTACAAACGGTCACGGGAGTAGCTAAAAATCGCAATGTGAGTTTCTTTGTTGTCACAACAATGAGGATGATGATCTATTTACCTCTTGGAGAATTGCTGGTTGACGGTCATGAACTTGACTTGGGTGTCTTGGTCAATGTTTTGCCAAGGGTAAGGGTTGTTGCGACGGTCCCAGACGACCTCAGGGCCACGAGCAAGGCGGGTCAAGTACCAACCGGCCAAACCACAGGCTACAAGGTTCTTTTAAGTATGATTCCTAAGCATGTCGCGATCGAAACTTACCACCACCAACGGTGATGTAGATAGGGATAATTTCAGGCTTGTACCAGATGCTCCAGAAGGAACGGGCAGCTCTACCAGCAGCGGGACCAGACATGTTGTGTATTGATGAAAAAAAGGGACGCTCAATTATTTTTCGGACCCTGGCAATTTAAACGACACTTAAAGTCCGCGTATGATCCCATCACGGCCATTGGAGCGGATTATCACCATAAAACTGATTGGTATTACAAGGCGGGGAGCCGAGAATGAAAAAACAGATTATTATTCAAGAGGTTGTAAACGATATAGTGGAAGAATGTATCTCAAGACAAGCTTCTAGTGATGACCATGATGATAGATTTTGACGATACCATCAGCACCACCGCTCACCATCCAAGGGAATGACTTGTGGTATTGTACGCTCAGCACTCCTTCATGTCCTTTCCGCCGATGCGCCGAGAATTCTTGGATGCAGTTCTTATTCATTGCAATATCCCATAAGCGTATAGATGAATCATGTCCTAGAGAGGAAACAGTAAGTATCATGCACATCGATTTCAAAAGGTGTAATTACCTCCTGATACTAGCGTTGTACCGCTTGGCTCAATATCGAGTGTCGATACTGCATCGAGGTGCCCAGACATTGAGAATTGGCATTTACCTACTCGATAGCTTTCGTTAGCCTTGCATTCATGCACATCCATCATTCGTCTTACCACTCTTTAGATCGAAAAATTTAATTTGGTGGTCTTCATGGCCCGATACAACCAATGGCATGGTAGGGTGTGTAACAACCTTGTTGATTTGCGTGCCCAATGTGCCATCTATTTCACATGGAAATCAGCATGTTATCACGATGGGTTCAACAAGGTCGGCTTACCATAATTCTCATTGCTTCCTTGGAGTGTTTCAGTCACCTGGCCAGTTTCAACATCAAATACACGGATGTCAGCATTGGTATACGATACGATCATTTTGTTCAAATCGGTATGACAAAAGTCGAGAGATGTTGGTGCTGGTAAACTCGAATCTACAAAGCATACATGATATGTATTGAGCCATATTATCCACATAACTTGTTCATTTTCCATCTTACCTCGTTGACCTTCAGTATTGACACCATTATATGTCAAGGTGCTCTTGAGTAATTGACCAGAGGTTTGGGTATCCCACAGCTTTACGGTGCCGTCAGCAGAAGCAGATGCAAGGAGACATGTATTGTTCCTCGCTATAGGGAATAGCTTAAAGTCCCAAATAGCATCCGTGTGGCCAACGTATGACGTTATGTTCAAGGACGGGTCTGCAAAACGGTTGTTAACAATTAGGAGTATTCGAAAAACCCATATACTTACCCACTGGTGAAAACAATCCATGTCCATCAGGTGGTAGTCGCCATACTCGAATCGTGGTATCCAAGCTTGCGGAATAGACTCGATTTTGTTCCGCTGAAATGGCAACGCTGGTGACAACATTGCTATGTCCTCGGTATGTAATGGTTGGATCAGCTTCCTCATGCGCAGCCCTACAAGTGTATACAATAAGCATAGCGTTCTCTTTATATATCCTTGCTCGACAACCTACTTTCGTGATGAATGACCATCGCTTCCAATAGAGCGCTTGAGATTCCATATTTTCACTGTGCCGTCATCCGATGCCGATGCCACAAGCATTCCCGAATGATGAAAGCTTACAGAGCGCACTGAATCGAGATGTCTAATTAAGGCTAGTCAATAAGGCTGTATGGTTCTCAATCACCTATCCTTACCCCTTGATTGTCACCCTGGGTTTCCACATTTTTGGCTGCTGTTGTTGTGTTGTCTCGGTATCAAGATCGCCAATCTAGTTTACACATAAGCATTTTGATGTACTGTACAAATTCGTATCCCAAGTACTATACCTGTGAGGCATCCAATGAACCTTTCAATGAGTATCCAGAATCATCCTGTGGCTCGGGTGATGACGATCGATCGCTACCTAAAGAAGCCCAAATTCAATACCTGCTATCACATCCCCCTTTTCACTTTCTCCTCAGCCTAATACTCACGTCGTGTTTCCTTACGAGCACTTTTGAGCATCTTTTGCACCTTTTCGTCCGAGAGATTGTATCGTTCCTTGACTTCCTTTGACTATACCACGCAATAATGTCAGCAAGGAAAACGTAACAAGCAAAATGAGTTTATACCCTTTTTCTTTTTCGTACCAGCAGCACATTTTCATCAAGTGAGGTGTCATCCGTATCATTATCCATTTCTTCGCTGTTTGCATCTTCATCAGATATCGTGGCATCGGCTGCTCTTGGTGAGTTGTCTGCATTGTTGTTTAGCATTGCCACCTCATCCACATTGGCAGGTACAGAATCGTTGTTGTTATCTTCTTGTTCGACCATAGCAGGAGCTGATGCAACAGGCGAGGATGTAGAGTCATTGTCAGTAGAGAGCTGTACAGGATTTTTGCCGATCATGATAGAGAATGGGCTTTGTCGTTGTTGCTGGGATGATGAATATGATGATGATCCACGTACAGTACCACCTCTCGAAACGGATTGATTTGATGATTTTGAATCTTTTGGAGTGCTCTTTGCGGATGGTGGACGAGCTGGTGTTGTTGCGAGTTCAGGTGAAGAGGATGAACTGCTTTTGGATGAAGCGGATGTTGGCTGATTGGATGATGATGACGATGATGATCTTATATCACGACGCGTATACATGGCAACGCTGGGATCGAGGGTATGCATAAGGGGGAATTTGGTTGGCATGGATGTGAGGTGGTTGATTTCATCAAGACATCTACGCATAACATTTGTTGGTATATAAGCTAAGCAATACTCCACCATATAACTCACGATTTCAATACTTGACGATTTCGTTCTCGTGCTTTGCTGTTGCCAAGGTACTCATTGTTACTTGATATGGCTTGCGTCTTTGGAATAACTTCTTTGTGCATTGCTGGTGATGACGCTGATACTATTGAATGAATGTAAGCAAAACGATTAAAAATTCAAGTTTCCCATCTACTTGCCAGTGTTTGGAGAATCCGTATTACCAACATCAGAAGGTTGATCTTGAGTAGACGATAAATGTCGTTTCCTAGTGATTCTTTTTAGTATACATGTTCAGCCTAACAAGCCATCATACCTCTTACCTCTCTTGTCGCAGTGCAAATTCGAGCATCTTGACCCTTTTCATAAGATCGATCTTGACATTTTCCATCCCACGTCGTTCTCCTTCAAGCAATGCAATATGGGCCTTATAGAGTATTCAAAGTTAGTGATGATCCATCCATAAATGACCACATGACTCTTATACCTTTAGCTCGGATCGCTCTATAGCCCATTCATTCCTTTCACGCTCGAAACGGCGCCACTCTGCTTGTAGATAATGCAACACTCCCGGCAGCGTATATTCGTTGGGGCCCTCACTTAGCATAATGCATATATTGTTTCAACCGATTGACTCGACACTTGTCTACAAGAGCGAAATGAGTGTGCTTTAGAATGTGAGTTTGCAGTAAAGCGGGCATAGTCTTTGCAGAATGCTGCTCTTGTTTAAGTAAAACTTGACTCACGATTGTCTGGTATTGGTCGCTCTACTACGATGCTCAAGATGAACGATTGCTCTTCGAAACGTCGCGGGATTGTAGAAATTGGATGGGGTTGGTTTATAAAACACGGGTGGGAGGAGAAAGAACAAGGTGGTAGAGAGAAGAGCGGGGAATCGAATAAAACCCCTTAGAGCTGCTGCTCAAGCTTACTCACTCTGTCCACACGACTACGCAATCCAGCCGTGATAAGGAGTACACAGCATGCTGTTGTTATTGCTGACCATGACTGCATACCTTAAGACTAAAATGACGGCGATGGGATAGGTATTGGATTTCCAATTTGAAGAGGAGTCTAGCGGCACTTCCATAGTCGCTGCTTCTATTAGCATAAATATCACCTTAGATAAAGAGGCAAGATTACACCTACAAACCATCACGTGATTGGAATTAACAAAGGCGGATCTACCTACTTAATGAAGCATGTGGTACCTGTGATACTCATTCTATATCATTGTTTTTATGCTCTTGAACAATCCTGTGGAAGCAGTTATAGGGTGATCTATTGACCTACCAAAATGATAATAGTACACAAGTTTGAAAAGATGTTGCATCCTATGTTTTTATTGTCAAAGGGTAAATTTTCTAAAGGACGTGTGGTGTGACAATTGAATGGGTGGATCAACATAGTAGCATGGTTGGTTGATGGACGTGTGGATGAGATAATGCGGGGAGCAATGTCGTATTCTCGGTTCATACAATCGGAGCCAAGACTCATGTTAGTCCAATAAGCATCAGCAGCATGTTTACCTAAGGTGGTTGATAAGAAAGACAATGTTGTATTTGACGAAGGATTGATAGTATAATGCACTGTTGCAAAAGATGAGCGATTGAGTATACGTAATGAATCAAGAATTATAGAGTGGGTTCTGGGTCTGCGCACGTACCAAAATGTAAAAGCGTTCCTTTTAAAGACGAGAGAGCATAGTCAATTCAGGGCCCACAACCCAAAAAAGTCCGCGTGGGGTTGTGAGTGATTGTTTCTGTGCCAACCACCTGTTGGCGCTACAATCGATTTCTCTCCCTTCTTTTTTATCCAAAACCTCGGCCGCAATTCAACGATGGGATCTCCAAGCATAATCAAGTCTCCTATATTCAACGTCGTATTCCTATTGGTCTCGATGCAGATGGCCAAGAGAATCAACTGGGATGATCCCAACACCTTGTTGTATGCTCGTATTGGCTATTACGGTGCTCAAGTCCTCGTTATTGGTATGGCGTATATGCTCATTGGTCTTATCAAGAAGCGTAATGGTATGTATCGTGTTACAGTGAGGACAATGATGTTTAAATGGGTATTGGTATTGGTATTAATGGGGATGCGATATCATAGATAGAACACCCTTGCGATATGTGCCCCAAGCATCGATGTCTAATCCTCAACCAAGTGAGAGTGAGAGCGTGACAACCACCAATGTGGAATATGATGTCTCCCAACTTCAACAATTCATCAAGCAAACTGGAACTTCTATTTTGATGATCTCGGCTATGCACTGGTACTTTAACTTTACCCAACCCTTGGTGTTGCAATCCGTCATGCCTATCAAGAACCTGTTGACCCACAAGGTGGCTCTCATTCATCTTTGGGGTGATGCACCCGTTGGAGATTTGAAGCGTCCTTTCAAGGTGGAGAGTCCATTTGCTGCTTTGCTCGGCGGTGGCAGCAGTGGCAGTGAATCATCTACAGAGACAACAGCTGCAGCAGATGATGGTCATGCCAAGAAGGAATAAGGTGTTAGGCTATAAAAGTAGGAAGGATATTAGTTTAATCAACTTGAAGACATCAATTAGATTCGATAAAAGGAGTGTATCTATTTTTCTCTGGCTGTAATTGGTTCTCTAGATGATAGACGTGGCAACCCCATTGTCGCTTTGTGCGCGCCTTTTGTTCATACCCAGCTTTTGATAAAGAAAAATTCGGATCCCATGTCTTTTTATTATATGCCTTATTCTACCTTGCAATGACAACAATGCGATGATGCATCCGTTGTAGCTAATCGTAGTTGAGGATAACGTTGTATTCTAGAAACATTGGATGGCATCTAGGATGGATTGTATGGGGACCTCTAACAAAACCACAAGTTGTCTTTGTGCATGTGGTGTTTTACGAGTGGGACACGAATCATTGATGGAACCCCGATCCTTCCAAAAAGTTTTTTTGGATACATGATGATACTTCATGGCTATGTACGAGCAACCTCCTTTCCTAATGGGCTGGAGATATGACGATACATACTCGGCCACCTACCTTGTTACTTCGAGGGTGTGCTTTTGAAGATCTGATTATCATCGATAACATTATACATTTCAAAGAGAAAAAGAAAATGATATTTGAGAGTAGCCGTGTGTCGTCATGGCAACCTAACAGCATTACCACCATCATCAGCGTAACCTTTATAAATGTACTCTGAAAAGATGTATGTAGCAAGCGAAAGGAAAATATCCCGAGTATGCAACCTTTCAATCACACCTCGTAACAAGCCATTTCAAAGTTGGCTATTGTTCTTCTCTTTGTTTCTCCACTTGTTACTGCGAATTCATATACTATCGTCATTGTTTGATCGTGTCATGTTGCTCGACAATAACAATATGACGATGAACGAGACCAGCTTCAAATCTCCGTATCCATAATTTGTCTTTTGTGCCGGAGGGATCAGCTATACGGAATGTTTTTGTCCTTGGTATGGTGAATCACCACAGCTATTATTTAAATCACGAGTTATAAAAGAGGTGCGAGCACTGTCATTTGGACGTGAATTTTTTTCTCTTCCTTTCGTTTACCCTTATATACATCAAGCCGTTCATTTATCTTACTAGCTCTAATATAATATATATCAAACCATGCGCTCAGGACTATTGTATGTTGCAGTTTGCTTGACACTTGCCGCCTTTACTCAGGCCGCTGATGCCAAAACTGGTAAGTTAGATAAAATGCACGCGTAGATTGCGTATCGTTAATGATCCTTCTTGTTGATCCATAGTTACCGAATATAAGACTGTGACCAAGACCGAATACCGAGAACATGGTAAGTTTTGCAATAGATGATCCTCATACATGACAAAGTATGTAACACGAGCTCCATGCAGAGGGCACTGCCTCCGACACTACTGGTGTTGGTGAGATGCCAACGACCACAAGCAAAGAAAAGGGTGGTGATAAGACAACAACAGAGTTTGACAATGGTGGTCCTAATGATACTACAAGTATGCCAGCACCACCCCCTGGTGAACAAGCCAACCCTCCAAAGGGTGATGATATGACTTGGTCTTCTTCATCAGCTTCCCCCACAGATACAGATGCTCCACCAGCACCTAGTGATACAAATGCTCCTCCACCTCCACCTGGTGAACCCCAACAACCTCCAAAGGATAATAAGGCACCTCCTCCACCACCACCTGGTGCTGATACAACCACTACAACCAACATGGGTGCTCCTACCACTAAGCCTGCACCACCACCTGGAGCTACCAATGCCGCTGGCGGCAAAAAGAGCAAAGCTAGTAGCGCAGCTAGTGGCAAGAGCAGCAATGGATTCACATTTAGCCCTATCACTCTTGCTCCCGAAAGCAGCATGTCTCATAAGCCTACAACTCTTCGCGAAATGACAGCAAGCAAACCTTCAGCATCTGCATCTGGCTCTTCGCAAGATAGCGCTGCCAACAACTTTTCACCTGCCTCCTTTGCTACCATTGCAGGCTTTACCATGGCTGGTGTCGTTGCTCTCATCCAGATGTAATAGAAGAATGACTTCTTTGTTTACTGCTAATAATGCATTTCTTCATTCATTCAATAAAAAAAGCGTTGTGTTACACTCGTCCACTTTTATGCAGCAGCGGAGGCTCATTGTTCATTTTGCTTTTCTTCACGTGCAACGTCTTTATCTTTCTTTGTTTCCAATCTTTCAAAAGATAACATCAGCTTCTTCCTCTCTGTTGTAACAACATTCACGTCGAGTCATTGGTGGATCTGCCTTGGATACATTTGCCAGGTATTCCATTCCCACTCCATGTCAAAATGTCAAACGCGCTCATTTGGCGTTGCCCCTTTGATTGAACGATAGATCTATTCACGCCATGCAACCAAGAAAGAAGGCAAGATACACGTATCAACACGAATGGTAAGTGTGTTATGCTTATAAAAGAACACTCGAATGTAACAGGTATCCAATCAAAAGGTGTCCTACTAGGTTGCCGTTGGGTACCTCCTTGGAGAATCTTAGCACAAGTCATCCAATGCCTGTGATTGGCTCTTCAGCACCTCTTGGAGTTGACAATGAAAATGCTATCAGTCGTTGGTTGGATGAGGAAGAAGCGCTTATCAGTAATGATGAAAACAAGGCGTCAAGCTCCATGGATGCACTCCACCAGGTATGAATACCATCAAACTTGGATCTCGATGCGTCGTTGACAAATCTTGTAGTTTCGGTCATTCAGCACGCAACCGCCTGCTCAGCCAAGTGCGCAACATCATCGATCACCAATGACACAATCAATTGCACCGCTTACTCAATCAATAGCATCATCCTATCAGCAACAACAACAACGACAACAACGACAACTAGGTATATCGGATATGGCGGCATTGGATGCAACGTATACTGATAAAGGCATGCTATTAGGATCCAATGGTGTACAGCTGCGTTCGCCCAACGAGATTGGTACGTGTTTTTTGATGCGTAGGAGAGAAAAGGAAGCGGTGCATGTTGACCCCTTTGTTTCACATAGGCTTACCATATCGAAATGTCTTCAAGTTTAAATTTTTCAATGCGATGCAATCATCCTGCTTCGATCAAGTAAGTTCACACAAGGTTGATCAAGTCCACGTGATTGATTTCTCATCATCTTCCTTTTTCCCTTGTCATATGTAGGCTCTATACACAGATACCAACATGGTCATTTCAGGCAAGTATCCAAACGCTGTATTTGTCTCACAAAGTTGCTTATCCATATTTGTTTCGCCAGCACCCACTGGATCAGGCAAGACGGCGTTGATTGAGCTCGCAATGATACGCGTACTGTCCTCTGTCAAAAGCGAGGGGAAGATCATATACATGGCGCCAACCAAAGCCTTGTGCTCGCAAAAAGCAAAAGAATGGTCTCAAAAGTTCAAATGCCTTGGAGCGACATGTAAGTGGTTGTATCGGGGTATATGCCATTTATAGTCACTCATCATCATTGTTGGTTTTAAAGGCAAGGAGTATACCGGTGACACAGATTTCGCTACTGTGAGTGCCATCAAAAGTAGCACGATCATGTACGTTTGTATTCATCTATCTGCTATCCAGGAGCTTAACCTTCAACTTGCATCCTAGTGTAACGACACCCGAAAAATGGGATTCAATGACACGACGCTGGAAAGACCACAAGCAACTCATGAGCTTGATAAAGCTATTTGTGGTAAATCAATGAACGAGTCATATCTTCAACTTGTGCCATATTCATTCTCCTGGTTATTTATTATATAGATCGATGAAGTCCATATCCTCAACGAAGATCGTGGTGCCGTTCTTGAAGCATGCGTGAGTCGTATGAAGGTAAGCATTAGGAGATTGTGATTTGTAGAAGGTGTGATCTCTCATGATGATGGTGATGATTTTAGACCATGCAGCACAATATTCGATTTCTTGCCATATCAGCAACGGTGCCAAATGTGAATGATATTGCAGAATGGCTTCAGGGCGAGGGTAAGCAGTGGGCTGATGGTATCCATGTTCTGGCAGAGTGTTGGCTAACATTGTATAAAATAGCTCTCACCTTCTCGGAAGAATTCAGGCCAGTGAAACTTGAAAGGATCGTCTACGGCTTTCCATTCAGCGGCGACAACATGTTCGTGTTCGATAAAAGGCTCGATTGGAAGTGAGTTTACTGCTTGCTGAAGGATCACGTGAAATTCTATGCATGGGCTGACATCGTATCTAGGCTATTGGAGATGATTGAAAACCACAGCAATGACAAGCCGGTATTGATTGTAAGGTTTTTGACACGGAGGTTTTTAATTACATCCATTCCTAACAAGCCATATGTAGTTTTGCTCGACACGCAAATCCGCCCAGGGAGCTTGTGAGACGCTTTGCAAATTGATGGATAGCAAATCCATTGCGACTTTGGGGTAAGTTTTACAAGGGATAAAGTTTGAACACATTTTCTCACATACATTTGCATCCAACGTAGTTCCAATGCCTATAGACCAGATACCGTTGATGTCAAGGACAAAAAGCTAAAGGAGCTCTTCAAACGTGGTATTGGATATCATCATGGTAAGCATACACGTAGTACTTACGATGATGCATTGCTAACGTGCCATTGTACTCTTAGCTGGATTGGATGCAAAAGATCGAGCTGCGGTGGAAGGACAATTCACAGATAGGCGTATCCGGGTTGTAGGTTGGTGATTATTGTCTCGTTGCTATGTCTTCCAGAGATTGATGATTTCCTTTCTTCTATGTGCGCAACATCCAGCAACAACGTCGACATTGGCTTTGGGAGTAGGTGTCCTTGTATTGTTTTCATTCTTGAAGATTCGTTGCTCACTTTTTCTCGCTCAATGTCTAGGTCAACCTGCCTACTTATCTTGTCATTATCAAATCGACAAAATGTAAGTGCCTTGAAGTATGCCATGATGTCGAGGGGAAAAGGCTCATGTATTGTTGGATTAGGTTATCAAAACGGTTCTATGGTGGATTATTCTGATATCGAGCTTTTACAAATGATTGGTCGTGCCGGTAGACCTGGTATGGAGGATGCTGGTTGTGCGGTGATCATGACAACAGCCGAAAAGGAAGAGCGTTATAAGACTATCGTTGATGGTACAGCACCTATCGAAAGCTGGTAAGCCAATCATTCGACATTACATTCATCTTTCTCGACTACTAATACCTTCTCACTAGTCTACATCTTAACCTGATCGAGCATTTGATGAGTGAGATTTGCCTCGGAACAATAAGCGACAACGAGTCCCAAAGCAAATGGTAATACGGGAAGCTGTAATACATCCACGCGTTTTACTAATATATGGTATTCCTCAATGTCCACTAAGGTTGCGGTCTACGTTTCTTCATGTGCGAGTACAAAAGAATCCGAATCACTACAACATCCATAATACATCATCCATCCGGGGATCAGCAGCAGCGGCAGCAGAAGAGATCTTGCAAGGTAATAATGGAGGAGAGTGGATTGGTAAAAGTGCCTGATGATTGGATGTGCTGATAATCCCCTTAATAGTTATTGGCCAAAAGTGCTTTGATGATTTGGTGGAAACCAATCTGGTTGGGAAACGAAGAAACCCTGGACAAGCTTCCAACAGCTATAACGCCACAGGTATGTGATTCACAAATAGCCGCTGGATTGGTTACTCATTTATTCAAAGCGTATGGCGATGCAATGGACAAGTATTATATAAAGTACAATACGATGAAGACCATCATGGCGTCAAGCTCATGCAGCTCAGTACGGGACGTGGTAAGGATACATATCATTGTGCTCTAATATGAGGCTCACATATAGCCATTGTATAGCTCGAATTGGTGTCACATGCTGAAGAATTCGCTTCCATGAGGTTTACTACCGGAGAGAAGCCGTTTCTCAACTCGCTCCAAAAGAATCCCAATATTCGTTTCCCTACTACCACTGGAAAGGTGTCTTCTATAGCTGACAAGATATTCTTGGTCATCCAAGTAAGCTGCATTCATTGGTTGTATTTAAGCATGCTGACACATGCTATATCTTCTAGTGTGTCTTTGGCGATATTTCTTTGTATAACACATCAGTCGGGAGCAATCTCGCCGTATCGAGCGTGCAAATATTGCATCAAGCATCACGTATTACAAAATGTAAGTAGATTCGCATTCAAGCTTATAGTATATGACGTTAATATGGCTATGAACACCAGGTATCATTGACTGCAGCATTCATGAGAAAGATGCCATCAAGCTGAAACATGCACTTGGATTACACCAAAGTCTCCAGGCTAAAATGTGGCCCAGCTCGTCGTATGTGACCAGGCAGATTGATAAGATAGGCAAGCAAATGTCGACGTCCCTTGTCAAAGCGGGTGTTACGAGTTTTGAGCATCTTCGGCAGTTGGATGCAGGCCGTATTGAATTGGTAAGTGCGCGATACGGTGTCACATGTTGTTGCTAAAAAGCTTTGCTCATTTTTCACTGGCAGATCCTTCACCGCAATCCTCCCTTTGGAAATCAGGTACATGATGAATTAGTTGTCTTGGATAAGCACGTGAGCTAATTTTAAGAACATACCAGATCAAGGATGCTGTGGATACTTTGCCAATGTTCGACTTGGTTATGCAAGCTGTGAGTTTCTCGTTCCCAAAAACCCTAATGATATGGTATCTCACGTTGTAGTCTTTTGAATTGTTATAGATTGATAGCAAGAACAAAGCCCACAACAAACGAGTGACATTGCAGCTTGATGTTTCGGTTTCCAACAGCAAGACCATTCCTTATCGAAGATTCGGGAAAGGATGCTATGCACAAGTGTGGACGGAGACGGATCAGCATCAATTACTCGATTTCAGACGCATATCGTAAGTGCTCATGTTTGCTCTGATTGATCAAACAACACAATACTGAGAGGGAATGATAGCGTTCAGAAGCTTCAAGAAAAGAGTCAACGTTTCTACATAAGCACTGAGAGATGTTCTCAACCGACAAAGATCACCTGCTATGTGCAAAGCGAGGGCTATGGTAAGTTTACAAGGACAATGGGCAAAGATAAAGCGCTCATGGTTGTACTTTTCAAGTTGGATTGGATATCTCAAGGACTTTGCTCATTGATGGATCTACAAGCGAAGCACCCTCCAATGGTGTTCAAATGGCAATGCAGCCAAAAGATGATGTAAGTAGTCACTTTCTCTTCTCGCTGATGATGTTTACTTGGATGAAAGCTCGTTGGAATTAATATCTTGTCCTATTAGCAGCACGTTGTTACCACGGAGAATCTCATTGGAGTTGATGTGCCCTTCTTTGATGATATCAGCTTCGATTCGGATACATGGCTTAACCTCTCTGCTGGCAACACGCCACCCGTGTCACGAGAGAATGGTGATTCGACCTTGACAGCGGCTCCTGGAAACAGCAAGAACGCGAACAACAAAGTCTCTGATACCGCTACCACTACGAAGGGGAAGGAAAAGGCACGATCTTCTCGACGCAGGAAAGGAAAAGAACCACAAGAGTAAGCAAAAATGGAGCCTTAGCCCTATCATGGCGATGTTAACCCTTATCCAACTATAGGTGCAAGCACAAATGCCGCAACAAAGAAACGTAAGTAGGGTATCATCAATCTTTATTGGATATTGTTCATTGATTCATGGATCTCTTTAGTTGCAAACATAGCTGCTGCAAATTCAAAGTTGAGCCCACGATTATCCAATTGGATGACACGCCAATCGCAACACCAAAACCGACACAAGAAGAGCTGCTCTATGAATGGGATAGCCTGATGGATGACCTAAGTATAGCTCTTACGCCAATGCTAGCAACAACGAGTATTGATATCCCGCAATCATCACCACAACAACCAACAACACCATGGCATTCTATCCCGGCTGAAGATCCTCTTTCAGATCATGACGAAGACTGGCAACAATTTATTGACGAGATAATGAAAGAAGCTGAAAATAAGGCGTCAACAGAAATATCGACACCCGCAAATACGATTGTCTTGTCGGATGGTCCTTCGTTGTTGGATGAGGGTATCGATGAACGAGTGCCAGTGTTCAATATTGAGGATCAACCACAGCCACGAAATCCAACACGTTATGCATTTTGGGATAGCATTGGTGACTATGCATATCGCACGCTCAATTCTCAACGAAATCCTGATACCACAACAAGGTCCATAAATGTCTCGACATCGACATCATCATTGTCACGAATGGTTCCTCTTCCAACTTCCGCTATAGGTCGTATGATCGCTAGCACCACAGCCAAGAATGACAACACAACGCACCAACAACAACAACAAGCATCAAAGCAAAAAAGTAATCGTAGTAATAGTATTCCAACACGACGGCTAGATGAAAACGCTACCATTGTACCTTCCACACAACCCGATTGATGATGATAACTCCTATTACAAATGCCTTGTAGGGGTGGTAGTTCTAAATACAATTGTGTACTAGCTATTGTGAGGGCTGTTGTCAATGTTCATTGTTGTTGTTGTTGTTGCATACTGCGGATCAGCTGTCGTAAGTCTTTACGTATGTGCTTGACTCGGATATCCTTTTTGGTGATGCGCGTGAGACGCTCTGGTGGGACATTTCCTCCTGTTTGTAATAGCCGTTGAACAAGATTATCCGTGATTGCAATAACGTACACACCACAATCTGCACTATTGTTCTGTTGGGGTGTTTCCACTGGTACGAAAGCAGGCGAGTGCTGTAAACCAAGAAGAGGTGTCAATTGTGCTCTTGTGAGTTGTGCTTCCCGTCCATTCGATTGTCCCATGCTGTCATAGTAAAAGAAGGCGTTGAAGCGACGAAGGAAGACCATGAGCGACCAATGTGATCCACTGTATGCTGCCAAAGGACGAGAGTCATTGATGGGTATAAAGATCGCATCTGCCTTGTCGAGATCACGAGGAAGTGCTGATGATAAGTACGTTGGATCTAATGATAGGTGAATTGTTGTCAGGTTTCCCATCACATGGTAGCACTATCCTATCCCAAGCTTCCCACCCTCATTTCCCTTCAATCTTGCCTTGGATATGCACAATCAACTCGACCATACCAGGCCGCAGAAGTAGTATTTTGAGTTTGCTGTCACTGCTAATCACATTGCGATCGAGGTACTCCATGTGGAAGTCGAGAATGGCATCGTTCAGCCAACAGTGATCGGCCAGGGTATCATAGTCCTTAAAGTAGATACATACAACTAAGCCTTTGAATAAAAAATGGCCTTGACACACATACACTCTACTTACATGCTGTCGAATGACAACATCGTGGTAATGCAATAGCGGTTTACTAGACGAAGACATACGTGAAGCCCATCCCAGAAAACGTTCCATAACAAGATGCAACCACTATATGTGGCTTAGATAGAAAAGAACAAGAAAGAGCAGCAGTAAAAATAGATTTCAAAGAAGTGTGTTTATTATGTAAAGTTTATATGGGTATGGGGGGATGAAAAGCTTTCCTTGATAAAGCAAAAGGTTGCTGATATCTATAAACCAGAGCAATACATGAGTCATCACGTCTTCCATTGTTATAAGGAATGAAAGGGAAGAAGTGAATGAAAAGTTGGGTATCAGCAGTTGTTTGTAAGGTAGCTAGTTGTTTTTCATCATCGTTTACGAAAAACTAAAGCCAAATGCCAGAATCATCATATCCAACAAGGAAAGAGAATAAAGGGAAGGGAAGAGTATGGGAAGGAAGGGATCAACAACTTACCAAGTGAGCATAAAAGAATGCGAGACAAGAGAACAAAGAAAAAACAAGGAGAGCAGAGCTCACGCACTTCATTTATAGTTTCGCGTAGCGGTTTTTGAAAAAGAAAAAAACTTTTTCCAAGTCGGTGGTTACCCATGACAACGCATTTGACGGAGCAGAAAAAGTCTCGCGTTGCTAGGCTACTGGCAAGATCTTGAATGATCACCATCATGCATGTTTACACAATGGCCATGGAAACCATATCACAGATTTTCTACCTTGTGATCCAACATGATCCTCTTACAGTAATTGGCTGATCCAAAGAGGCACAACACGATGCCTTGATTCTAACACCCTTCTTTTTCCGGGTCCCAAGCACTAGACTCAGCAACGCCGCTCATCCTTCATGATGTTGTGCGCGACAATAACAGTGGCCATCCATTCTTCGTTCTAGAAGCTGACATGGCGTTGCAAGATGAAGGTATTGGGAATGCACATGAAGACCCGCGTTAAAATTTTCTTATGCAAATGATCGCTTCTAGGCTCGAGATGTTGTGCATTCGGCTTAATAGACGCCTGTCAGATGTCAGATCGAGAGGTATAGGTTTTTCTCTTACCAAAGGCACTCGAACAGCGACAGCCAATGATTTTGTTAATGCCCACTATCGATTATGGTAACTCAGCAAATGTCCCCCCCTTTAGTGAGCTTCATTGTGTTGTAGGCAACTCCCTGTAAGATCTCTTATCCATAAGGCGAGGAGATCCTCTTACTGTATGACGTATTCAGCAGTCGCATTCGAAGTAATTGATTCAGCTATGTGTATGCTATATGCACAGCTTTCATGTGCCTGCATGAAATTCGCCATTGCATTGATTTTGTGCGCGTAGTAGTCTTTGGATATCAGTTCAATGTGCGATTCAAGCGACTCTGCGTATAGCAGTAACTTTTACAGATCGTATCTAGTTTGACATAGACCGGCATTGTAAACTGCATCAGGTGAGCGCTGTATATGCCTGCATTTGAGATTGCGTCCTTGGCTGCATGATATCATCTAGCAGGTCCTATTTTGGCGTACCAATCCTCTGTAGTGACTCGCATGATACCTCGTGGCAGTAACAAACGATATTGCTCATAGTTAAGCTCCTACGTTGGGTTTGGTAATGGGATGACCATAGCTTAAGTGTAAAAGAGTAATTGAAAATGAGAGTCGAGTTGTGGCATTTACATTGATTGATGCTACGAAACAAACATGAGACCTTACAGCAATAGCAATATAACCATGCATGGTCGTTATCCACATGACAAATGCTTGAACCGATTTTTGGACCAGCTTATGGTGTATGTGTTTTTTCTTTGCTCTTCCGTTTCCATTTTATTTGCAACGAGACCATCGTCATCGTTATGACAACGTTGGTAGAATGATACGGTCGGCTTGTTGGGCCGCACAATTGGAAAAGATATAAAGAGGCAAGCACAAAAAATGCAGGGTAATATCATCAACTAGAAAATCTATCAATACATTCAAAGACAATGATGACCAAGACATACGCTTTCTTTATCGCTTTGGCATTTATGGTTAGCTTGGTGCTTGCTGGCGGACATTACCATGATGACGAGGGTGATTGTGATTCTTACGGCGGCGTCAATCCACCTCCTGGTCAACAACCACCTCCTGGTGGTGTGTATCCAACAGGTGGCACCTCCACTGTTACCGTTACCTACACCGAAACTGTCACTGAGACATCCACCGTCACTGGTGCACCCACTGGCAACACTGGAAATGATAACAATAACGACAACAATGACAACTCGGGTGCATCCAGGTATGTGTTAAACGAAGGATAAATGTATACCGGCAATACTCAATCGCATGTTTCATAGTCACTTGGCTGGTATTCTCCCCGTTGCTATGGCCGTTGTTGCTGCAGGTTACCACCTTGCCTAATTCTACCGAAATTTATACGAGTCAACAAGAACATTGTAGTATGAATACTCTCTCCCAGTCTACAACATATATAATAAAGGGGCTCTCTATACATCAATCTATTTCCTATACTCAGCAAGGTTTATATCATTTGCAAGCAGTTTTTTGTTGTGATGAGCAAGAATGTGTGTATGGTTTGCTTTAATGTTGTTAAATACAAGAACGTGAATGAGGACAAACAAAAAGAGGGGAGTAATGAATCAGGTTCTTAGACACCGAGCAAGAAGCGTCTGGGATCTTCAACCATCTCCTTGAGTCTTACAAGGAAGGTAACGGCTTCACGACCATCAACAAGACGGTGATCGTAAGTGAGAGCGACATACATCATAGGGCGGATTTCAACCTATTGATATTACATAAGCATTCTGTCATCGACCAAGAGCCTCCTACAAGTTGTTTTTCTTACCTTGCCATTGACAGCAACGGGTCTTTCCTTGATAGCGTGCATACCAAGAATGGCGGTTTGGGGCATGTTGATGATGGGAGTACCCATGAGCGAACCAAAGACACCACCATTTGAGATAGTGAAGGTACCACCGGTCAAGTCTTCGATGGTAATCTTGTTATCACGTGCCTAATAAAAGGTTGCGTGTTACACAAGAATGTCCCATTGTCCATCTTTTTCCATTCCCACTTTACCTTGGTGCTAAGACCAGCAATGTTCTTTTCAATATCAATGAAGCTCATATCCTCAACGTTGCGAAGGACGGGAGTAACAAGACCCTTGGGGGTAGACACAGCAACGCTGATATCGACATAGTCGTGGTAAACGATCTCATTCTCCTCAATGTATGCGTTGACAGCAGGCAATTCTTCAAGACAAACAGCTGATGCCTTGACGAAAGCAGACATGAAACCAAACTTGACACCATGCTTCTTGACAACAGCATCCTTGTATTCCTTACGCAAGTTCATAAGGTTGGTCATATCGATTTCGTTGAAGGTGGTAAGAGCAGCAGCGGTTTCTTGAGATTGCTTAAGACGCTCAGCAATACGAGCACGCATGCGGTTCATTTTCACACGGTTTTCAGTACGGTTACCCAAGGTCTTCTTTGCAGGTTCTTCAGGTGCAGGTGTGCTTGAAGGAGCAGCAGCAGGTGTGGGAGGAGCAGCAGCAGCGGGTGCAGGAGTAGGTTCGGCAGGCTTTTCTTGAGCAGCAGGCTTTTCTTCAGCAACAGGCTTCTCTTCAGCAGGCTTGGGTTCTTCCTTGGGAGCAGGTTTGGCAGCACCTTCCTTTGGAGCATCACCCAATTCAAGCTTGAAGAAATCAGCACCAACAGCGACGTTGTCTTCTTCTTGAGCATAGACTTCAATGATGGTACCAGAAGCAGGAGAGTTGACAGTGACATCCACCTTGTCAGTTTCAATAGTGGCAACTTCCTCATCTTGTTGGACAAACTCGCCAACCTCTATTATTCACCATGAGCATACTTTATATATCCATATTCCCCCTTCTTCTTCTTACGTTTGACCCATTGCTTGAGAGTGCCTTCAGAGATAGATTCGGCCATTTGTGGGACCTTGATCACCTTATCAGCTATATACATAATGATGGTTTAGTATACCCCATAATAGCTCTCCCATATTCCCAATATCTTACCATAATGTCTAACTTGAGTACGGGAGACACCAAAGCTAAGAGGGTGTTGACTATAGCAATATCAGCCACGTGTCATCATTATGCATATGAACCCAAGTGAACCTTACCTTAAGCGATCCGAGCGCATGTACATGGCAGCTGGTGCTTGAACGTGCAAGTTTCTTGCTTGACGGAGACCGCGTACCATAGAAGCAGCGGTAATACGGCGGGTAGAACCGGAAAGAGAGCGCATGGCAATACGAGAAGACTGCATGTTGAAAGATGGCAATGTAAAGAGAGGGGCGTTAAATGACGACTGGGATTGAAGCCAGCTTAATGTGTAAAGAAGAAGAAAGGTTGAAAAGGCTGTTTCGTAAGAAAAAGAGCCGGGGTTTCCAGTTGACCACGCACGCGGCGGAAGACCACAAGGAGTCACGAGCGGGATGCGGATTCACCGGCTTCATCCGTATGTGAAAAAAGTCTTTACATCATAAAAGAAAGAGAAATAAAATGGCACCAATGGTATATGACTATGGCATTGATTATATTATCTTAAGCAACCTTTACATCAATCATTATCACTTATGGGCAATGGTAATCCCCTCCCCACATTGTACTCTTATGGGAATGGCTATTGTCAAGCGCTCCCTTAAAGGGGTCCTCATTGATCGCTGAAGAAAAGTTTATCCGCATTTTCAGGCGCGTCGGAAATGAATCCCCGGTTGGACCCGTCATAGCCTTTTTCACTCACATGTGCGTTGCCCTTTCTCCATGTCTTTCCTTAAACAAATGAATGTATACCCCACAAACCATTTTATTGTTATGCTTTTCTTGCTCGAACTATTATGGGTTGAAGCCATTTCTTCCTTGCCATGAATCCAAATAGCCACATTGTTATTCGAAGGAATACACGATTTCCCACAGGAGGTAGCACATCCCATCTTGCTGCTTGCTCGTATTGCCGTTCAATGAATCTACTCAATCCTCCAAAGATATGATCTTGATCCAAAGCTTTCATATGGACATCCGTGTAACCCATAGCAACCATGCGTTCCTTATATTCGTTCATTGTCACCAGGTTGGCTGGAGGTATTCCCAATACATGTTGACAAGCATACTTGAGGATGGCATTGCTGTCGGCCAATTGTGTCGCCGCCAAGTCGTACAAGCCAATACTACCGCCTGGGACAAGCCGGGATAATGCGGCCTCGAAAAAATCCCACCGTGTAGCATAATGATAAGCAGAATCAATGCTGATGACATGATCAAACAACGCTTCGTCTTTGAAAAGGTCATGGATATCAGTGGCTGAACCTTCAATGAGTTGAATACGATCTTCCAATTGTGGGTATTGTGTCGCCAAACGTGAGCAGGATATTTTCCATTGTTCGGATTCATTGGTCACGCCCTATTCATCTGCATTCAATATGACACTATCACAGGTACAAAGCAATGATCTCAATCCTTACCACCACTTGACAATTGTATTGGTCTAAAACAAAGATAAATGATAATCAACATGATGCTCACATATACAAATCACTCAACCCATGTGTTACCAGCAAGTAGAAAGCATGAATCACCACATCCATAACCGACGTCTATTATGTAATCGATTTAGCTCGTGTTGTGTATGCATGTGTCATATCCTCCTTACCCAAAATACGCGTGTTCCTTTTTAGCTGCATACTCGTTACAACCTTTTCCACTAATCGAGCACATGCTTCGCTATACGTTTGTGTCGTCCCTTCCCAGTAGCCCATGTTGAACCATAGCGTCCTTGGAGGAATCTCGAGATTGAAGAGTACATGCCGCAACTTGTAAAGACTGTCGCCATCACCCGTACTTGGAGAATCAAGCAAGATCCATGCGAGACCGAGAGCGTGAACATAAAGCAACACAAGGCGTATCGTCCCGTCAACCGTTACCACGATGAGTGGCAGTAGCAAAACATACAAGGATAATGGCAGTGACATGTCCAAGTCCCCGGCAGCAGCTTCGTACCCCTTGATGTAACTTTATTTGTGTTACTCGTCTTTCTTTCAACATGCTGTGCCTTGGCAATCACTTTCTACCACATGATGTCATTGTTGGCATGCCATTCCAAGAGCTTTGATTAGATTATGTAGCATTAAGAGTTTATTACAGTAATCATTTGCCACTCAATACAGTCTTTGCTATTTTACAACTAGAGCGTACAATATCCATCTCTGTATCATTCAATCCAGAATTTGGTGCTCGGATAACCGTTTCTTGTAAAAAGAACATGCAGCCTTGAGCCAACGTTCGCATCTCTGAGATTTTGGCAAACACGCCACCCACAGCTGTTGCACCACCATCCTTGAGTTGTAAAAAGAGATGTACAAAGAATAATTCCAGCCATAGTCGTCCATTGTCACCAAGCGTCATGAAATTGATACTCCTTAATATGCTCAAGGACAATGCATCCGTTGCCACAAGGCTGGCATAGAATTTGGCCACATTCAAGATACGTCCCACTCGAACCTTGCTTGAACCACCAGTGTCTAAGGACTCTGTCATGGCTCGCTCCAGACCACCAACTTCACGCTCACCACATTCCCTAAGGAAATCCCATAGACAATATTGGAAAGTGACCTTGAAAGAATGACTGTAACCACAGAATCGTTTTCCCACATGCATATAGAACGGATTGAATGTTTTCTCCTATATAATAAAGTCAATAAAAGATATCGCTTGAAAAAGGGGGATACTTACATTGCCTGTACATTGGAGCAACACACGCGCAATTTCTCGTTGCTGGACTTCGGACAAACCAAGTTTCATAAGCTTTTCAAAAGCATCCAAGTAATCCTAATTCATCGATAGTGGATGTTGAATATATGATCACTTGAATCTCCCACAATGTATGAAATTACCTCGGCGCTCATAATAGTGACAAAAATGCTTCTTCGAACATCGGTGTTCATGCCTTGCTTTCTTGCCAATTTGAGTAATGCGTCATGTAAAGATTGATCCTTCCGTAAATCGCTCGCCATTTTGACTTGCTTCCTCTGATTCTTGCTTTCGCTGCCAACCATGTTATCCTTCCAAGATGCACCAACCAACCACCATTTGCCTGTTATCTTTACATTAGCAAATAGCGCATGACATGGTGTTGTTCATGTTTGCATTACCTTTGGTATCAATGTTGTGGATATCATCAAGGCTGACACGCAATGCTTCAGTGCTTCGGGTAGCTCTCTTCTTTGATAAACCATTCAAGAACTTTTTGAGTTTCAATACAAGCTCCTTATCCGCTGCACCCGACGATGTTGGTCCATTACGAATCTTGTTGTTCTTGATATTGGAAAGCGTTTCAAGCATGAATTTGTGACGCATGCTAGAGTGAAATGAGTCAATGATACATACGATATAAATGAATGTATGCACAACACTTACGTGATGGTCTTTGCGTCTCTTTTGGATGTCTCTTTTTGAATCTCATCAATGATATCCTTCAAAGCAGTAGGATCGTCTGCTCGAAGCTGTGAACCAGCAGCTATAAAAAGAAAGGCGTATGAGAAAGTGGGTAACACTTTTGACTCTTTGAACACTTACATGTCACAATTTTCATCAACAGCTCCACATCATATTCATTCAACCCCGTGATCAATACACGAATGATATCATACACCAGAACGCACGCAATCACTTGGAAGTTGTAAAGCTCAATAGCAAGTGTGAGCAAATTCTTGGTCTCCTTGGCACCGACTGCTCCCTCTTCCGTCAAATCCTCTCCTCTCGCAATCGAATCTTTGCAGTTTTCATAATCCTTCTCAAAGGTTTCAACAAGAGTCTGGACAAAATAAGCAGCTATAAACTTGGTGAGATCAATGCCATCAATGTATATATACAAAGCATCCATACCAAAATCGACACCAATCAATCGGTATAAGGCACCAATAAGGGCAGCATATGGTATGACAAAGGAATCAAGCAAGTTGCCTCTCTGGGCAATGGAGTAGATGATGATGTTGGTGATAGTGGATGTGACATCTATCATTTTCGATGAGTGAGTGGATTGATATGAAGAATGCATTAAAAAAGCTTACCATGACGTGCGTAAGTGCCATAACATTTCTCAATCTCCAGCAGAATACCATCGATATTGCTTTCGTTCAATCTGTTCAACTGACCCTGAAGCACTCGTTGCAATTTGATTTGTTGTTCACTCTTGGTGGTGGGTGCCTTTCGAAGATGGGGTGGCACATACTTGTTGGTGGTGGGTGGTTGTGGTTGCTTGTCTACATTGTCTTCGGCCTTGGTTGTCGCATGCTATATCAAGTTGCAATATTTTTAGTAACCACGTTCATTCTTCTTACATGTCCATTATCTACCTCGACATTCTTTTCAGGGGTGGATTCATGATCATTGGTTGCGTCGTCTTCCGATTCTTCATCCTCCATGCTCTCATCCTCATCATCGTCATTTTCATCTTCTTCCTCACTTGTCTCGCCGAGTTCTTCGTCATCATCTTCACTTGCACTGATCGATTCATCGTCGTCGTCGTCATCCTCCTCCTCCTCCTCATTTACTTGATCCACATCCATCTCCTCCTCAGATCCATCATCTTCTAAGCCGTCGAATAAGGAATCCACATTCTGCACATAAAATGTATAAGCAATCCACATCTTGCCATTGTTCCTCATCCATTACCTTTTTTGCATCCTTTTCGCTTGTTGCTTTTTGTCGCTTTCTACGGAGATAGGATTCGTTGCTCTCGTCTTCATCACTTCCATCTGCAGCGAGGCCATCCAATAGATCCAAAAGACCATCTTCTTCAAAGGCTTTGCCATAACCTTTCGTCTTCTTCTTATCCATGCCAAGCTTCTTTTCCCAATATGCAATATCACGATCATCATCTTCGAATCTCGTATTGGACGTGGCTTCTCCATTCACCAAATCTTCCTCTTGCAAGAGTGAATAAAGCTGGGGATTGGATTTTGATAGTCGTTTAAGGGCTTCATCATTGTCGACAGGCTTCAATTTCTCATTCTTCTTTTTCTTTGAATCAGCAGGAGGCTGTGGTGGTGCATCATTGTTGGATGGCGAGGATTTCTTCTTGTTGCTCAGGGTATTATTGGATGTCTTTTGGCGTTTGGTGAGCTGTTCCACATGCTGTATAGCCTTTCGCTTTCCTTTCTCTTGTCGCTTTTGCTTTCGAAGCTCTTTGCGGTTGGCTGCTCGGTTGACAAACCTTTTCTGGAAACGACGATCGTCTTGCTCTAAGAGAAAACACAATCGTTAACGATCCATTGAGCTAGTTCATGGTGGTCGCTCTTTTACCTTTTTCCTCGAGTTCCTCACGAATCTGTTGCGGTAGACGAGATCCAATGCTTGGATCGTGAGATCGATGACCCGATCTATTTCCTCCTCGGCGATTGTGGCGTCCTGACTGATAGCTCATAGTTGTGCAATAGATAGTAAAGAAACAAAGTTGTCAAAACCAAATTTTATTTCCGACTTGCTTTGGAGTGTGACACAGGTGACGATGTGGGAGACAGGGTAACAGTGGGTAATACACCAGACCAACCAGGTGGAGGGAAATAAGGGGATCTCATATCAGGTGCATAAGGTGGTGCAGCTGGAGGTGGTGTAGCAGTAGAAGATCTTAAAGACTCGGCTAAGAGAAAGCTTTTTTCATCGTATCCTGGCACCTGGGCAACCACATCTTGAAATGAAGGTAGTACAGGGCTATTATCAGGAGAAAGAGGTCTATTGTATGAACGCCGTTGAGGAGAAGACATGAGCATAAGATTTTGTGCTGCAATCTCTTCTTCATGTCTTTGTCGTTGTGGATGTTGTCGTGTTGTAATGGATCGTTGCTGTGTTCGGGGCGGTGTTGGTGGTAATTCATAAGACACAGCTTTAAGTTGAGCTTCCACTCGTAGCCGTCGATCAACAGCATGTTGAATTTGATCCAGATCTTTATCAATCATACCATGTTGTACTTTAAATCGTGCATAAGCCAATCGAGTCTTTAGTATCTTGAGTAGCTGGGTGACAGACATTGTTGTGAGCCATCTCATTTCCATCCTATCCTATCCTTGTTAACACTACCTCAGCTGGATCCCATTGTTTCTCTTTTGTGGGATCATTCATGCTTTGTTCTTTATCATTCATTATTAGGGATTGAAGCGGGAAAGAAAATGATGATAACAATCAATGCCACGGAGTGTTTCAAATAATGAATTTACATGGGGTTTACTGTACTTTTCAAACAAATCCAGCAACGAACAATGCAGTAATGAGAGTATCAAGGAGAACATGAATATGGTACAACTTTTCCAACAATTGACATAATGCTATGAAATGTTATGTATTTTGAATATGCTAGGTGAACGTAACCTATAACCTCCTTCACGTGTAATCGATGGCAAAGGTTCGGAATTGTCGCTATTTGCTGGCATGGTGTGTGATGGCTGATGCTGCTCATCTCCCTCCTTATCCACGTTTTGCTCTTTAAGCTTTTTGAGTTTCTCCTCCTTTTGGCGTTGAGCTGCTAGGATTGTCTCGATGATTTCAGGAATCAGGCCACATTCACCCGAATGATGATCCACCAATTGATGCGATAGGAACCAATACTTTTCTGAAAAGGATGGATGCAATACCCAATTCCTACTATCACGTTCTTCTCCACCGATAAACATGGTCTTGGTTGATAAGAGTTCGAAGCATTCATCAGCATCATAGAGTCCTTGGAATAGAATCATGCGATCACGTAATGAGGCTAATGGGATATAGTCGATGCGTACGTCGTGAGGAATCAGTCGTTGTAATGCAGCTGATGTGAAGGGATTGTCAACAAACGAACACGTGATCAAGATGCTTTTGTATTATTATACTTACTGGGTGTGAATGCAAATCTTGTCTTGTCGCCTAGGATACTTGAGCATTTTAATTGCAAGCGCAATATATGAAGTGCCTGAAGAGATGGCATATGGGCGAGGTCGCTTGGTGTTTTCAGGGTTGGAGAATTGTGTACGGTGCCAACAACTGGTTTTGTAGCAGTGAATGAGCTAACCATAGATTCAGGGCCTGCTGAAGGAACGGGTAAATCTTGAATAGATTCATCTTGTGGATTCTGATTTTTGGGTTCATTTGTTGAAGGAGATGATGAAGATGGTGGTGGTGGTGTTGTTGAAGAAGAAGAAGAAGAGGAAGAGGAAGAAGAGGATGTTGTAGGAGGAGGGACATTGGGTGCAGCAGAAGATAAAGATAATGAAATGGCAGGTTCAGTAGGAGTAGTTGTATCATCATGATCATTACTGGGAGCGTGTGGTTCAAAGTTGTTCAATACTTCAGCAATTTGATCAGGCAATTCCCATCCAGTGCATCGAGCTGCGACCAGCGCTTCTTGAAACTGAAGAATGTTGCTATCTTTGCCGAGAACAGTATTGAGGATAGCAGGCACCGTATGAATGTCATCCACAGGCTGTGGCGGTGGCGTATCAGCCCAAGGAAGAGGGAATAATCGAGTATCCGTCCAAATGTGTGGTACTGAGCCACGTTCAACAAGACTCGTCAACGAAAGGAGTAACACACATCCACGTAGATAATTGGCTTCATATTGCACTTCGGCAAGTCGTCGCCGTAAATAAGCAAGTTCTTCAACATGTCTTTGTGATTCTCGCTCCTTCTCTTGTCGTCTTTGTTGCTCTCGCTCACGAAATGCCCGTTGTGCTGCTCGATTCTGTGCTCGTCGTTCTTGAATGCTCGGTGGATTGGGCTTTCGTCCTGGTCGTTTGCGTTTACGGACTCGCTCCCCATTCTCATTCTCGATACCAAAGTCGGATTCTTGGTCAAAGTGTTGAAAGTTGAAACGAGCAGGTGGTGGTGTTGTTGTCTCCTCTGGTATTGATGATGACTCCATTGGGAAAGTGGAAAGACAAGTGGTAAGTTGCTGTGGGAAATGAAAGCGTCCAAGGCAGTAGTCTTTATATGGAAGATGCAACGTTGGTCAGAGCCCACTTTCCATAACAGTATCAACTTGGATTACCTCAAAAGCCCCCCCCCTCCTAATGGTGCCGATGAAAAAGGTATATCGAATAAGCTTTCTATAGCATTATAGTATCTCATTTACTTATGATAATTACCCCATTGCATGTTGATAGTACACACAACCACTACTACTATAGCCAATGTAAATCAATAAAGGTTGCCATGGTGACTTGCACGACAAAAGGTTTATGCATTCGGAAAAGGGCGGGCAAATCTTGACAGTCTTCCAGCCATGTTAATATGGATAATCGCTTGCTGCATGTTTGGGCACCGCTAGGATGAGTTTAACGCTTTGACATCAGTTTCATAAACATCCACCTATTGCAATACATAGACATTCTTCTCTTTCATATAATGACAAGTCGAGAAAATCCTAATGTCACTCACATCCTATAAAGATGAAATGTAATACAGCAGCAGCTGTGCTCACATCATGTGAAATCCCAAGTTCTGGGGAATTAATTATGAATTGTGGGCTACACGAGACATAACAACGCGTGAAGAAGTATAGCAGCCTGGCCTAATCAGCATGTAGTCATAGCCATTGTTGCTTATTAGATACAAGATAATACTGATTAGGATCCTTGGTTGCTGATTGCTGGTATCGAGTGGTGTGAGCAAATGCCACTTTTGATGATAAATGCGTCCATCGCGATGGTGCTGTCATCAACCATTTGGCAAGCTGATCACACTTTATACCCACAAGAAGCGTTGGAACACGTGATTAGCTGTTTCTATTACCTTGAAAAGCTATAGTATTCGATACCATTCATCCACGTGAAGCAACAATGTAGCATACGGTAAGGTCATTGGCCTCATCCAACAGCACCATCTACTCCAACAAATTACAGCATACGTATTAATTACTGAGATGGAAATCTTGGTGACGCTCTATACTACTACTCCTTTTCACAGACCCGCTGATGCCAATAAGAAAAACACAACGTATTAAACAATAGCTTGTATAATGTATGCAGATTTGGATAATACTAAGGTAATACTAATAGCTACTGGAAACGGGATATATAAAAAAGGGAAGATGACATTTGCCGTCAAATTTCTCTCCCTTGCGTTGTATAAAAGCAGTAAGGAGGAGAGCTTATGGGGTGAACTATATAGCAAGATTAGTAAACGTAGGGATGATATATCATATATGAACATATGCGACATACATAATTGCTCGGCACAATACCAATAGCACCATTATGCTTCTTTGCCTGCCACCAATTGCCTCGTCGGTCGAGGATCTCAATTAATTCATCCTTCTCGAACGATAATTCGTTAGGGTCATTTGGGTTTGCACGATCTACAAGGGCGTGAAGTTTGGTTGGGAATCCAATTATCTTTTCTTGATGTGCTCGCTGATTACTTACACGTATGCAGGGCCTTTACTTCATCTTTTGCAACGGCAGCTTTAGGTGTAGCGGCATGTTGTACAGGCGCAGATGCACTTTTAGCGCGTTGCAATGATACTGTTTCCTGTTTCTCTTGGAGTTGTGGAGATTGAGGTGAAACTGGAACAGAGACGGCGCTGGCAGTGATTGCAGAGGCTGAAGATTGGTGATGGATGTGACGCTGATATTGATGCTGCTGGTGCATATCATTACCAAGATGTACGTGGCTAGCCATTGGAGGTTGTAAGCCGTATACGGTACCATGTACTGATGATTGCTCAGTGCTGCCAAAGATAAACACCCACATGTACTATTTAAATTACTTAGTTGGATATGGTTCCTTCGTTATGATTGTGCAACCATGGTACCTGCATAATGACCAAGACACATGCGCCAGCAGCAGCAGCCTTTGAGCTGGTCCCACCACGATTCAAAAACATTTCAATCAAGAGAGTGAGCATGGCAATACTGATGGCAAGCAGCGTAAGTAGCTGTAAATAGATAAAGGATCAGCATGCCATTGCGTGGCTAAAGAAACCTTCAAGGACGAATACTATACCACGAGTTGATAATGGCGAAACAATAATTTTGCGAGTACCACGTAAATTGCAATGAGCAGGCAAAGTTCGTATACAATGATCCACCAACTGGCACCATGGATTTGTGCAAAGCATGCACCAATGAATGTAACAAGCCAACCGATCTACATGGAAAAGGTGTTGGTGATGTCCAGTATCTTTCTTTATCATTGCTAGGACTTTACAGAAGCCAACACTGCCGAGCTTAGTACGATTGGATTGCTTGTAACGTGGGATAGATTGTATGTCATTGGAGCTTCGATACGAGTGATTGGAATGAGTGATTGATCAGAAATGAATGCTGTCTATGCAATGGATGATGATGTTGGTGATGCAAAAGGAATGGAACGGATGAGACACAATGAGTGGAAAGAGGATGGTTGCAGAAAACACAAGTGAAGAAAAGAGACTGGATAACAATAGACAAAGGCGCACGAGCCGTTATAAAAGAGAATGAATACCGTGATCCCTCCCTATTTTGCTTATCCATATAACTCCTTGGCCCAACTCCCCTTTACGCAAACGCTCATCCCTTGTTACTTTAACAGGAATGATTTATTGTTCGAACAAGAGACAAAATCATATTCTCTGCTGTAGATCCACGGATGTGTCTTGATTCCCTTTAACGGTACTACATAGCAACGGCAACAATATAAGTATAAAGACACTCATATCTTGTCAAACCACACCTACCTTGTGGAAACCAATATCGTTGGCGTATTCACGGAAGCATTGACGGCAAATGTTGAGGTTGTACTTGCGGATCAAGGCAGCGGTGTGGGCGCAGACGCGGCTGTATTCACATTGGAATGGAGTCATGAGCCAATCTGAACCTTGTTACTCCATGGCGATTAGAAGGTACACATACCATTGACGAGAGCCCTTGCCGTATTGGCGGGGACGGGAGTTCCAGACGTTAGCGTGGGCCATGTTGAATTATACAAAGTATCGACACGAGAAAGAGGAGGAATCAGTCCAGCCACCCAAAAACACAGAGAATTTTTACATTCGGCCGCGCTGTCAATCTGGATCCCATTCTCAGCATTGAAGATTTCAAGGTGATTCCTTGTTTGATGTGGCATTGGCCCTATGATAGTCACTAATACATGTACACAGTGATCAATCTCATTAACATCGAGTAGATCTATGCTTTGCTATTAAAGATGCTCAATTGTATTCTCTCTTCAAGCAAAATACAGCGGATCTCAAGCCATTCTCACTATTGTTGTTGATGCCGTTCCATGCATTGTTAAAGTCTTCTTCTTCTTCCCTTACCATCTTCTCCATTATCCATGGGAACCATATGATCGGCATCCTCCGGCTATGTTTGTGATAAGATTACGATAATAGCATCATTCATTATTAGCATACATACAATAAACCATTTTTCATTGTTGTGGTTTTTTTTCACTGCACTTGCCTTTTCCATACATATACACTAAGACCTTGTTGTGGGTTGCTGAGAACCGAAGCTATGATGTAATCGTACCAAATTAAACGTCAAGTGAGTTAGCAACTTGAGCTCGACCTTGCCGTCTATCATACAAGCCAAGTCAACAGAACAATCGTAACATTGGGCATATGTACCTGCTGTTGTATCATCAAACGTAGGGTAGCATAAAAACGAAAAGCAAGAGTGCCGATGTCATTTACTCTCAAGCACCGCCTTTGTTACTCAATCCAGTCCCAAGCATCCTTTATAGTATGATCGATGTCCTTGATGAATAAAAGTCCCACTTTGCGTACATGTACCAATCTCAAGTACTATCATGACCACCAATAAGAAGAATATCACTTGTTGTACTATCTCAAGATTGCACAATCAAACATGGTATGGATAACATTTCATACATGATCAGCACATCCAAAAGCATCTATGTATTGACTAGAAGACCTCAGGCTTGATGTTTGAGATACGTCGATGGCCATTCTTTGCCGTCGTCAACCAGAAAAGTCATATTGCTGGGCGACTATACCTTGAGATACAACAAAGCAATACCACGTTTCACGATTCATGCCCTTCACCAGATGCTTTATGATCTATTGATCATTTTTGGCTCATTGACCATACCGTGGTTGACCTGAAAAAGATTCCATGCGGTCTATCAAAGACGGATCTTACCATAGGGGGGCAGCGTCAATCATGCACTCTCCACCAATGAGAACCCCTCAAGCACTACCTCTCAGCTTTATTACACAAGTGCGCCCCTCTGCATCTTTGGCTCTGTCAGGATCTAGCTACTTGACATTAAACAAAGACCACTTTTCATATAGCATCATGCATACAGCTTATGTAAAACATGAAGACAGTTATATCTCAAGATTTTACAATGGAACATGGGATTTTTAAGGGAACAACGAGCTCGGCTTGGCCAACTGCACCTTAGGTGCCAGTTTCACGATCAAGCTTGCCAACCCCAGATTTCGCAATGTCGCCACCAGCCAAACTGGATCTGGGGGTCGACCTCTTCGTTATAGGGAGGCTTGATTTGCCTCGATTTTTTATTGGGAGTATGTCGAGGAGTGATACCCCAAAGATGATACAGCAATGTGAAAGTAAAGAAGACTAACTGAGAAGAGAAATAGATCAAACCGGATCATTGTGACTCGAAGAAGAGACACTTTCCGATGCAAAAGAGAACGAAAAGGGGAACGCTTTCCCCTTGTGGCGAAGTGTAGCATAAAGTCTGTCATAAGATACGCTGGTCAGTGTTTCAGTAATGGTTCTTGCTTCGTCGGAAATAGGGAACAGGCGGTTAAGTAGTCTGCGTTGGCGACCAGTGATAGGTTTGGCGTTAGGGTCAGTATTGAGCTGAGGTGGGATAAAGTCGACAATAAGCTGGTCGTTGTGAGCTTCACGATTGGAAAGGTCATCAGAATGCATTGAAACATCAGAGTCGTGGCTGTGGGCAGAAGAAAGTGTGGGCGATGGAGGCGATGGTGGCACGTGTGGTTCTTTGTTGTTGGTTGGCGCTGGGGTGCGATGATAAGAACATTTTGCTGCACGATGGCCTGGTTGACCACATGACCAGCAAAGACGATTGCGACTTGGATGACTAGGACATGATGAAATAGAGTGACCGGAACGATGACAGTGTAGACAATGTAATGGCATTTCAGCCCATGTTGCATAAAAGAAGTCGGCGGAGTTGGGCCAAGCAATCGTGTGTGTGAGTGGGAGGAAATCGAGTGAGGCTGAAACGTTTAATGTTGCGTAACCATGTCCCATAAACAAGTGGGAGTCCTGGTCACGAAGAATACTATGATCTAGAATCTTACCAAAGGGTGCGAGTGCTTGTCGAATACCATCTGCTAGTTTTTCCCTAGATGTGAATGGCAGGTTGCTGAGACGAATGTTGATGATGTGAGCGTTTTCCGATAAAGGCCGAGTGGGTAAGATACGAGAACCATCAGAGAAGTGAAGACCATTTTTGCAGGCTTTTTCGTACAAGGATGAATCATCAATGAATAGCTCAACAATACGGCGTGAATGATCTGAGTGCAGACGTGCACCACAGTTATCGGGATAGCTTTCACTTATGTGACGAAGAAGTGTTGAACGGTTTTCGGTGCGAGAAGTGAAGTCAAAAAACAAACTCGGGCACGAAGCAGGGGATCCACCAACTTTCCACACATTGGAATGGGTGGTTTTGTCAAGTGCATTGCTGGTCAAAGATTCTCGAATTGCAGTAGGACGTTGAACGCGAGCAGCTCTCGCATAAGATATAGGTGGTGTACTAGATTGGGTGCCTGTTTCCTTATCAGGCGATTTGATTGAATTCGCGGAAGACATGGGGTCGACCTCTTCGACGACGACGACCAAAAAATATTTTTTGGGCTGTTTGCGACTGTCGTATTCTCAAGATCTCACCACCATCATCTTTCATACTCAGCATGATTGCATCATCACATCTATATACACAACGTGTAGTCATCCAAAATAAACTTTGTCTTCTTTCTCTTTATCGAGTCTCACGGACACTTACTGTTACCAGTTCTCGCTCTACAGCTCACACACACACACACACACATACATCTTCTATCTTCCTATATCACAGCGACATTGAACGCGAAACTTTCACACAAGGTGCTGTTGGCCAAGCCGAGCACATTGCTCTAATAAAAACCCCACGTTTCATTGTAAAGTTCGGAGATACAGGCACCTTTATGTTTGTAAGCGTGATGCTATATGAAGAGTGGTCTTTGTTCATTGTCAAGTAGGTGGACCCTGGCAGAGCAAAAGATGCAGAGGGACGTGTTTGTGTAACTGGGTTAAAAAGTTTGGACTTCAGGGACCATGCATGACAGGTACGCAACCCTCATTCTCAGGTCATACATTGGCAGCTAATAGCCACTGTTGTGCATTCCCAACTTTTGTGCATTCTATTGTAGGTGGACGATGCTCCTGCTCCAGACATTCATTTCCATGATTAAAGTAGGTTGATCCGAGCTGATTTGGTTGAGTTACGCTCACACAAGATTACATCGGTTGAGCTACATCGAGCGTGCTTTATGTCCAGAGTGATGTAATCTCTCTTTGACCGCAGCTCAGTCAAATCAGCTCGGATCAACCTACTTTAATCATGGAAATGAATGTCTAGAGCAGGGGCATCGTTCCCATGCAGTGGATCTCGCAACAATGATGATGGGGTAAAAGTTGCCGTTAGCTAGCAATACATGCCTGTTCCTAGATGATCCATAAAGTAATTATACATTGACCCTTTCATTCATGCAAACGTAGCTGTGTTACACAACACGACCCTCTGCATCTTTTGCTCTGCCAGGGTCCACGTACTTGACAATGAACAAAGACCACTTCTCATATAGCATCACGCTTAAAAACATAAAGGTGCCTGTATCTCCAACCTTTACAATCGAACGTGGGGTTTTGAATAGAGCAATGTGCTCGGCTTGGCCAACAGCACCTTGTGTGCACGTTTTACGTCCAATGTCGCAACTAGCCCAAAAAATATTTTTTGGTCGTCGAAAAAAGTTTCAAGAGGTCGATCCCCGGATCCAGTTTGGCTGGTGGCGACATTGCGAAATCTGGGATCGGCCATGATGAACATGAAACTCGCACACAAGGTGCGTTTCACCCCGCCGAGCACGTTGTTCTATTAAAAAACCCACGTTTGATTGTAAAATTCTGAGTTATAGGAGTCTTTGTGTTTTACCTATGCTGTATACATGATGCTATATGAAAGGTGGTCTTTGTTTAATTGTCAAGTAGCTAGACCCTGACAGAGCAAAAGATGCAGAGGGGCACGTTTGTGTAATAAAGCTGAGAGGCAGTGCTTGAGGGGTTCTCATTGGTGGAGAGCGCATGATTGACGCTGCCCTCTAGAGTAAGATCCGTCTTTGATAGACCGCATGGAATCTTTTTCAGGTCAAACACGGTATGGTCAATGAGCCAAAAACGATCAGTGCATTCGAGTATGAGGGGTGATCGTATTGCTTGTCTCCAGGGTTCGTTCTTATATGAGGCTATACATGTACAAGTACATAGCGTATGCTAATAGTTCTCAAAAGGTAAGCATGATGCATGTACTGCCACATTGTATCAGAGTTTACTCTTTCTTAAAAGTAATGATTTAAAACTTACAATGGTCCAAGCTTTCTGCAACAAGCTCTATAGCTGGGTGCAACTACTATGGGTTTATTATCTTGCAAACACAATCGTCTATTTAAACATGTATACAATCCGTTATTGCTACTGCCTATCGTCTCTGATCATATGAACAAGGAAGCTTTAATGAATGTAATACGACAACCTCTGGATACAATGATGTGGATGATCTAATCTCGCTTTCCTATCAATTTCTGTCCTCTCTTTCATTCCAGGAACCAACCAGTGGATGACATAGAATCAGCGGGTATCGTTGTGTCATTGTCATAAGCACCTTCATCCATGATTGCAAAATAGCTGCTGCGCGATTTAACTCACGTGTCCCAATCTCAATCCATGGTGATCAACCAACATCCTTCGTCAAAGATAAAAGCCCTCTCGACAATCCCATCCACTCCAACGCCATCATCCTCAGCTGTATCCACATGGTGTGATCCTTCCTCCTACCTGCTAACGACGTCCCAAGTAACCAAGGCGACATTCCAAGAATTTCTCATCACTGCACTTGATTGCATCCACCATCCAAAACCATTCCAGTTCCAAGTGTTGATTGAAAGAGCCACGTAATCGCTGCCGATACGCTTCCTCTTCCATCCAGCTGTTGGTCTATCCCTTTCTTGATCATTTTCATTGCTGCTCAACCAGGTGAAGAAGAGTGCTTGTATTGCGATGTACATGATAACTGATATCGAATCATTCATAGGAATCCATATGTATCAAAGCAAGTTGCCACACGTAAATACTGCTGCTTCTATACAATGGCTATCTGTTGTCCACATAAAAAAAAGGTTGTAACGCAGGTTGCTGGAAGTAACTTGAAGACAATGGAAAAAGACCTTGCTAATAGCAGCTGCTGTTACGGTGGTCGTGGCAGAGCGTGTTGCAATAGAGTGATAAGGCTGTGAATGCTGTTTGAGACAATAGAGTAAAGACCTTGCTAATAGCAGTTGCTGGAATGAATGCTGTTGCCATTGGTCGCGGTAGGCGAGTGTACAAGAGCGTGTGTTGCGTCAAGAGACTCGTGTGTTGTAGAAGAGTGACAAGAAGGCTGTGTACACACCATGCACTTCCCCATTCAGTCGAAGACAATCGGATCAGGGCAGTTGTAGGATTGACATGGTGGGTTGAAGCAGGACAATCGTTCGCATGTGGTAGTTGTAGTTGAATGGGGCCAACAGATGAGAATGGGAGCAAGAAGAAACAAGGCGGGAGTGGAAGAGCTAGGAATTAATCAACTTGAATGATACTTCTTTGTTTGGGCGTTGTTCAGTCAAATCCTCTCGGATCAAGAAAGTTGAAGGATGGGCATGCTGGAGTGAGCAGGACAATCGATCGTATGCATTGGTTTGGGCAACAAAGATGATTGGGAGGAATGGGCTATCAAGTGGCAGTCTACGTAAAACTAACCAGATAAATTTTTCTGATATTGGATGATACTTCTGTGCATGAGCGTAACTCGGTCAAATCCTCTCGGATCGAGAAACTTTAATGATGGACGTGCTGGGCTGGAGCAAGGCAATCGTTCGTATGCATTGAGTTGGACAACAAAGGTGAATGGGAGGAATGGGTTATTAGCTGGCAATACATGCACTGTTCTAAATGATGTATACCTATCATACATTGGCCCCTCCAGTCATCCATGATAGGCTGTGTTACACCAACCCCCTTCTGCACCTTTGGTTCTCCAAAGTCTAGCTACTTGAAAATGAACAAATACCACTTCTCATATGGCATCACGCTTACAGCATAGGTAAAACATAAAGGTGCTTGTATCTCTAATCGTTACTATGAAGCTTGGGGTCTTTAATAGAATAACGTTGCCCACATTCTTGATCGTGAAACGTGCACACATGATTCCTTTGACCCCGCCGAGCAACATTGATCTCATAAAGACCCCACGCTTGATTGAAAGTTTTTGAGTTAAGGGCGCCTTTGTGTTTTACATATGCTGGAAGCGTGACGGAGCTGCTTCCTCCTAATGGATGGTGTCAAGGGCAATATAAGCAAGGTGAAGAGCCGATTGAAATGACACGTGGTGGTTACACACACATTCTTGGCAGGTTGCTGCACAAAAATGGATGATGATGATGATTGCCTTTAGGAAGGTACATAAATAAACGCCATCCTTGATACAACGGATATGTATCAAGGATGACACGTGTAAGCAAATAATGGTTGCAAATCTTATTTGGATGTACCGGTTGGAGCTGCATAAAGCACCAATAAATTAAAGTTGGATTTGATGCGCACGGACATGCCTGATACCACTTTATGGTCACATTATGATAGGTTGGGTAATCCCTCGTCCTGAAACTCAATGTGGGATCACGTTTTCTCTTAATGTTAACACGCTCTTTATTTTATCAGAAAAGGCATATACTTCTTACAAGACCGATAACTGAACCTATCTACTAAGCTATATCAATCCACTCAAGCAAGCAAGAAAGGAATACTAAAGCTAACAAAGTCCAAGTGCTGTAATAGACAATGATTTAGATCGTCTAGCTACTTTGCTACCAGCTGTCGTCGTCGTTGCGTGACAATCTGCAAGGGATACAGAGGTCGACTAGGTTCAGGACAAGCAGTCTCATTTAGCACATGGTTGGCTGGTGGGTCTATGTGTCGTGCGCCTAGTCATTTATTCTTCTGAAGGCATGTACATTTTTGAGAACAAAGCGTTCGTGATTGACATCTGTTATTGATGGGGACCACTATCCATGATAGCGGGACCTCCAAAAAAGCGGGCACTTGACATGTTGCAGTTGTTGTTGATACGCTCATGATGATAGCCAAAGGTGATAATAAAGGTATGTACAAAAGGTTGGCGAAAATCTCCCCTAATGGCATGGAGTTGCTTTGGCCACATGCTATTGGCATGGTTTTCTTATCTTTTGTAAAACTTTTGTGTGCACGTGGTTACCACTATTATCATTGCTTATGTCGTTGCTGCATTGACCAACCAACCTGTTAGTAGCACAAGTAGAGTACATGTCGTCAGGAAGTTTATTTGTGCCACTAGTACTCAGCATAGAAGATCGCTAAATTGTCTCGAATGACTGATTTTCATGATACACTAATTACTAACAGAGATCCCTTGGATAGTTTTGGAAGCATTTATAAGGTATAATATGGATGCATCATGCTGCATAAGCTGTGATATTGCTCCAAAGGTAATTAATCACTCACAAAACAAATGTTATTGATGCTCATCGGGAGGATAGATCACACATTACGTCATGCATCTTTCGTGATGTATAAACCCATAGCAACAAGCGAGATTTGTAACTTTTGAAACATATTCGGTGGATGAGTGATATGGAAAGAGAAAGCCAGAACAAGTATTTACTTTGAACAAAAAGAACAGGATTTTTACAGAGGAAAGAAAAAAACAAGGGTAGAGTGGGAAGGTGTGGAGGGGGGGTATCATGTTGTTAGTTGGTTGCCATGGGGAGGAGTATGCCCCTTTTGTCATGCAGTGGAGATTTGATTCACCGCAATTGCTCTTGTTGTTGCTCTGCCTCTTCTTGAACAAGTCGTTTTATCAACTGGAAAAGACGATGCTTCTCTTGCTTCAACTGATCAAGCTTGGTGGTAATCTCGCTAACGGTCATTGATGAGGAGGAAGGACAAGTGGATATTGCACGATGAGAACGCATTGATGGAGACGGTGGTTGAGGAGGAGGAGTAAGCGCCCTTTCGACTGGAGGTGAAGGAAGCCCACCATTAACGTCGTGTGTTGCTTTCTTTTTCAGAGGTCGTTGAATGACAGGATGATAGGACAATTTACGTTTGCTACCTCTGCAGCCATATCGTTGAACAATAGCATTCTTGATGGATTCAATATGTGTTGGCGGTGACAGGTCGTATGTAACCTTTTGTATGGTGGTGCGCGTTTCAAGTGCTGTATCGAATACCTTGATAGTCATATGAAATGAAATGTAAAGTAATAAAGAAAGGAAAGAAAAGAAAAAGTGGAAAATGAAGGAAAGAGACAAGATGTGTATGTGGGATGCCAAAGGAGAAGGAAAGGGGTTTGAGCTCTTTCCCTTTTGTTTAATGATACATGATTCGCTGTGCCTCTTGTTACATCTCCTTTTTGACTCATAAGCCATGCTGCTGAAGCCTGGTCTGTGCAGCATCAGCAACAGCAACACTATTTACTACGCTATATCATCCGCTTTATATCGAATAATCCTTTAGTTATTATGGCCACTCATTTGGGGCATGATAACATGGAAAGATACCAAAAAAAGCCGTTGGGTATGCTGATGGACACACGAGAGACTATTGAGTGACAACCAATTATGCTTGAATTAGGTGTATGACACAGGCTGCGTGCAACCATCATATATGATGATCCCTTTAATGATGACGATTGATGTAGGCTAGTATAGAGATGATAAAGCTATATACATTTATCGTTTTTGATCTAGAGGCAGAAAGTGTAGCTGCTATAATTAGCTATTGATTCTTCAGCAGTAAGATAGGCCGCATAAGCACATGAAAAAGAGATCTAGCACCTTATGTTCTTATTACTGATCCAATATGGATGGGATCCCAACAATGGTTCAGTGATACGCGCTATTCTTTGATAATTGGATATGATTTGGTTGTTCTTGGTGCATGGCAACAAGGAGGGTGGTGATGAGGGAGAATGAATCGGTCGTTTGGTAACCTTGGCTCATGTTCTCGAAATGGGTTCTTGTCCCACAATATCCTTCCCTCCGAAGACCTTTTTTTATCCTTGTCCACCTAACAACTTGTTCTTCTTCTTTTTCCTTCCCTTGTCCAGCTCATGCTTGTACTAATCGGCTGGTCTTGATCGACAATTCCTTTCTTCAACATACGCCACAACCCGCATAAAAGCTTAGCCTACACCACTTTTGACCCGCCTTCCATTCGTTTCACCGCGTGCACCCGTCAACATGATCAGCAAACGCATCACGGGTATGTTTTCTTTCATTCATTGTGCTTCTTCTCTCTTGTGTTGGTTATGCGACTCGTGTGTTGACGAACGGCCACTATAGAGAGTGAATGTGCCAACATGGGCAATGCATATCCAATATGTGCACCACAGACCAGCGACACATGGATTCAAGGAAACGAGTACAAGTTTATATGGAATTACAAGTAAATAAATATATGCAGAATGAAAGTGACATGCAGGGTCAATTAATATGCTTGTTGTTTGCTTTTTACAGCTTTCCATATTTCATCTCTGGTCAGGTAACCCCTGAATCGGATCGGGGACGTTAAGTTCATTATTCACCAACACTCTTTTTTATATATCAGTCGCAGGCAGATAGTTGGCTTGATCTTCATTTGTACTATCGTGAGAATTACGCCTATCAAGAAATCTTCCATTGGGACAATCTACCGCTATTAGATGGCTCACTTGCTGTCACCGTGAACGAATCATGGTTCCCGATACCCACCAACTCGCCCAATCAAACATGGACACTCTATGGATACTATCTTCCAGCAGGCACCAATGCATCTCAAGAATTAGTCAACACGTATAGCATGTTTCCTCGACCCTTCAATTTCACTGCAATTCGTAAGTAGTGTACATGTATCACATACAACATGAATGATCATCCACTCATATCATCATACATAGAACTTGGTGATGGCAGCAGTAACGGTGGATCGAATAGCCAAGGAAACTCTTCCCATGCCGACAGCAATAGCAGTAGCAGCGATTCGGATCATTTACCAGGATGGGCTATAGCAGTGATTGTTATTGCATGTGTCGCTCTTGCAGCCGTCATTGCAGCTATATTCGCAGCACTTTGGTATTTCCGTCGTCGTCGTCAAAATGCGAATGCTGAAGCAATCAACGCATCATCAACAGCAGCAGCATCATCCTCATCACCACCGCCACCACCACCAATGTCACAAGCAAACATTGCTAGCAACAATAACAACAATGACCTAGGAACAAGCACGGCACATTCATCAAAGCCAGCAATACAAAGCAATGATGGAGAATCGATTTATTCAAGTACACCAATGATGGCAGCAGCCGCTGGTACAGGAATGTCATCCGTACGAGATTCAAGTACCACCGATGGATCTAATGCATCTCGAGCACGCACGTCACCACCAGCAGACACCTTCCGAAATTTACTACAACATTACCCAGATTGGAAAGCCGTGTTGCCAGGTCAAGAGGAGGATCATGATGAGGCACAACGTCGTCGTCTTGGTGAAGCATTACTTCAACGAGAATTAGAGGAAGAAGGAGCAGCAGTAAAACAAACCGATCATCGCGCACTTGCTATTCAGACCGTTGCACCACCGCATGAACCACAAGAAAGCACAGCTGTTGTATTAGAACGCTCACCATCAAGCGCATGATCCCTTTTTCCCAACCCTCTATGATTCCTATATTCTCTCTCTCTCCTCCATTATGTACTTTTTACCTTATATTCTGTATACTTATCACAAAGACAATTCACGCAACATCATCCTATTTACATTGTTCATCAATAATTAAAGCAGACCATGTGTGCGCACAACGACATAACAAGATGATTTGAAAATGCGACAAAGGGTGGATTTTAATGGATGAATCATTGAGTAATGGTATCTTGAGTAGGTCTGGCTGTCACAGTAGGTTCCTTATTGCCGGTGTCCTTTTGATCCGCAGCATCTGGAACAAGAGGGCTCTCCTTAACTGGACTAGAGCTTGAACCAGCGTTAGGGTTTGAGTGTGGGATGGTGTCGGGCGATGGGTGCTCTGATCCAATCTCAACTTCAGGCTCTTTACCCGCCTTGGACAATGCATAGTCTCCCGAGTCAAAATACTTGCGCTCCTACAAACACATACACATACACAGACACACGCACGCACACACACGCACACACGCACATAAACGCATCCATAATGAGTTGTCTTTGTAAATACCCTTTTTGATATTCAACATACCTTGAGCTTATGTCCCAAAAGATCTTTACGGTCTGGCAACTTGCCGTACATTTGGAAGAGTTTACGTTCCTCGTCACTAAGTTGCTACGCAAGAGAAACCCACGACAAAAGAAGGCGGCAAGTGTCAATCTTGGTGCATGGGGATAGCCTCTTTGTGTTTCAATGACAAGCACTACTTACACTCAGGTCAATCTTGTTTGCTTTTGCTGGATGCATTGGAATAGAATGACACGTTGGTAAAGAGAAAGCTCGCAGGAATCGGTGAGGGAAGAAAAGGTGTGCGTTTTTTTTCGGGAAAGAGGTGAGTCTATTCCCTTTTGGCTGCGACTGAAAAATGGCACCAACCCACGCACGCCTCTACTGGAACCGCTGGGAAACGATCATGCCGCCCAAAATAAACCCCAGTGATGCCCACAAAGCTTGTTTGTATATACGCATTCACACACACAACATATTCACATACACACAGCACCATCATCTTCATCATCATTGGTTTCATTACTGCTTCTATTATTATATAAACATTACATATCATGGTGTCGTCATTTTCTCTATATCCTACATGCAGCATAAATAATGGTGTTGTTATCCAATTACGTCGGTCTTGCTATCGGCGAGAGTGAGACCATATTGACGTCAATAAACTCATATCTATACACACACACGCACACCATACATTCCATGTTACCCTTCTTTTACTCTTTCTCTAATACACCACTTTTACGACATGTCATCCTCTACAAGCGACATTCAAAGTCCTGCTGTTGTGCAGCTAGACATACACAAGGTCGATAAAAAGACCATCGAGCCATACATCTTGATGCAGCGTGCAGCAAACTACTTGGCTGGTGCAATGATCTTTTTGCAATCCAATTTCTTATTGGAGCGAAAGCTTAAACCTGAAGATATCAAACCTCGCCTTTTGGGCCATTGGGGAACATGTCCAGGGATTAATCTTGTTTATGCACACTGCACTCGCCTAATCAAGGAAAAATCCCTTCCTATGATTTTGGTGACAGGCCCTGGTCATGGTGCTCCTGCCAATCTTGCCAATCTTTTCCTTGAACATTCAATTACGCGCTACTATTCAGATTATTCATACGATCGTCAGGGCATTGAACGCCTGCTGAAAGGGTTTTCTTGGCCAAGCGGGTTTCCAAGGTAAATACAAGCATGCATTAAAGTGAGATGATAGCCTAATTCAAGCATCATAGCCATACCAACTCTGAAGTACCAGGTCAAATCCATGAAGGTAAACCTTAATGGGTAGATGAAACGAAAAGACCCTGTATCGTTGACCACTTTATATAGGAGGTGAATTGGGCTATGCATTGGCTGTGAGTTTTGGTGCCGTGCTTGATAACCCAAACTTGATTGCAACATGTGTGGTGGGAGGCAAGTACATACTAGGAGCTCACAAAATGGGATATGGGTTAAAAAGTGTGCTTACTTTTGAGTGATGTAGATGGAGAATCAGAGACTGGACCAACAGCCACATCATGGCATGCCTATAAATTCATTGATCCTGCGGTGTCAGGTGCTGTTCTCCCCATCTTGCATTTGAATGGTTACAAAATTTCGGGACCAACGCTATATGGCTGCATGAGGTGAGTAGGCTTTAATAGGCGTGGCCATGGAATTACCCTTGGAGGATGGAAATGATTAATCGGTAATGACATAGCACGGAGGAATTGGTTGCCTTGTTTACCGGCTATGGTTACCAAGTACGAATTGTGGGTGATCACCTTGATGACATACAGCAAGACATGGCCGTATCCATGGAATGGGCAATTGGGGAGATACAACGTATTCAAAAAGCTGCTCGTGAGGATGGTGGCAAGAATCGAATTTACAGACCACGTTGGCCTATGCTTATTTTGCGATCACCTAAAGGCTGGACAGGACCCAAAGAGGCTCATGGTAAAGCAATTGAAGGCACCTACCATGCACATCAAGTACCCCTACCCAAGGCAAAACAGGATGACGAGGAGCTTGACAAGCTACAAGAATGGCTCCAAGCCTATCATCCAAAGCAACTATTTGATGAACGAGGTCAGCCTGTCAAAGCTATTCAAGATTGCTTCCCTGAAGATGATCTACGAATGGGTATGCGAAAGGAAACGCACCAAGGAACTTACAAACCTCTTGAGCTTCCCGATTGGAAGGAATTTGTCTATGATAAGGATGGAGAACAATCATCCATGGATCTTGCTGGTGCCTATCTTGCAAAGGTTATTGAAAAAAATCGGCATTCCTTCCGCATTTTCTCCCCTGATGAGTTGACATCAAATAAGCTCACTCGGGTACTCGATGTTACAAATCGTACTATGGAGGTAAGTTATAGTGCTACACTGGATGGGTGAAATTCCATGTATCAATACCAAATGTCATAGTGGGATCGTGACCTGGTGGGACAAGGAGGACAAATCATTGAAGTGTTATCAGAACACATATGCCAAGGTCTTCTCCAAGGATACACGTTGACTGGTAGAACAGGTTTATTCCCAAGCTATGAAGCGTAAGTTGACACTAGCACCATCAAGCGTTTTATGTACTAATCGGCTTTATAGCTTTCTCGGTATCGTTACGACGATGGTGATTCAATACGCAAAATTCCTAAAGCTTGGTCAAGAGACACTTTGGAAACAGCCATTGCCTTCTCTCAATTATATAGAGGTAGGGTAACAATAATGAAATCACACATGCGGCGTCATTAACAAAAGTACAATAGAGCAGCACCCTTTGGCGGCAAGAGCACAATGGATTCAGCCATCAAAATCCTGCTTTCCTCAACAACCTAATGAACCTCAAATCCAACATGATCCGTATCTATTTGCCACCCGATGGCAATTGCATGCTTACCACGATCGATCATTGCCTAAAGTCAACTGGATACATCAATCTCATTGTTAGTGCGAAGAATCCTACGCCTATTTGGTTGACATCAGCAGCCGAAGTTGAAGAGCATTGCCGTGCAGGTGTATCAGTGTGGCCAAAATACAGCACTGATGGTGGCAAGGATCCTGATGTGGTATTGGTGGGATGCGGTGTGGAGACTACATACGAGGTTGTGGCAGCAGCTGCATTGTTACGTCGTGATTGTCCTGAGCTACGAGTGCGTGTCGTCAACGTAACCGATCTCATGGTGCTTGGAATGACGCATTCACATCGCCTAGTGCAAAATGAATTTGATGCAATCTTCACCCCTGATAAGCCTATCATTTTCAACTTCCATGGATATCCATCTGCTATCAAAAGTCTAGCCTATGATCGAGTGGATAATCGTAGGATGAAGGTGGTAAGTACAATTGGCTTCTTGGGGATCTTTGTGTGAGCTTTTATGGGTCATTCATTCATTGACTTCTTTTTTCCCCCCACAAGCATGGTTACAACGAAGAGGGAACCACAACAACGCCATTCCAAATGTTGATTGACAACGGTAACGCTAACCACTCTTTATACATATCCCATTGTTATCGTATGCTGAAATTTTGCTTCATTGTCTTTTAGGTTGTTCGCGTTATGACATTGCCATTGACGCATTGCATAGCTTGTCACCAAAGGATACACAAGAAGTTGCAATCAAGACACGTACGCTCATTTCTAATTACAGGCACGATATCCATCAGCATGAAAAGTATAGCGTTGCAACCGATGTCGATCCTGAAGATGATCTATTGAAGGTTTTCGATTGCCATAGATAATCCACTATGGGCATTAGCGATATAGCCAAGCGTTCTTTTGGTATAGCAATAAAAGCCAAATGCTTATGAAAAAGGCACCGAAAAAGTGTTATCGATAATCGTAAGAGCATAAAGCAATTCATCGACTGCATCATCCCTCCCATGATGTATGCTATCGAATTAGGTATAGAAGATGAAGGTGGTTCCGCATTCATTGTTCCGGAGGCGATTGATAATGAAGTCTAAGAGATAAAGTTGCTTTGTGTCACTCATAGCGGATTATGCATTAGGCACATCGGCGATCTCACATTGGTTGTCTGAACGTCAATATGGCTTTTATACAATGATCAGCGGTATTAGCGCATTGACCTCATTTGACACAGCTATAGATTTGATCATGGCGTGTGCTGCAGGTTTGATGTTGTTGGCTCGTGTGTTCCATTGCATGACTCGCCTTGTTAAATTTGCTATGCGTGGATGTGCTATGCCTGAAGGCGTTTTAAAAAGTATCACACCTTTCCAGCTGGTCTATGGCAGAGCGGTATTTCAATCTTGAGCAAAGCAGAATAAACGTGGGACCATAATTCAACGTTGGTCTATCTTTTTCATCACTTCTAAAAGCATCCACATTAACAAAGGCTTTTTGACAAGAGAAAGAGGGTATCTTTGTACCAATACTACAACCATGCCAAGTGTTGCGTTGTAGTCGTACATGGTGCATACGCCATGTATGCCCACTAACATGTATTGTTGACACGCAATCAAGCCATGGGTGATATGATGCCGCGGCAAGTGGCACGAAGGATGCCTGTTTGCAGTAGCAACTACTATTTTAGCCTAGCTTTGTTGGTTGCACTCTGTAACTAAAAGGAGGGTCACAAGACCTGAGCTAGATATTTGGACACAATCGGCGCTCATTTCACACCTGCTGTATTGTTTTCTTTTCCTTTTTATCTTTACAAAGGAGAGCATGCACACGTAGCATTAGCAAGAGATGCTACGAAAGCACATGTATATCAGTCTGTGCCAGCTATGAAACGTGGAACGCAGCATGATGACATGCAAACAAACAAATAAAATGATATGGTTGGCTTGATTGGGTAGGTGTTGCTGTGTCGATGATATAAGGTGTTGTACGTTGGTTTCACGAGCCAGGATCTTCTTACAGTGAAAAGCTGAGAGAAATTTCAAGGAACGGAATCGGTTTTGAGTATTCCATCATCTTACTCCGTTCCTTTGTAACATTGTCCAACACAAAGCATTCAGCATAATATGGTTCCCAAGAGAGTGAATGATACGCATAGATGACATTTGTACATAAAAGATCATCCCCAAAAAGAGGTCAAGTGAATGAGTGTTATTATTGCATATGCCGTGACTCAATCCCTTTTCCTCCTTCGCTTTAACTCGGTTCTCCTCCCCAGCAGCAACGGCTTGTTACACCAGTCTTCAGACATCGGGCTGGCAGCAGTCTCCCCCTCCCCTTCGCCACCTTTTTTTTTTCTTATATATTTCTACGAACGTAGTATTGTGCATTGTTTCTCTTTCTTTCTCTTTCTTTTCACTTTTTATCCAATGGCAAACGATAAGCAACATGGCTTTATTTCAAGAACTGTGGGACTATCACTCGGCTTTCTGGGGATCGTGGGATTAGTGCTATCGCTTGTGTCTCTCTTGCCAGTCAACTTTTACAACATCTTTGTGGCGGTCACTGCTCTAACTCAAGTACTAAGGCATGAAAATGACTGGTGGGCTCTCTCTTCGGAAGGTACTTTATACGCTGTCTTTTTGACTGGTGCTATCCTCTCGTCCTTAATCACGATCGCCATGGTGTTGGTGACGGCATGTCGTCAAAGACCGCACGATGCACAGATGGCGGCAGCGTCAGCAGCTGTTGAGCACGATATAGAAGGAAAAAGGAGATCAAGCGTGTGGTTAAGTCGTATGGGCTGTCTTATTTTTGTTGGACAGATTAGTTGGGCGTTATTTGGTAAGTGCATAAGCGGCAAGGAGGGAAAAGAAAGAGCGCGTGTGTGTGTGAGTGTGTGGACGCGGAACAAAGAGATGGAACAAAGAGAGCGGAAGCATTGACATTGTTGCTAGGCACCCACCTCTTGTTCTTTTTGGGAGATACCAGCTTACCTGCCACGATTCACAAATCAACCATGTTATCCGTTCTTATCCTGTGGCTAAACTACCTTATCCTCACCGTCTTTGCATTCATCCTCTTTTGTGCCTCGTTCTTTATTATCCTCGGTGCTCGTCGTGGTCATCCTCGTCGTCCTTCCACTACTAGACCCCCTTCCGTTGTTGGAGAAGAGATGCAATATCATCGTGAGGAAACTACACCATTGCTTAGCAACAATAATACCTCCTTGTAACACAATGCATCAACACACACACACACGCACTCACGCACACACTCACGCACACAACTTACTCATCATACGCTCTTGCATTCCCCACCACAACCACTACCACGCTTGACATCCCAATCACAATCGATTCCCGGTCCATTTCACACCTTTGTATACATATCCCGTATAGCCTATCCATGTTCATACTCTTTTCTTTTCTTCATAGTACTTTATTCTGTATTTTTCGCTTTTGGCAAACAATACTTTTATCCTATATTTATATATTTACATATCAAAGTGAAGAGCTGTGCGACTCATTGATAACGAATATTAAGATGATGAACGACATTGCTATCAGCATATCCCAGCGTTCCCGTACAAACTCCAAAAATTGGATTCCATTGACCTCTTCTACTTGATCCATCGAGTATGTTCGAATCTCTTGGTTTAGCAACCCAACAACTAGGTAGACGTTTCTCAATAACAGTGACTCTAGTAGTAATAACAATATCCTCACTTACCCATGTATGTGTCTTTTTCATGCTTGTAAAATGTAATGGTTCCAATCCCCTAAAGCAACAACTTTAGCAATGTCTCCTTTGATGATACAAAATCGCACTTACAGCAGCATCTAATTCTCCTTGTGTTGGTGCGACGACCATGCTCAGGTACCAGCTGTGCTTCACAATACGGTGGTGTGGTTCGGGTTCACGCTTGAAAATGTGAATGACATTGGCATCCGTCCACACTGCTAGTAATGATCCACTCTCATCCAACTCGGCACCCATAGGGATCTCGTATTCGCTGGCTGTTTCCAATCGATCACCATAGCTCCAAAAGTAATACTCGGGAAGAATAGACTTGTCCTTGTTCCTGTACAAATAACGGCTCTCCTCCTCGTCGTATTTCAGCACATCCACTCGATCCGTGTAATCCACCGTCAAGAACTGATTCTTAATAAAAGGCACCACCAATGTCTTCCCATCCTTGGAACGAGCTAAACAGGATCATAGAATGAGTTGCTTGTAAATCATTGACCACCCAAGGAACATACTCAGAGAAAGTTGTGGCATTTTAGTTTCAACGCGATCATGATGCAGCTGATGTGTACCATCCACGAATGCCATATACTGCACGTTCTCCTCGCTGTAAATCTTGGTCTATAACGTATATCCTCACGTGTGTCAGATTGGATCAACCATGATCATCCTCCTCCATCGTCCTCTTTTTCACTTACAGGATTGATGACGCTCTTATCACGCTGCTTCCATGTATTGGTGGTGGTGTTGCCATCAGTGATTGTAATATTGACATGATAGTAGTCTCGGGTCTTGTGTACATCAGCAGAGAACACGCGATAAGTTTCATTGCTGGGATGGGAGAAATGCAAATAAGTGATGGGTTCCAAAGAAAACTCCCGGCCATCTCAATGATACTTACGCGGGTGAATAGAGTCTAGCAAAGACGACACGATGCTTTTGAGTGAACTTGGGTTGATGGTATCCTAATCCACATAATTGATTGAGTGATCATCATCCATGCATGCATTTTGCATCCTTAGCGCATTACGTTTGATCGGTTCACCAGGTATCATTGTATCCAATGGGATGCTGATTGAATGTGGAGGATGATTGAGATTCGTAGGAAGAGGTGCAATCCGAAAACGGTAAATGTCGGGATCTCTATGCATGAATATTAGTAGCTATTGATGTATAGATCAAGAAACAGCATTATACATACCTTGAATACAAGATCGATGTATGTTCTAGGTTGAACCAGTCAATCCATGTTGTGCCTCGCATGATCAAATCCTTGTATTCCATGACATCATTTGATTCTTCCGGGAAATAATAAACACGCGTGATGTGTTGTGCATCTTCATTCTCGAGGACATGATACATGACGGCAAATTGGAGACGATGATCTGAATCGGAAGGTGCTGGAGGAGGAGGTGCATGCGATATCTTGGAAATGGGGCCTGAAAGGGTATGCTCAAATTGCACACTCCACTCTTGTTGTAGAATGATGGGTAAGAAGATCGTATCATACGCTATCAATCAATCATAACTTACCATCTGATACCAAGGTGCTTCGGTTGCTACGCAATGTCTCCAATGGCTTTCGACGTTGTTGCAGCACACCTGCCAATGCACACACATACAAAGTAATCAGTGCCGCTGTACCTGGAAGAGGAAAGTAGCCCGCACAGACACACATACATACCCACAACCCCGGTTTTCATGGGCCCAATGCCATGCACCACGCCATTTGAAGAGGCTCCAGCCAGAGGCATCTCATACCAGATCAGCGTTTGATACAAGAAATCGTCCGTCATTGTCAAGATAACTTGATTGGGTTGAGGCCTTCGCATGCGCACTGGATTGGAGGCGTAGACTTGGACAGGTCGTGGATAAGGTGGATCGGCAAGAAGACTAACAAGTAGCACTACGGTCATGCCGACCGAGAGCATGACGAAGGAGCGCCATTGCATATTCGTTGGTGAGTCAAGCGTCGTTCAGGTGCTTTTGTGGGGGGCTCTTCAGTAAAGTGGAGAGAGTGAACAGCCAATCAAATTATAGAAGAGTTTGGTACCTCAAGTACTTGTTCAAAGCTGCTGCATAGGCCACCATGGAGAAGAAGGCCGTCTGAAACACCGGATGCCGTTATACATCACCCACCCCACATACGCTTGTGTATTATGCTTATCAGACAATGAAGATGTCATCCGCTTTCCTTTCTAAAACTCACACTAAAATAAACATCCTCGAGCACAACTATTATTGTTTGATGATTGGAAATTGCCACCTTGCTTATCCCATACCTGATTTATGCAGCGTGGACATCCACATCATCGAAGACTCTTTGTGAAAGCGTCCCATCCTACATGCTTTGTGATTACAGTAATGCCCACGCTCACTTGTATGCAGGTATAAATGTCGCCCACACATCTCTTTTTTTCATCACATCATTCTTTGATTGCTGAAGCCTCTTGTAAGCGGTCCGTGCATTGCTATTTACGATGGTCTTTAGCGTTATCCCCCTTTTCATTGCCATTGTTGTCATTGTGATATTTGGGCTCGTTCAAGAAAGTAAAGCGTAATCATATTGCAGGATGAAGCATGTACGTATCCACAATCCTTTTGATGTAGTTACACCCCCCAAGATGCTTCTGCAAAGCTGGATTAGGTGGCACAATCTACATACCACGGCCTCAATTGGTGGTATGCAACGGCTTCCTACACTTGATGCGAAGAGCTTTAAGCTGCTTGAATCACTCACAAGGATCCTCATTTTGAAAGCATACAAGCGATGCATTGCAACCTACAAGACGTTCTTCAAGTTCAAGGCCATTGGATTTCAATGTAATCATTAGGCGAAACAACAAAGTAGTGAGCTAGCATACGTTGGAGAGGCATGGTGTCTTCTTTTAGGGTAGAGGTGGTTACCAAGCTACGGCTTTACATGATTTAATATTACCGCTTTCCTTTGTATGTATTTGCATAACAACAATCATCGTGCAACCGAAGCTATATGAAGTATCAGTACCCTTGCTATGGTATGATGCGGGTGGTGTTATGCAATTTGCTAAACTTTATTCAAATGAGATGAACTGATTACCGCATGGCCTGATATCACGCTATTTGTGTTTAATGAAATAGGGCATGCAACAATTGAATGGTAATAGTGTTTAACAGGGATGAAGGAGAGATGTGGTATTCGATATCCACTATTGATGATGATGCTTACTTTCTTATATGTGATACTAGCATTTGAGCTATCCATGCAGAAGGAGAGGGGGGGGTATAGGCTGATGACAGCAGCAAATAGAATGGTAGTGGGATATTGAGATCTGGGATCGAAACTCCTTACCTTTCCATCCCTTATCGACTAAAAAAAGGAAAAGCTAAATGCCATGACATTTACTCTCTTCTTTTCCCTCTCCACCTCCATCTTCAATTCTTGTGTTATCCTTTCCTATCCTTTTATTTCAATTTGTAATTGCATTTGCGTTGTAAGTATAGACCCAGGCTGCATGTCACATGACGTAGAACCCTAACATGATCGAGTTTTTTTCCCCTTTCTATAAAAATCGTTTGTGTCCAATGCAGGGCCCGCTATGACTTGGTCTTCACCACAACAGCAGAAGCTTGAGCCGTGTCTCGCTCGCCTCGGAACCATGCCAGAAGGTATTTAACATCCCATCCAATAAAAATGTCATTGCACAAACAAAAGAGACGGTGTCTTATCATAAATAATCTGGATTTCCTTTTTGCCAACAACAACAACCCACAACAGACAAGCCGTCATTTATTAGCCAAGTCAATGCCATCAATGACACAGAACAACTACGCCATATGCTGTTTGAAAAAGAACGAGAACGAGCCGGCTTAGCCAACGATCTAGATGTAGCAGCACAGCTAGGCCTTGTTGTCTCTGAGACCAATGAAGCTCTACAACTCAAGGTAATCCAGGAACGAGACATTCGCCGACATCTACCAACCGACACTAGCTCATCCAAACTGTAGCTAGCATACTTAGAACAAGAAAACGACATGTTGCGGCAGGAGCTCTCTCAAATACAACCATCGACTGATTCCACCACCACTTCTTACAACACAAGTACATCAATCCATACCCGTGACGCCACTACATCACCTCCTCCCGATGATGACGCTACATATACATATGATACACACAATACACTAAACGAAGCCGATGATCGAATACATCTTACGCAAGAGTTGAATCAGGCTCGTAAAGAGTTGACCAAATTCAGGAAGGAAATGGATGGATTATCAGCACAATTAAACGACATGGCTTCTGAAATGGTATGGATATCATGTTGCACGGCTAAAGATTCGACATGAGCTAAGATCCTAGTATAGGTCGACTCTCGTGCACGAGTAAGCATGTATGCAAAACGACTCGGTAATGCATATCTTTTTGTTGTTGTTGTTTGTAATGCATCTTTGCTCACACACATACACACATTCTTTATTAGCCGAGGTTGAACACAAGCTTGCTACTACTCGTGAGATGAATGCCAATCTACAAGCTGTTCTTGAGAAGGCACTTACCAGTCAAAAGCAATCAAGTTCCAATACATCACACCTTGTACGCAACATACAAGTCGACCTTAGCAGAGTTGTTTCCGAGAACGATCAATTACGTGCAAGGATTGCCGATCTGGAAGGGCAGCAAATTGAATCAGAAGAACAGCTTGCAATGATGGTTGCACAAGCCAAAAAGTACTCTGCTCTTCTTGAACAAGCCCAAGATACCATTCACAGCCTCAGTGAACCACGACTATCTGATGACGACACCCTGAGTAATGGTGCTGGCTCTGTCTCCTCTTATTGGGATGGTGGAAAGGAGACTGAAATCACAAAGGTAAGATACAATGATTCCAAATGGCAATTAGTGGGTCTAATGCCAATTACGCAGGGCCCAGTATTTTCCGCAGAATTCAGGCAAGAGATGCAAAAGGAGATCGAACGCAATCTCAACCTTCGCAACGAGATCCGTCATCGTATCATCACTCATGAATCCATCAGCTCTGATAAGAAGAAGACCAAAGAAGGACTCAAGTATTTATTATCAGAACGATCCAGTGATGCGGGCCTCATGTCTCTTAGCACAAGCACATCCACTACATCCTCCACTATGACTATGAAACAACCTCAACAAACGGATGACGATCATTCACAGCAACAACAACAACAGCCATCATCACAGCATCGACCTACACAACAGCATCCAACCCCCATCACTGCAACCATGAATACCCTTCGACCCGCTAGCTTCCTTACTGGATTTGGTGGATTTGATAATATGGGATCAGGATTGGGAACCACAACCAACTTCATCACTCGAGGTGTTCCTACAGCATTTACAGCGCCACGGGGAACAGGAGATACGCCAAGTATAAGTACTCGCTTCTTTCAACGCCTTGCAACTCGTTTCGACCAACAGAATGACAAAAAGGGGCGGTAATCTATAACCCTCTACTACCAAATCCAATAACAACGCATCCCCCACCCCTTTGTTTACTACCATAATAAACCATGCCATGCATCTCGCTTATATTCCAAGTATAGTAAAACTGTTAATGTAAATTCGGGGATTGTCAGCTATCAACACATGACCTGTGATTACTTATCCTGACGAGGAGGAGGAGGAGGAGGAGAGCATAAGAAACACCTTTTCACGTGACCTTAATCGAATCTCATGATATATCAGGGACATACTTTGATGGCAACTAATTGACCAAGTAGAATCATCCATCCCGCCTTTTGAATCACCTTTGAATGAAAATGGCCATGTACCTTATAGATGGTGGGAAAAAGCAGCCTTTATTAGATGTACTCTTGATTTGAGAATGTCGTCGTGAGGTGAAATTTATCGTGTTTATTCAGGTTTATTATGATGCTATGTTTCCATGGATACAAAGAATATGATAAAAAAAACAACAATAAAAGCGGCAAAGACAATCAACGCGCATATGACGCGACCTTGTGATTCAAATGGACGCGGGCCTCGAAAGACATTATCCAAGGCAACTCCTCCTCCTCCTTTTCAAACCAAAGCTTTCGCACAGCGACTCTCTCCCTTTTCCTACTGTTAAGGAGAGCAGCTCATGTTCTCAGCTTCTACACGACACAAGCAATGAGTGGCAATGACTCTGATTCCTCTGATGACGACTGGGTAATCACTTCAACAGCAACCGATTTACCAACCTCGGTGACAACATCCCCTTCTCCTCCTTCGCAACCGCCACAGCAACGAACACTGCCACAATCCACCCCGAAGAAACCATTGCAACGACCCACCGTGTCACAGGCCACTGTCCGAACTATCCGAGCCTCATTGTCCAAAAACCAACTTGCTGGAGATCCCCACAAGACACGATCGGCTGCCGAGATCAACTATATCAGTCAAGAGCAGTTAGAGTCGATATGCTCGTCCATGGATAGCCATCTTCTTGTACGTCGATTGGTCGAGACGTATAAGAATGCAGAGACCTTTTTACGGATCAAAGATATCGAGACAGCCAAGATGACGTTTGATGCCAGGCTCAGTGAAACGCTTTACCTATGTAGCGATCCAGGATGTTTCATATTGGTAAAGAGGAAGAGGATTAAAGAGAGTGAATACCATTATCGACTCCATTGAATTTGATGTAGGATTTCATCCGGGCATTGGATTCCTACTTTTCTCAACGTCGAGATCGTGATTTGACACCCAAATTTCGTCGATACCTTGTCCAGGCAGCATGCCAAGCTTATCAAACGTTCCTGGATACACCACCCAACGAGTATAAGGTGCCCAACAAGAATCACACCAAAGCAAAAGCGACAACGGTGACATTGAAGCAACCAGAGGAAATCGATCTTATTTCTTTTCCCGATGATGATGAACCCAATCTTATTTCTTTCGATGATGACGATAATTCAACATCACCACCACCACCACCGCTATCACTCAACTCGAACAACGACTTGGATGTGACCATCACCGAGATATTGAGTTCCAATGATGAAGAGGAGGATGATTCGAGCAATGATGAGGATGAGGATGATATTGAAAATGGCATGGCCAAGGTGACCTTTGCTGATCTTATGGATATTCCAGCTGAGACATTGGATCGCTATCGTTTGAAATACGCGCATCAAGAATCATGCATTCATCTTCTCGACGTGATCTCATCACCCATTCTTATCTATTATGCGATGGGCGTATTCAAATTACATTCCTTGATGGCGCATGGCTGTGATTATGAGGAAGAGGGAGTACGATTATGCCGGATGCTGATGCAACACAAGCACTACAATGAAGCAATTTCATGCATACGTCGACTTGATCTTTTTCATGCATTCCCAGTGGAGCAAATGGCTGGAGACATGATATCAAATGGAATGTCGAATATGATGCCAGTCTATGTCAGTGGTCATGAAGCATTGCAGCGGCAGTTACTTGATTACATCAATAGACAGCTTCGTTACACATTTGCGGGATCACTAGGCATTGTACCTGAAGGTATATACATATCCACAATCTCCCTTCATGTGACTAATATGTATGTATGCATCATGATAGAACATCTCAAAGACCTGGAGAGTGATCTACAAAGAGTGCCACCGTTACCTCGATTGAAAGAGCGTCGATTCCAAAAAGATCTTACAAGTTGTTGTGGAAAGATTATGCAAGAATTGAACGAGGAGCCGACAGCCTATTATTTTATTTGGCTTTCACAGCGATATGCATGTTTAAGATGGATCATCATGGAGAGGGCTGCTCAACAATCAGCGGAGAACGACTATTCAGTATCCAGCAGCTCCAATTACAACGGCCTCATTGATCTTGTCACAGCCGATGACCCTGCACTTGCCAAACTTGCCATCAAAGAGTTTGTTGATATTGGCGATCCCGTGGCACCAACCTATTTTGCAGGACGCTTGAAACAACAACAATTCTTTGTTCAATACTATCAACGACCCTTACAAGATCGTGCTGTAGGCATATTCAAAGGCGAGCAGCTCTCCCAACCTCGACCTATTCCTTCACGACACGCGATGACCAATGACGATCAGCTGTATCAATTACCGGCACATGCTCGACCTGTCATGGTAGACAATCAACAAGACTTGTTATATATGAAGGCAACGCTTGCTAAGACACGAGTTTGTGGTTTGGATACTGAATGGGTGCCCCAATTTGCGAGACAAGAGAAGCTGCAAACGGCTGTCATGCAGATTGCTTCCGATACGGGCTTTGTGTTTTTGGTGGATCTTGCTACCTTATTGCAACCGACCCACGTGGTGCTTTTACAAGACTTGGATCTTATTTTACGCATGCTCTTTGAAGCCGATCACATTGTTAAACTAGGCAAGTATATGGGTGTTCCTTTTTCTTTTCATATGCTAATGGAGTTTCATATAGCCTACGATTTTGGAGGCGATTTCAACTTGCTTGGTCAATGCATGCCTAGTGTGAAAAAGTGGTCGACCAAGCATCTAGTGGATTTCAAGAATTTGCGCACTGCAGATGACAAACCTATCACTGGTGGTCTTTCTGGCACTGTAAAGCACTTTTTAGGTGTCAGCATGAATAAGAAGCAACAGCTAAGCAATTGGGAACAACGGCCTTTGACTGTGGATCAAGCTACCTATGCTGGTAAGGATGATGATAGTAGTAGTAAGGTGATTGCCAGCGATACTCAAAAAGACTTTTCTATATGAAAGCGAGCGACGCATTCTGTTTATTGCAAATCTATGAAGTTCTCTTGGCAACGAACCATTCATTCTTAAAATCAATACCCCGAGTTGCAACGACGACCTCCCCGACCCCTTCACCACCCATAGGATATGCTCTTCCTCAACCTGAGCAAGATCTTTTTCAGTTTTGATAAAAATGCATCTATACCTCAATAAAAATGAATCTTAGATGTGAATACGGAACACTATGTATATAATATTAAAGGATGTGACATATGATACAAAGAAGTGAATGAATACAGAGAGAGAGAAAGAGAATTAATGAGAGAGTTGCGGGATACGTGGGAAGGGAAAACTCTTATATTAGGATAAACCAGCATCTTGCCATACGGCATCCATTGCCTCGCCTTCATTATCATCATCGCCTTCGTACCATTCGGTTTCTGCCATAGCTGCCATTCGACGTCTATCCTTTCCAGCTTCTGAATCATCCTCTTCATCCATCATTTCATCTTCACCATCGAGGAAGCCTTGGATATCAGGTGGAATCTCTTGCATTTGTATACTGGGGGCTGCATCAAGGTATCGCAATTGCTCCATAGCTCTTTCTCGCACCTTGAGAAGATATTGCCGGTCGTTTTGGTTTTCGACACGACCTGAGAGATGTGGATGAAGCTGATAATCAGGCTTGAAGAAATCAATGTATTCATTGGGTGGCAAATCATTGGATAATTCAGTGTCGACCAAAATAGATGTCTCATATGTCCAACAACGAGCGACGTTCCTGACCGTGTAGCCGCCACCACCCACGACCAGTAAGGGTATCTTGAATTCTTTGACATGTTGCACGCATTTGCCATGTGCTTCAATACTAAGGTTGAAACAACCAAGTCGATCACAGCCAAGTGAATCGGCACCACACTGTAATACGATTGCTGAGGGTTGAAATGTGTTGATCACTTGGTCAATGACTTCTTTGAACAACCAGACGTATGCATCATCATCAATTCCATCTCGCAATGGCACGTTGAGTGAATAGTATTTGCCGAGTGAGCTGCCGATTTCATCGATGTGTCCAGTGCCTGGAAAGAAATCACCGTTGTACTTGTGGAACGACACTGTCATGACACGATCCGTTGTATAGAATGCTTCTTGTACACCATCGCCGTGATGAATATCAATATCAATGTAGAGGACACGAGGGAAGTAACGAAGCAATTCAAGGATGCCGAGGACAATGTCGTTGACATAACAAAACCCGCTCGCTTCACATTTTTTTGCGTGATGCAATCCACCAGACCAATTGATACAAATGTCGGCACCGTTTGCAATCAACTTTCTTGAAGCTTCAATGGTTGCCCCTGCATAGCGTTGGCAGAATTCGTAAATGCCTGAGAATACTGGACAATCATCGCCCACGTTGAATCTTTGGAAAACATTCTCATATTCTTCAGCGTTGTCAGGTGTCACTCTATACGTAGCCATCAATACCATGCATTCCCATTTCTCCATGGATACCCATACCTCTTGAGAAAATCAACGTAATCAGCTGCATGGAATTCCAAGATCTCGTTGTCTGTAGCTTTTCTCGGTTGGAAAATCTCCATCTTTTGATGCAAGCCGTACTTGAGTACAAGGTGGTTGGTGAGCGTCAATCGATGAGGTTTCATAGGATGCCGTTCCTATCAAAGTATAAGACAATCAGAGACGTTCTTCTATACGACGATCGACAAAGAACGCTTACACCATAATGGTAATTGCCAACGCCTTCATCGTGGAAATACGCGACCCGTGTCTTGTTGTGAGAAGCTAGTCGCATTGATCGCGGTGCCATGTATTTTGACTTTTGCGTTGTGGCGTGATCTTCAGTGAATGTGGCAACCACATTGGAGTCATTGTAGTTGCGGCGAGGCATGTGTCGGTGGAGAGAAAAAGGAGAATACAGCTGGTATCAAAGACCACTCGATCATTTTGTGTCGCTGGAAACCAAAAAGGTCCGTTCTAGCCAATTTCAAACATTGATCATACCCTCGCCTTGGATTCAAGAGTTTAATTTCTCGATCACCTTTCTAGTATATAGACGAACTTGTTCTTTGATAGAAAATGCCATCATCCAATGCTTCTACAAGGTTAAACGGGTCCAACCTGCTGGTGTTAGTAATAAAAGTTGGGATCTTGAGAGTACAATGGATCTCTTTGATGATATACATGTGTGATAAGTGCCTTCATTATTGATTGGGTTGCGTCCATTGTTCTTGGAGCATGCTTGGATGAGGGACTCCTAAAGACAAAGGATACTTGTGTATGCATAATGCCAAATGCACTCGTCTTGATTGAAGACCGAAGCTCCCCACCATCTTTATTAACAACATTCGTACAACACTTTACTAGAGGAACATAAAAGCTAATGATACGAGAAGAAAGAACGAGGAGCATATGCATGAAAAATGACCACATGTAATCTATTAATTACTGCTCCAAAATCAAATGACCCAATTAGTGGTAACAACAAGGCATCTATGGGCATTTCAACAGCATAGGTTTAAGGTGCAACAAGGTGTCTCACACAGACATGCGATGTTTTGAATTACACTCAGCCAACGCTTCCCTTTATCTTGTATTGTACTCTCTCTCTCTCTCTCACACCCCAATGTCTACCACAAAGAATCGACAACAGTGGCCCAACTTTCGACCCATCGCTCCTTCACTACCACAGTCCACAGGTGTCATTGGCCAGTCAGCATTGAAACCGGGAATAGACGATCCTGAAAAACGAAAGTGGGACGATTTGGTTAGCCCAAGCATGGCCAATCTACAAAGTAAATAACCCATACAATACACGAGTGCCGTATGCAAGTTACTTACGATACGCTTATATCATTTAGTTCGAGAAGGATCAATAGGGGGTGACAGTGATAGCGTATTCAGTAAGCTGTTGTGATCATCATGGAGATGGTTGTTATGCATAACTGACAGCAGCCACCTTTTAGACAATGCTGTACGCTTTGGTGTCGGGGAGAATACACATGTAAGAAAGAGCACCAAATGGATGTTATCCTATTGCAAGCATTTATTAATATGATTGGATTGTATGATAGAACTTGACAGCTGAACAAAAGCAACGACGCAAGGAGCAGAATCGTGCAGCACAACGAGCATTTCGAGAACGCAAAGAACGCTATGTCAAAGAGTTGGAGACCAAGATCAAGTTTATGGAAGAGACGCATACAACAAGCATGCAAGCTGTTCAACATGAGAACACCGAGCTACGCGATGTCATCAAGCGTATGGAATCGGAATTGCTGGCTCTGAAAGCAGCAGCATCCACGTTCAACGACAAACTCGACCACTTGCGAGGACAAGGCATTGATGTACCCACATTTACTATACCCGATATCAGCCACGATCCAATCAACGACAAGAATGAGGATGATGGGAGCGGTGATGATCAACAACCTGCAGCCAAACGCATCATGCGTGTGCCATCATCAGCAGTAGCATGTATTCGAGACAAGGATGGCGTATCGTTTTGCGAGAGACTCAAGGAAGAAGTGTGTTCATCAGCATACAACCAACTACTTTCAGAGCAACTCTTTGACCCATCAGGTTCTTTGAATGATACTGTCACTCAACACCCTGTGCCGATTGTCACTGGATTGGATAACAAGGGATCCATGCTGGAGCACGACTTTGACAGATTCATGACCATCATGTCCGAAGGTGTAGTCATTGATCCAGCAACGTATTCAACAAAGCTTGTGCCATGCAACGAAGTATGGCAACGACTTTCGGAACACCCACAATTCGACCATTTCGATTTGGATTTGCTCTGCAACGAGCTGAAGAAGCGTGCAAAATGTTCACACGATGGTCCAGTTTTAGAGGAACATGAGCTAGACCAAGTACTGGGTTTAATGGAGACAAGTCTAGAACGATGATGTTGCCAAGGAATCCCATCACAGCTATCAGCATTCATCTAGGCACCCAATTAGCAGAGTCGTTCTCCCCTTCTTGTATTAATTACGTTGACCATTCATCCTCCCCCGCTTTACAACAACAATGATGCGACTCTCAGTTGTTTATTACATCAGCTGTACTTTTTCCGATGCAGGATGCAGCTAAATCAATCTTCCCATAGCCAACTCACTTTTCGTATAATAAAAAGAGTACCATAATTGTGAGAGAAGACGATCTCCCCCAAAAGCATCTCTTTCTTTTTCTTTTACGCAAATCATGTTACAAAACAAACAAGGATACTCTTATTCGACTCGCAAGCACAGACCTGTTTCTCCACACCATCATCATCACCATCAACCAATGATCATGACAGGTGCCCCACCCGCTTGGGCTTATGTACCTTATACAACAACAACGCCTAATGGTGGATATGGACATTGCTGTTGTCAACCTAACAACATGGTGTATATGCTTCAACCCGTTGCATTACCGCCACAGAGACCATCCAGACATCATGACGATCATACTCCTCTCGTTTATTTTACAAACAACAAGAAGCATCCTTCTTCACCTCCAAGAAACGTTCACAACAGATCTCCTCCTGCTTCACCTCCGCCACCAACCCCTGTTCCAATTCAACGTCGACCTCCTCCTCAACAACAACGTGAAAGGTTTATGCACCCCAACCTTCTTCGTCAACAGCATAGCTATTCCAATATGGCTTCACCTTATTTACAACATCACCACCAACAACCACCCAAACGACGACCAAGTCAAAATACAGTGGCAAGTGCGAGGACATCACCCCTAACAAGTAATGGGGGCCATAGTAGTAGTAATAATGACTTATGGCAGCAACGACAACAACAACAACAACAACAACAACAACGGAAGGGTTCCGAGAAACAACATCATCAGCTAGGAAGATCGGCATCATTGCCTACACGCATCCATACAACACACGATTGTGACACAACACATCATGCAAACCAAAGATCAAATTTGGTTACTCGAGCAAAACGTTGGTTTTCATTATCACGGAAATAAACATAACGTATACACACAGCCATTGTTATTCCTCCTCCTTTTGTTGTTTATTGTATGGTACATGTAGCGCTAGTTGAATGATGACTACGGCCATCCCAGGCCAGCTGGGTAACGAGCCCTATACGCATGTGGTGTGCAGCGAAAGCGTGGGCCTAAATATAGTAGTACAAAAAAAAGAACAATTGAGTTACACGTGGATGTGCCTACGTACGTGGATAATAAATGCTTACGCTTAACCATGCATCACCAATATCATGTGTATATTCTGTTCCAAGGCGTTGTTTGAGAGCTGAAACAAAGGCAGGGCCAACGAGTGCAAGATGATCAGGATGTACATTGTATTGGGCGTGTCGAGAGCCAAGCTGCTGAAGCTGTTGCACTGTGGTTGCTGCTGTCACAGCTGCAGGAGCACGAGTAAGGCATGATATCATTCCAGTCAATGCTCTTGCTTGTGGAAAGATGTTGTTAAATAATAGCCGTGTCTCTGGTTCAAGAGCAAAGAGGGCATCGTAAAAGGCAAGCCCAAATGCGTGTGCTGGTGATATAGCAGCGCTATCGCTTTCTTGGCGGAGCTCTGAGACACGCTCCCAACTAGAGCGCACCAGCTCAATTTGTTCATCTGTCGGTTGTTTGGGTGACGACGTGGTGCGAGTAAACTTTTTACGTCGTAGTAAATCAACCGACGTGGTAGACATGGATGGATAAATGGATGAAAGAAGGGGAGGAGGAAAAAGACAGCTAGCACGGAAGAGAAGGAAACTCACGACCTGGTTAAGGTTTGGTCAACTTTGAAGGTTCCCCTTCTCGATTTTGCAAGCTCAGAAATGGGAACTTGTGTAATAACAAGAATATTCACTATCATCCACAACATTATCGAGATATTCATTTTCCTTCTCTCTCCCCCTGTATGTCATTATTCAATGTTCACCCCCTTCATCATCATCATTAACGTAACATCCGGTCTGGACCACACATACACAAAGAGTATCTTGAACAACTTGTTACCTCAAAAACAAATGTGGCTCATGTTTTCGGATTCATGGATAACATGGCATAGTCGTGCAACCGCTTTTATAGCAGAATGGGCTGTCATTTCTCATCCGAGCGTGTCAATGGTTACACCACATCATCTTCACTGCTTGATATATCTTACCGTTTGCCGCATGTGAAGCCTGTGCACGCGCACAATGATGGTGGTTCGTCGGGCTCTGATCTTCGTTCCCAAGGTTATTGGGTCACGCCACTTTATCAAGGCGCAAGTTGCCTCTTTTGTTTGCTCGCCCTTGCTAGTAACCACATGTTCACAACATTCACCATTATTCCCAAGCTACCGTTGCCATGGTGGCCGTTGACATGGTGATAAAGAACAAAAATGATCGTGGATAGTAATAACCCCCCACCACTGAATACATTTAAAGCAGCCTCTCACCCAAAATGAAATGCGGCCATTGTTAAGCGTTATCAGTGGTTGTGAAAAGTCCATTTTGGGAGGCGTGTTATGTTGGCTATCAACAATGAGCGAGAGGTCATAAAAGTCTATGCATAGATTGGTTGGCAAATATGATGCGGAAAGTGAACAAGAAACAATCAAGGATGTCATTGATCGTGTTTCCTTGTACTTGATCAGATACTACACCCCTGAAGGCCACGACAGGGAGTGATACGTGCTACCAATACGGATTCATTCTGATGGCGATCGTTGCTCCTCTAGAAACGGCTTGGTCTTTGTTGGCTAAATGGTGCGAGTATCCAATCATCAAAGCCTTTTAGTTGCTAAGGCTAGAATACCATGCTGTGCCTATGGTGACAAAAGTAAGATGCATGAAACACCACTATGCCTTGCCTGTTTAAGATCCATCGTATGCTTCCCAAGATCAGCAGCAGCTGTGTGTGCTCGCTCTTTTTTTTTTCTTTTTGCTTTACTTCTTTATCTCCAAACACCTTTCCCTCGGCTACGTACATACCAATCTTTTGCTTCATGCTATGGGCGGTGATCTCTTTTCGATTCCAGTGTTCTTTATTGTTTTACGGGAAACCTTGGAAGTGGCTCTAGTATTATCGATCTTGTTCACCTTCATCCAACAGCTATTTGATTCTCAGTCACTTGTATACCGGCACTTGCGACGTAAAATATGGCAAGGCACGCTAATCGGATTCGCCATAAGCGTGATTATCGGTACAGCCGTCATTGTCGTATGGTACACCGCACTACACAACTTTTGGAGTGATACCGAGGATATCTTTACCTCCGTGCTATGTGGTGTCGGCGGTGTTTTGATGACAATTATGGCACTTTTCATGCTGAGAACTGAACGTCTTGAAGATCGGTGGAAACATCGACTCGCAAAAACTCTACAAAGCACATCAAGTAATCCTTGGATTCGCTTACAGCAAAGCTCATTCATGGTAATTCCCTTGCTTTCCGTTCTACGTGAAGGCATCGAGGTGCTGCTTTTCGTGAGTGGTGTACGTATATTTCCATTCTTAATCTTCGAGCAGGAATACAAATATTAAGCTATTTTTACTTGCACAGGTTGCTATCAATACACCTGTGAGCCAAATACCCATCCCTGCTTGCACTGGATTTGTATGTGCAATACTTATTGGGTACCTGCTCAATCGTTTCAAGACGGTTTGGCGTGTTCGTCGCTTCTTTGTCTTCTCTTCTATCCTCTTTTTTCTCATGGCAGCTGGCCTACTAGCGCGCTCCGTTGGATACGTTGAAGATTACTTATGGGAAAAGGCTATCGCAAACGTACCTAATGAGGAAAATGCTATCGAATACATGGTGACAACAGCATTATGGCATGTCAGCTGGGGCGATTCTCAGCACGTGACAAGTGAAGATGGCGGTTGGTATGTTACAATGAATGAAAGCAAAATGCAACGTGACAATAACCCCACTTCATAGGCAGCTCTTTCGTGCCGTATTAGGATGGGACAATCTTGGTACGATATTTACGGTCACCATGTATATCGCGTACTGGGTCGTTGTCATTGGCACTCTTATTTATATGCATTGGCATGAAAGACGTAAGGCTATTCGTAAAGCTTTGGCCGGTGAATGGTTCACTGGTGATATCGCTTTGGAGAATGCTGAAGATTGTATCGATCCCAATGGAGATATTATTGTCAGCTCAGTAGACAGCACAAAGCACATCCTCGATCATCAACAACAACAACAACCCACCAGCGGCTATACTGAGTCTGGGCTCTCAGCATTCTTTGCCGGTCGTTTTAGTTCCCTTTATCGCAATTCATTGTCATCCTCTCATCATTATCGTTATTGAAATCTTATACCAACCCCTCCTCCCATATATCCCATTCAGCCGTGCCATCACTACTCCTCCATACCATATCATCATATCGTCAAAGTTGTAACCATTATAGACTATTATTGCATATACCATATCTCCACTACATTGGGCGCTTACGCGATCTACATTTGTGCATAATGAACGATACCCGGTCCTTGAGCTCGTTGCTGGCATTAGCAGTATCACTCAAAGTATAATCTGATATATAGAAAAATCAATCATACATCCTTTGGCTGGATTGGACAACCCACAAACCAATACTAACCTGCAAGTTTTTGAAGCACAGAGTCGAATCCTTTCACAATGCTAATCGTGTCGGCAATAGGATAAAGAATGTCGACGGTATTCTCGATAAATTCGATGCTGTAAGGTGGATCAGCCGACTCGAGAACCTACAATCGGTTATAGTCGTTGAGTAAAAGAGCTTTGTATTCAATCCACACACATACCAAGGTCACAAAATGCACCGTCAAACTATAGTCTGCATCCGAAAGCGTACGCTTGACAAGTTTGAAAACTGGGATGGTGTATTGTAGTTGAACCAAGTATACCAATCGCTCAATCCACCGTTTTTGCAATGTTTGCTAAATAGAGCCATGATAAGCTAAGGTTATCGAAAATACATACATTTTGTCATCGACGTACCAAAATTTCAGGTGCAAAGTTTTCGTATGAATGCGATAGGCAGTGTTCAATCACCTCCAAGACTTGTGGTCGTTGAAGAGGATGTTGATAAGCGATCTCGTCCAATAAATGGTGTGGAAGTGGTATATCTGCCGATCGGTAATATGTCTCATAATACGGCGTCTTGGTTGAGAGGTATTCTATCCATAGCAACACCGCCATCGATGCTACAGGAAGCCTAGATACACGCTACGTCAGCCATTGCATAGGGTCGATACCATTGCATTCCACACATCCCATCCTACCGAAGGCTTTCCAGAATAACTCCCATGGATTGGGTAAAGTCGCCACCAGTTTGGTTGCTACGAAGTTCTTTTTGAAGCGATTGCAAGGTGTCGCATGCATCCTGTATTGTTGCCATTTGATCCTAATACGTGATTATGATCAGCATATTGGTAATACCACTTTAAACACGAACCAAATTACCTGTGATGATCGGCTAGGATTGAATACTGTCGCATAGCTCACAATGTATATCATCTTGTCCACCATCTCTGGTCGTAAATGTACATTTGGGTTCGGGACGAATAGCATCTTCAATAGCAGTACTAGCGTAAAGCAAGTAAGTATACTCGATCAATCGTCCCCTAATAATACCATCTTACTGATCAAGTCATATTCGCGGATGTGAATGACATTGGGTGGAGCGTTGGACTTGTACATGTTGTATATCTACAATCATCATCATTAGAGTACAAGTATATTGAGAGAAGCTCCAGCGTTGCCACTTACTGTGATAAGGTCTCCAGGTGTGGGTTGGCCCGAAGACTTTATTGATTTCAACGCACTTGCCAATTGTGGAGGGACGTCGTTTGCGCATGTTCTGATAATGTCGACTAACTCGCCACTAGTAAAGTCCAATTGGGGTTAGGGAATGATTCTAGACCGGAAAAAGTCAGCCTATTACTTACTATCCTCTGGATGTAGCAGCCTTTTCCAACTCCTTTGATAACCTTGCAAATGATGGGCTCTCGAAGTCTTCATATAAACGTCTCAAAAGCACCTGCGCATACAAATAAAAATGCTCTTGTTCACAGCACACTCGCTACCCAAACAAATAGTTAATTCACAACTTGATCCCCTTGAATCTCCTATCCTACTCACCACAAGATCTGATATGCTTTCATCCACATTGATGTCGTCCTTCTTGATGATCTCGCTGATGGTGTCTCCAAGGATCAAGCTGTAAACCTTGACGTAATTGGATGATGTGCGTAGTCGTGCAACTTCATCTTTGTAACCCGATTCGGCCATACGCTACACACAAATAATGCCACAATGAGCTTAATGCCGTCCATCTTGCATAACACTTACCATTACAGCCACATTCAAAAACTCACAACGAGGGTGCTTGTCAAGTAAATCGTAAATGGTGCGTCGCCATTGAGCGTCTTCGACAAGAGTATCCAACCAAGGCATGGACACTGGACCCTGGTATCATGCACTTGCTCTGTTAATGATAATGCCACATTCATATGCTTAAAACCACACCACGTACCTCTGCAGTTATCAGCTTTGCATCAACGCGTTCTGGATCAAAGTTCTCCAACAGGGTCTGCTTTATCGTGTCTCGTAGAATCGCTTGGCAATCGACGCCGATCAACTGTGCCGAATCAGCAGCAGCCTTGACCATGGAAGGAATACCAACATAGGACTCGGATAACAACCGTGTTGCGTCGCTTTGATTACCACCACAGTCAATGAAGGGTGCGACAGCTGTGTTGTAGATACCAGGTTGCAAAATGGCGTCTTCATTTGTCGATTGGTGTGAGTTGACGTGTTTTAAGGTTCCTGTTCGATATACGGAGGTCGCTCACCTTTCTGTTCTAGCTGTTTGCTGTAATGCTCAGTCGTGAGATCGATTTCCTATACCATGGATGGCATTAGAGGTGTGCATGAACAAGAATAGTTGGCTGTAAAAGTACCATTGGTTGTCAAGGTCAGAGGCAGGAGCTGTACAAGAAGAGAAGAAGCAATGCTTTGATTTCCTAAATCCTCCTGCAACACCATCTCTCTCCCCAACCCACCCAAGCTTGCCACCATATACCATACACGAAAACGCGCACACTCATACACACACACACGCCCAAGCATATCGTAAACGCATGACGAGGGTGATCATGATACGAACAAGCCTGCACACATGGTCAAGTTGCATTTGCATATATAGCTTTGATGTTAGCCAAGTACATACATAGACAATGAAATGTGTTTGTATTCACGTAGATGGCAGTGGTTCATTATCTTGATCCCTTTCACGCGATCTTAGAATAAACCAGGGATGACAACCCATAATAATGAAGCACATTTGCATAGTTATTTGATAGGGTAAGCATGTCCCTTAGCTCCAAATGGCAATGTCTTTGATCGTCAAAGAAAAGGTTGTGTATATAAGAACGTGTGTGGGAAATGTATATCAATACAGCAGTAATGATGGGTGTACCTGGACAAGTCAGCTTATGCAGTGTTCGTTCCAATTGATAGAATTTCCCACGGTGATGACCGACTTTAAACCTTTCCTCATTCCCCAGAAGGAGTCGACACTCTTTTTCCTTTTACTCCAAACAACATACCCATATGCAGCCTGGATTTAGACAACTCGCCGGTCGCTCCTTGCATTATATTCAAGCAAGTGCCACATACATGCACATCATTGTATTCAACGCGCACTGACGCCTTTCCTTGTTGTTCATAGAGAAGGGGTTATGCTGCTGGTTCAGCACAACCACAAGATGGTATCAAACAAGGTGTGGCCCATTCACTGTTATTAAAGCGTACATCCGAAGACGCATTACGTAACCCTGAACTTGCTCATATGAGTGCTATCGATGGTATGGTTGATCATAGTATAGTGATGATGATGATTGTGTGCGTGTGGGATTCTCATTCTTCCCATTTTTAGGTGAGACGCGGAAGATGAATTTGTTCCAAGCTGTCAATGATGCCATGTCAATTGCTCTTGCCACCGATGATAATGCTGGTAAGCATCCACTTTCACAATACCCACAAATCTATATGTATGGAACAATGCTCATGCTCTTTCATTGTATTCAGTGGTCTTTGGTGAGGATGTATCCTTTGGTGGTGTATTTCGAGCAACCACCGGTCTGGCAGAGAAGTTTGGCAAGGATCGTGTCTTTAATACGCCCTTGACGGAGCAAGGTATTGCTGGTTTTGCTATTGGTATGGCTGCAGTGGGCCATACAGCCATTGCAGAAATCCAATTTGCCGATTACATTTTCCCTGCTTTTGATCAGGTTGGTGTAGCATACAATATATATGGCGTTTATGATTTTATTATTAACATGACTTTGTAAAGCTTGTCAACGAAGCTGCCAAGTACAGATATAGATCCGGCAATCAATTCAACGTGGGTGGAATGACAATTCGTGCACCATGCTCAGCTGTAGGTCACGGTGGTCATTACCATTCACAAAGCCCCGAAGCTTTCTTTGCCCATTGTCCTGGTTTAAAGGTACTATCACAGTGAAAGGATGAAATCAGGGAAGGCATGTAGCTAACTTGTATACAGATTGTCACTCCACGTAGCCCTATCCAAGCTAAGGGATTGTTGCTTGCATCTATACGCGATCGTAACCCTGTCATTTTCTTCGAACCAAAGAATCTTTATCGTGCAGCTGGTGAGTAAACCTATAATCCATGATCAAGAAAATCACTAGCAGCTAACATGACTTGGATCATTCTAGTTGAGGAAGTGCCCGTTGCCGATTATGAGCTTCCACTTAGCAAGGCTGAAGTGCTAAAGCGTGGCAAGGATGTCACTATTGTTGGCTATGGTGCACAAATGTATACTTTGGAGAACGCTGTTCAATTAGCTGAAAAGAAGATGCCAGGCTTGAGCTGTGAATTGATTGATTTGCGTACTATTATGCCATGGGATGTGGATACGGTTGTCGAGTCTGTAAACAAAACCGGTCGCCTGGTGGTGGCACATGAAGCACCTAAATCAAGTGGTATGGGTGCTGAGATTTCGTCTACGATTATGGAGCGATGCTTCTTGCGATTGGAAGCACCTATTCAACGTGTATGTGGTTGGGATACTCCCTTCCCTCTTATCTTTGAAAAGTTCTATATGCCAAACATGATTCGATGTTTCGATGCCATCAAGAATGCTGTAAACTACTAATTAAAATGAATAAAGCATCCATGTTTATTTGTAATAGAAGAATTAATGTCTGAGTCACATGATAGTTTAAGCTGCATTATGTGGATTGTGTGGACACACGCCCCGCTGAGGACCATGAATGAGTTGGATCGGCGATGCTCATCAGTTTCTCCTTCTCGATTAATCCACCATGGTACGATATCAAATCACCATAACGATACACTTGCTGAATCACGACGACCTTGAGAATCGATGGATGGATGGATGGATGGATGAATACAATGGATGAATGAATCAATGGATCCTTCTACGATTTTCAGTCGACTCGATTCCAGCATGCTCACTCAGTTGCAACATGCTCATTAACACGAACCTTCCATTAGACCAAGGGTACCCAATCGTTTGGTAAGCGCCAGACCAAGACGCATACCCTTTGCCGTCGCTGTGGCAACCGCTCATACCACAAGCAAAAGAAGACCTGTGCCAGCTGTGGCTATCCCGCCGCCAAGATGAGAAAGTGTAAGTGAATGCCTGCCAGCCCCCATCCACCATCCAACCTCATGACTCACGAGTATCTTATAACAATAGTCAACTGGTCCGAAAAGGCTAAGCGTAGAAGAACCACTGGTACTGGTCGTATGCGTCACCTTAAGGTTGTTCACCGCCGCTTCACTAACGGCTTCCGTGAAGGTACGTTTCCATTAATGCATTACACTGCATTGTGCACGTGCACGTATTAATCTCGCATACGATCCTTACAGGCACCCAAGCCAAGAAGCAACAAAAGACCGAGAACTAAAAGCACGGATACGACATTGCAGTTATACATGCACACAAGCAAGGCCGAATCGGTTAGATTAGCTGAGTGTGCGACCGTATTTATCAATCGGGATGCATATAAAGATGAGCTACAAACACAAGAGAAGGAACAAGATTGGATGTCTATAACGATGGGATGCAATTGCAACAGGAGTGAAGAAGTCATGGATGATGACCATTATGCAAAGAGGGAGTTACAAAAAGGAGGAGGAGAAAAGGATGAGGAGCATGTTTTCATTATAAAATCCCGGAATCTTTGAGTGCATTACGCAGAATGGTTTCAGCAATAGCACCAAAAACCAATCGAATCTGTGATTGCAATATTGGGTTAATGGATGAAAGGATGGATGAGTAAGCCTTAGACTTACATTGGTAGTGCTGGTTGCCTCTGTCAGACTATGCAAATGCAATGAGGGGTGAGAACAAATTATGCAATAAGGGGTTTTTTGAATGAATGGTGCATGTGCTTACTGTGGGTAAATGTTGAGCTTGGCACGATTTGTTTGGTTGAATCGCCAAAGGATATATTTGGTCGCTTTTTTGATATCTTGGCCACCTGCATCAAAGCATGTTCTGTTTTTAGTAATGGATTCATTGTAAGAGTGAACCTGTAAGCTTACCACCATAATCAGGAAAATAACGCTCAAATGGGAGCTTTGGCAGTTTGCTTTTGAAGACGTCGATCTTATTCAAAAACAGAATGATCGACGTGCGTAAGAACCATCGGCTGTTGATAACTGATTCAAACAGCACTAAACTTTCCATCATGCGATTCTATAGTCGTACAAGCTTCAATATCTAGTATTGGTGGCAACTTTTCATATATTGTATGTACCTGCCGTGATTCTTCAAGAAGCACCTGGTCGTATTCGCTCAAGGATACACAAAAGATAATGGATGTCACAGCCTCAAAACAATGGATCCATTTTTTTCGTTCAGAGCGTTGACCACCCACATCAAACATGCTATTTTTACAAATCAATCAATTAGCTTGCTGCATAGTAATCATTGTACTGCATTCTTGGGTTATACTCACTGAATGTCCAGCTGACCCATTTTAAACCGCGTCTCTGTAATGCCTGTGGTTTTGGATCTTGCACGCAGCACATCTTGCTCACAAGGCACGTAATCTGGTTCGCCTATCCTTTCCGCATTCTCGAAAAAGCTATATCAAATCCCGCTATTGTCAATTGTTTTTATCCTTGTGGGTATTATTGTTTGCCAAGAACATACTAGGATGCCGAGTCCATGAGATAGAAATCGCTTCCATCCTTTTCATCAAGCAGCTGTGCCACCACATCGTCTCGCCATATGCTGCTAATGGCTGCTGACAACTCCGGAGTCACTATACCGCCGACAGCATGGCACTCCTTGACGCGCTCAGCGTGATACTATAATAAGAATACAGCCGTATGAGATACATTATCTGATAGTCTTATGCATGATGCACATGTATACCATGTTCTTTTCCTCTTTGAACTTGTAATCAAATTTCTCGAGACCGTTGACTAGTACTTGGGCACATTCAATCAGGTTTTTGTATACTGTAGGTCGCCATGTTTCCAGCTCGTCAGTAGAATAGCCGTTTTGGTGGATGATTTTCATTTGTTTTACGATCGTGGATTTTCCTGATTCACCGCTACCTATGCACATACATGCAAAGATGTATATGAGACAAGCTGCAACAGCAAATCTTGATAGCTTGTAGAGAAGACAATACCGAGAAGCAAAATCTTGAGTTCGCGTCTAATACGTTGTGAGTCTTCTTCTAACATGCGATCAATAGCTTGGCTGTGGTTGCGTTCAGCGCGTTTTTCGGATGATGCACAAAGACCCATTGTGTATGGAAAAGGAAAGGAGTGAAGATGGCAAGGAACAGGGGAACGAGGGCAAAAAGAGAGAAAGATACATGATAAAGGAGAAACAGGGTTTTTTTATTTTTTGCACAGGGATGAAAGCAACAAAAGATTGGTGTGCACACAAGGAGAAAAAGTGATCGCTTTGTATTCCCAAAAGTCTATGTAGCAGAGTAGGAGGAGGAAGGAGATTGGGGGTTTGTGTATGTGTGTGTGTCGTGTACGTATGCAAGTGCCAATCGAGGACAAGGGGGGAAATAACAAAAATGGTGATCTTCCATCATCCAGATTTGGTTCGCTCGGCATAATCCGCCCAGCTTCCAGGGTAATTGAATACGCTGTTATATAGAAATACATTATCAGTTTGGTATCTTGGTCATGGTCATAATCTTAACTTACCGCTTGTATCCAATCTCACGCAAGAAATCTGCCGCTTTGTTGGATCGGATACCAGCTTGGCAGTAAAGAACAACTTCGTCACCGTCGCTTGGTTTTTCGAATCCAAATTCATCCTCAAAATCCTCTTCTGACATACTCCATGCTACGAGAAATTTGCTCTACAAGCATTCATGCATGAGTACCTTGCATACCTATCTTTCTTTTCATCATTAACTTACCAAGGGAACATTTTTTGCCGATGGGATGGACCCTTGCAACAATTCATTAGGCTCTCGGACGTCGATAAGATGGGTGTTCTACATGCATGATTGTATAAGTGATCCATATCATCGTATTCCTTTAGTGGATAGAACACTCACCTGCTTGTTGTCTTTTATGATCGTTTGAATGTATTCATAGTCAACAGTATTATTCTCGGTAGCTGAAGTGAAACGACGCGTTGCAACCAATGCATTGCGTTGCCAAGCGATCGGCTTCAATTGACTCGACAATGCGACTGATGCTGCTTTACGAATAACACGAGGTTGGTGTCGCAGGATATTTTGGCGTAAGACATTGGAACAAGTGGCTCTCAAGAGGGTAGGCAAACTCATGGCTGTGCGTGCTGTATCTTGGGAAGAAGAGAATGGAAATTAGCTGTTGTGAATTACCTGAGCGTAGTTATCAACCCAGCCAGCTGCTGCTGGTTGCCATGACTACCAACACCAATTGCGAACATAAACACTACACACGAGAAGCACATGTATGTTTGAATGTATATGGATTAATGTGGGAATTCAATGCTATGTTCCACCTATGTACATTGAACCATGCACGTACAAGTCGACTTGGCTGAAAACAAGCGTGGCAGCAAGCGTGGCCGGATATCATATGTCTATGCGTGATAGCTCTTCAGCTTTATGTGGACTCCAACGAAGTATCTATATGATGTCAAAGAGTAATTATAGCTACTAGGCAAACGCTGATTTTATTGTATAAACACCATGCTATGTGATTTGCATGATGTGGAGGGATGGATATAAATGGCAACCAGCTCAACCGCGTGCGGCCGATTTGACTGCTTTTCCACTTCTTGCCTACTCACCACAGCTTTACCTTTTGCCCTCAACGATCTCCAGCATGGCAACATCATCCAAAGTACAGAAGATTATGGTGCAGCCGATTGTATGTATACCGAAAACGCAACGATAACACGAAACGTCTCTCTTTAATAACTCGTCTTTCTTGTCTTAGAACCTGATTTTCAGGTATCTGCAAAATGTAAGCCATCCCACTCATCTATTGCTTCAACCTGCAAGAGTCTTACCCAATCCCATTAGAAAACAAGAGTGCAGATTTGGTTGTTCGACAAGGCTGATATGCGAATCGAGGGTCAGATCATTGTATGTTGGGGAAGCGACATTCACAAAAAGAGGGTGTGTCGAAAACTCATTCACGTGTCTAGGGCTTTGACGAGTTTATGAACTTGGTTTTGGATCAAGCACAAGAAGTGACGACTAAGGATGGTGGCACCAGAAGAAACATTGGTAATAATACATTGCAGGATTTGGTTTAGAAGGGGATATCTTATTGACATGCGTGGATCGTTTTTCTAGGTCGAATCATGCTTCGAGGAGACAATATTACGTTGATACAAGCGACTGGAAACTAGATGCAGATAGCGTGACGCGGATAGTGTGGGTGGGGCCGTGGCAGCCAATAAAATCAATGAATAGCAACTACGAATAAGAATGCTGAATAGTAAACCTCTGGCCAATGAAGAAGGGGGATGGTAACTGTTGTTTGGTGCAACGCTGTTGCATGAAAGGACCTACAAGAAGTCAACTTTTATGTTAAGTCGTAGGTGGGTTTGTGTATCAGCTGTTGATTTTCTATCATACCCGTGCCAGAAACTAGGCGCAGAACAACACGTATGATATGAACCAGAAAGGATTGCATCAATTGGAAAACGTGTATTGCTAGCAAGCAGATGATTATACGTTATATGGTTTGCCAAGCTTTTATTGTATGTCTTGTTATGAAAAGCAAAATGTACACATTGTGATTGACATCGTCTTGGTTGCATGGTGTTTGGGTGACAGGAATCAGGCAAAAGTGGCTGTGATTTGTAACATGGATACCTATGCATTGTATTCTTTCCCCCTTTTCATAAGCTTATTTATGGTTGTGCCATCATGGTAGATATCTCGGCCAGCGACCGTTCTTTATACTCCAGCATCTTGCTAATGTCAATGCTCCATATAGGGACAAGACCAATCTACTCAAAAACACGATCGTCTCCACGACATCACTGAAGCTGGTAATTGCTTTGATGGTCATGTCACCCATTCGCACGTTGACTTGTTGTGGCGCCTGTAGATATGGCTCTCTCTAGCGAAGCAAGCAGTGGTAACCATGGCAACTACAATATTTGGTGTCTTATTAACGCGCAAAAGTATAGTGATTGATGGCTCCCTTGCTCGACATGCTGTTGCAGGAGATGATGGTGGGTCCGATAAGGTAACATAGCATTACAATGGCTCAATCATCAAGCAACTCATGCATCGATACATCAAAGGGAGTTATACAAGTCGTACATGGTACAGGTGATGATGGTCAAGAAGAAGAAATAGTGAGATTACAGCAAGTCAAGCGAGTAAGCGATCAATGTCAATGACGCCGTATCTTTATCTCATAGCTATCTACGTAGTTTACACCTCTTGTACGAGAGAATGATCGTGGTTTTGGTCTTGATGGATTACTTGGCATTGCTGTCGGTAGCAGGTCATCATCATCGAATGCTTCACAAGAGCAAACCAATAGGATGGAAAGTAAGCAACCTCATTAGCTCCTGCTCAAGCTTGAAAAGATTACTCAAACATCGAATTGCATGTTACCTAGTTGATCCGGAGCCATTGGCTGATACCCTTTTTCGTTTATATCAACATACCGAACTTTATAAGAGTAAAATGTGTGAGCGGCAGGTATGTACTGCAAGAGGAATTGTACGATTGTTGTAGATGGATGCTGATGATGTTTCCGACATAGAAAGGCTTGCATGATCGAATACAATACGCTGAAAGACTCAGCCAGCAAACGACACAAGCACTGATATTGGCGCTGAATCAAGCCAAGAATGCGAATGAAAGGATACCAGAGATCAAAGCGTTGACAACCCATGCTGAGAAGGCACAAGGATCAGCCAAGAAGATAATGGAAGGATTGAACAACATCAACAGCCATCTCGCATCCGATGATCAACTAGACAATGCAGCACTTGAAACACGGTGGCCGGTGTTGTCTCCACTTTTGAATACCACAGTAGATGCCAACAATATAGAATCAACGATGGATGTGTCATCCTGACATGTTGTCAATATGCCGCCACCACTGATTACAAATAAACTTTCAGTATGACAAGATAGCGTGTGAATACACTTTTGCTGGAGAGCGCTTTATTTGTGCCCTACTACTCTTTCTCTCCTCTCTTCTACAAACATGAAAATAGCAGCTGTTCAGGTATTTTCCTTCTCCAATGCAACATGACAAATGGTCCTAATGGGCACCCATGACGCGTAGTATTGCATCGACCACGACGATCCCCATGGCAACTGGTCTCGTATCGAGGACTATATCAACAAAGCCAAAAGTCAAAACGTGGACTTGATTGTTTTCCCAGAGTAATGCCACGTCATTATCTTCATCAAGGTGATGTCCATTTAACGGTTTCAAATAGGTATATTATTGGTGGTCCTGGTCCTGAAAGGGTAACTGGAAAGGAGGCATGCGAACGTTTCTGCAGCTTGGCAAAGCAATATGATCTTGACATCGTATCGGGAACCATTGTTGAAAAAGATCCGGAGGATGGCAAACTATACAACTGCGCCTATTATATCGACAACCGTGGCCAAGTCTTACTAGAATACCGCAAAGTGCATCTTTGGCATCCTGAACGAGATTACTTGCACCAAGGTAAACAATACTTTGAATGACTTGGAGCAATGGTGCTGATTTGTGTATCAGGCAAGCATGGATTTGGTACCACCAAGAATAGATTTGGGATCACTGTTGGCATGTGCGTATGCTGGGACATTGCATTCCCTGAAGGTTTTCGGCATATGGTATTCAAGGATGGTGCTCAATTAGTGATTGCGCCAGGTAAGTTAGATACCATTCCATGGCATATGGCACAACATGAGTTTTAACAATCATATTAGCTTATTGGACATTGGAGGATGCTGGTCCTATTGGTCAAGGTCACAACGCATTTAGTGAATCGGCATTCCTTGATTCTGTTGTTCCCGCACGTGCGTTTGAAAATGAGATTGCCATGGTGTTTTGCAACGTGGGTGATCCCAACGGTGAGGGGCAACGAAAAAGTCCATTTGGTGCTTCGGCTGGATGTACCCAAATTGCGGTTCCTTTCAAGGGCGTGATCGCTCATTGTGCAGCACGTACCGAAGAGATGATTGTGGCCGATGTGGATGTTGAAACATTGACACGTGATGCGGAAACAGTATACAAGGTGCGAGAAGATTGGATCAAGGGCAAGATCTTTGGTGGCAGTCCTGCATACGAGGTGGAGTCTATCGTTAAGCCTAGTAGCCAGTAGTGATGTTCTCAATTGTTTCATGGTTTATTTAATATATAGTTGACATATACATATCTGTATGCAAAAGAAATGAGAGGGTTGGGACTTTTATGTGGAAGTGGCACGCTTGTTGACATAAAGGTTCATGCCATTCTTCATAGGAAGAGTAAGGGATACTTGGTATGTGATCTCTTGGCCAGGAACCAAAGTGAATTCATAGCGTCTGAGCAAAAAGATGATAGCAACAAGAGCTTCAAGAGTAGCAAGGTTTTGACCTATGTATCGCATTTAGTATATACATTTAGGGGGAACATCATCATTACTTACCAAGGCAAGTACGTGGACCAGCATGGAAAGCAGGCCATTGTCCTTGTGATTCTCTACGTAATTCACCTTCGGGAGTAATCCATCGTTCGGGTTTGAATTGCTTTGCATCAGGTCCCCATACTTTTTCAGAGCGACCTTGAGCCCAAGGATCCCAGACCACGTAGTCGCCTTTTTTGATGTTGGTACCATCAGGCCATACATCATCATTAAGTGCATATTTTTGGTTTGCTGGTACGGATGGATGAAGACGTAGTACCTCGTAAAATCTATAAAGGTAACCATGTTAGAAGATCTTTGTGCTTTTAAAGAACTTGAAAACGTACAATGCATGAGCGTATTTCATATCCTTGATCTTTTCGTAAAGTGCACGAGCATCACCTTCAACGTCGTCGGTGATGAATTCATTGATTTCTTGAACAAGCTTGTATTCAATGCGAGGGTGGCAGCAAAGGTTATAGAAGGTCCATGATAATGCTTGGGCTGTTGTGTCTCTTCCGGCAATAACAAAGTTCAACACGATATCACGCAACTAAGGATCAATATAGGTGAGTGGATTGTTGTATATGCAAACGTGTATATTAATACCTCGGCGTTACTGAGCTCTTCACCGTGTTCGTTTAAGGCGTTCATGAAACGTGAAAGCAAATCATGGTGTACTTCACCTTTGGCGAGTTGAGCACGGCGACCTTCAATAACATCGTTGGCAAAGGAATCAATGACATTTAAATGGTCTTGGATAGATTGCTTCCAAGGATGCATCAAATTCTGGATTTTCTCGGTGACAGGCCAAAGAGGATTGACAAAGCGTTGGAAAGAATTCATTTGGCATTCGTCGAAGGAAGCAGCGAACGGCACCTTTTCCTTGCTGCTAAGAGCGTTAAGCTGCACGCCAAAACCAAGCCTGTTAAATTCATGGATGTTAATATGGGCGTATGTATATAGCAAAGAGGATGAGTGCTTACAAGATGAATGAGTCCAAAGTAAACTTGAACATGACATCATGGAAATCAACAGGCTGACCATCTTCGCAAGCCTTGTCAAAGATCAACTTGTTCATGAAATTGATTTCCTGAATGAAAACGCTACGGCGAATGAGAAAATTGTATCGACATTAACGTACGCATGATCATGTAGCTTACTCGGTGAAGTGGTCCCTGAAGTTTCTCACTATGTAAAATACGAGGGTATACGTAAGTGCTTGTTGCGTGTCAAAGAGTGGAAAAAGATATCACGAACCATTGAACACGACCGAGGCTGTTTTACGTTGATATTTCCAATGTTCACCATTGGCGTTGAAGATACCATGGCCGAGAAGGTCGGTAGTTGCATGGCTGAATTGGGGTCCTTTGACATAGTTTTCAAAGTTGTCTATGTAGGATAATATCGGTTTACATTAAAATTTGCATGATTGGTATCATTAGGTAATATAGCATTACCTTTCAAAATCCTTTCAACGTTGCGTGGGTCGATCGTCACGATACTACGAGGAATACCAAGTGCCGATGATGTGCTTTTTTTCATACATGTTGTGAGTGTGATGTCTTTGATGAATGTTGCAAGTATCTTACGAGGTCAATGCATCCTGTAATTCGAAGCCTTCCAAGAACATGTGATGGATTCGTTCCTTATTGGCAATGAGGGTGGGAAGAATGCCAACCAAAGGCCAGCCTTTGGTATATGGGATGCCTTCTCGGTGTTCGTCAAAAATACCACGGTCTGGGTATTTTAATGCAAGAAGACCAAGAACAGCTGCTGTGGCGCCTCCAATAATGCCAGCTTTCTGCAACACTGGGTTATTCTTTCGATCACCGAGCAAAGACATGAGTGAAAAAGGATGATTTGCATTTCCAGCAATGGGCCACTTCCCCTCTTTTATATGCACGAATCATCTCCGACATGGTGACACGATGTTATACCCCACACCTTTTTCATTGAATGTTGGTCGCTCTATGAACATCCACTGTCTCACCTTCTTTGTGCATTCATAAATCATTGTGTTGATGGTAGTATCTCTGAAATCATCCAAGGAATACACTTGTTAGCCGAGTTTACTTGTATCTCTTTTAATGGACTGTGTAATGCATAAGCATAAACGATACAATTATGGTGAATAAAAGCTTGCCTAATCATGTGCGATCGGCTGTCGACATGCATTTTATGTCAAACCTTTTTGCTGCTTTAATAAAAGTATGCTATTTGGAGTGGATGGTATAGCTGACCTTTTGTATCTTTTTCAACGTAAGCTATATACGACTATGGTTGATTGTTTCTAGACAATGAAATCCTAAACTACGTACTGAGCATCCAACAACAACAACGGCATTATTTATAACCCCCATCATAGGGAACCATTTCTTGACGAAGGGAGGGGCGGTGCATGCATGTTTGTATCCTTGTATCATTGGAGCCAAAACAATGGCGCAATGACTACCTGGAAACTGTTCACTTTGGGAATCATATCTTTGTGACACATTTTTGGGGTATGTCATATGCGTTTTGCACCCAAGCACGTGGAAAAAAGCTGTCAGGTCAACGCATGATATGACATATGACAACAAGCGCTTTCTTTCATTGCCACCACAACAATTACATATCTTACTCCATACATAGAATGGCACACCCCACCTCTGTTCCTTTGACTTTTGACATGCAACACAAATATCATTTTACACTCTTCCTTGTGATTTCTGCAACAAAAGGCCATGTGCAATAGCCCCAGCAGGAAATTATTTTCATGGCGGAGGACGACAGCTCTTTCAGTCTTTTCGACGATCTCACAGCTGATGAGCAACTTCTAAATCAGCAACGGCAACAATGCATGGGTGAAAAGACAATCGAACGATTACAGCAATTGCCCAGTGACCCATGTCGACGTACTCTTCAAGAGAATCGGCTTGTTTTCAGTCATGGTCGACAAGATCGCTTTCAAGTTCCTCAAAAGACAACACAGTTGTTTACACCCGATGAATGTAACGGTATCCTGGATACATGTCGCAACATGGTTGGCTGGACGACTCAACGGCATTCGGCTTTTCCAACAATTGATATTCCAATCAAGGAGACGGCGTTGGCGTACCTTGGTGACATGATCAAACAACGCCTCTTTCCGATGCTCGGGGACCATTTTGGGTTTGATGCATGCAGGGATCTTGCTTTTCGTGACATCTTCATCGTCAAGTATTCATCATCATCTCAACGCGGGTTACAAGCACATACCGATGGATGTTTGATGAGCTTCAATGTCTTGCTAAGTCACCCGGATGACTTTGATGGTGGTGGTACTTGGTTTGAATCCATTGACAGCGTCGTACAACTGGCTCAAGGAGATTGTGTGTATCACGATGCCCGCATCATGCATCAAGGCATTGACATTACACGAGGCGAACGATACATTCTGGTGGGCTTTGTAGATACAGCTGATACGATAACCAAAGATGCTCGTGCTATTAGAGATAGGCAGCACAAATAAAGTAATTCTCTTGCAACCTATACACATCTTGGATGATGGATAGTATTGGCATGCGATAGCTTTTAAGGACTACTTGTTGATGCTGCACATCTAGAAGCTTGTGGAACAATATGTGGGATTCCGGCATCCTTTGTTTTTATGATCGTCCCTTCATATGCAAAAACAATGTGACCTGTTCTCTACAGGTGTGCATGCATACCGCCAACAACATGTTGATTTCATCTCTTTTCCCTTGGGTGGATATGTATGCAGCACATGATATAGGCTTGTAATGGCAAATGACAGCATAGAAAGATGCAATCGGAGGAACCTTGTAGAGGTGGCATGCATTTTTGAAAACGCTTCCGTAGTCAAATATGGTAATTGCGTCCTAACTTTAGCATAAAAAGTTTCTTAGAATACATAGAAGCAGTAAAATTTACACACGGCAGTAATGTATATCTTGGCGTGGTGTCAGCTGCAATTGAATGATAATACGAGGGTGAGGGCGACTTTACGTTTATTTAGTACGATATAAGGATTTGTAATAGGGAGATGTAGTTATATAAGTGAAGGGATGTTGATGTTTAGGACAATAGAGCAATAGCTGCAGAGAAACCCAAGCCGAGAGCAACCATCGTAATAGGTTGTGATTTGGCACTTGCATTCTCTGGACTTGTTTCTTCTGGGTTGGCAGCTGAGGATGACTCGGAGGATGAGGTGGAAGAAGAAGGAAGAGAGCTACTGCTACTACCACTTGCAACAGCTGAACTCGATGGAAGAGCACTTGATGAAGCTGACGATGGGACAGCAGAAGAGCTTGCGATGCCACTGCTACTAGCCACAGCAGCACTGCTAGATGAAGCAGCAGCCGATGACGAGGAAGCTACAGGTTTGGATTGATATGAGCAATGATTACTTTTTGTATAGGGAAGCGGGTATGATTACTTACATGATGAACCAGTAGCAGCTTCAATGGTAAATTGAGGGCTGAAACCCAAATCAGGCGATGTTCCAAAGATAAGAGCATCTACATAAGAAAGGATGTGAAGGTTAGAGAAACCGGGTATACAAAAAAAGGAGAGGTGAACCCTGTCATATGTTGGCAGCCCTCCTTGTCGTCTCCTAATCTCATCAAACACAGGGACACTTACAGTCTGTGCCAGCAGTAGTGTTTGCAGGAATTGACCAAGTATATGATCCTGCTTCAGCATCCACGTTACTTGCGATTACATCAAGGCGTTGAAGATTGTTAGGGTCTCCGTGGGCAAGCACGATTTGGCTGATAGTATCCACAGTGGGGTTTGTCCTATATTGTATCCAACAAGGAGAGTGTGAGTGTTGTTGTTGGGTGGTGTGGATTTCAATCCATCAATTTGAAACGAGAAAAACTTACCACGTAATCAACGCATCTTTACCAGCAGTGTAAGTTGTGCCTTCAATGGGTGATGTAACGGAAAGGATGCCTGTGGATTGAGCCGAGATGGTAGAAACAGCAAGAGCAGCGATGGCAGCGACGATGGACTTCATTGGAAAAGAAGAGTAGTGAGGATTAGTAGTGAAAGAAAGAAATACAATATGCAGCCGAGAAGCGCGCTTTTTATGCCTCCATGACACAAAAAGGGTAATTCCCTGTATCCAGACAACCTTGGAAGATGAACATCAACTCCGGCTATGCATAAAGGTGGGTTGCTGCTTGGCAACTACTTCCGACGATTTTAGAGGGATCACGCGCATCCTTGGCTGTCGCACCAACTCTACACTGTGTGCTGCTTTGTGATGCCCCAGAAAAAATAACCCAGCCCACACACATTATTATTCACTTTTCCTCTCTTGTTTTCCCTCTCTTGTATACCCAATTGCTCATGATAGCCTCACAGCCACCTGATCCTTCCCAAGACATTGCATCTCATATCGACCGCAAAGATGACCCCATTGACGACTTGCAATTTGAACCTGACGAGTTCTCTGAAGAAGACGTGTTGCCATTCCTGTTACAGGCACAAGACATTATCGCAAAGTTGGAATCGAGAGTCGTCGATCTAGAAACGGACTTGTCGGTACGTGTGTTGGGTGATTAGCAAGCAAAGGGAACGTTGATATTGATGATAGAGTAGACGATCCATAGGAAATATGAGCATGATCGACACGATTGGCTGGTTGGATTATCACAAAAAGATCAATACATCCACCATCTTTCCAACAAGTTACAACGACTCGAGTTTAATGGAAAAGAAGCCATCTTGCTGTTGACGGATACATTGAATGATACACAACTTGATGAATCCACACAATCCAATTTGACACTTGCATTGAATTATCTTCGACAAGCTCATCTCACTTCTACACCACCTGCTGATCCACCGGTGGATTTCCCTGATATTGCAGGAGATGATCTTGAAGAGGGTGAATTGGAACGGCGTGCTGCTGCTGCAAATGAATGGCGAAAACAAGAGGATCCTGCAGGGTCGTTGCGTGTTTCACAGTGGGCTCAACAACAGCTACTTGTTGGATTGGAATCATCCACCCAAGATGGATCTCAAATTGATGCTGAACAATTTTCTACAACCACATCTCTTTCATCCATGACACGAATGCCATCCAATGAAGGTCAACCACCCGTCAACAATAACAACAACAACAACAACACTATCTCAACGCGTGGTGGTGGTGGTAATGGTACTAGTAGTGGTGTACCCTTGCCATCCGAGAATACGTTCTGTGGCAACTGCAGGCAGCTACTTGCACAGCTAGATCAGCAAATTGAGCAAAAAGCATACATGAAACGCGACTTGAATAATCTTGCATCGGCACTTTCTGATGAGGAGCAGCTACGATTCAGCGTGGAAGAAGTCAAGGAATCTTTGGAGGAGGATATTCAAGATGTGACAACATCGTTGTTCAAGGTGTTGAATTGTATTTTGATGGATGAGGTGATGGATCGTGAAGGCCTCGTACAACTGGATCGGGAAACCAACGGAAAGCTTGCCGATGTACTCCGAACTTGGGATGTCAGGGAGGAACGCCTGCGTGAAATCAAGGAGCAACTTGTCGAGTTGGATGCAGCTGTGCACCAAAGTAGCAACGCTTCCGATCGACTAAATCATTATGCACGCGATGAAACAACCACTACAGCAATGCCACGTTTGAGTATGATTCGACATAATCCTCGCTTCTCTTCTCCAGGATCACCTTTGGTGCCTTTAAGCGAAGATGAAAGCACTCATGGTATTTTGGGTAGCTCTACAACCAATCGCCCTGTTCGTATCGATGGCCTTGTATTCGATGAATTCCAGGAGCACGTCAAGACATTGTCAGCATCATCATCTCATCTTGCTAGTATGTCAACTCGATTCATGAAACGGGTGCTTGCCGAAGATGTGGATCCATGTCTATTTCAAAACACGACTTCGCTTTGGTGGAAATCTCCATGGTTCAAACGCAAATTGACAGACGCCATCGCCCATAATCGATGCGAGATTCAATATTGGAATTCTCACAACACATCCTCTTCGGCACTTTCATCATCATCCTCTTCTTGTTCACCTGCTACAAGCCATATCAGCACCTCTTCAGCTAATGGTGCCACTCATCATCATCCATCAGCACCTCGAACAAAATGCACATGTTGTGGCCACTTGCGTATATGCGAGTTCCGCATGCGCTTGCATGGTCAACCATCTCAAAAGCCTGCTCCTTGGTTACCTCTTGATCGTTTCTGCAGAGATAGAATCGTAGCCGTATGCGATTTTTACTCTTTCATTTCACATTTACGTCAAGGTCATATGCAAAAGTCACCCGTTCTACACATGTTCAAGCATTGCATGCATTATCGTCGACGTATGAGCATCGCTCGTGTTGGTTGTCTCGAACTCTTTGATGATGACACCTCCTCACCCTCTCGTTTCACATCACAATATCAATCGAAGCGACGTTCTCGAAAACGTGAAAGTCTCGTCCTTGATCATTCTGGTAGTGGCAGTGATTCTGGTAGCGTTGTAAGCATCACGGATATTCAAGGTCTCGGTGGAACAAGCCAGATTGTAATCGTGCACTGATTTATACCCCTTCCCCTCCAATGCCTTTTGGCTCATTTTTATTCGCTTGATATCTTACCAATTATACACATATTGAAACAAAGAATTCAGGATCTTGGTATCCATTGTAATCTTACATGACAAAGACTAAAGTGGTGGATAATGATACAAAAGTTGAACAAGGATGGAATAATGTGGAGGACACAAAAAGTATATACAAACAGCTTCACTTTCAAAAAGTACGATAAGTACATACGATAACTGGTCAATGAATTGATTGGGGTTTAGTGTTATTGGTTATTGCTGCTCGCTGATAAAGCAAGTGTCTTTTTCACCATTTACTTCGACCACATGTGGTTCACAATCCACTTTTTTTGTATTGCCCACCTCGCTCGTGAAAACCTCCACACATGAAACTTGCGACGCCGCCGAGCAACTTGGTTCTATTCAAGATCCCATGCTTCATTGTAAAGTTTAGAGATACAGGTACCTTTATGTTTTACATATGATGTAAGCGTGATGTTATATGAAAGGTGGTCTTCGTTTATTGTCAAATACCTCGACGTTGACACAGCGAAAAATACGCAGGGGCGTGTTTGTGTACATAATACGGTCCATTTTGCATGACTGGAAGGATTGATGGATGATGCTTTACACACACTATTCAGTAGCCGCTCATAATTGGCAACTAATAGCCCATTCCTCCCAATCATCTTTGTTGCCCGATCCAATGCATGTGAACGATTGTCCTGCTCCAGCCGAGCATGCCCATCATTCAACTTCCTTGATCCGAGAGGATTTGAGTGAAAAACGCTCAAACACAGAAGTATCACCCAACTTGAAAAAAAATCTACTTAATTTCCAGCTCTTCCACTCCCACCTTGTTTCTTCTTGCTCCCATTCTCAACTGTTGGCCCCATTCAACTTCAACTACACAACTATCTCTTACAAACGATTGTCCTGCTTCAACCCATCATGTCCATCCTACAGTTGTCTTGATCCGAATGCTTCGACTGAATGGCAAGTCCATGGCGTGTACACAGCCTTCTTGCTACCCTTCTACAACACACGAGCCTCTCGACACTACGCACTCTCTTGTACACTCCTCTGCCACAACCAGTTTGTAACAGCATTCATTGCAGCATTTGCCATTAGCAAGGTCTTCATTGTCTCATACAGCGTTCTTTATTTGCAACAGCTTGTCTACAGCCTTTTTCACGTGAACAGCAGATAGCCATTGTATAGCAGCAGCTTTATTTACGTGTAGCAACTTGCATGAATACAAACGGATACTATGGATGATGCCATATCAGCTACCATGTACGCCACAATACAAACAATCTTCACCTGTTTGAGCTGCAATGAAAATGTCTAAGAAAGGGATATACCAACGGCCGGATGGAAAAGGAAGCATACCAGTAACGATCAAAGAGGTTCTTACGGTACTTGCAATGGTTATGGATGGGATAGATGCAATCAAGTGCAGTGATGAGGAATCCTGGAATGTTGCTTTGGGTTACTTGTCGCGCTGTCAGCAGGACCGATCTCGTGGATACGAATGAGGATGATGGCGATGGAGGGGATGGGATTGTCAAGAGGGCTTTTATCTTTGGCGAAGGATGTTGCTTGATCACCATGGATTGAGATTGGGACACGTGAGTCAAATCGCGCAACAGCTATTTTGCAATCATGGATGAAGGTGCTTATGACAATGACACAACGATACCCGCTGATTCTATGTCATCCACTGGTTGGTTCCCGGAATGAAAGAGAGGATAGAAAATTGAAGATAGGAAAGCGAAATTAGATCATTTACATCATTGTATCCAGAGGTTGTCGTATTACATTCATTAAAGCTTCCTTGTTCATATGATCAGAGACGATAGGCAGTGGCGATAACGGATTGTATACATGTTTAAATAGACGCTTGTATTTGTAAAGGTAATAAACCCATAGTAATTGTACCCAACAATAGAGCTTGTTGCAGTAAGCCTGGTCCTTTGTACGTCTTAAATCATTACTTTTAGGAAAGAGTAAGCTCTGATACAATGTGGCACGAGTGCATACCTATGCTTTCCTATGAGAACCATCAGCATGCGCTATCTTGTATGTATAGCCTTACACAAGAATGAACCCTGGAGACAAGCAATACCATTGCACCTCATACTCGGATGTACTGATCATTTTTGGCTTGTTAACCATACCATGATTCACTCAAAGATTTCCATGCGGTCTATTAAAGGCGGATCTTACTAGAGGGAGGCAGCGTCAATTGTTGCAATGGGATCTTGCACTGCCGTGATGCTCAGCGTGTACACTAACTAAGCACCACACACAACGAACGCCGTATACAATGTACATGGAGATAAGATGCACAAGGGAGACTCTCATGTAATGTCAAAGAATAGAAAAAGCGTGCGTAAACGTCTCCTTCATTCAATACCAATAGGGTAAAAAGCGCGTTGACAATACCGTGTCCATCCGTACCCCAAGGTATGAAATCGGGAAGAGAGCCTGTTGTTTATTCATCGTACTTCACTGGTTTATAAGCTGCATGCATCTCTAAACTTACAATCGCATGACCGTGTGAGAGCAAATAACCGTCTCAAGCTACATCACAACACAATCATGCACTCTCCACCAATGAGAACCCTTCAAGCACTGCCTCTCAGCTTTATTACATAAACGCGCCCCTCTGCATCTTTGGCTCTGTCAGGGTCTAGCTACTTGACATTAAACAAAGACCACCTTTCATATAGCACCACGTATACAGCATAGGTAAAACACAAAGACTCCCATAACTCAGAATCTTACAATCAACCAAGGTTTTTTAATAGAACAACGTGCTCGGCGGGGTGAAACGCACCTTGTGTGCAAGTTTCACGTTCATCGTTGTCAATCCCAGATTTCGCAATGTCGCCACCAGCCAAAGTGAAACGAGTCGACCTCTTGAATTTTTTTTCGATGACCAAAAAAATATTTTTTGGGCTGTTTGCGACATTGAACGCGAAACTTTCACACAAGGTGCTGTTGGCCAAGCCGAGCACATTGCTCTATTCAAATCACCACGTTTCATTGTAAAGTTTGGAGATACAGGCACCTTTATGTTTGTAAGCGTGATGCTATATGAGAGGTGGTCTTTGTTCATTATCAAGTAGATGGACCCTGGCAGAGCAAAAGATGCAGAGGGTCGTGTTGTGTAACTCAGCTAAAAAGTCAGGACTTCAGGGACAATGCATGAAAGGTACGCAACCCTCACTTTTATGTCATACATTGGCAGCTAATAGCCACTGTTGTGCATTCCCAACTTTTGTGCATTCTATTGTAGATGGACGATGCTCCTGCTCTAGACATTCATTTCCATGATTAAAGTAGGTTGATCCGAGCTGATTTGGTTGAGTTACGCTCACACAAGATTACATCGGTTGAGCTACATCGAGCGTGCTTTATGTCCAGAGTGATGTAATCTCTCTTGGACCGCAGCTCAGTCAAATCATCTCGGATCAATCTACTTTAATCATGGAAATGAATGTCTGGAGCAGGGGCATCTTTCCCATGCGGTGGATCTCGCAACAATGATGATTGGATAAAAGTGACCGTTAGCTAGCAATACATGCCTGTTCCTAGATGATCCATAAAGTAATTATACATTGACCCTTTCATTCATGCAAATGTAGCTGTGTTACACAACACGACCCTCTGCATCTTTTGCTCTGTCAGGGTCTAGCTACTTCACAATGACCAAAGACCACTCTTCCTATAGCATCACGCTTACAAACATAATCGTGCCTGTATCTTCAAACTTTACAATGGAACGTGGGGTTTTGAACAGAGCAATGGGCTCGGCTTGGCCAACAGAACCTTGTGTGAAAGTTTCGCGTTCAATATCGCAAACAGCCCAAAAAATATTTTTTTGGTCGTCGTCGTCGAAGAGGTCAACCCTCAGATCCAGTTTGGCTGGTAGCGACATTGCGAAATCTGGGATTGGCAAGCTTGATCGTGAAACTGGCACCCAAGGTGCAGTTGGCCAAGCCAAGCACATTGCTCTAATAAAAACCCCACGTTTCATTGTAAAGTTCGGAGATACAGGCACCTTTATGTTTGTAAGCGTGATGCTATATGAAAAGTGGTCTTTGTTTAATGTAAGGTAGCTAGACCCTGGCAGAGCAAAAGATGCAGAGGGTCGTGTTGTGTAACACAGCTACATTTGCATGAATGAAAGGGTCAATGTATAATTACTTTATGGATCATCTAGGAACAGGCATGTATTGCTAGCTAACGGTCACTTTTATCCAATCATCATTGTTGCGAGATCCACCGCATGGGAAAGATGCCCCTGCTCCAGACATTCATTTCCATGATTAAAGTAGATTGATCCGAGATGATTTGACTGAGCTGCGGTCCAAGAGAGATTACATCACTCTGGACATAAAGCACGCTCGATGTAGCTCAACCGATGTAATCTTGTGTGAGCGTAACTCAACCAAATCAGCTCGGATCAACCTACTTTAATCATGGAAATGAATGTCTAGAGCAGGAGCATCGTCCATCTACAATAGAATGCACAAAAGTTGGGAATGCACAACAGTGGCTATTAGCTGCCAATGTATGACATAAAAGTGAGGGTTGCGTACCTTTCATGCATTGTCCCTGAAGTCCTGACTTTTTAGCTGAGTTACCCAAAGAGGTCCTTCTGCATCTTTTGCTCCGCCAGGGTCCACCTACTTGACAATGAACAAAGACCACTTGTCATATAGCATCATGCTTACAAACATAAAGGTGCCTGTATCTCCGAACTTTACAATGAAACGTGGGGTTTTTATTAGAGCAATGTGCTTGGCTTGGCCAACTGCACCTTGGGTGCCAGTTTCACGATCAAGCTTGCCAATCCCAGATTTCGCAATGTCGCTACCAGCCAAACTGGATCTGAGGGTCGACCTCTTCGACGACGACGACCAAAAAAATATTTTTTGGGCTGTTTGCGATATTGAACGCGAAACTTTCACACAAGGTGCTGTTGGCCAAGCCGAGCCCATTGCTCTATTCAAAACCCCACGTTCCATTGTAAAGTTTGAAGATACAGGCACGTTTATGTTTTACCTATGCTGTAAGCGTGATGGAGTTGCTTTTTCCTAGTGGATGGTGTCGGCTGCATTAACGGAAAGATGAAGAGCTGAGTGAAACCGCACGTGGTGGTTACACAGACCACGTCCTTGACAGGTTGCTACACAAATGGATGATGATGATGATTGTCTTTTGTGAAGGTACGTAAGTAAACAGCATCCAATAATGAAGGCGTGTGAAGGTATGCATCACATTTGCATGTAGAAGAAAGTCGCGCTGCATAAACCAATTTGTATATGTAAAAAGATACATATACATATTGAATGAGTCACTCACATCCTGAAACTCAATGGAGGGATCTCTTCACTTTTTCTCTTCTCAAGCCCATCCCACTTCCCACTCCTCCTTATTGTATCACAAAAGCTATGTACTTCTTGCATGACCGATAACCGGACCACCTTTATTATTCTATCTTCGAAGCAATAGTATGTAATCCACAAGCTAGCAACCTCCAACAAGCGTGTAATAAATAAACAATGCTTTATTTCATCTAGCTATCTTGCTACTGTGCATTGCCACCATCATCGTCGTAGTCGTCCTCCGTCATCATTCGTACTCGTACTCGTCACCAGTCGTCAATCTCATCCGTCACACCAACATCCAAAAATACACAAGTTGAAAAGAATGGGATCTTGCAGACTTCCTTTGAATCTCGTTGTCGTCATCATTGCCATTGTTGTAGATGGGGTGATCATCGTAATCGTCATTGTTGTGAATGTGTTAATCATCGTAATCGTCGTCTCTATAAATAAGAAAGCAAGCAAGTTAGACCATATGATGCCGGGAATGATGACGATTTGGTATACCGTTAGGCGATCCTCTCAAAGGAAGAAAGCAAATCAGAAGGAATTCACAAAGCAAATAACCACCATACAAGCAACGTCTGGCGATCCCTTCTTGTTCTTGAGAAAGCACTGCACGAATCACGCAAGGCCGGTTCGATCCATGGCAAGGAAGGGCTCACTTACGTAGAATCCAGGCTCATAGTTGTTCACATTCATCTTCTCCAAAGAAAGAGTGATCCCAATCCTTCCAATCATTTCCCACCTCATGAAAAGAAATCCTCAAGGGGAAGAACGAGACTATCACGAGAAGAGTGTGTTAGTTTGCGTTGATGTCAACACATCCAAGGCCGTGAAGTTGCAAATCCCCCCTTACCTCAACACGGTGACCATGCTCTTCCAAACACCCATCGTCATCGACCCATCAACTCAAACGCAGGCCTATAGAGCCCTGAACGCGTTCCAAGAAGCTTTTCCAGCACACTTGGCTAGTGCAGAGCGACGCAGCGACCACTTGATACAGGCTGGGACTTGAACCCAAAGAGATGATGATGATGCCCCAAGTCGCATTGCCTGACCAAAGAACCCTATTCAATTCATTATTAGCACACATATACAATAAACGCCCTACTTCATTGTGTTGTCCATCACTGCACTTGCCTTTTCCATATACATAAAGACCCGTTGTTGTTGGTTACAGGAAACCGAAAACCATGGTGTAGTATTTTTGAGCCGAAACAAAACGCCAAACCAGCCAACGTCTTGAGACCAAACCCTTGCCCTCTATACAAGTTAACGCGTCAATGGAACAAGTTGTGCGGCAGCATTGGGCTCTGAATGTACCTGTTGACACCAAGCATAGAGCGGGGATAGGAATGAACAAGAGGAAGCCATGGCAACAGCCAACCACCCACGACGCTCATTGCTCCACGCTTACTCCCTGATAATGCATGTTCAGAACTATATTAATACCTCACAACCAACAAGAACACTCTTTGATAACACATTACCTTGATGGGATGCCGTGAATGGGATAAAAGGAGAGGGAGAGAGAGAAGCTCTTGACTCGACTCTTTCAAGTTGTGGAGCTGCTGCTGGTCCCCAAATTAAAAATTTACTCAAATTGCGAGACATTGAGCCCCCAAAAAGATACGCTGCCTTCACCATCACCACTTGGTGGTGAGTCTACTACTACAGCACGCAAGCTACTACAGTTCACAACAACAGCAACAGCTCCTTGACGAATTTTCCAAATTGGGAAGGTGTTGCACCCATGTCTTTTTATTACCGTACCCTTTTAGAAGAGAATGTGTGGTGTTGGGTATAACGCGTATCGCGGTTGCTGTGGAAACAGCGGAATCAAAACGTAGTACCGAACGACCATCGCTATAACGAGCGATATGTGATGTGCCTTCAATGATGACAAAACTTTCATTTGGTTAAGACACTACTGAAAGAAAGATGTGGATACACTGTACTACGACGGTATCTGAGAAGCACATATGCATTTTTCATTTAGGTAATTGAATCAGGCACATGAGCGTGGAGACAATAATAGGCTGATAGTGCCGGTTTTGCTACGTTCAAGTTGACAGGTGAATGTTAAAAGCAAGCTTTCTTTATTGCTGCAGGTGATGATGGTCATTTTGCGTCTGGTTTAGTGCATGCCAATATCCTCTCTCATGAAAGCGTCTGAAGATGGCTCACGGCCGAGGAAGTCTATCAAAAGGTCCATTCCATCCCTGTTGCCATAAAAGATTAATTCCTGGATCCGACTCGTGTGAATGTGATATACTTACTTGCTGCTACCCTTTTCCAAAATGCATTTGCGATAAGAATATCCAGTCTTGGGTGAAAGCGTATCCGATTCAAACTTGGTATAGAACATGTCGCTGGAGAAGACCTTGGACCACATGTAGCCATAATAACCTAAAGTTATACATCAATTAATGAGTACACTTTTTTATCCAATTCCATCCTTTGTTGCTTTCATATTACCAGCGTCATAGCCGCCCATCAGGTGACCAAATGATGCTTGACCACAAGAACCCTGTACATCGTAACCTATTAGCGTATCCTCAAAATGCAGCAACTCTATAGAGAGCAAAGCGACAAACCTCTGGTGCCTTCACCAATGAAATCTTTTCACGCAGCTCATTGTACAGCTTGGTGGTGTCGATATGCTCATCTATCGAAAACAATGATTAGTCACTGACAGAAAAGGAAGGTCTAAAACATCTTACCTTCAGAGGTGTGAATTTCCATGTCGTAAATACCAAAGAACAATTGACGCAAGTTGAAGAGAGCTGCAAGGACGTTCTTGGACTTGATGATGCGATCAATCATGTCATCTGAGATAGGCTCACCGGTTTCAAAGTGAGCAGAGAGATACTTCAAAGATTCACGGTCATAGCACCAGTTCTCGAGCATCTACGAAGGAATTGGTTGGATGTCACTACAAAGACGTTGATAGTAACAAGCACAATGTCATACCTGAGATGGTGCTTCAACAAAGTCACCCTCTACCGATGTACCGTGGAATCTTGCAAACTTGGTACGGCTGCACAAGTGATGCATAACGTGGCCCTAGAGTCATCGTATTTAGCATGCAATCCATTATCAATAGCACATGTCTCCGTTAGACATACCAATTCATGGAACAAGGTGACAACTTCGTCGTGCTTCAAAAGAGATGGCTTGTCAGCAGTACTATGTATACATAAATGGATCATTAGTGAGCATTTTGAACCGGCAATAATAACGATAATACATACGGCTTGGTAAAGTTGGCGACCATAGCTGCAATAGGAGCAACACGAGAGCCGTCTTCGGCAATGTAGGATGGCTGCAAGGGGAAACAAGCAGCGTGTGGGTCTACAATTCCCAAACTTAGTACGGGATGAAAAGCATAGAGTCATGGATGCTTACATTTGTTGTCACGAGGGAAGAGATCCAAGTACATATAACCGGAGAAGCTCTTATCTTCAACAGCATCCCAGCATTCAAACAACTGCACATCAGGGTGCCATACGACCGCTTTCTCTGCTGGAATCTTGACAAACTTGAGACCGAGCACCTTCTCGTAGATCTCCAACATTTCTATTGTTGTCCTTCGTTAGTTGTTCATGTCCACATAATATTGATGTTTTCACGTACTCTGGATAGTGGTTTCCAAGCTAAAGTACTTTTTGATCTTCTCTTGGTCAAGGGAGTACTCCTTCTCAAGAAGAATACGCTCGTAGTAGCTGGTATCCCATGGGTTGAGCATATCATCAAACTCTTCACCACGTGCAGCTATCATAAAAAGACATTGTCAGCCTTTCAATTGCCTATGTGTACGCAATCCAAAAAGAGATAATAACCTTTCTCTTCCTATATTTCAAGTCTTAGTTATCGTTCGTGCTATTTGTAATATGCAAACTGTACCTTCTTGATTTGCTTCAAATCAGCAACATCCTTCAAACCAGGCTGACGCAACTTGGTGGCAAGATCGTTGAGGAACTATAAAAATGGATGAGACGTTGTCCTGGTAGATAGAAGATAGCGTAATCATACATTGCGGACGGCATCCACGGTCTTGGCCATCTTGACTTCAAGAACATAATCAGCATGCGTCTTGTATCCGAGGATCTACGTAGATATTCGTAAGCATCGACCTAGTCATAGTTTAATTGATGTGTAGATTGCTTACCTTGGCACACTGTCTGCGAAGACGCAATGCCTATGTTCCATGTAAGTAACATTCGCAATGTATCATAGCCTAGCCAATATACCTCCTCCAACAAGACGATGTTTTCGCGATTGCGTGATTCAAATGCCGTTGCATAAGCCTTGCGAGTGTTGTCGACCTTGCAGAGCTTCAATACTATATACATGCCTGAATCAGATATCACTGTACCCTATGCTTCCTCTCTTCTTCATATACATACCTGGGCGAACATCTATTGACAATAGAACAAGAAGAGTTGAATATCATCTTGTCACTAAGCGACAACGATTAGAGCAATCACTTACCAGGATACCTGAAAGATAAAGGTTAGAGATCACGTGATACACACACACCGCCAATCCAAAGACTTACTTCATGGTCAAAATGTATTTCTTGACACCATCTTCTTCGACAGACTTGAGACCACCTATTGATGTCAAATATGAATATCACAAAATGGCTTGAATATCAAGATTTGATCTTACCCAAAAAGTCGTCATCCATGCCTTCGAGCTCTTCCTATAAAGTGGTTTAGATGTTGTACTAGCTTATCCAGCTGGCAATCTTGATACGATACCTTGGTGAACTTGATAGCTGAAAGATGAAAACAGGGAAAGATGTAAATGAGATGGCATCCTTGGTACATTTTCCACGACACTTACTGCTGCTTTCGTTGCTCCAATTCTTCATGTATTCGATGCCGACTTCACTCAAACGCTTACGAAGTTCCTTGAATTCATTGCGCTTTTCTTCAGGCAAGTGCAAACCATTGCGGCGGAAGCTGCGTTCCATCTTGGACAACATACGAGCCTCTTCATGATCAAGAGTCTTAAGATCGGTCTTGTCGATCAAACCCTGGATAACAACGTACAAATCGTGTCGCATGGTTTGTTCAATGCTGAATTCTTCATATTGCTTTTCGGCAGCAACGGATGCATCACGAATAGCAGCGTCAGGGGAAATTTGACTCAACGAGCTCACAAGCTGGATCTTGCCTATAGAAAATGGTTAGCAACCTTTATAAAATATGGAACGTATTCGTAACATGACATATTACCAGACAAGGTGTTTTCAATGCGAGCAAGTTTGGGCACAATGTTCTCATAAGTGCGATCCTCTGGTTTGAGAGCTGCAATCTCATTGTTGACACGAAGCTCCTCATCAATGATATCCTTGGTGATTTGCTTGACTTGGTCGGCGTTGATGCTAAAGTCGAGTGCTGGTGCAGGAGCAAGTTGGGTCATTTGGAGATGGAAAGTAAGAGGTTGTAGAGAAGAAAGGGAAACGTTGACGCGTCGTTACTGCTTAGCGGACAACGACCACCACCACCCCCCAGTGTTCCGTGGGAATCACAAGTTGCCCCGCATGCATAACGTGGCACAACGACAATTATCCCGTTCTCAGCATGACAGTCATTCAATCCATGCATACTTATTTATTTACTATACACCCACCTTATCCTCTCGTTGTACTTATTCAAAGCCCAAAAATAAGGGAATGACATTGTATTTCAATAAAGGAGGATATCGTTGACAAGAGACAACCATTCATTCATTCATTACGTGTTCATTGTTAAGAGTAAAACGAAGCTTAAATTACATGCTCAAACAGATTTGTATTGGGTCAATGCATTGCTCTATGATGACTCTGTAGGCTCTTTGAATGTTGATTCCTTCTCTGCGGCTTTCACCAAATCTTGAGTCATCTCATCTTTGATGGAGGGCTCTGAATGGGTTGGTGGAGGTGTGGTGTTGGATGAAGTATTCTTGGGCTTGTTGATAGAGTTGTAGATGGACAATGCCTAGAAAAAAAAGTCCATGTGAGTAGACAAGGTATAGCCGCAATCTCCAATTCTTTTTACCTGTGCTACCATGGACGCTGCGTCATTTGCTGATGCAGGAACAATCATGGTTGTACCTTCCTTGGCCATTCTTCCGAATGCATCGACATACTTCTCAGCCACCGTCATAGATACAGCATCCCGGCCATTCATTTGTCCAATGGCCAATGCCACCTTTTCAATACCCTTGGCAGATGCTTGAGCACGAAGCAAGATAGCCTCAGCCTCACCACTAGCCTTGTTGATTTGCTCCGATTTTTCGGCCTCGGATGCCAAGATGGTTGCTTGCTTACGACCCTCGGCAACGTTAATAGCAGCTTGGCGAGCACCTATCCAAAATGGATTAACCTTTTTTGTTCCTTCCCCATGACATGATCCCTCTTTACCTTCGGATTCAAGAATTTGAGCTCGTTTGGTACGTTCAGCAGAAACTTGTTGATGCATGGATTCGACAACCTTTGCAGGAGGATGGATATCACCTAAATTTGCCCATGTGAGTTATATAAAGACACGTGTGGCTTCCATTGCTATCTACTCACGAATCTCGTATCTCAAGCAACGAATGCCCCAGTCATCCGATGCCGAATTGATAGCGTCGACAATGTTGGAATTTAAATGTGCTCGTTCTGCAAGAGTGCGATCCAAAGTCATTTGACCAATTTCAGCACGCATAGTCGTTTGTGCAAGTTGAGTGATGGCAAACTCAGCATCCTCCACTCCATAAGACGCCTATCCAAAATGACAATTCCATTGTCAATACACAATCGTCCAAACCCCCCCTGATGCATTCATTGTACCTTGAAAGGATCCACAATACGGTAATACAATACACCATCAAGTTCAAGGGTTACGTTGTCTGTAAAAATGATTGACCACATATTAGCATCTATTCGTTTTCCTTCCTTTTCCTTAAGACCCTACCTTGTGTGATGGCGCTTTGACTAGGAACTTCAATAGCTGTCTCCTTTAAGCTCTTGACGTACTTGATACGATCGATGATGGGCATCAGGACGTTCAAACCGGGTTCCAGCATACGATGGAATTTGCCCATGCGTTCGACAATCCAAGCTTCTTGTTGAGGGACAAACTTGATAATCTATAGTAGAGCAACGTAAAGTCAATATGAAGGATACCAAACAAAGATTGGATGATATTAGTACCGTGTTCCTCGGTAGTGTTTTGCGTTCCAAACCACCCCAGCCTGAGCCTGAACCAAACTGTGAAGGCGCACCATATGTGTCGTAATCATTGTTGTATCCATAGCCGCTATACGATCGTGTAGCACGTACAAGAGCAGCCTGTGAATCAAGTCAATGAAAGGAATGCTACAACGAGAGGGGGCGTGTGTGCTGCGTAAACTCGTACCGTTGAGATGGTTTTCTGAACCTGGCGGGTCTGTAATGCCAAAGAGTTGCCTCTAATAGAATGTATCGCGACGCGTGATCGTTGAAATGCTTGCATCAGAGTTCGTGGTAGAGATGTGTAAAGAAAGGGGTTATGGTGGTGGACCATCCGTGTTGCTGACGAAATGCAGGACGCCGCGTGACCGCCAGAGCTAAGATTGAGATCAATGCATTGCTCCCACTTCTCCGCTTGCCACCCATTCACTCGCCACACGCCCACCACACAATATACATCCTATCGAATTAGCTACATCTTATACATTGATAATAGCAAAACACCCTTATTGTATCATAAACAAGGTCCTTGATATCCATGATTGTTTACGTTATATGGACCCTTCCTCATCTTACATTTCACAAAAAGAACAATACGATGAAGTAAAAAAAAGAAATACGACTTACATGATTGGTGGTCCTTCTGTTTCATTGTGCAGTGGATCATTGTGTGACATGCAGCCAACTCCAATGCGTTAGATAAAGCATGCAACATCGTACGATGACGCTGCTATTTCATATTTCTCATTGACATGTGAAAAATTGATCCAATGCATTGTCAAATAACAGCTCTCGCTTTCTAACAATGATGAATCCTTGAAAACCACAAAGTGATGATCCCATTTGCAAACAATGCATGCTTAAAGACCAAGAAAGATAGCTAACATGTCTTCGGGTAATATAAAAAGGGGAATTGATAATAGAATGATGATGATGGAATGATGCGGGGAAATAAGCGGGGAAGGGTAAACTTCGCGGAGGTTGTTGAGATATGCAGGTGACACGAGGATGAGAAACAGTGAAAGCAATAGTTTATGCGGGGCAACAGCAGCATTTACTATACAAAAAGCAATGATAGCATCATCAGCTACTGATAATCAATATGTAAATGAAGCATGATGAAGTATTACCGAGGTTTGCATTATCGAATGTGGCGTATTCCACATGGGTTCACGGCTATTTGTTGTTGATTGTCAAGCATGCGAAAATTGCTGACATAGCGAAAAGGCTCCACAAGTGAATTAGTAAAGCGATTTGCATTTTTTGAACGACCGCTTTCTATATAAACCGATGTTACCCAGCTTTTGCCGTCAGACTTCACCTTCCCTTCCTCTTCTCTTCATCGATGACTTCATTCAATAACAATACTCCAACAAAGTTCCCTGCAGTTGGTCCCGCTCCTCCCAATGGCGACTTGCTTTTGGCCAATGAGCGTGCCAAGGCCTCATTCGACGTCAAGGAGATGTCAAAGTTTATGTACACCGAGGAATACCTCAACAAAATGTACAAGGTGCTTGAAGTCCTCGAGTCTGAACCTGCCTTTGACAAGTCCAATCGATACCACGAGAGTCGTCCTGAAAAGATTGCTTCCTCTCTTTGGAAGGATAAGCGTCTTGTTGACTTGCAAAAGTAAGATCCCTTTATTTACACGTGATAGCATAATACTAACTACTACGACTACTGCTACCATTACTTAGGGAGCACAATTGGGATGAGACCGATGTTTCTATTGCCAACTTTTTGTATGATCAATCGACCCCAGTAAGTGTTTCATGGATGTATAAAAGGAGATTGAGCTATCCCATATTCACATGTCATTTTAGTTTACCTTGCATTACAACATGTTTATTCCCACTTTGAAGAATCAAACCACCGACGAGCAAAAGAAGTTATTCCTTGAGCCCGCTTTGAAGCATCACATCATTGGTTGTTACGCACAAACTGAGGTAAAAATAGGGGAAGGGGCTTTGTTGCAGTAAGGTGATCATGATTGGCTGACTAAGTATGATGATGCCTTATCAGATCGGACACGGCTCCAATGTTCAAGGTTTGGAGACTACGGCAACTTACATCAACGAGACCAATGAGTTCGAGCTCCACTCCCCATCTCTTACTGCTGCCAAATGGTGGATCGGTGGTCTTGGCAAGGCTGCTAACCATGCTATTGTCATGGCTCGTCTTATTCTCAACGGCAAAGACTTTGGTCCTCATCCATTCTGTGTCCAAATCCGTAGCCTCGTGGATCATCGCCCTCTCAAGGGTATCACTGTGGGTGATATCGGTCCTAAGTTTGGTTTCAACTCTGTCGACAATGGCTTCATCATGTTTGATCATTATCGTATCCCCCATGTTGCCTTCCTTGCCAAGTATTCCAAGGTGGTCCCAGGATCTGGCGAATACATCAAGCCTCCAAATGCCAAACTTTCTTATGGTACCATGGTGTTTGTTCGTGCACACATTGTTCTTGGTAAGTGTCTTTCTTTTTGTTTCATAAGATGTTGTATTAACATGGTGACTATGTAGGTGCTCGCATGGCTATTGCAAGAGCTGCTACTGTTGCCGTTCGCTACTCTGCCATCCGTCGTCAATTTGTGGATGCAGCTAACCCTCGCAAGTGGGATAACAAGGTTATTGAAACATCCGTCCTCGATTATACCATGCAGCAATACCGTCTCTTGCCAATGATTGCCACTGCTTATGCATGCTTCTTCACTGGACGTGACATGATTCGCCTCTACAACCGCAACCAAGAAGAAATGGCCAAGGGCAACTTTGATTTGCTTGCCGATCTCCATGCAAGCTCTTCAGGCTTAAAGTCCTTGGTAACCACAATGTCAGCAGCTGCTATTGAAGATGCTCGTCGTGCATGCGGTGGTCATGGCTACAGCTTGTTCTCTGGTCTCGGTCAATTTTATCAAGATTACTTGCCCAATGTCACTGTAAGTATACCATGAAAGGGATGTAATGTATCATGATGATTGACGTTTGTATTTCTCTAGTGGGAAGGTGACAACTATATCTTGACCCAACAAACTGCACGCTACATCTTGAAGACCCTCCGCAACGTTGTTGCTGGCAAGGCTACTCAATCTGAACACAACCACACAATCAACTACTTGCTCCAATACCTTGAGAATCCCAAGGCAAAGTGCCCTGCACAAACAGCTGCCGATTTCTTGAACCCCGAATTGATCCTTGCAGCATTTGGCTTCCGTGCTGCTTACCTTGCTGCTAAGCTTGCTGAACAAATTGATCATCAAGGCCGTTCTTGGAACTCAGTCCTCGTTGAGATCAACCGTGTCTCACGTGCTCATTGTCAATTTATGCTTGTTCGCACCTTCATTGTATCTTTGCAAAATGATGAGGCTCTTTCTAAGCCTGAAAACCGCTCCATGCTCAAGGTTTTGCGCACTCTTGCCGCACTTTTCGCTTTGCACACGATGGAACAAGAGCTTGCAGAATTCTTGACTTCTGGTTACCTTTCTTCTGAACAAGCTGCCATGGTCAAGGATCAAGTTATTACCTTGCTTGAACAAGTTCGCCCTGATGCTGTCTCCCTTGTTGATGCTTTTGCTTTGCCCGACTACTACTTAAACTCTGCCCTTGGTCGTTACGATGGTAATGTATATCAAGCCTATACCAAGATGGCTGAGAATGAGCCACTCAACAAGACTTTGGTGGTGGATGGCTATGAGCAATACATCAAGCCCCTTGTTCATGATGGCCTTAGCGCTGATGGTACCACCCATGCCGCCAAGCTGTAAAGTAAAACACTATGTACGATTCCTCTCCTCCTACATCTTCCCTCTTTCCTCTTCCTAATGGTCCACCATGTCTATATACATTTCCTTTCCTGCCTACTATTATCATTTGTACCATTACGCTTCTATAGAATTTAGATTGTCCACAGACTCAACAGCTTGTGAGCCTGGTAGATTATCGCTGAAATATAGAACAGCCGATTCCTTTTTTTATCATTCAGTTTATGTTGCTTAGTAACTTCTCTTTAGTAGTATGCATCATGCTGTGGGAAGGTTACGATGGTTTGGGAGCACCTGTTATTGAGAGAACGAGTATAGCTAATAATTGAATGGAGCTATCTTCACAAGGGATCCAATTTAAATTTGATGAGATCGCTTCGCTTTATACAAAAGAAAGTAGTCATGGGATTATCATGCAAGTGAAAATCGTAGAGTGGGATCAAGTGGAGCGGGAGAATAAGGCACCAGCTACAAGTGGCTTAGTGGGATGGAGACGCAAAATTTGCCCTGCCTTGGTCGACAGCAAGGGCTCCTCCTCTTTTGCTGCACAATGGAAAACTCTGAAGGCCAACTCGTTGATTTGTACATTCCTCGCAAGTGGTTAGTTAATGTCTGACGAGAATGAGAGATACAAAAGCGTACAGATAAAGCTGATACCTTGCCAGCTCTGCCACCAACCGCCTTATCACTGCCAAGGACCACGCTTCCGTTCAGCTTAACGTTGGCGACGTCAACGCCGAGGGTCGTTTGACTGGCAGCTTCATTACCTACGCCTTGAGCGGTTTCGTTCGCCGTAACGCTGAAGCTGATGATAGCATCAACCGTTTGGCCACTGAGGATGGTTGTAAGTGCAACATTCCCATGTTTTATATATACACACACACACCTAAGCACGAAAATCCTGACGATCGTATTATCCACACTTTTATAGACCTCAAGAACGTCTTCTCGTACCAACAGTAAAATGCATCTCGATGATGATGACGTTGTTGTTGAATAAACGCACATATACAAACACGCACACTAGCAATCCAAGTCTCTTTTCCATTTAATGATACAGTAATGCAATCGTAACTTGGTATCCTATCCTATTTTTTCTTCTTGTTCTTCTTGTTCTTTTGTTGCGGTTTGGGTGATGAAGACGCTGGGACAGCTTCAGGTTGTGAGGTGGCGGCGGGAGGGGGAATAGTAGGCTCTATAGACACAAAATGCCATCTTCAATATCCATTGTCCATATCTATCCACCCCAAGCTTCATGCGACTCTTCCTGTATCATACCTTCTAATACTCGGTTTTGCATTTTGCACATGAGGTTGAGATTCATTCTGGTAAACCTCTTGAGATCCGTTGCCTGGTTCGTCTTGTATTTGACAATCTATGGTATCAATGCCAAGGTCAGCGTATCCAGGCGATCGTCAAGTAAAGGAATCCACATGGCAACGTACCTTTCGATCGTCAGTAACTTTGAGAATTAGCTCCCCATCCGAGTGACGGAAACGAGAAACGTAGCGCGTCTGTTCATATGAAAAATAGGGCCCCAATGAGTACTCAATGGAAGGTGATGGCTATTCGCATTGCTCTCTTGCGTCGTTACCCTTTCTGGTGAAGTCGTATAAAGCTCCTCGACTGCCTTTTGGAACTCATCCCAGTTGCTGATGTACATTGTGGAAGCTGCAACGTCAAGGTGAGTGTGGACAAAGTCGCTGATTGCTGATGGCGCCCAAATTTGTCACCGACTCAGGGCTTTTGTGTGTAGTAGACAATCTCTCGCCCAGTCATCATTGCTACAAATTAAGATCTTTTACATAAAATGATAGCTCATATTCCTGCTTTTGTTATCAAGACCATTAATAAAGAGAAGATGTTAAAGCGTACCTTACTAGCATAGTGGCGGTTGTGTGATTGGCCTACTGCATTCATTACAACAAGGATGCTTTCAATGTTCAAAGTTGAGCTTATCCAAATTTAGATCTACAATACAAGGATGGGTCAAGTCCCTTTGTTAGTATCCAGCTACGTACTCAGTACATGAAAGACCTATGCCTTGCGTATAACATTATTCATGGCCCGGATTACATAATGAACACCACATCATATGATCGTGTAAAAGATAACATGCATGAGCAAAAATGGGTTGTGTGCATGAGTACAAATCATCTGCATGAAAAAATCAGCCCATCTGGCGTGATCAGATGTCCATGAATAGTATGCTTTACCGATAAGCAATGGCATGTCAATTGCTTGCATCGTATTTCGAGGGTCGATATAGAAGAACCAGGTCTTTTACCGTGGGAAACCAAAGACTAAATGAAGACCTTGACTCGGTATTATAAGGATCGATAATTGTTCCAACAAGAAATCATCCACGTACTTTTGCATGTTGATGTCAAGGATGATTATCAGTATGATTATCGTACATGTGATATCACCATCCTCTCTCTCCCCGTAGACTATAGTGCATCGCAACAACGCATCATCATGCCACCATTGTCCCCAGCTACTTCGGAGTTGCTAGGAAACCATTGAATAGAAATCATATCAGTTACACTCGCTTTTCTCACTCACTCTCTTTTTGTCCAACTGCCAATGTCTACAAGTAAATGTCCAGGAACAATGGTTCACTTTATTGCAATGCTAACATTGGGTATTCTAAATTACTTTTGAAGCGGTGGAAATACGTATTGCGTGTGTTGTAAGTGTGTGTGGGAGGGGTGTCGAGTCAACTAGGAATGGATCGCTTGACGCATAATGTTCCTTTACACAAGATGGTGGGTCTTCCTGCTCGTGGCAAAACATACCTCGCCAAGAAAAGTAAGTCGAATAGAACAAAGGGGTTCAAGTACTCGAGTGGTGGGATAGGGTTGTGGGGAGGGAGTGCTATCATGAATCATGTTGTGTTCCACGGCATTCTTTTTACATTTTCCTTTCTAACGCATCCAGGCAAGTCCAACGCTATCTGCGATGGTTAGGAATTGACACTGAGATATTCAATGTGGGATGCGAACGACAAAAACTGGCGAATCGGATCGATCACACCTTTTTCGACTTTCACAACGCAAATGGAATGAGTCAACGTGAGCAAGCAGCAGAAGCAACGTTAACAGCCATGATGGATTGGTTCGATGAAGGGAAAGGAACGGTGGCTATTTATGATGGCACCAATTGTACACGAGCACGAAGGACATGGATACACAAGCAACTCGCATCACGAGGGATTGAAGTGCTCTTTATCGAATCCATATGCCAAGATGAAAGCATCATTCAAAGCAACATCCAAGATATCATATCCAAGAACCCTGATTACCACGACATGGACCCTGCTGTTGCCGAAGCCGATTTCAAACAACGTGTCAAGCATTACGAGGAGATGTATGAGACCATTACAGAAGATCACCTGACCTATCTAAAGATCATCGACGCCAATCAGCAATGTATCATCAATCTTGTTCGAGGCTACCTTGAAAGTCGCATTGTCTACTTTTTGATGAATGTCAAAATCCGTCCCAAGAGCATTTGGTTTAGTCGAGTAAGTGAAAAGGAGGTTCTATGGATGATGACAGGATCATTTATCACTTTCTTTTCAGCATGGCGAGTCGCAGTTCAATGTGGAAGACAAGATTGGTGGTGATGCTGATTTATCATCCAGAGGACAAATGTACGCCGCTCGTCTACCTGATTTGATCAAGGAGCATGTTGGGGATCGGTCATTGACCGTATGGACATCATCAATGAAGCGAACAATACAAACAGCCAGCCATCTTCCATATCCCAAGAAATCGTGGAAAGCATTGGATGAATTGAATACAGGTGTTTGTGATGGGATGACCTATGCAGAAATCGAGGTATGTAAGGATGCAGAAAAATGGTTTACATATATTAACGCGTATGCCTATAGGAGAAGTATCCAGAAGATTTTGCACGTCGTGATGAGGATAAATTCAATTATCGATATAGAGGTGGTGAGGCAAGTACAATGTGGACACTTGTATTAAGGTATATGGTTGGGAAGCTAAATCGTGTTTTGTAGAGCTACCGTGATCTTGTTCTTCGAGTGGAGCCAATTATCATGGAGCTTGAACGACATGACAACATTCTATTAGTGGCGCATCAAGCAACACTTCGATGTATCTTTGCCTACTTTCTCGATGTTGGACATGATGAATTACCTTATATCAAAGTTCCTCTACATACGCTGATCGAGTTGATACCCAATGCACATGGCTGCGAAAAGCATTATTACAGAGGTAATGAGGAATGGGATACGCGCATGGATTCATTGGCTGACATGATGATCTATAAATACATAGGCAATATTGAAGCTGTGGATACGTTTAGACCCAAGGGTGATCGTGTGACTAAGCTAAAGGATACAGATGCTAGCAATGCAGGTGCCATTGGTGAAATTGCTGATGCCAAAAACCCAATCTTGCCACTAAGTCCTAAGCTATACCCGAAGAGATTGAAAGAATCCACTACACATTAGAGAGCATCAACTACCTCTTTTTTATTTGTCGTTAATGAAAACATGCCAAAAGTTTATATCAATGAATGGTTGAATAGTCTAATGGATAAGCTATATGGGAATCAAATGAGTAAAAGAACAATGAAAAGGATATAGACATTACTTACCATTACCCCTAGATTCACCACTTGGATATACGCGTCTTGCATTTTGTCTGAAGGATCGAGGACGAGGGAGTTCAGCAATGCTTTTAAAAGTGAAACGACCACCACTTTCTGTAGCAGGTGGTTCTTTGATGGTGGATGCTCTCTTTGTAGATATTTTCCATGCAGGTGTGGCTGGAGATACAGGTGATCTTGTGATAGGTGGTGGTGGTGGCCTTGTTGGAGAAGATGTTCCAATAGGTGCTGATGAAGGTGCTGGTGGAGGAGGTGGAGGAGGTGGTGGCGGTGGTGGTGGTGCAGCAGGTGATGATGGACCAAAAGAGGATGTTGATGAAGAGCGTTTTCTTCCAGGTGGTAAAGGTGGAGGAATACCCAATGTTGATGATGGTTTAGGAGCAGTAGGAATTGGAGGCACAGCACGAGATGGACTTGCTCTACCTGTGGTAGTCGAAGGTGCACTTGGAAGTTGACGTGAAGGACTACCTACTGTAGGAGGAGGAGGTGGCACAGCACGTGGTGGTGTCGGAGGTACAGGTCGTTGTGGAGTACTACTAGATCTCGTTCTTCCTGGCATAGGAGGTGCCAATGATGGTGGTTTAGGTGAATGGGTTGCTGATGAAACTCCTGGTGGTGGTGGTGGAGGTGGAGGAGGAGGTGGAGGTGGAGATGCATTTGATGATGGTGCTGATGATGGTGGTGGAGGAGGTGGTGGAGGAGGTGGTGGTGGTGGTGCTGCAGCTGCTGATGGACTACGTCCTGGAATAGGCGGTGGTGATTTAAATGATCGAGGAAGTGTTTGACTTGGCTTATTGAAAGTAGCCGAGGGTCGTATCGAAGGTGGACTTGGTGCTGATGGAGTAGGCGTAGGCGTATCTACACGTACACAATGCTCTTAGTAATCAGCCTTATCATACCAAAGCCCTCATATTTACCTTGTCCTCTACCAGTAGACACTGCAGCCCCCCTTGTCTTGCGCAACGTTGGCATTCCATTAGCAAACAATCCTCCAAGCTGTGGTCCACCTCCTAGCGATGGAGCTGCTGCTGAACCTCCACCTGCACTTGCACTTGCACCACCACCGGGAACAGGAGGTCTTGCAATACTGGGACCAGATGATGATGGGCCACTCGACTTGGCATCTGTAACATAATGCGTAAGTCTCGTCTCGAGAATACCTCTTTACCAACACCACTTACTCCCAATCAATGGAGCCGATCTATCATTGGTAACCGCCTTTCTTAGTTTCTTGCCATTCTGGATGTCTTTGAGTAGACTGGAATCCATTTTAGTTAAAGAGAGACAACCTCGAGACCAGCATAATACTTTCTTTTACGGCAGCTTTTGTATCGCCGACCACACACACATTGCTTGGCAAGGGTACATGATCACTCACTGTTGTCTAAGAAACTTGTTCCGAGTAGTATAAAGGATCTCTAAATGATAATAAACCATTCATTGTCACCCACATAATGACCATGCCCATTATCCTCGCTCCTTTGCCATTACTTATCCATAAATACACCCCATCATTGTTCTATCGTTGTCGCCGCATGTTTACCATTTGATATGAGCAAGAGCGCTTGTTGGGATCATAGCAACATTGGTTGCTTGGCAACCAAATCCATACAATGACAACAGCAGCACCACCACCCACCAACTTGCCAACTCCCGTTCTCATGATATCATATGCAGAGGAACAATGAAAGCGCACTGGCTTAAAAGATAAAAGCATCATGTATTGTTAATGCCGAAAACATGAGATGTCCCGTTGTGTCCACTTTCAGGCATACCAAGTTTGGATTTAAATTAGTAAACATGCTTTTGTGAATGTTACCACCTGCATGGTGTACACGTTAGAACATTTATCAAGAAGAATGAAGGACCATCTTGTGAACAATGAGCAAACAGGAGGGATGTATTATAAATGGGTATGATCCAATGCTTCATTTATATGCATATGGATGGAACATTTGCAATGACATGGTTATAACAAAAGGGATGTTTATTGATGAGTGGATGGATTATGCTTGTCAGCAACACAAGTGAGATTCAAAATGGTGTCAAACAAGCGCGCATTATGCTGGCGGTCCTTTATCTTCCTCCTTCCGCAGTAATACACATGGCAGGGAAAACAGCAAGTAAGCTTTACGACCCCCAGGTTTAGATCTCGATCGCTGATTATGCATAGAGAAACGCGCCTTCAATAAACCAAACACCAACCAGGTCGATTCAGTAAAGGAGACCACACCTGCCAACAAACGGCCCAAACGCGCAGCAGCAAAACGCAAGGAAACCAATGCCGAGGCCGAGGCAATCAGCGACTCTGACAATGACTCCCAACAACAAGTGGATCGCAAAGATCGTGGCAAGGCTGTTACTAGTGCTGATGATATGAAGCCTGGTCGTATCAAGATACCTCGTCCTAAAGGGTCGCCTTTTGCAGATGCATTATCACCCGATGTGCTCCAGTTTATGAGTGAGTTGAGAGAAAACAACCACCGAGACTTTATGCGAGTGAACGAGGTATGTGACATCATGTTCTATGTATCCTCTTATATGTATACTAATGATCATATTAGAAACGATGGCATTCAACGCGCAAGGATTTTATCGATTTTATTGGGATGGTGATTGAGCAATTGCATGAGATAGACCCTACGATATTGGTGGAAGAACCTCGACAAGCAGTATACAGGCAAAAGTAAGTTAAAAAAGATAAGGGATTTGAGAGATAGATGGATTAACTTTGGTACAACAACAGCCGGGATTTGCGATTCACGAATGACCTTCGACCTTATAAGACACATCTTTCAGCATCATTCTCACGTGGAGGGAAGAAATCGCCATTTGCAGGCTATCATATATCCATCAGCCCTGGTGATAATTCGTTTGTGGCAGCAGGGATTTGGCAACCAAGTCCGGATCGTTTGGCTCGTTTACGGGAGGGAATTATTGAGAATGCCAGCCTGATGCGTGAAGCGTTGACGATACCGGCAATGAAAGAAGTTTTCGGCAAGGACGGACTCGATGTATTGGAAACCACTGACAAGCTCAAGGTGGCTCCTAAAAACATTCCACGCGATCATCCCGAGATAGAGATGTTGCGTTATAAGAGCATGGTTATTACAAAGCAATTCACGGATGAGGAAATAGTATCAGCTGGTTGCCTTGATCGTTTATTGGATGTATTTGAAGCATTAGTTCCATTTGTTGCTGTTTTGAATTCTTGGACAGGCTAAAGAGTAATAAATTCAAAGTGTGTTACACAGCAAATGTAAATGGGTCAGTGCGTTGTTTCTCATGAGCGGCGGGTTTACGCGTTTTAAGTGGTGCACAGATATGGGGGATAGAAAAAGGTTTATAGTCAACAGGTCAACTGACCCACCAGCATCTTCCCTCCTTCATTTCAACGATGATTATCCTTTTCGCCTTCCTTTCACCTATTAACCCCACAACATGGCGTTTTCCGGTAACCCCAATTCTTCAGCACATCAGCATCAGCAATCATCCATGTATCAACAACAAGCATCTTCGCATCATATGCGTGGCCCTTTTGAAACCAATCCTAATTCGAATATGATGTATGATTATCACGCTACCAACAAGATGCATAGAGGTTCAATGAATGGACTACGACAAAAGCTACGTGAAGCAGCAGGGTTTCCTTTACGTGATCAACACCAAAACACTGGTGGCAATAGCAACAACAACAACAACGGCATCCATTCAGGAGCAGGAGCAGGGCAATATGGGAATACGAGTATCGGACGTGGTGGAGGTTCAGGCAACGGAAAAGATTATCGGAATAACAACATGAACGACCCGGGTTTTCGTGGTTCACATCAGAGGAGTTCATCCTACTACAACCAAGATGGAGGCACAAATTCGTCATATGGGCTACACCAACCGCCACCACGTTTCTCTCACCAAAGCTTTCCCCAATCATCAATGATGGCGCAGTATCCACAACAACCTATCATGCCAAGAGGTGGTCTTTATGAGCCTAATATTGGACCAATGATGGGACGTTACAACAACATGATGATGCATCAGCAACAACCACCTATGATGTATCCCCAGCAGTATCAGAGTAGTCTTGCAGACCCAATGATGGGAATGGGAATGGGAATGGGAATGATGGGATCGATGCCAATGCCTGAACCATATCTCAATCCATATCAACCAATGCAATCATCCATGTACAATCAACACCCAATGATGATGATGTCTTCTTCATATAACAGCTACAACCCAATGGGCCCTATGGTACCTGACCAAGGAATGTTTCCTGGTGCCATGCCATATGGGAGCTATCCATCAAGTTATCAAAGCATGCCTTATAGTAACAGGTTTTCATCCGGATTCTGGTGACATGGATCGTTTATGTATTATGATAATAAAAGACTACTCTTAGACATCTGCATAATTTATCTCGGCCAGCCGCTGTTACACAAAATGGCAAGCACTCATCTTCTTACACTTCCAGCTCTCTTTCGTTACACCCGTCTTCCTTTATCCACTCCACTTTTTCCTTGCTTTATCCAACCCCTCATTTCTTCCTTGATTTGCGACCTCTGAAACATATACTTTCATGGATAGCCAACTCATCAAAACAGGTTCGTGGATGAAAAGGAACGTGCCTCTTTTCGCTCGGCATCTCATGTCAACATGGTCAACTAGTCAACAAGCTTCAGGATGCTTTCGCTACTGTTGGCGTGCACAACCCTGTCGATCTCCCTCAAATCACGGTGATTGGTTCGCAATCGAGTGGTAAAAGCTCTGTCTTGGAGAATATTGTCGGTCGCGACTTTTTGCCAAGAGGCACGGGTATCGTCACCAGGCGTCCTTTGGTACTATAACGTAACACGTCCCTTCTTGACAGCATCGATACTCATACCTCTTTTCTTATCAAGGTACTACAACTTATCAATCGCCCTGCTCCTGAGAAGCCATCCAGTCCCAACGGCAAAAATGAAGAATCAGCTGATGAATGGGGAGAGTTTCTACATTTACCTGGTCAAAAGTTCTATGACTTCAACAAGATACGTGAAGAGATTGTTCGTGATACAGAGCTAAAGACTGGAAAGAATCTTGGTAAGTTGCTTCAATGTAAAAGGATGGGCAATGGAACTTATTTACGCGTGTATGGTAGGCATTTCTCCACAACCCATCAACTTGCGTATCTTTTCGCCCAATGTCTTGACTCTTACTATGGTGGATTTGCCTGGTCTTACCAAGGTGCCAGTGGGTGATCAACCAAAGGACATCGAGAAGCAGATTCGCGAGATGATCTTGAAATACATCACCAAGCCCAACGCGATTATCTTGGCTGTTACTGCTGCCAATACAGATTTGGCCAATTCGGATGGTTTGAAGCTTGCTCGAGAAGTTGATCCTGAAGGCTTGAGGACGATTGGTGTTTTGACAAAAGTGGATCTCATGGATCAAGGCACCGATGTGATTGATATCTTGGCAGGTAGAATGATTCCATTAAGGCTTGGTAAGTGTGTCGGACAATGTTGTTTGGCTTGGCATTTGCAGGTATATTGATAAACCATGATCCAACAGGTTATGTCCCCGTGATCAATCGTGGTCAACGTGATATCGAATCCAACAAGTCCATCGCCAAAGCTTTGCAATCCGAACGCGAATTTTTCGAGAACCATCCCTCCTATAGGAGCAAGGCACAATATTGTGGTACACCCTTCCTGGCACGCAAGTTGAATATGGTATGTATGCTCTTCTTTGCAAATGTGGATCATTCATACATGTACCCATTCCTCATCATAGATCCTCATGCATCATATCAAAAACACATTGCCCGAGATCAAATCCAAGATTCAGACCGCCCTTGCAAAGTATCAACAAGAATTGCTTCAATTGGGTGATCCTCTCAACGACAATCATGCCAGCATGGTGCTCAACATCGTCACCGAGTTTTGCAATGAATTCAGGACTATCATTGATGGCAATGCAAACGATCTTTCAAGCTTTGAATTGTCAGGAGGTGCACGCATCAGCTTTGTTTTCCACGAGCTTTATTCCAATGGTGTCAAAACAATTGATCCTTTTGATCAAGTCAAAGATTCTGATATTCGCATGTTCCTTTACAACTCTGCGGTAATATACCTACTTGGATGCTATATCAATCATGTGCTCTTATACGTGTTTTGGATTATAGGGTTCTTCACCTTCATTATTTGTGGGCACAACAGCATTCGAAGTCATTGTCAAGCAACAAGTGAAGAGATTAGAGGAGCCAAGTCTCAAGTGTATTTCGATGGTGTATGATGAGCTTGTACGGATCTTGGGTCAGCTTTTGAACAAACAGGTATTGGTTTTTACTTTTGATCTACCCAAAAAGAAGTCCATCATACTCATGCTGCCCTATAGTTCTTCAAGCGCTTCCCTGCTCTCAAGGAACGATTCTACCATGTCGTACTCGCTTTCTTCAAAAAGGCAATGACACCTACCAATAAGCTTGTCAGCGATCTTGTGGCGTAAGTTTTGAAGATTGTACACAAAAGGGGATGGCTATTCATATTAAAAGATAGGATGGAAGCTTGCTATATCAACACGGCACATCCGGACTTTTTAAATGGTCACCAAGCTATTGCTATTGTGAATGAACAACTACATCCAAAGAGCCAGTCGGGACCAGATCATGAAGTACCCACATCCAAACAAGGTCGTCACCATCATTCGTCGCAATCTCAACAACAACAGCCACAGCTGAATGCATTGCAAACGAGCAACTCAATGTCGACCCATATGGATAACAGCGAAGGCAATTCCTTCTTTGGTAGCTTTTTCTCGGGATCCAAAAAGACGAAAAAGTCTGCTGCTGCATCGATGGAAGCTGTGAGTATGCGAATACAATGGATGGAGCGAGGTATGGTACTGACTACATCATTTTTATTGAAAGCCACCACCGACACTCAAGGCTACAGGCGAATTGTCTGAGAGAGATCATATGGAAATTGAAGTCATCAGTGAGTTGTCAACTTGTTCGGCATGGGATTTTATCTAATTGCTTTCGATGCATTAGAGCTGTTGATCCAATCATACTTCAACATTGTCAAGCGCACAATGATCGATATGGTGCCCAAGGCTGTCATGCTCAATCTGGTCGCCCGTGCTAAAAAGGAGCTTCAGCAAGAGTTGCTTTCCGAGTTATACAAATCCGATATCCTGGATGATCTTTTGCAAGAATCAGAACATACCCAACAGCGTCGTAAGGAATGCAAGAAGATGATCGAGGTAAATATTGGGTGGGATCATGATGATTATATACAGCTATCTGACATGAGATTTATAGGCACTTCAAAAGGCAGATGAAATCGTGGCTTCTGTTTAATGGTCTCATTGACTCAAATCTATCACTTGTGTATTTAGGGGGTATAGCTGCTCCATACAAATATATATTTATCATGATATACATTGGTATCCATTGTTTTGTTTCCACATTGGTTGTTGCTCATGATGGGAAGTGGAGGGAGGATCACTCGTGTTGAAAATGGCTGCACCGCAGATAACCAAAATGTATGCAACGGGATAAAAGGGAGGCATCTAATAACAACAACAACCCATCCTCGTATGTTAATGCAACTGCACTGTTCCATTTTGCTCCATTTCACATTACCTGCGCTTCCAAGAATACTAGGCTGGCCAACAAAGAATAAAAGTTGGATGTCATGAGACTCATACTTAGGAAAGTAGCATTGGTCATTCGATAGAGAGTGGGTCCCAATGAGTACATGCATGATAGGCATATAACGTATATGGAAATTAGGCCAGCTACACGACTTGTTTTTAGTTGTGTGGCGATTTACCTAGTATTATGATCCAATCATACCTATTTCCCAACGCCACTCGATGGATACCAGGGATTCATGCTCAAAGACAAGCCTACATACACGTGAATTACTTAGCATCACCCGCATTTCGAATGTATGAATGTCATCCACTTACGCTTGCAATCCACTTAATATGGAACCCCACATTCCTGCACGGGTCAAAAATTGTTCAGTTGTACAACGGTTCACCAGATATTCTTCTGTCACATTGCTGACGGCATATAGCGTTGCACTCGTCAGCTGTCAGCCAACGTGAGCCAATCATGTAACCATATAAACATAAACAAATGCTGCGCTTACACAAATAAGATCACCGATCCAGCTATGATTACCTATGCTTTGCATGTCAATCACCTTTTCTCTCTAATGCAGTGGTTGGTTGCCTTACTGTTGGTAGTACGATTGTTCATGGTGTCGGCCCATATGAGAGTGAATAATCCGATTAGGCACAATGTGACACCTCCGAAATGGGCGGCATAATAGCGATAGCCAAGGCAGCACATTGAAAGCAGCATAATGCAAGGAAGCGTCCAAGAGGATATAACGAGTGCTGATAATACGGATGTGTTTTTGAATGCGAGTACAGCAAGTATGTTGGCTAATAACAAAATGATTGAGCTTCCACATTGACACTAAGCCTTGTTGTCTTCATGATCACCCACCTTGAACATCTGCAAACGAGAACCCAAAGACTGTTTTTGCTATTGTCAGCACAATGTAATCAACCACTTTAATGAATACTTACAGCTCCATCCTTGTCCTTGTTTCAATTGACGCCAATAGCTTTCGTCTTGTCGGTTACGATATCCATGTATCACAAAGAGCACAATATACGTGAGACAGTTTTGAGTGTAGGGAATGCTGACGCTGTAATGAGTCCAGAGAGCTGATGAAGCAACGCTTGTCCCAGTGATGCACAATGAGAGGATCTGGCCAAGTGCAAGTGGAATGAGCCATTGCACCTTGAATGGTGGCATTTTGCAAGTAAGCTTAAAAAGTAGACAAGGAAATGATTGCTGTATTCACTTTTATAGATGGTATATAGGGAGATCAAGGTGACTGTGCCCGTGATGTCCCCAGCAGCAAGCCCCACATCCTCTACTCACATTACCGAACCCCCATCCTTCAAAGACCCGAGTCTCTAAGCCCGAGAACCCGCTATTAACCACCCGTGTGAAAGTCTATGCACATAATAAACATGCCAATGCCACACTTTTAAGTTGCTTTTGGTCTTCAACCGTAATAGGCCGTTGTTTATGCAACATCATCATTTGCATGAATCATCATGCGTTTTAATACAACACTTGGATACAATCGTAACAGCACCATTTTCATTGTTGATTATCATCTTTATAATGAAACCTCCTTCTTTCTTCAATTAATGGATACTATTATTACAACATACGATCATGGCCCCGTGATGATGTCAAGAAATACTGCCGTATCAAGGGTTCAATTTCATCGACTGGAGCAATTGTTTGTAACCTTCCACGATTGTCGACGCTACGAAAGACCTTGGTCCCTTGGAAAGACTGGATTTTGATATTTGATTTGCGTTCTGGATGATAGTGTGCTTCATCAAATTCTTGAGGAGTCCCCAATATTTTGATAGGTTCATTCTTTTTCTCGCACACGACCTGGAATCCTTTCCCTGCTATCTTTTTGATTGAGATCTTGCCATTGTGGACCAAGCTTGGCCGATAAGAAGAAGCGTTCCATGATGGTGCACTTGTTACTTCAGGCACTCTCGAAGTTGATGATGATGATGATGCAACGCTGGGTACTTGATTCGAGCGTCCTGTTGGTCGTGATGTGGATGCAGGAATCACCTTTGGTACTCTTGAACTTGATGTGGATGATGATGCTACTGGTGGGATGCTACTGGATGATGCTGATGGGCGACTTTGTTGAGATTGGGGCTTTTTGACTGATGATGATGCTGTTGATGATGATAATGAAGGGGTGGAATGCTGTTGTTGTGAAGAGGTATGCTGCTCATCATTCTTTTTATGCTTCTCTCTCTTTCTTTTGCGTTTTGGATTGTGTTGAATGGATTCATTGTGAGTTGCAGGGGCTGGAGCAAGTGATTTCTGATGCTCGACTATCTCATTCATGATGCTCGCTGCTTCATCTGTCATGTATCGCCGTAATTCTTCCCATCGAGTTTGTTGAGAATCAATATGCCATTGAATGCACTGGTTATATGCGTCCTAAAATATCCAAACAATTAGGTTTTGGTTGCATGATTAACAACGGTTGCCATGATACCTCTGCCTCGTGTCGAAACGTTTCTCGGTATAGATGATCACTATCTTTGGGTTTGACGGCTTGACTACTATCATCATCACTCTACAAGTCATGGTCAATTACTAGAATAGACCTGTGGATATCTCTATTACCATATCCATCGGCTCGTACTCCAAGGACATCATTGATTCGGTGTCGTCAAGCAGCTTATCGAACTTTTGCTGATTGTCTCGTAAAAACTTGTCGCCACATGTGAATTCCAACAGTGGATTCGTTTCTTTTGGAGCGTGCAAAGCTTGTCGATCGAGGTGTTGGGCTATGTTGCTGTGCGCTTGCTGTAATTCATAGGCATGGCAACGGATGGCGCGTTCGGTAATGCGTTGGTTTCTTTGTTGAGTAAGCTTGTAAGCGTGGCGTGTTCCACGAAGGGGCGTATCAGGTGCTAAATAGACATCAGGACTATGTAAAGAATAAAAGGAGTGAGCAATGATACATTTAAAGTATACGAGTTGATTACCTAGTCAACGCTTCTTGAGCGTACCAGAAAAGGTTGAGATCCATAAAGAGAGAAACAAGAAAGGAAAATGCAGATTGAAAGATGAAATTATACAGGTGTTGGGTTTTATTGTTGGTAGGAATGAAAATGAAAACGATTTTATGCTACTCGGAGAACACCGGCATTCATCAACTTGCGAATGTTGCTGGCAACTTGAGGGTTCTTCAAATGTTCTTGTGCAGCCTTGGGATCTTGTTGCATTTGTTGAAGAATTTGTTGCATGACAGGATCCATCAAAATACGCTAATTGGGCGTGTCAATGAATTGGGTCAACAATGACCATGCATAAATGATAAGCTTACCTGAACTTCGGGATCTTGTGCTGCACGCTTCAAAGCTTCCTCTTGAGACACATCATCGGAAGCACCACCACCACCAGCCATTGGGTTCATGGCATTGTATGCCTTCATCATTTGTTGTTGGATTTCACGGGCAGACTTGCCATCCTTGTCGTGTTCTTGAGCTTCCTTGAGGACGTCAATAGACTTTTGATATTCCTTCTTTGCAAATTCAACAGCAGCCTTGCGGATATAACCACGTACTATGTAGGATTTTGTTTAATTCATGCACCAACAGCACCCTTTAGACTCCATACTACTTACCAAAAGTGGGATCAAGCTCAATACAACGATTAGCGTCCTTCTCTGCTTCATAGACTGCCATCAACTTGAGATAGCATGCTGCACGATTGGAATAGGGACGCACATCCTTATCGTTACGCTTGATTGCTTCAGTGTATTGCTCAATAGCACCGGGCCTATCATCATGATCCAATGTTCAATCCTTCAATCCTCTTTTCATCCTATTCATGCATCTATCCACTTACCAGTTTTGTTGCTTGAAAAGTGCATTACCCTCTTCACGTGCCTTGTCAGCAAGCTCAGGGTTGAAGTAAGCTGCCTTCTCACGCTCCTTTTGAAGTTTTTGGGTGTCACGCAACTTTTGGAGAGTATCAGGAGTACGATGCTCAGTCAAAGACTTTTCATAAGAGAGGATGGCCTTATCCAATTGATCCAACTTGACATGGGCGTTACCAATACGTTGCAATGCACTGATAGAAATCATAAATATCCCATCCTTTCCATAGATCATCCCTTTTCTTAATCATTGTGCTTACCGTGCAATAAGCTTGTAATCTGCATGGACGCTGCGACCGACCTCGATAGCTTCTTCACAAGTCTTGATGCACTCGTCATACTTTTCTTGCTCGAACAATACAGCTATCGTAACATTATATATATATAAGACTTCCTTGTACTTTCTTCTTTGCTCACAATAAGAAACACATACCAGCCTTGTTGGTGAGAATGGAAATGTTGGTGTCATCGAGAGACCAGGCCTTTTCATAATGAGAGAGAGCCTCTTCGAATTGCTTCTTCTTGTAAGCCTGATTGCCAAGTTCCTTTTCAGCAATGGCTTGTTGCTTGTTATCGTCGGCCATACTGGGAGATATGAATGTGTGTTTGGGAAAAAAAAAGTGAACGTAAACCCCTAAACGAGCTGTCTGTTTTTTAAGCAAAACGCGCGTTTCTCGAACCATCCATTGGTCTTCCGCCTTCCCATCAACCAAGTGTGGCTGCTGTTACTATGCAACATCGTTGTGCACGTGCCCATCCTTCCATATACATCACTACCCCCACCATCATCATAGATAATGAACACCATCTAACATCGTATTCCATGCATTAGAATCCTATCATAAAGAATCATTCTTTGTTCCTTTTCAATCACAGCATACAATTGAATTGCTCATAACAATGCATTACATAGAAAAGGATTTATTCTGGTTGTATGTTCGGTTTTGTGATGTGTGTTTATGAGAGTGAGAGAAGGAAGACAAAAGAGAATGATAATCGTTGTATGGTCGTTTAAGCGGATCCCACCAAGATGTTGTTAATAGGAATATGAATCAACTAATTCCATTAGGGTTGATGAGTATCCTCTCCCATTCCTATCGTTACCATACCCCCTTCCCTTACCTTGACAAAGTATCCAAGGGCACCGAGAGCAGCAAATCCCATAGCAACGGCTTGTGTGATTCTCAAGAATTCTACAACAGAGAGAGAGAGAGAGTATCAGTATACTATAGTCGTAAAAGGAAGCGCGTGTGTATGTCAAGACGCGATTGAACAAAGTACCCTTCTGATCAGGCTTTCGACACCGGTTGATGAATTGTGCGCCGTCCTTGAAGAATTGTCTTGGTGCATCGACGAACTCTTGAACCTGATCCTTGACGTTGTCAGCGCTGGTGGTGCTCATTGTGTTGATTGTAAGATGGAGAGAAGTGATGGGCAAAAGAAGGGCGGGATGGAAATTAACCTGGGATGTCTGGAAAGCCGCTATTGGCCCACGCAATCTTCCAATCACCGGCGAAAGCATCATCGTTGCCATGGAGAGTGGTTACACTGTTATTAGAGTTAGACATGTAGTTTAGCTATCATGTTGTTTGCCATCAAATCCACCCATTGTATAAGGACATGCACAAATAAACAATAATGCTTTATTGAAGGGGGGAATTATCATGATTATATGCCTTCGATTCTAATGCCTTTCTTTGCAGCACTTTTAAGGATATCGTCTCTAGCAAGGTCTCCATGATCCACGCTAATGCTGTGCAAGTTGATACTGCTGTCAATGAGATGTACCATTCCTTCATGGGTCACATGCGTCAATCCGAAAAAGGCTACCCATTTCAAGCTACGGATGACACCAAGACGTTCTACAGCAGTGTCCCTCACTTGGTCGATATCTTCCAAAGTCAAACTTTCCAAAGAGCGTGATCTCCTTAACAAGTGTGCAAAATGATTAAACCCTTCAACCGAGGTATCCAAGCAATTGCTTATGGATATTGTTCGTAATGTTGGGATTTGAGCAAGGGAGGCCAAAGCAGCATCACTGACACCTTTGCCGCAAGTGAGGAGGACATAGGCCAATCTTGAAGAGTTGTGTCGATCAGCGTGTCGTTCAAAGAAAGATTCGAGGCCTGTATGGCTGACTTGATCGGTTGAGAATATGGAGAGAGCTCTTAGATGAAGCAAAGAAGCCAATGCATTAAAGATACTTGAGCTGACGGTCATGTTGGAATAGACGATGGTGAATTTTTCAAGAGCCGGGCATTGTCGGATCATGTCAGCAACGGTTTCATCGGTATATCTGCCAATGCCACAGTGTAGGGTATGAAGTCGTGTAAATGTAACGTTGGCAAATGGATGCCATTGTCGAAGAGCGCCAGGTGCATAATCGTTAAGTTCAAGCCGAAACTCTTCAAGGGTATCGCTGTTGCGTTTAAGCAGTGGTATAATCGTTCCAAAGTCAATTCTATCTCCAGAGCATATTGAAAAGCGTCTCATGCCGATTTGTTTGCTGTTGTTGCTGTTGACAGACATTAATTCTGATAATGAAAGGTATCGATTGATATACAAGGTCTCAAGCTGTGGACAATATTGCTCGCTTTGTAAAAGAGCTGATGCCATAAAACTCTTGTGAACCACCAAACCACGTAGATCCGGACATCGACAAATCACCCATTCTAAATCGGTAGGTTGCATATGCTGAGTCCATAAACAAAGGTTGATAAGATGAAGTCGTGTTGGTAGTTGATGATCGGATGATGTTGAAACAGGAAGAACGGATGATCCTGATGTGCTGTATGCAAGATCGGTCAAGTTGGGGCAAAGAGATAACACATCCACAAACGAGAGGATATCAGAACGACTTGAATGCAATTCCAATCGTCGCAAAGTTGTACGAGTTTGAGATAAAACAGCCGAGAGATGAGGATTGCCAATGTGGGATGGTTCATTTCTATCTCCTGTAACATTATATATGATTAGCCTTTAATGCCATCATCACTTTATCCCTTATGTATACTTACTATCCATGTTCAAAGATTCCAAACATCTGAATGCACCTGCTTTGAGTAATCGAATGACACGTTGCTCCACTGTGGTATCCGAGCACACCAATCTCAAATGGCGTACATGTGCAGCGACAAAGGCGATTTTGGTGGATACTTCTCCATTGATCTCTTGGATACTTCTCCATGCTTCAGCACATCGAGCGAGTCTTTCACGCCATTCAGTAGAGACATTCATGCAAACGGCTAGCGTATCGGTTGAGAGTCGTATGAAGATATTGGATAATATCTCAGTTGGAAGAAAGTCGACAATGTTGATACGTTTTTGATCTTGTTTCTTGGCTTTTTGAATACCATCCACGAGATGCTGATACTTGTTGTGTGATATAGGAACCGACGCTAGACCATCCTCGTACACTTTGAGTGCTTCCCATGGTTTACCCTGCATCATATATAATGATCCCACTCGAAGATAGCCTTCAGCTGAATCAGGTGCATAGCGTATCATCCTGCGTGCGTCGTTCAGTCCTTCCATAAAGTAGCTGCCTTTGGCATGGGCCATGGCTCGAATGTCAAGGATGGGAACAAGACATGCTCGTAGTAGTTCACTCGCTGCTGCTGAAGCCTCATCGATCGCCAACTCGTAATCTCCCCGAGCAAGTGTCTCACTGCTACGATAGAGCAGCTGTCGCCATGGTTCGGTTGATGACTCTGGTGCTGATCGCTTAATTGTTGCCCGAGGATCGTCGAGACTTCTTCGTTTGGTCATAAAGAGGATGTTACTAAAAAAGAAATAAGACGCATGGCCACATCTCCTTGTATTCGGCGATATGCTCCTCGCAAGCCGACAAGTCATTTTACCTGCGTCTACTGGGCGATCACATGTTTCGTATCACATTGCTTAGAACATTAGCTCTCTTCAGGTACACCATCTAGTTCTTTAGTAATCAATGTTGTCGTTGTAGCTGTATTTGATGGTGCTGGTTGCCATGGGGATGAACATGTTTATTTGCTTCAACTACTTGTCCCTTTACATTTATATATATGTGTGTATGTTGTATGTGATGTGTCAATGTTAGTTTGATGGGCCATAACACTCTAATAGCGTGTCAAGTAAATGAGGCATGCAGATAAGCATCAAATGGAACGTTGTTTTATTAATAGAACAAGCACATAGTGATAATGAAGGGGTAATAAAGGAACAACCAGAATGAGATACCCTTTACGGAACTCATCACAGCAACCCGATGTCACTCCCAATGGCTGTTTACCAGGAATACTAAAAACCTACTTTCAACTATCATTAAAAGCATACATGATATGTTGGCCTATGTTGAAACACACCATTCAATGCGTTGTAGGCGTGATCCCATCTCAAAGACCATTTCTATGCAATGTGCAACCATGTTTGTCATGCAGCAGCCAAGCTCCGCTTTTATCCATTTCTTTTTGTTCTCGCCCAAAAATCCAACACACCCCCTTCCACATGCACTCGAATATCCAACTTCCAATTCCAACATCAAATAAATCATTGTTCTCGTAAGTGCATGCGACTCAAAGAAACCATGAAAGATTTGGTAGGCGTCCTTTTCTTTGTATTCGGTGGATTGAAGTTATCGGGACTGCTGCGCACTCGCTTTGAAAGCGCGATTTTTGTCAAGTCGATTCAGCGTACACTAAAGTTGCTATATCAACCTAATGAACGGGTCGTGTGGACGGGATGTTTATAGATGAAGGTGCCATCGACCTTACTTTCTGAAACACAAGCATCGTAGAACAACATCGATTCGTGATAGCAGATGGATGACATTGATTGATGATGGATACATATTGCAGACTTGTTTAACTCAAATCCTGTTCACGCCAAGACTCTTTGTGAAGGCTTCCCATCACCACTTTATCACTTTTTTCTCCTTTTTATGATCCCAGGAATACCCACGCCCACCATACAGATGTAAACAAGGATGATGTCGCCCTTCATTTTACATCCACATATCTCTTCTCTTCCTTCCATCATGTCGCACTTTGATTGCTGACTCCTTCAAACCTCAAGTTGATGTGAGTATCATGGCGTTGTACCTTCTTTGTAACCCTGTGAATGAGAGTTGATCTTTGTGGTCATTCAAGTGTCTGATTGTTTCCCTATTTTCATTGCCATTGTTGTCATTGTGATGTTTGGCTCTTTTACGTAGGGGGAAAGTGTGGTATCGCTGTTGTAACAAAATGTGTCAATAAGCTCAATCATATCATTGAGAGCGATCTGTATCATTTATTGCAATGAAATGTATACGTGATTTATGACCATGCCTCCTTCAATTGAGCAACCGTATGATTAAGAAGAGCCTTTCCTGATGGCGTCATAGTATCAAACGTAGCAAATCCATGGATAGTCCCCTGATAGCGCATCGCCACTACTGGTACATGGGCTGCCATTAATCGTCTTGCATAGTCCTCTGCCTCATCTCGCAACACATCCGCTTCGGCACTAATAACCATGGTGGGTGGTAGGCCTGAGAGTTCTTCTAAAGAAGCATGGATCGGTGATGCCAAAGGATCTTGTCGCTTGGACGCATCTGGTAGGTAATGATTCCAGAAAAATTTCATCTCATTTGCTGTTAGGTCGTAATGCTCACGAAATTGTTGATACGATGGGCGGTCAAAATCGGCATCAACCGTAGGGTAATAAAGGACACAGTATTTGATAGCATTACCAAGCCCTCGACGTTTGGCAAGCACTACAACAATATTGTTTGGTCAATACGAATACAGTATCCTTGCATACATTTACACTTACAGGATACCGTTGCTGTCAAGTTGCCACCAGCTGAATCACCCACAACTGCCAACTTGGACGCGTCGATCATCATTGTTGAGCCATGATCGATCGTCCATTTGAGTGCAGCAAAGCATTCTTCTAGTGCTGTTGGGTATCGTGCTTTAGGGCTTAATGTGTATTCCACAAAGACCACAGCAGCATGTGCACGGGCGGTTAACTAAGATCCACAGCTGCCATTAATTTTTCAGGCACCACCTATTCTTTAAAACGTACATACCTCGGTTCGCACACGCTTGTGAGTTTGAGCATTGCCGAATACCCAACCACCTCCATGCCTAAGAATATGCAATGATTAGACTTTTATGCTTGCAAGGTGTGCATTACCATCATCCGCATGCTTACAGATAAATGATCACTGGTAGCATTTCGTTCTCGGAGTTAACAGGTCTTGTGATGACAAGGCGTATTGTTTGACCATCACCGTGGGGTGAAGGTATTTGCTTTTCTTCTTCCAATACATCCCGCCCCGTATTATTACGGCTATCCACTGCCTTCTTCTTGAGGATCTCATCGGGTGTCAACGTCGAGAGGTCGGATGATGGTGCATCTAAAGCCACCTGTCGGCACTGTGGCTCTAGTTCTACTTCCAATTCGATTGTCATTGTATGTTGAAGCAACAAAGGTTGGGGTGTGTGGTAGAGGTGTGTGTATGATGTGGCAACAAGAAAGAGAAACGTAACCATTGCGTAGCCCTGGGAACCCATCTTTAAAGTTTACGAATAGAACATGTGTCACAGCATGACGCTTACGTTTGATTGGTTTTTAGATTGGGCACACACGATGGTAACTTATCATAACAGGATACGGCAACAATGATCTATGGTATTCATGTATGCGATGTATCTCAAGCTTACTTTATTCATCTATCACCAAGATATAGACTACAATGATTGAAAGTCAAAAGGGTGTTGGTCATGTGATTGGCAGCTTTCTTTAGTTCATTGGTGAATTTCCTGCGTGCGAGCAGCCTGCCGGGGTTCACCTTGTTGCTTTGACGGGTTTCTTTCTTTACTGCAACTTCTCTTTCCGCGTCTTTCACGAGCGAGACACACTATTACTTTGCACTGAGCAATGTCGAAATTCCTATATGGTGCCCTCTTATGGGTGCGTTGGATTGCGTCAAGTACTCCTGGATACGTGCACCCGGACGAATACTTTCAGTCACCCGAAATCACAGCCAACGCCATACTCAACATCGACAGCTACATCCCTTGGGAATTTGAAAAAGAGAATGCCATTCGCGCCGTGATACCACCGTAAGCTTTCTATTGTGTATTCATTGGTACGCGTGTTTGTATCTCATTTGTACGCTATAAAGTTTTCTTACAACAGGGTTGCCATTTTGGATATTGAAGACTGTATCGCAACCAGGTATAGCATCCATTGACAACAAGTGGCTGATGATGATAGGCTTACAATTGGATAGTCGTTCCCAATGCGGTTGACATGTTCTTGGTGGAAAGGTTTTCGTGTTTGGTTGCCACGTTGGTGATGGGTAAGTTTGGGAACGAGCACCGCATAAAATATTGTGTCACTTACTGAGTATGTGTTTAGACTATGCCATCTATCGGATATGCCGCTGCCTGGATAAGGATCCCAAGTTGCCAATGGCACTATTTGCAACAAGCCATGTGGCCCTGGTGTACTATGTGCGTCCATTTTCAAATTCATTCGAATCCCTCATCCTGTGCTTGACCATCTGGTGTTTTTGTACCTTGCTTGACAATGTGAGTCATCATCATCGCTTTTATGGGTTGGATGATTACAACGGCTCACACATCGCTATAATAGGTAACGTCTTCAACGTCAGCTTTTGCACTTGGGAGCCTGTTGGTTGCTGGTGTATTTACTCGGATCACATTTGCTTTGTTTGGATTACCTATTGGTGTTGCCTATTTGTATCATGGCTTCACGACAAGGTAGTTGATGGGGAAGTGGCCAACTTGAGAAGAATGCTAATCATGACCCTGTTATCTTTATAGTCAACCCAAACGTTTCCTCTCCTCGTTGATACCATTCACTCTCGGAGCTACTTTGGTGGCCATTGTCTTTGTTCTTGTTGATTCTCTTTATTATGGAACCATTCAAGTGATCATTGATAACGTGCCCTTGACCGATTTTGTGCAAGTGATGGATGCGATCACCTATCCCCAAAGACTCTTGACTATACGTGCATCGGTAAGAATTTGATATTGGCAATGAGATAAGCGTAGCAGTAGTACTGATTGATCGTTTCATGTAGGGCTTTCCTGTATTGACACCTTTGAACAATCTCTTGTACAACACCGATAAGAGCAATTTAGAACAGCATGGCCTTCACCCCTTGTATCTTCATTTCCTGGTCAACTTCCCTATGCTTTTTGGACCACTTGTGCTTGGAGCTGTTGCTGCTGTAACCAAAGCGAATGAACAGCATATCATTTATCGAAGTAAGTGTTGAATTTAATCATAGATGCATATCAACGCTAATACGTCTTTTGTGTCAGCTCTTTCTGCCATTGTGGTTTTTGGATTGGGAGGTTTATCATTCGTGCCCCATCAAGAAGCCCGTTTCTTAGCCCCTTTGCTTGTGCCTTTGATCTTCATATTCACTTGGAATCGTACGAAGCTTTCACGCACGTTTTGGGTATGGCTCTCAGTAGAGGGAGGATGCTATGCATAGTGACATTGTTACTCATACATGCTGGGATAGATTATTTGGATGTTTTTCAACCTTATCACTGGATTCATCTTTGGCTATTTGCATCAAGTATGTTTCTCAATCTTAGTGGGATGCTGATCTACTTGGTTACTTACTAGTATATATAGGGCGGCGTTGTACCATCGATGATGTATCTTCAGCAACAAACTTTGGGACTACGCAACTGCAAGCTTGCTGCCAACAGCGAGTTAATTTGTGATCTTAAAACAGCCGGTAAGTGACATGCTCCTTTTGTTTGTAATTGAGATTATAGAGACTAATGTAAGATGCAGATATGGCCTACACCAATGAATACAATGTCACCTCCAATGTTCTCTTTTACAAGACATACATGGCCCCACGGCATTTGGTTGGATATCCCAAAGCTTGGGAAGGTAATGGTTAATGGGTAAAGGTTTTCATAGCCGTTTTAATCTGACGTTATCTATCATAGTGTCTAGAGATCGGCCCCATGTGCGTATTGAAGACTTTGGAAGTGATTGGGATCGGCTTGATAAGGAACTCCATTCCAGATCCGGCGTGGCGCTATTGAACCTTCATGACGAGTACGAACCCCACGTCAACTTTGCCCCATCCAAAGACGGAACATTTTTCGAGAGGTAGGTTAGGAGATCAAGGTTGATGATGCTGCAAATAACTAAGCTTCATTCATTTATACAAGGACACTGATTGTGGCACCGAGTACTGCGATGTTACCCAGGGTGGATGATGCACGTTATTTGCTTGTTGCCAGTTTCAATCCACACGTCAATTTTGATGACGCAGAGATATTATTGGATGCTATCAAGGAAGGAACCTTCTCCCGTGCTATGATCGGTTTGAATGTCTATCTTTTACTATCAGACGGGTGATCAATTGTCCCCAGGTGAAATGTCAACAGCGACAGCACTTGACAACAAATAGATTTCATTTCGACTCGAACTCACACCACATCACACACACCCCCTCCTTCCTTCATAATACATATTTAAAAGCACACAACATTCATTATTACATCCATTGTATCACACTTTGTTCTGCCACTTTTTCTTCATGCGCTTAGCAGTCGCACTTGGGCTTACATTTTCCTATCTCGTATCTACAGCCAGCGTCTCTGATAATACTGGCGATAAAACTAGCAGTGGAATCTTGGCTGTATCGTCACCAGCATGGCTTGCAGAATTCCTTGGACCAAGCGAGAGTGCCAATGGTCACATGTTCAACGTCGAAGATAGTATCAAAACATCATTACTCGACACGGTGAATGGTCTTGATCTTTCTCGTTATCCTCAACCTTCCAAAAGACCGCCTGTGGATGATCCAGAAGTGAAGGCTGTGCTTGATCAGCTCGATTGGTCCAAAGTACCCAAGATCTCAAAACGACGGCTTGTGGGTGAGGGTGAACTTGATATGGAGAGCTATGATACAAAGATGGATCCCGATTGTTGGTGGTCGAGTACGACATGCAAGGAACCAAAACTAGATTATATACCTGAAGATATCAGCTTTTGTCCACGAGCAGGAGATTGGGGATTGAATTACGATGATGGGCCTTTCCGTGTGTGGAGCAAGGATGCCGCAGAGCAAAAATGGCAAGAGCCTCGTTTATACAATTACTTGGCAGAACAAAACAACCAAAAAGCAACTCTATTTTGTAAGCATAAACATGTCCCATTGTGTTTGACAGAAGCTTAACTATTCCATTGTATAGATATTGGCTCAAATGTCATCTCGTTTCCAGAAGCAGCTCAACGTGCACTCAAAGATGGTCATACAATTTGCTCACATACATGGTCACATCCACTGATGACAACACTTACCAATGAGGAAGTCGTATCAGAATTGTATTGGACACAAAAGGCCATCAAGGAAGTCTTGGGAATTACGCCAAAGTGCTGGAGGCCACCCTTTGGAGATGTGGATGATCGTGTTAGAGCCATTGCATGGTTGATGGGTATGCGTACTATTATTTGGGACCGGGATACAAATGATTGGGGATTGGTAAGTACAAATGGGATCATTGTTTAGGGGATGCCAATGCTGACGACAAAAATAGGCCAGCCAAAGCATCAATGCCACTGAAGTAGATGGATACTATAAGGAATGGCTTGATTCTCGTATCGATAACGAAGACAATGAACATGGTCATATCACGTTGCAGCATGAATCCAGCCGAGAAACGGTCGAAATGGTTGAAAAGTGGTTACCCAAGCTTCAGGAACAGTTTAATGTCATGCCCATTCATCAATGTTTGAACGATCCATATCCTTATTGGGAAGAAAACTGGGTGTATCCTACCATCGACAATCCTAGTCCTGGAAAAGATCAATTGCAAGCAGCTTCAGCTGATAAGCATCCACAAGGCGATGGATCTTCATCATCATCAGAACACGAGGGTCATGCGAGTGACCATCATGAAGAGCAATTCTCCCCATCCACCGCAAATCGATATACACCCACCACCAGCATTGCATTGTTGTTCTTTGTTGCTAGTTTGCTTACTATCTTTTAATTCCCCAATTATCCCCTTTTATTATCCACTTTGTTCCGTATATTATGTTGAATTCATCATTGATAAAGCTATTCGTATATTATTGAGTCGCTATGTATGCATTACAAGAAAAAGGCATTCTCCTAAATTAGGATCATCAAGCAAGCTGGATTTCGGAGCCTGGCCGTCACAAGGCATTTCCCACTTCTCTTCCGCTCCTCACTACTACTCTTACATACTACAAAATGGCTGATCGTATGATCGTCGATGAAGGTTTGTGCATGGATCCTTCTTGAATTCTGCTTGCAGTCTAGCTAACCTCTTTGCTATTCAATTCTCATTCCATAGCTTCACAAGTTCGAACAAAAGGTCGAGGTTTCTCCAGCAATGATGGTACGTTTCTCTGTCACGAACGATGCGTTGGGTGATTCGGTAACACTTTTGCCCTTCTAATAGATGCCAGAGGACGAAACGATATGCGCATGGATGAGGATGTTGGAGATAATGATTTAGTGCCTCAGCGTTGTAAGTATCTTCCTGGGACGTTTCCTGCGCTTTCAACGCGTGGTTGTACGTGTTTACGTTATCCCATCTCTATCATACTAATTGGATCCATGTATCTATCTAGCGATTGAAGGATGGATTTTGATTGTGCGTGGTGTTCACCCTGAAGCTGACGAAGAAGGTCTTATGGAGCGCTTTTCCGATTACGGCACTGTCAAGAATTTGCACTTGAACCTTGATAGACGAACTGGTTATGCCAAGGTACATTGGATTAGATTTGTCATTGGATTCATGAACCTGACTCTATTTACGCCTTGTAGGGTTATGCATTGATCGAATACGAGACACTCAAAGAAGCACAAACGGCCATTAACGAAGCCAATGGTACCACCCTGTACGATGAACCCCTTCAAGTCGATTTTGCTTTTGCCAAGGATGACGATGAATCTCGTGGATCTCGGCGAGGTGGCGATCGACGTAGTTACAGAGATAGAAGTTTGAGTCCTGGAAGATAAAAAAATGCATATGCTTTTGGATTGATCAACACTAAGAGCGATTTATCTATTGGAGATTTGGGATCATAATGAAATTGGATAACAATGGGGGCGTGGATCCATGCACGTGACTTTTCAATCATACAGCAAAAGTTTACTACACGTTCCTCCATAGGACGGATGCTGCAATCACATACGTAATAGGTTCATTCATTATACTTTATTGATTTCCAATGTAACATAGCAACCATGTGTATAGTAATAGTATAGCTACTATACAATCGTTTTTATGGCACTATAGTAAATTCAGAAGAATAGCCTTTGTGCGGTTTGACCTCGCTATGAAGTATCGAATACCAAATACTATGAGCAACTTTATGATACACATTAATAAAGTATACGACTTACCCAGTGAGAGTCTTCTTGTGGTGGCCAAAGTAGCCAATGCGATATGTCCCCGCTTTACATCATAGACGAAATTAGCTCACTTTGTACTTGACGTATCTTTCTAAACAACATACCTGGCACCTCCTCGTCTACATGCCACTCAATCTTGGCCTGTGATAAACCAAAGATTTTGGCCTTGTAAGAAAAGAGGAAACGGGTATCATAATCGTGATCGTTTCGGACGACTTTCCAAGTGGACGTCTTGTTGTGATGTTCTTGCTTTTGCTCAATAGTCAAAAAGGTGCCTTCCAACATGACATTGTTGCGTGGGTTGCCAGCGACAAAGGTTGCTGACACGACAGGTTTATCAGCTCGTGAATAGTTGCCATCCTTGTTTACGTCCTTGATAATGTCGCCAAATGATTTGCCCACGCCAGGATTATCGGCTGGAAAAGAAGGTGCAAGGTTGAACGCTTTGCCTGTGTAATCGGGAAGCGTTTCAGAATCTTTGATAGGCTCTCCTTTGGCCATAGCTGTAGCCAGCTCGGTGAACACCTGAATGTATGCATCCAGTGTATGCGGCCCATAAGGTGTCTAATAGTGGTAGTAATACGTAAAATGACGTGTGTGAGTAAAATCGCTCTACATATCCTGTTGTATGTGTGCTACATTACCGAGGCACCCTCATATCGTTGCATTTGATATTCTTCATAGGTGGCACAATAAGACTAAATCGGGGCAATAAAAGATGATGATGAGAAGGTGGAGCAAGGTTAGACAAAGAACGACTTTTATCGCCTCGTGAGTACTTGCCGCATATCCATTAGCGAGTGTTTGGATAACAATGGTATCGTTGTTTCCCACACCCTGCTCAATCAACACCTTTTTGATAGCTTTTCGGAGACGACGTCCGCTCATAGTTGTCATTTCAGATGGCACAGCTGCAATAAAGAAATTTCCTATGCGCACCAATTGGACGTCAATGATACTAGGTTGCCATTCATAAGGTACTTTGATCTCGCCGGTATTGAGAAGCACAGGTTTTGGTTGTTGGCATTCTTCTTGCTCTTTGCTTGGCTTCTTGAGCAAATCAGCAACAAAATCCCAGAATGGATTGCCATGAGTGGTGTTCTATGTATATTACTTGTTGGTATACGTGGCCTACTTCCTTTTTCAAATAGTGTTTTTGAATACCTGGAAGAATACAGAGAGTCCAGGACCATCCGTTGTACCAGCAGCTATAAAAATTTAGGATGTTAAGCGACACTTTGATGAAGAATTGGTCTTCTTACCGAATCCATAACCCATTGCAGATGGACATAATGAGACATTGGTGCCATCTTCTCGGTTGACAACGGCCTTGCTAATGTGCCAGAACTTTTGACGGTAGTCAATGGGGCCTGATAACTTCATGAGCTCATCACCATGCTCAAAGAGCTCGATAGCTTTGTCGGCTTGGTTTTGACCAATAATGCGATTGGATTCAAGATCGCCTTTTTCCCAACCAGGTCCTCTATTTCCCCACGTACAACAAGTACGTAATTTAATTTAACGTTACATCCTTGTGTTTCTTTGACGCTGCATAGAAGTTTGTGTTACCTGCCATTACAGGTTGATGTGCCTGGGCATTTCGTATCACGCGTCCCATCGCATGGTATATCCGTGCCTGAACAGAATGGGCCAACAGTATTGGGAGTGACATCACCTTCGTTTGCTTGTGCAAATCCAGCAACGAATGGTCCTTTGCCAGCGAGCTTTCCAGGGTTGTAATGCTTTTCAGCAGCATAAGCAGCATAGCCTTTGTTGTCACCATTGACCAAGTGATTGGTTTTGTTGATCGACACGCCGTGAACAGCAAACCTGGTTCATACAATACATGAATAAAAGGAAATTTTACATGAGTTCATGCCCGCAACTATGTCAAAAAGAAGGAACACAAACCAATTGAGGAAGCCCAAGCCGTTGCCATCTTGGTCACGGAAACCGAGTAAGGTCATTTCCTTATCCACATCATACTTGTACTCGGCGCGCTCCTCCTTGGGGTTGAGTAAATAAGCGGCGGGAGAACGGCTAATGCTAGTATTCAACAATTCATCACGGCTGACGGTGATAGTGCCATCTTGTAAATGATCATGAGCACGAACAATAGCATTGACGATGCCTTCGACCATAGGCTTTGTGGTTTCTTCAATCCATCCAAGCACGCTGATTTCATACATGGCTACATGGATGATTTTAGGTTAAATGAAGCCTTGAACTTATATGGGAGATTATCCCAATCTTAGCAATAAATACCATGCTGCAAGTAACCGCCCATGCTGTTATGGTTATGGGTACTCGAGATCATCACGTTTTTCTCCGTGTAGACTTTGTTGCCATACAATGCTTGCAATTTCTTCACAACCCGTTTCTTGACAATGTCACCGACAGCTGCTGTATCCGAATTGACAAAGACAATGCGATCATCATCGTTGGCAATGATAAAAGCTCGTGCAAAGATACGTTGCAGAATTCCTTTGCCCGTTTGGCTTAGATCAGCATATCCCATCATGGTAATCTCGGCAGCTGGACCAGTAATGTCGCCCATGCCTACGCCCACTTTGAGACCCTTGGTTTGGTGATCATGCTCAGAGCTAGTAGTAGCAGTGGAAATCCAGCACAATAATGCATAGATGAGAAGGAATAAGGAGCGTACTAACAACATACGGGTGTAATAGCAAATGAAAGGAAGATGAGATTAGATATATAAAAAAAAGTGAATGGAAGGGGAAAGAGGTATTGCCGTGCAAGAAGGTGATGTGCAAATCCATATATACCTGGATGGTCAACCACTGTAGTACAAGTCTTGTGCAATGAAGTGGGGTTAACTTCTAGAAGTGCTCCGAGTTTCCAGCTGAGAAGAGCTCCATGATGATGTCTATTGAATCTTTTAGTATTGCTTCCAACATAGGTTTGGGATCATTTTCATAATAGCAACCTTGGATGGTTGTGTATGATGATTGGTTGTCATGGCTCCGCATATCCCATACTGTAACCAATTCAACAGGAGGGGGAAGGTATTGATGAAAGAAGTGCAATGGATATAGAAGAGAAATGGGTTTAATCCTACAACAAAAGATCAAGCATGTGTCATTATGGCTTTCATGCATACAATAAAGCAGCTCGAGCTTACATCACAATACTGACTTCTATTGAACTTAGTTTTTCCCAAAAGGAGCGACCTCTTTTCCGGTCGGGAGGGCGACTTCTTTGATGCATAAAGACATTCTGAAGATCGTTCTTATCGGCGATGGAGGCGTCGGGAAGGTAAGAAGCTCTACATCTCACTTTAGACAATGGCGCTAATGCCTTGTTGTATCCATAGACAAGTTTACGCAATCAAGTGAGTCTCATTCGAGTCGACATTATCAACAGCGTTTCCTAACCACTGTTCAACCCAGTTTATTCACAAGCGGTTTACAAATGCATACAAGGCTACTATTGGTATGGGATACAAGGAGTGTAAGGAAGAGGAATACATGTGCTAATGAGCTGTGCATTAGGAGCCGACTTCATTACCAAACAAGTGGAGACAGAGGATGGCAAGAAGGTGATGCTACAAATCTGGGACACAGCAGGGCAAGAGCGTTTTCAGTCGCTTGGAGTGGCATATTATCGTGGTGCGGATGCGTGTATTCTTGTATATGATGTCAACAACTTTCTCTCGTTTCAACATCTTGGTAAGGTGCATGGATAGGATTCATATCATTCTATTTACTAATGTAATATATGAACAACAGGACGATGGCGTGAGGATTTTTTGAAGCAATCATCATTACCGCCAGAAGAAGCGATGCATTTTCCAATGTTGATTATCGGCAACAAGATCGATATCGATGACCGTGTTGTATCTCGTCGACAAGCACGAGCATGGGCTGAGCAGAATTCGAGTGAACGTATGAAGATCCCTTGTTTCGAAGCGAGTGCCAAGGATGGTACAAACGTTGAAGAAGCATTCACCTACATTGCCAAAATCGTCAAAATCCCGCAACTCGAGTTGGATCTCAATGGTGGCGGATCATCACTGACATTGTCAACTTCAGAATCAACAAAGTCCAAGAAACGCTCATGTTGCTGATATACATATCACCTTTATCTTTATAATACGCTCCCATCCCCAACGTATACGAACTAGAGTCACCTTTTTCTCAACACACGATATATTCCATACACATTTACATACGCCCTTCCTCTTTGTGTATATGATATTATTACCTCGTTATGGTTATAAAGTACCTTGCATCATTGTTTACCCCTTTTCACAACAATTTAAATTGGATTCTCACGCCATTCATTATGAGTGCTGGATCGATAACACGTAATGTGCTCATGATGATGAGAGGAATGAATGATGCTTTACAGTTTTAATCACAGTAAGGTTTACGGGGAAAGACATAAAATAGAGAGATGAAAGGATGCTGCTTTTTGAGTGTGTTGCAAAAAAAAAAGTCTATGGATTGACACCAAGGGTGAGTCTGATACCCAAGCTCATAAGCTCGGTGGTCAGGTATCTGAATACGTAAGGGATAGCAACGAGCTCGATGCCATCTGAAGTACCACATGATCGACATTCAAATGTGCGCTTGTTGGCCAATGTTGATACAATCTTGGTGCAAATGGGGGATACCAGTGAGCCACATAGTCGGCAAACATGAGCCTACACAATCATGTTAATTTCTCCAATTGCATATTTCCCTTTTTGCCAACGCCTTACTTGTGAATAATCGGAGCAGTTCATTAATCGATCCTGCAATAAGAAACTGGTACCGTGTGCTAACAGTGAATCACGCTCCATTTCACCGAGACGAATACCACCAGCACGCTTACGACCCTTGACAGGCTGCATTGTGAGGTTATGTACAGGACCAGTTGTACGCACTTGGAACTTGTCGTTCACCATGTGTCTCAAACGTTGGTAATAGACGACCTATATGATCATCATTGTCAATATGGATCATCCTTCCACCTTTTCATGACCTGCACCATGTACTTACGCCAATATAGATATCCATCTTCATTTCGGTACCAGTGATACCAGAGTACATTGGTTCGTTGCCATGGTAACTGTAGCCAGCCTTGAGCAATTGTTCACCAAAGTAATCTGCTGCAGTGTATTTTTCATTGAACCTAGATCTCAAAGTCAGCTAAACATGTTCAAAAGGGGGATAAAAATGGTATCAGACTTACTTGAATGGTGTACTATCTTGTGAAATACCATGCAAGGCACCAGCTTTTCCTGCCAGACTCTCGACAAACATACCAATAGTCATACGAGATGGGAAAGCGTGTGGGTTGATAATGACATCAGGTTGCATACCAGATTCAGTGAATGGCATATCAATGGCAGGCCACTTTTGTGAGCACACACCCTTTTGACCGTGACGTGATGAAAACTTGTCACCAATGACAGGAGAACGTGTAATACGCAGCTTGATGTGCACCTTTTGTAATTCACCATTGCCTGAATCGTTGCCAAGCACACGTACTTCATCCACATAAGCATCCTCGGGACCCTTGTATTTCTTCACCATACCACGGCCTGTTGCCTGGTCAACGTAGCAGTACATGGGATCATCAGCCTTCAAATGAACACCGATATGAGGAAGACCATCATTGCCGAGCAAGCTACGCAACTTGCTATTGTTCTTGTTGTTGTCACCAAGGCCAAAGTGATATGATACGGTCTCACCCTGAGCACGCATGGCCTCCAGATCGACAATCTCACTCTTGTACACAGTACCATATCCAAAACCACGTTCATGTGCTGACTTGTTCAAAATCATAGCATCTTCCATATCGTAACCGGTGTATGAGATGACAGCCACAATCGCATTGGTGCCGTTAGGGAAGCCATCGAAGCCGTAGTCGTTATGCAATGCAGGGCGTACAACAGGTGTTTGACCGGTTTGCAATCGATACATCTTGTTGTCTGTTCGGTGGTTGAAAACGGTTGAAGGTGTACCCATTGTTTGTTTACCCATCTATACTCTTTCATTTAGTAACACACTCCTTATAACTTGCCATCTATTACTCACTTGACACTGGTACATGTTTCTTGGGGATTGGTTGAAATCGGAGAAAGGAGTCATGTTGGCGACAATACTGAAGATGTTGGTGGGTGTAAATTCTTGATGGGTAGTGACACCAGGTACAACTTCATCATCCATACAGGCAATGTCCATGTATACTTGTTCGAAGGTGCCAACCATATCCAATTTGCCATTAGCAAGGAACTTGACGGGACGCATCATACGAGCAGGTGATGAGAAAAGGTACAAGCCAGGATATTCACCACCATAGCTAGCGGGTACATGTGCGATTTCCATATCCAATGGTACTTGCTTTTGTTGATTGACACGCCAAATCTTGAGACTCTTGGCAACCTTTTCAGCTGTCTTTGGAGAACACCAACCCACAATACGACCATCCAACAAAACAGCAACATCACCAGGGCGACCAATTGAATGCAAAATAGGTTGTGATACACCAAGCGATGCCAAATGGGCGGGTAGGCTGTTGACATCCAAAGGTTCGTTGATCACCTTACACTTGTGTGCCAAATGGTTGAGCAGACCACAGGGCGAACCATCAGGTGTATGTACAGGGCAAAGGAAACCCCAAGCTTCGGGCAATAGCTTACGAACAGCAGTGGTCTTCAATTCAGCAAAGAAAGCACCACGATGGATACATCGGAAGTGGGAAATGTAACGGTAGAAATTGAGCTTTTCAGCAACGATTGTGTAACCGCTGACCTATAAAAATTTACTAGTAAATATCCATTGTTCTCATCACTGACAACAAAACATACCTGCTGCAAATCGAGACCTGTCTTGGATACGAGGTTACCAGTGGCTAAGAAATAAGCCAACTTTTGACCAACATCCGGATTTACTCGTCGCATAGCATTCATGATATAGTTGCCTGATAAAATCCAATGTAAGCATCCACCTTGCTGATACCACACACTCTCCCCCATATCCAATTACTTACGATCAAAGAAATCGACCTTTTCAGGATTGAGACGCACATTCGTTCTAAACTGGGCCTTGACACCTTGAAGCCAATCATGGATCTTCTCCTTGATAATCATGTTGTAGAGATGACCGGGCAATAAAACTTCTTGGTGTTGAGGAGAATCGGGATTATCAGCGCAACATTCACCAGAGACAAGTGCGTACAGCTTGCGAATCATATAACTATCAACCCATTTCCATTATGGATGAGTAAACGGATCATCCCATATAGCATGCATATATATACTCACATGAGCATGTTGAACTTGTCGCGGTTGTTGTTGAGATGCACCAAGATGATCTTGTCGAGAACAGCTTCACCCACTTGCTTATCGGTCAAATCATCATCCAAGCCCATAATGATGCGGAACTTCTCGCCGAGATAGCTCAAGCAAGCATCACGAGTATAGAGCGAATAGATCTTGAAGCTGCGTAAGAGCAATTCGATACGATCGGTCAAAAATGTATTCTTGTAATCGCCTTGGCATAATGCATCAAAGATCTCCTTATCCGAAGTATCCACCAATGCCTTAAGGAAGAGGACAACAGGGACCATGTATTCCTGCTTTCGCCAAGAGAATCGAAGCATGGCATTGCCGTCGTTGAGATAATGCACAGTGTTGGTTTGAGTGGTTTGATCGGGGCGAGCACATCGAATAGCGCAACCATATTGGGAGTAAGCATGACCACGATTTTGGAATGAATTACGGATGATGGCGGTGACATGATTGCGTCGTGGGACAATCAATAGACGAACAAGTTTCTCGATACCATTGACGATGAAATAACCACCCATCTCCTCGGACTCTTCGTGATGCTCGATAAGCTGCTTTGGATAGAGGCCCTTAAGATTACATCGATTGGATCGCACCATGACAGGAAGTTGACCAAGTTCTCGAATATCCGAATTCACTGGACCATCATCCACACGCCAACAGAATCGAACTTGAAGCTTGCCGCTGTATGTCTTCAAACGCTCACGACAATGACTCGGGTAGATTTTACGATGCAACGAATAGACGTCCTTGTCAGAGACCATGGGTTGTGAGATCTTTGGATCCTCTGCCCAAAAAGTGATCTTGTGACCCAATGCGTCGCCATTCTCGTTGACGTTGATGTCGATTGGCTTGCCGTCGAATGCCGAGAGTGTACCAATATCTTTGACAGCAATGTTGAGAAGACCACCTTCGCTGGAATCACCGAATTGAGTTAAGCAGTTGAAAGACTCGATATGCGGCTTGGTAACTTCTTGAAGTTGTGGGACACCGAAACGATTGCTGGGGGGGTCTTGGAACATACGTTCCCGTTCCAAGGTGTTGAAGGTTGACGGCATGGCGAAATAGCTGGCTGACGCACGGCACTCACAGCTGACAGGTTAAAGAAGAGGGATGTTAAAGAAAAAAAAACTACTGGGTGTAACTTCCCTGATGCGTGACTCTTTTCGGCAGGAAGGCTTTGCTTCATTGGGCTGTCAATTTTTATTCAATTCTTTCCCCCCTTACTCAACAAATACAGTAAAATGGCATTCGGCAATCGTGGTGGTGGACGAGGTGGTTTCCGTGGAGGTACATTGCATAGCAACCTTGCCATAGATCGCAACTTTACAATAACACACTCCTCTCCCCCTCTTTTATAGGCCGTGGCGGTGGCCGTGGTGGTTTCCAAGGTGCATCTCAAGGTCCTCCAGATCAAGTTATTCGTATGTATTCATTCAACTTTATTACACTGATCAGCACGATCCTAATAGTATTGAATAGCTATGGGCTCGTTCATGCATGCTTGCGAGGGAGAAATGGTCTGCAAATCGATTAATCCCAAGATTCCTTACTTCAATGCACCTATCTATCTCGAGAACAAGTCGCAAATCGGCAAGGTGGATGAGATTCTTGGTCCCATGAACGAAGTTTATTTCACCGTCAAGATGGATCAAGGTATGGTCGCCACTTCATTCAAGCCCGATGATAAGGTGTACATCAGCACTGATCGCCTATTGCCTTTGGAACGTTTCCTTCCTAAGCCTAAGGCTCTCAATCAAGGTAAGCATAAATGAATGAATGAGGTTGCCATTTTTGGTACAAACTTATTCACTTTTTTCCATCATTAGCTGGCAAGGCTACTGGTCTTCAAGGAAAGGTTGAAAAGAAGTCTGGTCGTGGCGGATTTGGTGGCCGTGGTGGTGGCCGTGGAGGTCGTGGTGGCAGCCGTGGTGGCAGCCGTGGCGGCTTTGGTGGTCGCGGTGGATTTGGCGGTAACCGTGGTGGATTTGGCGGTGGCCGTGGTGGTGGCAGTCGTGGCGGTTTCCGTGGCCGTGGCGGTTTCCGATAACTCATTTGGCTTTAAGAAGAGTTCAACATCATTCTACCTAGCATTTACGAATCCTCATGAAGTCTTCCTTTTGTACATTACATCTCGTTTTATACGCCAGAAATGAAAAAAGCACTTTTGGTTTTGCAACAGCTATCTTACAATAAACATCAATCGCAATTCTTCAATATCGTATGTACATCTTCAACGTTGCATCATCACACATGTTTGAATTACTCCATACGATCCCAACTCAACAAGTAATCGTAATAGTAATAGGATGTTGTTATCATCTTGCTATTGGTAACCGTTGCTATGGTGACAACACAACCATGACAACCACAAAGATATTGCAAAGCCAACATTGAGTGAGAAACAGCCATAGAAGACTGTAGTCTTTATATGCTCATGATTGAAAGAGGACATGATAAATGTTTTTGGAAAGGAAACAAAAATACACAATAAGATTTCTATCCTGCTCTCTTTGTTCTCTAGCAATCTTCTTGAGGAACCACACATAAAGAAGAAAGAGAGAAAAGACAACAGCAATGATAAGGTAAAAAAAGTGATGCAAAGGATTTGTGCTGCGAACAACGAAAAAAAAGAGAGGGAAAGGCAAGGGGCGGGTAATATGTAACGGATTTTGTGTGTGTGTTTGCGTGTGAGTGTGTGAGTGTGAGTGTGTGATCAAAGTGCGAGTATAGTGTAATATGTGTGTGGAGAATGCTTTTAAAAAGTGCATTACGGATTAGAAACCATGGTATTGGCCTTGAGGACCAGGTGGTGGTGGACGAGCACCAACGTATTGACCAGGACCTGGTGGTGGAGGTGGTGGAGAAGATGCCCAATTGCCGCCTGGGACATTAGATGGTGGAGGTGGTGGAGGTGCAGGTGATGCATCATTTTGTGGGCGGAATGTTGGATAATAACCACCAGCGCCAGCACGTGCGGGAGCTTCCTTTGAAGGATCAAAAAAGCCCATAGGATCTTGACCCGATACATCTGAACGGCTGCTGTAAGCATCATCATCGAATTGGGAATCCGCCAAAAGACCACGCTTGCTCTCATCTTCATCAGGTGGTACAACCGAATGCATAAAGTGTACAGGTCCCATTTCACGGAGTTGGCGCTCTTTACGCTCACGACGCTTGTTTGCACGTACACGCTTTCGTTCATAATCCTCCCAGCGCTTGAGTGGTACAGTTGATGGATCGAACACACCGTCGGCGTTGCCATGGCCATCACCCTTCTTTTCACCTTCAACCTTACGAGTTTCACCCCATGAAAAGTCGTCAAAGTGCCAGAAGGAGTACACAGGCAAGATAAAGTTCCATACAGGCAATCCAATGAGGTAAACAATCATCCAGCAAAAGTAGACCCACTTGCGAGTAGTCAAGAAAATGAGCAACGCCGGTGAAAAGATAACCACAATCAGCAGGATGAGCGGCACGGCTGTTTGGAAACTTGTGATTTGTGTACTTGCAATCGAAACAACAAGGACAACGGTCAAGACAATGGCAACAGGAAGCGTCAAAGTACCAACAAGATCCATAAAGACGACAAACTGCATAGAGAAGCAGAATGTACCACAAAGATTGCGTACAAGAACCAATTCGAACAAGTTGTGGATGGTTGAGTTAATCCAACGACGACGCTGAGACAACAACACCTTGAATTCATCAGGGACAATGGTCTTACAAATCTATATCACGAGAGTAGTAGATACGTTAGCTATTGAATAAATACAAACATAAATGTTGTTCACGTTACTTACAGCTTGAGGAGTGAATGTCATTTTGCGGTAAGGGAAATTGCGAAGCATGAGAGTAGTCAAGAAACGATCTTCACCAAGAAGCAACAAGTTCTTTTGATGGAGGGTGTCGATGGTGTTGGAGGAGTATTCTTGGACAATTTCAGGCTTGGTGATGATAGGGACCCAATCACCGTCACCCTTTCGTGCCTTGAGACGATACATGGAGAAACAACCTGGCAAACATGTGACACCACCAAAGACAGCTTCAAAGCCTTTAGCCAAATGATGGGAAATGAAGTACTCGTAGACTTGAATTGCGGAGACCCAACTTGCACGCTTATTGGCGATCTTGGTTTCACCGCAAAGACCCATAATCAAGTTATCGTTGACCATACAATTGACGAGATAACGCAAAGCTGATTGATAGACCTTGGTATCAGCATCCACCTACAAGACAATGAAATTATCAGCAGACCCATTCTCTCTCATTGTGTTCCCAAAATAAACTTACCATGAGACATAATTCGAAAAAGTCGGGAGTGGCACCCATAAGCCAATGGATCTTTTGGAAAAGATCATAATCAAGAGGTGTCATGCGATCATTGTAAGTAACACGGCTGAAGAAATTCATGAGGATAAGCTGGGAATCACGCTTGCCACGGTTGCCAGGCTTAGCACCGCCTTCTTCATCAGGATTGCCGCACTTTACAACCAAGATCATCGGAACTTTGTGGCCCTTGCAAACTATAACAGAAAAGGTTGGTTGAATTGCCACAGAGCGATGGTGGCACATGAGCCATGTGTTACATACCGTAATGACCTGCGTAAACCTTTGCACGATTGTACATTTTGGCACCATTTGCAACAGCAATGTAAGCCTTAGCTTCAGGGTTTGCCATGGCTGGATCATCGAAGTGCATGAGGCTGAGACACATGTCGGGTGTTGTCATGGTTTCGCCGTGACCAGTAATAATGCCGTCAGCAATCAGGAACAACAATTTGCGATCGTCGGGATAATCGGTCATCGACAAAGATTCAACGGTGCCACGAATACCTTCCGTATTCTCGGAATAGCAAGTGATCAACATTACTGTATACAAGTCGTTGCCGATTTCAACCAGTTGCTTGCTCAAGCCTGCACCAGCAGCAGCTGCACCACCGATAGCTCCCATTTCCATAGATTGATTATGATGCACTGTGGCAGCGGCACCAGCAACAGGGGGAGGAGTGCGTGATAAACGACGAGAGATGAACCATGCAAAGATCAAAGCCATGAAGAAACGAGCCAACACAATGGAAAGCACACATCCAAGAGCAAAGTAGAGAATCAATTGAGATGCGAAACAACCTGGTGTAGCCTTGTCAATGTTGCCAGCCTTGTACTTTGCAATCAAACAATCCATCGATGCCTCAAACTCGGTACGACGTCTAAACATCTTGGTAGCATCACGACCACCAGCTGCATAGCTGCTATTGAGCACATCACGAATCAACGCATCGAGAGGGTCACCCGCAATGGCTGAAGGATTGGCGTTCATGTAGGGCTCCATGTTGAGTACATTGCCGTCGATAACAAAGTAGGATGTCAAGTTGGAGCTTGCAAGGTAATTCCAGTCGTAGCCGACACGACGTGTTGTATTCTCAACCTTGATGCTGCTGAAGGTGGATTCATCGATAGTGCCGAGGGAGCAACCACCATTGCCGTTGCCAGCGGAACAAGGGTTGAAAGTGACAGCGGTGAAAGCGTTGGCAGTTGGGTTTCCAGTATCCTGGCAAGAAGGAATATCGGTGCCATGCTGAAAGAGATTGGTGACATCAGTGCCTGGGACATCCGTGTACTTGAAAAAGTTGGCATCATCCGAAGTAACAGCTTGAGAGACATTAATGGCCCATCCTTGAACACCCAATAGACCAGCTAATGTGTGTAAAAGTAAATAAATGAGTACGTGTGTATACGTGTGTGCTTGATTAATGAAGCAAGCCTGCCCCTTTTGGAAGGATGCACCCCCAGATCCCAGCCCCATATTCTCCTTCATTATCCATCATCTTTTTTTTTCTCATCCCTTCTCTCCCAATGGCTCACCCACACAACTACTACCACCACTACTATTACTTACCACTTGTTGCTGTGTCATTGTATGATGCAAAGTTGGCAAGGTTTTGTGATGCATCAGGTGGACATAATACAGAGCTGACACCAATAGTAATAAAAGCGACGACACCACCAAGACAAGCAATAAGGAAACACAATGTTATCTTCTCTCTCCAGGCTTGTTGCATACCAGGATCAGGCATCTTCATGGCTTTAAGCATTCCGGGTAATGCCCAAAAGGTAACGATGCGTGAAAGTAACACCCAAGGATCAAACCAAGAATGACTCTTTTGGGATTTGCCTGTCAATAGCGGTGGGGGTTCTTGGTATCGATCGGGTCGAATCAAAGTACGACCACGTTGGATATTTTGGCCTGCATTGGCAATACTGTTGGCTCCAGGCACAATACGTCGAGTAGGTGCTCGACCAAGAGTTGTTTGTTTTCGACCAAGAGAAACGTTGCGATTGGCGTAAGCATTGCCTGTGGATGCACCATAGGCATTATCAGGTGGTCCACCGCCGTAGGGACCTCCTCCTGGTGGTGGTGGTGGTGGTGGCATATTTGAAGGAAAGGAAAGAGGACTAGTTGTCAATAAACAAGTGGCTGAACAATATAAATATCAACAAATGGAGCTGGATGACTGTGGTGATAGAACACACACACACACAAAGGACCCACGATCTGGAAGGAGGAGGAAGGGGAAAAAAGAGATTAGGAAGAAAAGAGTAAGAGAGGCTGGAAGGTACCGTGTATAAAAATAGCCCCTACCACGGTGACAGCCATGCACGACGAATACTTGTGTTCATTTGCGGACAACGAATCACTGGGATCAAGAACACACGTTGATTGCCTGATATGTTTGCCCACCTAAAGTTGCCTTGCCCGCTTCACACTCCACTCATTTGATACTGCTTAAATGTGTTACCTTGTTTACAGAATCATCCCAGCACACTCGAGCCATAGCTGTCATGTGTGCCTGGCCAAGATTTCTCTTGTGTGAGCCATCAAAAAGGATCGACCACCGCCATCAAGCCCGACGATGGGCTAGTTGGCCTCACTTCTCAGACTCCGCTAAGCTTATCCAAAGTAGATTTCTCACTCGATAATATTATTACATCTTGGATGACCTGGACCCACTCACGCGGCCAATGTAATACATTGGCTTAATAGATATCATCATCCCTCTCGAGAATTTGTAGATCACAGGATGGGACAAATAATTCTTTTTATACATTCTATTCTACAACTACACATTTACATTTGTACAATCATATCATTCTATCATACTTCTTTATCATCACCGCTGCTCTACAGTGGTGGTATTGCTATTGGTACATTGAGCACCTTGGGAAAAGGATTGAGGAGTCACTCTTGTAATACTGCTGCCATCCGATGAAGCTTGTTGAGTCCCCTGCGTATGCAGGAATGATTGTTCACCCATGGATTGCGTGAAACGTTGTGCTGGTAACTCATAGCGGATATCAAGCTCGGTCAAAATGTCCTTCAAAGCAATCATAAACTAGGGGGGAGGAACGATTTTGAAACATACAATGTTACTCACACATAAAACAATGCAATTCCCCCACACACATTGATGTTCCCCATTTTCCCTCTCTTTACCTTGGTACGACGTTGGAAGCGTTTTCCCAAATCCTGCCAATTGCCCTTGTGTGGTAACCATAGCGACAAGATAATTTGGTTGACATCGATAATATCAGTGACACGCACATCAAAGCCTGGTGCAAAATCACGAGAGTTGTTGTTGACCCATTCCGAAAGACGACTATGGAGCAAATTGAGACGTTCTGTGGGTGTACGAAAATCCACATTGATGATGATGGTCTCGCCCATATCCGGAGAGCGTCTCACGTTGACAATCAACTTGGTGCGTAATACCGTTGTGGGCGCATACAAGAGCTGACCATCACCACGGCTGATAAGAATTCATTGTAAGTAAGGTTCATTGTCAAAGCCCATGCATAGCCCATATACTCACATGAACACGGTTCCCATCAAGCCGAGATTATGCACCAAAAGAAACGTGTCGTCGATCAAGAGATAGTCACCAGCGTCGTACGGGTGCTAAAACAAGTAACATCATGTAAGCATTATGTATGTCAAGGAACAAAAATAGATTTTTCATACCGTGACAAAAAGGAAAATGACATTCTCGAACGTGTTCTTGCACGTGTCACCAAACACAAACGTCAAAGCCAATAAGCACGAGCCCAATGGCAGTAATGAGTGCCAAACATCCACGTTGAAAATCGCCAAAGAGATAAATGTTGTAATGATAATGCTAAAGACAAGTAGCAGCATATCGATTTTGCCGAGTGCTTGACTTGTATCACGTACGCATTGTGCCAGAGCCTTTCTTTCCTTATAGATTTCCAATACGGTATCTCGAAACTCACGTCTTGTCAAGTTGCCATTACCATCCTTGTCAAACACCGAGAATGCCTTTTCAGCCTCCTCCCGTGATTGAAAATAAGGTGCAAAGTGGTTAACTTCGAGTGACTTTTTAGCTGCTTCATCTGACGTAGGTGGCAATTCGTTCGGATAAGCCAATGAATAAAATAGCTTTCGTGCCACCTTCTTTGCATAATCGGTAGAATTGATATCCACCTTGTTGCGGTCAATGGTGCTTCGAATTTGGGGTTGATCGGTAAGCATCATGTTTTGTATACGCTTCTGGAATTGGTTGAAAAACTTGGGGTCGTTGCCTGTGGCACGATCATGATCAATGCCGGTGCTATACGCACTGCTCATGTTGGATTGCAACTCCTTGTCAGATGTTGAGCTTCCACTATTGGGTCGGCGGTTTCGGAGGCCATCAGGGCGTGAACGTCGTGCCTCTGATTTGCTTAGGGTATCGAGAACTACAAAAGATTTGTTAATGATTCGGCTTGCATGAGAACAAAGAAAGCTGTCGGATGAGCTTACTTTTCAGGGCATATTTGTTTTGCTGCAGGCGGTCGCTGAAGGCTTCTTTGTGAAAGCGTGTTGCTAAAAAAAGGTTAAGACCAATGAAATGCAAGCTTAGAGATCGGCTACGTACCAATCAATTGCACAATGACCTTTTGAGCAAAAAGCCAACAACATGCCACAAAAATGCATGCAAACACCTTGAAAATGATGGTTGTATAACCTTGATTCTTGACAGACTTGAGAGAGAGTAGTAATAAGGATATGAGTAGCCGATAGCAAACCCCTTAAATTTCCACTTTTTACTTACATTAAAGGGATAGTCTATTAGAAATGCCCATGAACCCCAATTCCAAGATGACAGGAGAAGTAACGTGAGATAGCGCTTGACACTAAGGTAGTACTAAGGAGTTTGTGGATGTAAAACGAATAATGAGACAATGAAATGTGACACCAGCCGATCACTGTACAACATAGAAGCCATTTACTTACCTCCATGGCTGACTTGACACGTTCCGAGCGACGACCTTTGAACAATTTGGTCCATAAAGATACCGCAGAGGGTACGGCTTCGACAACAACAGTGGTCAACCAAAAGATGTGCCATTGGAAAGCAGCCCAATAAAGCCAACATTGGAGATTGCTTCGGACGTTTTTGAACCCTGGTTGTGCTCGCTCTTCCTCTGTAGGTTCTGGTAATAATGCGTATACACATATAGCAGCTGAGATAAAGATACATGAGCCGACAATGGCAAAGATAAGTCGCTTGGCAAAGGGTGATAAATAATTCCAACAGCAAGGTCTTTGCATTGCTGCATGGATTCTTTCACGCGTTGTTTTGCGTCGCCTTGGTTTTGGTTGATCCGGATCATCGTTCCAATCAAAGTCATCATCGTCATCATCATCATCGGGTTGCTTTTTCTCACTCGGAACGGGAGATGGTGGTGAAGGATGATGATCGCCTCTGTGCAGCATGGCACGATGAAGAAATGACCGTTTAGGTCTTAGCTCCGAAGGTGCTGCAGCCTCGACGTCTTTGTGCATGTCAACAACATCGTCATTGGTGGCCATGGGTGCCGGATCTGCACATGCAGGCTTGAGTTTCTCATGCAAGTGTTTGCAACACAAAGCAGCGGGAGTTGTTTTTTACCTGTCATCAGGCTTTTCTCATCATCTGGAGCAATACGCACAGACTTTTTGCCCATGATCGTTGTTATGGTCGGTGTATTGATAAAGGGAAAAAGAAGAACAAGGTGTGTGAGTGGATGTCAACATGGTGACAATGATCGGATATATTAGCTGGGTGTGCATTGTTTCAGCTGTCTATAATAGTGGCCAAAGTTTTCTCAGGGAACCATGAATTTGCTTGGCTGGCTGTAGACAAAAAAAAGGAAACGAGTGCGATTAGGGAGAATCACTTCCGGTCTGGACCAACAATTCACAATCGGAGCAGACTTTGCAGCAACAGCAGCATTCGGCAAGCAGCCCTGACCGCATGGTTCATCTCTTGCGGTGTAACAAAGTTCTCACACCCCCCTTCTTCAGGCCACACTATCCACCATCGTCATCACCGGACTATTCTCCTATTCCAGTATTCGATGCACACCACACACGAGCACACACATACGCATACACACAACTACACATTGCATACACAACATGCACGACGCCACATTTGCATATAAAAAGTTGACTCTTGTACCATCTCCCACTTCTTTCGCCACCGCTCATCTCTTTTTCTTTCTTTCGTGCTGGTACACACTCTCCCCTTTCGTTCAAAACACAAACTCTCATATCAAACACACATTCAATCATGATCACAAAATACCGCCCCCAAAGCCATTCCTCCACTGCTACTGCTTTCCCACAACTACCACCACAACATACTGCTCCCACTCGCAAACGCACTCATCTTAAGCCTAGCCAAGTTGCGGTGTTGCAAGAATCCTTTGTCACCAATCCTTTGCCTGATGCCGCTATCCGTAGTCGACTTGCAAGAGAGCTTGGTGTCACCGAACGTACTATTCAAATATGGTTCCAAAATCGTCGTGCTAAGGCACGTAAACTTGAAGCCGTTTCCAACGTTGGTGGTGGTAAATCAGGCACTAACAAGATCCCTTGCTTGATGCCTAATGTGCGTACTGGATGGATTGAACCACCTTGTCATGGCGCGCCACAACGTTATCAAGCCACTTTTAGAACAATGATGACCCCTGAGCGATTTGAGGAGCTTCAACAACAGCAACAACAACATCAAGATGATGAAGCTTGTAACAATAACAACAACACTTCTCTTCGACGTCGTGCTCGCTCATGCTCAAACTCAAGGCTTGATTCAAACAAGGCTGTTGACTTTGATCTTGCCACTGCTCGTGCAGTATCGGAAGGTGCGGACCGGTGGCTATCCAAACAAGGTAAGCATTAATATAGATTACAAAGGAGAAAATTCCTTTTGGTCTCATCAATATGCATACCTCTCAGGAACAACTACCGCCAATACTTCAAGCATCCCATTTCCAGCTACATCCTTGCGCGTGGGTATTTGGTCTCGATTCACATCAAACCCCATCGATCGACAAGAGTGCTGGGACCTGTTTTGTTATGCACAAGAACGTCAATTGATATGGCAGATCCAGGATGGTGGTCACCAATTTCGCATGCAAATCGACTTTGATGCTATCCAACAATTAGTGTTGTCCTCTGAAATGCGTGATGACATGACCATGGTCGATCAATTGGCTATCCATCTTTATCATCCTGGAGACCTTACCTTCTCCATGTGGCGTACTGGCATTGACACCGAATGGGTGCGCTGTGGTGACTTTTCCGAAAACAAGCAAGCTACCTTTGATGCTGTTCATGTTTTGCAGGGCATTCATGAATCTCTTCGCCAGCCATTGTTGCAACTTTTCAACCGTGCACCTGATCTTTTTTCAAAATGCACCATGGACAACAACAACACCAACGCTGCGAGCAACAATGGAAGTGTACCACCTCTTGATCTCTGCCGCAGCTTTACTTTATCGCCATCAGCTACACCTGAACCTGCTATTGCATCTTTCCAATCCACTACCTCCAATGGCGCTGGAAGCCAAGAAGAATGGATGATGCATCAAGCCGATACCACTAGCAGCTTGCTCACTGCTGCTGTTGTTGCTGATGGTAAGCCATCTGCAATGGATTGCTGGGCACAACCTGCTTCATGGAACTGGTCAAACATGCTCCAACAACCCTCCATCACATTTACTGCTCCATCATCCAACAATAATCCTTTGGCGGATTTCATGTGATTGATCCATTTTTCTTTTGCCTGGTGCAAATCCTTTCTCCTCTCTCTTGTGCATACATTGTGATGTTGTTTCTTTCTCCTTTGCATATATCTTTATCATGTTGATAGCCTTTTGAAAATAAAATACATTGTCTGTTGCATATCACCAAAAACAACCATATGGATCATGCATACATTGAAATGCTGTGTAACAACATGTGTTGTCATAGAAGAAAGAAAAAAGACATGATGGTACCACAACATACGCGAGGTATGATGCAACCTCCATGGTCCAAACTGAGGATGCAGAGCGAGGCAAGAGCTTGTTTGAACGACTCAAGGGGTGGGTATAGTAGAATTTCCTTTTACACGGTGCTCCACCGAAACAATCAATAATCACCTCCTTCATTCTGGACCACCAAGGAGAGCTGGATTCGCCGTTCCCATCATTCCCATACACAAACACAAACTCAAAAAGAAACTTAACAATGAAAACGCACCTCCAGCGTTTGTTTACTTTTGTTTGTTGTTCGTCACACGCATGTGCACAACCATGCACAGCCGAGAAGCTTGAATACATAATTTTAAAATCTTATCGATTAAGCGATGGTATACCTATAATGGTTAAAGCCATCTACTTTGGAACAACTGGTCCCTGGGCCTTTTCGAAGAAAAGCTATAATTAAGGGAGGTCTCGTCCTTCCGACGACGGAATGTCAAGTGAGCAGTAAAAGTCAGCTTATTGACAATCACTTGCCAAAAAGGGTATCTTTAAACAATTGCACTGATGTACAACATTGGGGTTTATTACTAACCAGCGTATTGGTACGGATCATTGGTAAGCGGTGATTTCCCAATAATCATAAATGGTCATAGCAATATAGAATATGGCAGATGCACGTGTTACTTATTGTATCAGAATCTTTAGCAACCACCATCGTCATGCGAGAAGAGAGGCAAAAGCATCTTGACACGATGATGTAAATGATTCAACCTCGCTTTACGACCTACAAACTTCCTACTCCCACTTTCAACCCAACCAACCAATAATCCTCATCTTAGATCACATGAGCTGATAGTGCGATATCCAAAGTATTATATTGAATTCAATGAAAAAGTCGAAGAATAAGACATGGTAGAGTGGATGTTTATCGAGTAAATATAAAGGGACAGCATTGCAAATGGAATGAGATACGGGTGAATCGTATAGAGGATACAGGGATACAGAATTGCGTCATTGTATTCTTGGTTGTTGCCGTCATAATCATCCTTCATCCATGTTTGCTGCATGATTTGACTTGAGTATTCCAATATCGTCCCATAGTCGTAAAACACTTCCTTCGTCAATCCATCCAATCCATCCTCCTCCTCAGCTGTATCCACGTGATATGATCCACCTTCCTGTAACGACGCGACAAGTAACCAAAGCAACATTCGAAGATTCCTCATCGCTGCACTGAAACGCATGCATCCATCCATAACCATTGCAAAACCAAACGTTGATTGAAAGACCCATCCTTTTCCATCCGGCTGCTGGCCTATCTCTTTCTTGGTCATTTTCATTGCAGCTCAACCAGGCGAAGATGCTTGTATTGCGGTGTACTTGATAGCTGATATGGCATCATCCATAGGATCCGTTTGTACTCATGCAAGTTGCTACACGTAAATAAAGCAGCTGCTTTACAATGGCTATCTGCTGTTCACGTGATGACGACCACAAGGCAGGTTGTTGCTGCAGGTAACTTGAGACAAAGGAATGAAGACTTGCCTAATGGCAGCTGCTGTCAAGTTTGGTCGTGGCAAAGGGGCGTGCACGAGCGTGTGTTGTAGTAGAGTGACAAGGATGTGAATGCCGTTTGAGACCATGGAGTGAATAGCAACTGCTGAAAGGAATGCTGTCGCGTTTGATCGTGGCAGATGAGTGTGCTAGACAGTGTGTAGTATCAAAACAGGCGCGTTGAGGGCGTGTACATGCCAAACCCTTTGCCATTCAGTCAAAGACAATCGCATCAAGACAAGTGTAGGATTGACACGATGGGTCGAAGCAGGGGAATCGTTTGCAGATGGTAGTTGTACTTGAATGGGCCAACGGTTGAGAATGGGAGGAAGAGGGAAGAAGTTGTGGGAGTGGAAGAAGTGGAAATTAAAAAGGTCGTACACCTCTTCTTGTATAAATGCATGAATACTGTACATCAAACCTTGATATCGGGATTACCCCTCTTGACCCTGAAACTTTCACACAAGGTGCTCTTGCACATACTGATCAGGTCGTTCTAATAAAAACCTCATGTTTCATTGGAAAATTTGGAATGCAAGGGTACAATGTGGGTTTAGTATGTAAGTCGGAAATGGAGGTCAGCGTCAGATTGATGATTTATCGAAAGAGTATGTATTACCTTGGGATTCCCCTTCTCGATCTTGAAACTTTGTCAGAATGTTCTCTGAGTCATGCTGATCAACTTCATTCATTTAAAAGTCGTAGACTTCATTGTGAAGATTTAAAATGCGGGGCGATCCAAATGGTGGATGACGGGAACAAAAGAGCGGACGGCCCACCGCCCCGAAGTTGCCCACCTTCAACTTGTAAGTTGGTCAGAATGGTGCTCTCGAGCATGCTGATCAACTTTTTCTAATAAAAACTTCACGCTTCATTTGAAAATTTGGAATGGCAGCGTCCAAAAGTTTGAGAGACGGAGACATTCGCAGGGTCTGCGATTCAAGAATTAACATGTTTGCTGTTTGCGCGTAGCTCAGTCAAATCAGATCGGATCAAGACACTTGAATCATGGAAATGAACGTCTGAAGCAGGAGCATCGTTCCCATGTAGTGGATCTTGCAACAATGATGATTGGATAAAAGTGGCCGTTAGCTAGCAATACATGCCTGTTCCTAGATGATCCATAAAGTAATTATACATTGACCCTTTCATTCATGCAAACGTAGCTGTGTTACACAACACGACCCTCTGCATCTTTTGCTCTGTCAGGGTCTAGCTACTTTACCTTAAACAACGATCACTTCTCATACAGCATCACGCTTACAAACATAAAGGTACCTGTATCTCCAAACTTTACAATGAAACGTGGGGTTTTGAATAGAGCAATGGGCTCGGCTTGGCCAACAGCACCTTGTGTGAAAGTTTCACGTTCAATGTCGCAAACAGCCCAAAAAATATTTTTTGGTCGTCGTCGTCGAAGAGGTCGACCCCCAGATCCAGTTTGGCCGGTAGCGACATTGCGAAATCTGGGATTGACCACGATCAACTTGAAACTTGCACACAAGGTGCAGTTGGCCAAGCCGAGCACATTGTGCTATCAAAGACCCCATGTTTGATTGTAAAGTTTAGAGATACAAGTGCCTTTATGCTTTGCATATGCTGTAACGTGATGCTATATGAAAAGAGGTCTTTGTTCATTGTCAAGTAGTATGACTATAACAGAGCCAAAGGTGCAGAGGGGCGTGTTGTGTAACTTGAGTCATTCAGTACAGGCGATGCATGGTACTTGTACACTATTTAGGTATACTTCCTAAGATGCCAGCTAATAATCCTGTCCTCCCATTCACCTTTGTTGCCCAATACAATGCATATGAAAGATTGTCCTGCTCCAGCCAACATCTCCATCATTTAACTTTCATGATCCAGTAGGATTTGACTGAATAACGGTCAAACAAAGAACTATCATCCAGAAGTAGAGAAGTCAACTTGTTTAATTTCCACTTCTTCCACTCCCAGCTCATTGTCTCTTCTCCCCATTTTCAACTGTTGGCCCCATTCAACTACAACTACACAGCTATCTCTTGCAAACGATTGCCCTGCTTCAACCCATCATGTCAACCCTACAACTCTCTTGAATCGAAAGACTTGGACTGATTGGCAAGTCCATGGCGTGTACACCCCACTACAACACCCGCGTTTCTTGATGCAACACACGCTCTTGCACACTCCTCTGCCACGACCAATCGTAACAGCCGTTGCTATTAGCGAGGTCTTCACTCCATTGTCTCAAGTTACTTGCAGCAACTTGCCTTGCAGTCTTTGTTTACGTGAACAGAAGATAGCCTTTGTATAGAAGCAGCTTTATTTACGCATAGCAACTTGTTTTAATACATATGTATTCCTATGGATATGGATCTGAACATTGCCTTGATACCTGGGATGGAAGGAAGGAAGGAATGGGATACATGAGTAACCATGGATTTGTTTGATCCATAAAAGATGCTCTGGAGGAAACCAACAGCTGTCCATACAAGGATTACAGTAGACCTTTGGTGTATCATCTCTCTAATTACGAAAAGCATCACCATGGTGCACTTGTTCTTCATTTCAAATCGTGCAATCTCAACATCCACTGATAGTCGTTATAAAAACAACATGTTCCAATGATAAGAACTTCGCATATTAATGACATCCATCGTCAAGGAACATTCTTTATTAAGAATAGTACAGGTGTAGCGTATAAGGAATGGGGATGCTTATTATAATAGGTTGTCATGGCAATTGGGGGATGTCGAGCTATGAGCATTTTGCGGTGAAGGGACGACGATCCACCATTTCGGAAGACTTTCAACGACGTACACCTCCCTTTTCTGGAAACCATGGTCGCCACCTACAACTCACAGCTTTCAGCAATGGATACGCAAGCACCTATTGACAACCAACATTACAACGACTCACACCGTCTCTTCATGCAAAGCATGCTTTCACATCGACTGTTGACTGAAAGCCGAGCGCAAGAGCTGTATACCCGCGTTTGCGAAGTAACTGAAGGTTGGTGCATGCCTAGATTCTTGGAATGTTGTATTGATCCTGGGTCTTATAGAACGTGAAATCGACTTTGACGAGTTTGTTGCAACGATAAACGACGAGATCAACGAGGTTGATATGGTGTTAAGGCGATCGCGTGACGAAACTAATGGCGTACCTGTGATAGCACTGGTGAGTGTCTTTAGCTTTGGGAGTGGGGTTCTTCCTTTTAACACGCATCAATGTAGGTCAATACCAAAGAGGATCAGATTGCACAATGCGCCACAAATTACACACCAAGCGAGATTGTTTATTTTCGACAACTGGTATGTGGATATGAAATGTCGTGTTGTTACGCGTCATGGTCGCGTGAATGGTAGTACTTTGAGATGATGTCTGATACATCCCGCTTCTTAGATAGAGATGATTGTCATGGCAGATGATGAGACGTATGCAGTAGCAACCATGGTGGCATTGCGACTTGGGCAAAAGATGAAACCTCCTATTTCACAACGAGATGTGCAAGAGTTAATTGACCGGCTTATGGAGGATGGATGGCTCGCATCATCACCTGATGGATCATCTTATGTCATGGGTACACGTGCTGGTTTGGAGCTACAGAGCTATTTACGCGACCAATACAGTGACATGATCAAGATGTGCAAAGTCTGTATGGAGATGGTTACCATGGGCGAGCGTTGCGAACGTCAAGAGTGTCCTGTGCGTATTCATCGACATTGTGCCGACGGTCTTTTCAGTGGCAATGATATGGAATGTCCCGAATGTAAAACAGCATGGACACGACTCAACACATTTGGACTTGGATTACCGTTGTAGAAGCTATACGTATATAGTCACCCCGTTTCCCCCCCCCATTTTGACACATCCAACCTGAGTATGTATTTCATGTATTTTGTTTATTGGGAATAACATCTATTGCTGCCGAACACATTCACGTACATAATTATCTACACATTCTCGAACATCCATGTTGGGAATTAATCCATCCAAGCCAAGTTTGATTTGGGCATTGCAATCTTGACAGCAAAAATCATTTTCCAGCATATAACCTCGGATGCATTCATCACAAAACGTAGCACCACAGCACGGCGTAATGGTCGCTTCTCGGAAAAGTCCCTCACAGATTGGACAACGCAAATGATCAACTACCAGGATAGAGCCATAAAGATCCAATAAATCACCAGCTGTGGATGTTCCTAGGTTGGATTTGGCAACATGTTTGTCCCACGTAGATCTACATGAAAGCATTAGATTTTATATGGTCATATGTTTGCTTACTTACGAATCAGCTTGAGCTACAACCAAATCACCTTTGGGTGTCACCATCAAACCACCAGTGCCGGATTTGACAGCGTTCTTGGGCTCTTCAATTACTTTCAAAAAGCTACGAGGAATACCCGTGGTTCGCTTTATCCTTGGATGTTTGTCAAACTCCTTGTCACCATTAGTGGGGCATTGATTGATGTAATGGCCTGAATAAAGTATAAGCATGTTGTGCATCACACACAATCCATCCATAATGATTACCTTTTTGTCCACATCTATAACACACGTATGTTGGCGGGGGTACACGTTGTGGTTGCTGTTGCTGGTTATCGCCTCCGTCATTGCCATCTCTTTGTGAATGATGATAGCCACCTCGTCCTCGACGCCATTCACCACCACGTGGAGTATAAGGGATATATTGTTGTCTGCAGAATATTAGAAAGGGGAAATGAGTGAACCAGTCCTTGGAAACACCTCAATGGTAAAACAGTAGCCATGAAATCCATCTCTTCTTCCACAAAAGGAAACACGCGCACAACGCATACACACACGCACAATGGAACAGATAATCAATGTAGGGTGTATATAAACTTGTACTGTATTGTTGTTTTTCTTTTTTTGGTGGGTTTTCATTGTAATACATGCCCCCCTCTCTCTCGTTCCCCTGCTCCCCTTTCCACCCATCAATGCACTTACTCAGCAAGCTTTTCCTGCATAGCTCCCCATTGATCCGTTGTTTGCTGAAACATTGCTTGGATACGTGCTTCTTCAGAATCATCTGCTGGCGTTGCTGCTGGCGCTGTTGATGTATCGCTATTTTGAGAATCCATTTGTGATGGCGTTGGAGATTGTTGTTGTTGCTGTGGTCTATTCCGATATTGAGGTGCATTCAAAACCATATTGCTTCGATTGCTGTTGCTAAATCGCTCGGCAGCTGATCCAGGTGCTGGTGGTCCATGATGATGCCCTCCTCCACCTCCTCCTTTCATCATTCCTATCCCACTTGTCCCCATTCCTTTTCCATCAGCCGGTAATGCGCCTAAAACATATCGTTGAGCTGTTCCCTTGCCAGGTCGTGATGCAGGAAGTCGTCGCACAATGATCGATGTATTGCGTGGAATAATGAAAACATCATCCTTGTATTCTACAAATACCCTGTAAGCCTATTTGATACTCTCCCTTGTCACGATTAAGACTCACCCTCGTCCGTTTGTGCATTGTAAATAGCAAGATCGAAATCGGTACCCTTGCCTAACTTTTTGGCTCGTATGATCTCTCGCTTCACGTCAAAAACAGAGGCACCCGGTCCATCAAAGGTGAAGACATCGTAATCGGAATCCTTAGCTGCTTTAAACTTGTAGTAGATTACTGACATTGTTGAACAGGAGATAAAGAAGACCACAAAATCGACGATGCCTACACGCCAGCTCTTTAACGCTCCGCCCACCATGGATACTGCGGTATCCATGACTACCCATCAAAAAGCCCACAACGTGCACACGGCATCCGTTATCCTTCCTTGTGATATCATTATCAATGACTGTTATCTGTGACATTAGTAACCTCGTTGAAAATTAAAGGTTTGTTTGTAAATGGTCTCGGGAGTTCCGTTGATATCTCACCACCATCATCATCATGATTCCCTTTGCAGGTGTCAGCAGCAAAACGTCACTTTGTTTCTCTCTTTTCTTTTCTTTATTCTATCATGTCATGCAGTAACAACAAGAGTGATAATCATTGTGCGCAACTCTTCAGCAAAGGAAATGCATCATCCATCAACGAGTGGACAGTGGCGTTCTCTGATCTTGGGCTACCTCAAGTAACCAACAAAGCAACATGGATGGAATTCGACAAGTTGACAGAATTAATTGCTCGGCCAGAGACAATCGAATGCACTGCCAGCATAATCAACAATCTCATTCATCCATCATCCAAACAGCCTACTCAACGTGCGCGTATCTTTTTGACGGCCTATATCATTCTTACATGCCCAAAGGCAATCCTTCAAGAAACCCCAATCCCCTTGAGGAAGGTTGGTATAACTACAGGCTCACTTGAAATACGTAATTAATATCATCACAGCGATTACAAGTAGCAGCCAAACGATTGTTGATGTCTTTTGAAGCTTATCTTTCTTGTCGGGATCCTAATGAAGATATGCAGCAAACGATTCAAATGCAATGGCAAGGATATGGGCGTTTATTCCAAGCATGGAAAAAGAATGATCGTGCTCAGCTGCTCGAAGCAAGCACAGCACACTACAATGGCTTGATGGATCTTAAGCACACCATACAAGAAAAGACACCGGATGGTCCTGATAGACGTGAAGCCTGTGATGCTTTGGAGGAACAGCTGCGGCAAGTGCAAGCCAAGATTGAACGATTGGGCGGCCCTATAGTCCATGTTTCTAATGAGCAGCCAGCTGCTAATACAATACCAACACCCCCCTCGAGTCATAATGGTAGTGATGATGAAAATGGGCAGCGACAACAAGATGAAGACCAAGAACAGAAACAACAAGCACTTCATATGCTGCAAGGCATGTCTCAAAAAGGAGGTGTTAGTAACGAGCAACTGGCACATGAGATTATTCTTGATCCTGAATTCAAGCTTGAACGTGCAAAAGGGATTGAACGTCAAGTGACAGCTATTGCTAGGCGTGCATTCTTCGACAAGCTAGATGAAGATCTCACTCAAGGTGTGCCTGCTGCACATGATACATTGCTTGAAGTGGTAGCAGACGTGCGACAAGTGAGTATTGGTATTGTATGAATAATAAGGTCACAGGGGTATTGATAAGCTTGTATCATAGCAATTGTTGAAGGTGGCACCAAGGAATGAGGAAGAAGCAATTTACAGCAACCTGGATTTGGAATTGATGCGGCAGCAATTGACAGCACGTGTATGCGACCTTGATGAGAAGATCAATTGGATCATATCGGTCATGCAACGATCTTGTGCTCCTATACGAGATAATGAGGTGGAATCAATTCATAATTGTTCACGCCTCAGTGAAAAGTTGGGATGTATTGTGGATGTGCTACAAGATATGGCTATTGATTTGGCTAATGTGCAACTACGTGCTTTGCGTCCACACCTGCTACCCATTGCTATTGAGTATGGTCGCTCCAAGTTTGAGGAAGCCATTGCTGCGGATCCTGAAGCCCAAGCCTTACCGAATACCAAACAATGGCTACAAGAAGCATACAATCGACTTTTATCCAACAACAGCACTAGCAATGTGTTAACCGCAACCAATCCCAATCCTACTCACGAGGCTATTTTCCAAGATGCATTTATTCATTTGTTACTATCATCAAAGTCTGTAGCTGAATGGGCTCCCGAAACATTGCGTTTGGATATTGCACGGCTGGTACGATTCCAAAACACAGCACAAGCCATCACGATCGTAGCAGCTTTATTAACGCTTGCACGCAACTTTGGAATTGTGGACGAGGACGAGCATGCTGTATTGGCTGAAACGCTGTTCAAGTTACTCGAAGACCACAACACTAGTCCACAGCATCTGGCAGCTGAAATTGAGCGACGTGTAGACACTATGGGAGGAAACACTAAGCGAGAAGAAATGATACGTACCATGGTCGATAAGACGCTTTCGCATAATGATGCCATCTATGCCTTATTATCACGACGTGTTGCATCTGTGCTCAAATCCTACCTCGCCACACGTGACATGGCAGCTCCCACTGCATTGTATAGCTATGGATTGCGTCATGTATCGGATCCTCTTCAAGGGCTTTGTGAACATGTACATGTCCTTGCCGATTACCATTACCGGATGCATGAGCAACGTTACTTTGGTATTATTAATCGAATGATGTAATCAGTAAACCATTAGAAATAAAGCATTATCTTTATGGATATTTTATTATGAGACACAAGATTATCGGAGAGCGAGTGAACATGATAATAGTTAGCATGAATTTGAGATAAGCAATGTGGTGGTGTGTGGAGAATAAGATCGGAAGCATGTATTAAACGATACACCGAGCTACCGGATGATGAATGATGGTTGGGTAGGACAATAAGGCATGAGATGGAATAAGAGTCCGACTAGTGTATTTTTCTTGGTACTCGGCCAACCACCAATTTCTCTTTACTCTTGCTCCCGTTTTTCGTTTCTGTTGTCATTCGTAATGTCTACTGCTGGTCAGGTACTCCATCAAGCTCCTCTTGTTGTCATTGTCATTGGTCCAATGCTTACATTCGTCACCGTTAACAGGTTATCAAGTGCCGTGCTGCTGTCGCGTGGGAAGCTGGCAAGCCTTTGTGTACGTGTGTGAGCAAGCATAAAAAAGACACGCATTCAACTAATGGATCTACGTATCTCTTTGAATAGCCATTGAAGAAGTCGAAGTTGCTCCTCCCAAGGCTCATGAAGTTCGTATCAAGATCTTGTATACTGGCGTGTAAGTGTAAAAGAGGATATACAGACGCGTGTATTTTGACATTTTGTTCTCGTGATCGTTTCCATAGTTGCCACACGGATGCCTACACTCTTTCTGGCAGTGGTAAGTAATGAGAAGTGAGGAGATCAATCAATATACTGATCTATCGAATATAGATCCCGAGGGTGTATTTCCTTCAATCCTTGGTCACGAGGGTGGCGGTATTGTTGAGTCTGTCGGTGAAGGTGTTACCGAAGTTGCTCCCGGCGACCACGTCATTCCTTTGTACACTGCTGAATGTCGCAAGTGCAAGTTCTGCTTAAGCGGCAAGACCAACCTTTGTGGCTCTGTTCGTGCTACTCAGGTAACACATACATTGTGCATATCAAGATCAAACGTCAATTGACGGTGTTCGTTATGTTAGGGCCGTGGCTTGATGCCTGATGAGACCACTCGTTTCACTTGCAAGGGCAAGCCTATCTACCATTACATGGGTTGCTCCACTTTCTCTGAATACACTGGTATGTGTGTCACTTTTCCTATTTTATTCTTTCAACTCACATCTCTATGTGCAGTGGTTGCCGATGTCTCCGTTGTCAAGGTCGACCCTAAGCCAAGTCTTCAAAAGCTTTGTCTCTTGGGTTGTGGTATCACCACTGGTTTTGGCGCTGCTACCAAGACTGCAAAGGTCACAGAAGGCTCTTCGGTAAGGATATTTCATTTTATCATTCATTTGGCATGGCATCTTACACACATGGCTATACCAGGTTGCTATCTTCGGTATGGGTTGTGTCGGTTTGAGCGTTGCACAAGGATGTGTCAACAATGGTGCTAGGTAAGAAGCAGGGTAATATGGGTACGTATGAATGTACTAATAACCTGTTACAGCCGTATCATTGCTGTTGACGTGAACCCTGGCAAGGAAAAGGTTGCTCGCGAATTTGGCTGTACCGAATTTGTCAACCCCAACGACTATGAGAAGCCTATCCAACAGGTCCTTGTTGATATGACTGATGGTGGTCTCGACTACACCTTTGATTGCACAGGCAATGTCAATGTCATGCGTGCTGCTCTTGAGGCATGCCACAAGGGTTGGGGTGAATCTACCATTATTGGTGTTGCTGCTGCTGGCCAAGAAATCAGCACTCGTCCTTTCCAACTTGTCACAGGCCGTGTCTGGCGTGGCTCTGCATTCGGTGGTGTTAAGGGTCGCACTGAAATGGGAGGCCTCGTTCAAAAGTACCTTGATGGCAAGCTCAAGGTTGACGAGTTTATCACTCACACCTTTGAACTCAACGACATTAACAAGGCTTTCGATGCTATGCACTCTGGCTCTTGGTATGTGTGATTTTATTGAGTTTGTTACTTGTAATCTAACAACATTTTTCTTTTTCTCTAGCATCCGTGCCGTTGTCGATGTCGCTAAGCCCTAAATGCATCATCAAATTGTACAATAAAAGATTCTTGCATTGTGTGCTTTCTTGTATGTCTTTGTTCTTAAATATTATTGGAGGTACACTTATATAGACACTCTAATCCCGATACAATGCAACCTGCATGAAAATGTAATCCAATCGAACCTCATCTCCCGGTAATGAAAACGTCTTATGATCACCAATCTCTCCCATTCTTCTTCAATGTGCAACAAAAAAATTTGTTTTATGAAGGGAATTTTCTCTCTGCATGTGTGTGTGTGTGTGTGTTTCTTGAGTGAATGAAAGTACGTGCTTGTGGGTGATATTGATGATAGAACTTGTGGATGGTGTGAAATGATGTGTTATCAATGACAGAGTGTGAAGGGAATGTTGATGTGCATCTAATGCTTCTTGTTGTTCGACATTCGAGCAGCGAACGCATCATTTGCCCATTTGGCCATGTCCACGTCGACATCTTCGTACTTTTTGATGAAAGGATGATCAAGCAGCTTTGCATAAGTCGGTCGTTCCTTTGCATCCTTGTGTAAACTATGGGAACAATGGTCAGATGAATTGCCGATCATTCACCATTCCCATGACCTTTCTCTTTTGCATCCTATACTTACCAAGAAGCGATAAAGTCGCGTGCATCATCTGAGAAATGCTCTGGTAATGTGGGTGGCTCCTCATCAACAATGGCCTTCAACTGAGCAAACATGTTGTCATACGTGTATGGGTATTTGCCACCAGCCATTTCCACCAACGACAAACCAAGTGACCAAACATCCGAAGCAACTGTGTAGGTGTTGGCTGCCTTGATACGTTCAGGCTAAAATACAACACAACTCAGATGCTTGTATCCTCATGCATATCCTCATCCTCCCATCATTACTTACGGCCATGTAACTTTGACAACCGATATTGGTCTTTGCAAGCGAACGATCAAGTTGACCTGATACACCAAAGTCGCATAGCTTGATTTGACCCTTGCTATTGACGAGTACATTCGTAGGCTTGACATCTACCAAAAATAATGAATTACTCTATATGGATAGTGCGCATGAATAAAAGCCTACCTCGATGAATAATGGAAAGTTCATCTTTAAGGAATCGAAGACCTTTGACCATCTACAAGCACATTACCCATGTCAGCAGTTCCTCTTGGCAATACATACTACATTTCTTGAATACTGACCGAAATTGCAATCTTTGCCAAGACATCTTCTGGCACACCCTCGCCATACAACTTATCCAAAGATCCACAATCCATGTACTCCATACAATAGTAGACGCATGACTCAATAAAGAAGGCACCATAGAATTCGACAATGTAATCACTCGTGCTCTTGTGTAGGATATCGAGCTCCATCAAGATCTGGTGCAGCTTGGTTTCATCAAGCTCGAGACGAATTTCCTAAATGAAAAGGCAACATGATTAATAAGAATTGCTGAGCACTGGGGGGAGGGAGTAGGAGAGAGAGAGAGATAAGGAAAGACGTTTTACCTTCATTGCCATCACGACATTTGTCACTCGGTGGTACACCTGGTGCATCGGTTGGGTCATGGGTCAGTGAAATGTTACACGACGCGCGCCTCCACTCCACCTAACACGCACGCACGGCTCCCACCACCAATCAATCCATCCACCCATACCTTTTGTACGGTGCCATATTGGCCTTTGCCCAATTCTTCTTGCAACTCCAAATCAGCCATCTTGATAGCAAAGCTGTTGCCATTACTGAAATCAACACCGTCGGCATGAATAATAGCCTTGCCAGCAAAGTTGAGCTTGCCAGATGGATCCCTGATAGATACATGATTAATAAATGCTTTTTTGTTCATCCATCTCATATACATACACATATTTCGAAAAGTTGGCAAAAGGCGTATCAGGCTTAGGTGCGATGCCAAGTTGTGATAGATTCAATCCTGGTTTCTTGCCTCCCATACGACCTGGTAAACCCCCAGGAGGACCTCGTCTGCTACTCAAGCCTCCACCGGGTGATCCAGTGGGAGGTGTTGCTCGTCCTGCAGCCATAGGTGGTAAGGGCGATCGACTCATGGGTGGAAGTACTGAACGATTAATACGAGATGCCGTTGGTGTTCCTCCTCCTGTTATAGCTCCTCCTGGAATAACACCACCTGGCCGTGATGTGGGCAATGAGTTTTGTGGCGATGACTGACGTTGCTGCGGTGGGAGTGGAGAAGTACGTTGTTGTTGTTGTTGTTGCTGTTGTTGCAGCTTGTCCCTCTCATTGAGAGACATGTTGTTGAAAGATTTATCGAGATCCAGTTTGAAAGAGTGAGGGAGGAGGAAAAGAAAAAGAGAGCAATGGATTATACTTTGCAAAGCGGGTCGCTTTCAATTTCCCAATCCAATCACGGGTCCTGTGTTTCCATCCTCTTTTACTATCCATCGCCGATGATACCAACAACCTACCCAACAGCCACTGCTTGCTTGTACCATTTGTTTCAGATTCAACTATACAACACAATGCTATCTTTATTCGACTTTTCCATGCTACTATTACTAATCTTTCCATGACAACCCAGGGTGGAACCCCTTCTATCATCATACACCTTCCTCTTATCGAGTAGTTATTAAAGAATGACCCCACCAAAGCTTGTTGTTTATTCTTTACTATCATTCACACGCAACTTGCTGGCACCTATCAAATAAAGTTTATCGGGCTATTCTGCCTCCCATTCAATCAGAGCACAGCATGGATTTTTCTTTCTTATCTATCACTAGTGTGCCCATAGAGGCCAAAGAATAGAATACTATGTTGGGCTGTCACCATCACCTGCCAATCAGTTTGTGTCACTTGAGTGAGCGGTGTTTGATAATGGTATCTTTGTAATGCAAGGATGAGTCTCTTTTTTCTCCTTTTATTCTTTGCACTCCTCTTGGACATGTGTCTTGGTTTCATTGCCTAAATAAACTTTCTTCTCCTTTATCCAAGTTGTAAGACCTGATTCTTCTCTTTGTAAATACACTCAAAATTGGTTCCAAGACAATGTGACATCCATCATCCCCACAAAAATACATCACTAGCCCGTGTGGCCATCTTAAAGAGCAACAAAGTATACAATGCCTTAAAAGTGGAAACATGTTGTCAAGGTGATCCTTTCATTTTCTAGGAGAATAAGGTTGCCGTCGCTGCCATCAATTGTCACCACGTGAATGGCATACACGATATGAAATCTCTTGCTATAAGCGATGTCCCATCTACAGCCAAACACCTTTTTATAATCTCATCTTCCCATAAAGTGAATTGCTTTTGTGTCGCTATCAAGTCTAAAACATGTCTAGTTTTGCTTCAGCAGAATGAGTGCATGATGGATCGACTCACAACCCAATAGAGTAGAAGAACTTCAGCTTATTACGCCATTGATCAAGCCAATAAAGCAAGGGGACATTGCTCTTGATGCACATAGTATAATGAAACTCGTAATAACAAGGATGATCCCATAAAGGTTTTGCATCATTGTGGCGTTTTTAAATTTTCGGATAGCAAACAAAGCATATGATAAGGTGTGTAGTAGCGATGCCATAATTGGATACATAGACACAGCAGAGCAAATCAAGGTCTTGTTTGCTTAAGAACATCAACAAAGAGGGTTGAATACTGAAAACAAAGAAAAGCCGAGGTCACATCATGGCTAGCCATATAAAGGGTTGCCGATCCTTTTTGCCCTACAGTGACCCACGGACATACCCCATACGCAAATTGGTTGTGCAAAATGGTATTCTGTGTTACACTGCGCTGAAGACGAAAATTGTAGTCTGTGCTCACACTTTACAATGGTGGGATAGGATTGGATGGCATAAATAAAAGGTATTCATTCAAAGAAAGAAAGAGAGAGGAAGATGCAATGACGACTTTTACATATTATGAAGGGATGTTATGTGATGTGTTTGCAATTGTAAGGAGGAGGAGGAAATGTACACTTGGTATGATATTAGATTTCCCAAACATAATCCCGTATAAACTCGCCGATCGCCTCAAAGTAACCATCCTATGAAAAGTGTCAGCTTGATACAAATCATTCACCTTGCCTTCCTTGTTTCTTACCTGCATGCAAGTATCATTGTGCGTTGCATGTTCAAATTCACGCCATACTTTACCGCTCCTTGTATTGGCAGCCATGTGAAGTTTGGCCATATGTGAAGGTGGTACGAGCTCATCCTTGCCACTGGAAAGGAACAAGATTGGGATCTTGCGAATAAACTGGATGTTCCTATATGAGCGCCATCGTTGATGACAGAGATACACCAAATGTCGCATAGGTGGGAATACGTGTGGGATCAGCAATGGCTAAACAAAGTAAATATTAGCTTCTCATGATAATAAGGATCGATCGCAGTTGATGTCTTACAATGCTGAGAAATGTGTTTTCAATGATCAATGCAAAAAATTTGTCTTCGTACTTGGAAACGAGATAAGTAGCGACGGCACCGCCAAGGGATTGGCCATAAGCAACCAGGCGTGTGTGTTTCAGAATTGGATGGCGTTGGATATATTCGAGCGCTGTCTACAATGGACCCCCCAAATGCAACCCCAATCACCCCATCAGTCACCAGTTTTGCGCCGCATTGTCACCCTTCTCTCTTTTCCAGGTATCCCCAACACATACACATATACACATACACACCACACACAAGCAGAAAGCCTTACCTGAGCATCAATGCGTAATCCTTTCTCTGTAGCTTTGCCTTCACTAAGCCCGTACCTATAATCCAATCGTTGCCATGGTTACCATATGTAATTTCATACTCGTCCCTGAATAATAGATCCTACCCGCGGTATGACAGCATGACAACGTTGTATCCCAGTTTCCGATAAAAGACTTGTGCAATGGGTAGTCGATGCCCCATATTACCAGCATGCCCCTATGCATAGTCATATTGATGAGATTGATGTATAAAAAAAGATGTGTCGTTGCCATGGAGATATCGTACATGTAGACATAGTAATGTGGGTGATTGTATTGCAACATCGTCTCCTCGTTGTATAAGCACATAGCACCTTATGCGGACACCGTCTTTGGTGACGAGGATCTCTTCTTTATCAGGGAGACCGTATTGTGAAGGGCGAGCGACCTGAATAAGTTGTGTGTATGTGTGTCGTTAGAGAGATAAGAAATAGAGGAGCAAGGTGCTGATCGAGAATGAAGCTCACCACTGATCTCGAGCCTGGCGGGAAGAATGCTGGGTAAAGAAGTTCGCATTGGTAATAATAGAGTAAGGCTGAAAGTCCAACTGTAATTGCCGTTGCAAAATAGATAACGACGAGGACATAACCCATCATGATGAATGGAAAGGGCTCAAGCAAGTCAAAATACGTTCTCTCGTTGCCGTTTCCCCAAAAAACTGCTGTAGACGGTGATTACCTTAACCGATACCCCGCACTTTAGCTCACGTGCTGTTTAGAATGTGAGTTAGATGACCAAGCGTCTCCTTGACAACTACCGAATACAAATGAAAAAGAGTATCCATCCCATTACATCAACATGCATTGTGTATCTTTGTGATCCCTTACCATTTCTCATATCATCCTTTTCATTCCCTCTGAGTATTGTTGTTTCAGTGGTGAACCATAGCACTGGGTTAATGCATATTTCAATGTGATTGGGGTTTAAATTCAATTGGCAGTTGGCGGTGCAAGGGAGGAGAGAAACAATTGCTACCCCATCAACAATTCTTTATCCTCAGCTACTACCACTTACCACCACCACCACTACTACTACTCATGCCTTCCCCTGCTGACAACAACACCAATCGTAACGCCGCCTGCGATTATAAACCTCTTCAAGAGTGCCTGTTAAAGAACAACAACGATCGTTCCAAGTGCATGAAGGAATGGGAGGAATTTCAACAAGCTTGCCGCGAGAAAAAGTAAGTCTTTATTAAGCTATACACAAAGAAAGAATGGGAGTATTCATTATTCATATAGGAAACAAGAATGTGAAGCTTGCAAGTAATGCTTAAGAGCTTGATCGAATACGTTGCAAGAATGAACGACGTCGAGTTTCTTTGTTGCCTTCATCCTCATGTTCAGCTGGTGGTGGTTTAGCAATGATAACTGTGGATGGTGCATGATGCACGCAGTGGTCGCTGACACTTCCAAGGAGAGTCCTATATAGAAAGATATCATAATGAATACATAAAAGCATTTGCCTTTATCAATCACAACGAACCTCCTAATGGTACCCATATTACGAGATCCCATAATCAATACATCTGCATGCGTCTCTTGTACTTTGCGAACAATCTCAGCTTTAGGATCGCCAATCATGGATACTGCCTTGCATGCAATCTGCTTATGCCATAGACCTGATGCGTATTCCTTCAAAAGATCATGACTTTCTGCTTTACGCTCCTCCGCTGCATCATCCATGTATCCAGCCGAATCTGCATAGGGTGCCATTGGCATCTCTAATAGTCGTACATGGACAAGCACAACCTTAAACATCATCCTATCAATATTGATCCCTTTTGCTTTTGATCCAGTATACTCACCAAATCCTTGCTGGGTTGGATAAAGTTGTCGACAGCCCAATCGATTACATACTTGGCTGAATTTGGGTCGATGGATATCACCACCACTCGCTGGATGTCAACCTGCTGCTGGCCTTCAACAAGTGGATAATGCTCAACTATTGTATCGCGTCTTGTATCACGTCTCGACATGGTGTGTATGATTAATTGTGTTTTTTTATGAGAAGAAAAACGATGATAGCCGTGCTATTATGAATCATGACTCGTTTATTTCCCGCATAATCCTCTGATACATATAAAACCCATGCACAAGCATTCATGCAATCATCCTCCTACTGGCCCATTTCACTCATAGTGCGACGCGTGCAAGCAATTGCCTTGTGATCCAAACATCTAGTAGTAGTACAAGCCCTTTTTTATGTTCATGCGTATCCAATAAATGCGTTGCTTTTTCAATACGTGGGTATGGTTGAGCAGTACCCGTTTTCTTTTTTTATACATTGATGCAAGCAGAAAATGAACATGGGGAAATCAAGAAATAAGAGGGGACGCGTGTTGTTGAAAGAGTGCTTGTATGGTTTCGTATATACGTGAAGGGGGGGTAATTAATGGATATGATTTGCGTGTGTGTACATGTGTGATTGTAATAAAAAGAGGATCTCTACAACTTCATGTCGGTTTCGTAAAAGCCAACGGTAGGGAAGCTCGAAGAGAATTCGGTGACTTCCTTCTTGAGCTGTTGGATAGCAGCAATTTGTTGACCATCACCAACGTGCTTCTTGAAATCAGCAAGCTTGGTGCTACCTTGGACCTTGCTCTTCTCTTCCAAAGCAATTTGGACAGCACGATCAATGAATGAGGCAACCTTTTCAAAGTCAGCCTGCTTGAGACCACGGCTGGTCATGGCAGGAGTACCGATACGAAGACCACCAGGGATCAAAGCACTCTTGTCACCAGGAACAGTGTTCTTGTTGGCAGCAATGTTGACAAGTTCAAGGATACGCTCGACACGAGCACCATCAATGCTCTTGGGCTTAAGGTTAACCAAAAGCAAGTGGTTGTCAGTGCCACCGGAAACGAGGTCGTAGCCGAGGTTCAAAAAGGCCTTGGCAAAAGCTTGGTTGTTAGCAAGCACCTGTTCTTGGTATTCCTTGAACAAGGGGCTCTTGGCTTGCTTAAGAGCAACAGCCAAAGCAGAGATGGTGTGGTTGTGAGGACCACCTTGGTGACCAGGGAAAACGGATTGGTTGATGGGGTTCTCAAGATCATACATGATTTCTATCAATAGGATTAGCACCAACGTTCCATATACAAGGATCCCTTTTCCCTTTCTTTTGATTACTTACGGTTACCCTTCTTGTCAGTCTTACGCACACCCTTGCGGAAGAAGATCATGGAACCACGAGGACCACGAAGCGACTTGTGAGTGGTGGTGGTGACAATGTCAGAGTGTTCGAATGGACCAGGCAACACACCAGCGGCAACCAAACCTATCAAAGATAAATGATTTGTATTAGGCACCAGAAATTTTCATCACCATCATCATCGTTTCTTATCCAACTTACCAGAAATGTGGGCCATATCAGACATCAAGTAAGCACCGGTCTTGTCAGCGATTTCACGCATTCTAGCGTAATCAATGTTACGGGCATAAGCACTAGCACCAGCAACGATGATCTTGGGGCGGTACAAGATAGCGTTAGCTTCAAGGGCGTCGTAATCGATTTGACCAGTCTTCTCGTTGAGGCGGTAGGGGAAGGTTTCAAAGTAAGAAGAGACGGCAGAAATCTTCTTGGTTGGCGTTTGGTAACCGTGAGACAAGCTAAACAACCAAAAAATCAATATTTGATTACATCCTTCGATAAACAAACGTTACTTACTGGCCACCATGGGGAAGATCCAAACCCATCAAACGATCGTGTGGCTTCATCAAGGCACCATACACGTAAAGGTTGGCAGGAGCACCTAACAACAAGGTTGGGTATATGTGTCAGCTGGCATTCAAAAAGGCTAAACACACTCACTACCACCCCACAATACCTGACAATGCTTGAACATTGACACCCCACTTGTCGCTATCCAAGTTGAATGCTTCAAGAGCACGTTGTTGGCAAAGTCTCTCAGACATATCAATGAACTCGTTGCCACCATAGTATCTATAATACATGAGATGGTTAATACACACGTCATGTACATCAACCCCCTTTGTTTCCCACAACCCCCAGTTTTTCGCTTTCTTTACCTGGCACCAGGGTAACCTTCAGAGTACTTGTTTTGCATCACGCTTCCAAGAGCATCCATGACAGCACGAGAAGTGAAGTTCTATACACGTCAAAGATGAGTTTCAACATTGCATATTGGATAATGATGGTATAGCTTACCTCGGAAGGAATCAAGCAGATGCTTTCGCGTTGGCGTTTCTTTTCACCCTCGATAATCTTGAACATTTCAGGATCCTCAGTTTCCAAGTGCTCGTTGAGGAATTCGCGTTGACCTGCAGGGAAGACATAGGAGCGCTTATAGGGAATGAGTATCATTTATGAATGATGACGATGATGGTGATGATGATGACTTACCGAAGCAAGGTAAATGGCGGGACGAGCGGTGGTACGTGCCAAAGGCTTTGAAGTGGCAAGCAAGGTGCGAAGCATGATGGGGGTGTAGAGAGAGGGAGAGATAAACAAAAGAAAGAGCAAGAAATGAAAATAGTGTGGAGATGGAATGGTCTTTTTATTTGAATACCATCCTAAATGGGCAACACAATGCGTCTTTGATCTGGGTCAACCCTACCTTTAGAGGTGATCTACTTGCCATTACAGTGCCACCCTGTTCACCGGGCAAGTCCACCGAGTCAGTTTTTTTTTCTTTGTCTATTCGCTGATAGGCTCACCCCGGAAGAACACCCCAACTCCGACAAAAGTATCCAAGATGTACAAAGTTCAAGTTGTATGTTATATTCACAATCTCCCATCTACGCTGTTTTTTGTCTCAATTTTTCTAATCTTTGCTGTGCTATTTCTTCTGATACAGGAAGGTAATAAAGATGGGGTGTCGCTTTCGTCTTGCGGAAAAGTTCATCCAATGATGCTGTTGGTGCTGCCATCTGGTTGTCCTCAGCCACTAGCATAGATGGTCCTTCAACATTATCCTGCAACAAGTTCGTCGGTCGTTCATCCAATGTTGATGCCGCTGCGTTGTTTTCAGATGCTAACACTGATGCTGTGGCAGCTATAATAACACACGTCAATAAACCTTTCCCATCTATCCATCCATTGACCCTTCCCATTATACCTTTTTGTAATTCACGAGTGATTTGAGAAATACCAAAGAGACGTGGACGTCTTGCATCAGGACTGTTTGATGACGATGATGGTGATTTGTTGACTTCTTTGACTTCGCCCTTGATCACTGATTCAATAGCTCCTTCCCAATCAATCTTCATACGTCGATCAGCTGCAGTTTGTTCTTGCTCAATCAACACTTCAGCTTGCTCTGGAGTAAGACCACCCACCGTCACTTCTTTTCCCGTCTCACGAGGAAATACGATGCCATCAATGCCTTCAAATGCTGCTTTTGCTTCTTCTGTTGATTCGTACTATTCACACAAAACGGGATTAATCGCAAAGACTCAATGCATTTGATACCCAATACCACTTACAATAACATAACAATGAGTCTTGATCGCATCCATCCAAAACCTTTTCACCGTGCCATATTTTGCAATCAATTCTTGTACATGGCGTACAATCAATGGCCGTACAAATCCCTTGATGTAGATAGCAGAGCTGGTGACAATGTTCTCCTTTGGCTGTTGCTGTTCTTTCTTGGTCTCTGGTTGCGGCTGTGGCTGCTGTTGCTCTTCCTTGGTCTCTGGTTGCGGCTGTGGCTGCTGTTGCTCTTCCTTGGTCTCTGGTTGCGGCTGTGGCTGCTGCTGTTGTTGTTGCTGTTGTGGTTGTTCTTCTTCGGGATGCTTGATCTATCATACATAGGATTAGCTGACAATTGATATCATGCAAGAAGAGATACTACATACACTAACATCTGATTTGGTGCGCTTTTCAGGTTGTGGTTCTGTAACATTATGGCATTAATCATGCTATCATCCACACATGTATCTTTTGTTGACTCACCTTTTACTTCTTCCTTTTCATCCACACTTCGTTTACGCTTTGTTCCACGATCATCATCCTCTAATGGCTTTTCTTCCTTTGGCATGGTGGTGGTGGTGGTAGTGGTGGTATCGGCTGTATTTTTGTCGTCTGTTGTCACCTCTTGGACAGGTTCATTGTGCTGGATCGCTTCCTCTGTAGGTGCTGCCTTCTCATCAGATGGCTGTGGCTGATTCTCTTCTGTGGTTGTCTCTTTAGATGCATTGTCGACTTGTGCTGATGTCTCCTTTGGCGGTTCTTCTACGGCTCCTTCTTTTTGTTTCTCGTCATCAAGCGATTGCTGAAGGCGTGCGATCAACTCGTCTTTCTTTCCTTTGACAGGGAGCTTGCGTTTGGAGAGCTCCTCCTTGAGATCAACGACGCGTAAAGTGGAAAGGTTTTCGGGCAGCATATCACACAGCAAAATGTCCGTCAAGCAGGAAGAGGAGAGCGCTTGAATCTGGAGAGTTGCCAATCGGAGTAGGTGTGTGAGACACTCACACGCGACGTCACCACGCGTTGTTCCTTATAACGCGATCTTCGACACCGACGCAATCAAACAGCTTCTCTTTCACAAAAATGTCTTATCGCGGCAACAACAGTGGTTATTACTCCAACAGTGGTTCTGGTTATAGCGGCAGTGGTTCCTATTCCTATGGCAACAACTCCCAAGGAAATTATTGGTGTTCAAGATGACCCAGTGAGGCTTCAGGAGGCTCTTATCACTATTCCAACACTGATGGTAGCTACTACTATCAAAATTCCAATGGTTCAACCTATTACAATGATCCTAGTGGACAAGGTCACTATACCCCTCCCTCCGGCAACCCAAGAATGCCATCCAAGTAGTTGTTACTTATCACCTACGACTAGCTAGTAGCTTTTGTGTGCCTTCCTTTTGTCTTTTGTCATTTTGATTGAAGATACATTTGATATTGGGTTGAGAATATGAGCAATGACGACGATCTCTGGTTCCGCTTCCGACTCTTTTTTTGACATACAATACGTTACACGATGAACCATCATCAATGTATGTGATAATGTGAAAGGAGGAGGAGTAAGAAATGTATCTATGTATAGAGAGTGATAGAGAAAGACAACCCTAGTCAAAACGTAGCCATTAAACTAGCACTATCCATGTTTGTATTCATAGCTCTCCAAGAATATAGAAAGTGTGTGTTTGGTTTTCAAGTGGTCTTATTTGAATGTGGATATTGGTGGAACATGTTACCGGGACAAAGGAGCCCTATTTTTATCTTGTATTCCTTGAAAGGGAGACCCATATTCAATTCGCCTCCTGTTCTCTTCAGCTCAGCCCTTTCTTTTTTCTTTTTCCTCAATCTACACAATGCATTTACATGGGCGATTGCTATCACTACTCTTGTTCGCATGTCTACTCTCATCCTTGATGGTCAATGCAGAGCCATTGCTCATGAAGCGAGGTAAGGCTTTATTTTGTTGGGGGCTATTATAGCATTTGACAGTAACCTTTGTACTTTCATTTTCATAGTGCCTCAAGAAGGTAGCTTCCTTTGAGAGAGGAATTGTGAAGGATGATGATGATGATAGCTAACCTATCTGATAGGAGGAGGACAACCACAACAACCACCAGCATCAGGTGATGGACAATCCCAGCAACCACAGCAATCAGCCGGTGGTGGTGGTGATCAACAACAACAACCACAGCCTTCAGCAGCACCACAACAACCTTCTGGCAGTGGAGCCCCTGCTTCATCTGGTGCCAATCCACCCAACACAGCTCCTCAACAAGGTGGAAACAACACTGCAGCACAATCATCAGGTGGCCAATCCGGTATTGGAGGTCTTCCAACAAGTGGCAGCTTTGGCAATACCATTTATCCAGGCACCGTCACTTTTATCGAACCCACAGGCAGCAAATCTGTTTCACCTTTGTATCGTATCGATTCTCGAGAAAATGTCACTTTCCGTTGGGAATTCCAATCCTTGCGTGTGCGTCCCGTCAACTTGACTTTAGCAGCTGTGGGTCCTCAATCAGCTACGTATACCATTGCTCAATTGGATGGTGCTGCTACAAGTGCAGTATGGCATTTGTCGGATGTGCCTGCAGAGACTCCTCTCTTTAATGGAATGTACCAAATCCAGCTCTATGATCAACGAGGTGTTAGCGCTCATCCTGATCCAGGTTATTTGGCACCAGCAACACGTCTCACCATCGCCTTTTACAACCCAGAAAGTTATGGACCTATGAGTGGATGTAAGTAGCCAATATTACAACTGATAAACAAACATCCAATCTAATTTATCCTTGTTGTATGTAGCTGATTACTGCCCAAGATGTTTTTATGATGCAGCTCAACGAATCGGTCATTCTTTCACTGGTCTCGGCATTGCATTTGGCATCGCTTGTGTCACCTCTGTTTTCTTCATTTACGGCATTCTTAATTGATACCTTTAGATTGACGACGTCCCTATCACTCATACACATAACACTCATTGACACTTAACGACACCCCAACCCCCATATTATTGCTTTGTAAATCCTCTCATTGTTCTGATATTGGATCCAAATGAAAAAAAGACTACGATCCCTTCATTGATAATTCAGCAGCTGTTGTTACCTATCGACGACTCGCATGAGATTGGATAATGGTATCATTGTATTTTCAGGTCCATGGCAATCATTACATGGAACCATTTCTATCGGCATTTGTGCGGGCATCGCGTAATGCATGCTTTCGGTTGCGTATAATATGAAATCGGCTGTGGACTCTGGATGACCTTTAGATACGTGCTAACATGGGTACAGCCTTAAACTCGATGCCATGAAGCTCATGTCCTTTCATAAATCCCCCTCATTCCACGTTTTGTTTTCTTGCTGATATAGGTCATGATCCATTGCAAGCGAACATACCTCACATCCACGTATAGTACATGGCTTGTGTCACGTTAACCAAGGTACCAGCAAGAGTCGAGAAGCCGATCATCATGCAATGTTCACCATTTTCGATGCAAATGGTGTATTTCGTTACGAGCATTATCCAACAACAATGTATACTTGGCTACAGCATGTCATTCATCATATGATGTAGACCCTTTGGTTCCCGTTTGCAAGCTATGTATCGTCATAGACAAAGGTCTACTACTTTGTGTATGGGAGAGGAGAATCGAATGGCAGCAACGGAGTCCCGACAGGGGTATGCAAGGGATGTAATGAGTAGGGCTTGAAGCTCTACTGTTATTCCGCACTTGGATGATGGTGCAACGTGTATACCTAGTGGGTTGTTGTAATTAAAGAAGCGCCATGGAGCCTCGATTGTATACACGTGCATATATCCGGACAATCATTTTACATCTCGATGAACGACATCATGTGTATAGCAAGTGCCATGCTTGAACAACTTTTTGATTGGATGGATGATATCAGGTATTGAATGCAACTGCATCTTGTAAGTAGCTTCTTTTTTTTCCAGAAAGATAAAGAAGCATCAATAGCAGAAAATAGCTGAGACGACGTAGCCATCCTCGTCAGGGCAGCGAGTCAATGTATGGTGATACAGATATAGACATATGAAAAAAAAAGTCTCGACACGTGGCCAGCAGCATCAAGACAAAGATGCTATAGCGTCTCTTTTTCTTGCTTGCACCAACAACAACACATTGGGGTGTAGGGAACCATGCATTTCGACCGATCGAGAACAACACACAGACTTTTGAGTATTACATGTTATGTAGTCTAACTGTAAACAGGCCACAAGGCGGAATGCTTCAAATGATAACAAAAGTCGAAATAAGAAAACTAGCTATAGCCAATAAAACATCAACGCATAGTCTGTGTCCTACAGCATGTACAATACACTGGTAGCTTTTTCGCTTGATGATGGTTCCCACGGCAGGCACTGGATCATACCATGAATGATGTTACTATTCTCCCGTTTTATCATGCCTCTATTTTCAGCAAGACGTACACAATTTTCGCTGTGGATGGTGTGATAGGGTGTGGTATGCTGTTGTATGTGAGTATGAGAGCATGGCAAGGAGGATGAAATACAGGGGGGGGGGAAGAGGACGTTGAGGAGAAGAGAAACAGGGGGAAGGGGCTTACCATATTTGAATGGAAGCTGCAGTTGCTCACCCCACTGCAACCAAGGTCACGACTCCCAAGAACCTTGTTGCTTCGTGCAAGCATATAAGAGGAGACTCACATCCGGCATCGTTTCTCTTTTTCTTTTTCAAAAAGACATCCCTTTCTTCAAACATTCCGCCTTTAATCTCATCGCTTCTTTCCCGCTTTAACTTCTCTATCGAAGGTTCATTTTGCCATCTATTATCTTGACCTTGTATACATACTCGATGGATCTCAACATTTGTCTATTTTGTGAAAAGCGCCTTTTTGATGATGTGAGTTGAATGGATCTTGTTTGCTAAAGAATGGCTACTCATATAAAAAAAAGAATTTGAGCTTTTGCTCTTCGGCTTGCCAAGCACAGGAAGCAACCAAGCATTGTACTCTCATTCATGAAGCCGACCCATATCTCTCAAGTCGAAAGCATCCTCTTCCTCTGATTCAAAAAAGCCGCATGAATAAACGAGCATCATCCTTTCCATCAGCCGTATCGTCATCACCGCTTACCCCAGCGTCATCTTTCGAGATGCCTCATCATCGTCGACGATCGTTCATGTCTTCTGCCAAGGATCATCCCAATACCATTTCACCAACACGCAACTCGTCTTTGATAGGAGATGGTCATGCATCCGATATTGCCTTTCTTTCGGCTTATATGCATTTTCATCACCGCGCACCACCTGTTGATAACGCATCACTCGTCTCTAACACTAGCAGCAGTGGATCATCCGATATGGATAGTGTATATACAATGTTCTAAACAACCCCACTCGCATACCACCCACCAGCAGATACCTTCCTTTCGATACATTTAAACTACCACCACCATCACCACACGCATCCCCACCATTCTTGTCTTTAGCACATGTGCTGCTATATGCTTTGCCTGTACATCAATTTTCGGCTATCAAGCCGGTTAATGCAAAAAAAACAGCCCCACCCCCATCCCCCCAAAAAAAGAATATTAAAATGTCCATAGTAGTCTTTGCTTTATACTGAATCATGCAATGCTTAATGTAATGATATCATGTCTATGGTGATGATGCGATACAACTAAGCCAATCTATGCTATCGTGTACTAAGAGAAGATAAGGTATTCTCGGTCTAGGCCATTAGCTTGGGACGGGTGCTTCTTGAGTCACGAGATGTGCAAAAGTTAGAAGATCTGGATACACACACCCCGAGGGATTTTACTGTAGATCCTTCACGTTGTTCTTTATTTAGTCATTGAATATTCCTCTTTAGTCGTTTAGATTCTGGATTCATTTTGCCTTGACAATCTTCTGGAAAGTGAGGAAAAAAGAGTGCTTATCATTGGCTGCCCATAAACGTGGTGTACAATTCCTTACAATGCCCAGTGATCAATAGTCAAAAGTGTACCTCTTAAACCAAAATCCTGTCATATTGATGCTATTGGGCTCCATCATTTCTTTTGAGTCGTTGTAGTTTCATAGCCGCCAGAAACCGAGCAAAGGGTATTATGGTCATGCGTGGCTGTGATTTTAGATCCTCTTTGACACCGACGTAATTGCATCCACCTTTCTCCTCTCTTTTCACCCCACTTCATAATGTCAGACACCATTGATCTTGATATCGATCTTGACAATCTTGACTACGGCGACTTTGACGATATCAATCCAGATGACCTCGACATTGACAATCTTGAACGAGAACTTGGACTCGTCAACGACACTCCCAAGGAAGAGACATCCACAGCCGATGACAAGACTCCCACCAATACCAGCGAGCCATCTTCGAATGAGCAAGCCAAGACTACAAGCCAAGATGCGAATACAGTAGACACTTCCTCAAAGACACCATCAGCTGCAAAGATTCCCTCATCACCAAAGGCAGCTACTTTGACAACTTCTACCACCACCAACACCACCACCACAAGTAGTAGCCCAAGTAAGGCTGAAGACACCACCAACAACAAACCCAAAGCATCTTCTTCACCTATTGCATCCCCTGCACGACACCAACATGGCACCAATGGACATCATCATCAACAACAACAACAACAACAATACAATCCTCGTATGAACCGCGGCAAGCCTTTTATGAGTGGTCAACATCATCATCCTCCATTTAATCCAGGCATGATGAACATCAAGTATGTTCTGCAGTCCCTCTCATTTTTATTCATCTCCTTGCCTTTCCTCCCGTTTCTACATTCGCCCTCTTGATTCTTTTGTCGCTGTTGCTATTGCTGCTGTGATTTGCCCCCGTCCACAAGCCCTATTGGCGGTTGCCCACAGTTGTTGATTGCTCGTCGCTATATGGCATGAAAAAGAGAAGAAGAAAAAAGGGATAAAAAGATTGAAGAGAAGAAAAAAAAGAAAAGAAAAAGGAATGGAAAAGAGGAGCAATGGAGATGTGGCAATCACCTTTACACATGACTCAATCCAATGATGATACTAACTAGGATCCTATATGTAGTATGATGACGATGATGATGCAACAAGCTCAAGTTCCTCGATTCCCTCAACATCCAGGCTTCCCAGCAGGCTTCCCAGGAAAAGCTATCCACATCAATCCAAAGTTTGCAGCAAAGTTCAATGGATCTCCTCCTTCAGCACCGATAGAAGCCAGCTCGATGCCTATTCCTACAACAACAACAACCCCTTCACAAGATGCACTCCAACGACAACGTGAACACATTTTGGAACAGCAACGAAAGCGACGTGAAAGAAAAGCAGCAGAGATGGTAAGGGGAAAGGATCAAAGGATTTGGAAAATGAGAAGCTAATATGACAACACATAGAATTCGAGTGGTGGATCAATGGATGCTGGACAAAAGCGGAAAGCTGACAGTGACAATGACCGTGTCAACAAACGACCATTTGCGATCAAGGGTATGGGAGGAGGAGGAGGAGGAGCAGCCAAAGGTATCTCGATTAAGGGTGCTGCCGCTGCTGCCGCTGCTGCTGTTTCTACTTCACCACCACCATCCTCATCCAGATCACCCGTACGTTCATCCGCTGGAGCACCTCCAAGTATTCTCAGTCGCATCAACAACCATACAAGACAACAAGGCCAAAAACGTTCGGCACAAGATGATATCAACAGACAACATCCAAAACGACCTGCATCAAATGAGACGGTGTCATCTTTACAAAAGCAATCCACTACTACACCATCATCACCTATTCCAATTTCGACTACCGGCAAATCATCCAAGCTTGTTGTTTCCAACTTGAGCGAAACAGTGGCCGAGAAAGAGCTCCGTGATTTGGGTCAAACCATCCAAGGCGGTATCAAGGACATTGACATTGATCGAGAGGCACAAAAAGCGACCGTCATTTTCAATAATGCTGAAGCTGCTGTCATTTTCCGAAGAAAGTACAACCGGTAAGTAATACCTTGTCGTCATTCTATTTGTTGGGCCCTCATTATTGACATGACGAGCTTCTTTTAGATCATTGTTGGGTGGAAGTCATATCCAAGTCTCGTTTGCCACACAATAATCTTCCTTTACACTCTTTGCCCTATTCAATTCATGTAAATAGACCAGCCTTTTCTACTTACTTTGCAACCCATACGTAACAATGATGACATTTTACTCTGAACGGAAAGGGAAAAGCTTGTAAATGTGGTGTCGCGTGTCACAATACTTTATGCGTTTAACAACACTAACGTCGATCACTACCAAAAACAGTGCTTTTGCAACTAGCCATTGAATTCAATCAACAAAACAAAAATATGAATGTGGTATTACGTGTAAATGTATAAACTAGCATCTAAATGGGTCTACATGGTTGGGGATGTGGGTGGGTGGGTGGGTTGCATGAGTGCGTGTGTGTGCGTGTATGTGGGTTGCTCAAAAGTCAGCAAATAAATGTCGGTATGGATCGCCTTCGGGGTGTTTATAATGCTTCTCTGCTGGATACTTTTCAAAATTGCTCGTGTCATGTTCGTTCGCATGGGATGGAACAAGGGGTGCCTATTAAAAAAGATCGTCATTAGGGATATGAGAAGGAGAGATATCTTTAAAAAAGGCAAATGAGATACGCACCCGCACCGTCCTGTTCAATAAACCTCGCCAGTCAGTGCCTCGAAAGAATTTGTGTTGTGCGATATCATTGCCTCCTCCACGTAGATTTCCTAGTCGCCGTGTCCGATCCACCACCAGCAATCCTTTCACAAGATCTTTGGCTGCACTATCAAAATGCCTAGGATATCGTACTTTGCCTGCCAGGATCTTTTCATAGGTACCAACGTGTGTATCATCATAGAATGGAGGATACCCTGCAAGCATTTCATAGATAAGGATACCCAATGCCCACCAATCTACCGCCTTGCTGTGTCCCTTGCTTTGGATAATTTCAGGTGCAAGATACTCAGGTGTACCACAAAGCGTCCATGTCCGATCAGTCACCTTTTTCGCAAACCCGAAATCAGTAATGCGAATGTGTCCTTGGGAATCCAATAAGATGTTTTCAGGTTTGAGATCACGATAGATGATATCTTTGCGATGTAAATACCTATGATAGTATGATAATGAGTATATGGGAGACATTCCATCCGTGTCCCTGTGATATATAAAATACCCTTCTCCTCCTCCTCCTTTCCATTCCTATTCACAACTTACTCGATAGCCAATACAATTTCTGCAGCATAGAATTGGGTGGTTTGTGTTGAAAATCTTCCAGCCTTGCGCAAGTGTCGAAATAATTCACCGCCAATCACATACTCTTGGACCATATAAAGACTATGGGTATCCTGGAACGTGCAACATCTGTAAAAGATCATGTTAATGGCCCATGATGCATGGTTGATTATACAAGCTTTAACCTACAATTGAACAATGAAGGGAAAGTTGACTTGAGAAAGGACTTGTCGCTCGCTGTTGATATGTTCAATCTGCTTTAGACGGACAATCTCGGCTTTCTTCAAGACCTTGATTGCATAATAAGACGTGCTTGGTTCCCTTTGTTTGGCAAGATGCACGCGACCAAAAGTGCCGGTACCTGAGATAGTTGTAACAAAGTCAGCATCCTCCCAAACATGGTTGCCCAACTAGCCAAGACGCATACCCAACGTTTCCAGTAACTCAAAGTCGTCGAGAGACATTTTGGATTCAGGATCAAATTGAGGTGCAGCATGGTGCCATTCAGATAGAATCTGGGTAAGCAAATCGTCGTCATGGGAACTCGTCGTTGCTATGTCGCTTGCTTCGCTACCGCACTTTTTTCCAGTATTGAAGCCACTCAATGTAAGCGACGATCGAAAGGTGATGGTGGAGTGTTGTCGTGGTGGTTCTTGCTCGGCTGCCTCGAGCGCACTCGAACGCTCTTGAGGTGGCCTCCTCAAGAGGAACGAGGCAAGTGTAGATAATAGTCGTAGTGGAATTTTGACGACGTGGTAGAAAAGCGGTTGAATAAATGTATCGGTTGCGTCGTCAAGGCGCTCAATATGATGGATATGAAATGAAGAAGAAAAAGATAAAAGGGAAAACTGAAAGACAAGCTGGCTTTCAATAAAACCCACCATACACACAAAGGCACTATGTTGGTGGATTATTGAGAGAAATATACAACTGCCGTTCTCCCGCTGGTGATTTCATTGGGTAAAGGATGTTTTAATGCTTCAATGATCACATCGATAGCGGTCGGCAAGAAATCAATTGCGTCCTACTCATCATTCGTGCAACCATGGTAATATGCCAGATTACTGCATTGGTGGAGGAGGGGCATTCATCATTCATGAAACATTGACATTATGCACTACCTTCCCGAGAGAGCTCTTTTTGACCGAGATCATCATCATAGGTGAATGATATCATTCCACTTGTGGTATCCAAAGATACAACGTAACATCATTTTAGCTGCCAATCAATAGCAAGGGTTGTGCAAGTATACGAAGCATTATGAATCAATAGAGGATAGGCACCAGGGACTCCTACTCTGTGTGTGACCCAAACTGACAGGAGACCACAAGATCATACCTAAACCTTGATGACAACGCTTGTTACCTCTGTAGTATAGAAACTGGTATACATCTTTATTAGTGTAAATGAATAGCTAAGCGCTTGGATGGAGCAATTGAGCATTGTATTGTTTAAGAAACGGAGGGTAAGCAGTGAGCCGACTGGACCCACGTTGGCTGGAGGATCATCAATCCTTCTTATCTTTATGATTGCTTTCATTATTCATGGTCCTTTGTTCGTCTGCTGAATGAGGTCGAGTTGCATTATTTTCCTTTTGAAGACCAACAACAAACACAAGTAATTCATGCAAGGATGGTTATTGACCTCTTTTCTTTTAGTTGCAGTGGACAAGTTGCAACCGCTTTGAAACGTGGGATCTAGCGGTATCAGAAAAACCCACGGCACATTGCGAATGAATTAATGAATTCCTGCTGGATGATGAATGTTTGAATGTTTCCCTATGCTCAATTCCCACCAAGCCCAACACCATGAAATCATCCAATGATGGGCAATAGATCCCTAATTGTATAATGCACCAATCCCCAGTGGCGAATAAATACATTATCACGTTTAGCGTTGCGAGGGTGTTTGAAAGGGTATGCATGCTATGTCATGTTTCATGGCAACGGTTTCCATGGCAAATTTTATTACAAGAGCTATTGAAAGGATGGGTTATGGAGAATGATTATCAATTGTGTTAAAGAAGAATGGGGTAGATAAATGGGTGTGGAATAGTGGTGGAGGTTGAGGGCAAAGGATGTATCAGTCAACGTCACGGGCATCGGAGTGGACCCAGCCTTGTTGTAAACACAAAAATACATCCAGCACAAGTGTCTTCACGCAACTCTTCAGTCCGAGGATCAGGTTGGCATTACACGCTCACCTTGTTGAACACCATCGATCTTTGTTTCTGATTGGCAACATATAGCTATCTCCCCACTCTACACCATAATGTCGTTTGCCACGAAAATGTGGGCGCGTCGACTCGCCACCGCCGCTCGCCCTGCCTTCACAGCTAATCGAATGACACCTGCTCTTCGTCCCATGCGTCAATGGCGTGGCATGGCTGCTGTCGCTGGTCAACAAACTATCGATAACATTCCCACCACCACCATCACCGAAGACAACGACTTTGGCGGTAATGCCATCTTTTATTTTATTGCTTGTTGTAAAATCTACGAATATGAAACAACTAAGACATACGTCTTTATGTAGTTGGCGAAGAAGAAGGTGAATCCAAGATGCGCAACTTTACCGTCAACTTTGGTCCTCAGCATCCTGCCGCTCACGGTGTGTTGCGTCTTATTTTGGAGTTAAACGGTGAAGAAATCGTTCGAGCTGATCCCCATATTGGTCTTTTGCATCGTGGTACTGAGAAGCTTATCGAATACAAGACATATCTTCAGGCGCTTCCTTACTTTGATCGTCTTGATTACGTTTCCATGATGACCAACGAACAAGCCTACTCTCTCGCCGTCGAAAAGTTGCTCAACATTGAAGTCCCTGAACGTGGTCAATACATCCGTACCATGTTTGGTGAAATCACTCGTATTCTCAATCACATCATGGCTGTCATGTCTCACGCTATGGATGTTGGTGCTTTGACTCCTTTCTTGTGGATGTTTGAGGAACGTGAAAAGCTTATGGAATTCTATGAACGTGTCTCTGGTGCTCGTCTCCATTCAGCCTACGTACGCCCTGGTGGTGTTGCATACGACCTTCCCATTGGTATCTTGGATGATATCCATGACTGGGCCTTGCAATTTGGTGACCGTGTCGATGAAGTCGAAGAAATGTTGAGCGGCAACCGTATCTGGCAAATCCGTACCGAACGTGTTGGTGTTGTCACTACCCAAGAAGCCAACGATTGGGGTTTCTCTGGTGTCATGGTTCGTGGTTCCGGTATCAAGTGGGATATCCGTAAGTCTGCTCCCTATGATGCCTACGACAAGGTTGAATTTGATGTCCCCATCGGCAAGAACGGTGACTGCTTTGATCGTTACCTCTGCCGTATCGAAGAAATGCGTCAATCCCTTCGTATCATCGGTCAATGTGTCAATCAAATGCCCACTGGTCCCTTCAAGGTTGATGACTGGAAGGTATGTTTTATTCCCTTTATCATCCCATACGTGTGTTCTTCATCATGCTCATATCCATCCTATTCAAGATTGCTCCCCCACCCCGTGCTGCTATGAAGGAGAACATGGAAGCTTTGATTCACCACTTCAAGCTTTATTCGGAAGGTTACTCTGTTCCCCAAGGCGAGGTAAGAATTGGATATGACACGTTAAAGCTCTTTATTCACATTACTTTTGGCATCATAGACCTACAGTGTCATTGAAGCCCCCAAGGGTGAATTCGGTGTCTTTTTGGTTTCTGATGGTGGCAACCGACCTTACCGTTGCAAGATCAAGTAAGTATCAGTTTTGGTCATACGGCTGTAAATGTTTGCTGGGAAATGAAAAGTTGACTGATAAATCCACTTTTTAGGGCACCTGGTTTCAACCACTTGCAAGGATCTGATTTCATGTCCAGAGGCCATTTGCTTCCTGATATGGTCGCCCTTATTGGTACCATGGTAAGTGCATAGGATGCCTATTCTTAGCGAGGAGCAATGTATACTCACAGTACGTGTTTTCTTTAGGATATTGTGTTTGGTGAAGTCGATCGATAAACGCCCCCTCTTTGAACTACCCATAAAAAAAACGATACGAATAAAACAACAAGGCAAACCCGTTATATCATCTTTTGTCTTGTCCAATAGAAGAAACACAACATGCAGAATACGATTGAATACACGAGGACATGAATGGATACATAGCGTTATTGTCAAAAGGATACACAACACAATGAGCCATATGACGCCCAACACAATGACGGCGATTTCATTGTTATCTTTTGTCATCTGCATGAATTGGATGCATAGAGCTTTCGTGTGCCAGTATTACCCCACACTTTTACCATGGCTAAAATCACGTGATGCCGTTGTAAGGGACCCAAGAGCGCATTCGTAATTGCTTGCTTAATTGTAATCTCATGTTCATCGATGGGATAGTTGTTAAGTGATGACTCTATTTATATTGTAATTGGTTGTATGTACTAGAAGCTAATATGAATAAAGTATACTATGCTACATGTTCTAATTGGATATCGGCAAAATCAGTTGCAAGGTTTCTAGCGTCGTTCGTTTGATGCAAAACGTATAGAACAGTGGCTGCCAGCAGCCATGAAATGACAAAGATGATATCGGACCAATGCCTAAAGTAGTCAAATTCGATGTCCTTGAGAGATGATGTAAGAAAGTGACTAAATACAATACATTAGCTATCAACAAGGCAACCACCATAAGCCAACTGCACGTACCGATATTCAGGTGGTAGATTGCTCTGCATCATCAAGACTGAACTTAAAAAGTACATTCCCATCATGTGCGCGACGAATAACGTAATGTTGATCTTTGATACCGTCATACGACGTGAGAAGGAACGCATGACTTTGGATAGCAGGTTGACAAATCCTCGTACTGAGACTGCACAAATGATGCCTGCTGCAAAGAAGCTTAATTGCTGAGACCAGTAACCGGTATCTGATATTCCAAAATGGCTGATCAACACTGAAAGCATCCTGCTGATGGGATCCGTTGTACCAACACGACGCAAAATGACGTTGAAGGTGGTCTTCAGAATGATAAATCGAGCAATAAGATGACTAGTTTCAATTGATCCACAACCCAAGTATCACAATCACTTACCACTGCAAGCCTATAAATGCAGTATAGGCTAAATAAATGGCTGATAACATTCCAGCACCGCCCACGCCATGTCATTGAGTATTGCGTCTTGGCATGTTCTCGGGTCAACTCGCTAAGATCAGCTTTCATGTCTTCCACCAAATGCTCCAGCTGCTGGATTTCGGTCTCCAATAGATCATATTCTTTTGCGAACGAATAAGTAACCGAATACGATGCCGATGACCCATTCTTTCCTTATGCTCACCTTGTTTGGATGATCCAAGGAATGTGAAAAGTCGACCTAGCGATGATGGCTTCTACTCAATAATGTTATTAATCCCACCTTCATATCCTTCATTGAGACAATAAAAGGCATACCTGTGGTTCCTGGCGGGTCATCCTTGAGAGCGTATCAATCTTATCTTGAAGCATTCTTTGGGTTTGTTCATATGCTTGTTGTGCGTTACGTAAGTCTCGTTCGCTCACTGGTCTAAAAGATGTATTGTTTGCTCAACACACGATATACAAGTGCCTTCCCTCCACAGTGTACTTACTTCTTAAACATGCCGAGTGTGTTGTAAGGCGTGTTAACTACACCGATACCCGAGAGGACGGATGTCACGGTAACACCTACGATGCTGACACGGAAGATAGCAAGCTCTGACCATGATAGTGGTTTATCTAATATTGGATGTGAGATTCCACTGGATGGATATGGCTGTTGCATTAAAGGCTGATGTACCTGTTGTCACACGTGTAAAGAGATAAAGATACACCATCCATCCAACGCAAGCAAAGTAAAATGCCACCTTGTGTCTCCAACCTTCATGTACGTTTCTTGTCAGCATAAGCTATCCACTCATCCTTTGGACATAGACTTGCCTCGTGTGTGCCTCAAAAACGTATATAGCTGGTACCATGGGATGAGTATGACCACCAGGAACAGTAGCACATAGAGATTGATATTCCAATAACGCCACCGAGTCCTTGATTGATAATACATAAGCCTCGTGTACATACTGTGAGTGGAGCCTGGCACTTACGCGATCGACGATAGATCCATAATTTCGGCGAAGACCAGCAGGAATAAAGTGCAAGAGCAGCTCATGGTGAGAGCAAAGATAACGTTGGGCGGTGTCATGGTGAATGGTTCCTTGAAAAGAAGCTTGGCAGCAGCATTTGCACCGATGGTGAGGATCAACAGCTGCAGAATGAGGAGCAAGACATTTTCAATCATTGGCCAAGGTGCTAGAACAAAGAGGAAGGTGGAAATGCATATGTATATAAAAATGAAATTGGGGTCCTTTCCTTATCAGGTCGGATTTGAATGAATGCAGGAGATTGAAAGCTGCTCTATTGACCTTGACAGGTGCACATTTATCTTTCATTCGACAATGGCATAAATGGATAGCGTTGTTGTATATCTCTTTGAAGAGAACGTCGATGAATCGATATTCCCAAATGCAGATGCTCTTTCTTGAAAGTTTCTTATGGAGTTACAGGTAGCTATCCAATGGCTTATCCCCTTGACAACGCTCATCAATGCAAACGATATAGGCGTTACTCTTGCCCACATAACCTAAGCAGCGTATCGACTTTTAATGCATAGCACATATCCGTTGCCAAGGACCAGCAGCTATTGATGCGAGCGCTTTATCGTACACTTTTTTGAAGATCAACCCCCCGGATAATAAAGTAGACTAGTAGTAGTATTAAGGGATGGTACGCACTCATTGTCACATATGATTTATCATGCATACAATGCCAAATGACACATGAAGATATGAGCAACAAACACGATGTTTGAATGGAGGACATGGTTGTTTCATCAACAATCAGTGGCACCCCGCCCGTGTGAGTTATATATGCAGCAAGCGTGTGGATTTATTCCGACAAGCGATCGCCAAAGGCAGTAACCTGTGCGGCTCTTGCTTCACTTTCTCTCTTTTGCATCTACGCAATTTGCTCCATGGCTAGACCACTTTATTCGAAACGATTATCAAAAGAACTACGCGGTAAGCATGGCAAGCTACATCAATGGGGAGAGCTACATGCACTGATGAGTGCCACCTTGTAGATCTTGCAGCCAATCCTCCAGAAGGTGTATCAGTAGAAGATGCCAACGATTTCAAAAGGTAGTGAATAGTATGGGTATCTTCTTGCGTATGTATTCTCATGCATACATGGCTTAGATGGAAACTTCGGATATGTGGAGCACCGGGTACTCTCTACGAGGCAAGTAGACGACGCATTATGCAATGACAAATTCACTGACGCATGGATACCATCTCAAAAAGGGAGAAGAATTCGATTTGGAGGTGAGCATTACGATTACATGATCCTGGGAGTATCAATGCTTACAAATGAGTAGTTCCGGTTTACGCCCGAGTATCCATTGGAATCACCAGAAGTGCTCTTTGTCCAGCCTCGTGTCCCGATTCATCCACAGTACGTTTGACAGCCAAAATAAGATCATACTATCATCATGTGCTAATACGCTTATCATAGTGTACGGTTGGAATTCATGCTTGAGCCATTCTCATCATGTGGGTAAATCATTTATCTCATGCCTTTGTTGTTATAGATTTATTCCAATGGTCATATTTGCCTCAACATCTTGTACAAAGATTGGTCACCGGTCCAGACTGTGGCGCAAGTATGTTTATCCATCCAATCAATGCTGTCGAGCTGTACAAAGAAGGTGAGTCGTTCCCCTCCATAGATCAAACAATGGCTTGCAATCTTTTTACTTAAACATGTCACTTGACCAGGAACGGCCTCCAGACAACGATCTCTACGTCAAATCAGCACATGCATCACCCAAAAAGACGGCTTGGGCTTTCCACGACGAGAGTGTATAACATAGTAGTCGACTGCATTAACACCAATAAACAAGCAAAAAGAACAAATACGATCAAGGAGTGCAATATGGAATATGGAAGGTGGAGGATTCAAGGGGATTGGATGTCATATCAATGCTTGTATATTAGGTTTTGGTTATGGACATGATACGTAAGTTTGGATATGGTAAGACAAAGGGGCAAGGTGTATGCATTTTAAAAGATCCATGCCAAGGCTCGCTTATACCAAGGCAAATGACCGATTTCTTCAGTATCCTTGGCAACATCAAGATCAGTGACGCGACCCGTTTCGAAATCTATGTATCACAATAGTGAGCTTTCTTGTATACCATATATATCAGCAACTGCGGGAGATACTTGCCTACGTCAAGAAGAGGTACAACCTTGGTACGTCGGATGAGCTTGTAGCCAACATAGCATACAATGGCAGGGACGAGGCCAATATAGTTGGTAGCAAAGGTCACACCATCAAACTCTGGTGCGAAAGCTCCATAGCCTAGTAGATAGATCATATGGATTGCGTATTAGTATTTAGAGGTTGAATGTATAATAAATTCCCTCGCATACCTTGTCCAAGAATAATCAATATAGTAAGCACGACGGCAAAGATGCCGGTGTAAGGGTATCCAAATGCACGGAAAGGCAACTCTTCAAGACTACGACCTTGTTTGACATAGGCTCTACGAAATCGTAGCTGCACAAACGCAATACCAGACCAGCTGATAAAACCGCTCACAGCAGTAATGCTCAAGAACCAAGTAAACGCTTCTTCGGCACTATGATAATGCCATGTCAAGGTTATTACCTAATGAGATCTATCGCTTTTATACAACCTTACCTATAAATCGACACAAATACGCAAGCAAAGCCGATCAAAGATGAAAAGACAACGGCCCAAAAAGGTGAACCAAATCGATTCACGCGACCCAAAAAGGCGGGAGCATTGCCATCACGTGCAAGACCAAGCAAGGTACGAGATGTTGTATAAAGAGCTGAGTTTGCAGCCGAGAGCACGCTGAGAAGAATAACAACGTTGACAAGGTGGCTGGCAACTTCAATGCCTGCGATATCGAAAATGAGAGTGAAGGAAGCAGTTGTGGTGTCCTCACCATCTCCCAATCTTTCGTCGTTGGATGGAATACACAAGCCGATCAAGAAGATGGTGATGATGTAAAAGATAACGATACGCCAAAGAGTGTTGCGGATGGCACGTGGGATAGTACGAGTGGGGTTCTTGCATTCACCAGCGGTAAGGCCAACTATGTACGAGAAGTTTAAATGTTAAGCTGATAGGATATAATGTTTAGGCTTGTATGCATTGATACTCACCAACTTCGGTTCCCTGAAAGGAGAAACCAGCTGACAACAAAACGCTGACGGTGCCCACTGGACCACCTGCAAAGGCTCCAGGATCATTCCAGTACCTGCAATTTTGCACGAGTGAGAAAAGTGTAGAGGACGTCAAGTTCAACAATCATCAAACTTACCTAAAGCCTGTGGGACCTGCACCACCAACAGCGCCAGCGGCAACAAGAATACCAATGATGATGAACATGATGACGATCAAAATTTTGACAAGTGCGAACCAGTATTCGATTTCACCATACAACCTATGTCGGCCATGACACGTGAGAAAATCCATGCATCATGTTTCAACGCTGAGAATTGGACATACCTAACACCAACAAGGTTGATTGCAAGAATCAAGACCATAAAGATAGTTGACCATGCCGGGTCTGGCATGACAGGTTGCCACCATTTGATGATTGTAGCTGCTGCTGCCAACTCTATAAACAAGTACTAGATCGATTAGCATCAAGCGTTTTGAATAAATTTTTTTGGTTGTCATGACGACGAATACCCGTTGCAATAGTGACAGCCTAATGTACGACTCAATATGATCAGCTTCCATGCTCGTACGAGATAGGCAATCTTGTATCACTTACCCACTAGATGAAGAGCCGAAGTGGTACCAAAAGACATATTTAGCCTCCCTTTCCTTTTATCTGAAGATATTGTAATATTGCCTTACCGAAAACCTGTGAGAGAAAAAAAGAAATTTAGCAAATATCCCTGAATCGTAACACAGAGTTGGGGACTTTTTATTACCAGTAATTCCATCCAAGAGCAAAGCCAAGAGCTGGATCCACGAATCGGGTAGCGTAGTGGTTGAAAGAACCAGATACTATGCAAGATAACAAGGTAAGTATCCTAATGTTTCAAGAGGACTATTCTTTACCTGGCATATAGGTAGCCATTTCACCAAGGCACGTCATGATACAATAAACCTATATCAATCATGAGCTATCAGATCATGTTGTTGATAACCATATTAGCTGTTGTTTTTTACCATGAAACCAACTAGATCATTGGATGAGTAGTGGGCGTTCGAAAGCGTTGTTGAGTGGGATGAGCCATTTTTGATCTGATGTATTTCACTTACTGACGCAGTATCTATATTGGGACAACGTTTAGCATCATCATACGGATTCGATAATGAGGATGGTATTCGATTCACTTACGCGATGAAAGCACCGGCAGGTCCAGCCTATTACGTTTGACAGCAAGCTTATTAGATGATGTATACGACATGATGGCTAAGGTTGACACTCACTGTCGCAATGTTTCCACCAGAGTTTAAAAACAAGCCTGTACTTTGTTGTGTTGAAACAATCGAAAAATGAGTTTTCCGATCCATGTTACCGCTTATCATATACACAGGGCTTACCCAATAGCACCGCCTAACGCGATCATTTGGACATGGCGTGCATCAAGGCCACGTTTGGTTCCCTCTTGCAAATCGATCGTGTGCTTTGATGTGATGGAACCAGGGCCCATAGTGGTTGAATACATATACTCTTCCTCGACCTTTTCGGAATCATGGGGTCGTATGGATACATCAGCGACGTCCTCTTTTTTCTCGCGAAAAAACATTTTCTTCCTTTAATAATGAAAACTAGTTGAGAAAAGAGAAGAAGAAAAGAGGCTAAGAGGAAAGGCTCTGTGTTAAAATATAATCTTATCTTCACACAAGGCAAGAAGAGAGGCACAAGCGCACGCACTCAACAAAAGATAAAGCAACCCACTCCGATAACAAAAGATGAGGCGATTTCATTGGATAATACGACCGAATAGGAAATGTAATGTTGTCTCTGTGTGCATGTGAGCTCACTTTTTACGACATCTTCCACTCCGCCTACGATATAGCCAATCATTGCATCAATTTGATTCTCACAGCATACTTATACGTGCGTACTCTTCCAGTATTTCTTTCCTCAGTTGCCCGGTGATGAATGTGGGCGCTCGCCAAGCATGGCACTTTTGTTCATTTTCGTGATTCTCTTACACAAGGCACACATTACCGGTCCTTTGTGCGTCGTGGCAGCCACATCTTCATATCAACTTGTGGTGACAGCAAATGAGTACAGTAACAACAATAAGCCCAAGGGGCTAAGTTGTTGTAAACACAAAGAGCAATAATGATGTCTTTGTCTGTGACACAATGATCCTGAGGGTGTTGTTTTCCTGATCTGCTACAAAAGGACCCTGTACATTATGACGCATGATGCTCTTGTATTATGGAAGTAGAATGTACATAGTGCCGGTATTGTTAGGGGAGTAAGTTGGTGTCACAGGGTGATAATGGTAAGCAGATATATATGCGATCCGAAATACCTCTTTTACAGTAGAGGAGACGGGCTTCGCAATAACCGCTCAATCACACTTAAGCAAGCGAGATGTTCCACCAGCACAGGAGTACGCTATTATCCTTTTGTATACTTGCTTACGTTGACTTGTGCAACCTACAAGAAAGACGTCATATGAGCATTTTCGTCGTATATAAGCATCCTTACTCTCTCATAGTGGTATCCATGACAACATGGCATGCGATGAAGATTATGCATTCATTCCTTTTTTCATGCGTGATGTGATTGAGTTAATTTGGTACATGAACAAACATTGACGCATGGACCATTTGCTGCCTTTGATAGCTTAAAACATTTATCCACATGCATGCTACATACTACGGCAAGCATCCTTGTAACTGAATTTCTTGATAAAATAAAGGGTGATGACCACGTTGCTATTCGATACCATTGTTCACACGGAGACGGGGCAATTGCCCCGTAAAATTTCCGGGGATGCCATGTATTAAAAGCAAGCCGTTTTGTCGCTGTAGCAGCAACCTCTTGTATTCTCAAATAACCATGGCAACCGCATTTCAAAAGATTCCCCTCGATGTTCCTCGAGCTAAGGTGCACAGCTTGATCAAATCATTGATTACCAATCTTGTGGATATCAAGGATACGTCTGGTGAATTTTTGCTTCGTCTCGAAGATGGCAGCATTGTTGATACCAAAGGATGGAACGATTGGGAATGGACACATGGTATTGGTCTCTATGGATTATGGCAGTACTATGAAATGACCAAGGATGGCGAAACATTATCAATCATCGAAAACTGGTTCCGAGATCGGTTTGCAGAACCACCTAGACACAAGAACATTAACACAATGGCTGTATTTTTGACGTTGGCTTACTTGTATGAACATACACGGGATCAAACGTACTTGCCGCATCTCGACAGCTGGGGAGAATGGGCTATGTATGACTTGGCACGCACCGATTATGGTGGAATGCAACATGTGACGTACCTAACGCCCAACACACAGCAGCTATGGGATGATACGTTGATGATGACGGTGTTGCCGTTGGCAAAGATTGGAAAGCTGTTGAACCGCCCACACTACATTGACGAAGCCAAACGCCAATTCCTGGTACACATCAAGTATCTCTTTAGTACCAAGACCGGTCTCTTTTATCATGGATGGACATTTGAACAAGGAGGGCATAATTACGCTGATGCCTATTGGGGTCGAGGCAATAGCTGGCTCACTATTGCCATTCCCGAGTTTATTGAATTACTTGATCTACAGCCCAGCGATCCTATTCGTATCCACTTGATTGATACGCTCCATGCACAAGTCACTGCTCTTGCCAAGTATCAAGATCCCAGTGGATTATGGCGTACCATCATTGACGAGGAATCGTACCTGGAAGCATCTGCAACTGCAGGTTTCGCATTTGGTATACTCAAGGCCGTTCGTAAGCGATACATTAGCAAGAAATACAAGGACATTGCACTCAATGCTATTAAAGGAGTCATTGACAACATTAATGATCAAGGTGAACTTGAAAAGGTGTCATTTGGAACACCTGTAGGCGATACAAGACAATTCTATAAAGAGATCCCACTCACATCTATGCCCTACGGCCAAGCAATGGGTATGATGTGCCTTGTTGAATTCCTCCGCTTGTATATATAGGATCGATCCATTTAATAATAAAAGGCATTGTATGCGTATTGATAACTATATTATCCACCCCTTGAAAAGATCGTCGCCACTTTGTGTTTGCCGTTTTGACCCAGCAGCAGCAGCAGCAGTAATTCATCTTGGGAAATTAACCGCCGCTTTCGCTCTTCTCCTTTACGTCCTTTCTCTCATTCCCACCATCCTACTCCATGGTCGATCCTTTCATATGGCTGCTATTACTCTGCATTACAATGTTCTTGGGGAGCTTCCTCGCTGGCTGCATTCCTTTATCGACTAAGCTCTCCGAAACGAAGCTACGGAACTTGACAGCACTTGGAGTAGGGTTGCTCATTGGCACTGCTCTTGTGATCATAATACCCGAAGGCATCGAGACTCTCTACAGCTCCAACGCGGTTACTACCATTGGCAATCATACCGAAAGCATGTTGCAGCAGCATGTTACAACGGCATCTTCCACCATGGACAGCCAAACGACGAATACAACCCCTATATGGCAAGAGGATACTACTTTACAGAAACGACAACCACACGACCATGCTGGTGAAGAGGATGAGCACAAGTCAACAGAGCATGCGACGATAGGAATGGCTATGATTGTGGGATTTGCAATGATGTTTGTTGTTGATCAAGTGAGCTCACTGCATGTCCATGGATCATCATCATCGACGCATCATCATCATGAATACAGCGAACTTAGTTTTATGGATGGTAATGGATCATCGTCAACGGCGACATCACATGGAAACGGGAATGCATCACCAGAACAACGCTCGCGATCACCTACTTCAAAGTCAATCACACCCACCATTGGATTAATTGTTCATGCAGCAGCTGATGGTATAGCGCTGGGCGCCTCTGCTACACATCCAGAATTATCCATGGTCGTGTTCCTTGCCATTATGCTTCACAAGGCCCCTTCAGCATTCGCACTCACCACCGTCTTACTCGCTGAAGGCCTCTCACGAGTCAGTGTTCGTCGTCATTTGCTCATTTTTTCATTGTCAGCACCAACAGGAGCAATTGGTACCTACATGTTACTTCATGTCTTTTGGTCATCTTCCAGCGCATCCACCGATCTCGCCTATTGGACAGGTGTATTACTAGTATTTTCAGGTGGTACCTTTTTATACGTTGCTATGCATGCTCTTCAAGAATTACGGCCGTCGTCGTCATCTTCCCATGCGGAGAAATTGTCAGGGTCACAAGTGGGTGCTATTCTGGGAGGCATGTTCCTGCCGATCGTACTCAACGTTGCACATTCCCATTGATGGATTACACACAAACCACCCAATATTACAACAACAACAACAGCTCTTAATCGATCGACCATTCAACTCACAACAACACTCGCTTCTTCTTATGGATACCTTGTTTCTTTCTTTCTTTCATCACCCACCCTCCTTTCATCTTCCCCATTTCTTTCAGATGTACAGATCGTGTTGTTTTCTCGCCCCCCTTTTTTTCATCCTCCTTGTTCTTGTCATCCCCCCCACCACCACCACACCACCATACACCTTGACATATTGTAGAGATTACAGGGTACTCTATCCTCCCCCTTAATAGATTACAATTACTAGTATTAGAATGGATAAACAAGGACTGCTATATACGATGATAAATGTTGGGTATAAATGAATGGATAGTCGAGAATTGAAGGTGATTGTTGGGGCTCCCCAACTCTGCTATTTGATATTGTTGGTCTGCTCTTGTTTGCTACATGTCATGTGAGACAAGACATTGAATCGTACATAGATCCGCATAATAACACAAAGGATCGTGGCTTACCTCTCCTTTCTTTTGTTCGCCCTTTGTTCATTCCACCATCAACTACCCTAATTTTACATACTACACGACCATGATTGATTATAACAACGCTTGCTTTGTATCCAATTCTGTATCAAGTCAATGTCACTCTATGGTGCCTGCCCTGGATCCAAATTTATTACATGACACGCTTCGACGATCCTGTCATAATGATAGCTTTCAAAAGCAACAATTGGGTGCCAAGAAATTCTATATCGAGGACATAGCCGATGACGACAATGATAGCAGGAGCATAGAATGTATTGCGCCCTTACCAGGACAACATTGGTCAACCGAAGACAGCGATGAGGATGATATTGAACCAATCTTGATGACACCCACCCAACAACAAGATGAGTGGTGCTGCTATACACTGGAAAGGCAATCTCCCGATGATATCAAAGATAGCAATAAGGGTAACAGCAGTGATTGCTGCATCATACTACGTCGATGCAAGACGCGATACTATCAAGGGCTGAGTAATTTGGCCGCGAATGGTTGACTTGGCGTATTGACAATGCTAATGATGATGCACTCTAAAATAATCACACATCTATCGGCAAAACACAATAAAGGCGTTGATTTGAATGGGCAAAACCATACATTAACATTGGCCGGGTAAATGTAATAAGGCAATGCTATCATACCATATGTGGATAGGCTATCGCTTCACAATGTTAGAAATAGCTTTTGGCTTGGACATGGATTCCATACAAAAAGAGCTGTAAATGCAATTGGATAATGTTCGTGTATTGATTCACAATGGCTACAACTCATTTAGATGTGTAACCGCTCATTCAGTATCTGCCTCAGAAGCAACGTTTATTCTAAACCTTATATTATGGAAAGCATGTGTTTGTGAAAACCGATAATCGACCAAATAGTATATTGTACACAATGTAAGAGAAATGGTATGTTGGTGATGATATGATAAGTAATGCAAAAAGGGTTGTTGAAGGAGGGGAATAAGGCAATCAACAAATGAACGAGGAGGTGGATTGGATATCACAATGGCAGCTTACAACAAGCTTCCACATAGCGCACGGGCCTGGGGCATGGTACGTAACATGTCGATGACATAGGGCTGTACAAACTCGAATGGGTTGTCGTTCCAGATATGCCAGTAAGCGAATCCATCCAAGAAGTAAGGGAACGTGTAATATGCCCATGCAAAGACCCACGCATGTGACACAATGCGTGCCAAGATTCTGGGAAAGGTCATACCACGGGTGACTTTTTTCAATATGCGTTCACTGGCCATGCCGATACCATGAATGAAAAAGAAAAAGAATTGTTGACCAGCAAAGAATTGACGATAAACGGTCCATCCAACATTGCAATAGATGATGTATTCATGCATCAATCCTGATACAGCAAATACAGCAATGGCACCCATCATCAAGGCAATTGGGAGTGGATTTTTGACAGTCTTGGCAAGTGCACGCTGTGTAATGAAACGCATAGGGCGGAATCCAAAAGCCACCCAAGAAGTACGCAACAATTGATGCCAACGCACCGACCATAATTCATCCAAAGAAGTTGAAATGATAGGATCCATCATCAAAGGTCGCCATTGTTCTTTAAAGAAAAGAGAAAAGTGAGTGGAAATGACAATGATAAGAGAAGGATAGGAGAGAAAGAGAGAGAAACACGACTTACCACTTGAATAGGAGCCTCCTTCATAATAGATGCAGTAAAAGAGTTGCAAACCACAACCGATAGCATTGAAAGCACTGTTGAGCACGAATACAGCGATGCACAAGAAGAAAAAGAATAACACGGGACGTTCTGCTGAGAGGGCCATGGCATCTCTTCCAGAGAAAGTTGCATACCAAGCACCAAAGATATCGCAAATAGCAGCATGATAGAACAATCGAATCAAGATGTGATAGAATTTCTAAGGGGGGGGGATGCATGTAAGTAAACTTCGCATGCATGATCTGCAATTGAAACCTTACCTTGTCTTTGACATATTCTTTCGGCTTCTCGTCATTGCTCTTCTTCTTTGGAAACTTACGCATGGACGACCATAATTCGGTGTGCAGATAATCCATGTCAGCGTATGCCGGCTTGCCATACAAGATGGGCGAGATCCAGAAAAAGTCAAAGAATCGTATGAATGCATTGTAACCCACGACCGAACAGGTGAGATCAAGGACTGAAAAGCAAGACGATTAGACATGAGGGGACAAAAGGAATGGAAGGCTAACCACAATACCTGCATTATTGGCAGTGAATACAATTGGCACGAGGATCTCGGTTGCAAGAAGGGGAACGGATAAGCATTGCTTGGCGGGAGTTGACATTGCTTTTGAAGATACGACGAGAGCCATCAAAGCAATGGGTGCCGAATACAGAATTGGAAGAGACCAAATTGGAACGCCAATACGGGTATCACCCGCTTGTAATAGCATGGTAAGATCCATGATGATAATAGAGATGAAGAAGGAGAAGGAAAAAAGAGGTGATTAATGAATAGGGTTCAACCAGATCTCATTCCCTTTATATTAGACGGGCGATCAAGTCATACATAACTCAACATCCGACACAAAAGCGGCAAGGCATAACAACGCTTACCCAACATCCTTTCATCCTTTTTTGCACTTTTATCTCCTGTTGATATGCGTCTGTGCACCTTTCATTATTACAAAGTCGAGCTTTTCTTGGTATGGTATTACCTTTGACAGAAGTCATTTGTTTGTGAGTGGGTGGCATGATACTAATAAGCTGTAGTCAGATCCACATGACAACGCAAAGGGTATGCTGAGTTAATGCATGTTGACCACGATCGATGCTCAAGGTTACATTTTGGTCATAGCGTTTACACCAAAAATATCAGAATGAATCCATGTGAAAATGAAATCCCTCTCTTCAAGTGTAACCTACGTTTCCAATATCCGTTGTGTCACCATGGAGACCAGGTAATGTTGTCGTCATCGTTTCGAGTGGTCATTGTCTTTCTTTTAACACACACTTTCAGGTACCATATGCGTGCTGCTTCAATGCGGGAATCCTTTCGTCCTTTTGTGTACCACCATCACATAATGTTCCAGGCACCCATAGACATTGTTCTTTTTCTTTCTCTCTTTTTCATTGTTTCTTTTCCCCACCACCACCACTCCTTTCCTTTCACTACCAATGTCAACAGCTACGGCTACTACAACCACAGCACCGCCTCGACCTGAAAAGAGCAAACTACGTCAAAAATCGATTATTGAATCCGATCCTATACCTTCAGCAGCTCAAAGTCGTTTCACAGAGCAATTTGATATTATTCCACCACCTGAATTACTCGATGCTTTGGCAGACACCGATTTCCATGTTTCCACCACACGCAAAAATTCAAAGCCTAGCACCATAGGCAAAACGCTGAGACCTTTCCTGCCATCTTCACCTAGCAGTTCCTCTATTCCCACATTTGACCAGCATCAGCATCCTCTTGTGACCGCCACCAATGAAAGCACCAATAATCATAGTCGACCACCTTTGTCTAACTCTGCAACAAGAAATGCATCAGCATCAGGAGCACCACCTCTTATGCGCTCACAATCAGCACCTTGGATGAATCGACTTTTCAATAACAGTGATGAGGATGATCAGCCACAACCTATGGCTACCTTCAGTAGCAAGCAAAAACGAGCACCATCAATTACTGAGGAACAAGAACAACCAATCGACAAGAGTCTGAGTACAAGCACAAAGGGTAGCACAAGAATGCCATCCTTATTTAGTCTTAATCGTGCCGAAGTCATTGTTACGCGTCTCGACCAGTGGCAGGTGCTACTCAAAGCTGTCATCGCTTGGCTTGAGGAAGTTGTCAAAATCCATTTCCAGAGCAGCCGATCTTATTCACAACGCAGCCTTCCATTCATCAAGCATGATTTCAGCCACCAGCACCGCAACAATAATGATGATGATGAGGAGGAAAAAGATGCTCTCACCACCCTACAAGCTGGGTTACAAATGCTCACAATGCACGTTGCGAACGAACAAAAGGAATTCGGCAAACATATCCAACAAGACATCTTGCCAGGCTTACACAAGCTGAGACGTGATTGCAAAGATATGATTCGTGGGTTGAAGGAAGAACCAGAGCTGGTCATGGATGAGCTGCTACGATTGGCAGAAACCACCCGAAAATCGATGGCAGCACTTAACAAACATTGCAAAGCAGCGGATGCTGGCAAACATATAGAACATGATCCCATGTTGTCTAATCTATGTAAGTGGGGAAACATGATTCAAATATATATAAATGCGCTAATTTGGTATCATTTGGTTACACACAGATGTTTTACGACATTTGAAGCGGGAGATTGATGAGGAAAACAGGATGCGCGAATTGATGGTGCCTATACAAAAGGGTACAGCTGCTTTTGAAGCACGATGTTTGGAACAACTCAAGCCAGCTATTGCCTATTGCTATCAATTTATGGCACCTCAAATGTGGGACAACACTGAGGACCAAGAGACAGCATCCTTTAAATTGGTTATGGATCAGCTGATGCCCGACCATGAATGGAAGAGGTTTTATGAAAGCAAAAAGAAGGATTTGGTCAACGAAGAGAACCCCAAAAAGGACTATCTCAAGATCAATTATCCCAACAAGATGAACCCCTTCGTCATGACGGTCGCCAAAGGAGTCTTGGAACGACGTATTGGTGTCCTCAAACAATTCACTGATCGGTACTATATTTTGAGTCATTGTAAGTACAAAAGGATCAACGAAAGAGCTTTATCATTAATGCAGGTGAATATGAATCATAGGTGGTTACCTACATGAATTTACCATGGATGACAAGGTGTCTCCTGAGCGATCAATTTATATGCCCGATTCGACGGTGGTGCCTTCCATTGATATAAGCCATCTTGCCAACGACGCTCCAACTGATAACAAAGATGGGCCATATACATTTGAGATCCATAAGCGTGGCACTCAGGTGCTTCAACGTGACCGAGTCTATGTATTTCGAACCAATTCTCGAGAAGAGCTTCTTTCTTGGTGCCGTGCACTTGTTGATGCATCCACACGAACGACACCACCACGAGCACCTATCATGCCACAGCATACAAACATCACGCCAATCAATGGACATCCTCATCAGCTATCACGACCACCTAGTACTCATGGTAGTAGTAGCAGCAGCCAAACTTCATCCTTTACACAACAACAACAGCATCCAAATCCGGCCAATGGATCAACAGTGTCCGTACCAAACACAGTGCGGCCTCAATCGGATACCAATAATAGTAGACCAGCTTCCACTCATGACAATGACGATGCAGCAAGTATCATGACAGCGCGTCCCACTGCACCTGCACCAGCACCTGAGACTCCAACACCCGCAACTTCTTTAGCACATCCTGCCCCTGCAACAATTTCTCAAGATGCAGTGAAAGAGCAACAACAAGAGGACCAACAACAACACATTGAAAATGATGATGCAAATACCCAACGATTCTCACGAGCAAGCACCCAATTTGATGATAGCGAATCTTCTGTGTACTTTTCATCCACATCGGCACCACCCTCACCATCAGCATCATCTATTGTTTCGTTGTCTGCAGTAGAGGATACACGTATTCCAGCTCTCGATGAAGAAATTGAGGAACCTAGCACACCACGACCGACAACTGCCAATACCACTTTTTACATGCCAATGCTCAATACATCAGAAAAAGCCAACGCATCATGATAACAATTATACTTCATATCACATATCTGTAGTCGTCATTCTATTATTCTTCCAATCTATAAAACACGTGATCCATGCCTATGATGGATAAAAACCCAACTAGTACCCCATGTTGATTTCATAGTTGAATGACTTAACAGTACGTGTGGAGTGATGGCTTTACAATAAGCTGCACGTTTGAGCAACCAACTTTAATCCTGTATGTAGTCTTCATCTTTGCACGAAGCTGTACAATATAAGATTACCTCTATAAAAGCCGCCAGCTAATAGCCCATTCCTCCTATTCACCTTTGTTGCCCAATCCACTGCATACGATCGATTCTCCTGCTCCAGCCCATCATTTCCATCTTTACATTTTCTTGATCCGATGGGATTTGACTGACCTACGTTGGAACAGCAAACATGTCAATTCTTGAAAGACAGACCCTGCGAATGTCTCCGTCTTTCAAACTTTTGGACGCTCCCATTCCAAATTTTCAAATGAAGCGCGAGGGTTTTATTAGAAAAAGTTGATCAGCATGCTCGAGAGCACCCATCTGACCAATTTTCAAGTTGAAGATGGTCAACTTCGGGGCAGTGGCCCGTCCGCTCTTTTGTCCCCGTCATCCACCATTTGGACCACCCCGCATTTTAAATCTTCACAATGAAGTATGCGAATTTTAATTGAATGAAGTTAATCAGCATGACTCAGCGAACCTTCTGACAAAGTTTCAAGATCGAGAAGGGGAATCCCAAGGTAATACAATTTCGATAAATCATGGATCTGACGCTGACTTCCATTTCCGACTTACATAGTAAACCCACATTGTACCCTCCCATTCCAAATTTTCCAATGAAGCATGAGGTTTTTATTAGAACAATCTCATCAGCATATCCAAGAGCACCTTGTGTGAAAGTTTCAGGGTCAAGAGGGGCAATCTCAATATCAAGGATTGATGTACAGTATTCATGCATTTATACAAGAGGCGTACGCTATTTCATTTCCACTCCTTCCACTCCCACAACTTCTTGTCTCAACCGTTGGCCCATTCAAGTATACAACTACCACCTACAACCGATGTCCTGCTTCAACCCACCATGTCAATCCTACGATTGCCTTGATCCGATTGTCTTTGACTGATTGGCAAGTCCAGGGCGTGTGCACCCCCACTACAACAACACACCTTCCTTGATACAACACACACTCTTGCGACACTCCTCTACCACGACCAATCGTAACAGCATTCATTGCAGCAATTGCATTAGTAAGGCCTTTACTCCATTGCCTCAAACAGCGTTCTTTACTTGCAGCAACTTGTCTTGCGGCCTTGTCACGTTAACAGCAGATAGCCATTATATAGAAGCAGCTTTATTTACGAGTAGCAACTTTGCCCAATACATACGACTTCTTGTTAATATGAATATGGATCTGAATATTGGTTTGCTATATGGGGATGGAAGGAAGTGCATACATTGTCTGGTTTGGTTCCCTAGGTCCATTTGGAGCGTGATGTCTATTTTGGATGACGCGCTATTCAGCCATCAACTACGCCACAATACAAGTAACTTTTAGCTGGGTGAGCTGTGATAGAAAATGACCAAGAAAGGGATTGACCAACAGCTGGATGGAAAAGGAAGCATGTTAGCTGCAATATTGGGTTTACAATGGTTATGGATGGAAGGATGCGATCAATTGCAGTGATGAGAAGTCTTTGAATATTGGTTTGGTTGCTTGGCGCGTCATCAATAGGAACGATGAATCATACCCTATGCATACGGCTGAGGAGGAGGATGGTTCGGGTGGAATTGAGGAGAGGGCTTGTATCTTTGACGAAAGGAGGTGTTTCACAGCTATGGATAATACTGGAATAATACTCGAGCCAAAGCATACAACACCTATTTTGCAATCATGGATGAAGGGTGATCATGACGACAGCAATCAAGTATAGGATGACACATTTATCCCTAATGAATCTATACGTTTTGCCCGTATGTACCCTATTCAATTTGGCTATATGTATTGTTCCCTTATGTATCATTATCTACTTGATAAACATCGTCCACAATACCGTGTCTTCTACGTGTTCTTCGACTTTTTATTGAATGAAAATTGGATTCAACATAATACTTTGGGTATCATACGATCAGCTTAGATGTGCAAGGGGTGGATCACTTGGGTTGTTTTCTGCATTGAAAGGGGAACTGCAAACGTGAAAGGTGGAAAGCGAGATATCATATATTTGGTGGGGTTACACAGTAGGTTACACAAGTTGGTTCAGGAGTGGAGCTGCATAACTAATCGATCGATGTGATTTGCGCACAGACCTAATAGCTTAATTACGAGGCTGTTCTCAATCGAAGTCTTGAGCAGTGATCATTCTTATGGAGTTACGAGCATAGGACATTGTTGAGGGTACGTATAAACAGTAATAGCTGTAGCAAGCGGGGTGGCATGGGGTGCACGAATTGGAGAGAACGGGAGGAACAAAGAGGCCACTCTTCTTCACTTCCACTTCACAAAAAAGGTAAGCGTGTCTCCATTTACAAACTACAACGCATTAATTGCTGGCATTCCTTACAATGTACAGCGTTCATTGGGGTGAACATGTGGTCAATGGCGCCACTTTCCAGTTGCAGACATTCAACGACGAGTACGCGCCCGATCTGCCCATGACTCAAGCTTCCATCGCAATACAACATGTACGTTCCATAGCTGCATTCCTTTATTATTCAAGTTGGACATTGAGGTACTAAAGTTCACGTGTAGTTTGCTGTTCTCTCGTTATACAAGTTCCAAAGGGGGCGTCGTGTGTCGTGTGTGTTCTTTTCATGGTTGCCATCAAGGAGGGTCGCAACCTATTGTTACTATGGGTATGTCGACATGAAAAGCGAATGCTATCCTTGTTACCTTACATTGCATTTACTGTAGCTTGAATACGTTGGACGATGGTACCTCTGGCAGCAACAGGATACGGGTCTTAAAGCAATAATGCTGTATGGTTGGCTCAATGGTATGCGTGGTATTGGATCTACAGAGCAAAACATGTTAATTAACGAGCCTTGCAATGAAACAGCAGCAGCACCTACTGGATGGCATGGAGATACGGCTTTATTTGAGGCAATGATGCTATTGAGGAATACCATAAGGTAAAAGTGTTCATTATGATGGGATTGGTTGGATTCAAGTGGACTTACCAAACGCCATACAGTGGCAGAGCCTCTTTCGGCGATACTATTATTATCAAGGCTGCACGTCAAGGATGTCATTGTATAGTACTGTGCTCTCCTGGGGAATTTTGGCCCGGAAACAGTGTGACTCAAGATGCGATGGCAAGGCCAATTTGAAAAGGCATCCGCTGTGCACACGGCCTCCATCCAAGTACGGCTATTGATTTCCTTGCCTACAGAGAGAAGGTGGATATCTCTTATGATGCCAATTTCAGGATCCAATGAGAGTATAGTACATATGGTGGCATACCTTGGCGCTGCAGGTTGGTTATTGTATTGCCTTCGGATGGTGTATTTGGTTGCAATTCCTTGTGATCACCATGGTTCAGGGCGTCGTGTGTCTTCCTTACCGAGTCGTCCACAATGAGAGTTCTCAAGACGTCTTTACATTGCTTCTTTTGCGTATGGTGACAACAAAAGCGTGTGGGTTGGTTTTACATGTTATCTCACATTGCGTTTATGGTAGGTTGAACATGTTGGATGATGGTACCTCTGGCAGCAACAGGATACGGATCTCAAAGCAAGAATGCTTTATGGTTGGCTCAATGGTATGCGTGGTATTGGATCTACAAAGCGAAACCTGTGAATTAACGAGACTTACATACAGTGGCAGAGCCTCTTTCGGCGATACTATCATTATCAAGGCTGCACGTCAAGGACGTCATCGTACTGTACTTTCCTGTGGAGCTCTACATGTTGTGCCCGGGGACAGTGCGACTCATGTTGCGGCCTCAGGGATTTAAAAATGCATCCTCTGTTCGCACGGCTCCATCGTTTTACGGCTATTGATCTCCTTGCCTTTAGAGAGAAGATGGTATCTCTATTGATGCACTTCATCGCGTCGATCCACAGGAGAGTACTGGTACTATGATGTTCCTTTGGCTGTGCGCTTTTATTATTACTTTACATCCTGATGGCCTATTTGGTTCCAAGTCTGCGGGTGGTGATTGCGTGATTCAGGTATGTATGGCTCTCATGCTTTTTGGAGACCTTTGCTGAAACGCCTACCATTATATAGAGGGACCATTGCAGAGAGCTGCTTGTCTTTTGGTGCTTTGGAGTTTACACGATCACAGCTATGATTGCTAAGTATTGTTGGATGAGCTGGGACAATTGTTTATGGTGCATCTTTTATAGGTGAATCATGTCAGCCATGGGGAAGTGTTTATGTCTTTTGGTGGTGTCAACCTTTATTGCGTCTCGGGTGGTTGGTTACCAAGCAACGGGTGATTTCTCCAGGAGAGTGTCCGCCAATGCAAGTCTTTTGTGAGTGGATTGTATCAGCAACAAGTAACAGCATCCATATCGTTGGTGTGATATCAAGCTTTATCCCATCATCTGGTTCTTCTCGTTATCGGCAATTCGGTGGGTATCCTGAAATGAAGGTCTCTTATCGATTGATCACATCAGCAACAAGGAGCAGGTTTATACCTTTGGCGTCAGCAAGCTTTCGATCTTCTGGTGGTTCTGATTATCGGCAATTCCTTTGATGGATCTCTACAACTATACGCGTCTTATGGATGGATTATGTCATCAACAAGCAATGAGAGCCCGCGCTGACATCTTTGGTGTTACCAAGGTCATTTATGCATCTCCTCAAGGCATTCATCGTCAAGCTGCATTCGATTTCCAATGAAAAACGATTGCCATTCACATCGCTCTTTAGCCATATGTACGTCACTCCGCAGCTAGGATCTGGTTTGGGCTTTTCGATGCACAATGCTTTCTCGATTTGCATGTGGTCTTGGGCAGCAAGGATTGTCTCGTTGTCTCTCTTTGTAAGGGCTCTTCGGCATCATGTAAGTATGCTCTCTTTGGTGGTATCAATATTAACTCGACCTTCTCACTGCATATGCCCATAAAGTATCGTTCCATCGCTTTCAAGCCGAGTGCCACCGTAGCGGGCCTTATCAACAAGCGGATGATTGCAAGGATCGGCTAGATTTGGATATCAGTAGGATTGCGTGCGTATGGCTATCATTGGTAAATATGGGATGAACCGTTTTTTGGCTCCAATCCTAACCAACCTCCTCTTTTATTATAGTGTGGGGACTATTCAGCAAGCTACTTGTCTTCTGGTTCTTTGGGATTTCTATGGATGCAGCTGTCATTGGATGTCAACGTGTTTTCGTGCGTATGGCTATCATTGGTAAATAGTGATCCGCTCTCTTCTTCAACGCCTGCTAACCTCCTCTTTTATTATAGTATGTGGACTATTCAGCAAGCTACTTGTCTTTTGGTCCTTTGGAATTTTCATGCATGAAGTTGTCATTGGTAATAATGATCCATTCTTTCTTTCAACCCCTACTAACACCCTCTTTCATGTGGGTTATTCAGCGAGCTACTTGTCTTGTGCCCTTTGGATTCTTGATGGATGCAGCTATCATTGGATGTCGACAGTGTTTCATTACATGGCTACCATTGGTAATTGATGATACATTCGTTTCTACAACGCCTGCCAACCTCCGCTTTTATCATAGCATGTGGGCTATTCATCAAGCTACTTGTCATGTGCCCTTTGGATTCTTGATGGATACAGCTATCATTGCTATCGTTCTATGGACATGGAAGACTGTTTACCGTGCATCTTTTATAGGTGAATCATATCAGGGTCCAGGAGCGACGTCTACAGTATAGCATCGTCCAGTATCAGCTGGCCTTATTACATCGTTCGATGGTTCTCGTTACCCCCTATTGGATACTTCCTTTTATTTGCATCTGCAACAACAAGCGACAACTTCTATATCTTTTGGTGTCGCCAAGCTTGATCTCGTCTGATCGTGATTTTAGTTGTCGACAATCCTTTCGATGGATATCCCACCATACGCATGCCTGTTGTCGGTGGACCATATCAACACAAACAACAAAGTTCCTATCTTTATTGTCAACAGCATTTACTCGATCCTCTGGTGGTTCTCGTCATTTGGCCAATTGATTTCAACAGCCCTCTGCAGTGCACGTCTCTTATGGGTGTATCGCATCAGCAACAAGCAACAATATTACATACGTGTCTTTTTGGTGTGATCAAGGTTTATCCATGGCTCAAGGCATTCGACGCCAGGTGTCGCCCCCTTCATTTGGAGAAGCCGCTATCAGCGTTGGTCATTGTATGTATATCTCTGAAGTAAGTGGTATCAGGTGTATCGCGGTTTTTCATATGGCTCCGGCTAAGTATTATTCCCAGTACCTCAAAGATAGACTAGTAATATGCACATTTGTAGGTCCATCATTCCATCAAGTTATCTTTTTACATGCTCTCTGATGCCATGAAAGTCTCTCCTCACAGTTGTCAATGGCGAACCCTATTGCTTTGAAAGACGACGATCAACATTTGAATTTGGGTGGATCACTCAGAAGCAAGCAAGCGATCTATGATAATACGAGGATATTGGATCATGTTATGGATGTGGTTGTCAAGGATACCGTTTCCATGGTTTTGGGAATCATCTACCTGCAAGTCATCTCTTTATTGGTGCATTATAGAAAGATTTATGATATAGCAAATACCGGATTGTAGCCACTTGTAAATGATGTGATAAAACGGGAAAAGAGAATAAGAGAAAGGGTCTGATTGATTCATTGTGTTTTAAACAAAGGCTGCATTCGATTGTACACGCCCCTTTTTTGGTGGTGCTTATAATAACATACGTTCTTTTCTTTGCTATTTCATCAATGTATACGAGGGAATACTTGGACAGAGTTTGTAAAGGAATGGGAAATGAAAAGAGTAAACACGAGGCAACGTCCGGCATATGGCTTGATTTATGATTGTCAAAAAAAACACTCTTTGAGCTTGTGTATAGTGGTTATGATGTAAAGGATCGAGCTCCATGTGCGTTCGTAAGATCGTGAATACATGAGGAGGTGTCTAGAAACAACGAGAATGAGAAAAGTGACCTATCTGATAATAACCTGGCTATAATCAGATTGCAGGGATAGCATCAGAAGAATCAATAATAGAAAAGTGGTAGTGTGCAACTTATTAAACAAGGTCATTAGATCTTTTCCAATACGTTGTCTTTGTTCTATTGGGTATTATTTAATAAGGTAGGTAAGACGTCTCGTATACAATATAATACAATGAATGTCGAGGAAGATGGGATTCTTAGGTTAGGATAAGGGATATGGTCGTAAATGCGAATACGTTGATAGTAGAAAGTAATGCATTCATTTCTTTCATAACCTGTACAAGAAGTTGGGATCTTGCACGTCACTGAGATCGTCTTCGACATTGGTCATGACGGATGGTGTTACAGCCAATCGCTTGTTATTGACCACTGCCATACGCCAGCGTGCAATTACCAACAAGCCCGCAGCAATTGTAATCGCACAGATGTAGCCGATCATACCACCAAGATAAGGTGGAGATTGATTTTGCACCATCATGAGTGGGCCGCAAAAGTTACCTATAATGATGGGAGCCATCAGCACCGAAATCATCTTTTGCACTCTAAATCACTTGTAGATTACTTACCAAGCGTGTAAAACACCATCAACATGCCGTTATAGAAGATCTTCTTTGTATACCCACTGACGTTGTTGCTAATTGAAGTGACGAGTAGGACATATGCAGCACAATAGGACCATGCCAAATAAAAACCAAGCAACTTGACACGAGGTGGCGGGATTACAAGCAAGAGGATAAGACCGATTACATCGATCGCCATTAAGGCCACGGCTGTTAACAAAGTCTGGTTGGTTTTATGCACTGAATAGACACCAAGGACGATGAAAAGAATGGTCGAGCCACCAGCACCCATTGTTAGCAAGATCGATTCGGCACCCTGGATGAGGTGACAGGGGTTAAAATGTTGATCAGGGTCCATGTTGTTTATAAACACTATGACGGAGAATCAACTTACCGTGAAACCAAAACTCTCAGTGATCTGTGCATTGTAGATGGTCATCGCACCATTTTGCAAATTGATCAACAAGCAGCCAATACAAAAGCACCAAAAACGAGTCTCTTTGAGAGCTTCAATGATTTGATCGCGTTTAATCGTAGTCGTACGCACCACAGCATTATCACGTGTACGTTCTTCGACAAGGATCTCTTGCTCGGCATTCAGTTGCAATGCTGGTGACTTTGGGTTATCGATAAGGAGGAAGAATGTCACTATGCCGATAAAAGATGTAATCACACCGAGAATGATCATAATCCTTAATCAAGATAAGGTTAGGAAAAATGGCTATGTCAACATTCAAATAAGAGAGATTTACCATTGCCAGTTTTCTAAACCTCTCGTATCTTTCATGCTTTGGATACCATAGGATATAGCGGAGCCAACAATAAGGGCAGCACCGTTACAGATCCAAAATAAGCCTAAAGATGTAACGTTTAACGGGGTATATTTTTTGGATTCCTTGGAGGCACGTACCTAATCGTGCAGCTTGTTCGGCACGTCGATAAAAGGTACTCACAAGCAAAGTGAGACATCTGAGCAATAAAATAGGTGCTATGTTTCAGATCTGAAATTTTGCTTTGCGCCGTTGCCATGGGTACTTACGGGTAGATGCCAGCTTCAAAAAAGCCAAGAAGGAAACGTAAAGCAGCAAGCTGTGAGAAATTTTCGCCAGTGGCAGTGCATGCAAGAACGGCACCCCACAAAAAGACAATGACGCCAATGTATCTACCGATGGGAAAGCGTTGCAAAAAGTAATTGTTGGGAAACTAAAATCATCTCGATTGTGTCAGACGTGTGTAACAACAGCCATTGCTTGCCTTTGTTGCTGGCTTACCTGATATACAAGATAGCCAAGATAAAAGATGGAACCAAGTAAGCTGTATTGATTGCCAACAAGCCCCGTGTCCTCTTTGAAGCCCATTACGGCGGCATAGTTGATGGTGGATTTATCGATAAACTGTAAGAGAATGGGGATTTATGTAAGTTGAATGTTGCTTCTTTTGCGTGTATGCTGCGAAAGGAGATGTTGATTGGACGTAATGATAAATGTACCTGCAACAAGTTGATGATGCAAATAAAAGGCAAGATGAAGAAATCGATTTTTCGGACAAGCGCTTTCTCTTCGCTAGACATTGGCTCATCTTCGCTATAAAAGGAAGATCGGTCATAGCCTGAGTCGCCATCGTACATGTCGTGTCGGCCGTATAGGGATTGGTTGGAGCGCTTTTCGATCATGTCTGTTGGTATATCAGACGATGTTCTCGAAAGCATGGAATGGCGTGCGAGAGAATATGAAAGTGGAAGGCGAAAGGCAAGGAGAAAAGGAGTGAGTGTGGGAGAGCGAAAAGAGAAAAGAGGGAAAAAACCAATGGCCGACGATAGCTCTTTTGTCCGATGAGTTTTTTTTTTCCTTTCAGCTTTGACATCACATCATATATCGTCACGGCGTTTGAATGTATATGGCTTTAAAGCCATGTGCTCTATTTACAACACCTTTGCCTCCTTTTCTCCCTTATCCCTTATCCCATTCACACCTTACCCTAAATATTAGATAATATGCATTTGCTGTCCTATACCATCTTATCGGTTCGATTTTGCTCCCCAATAGGTTTTTCCACTTTTATCAATGTAGCACTGATCGGATTTGATGTAACCATCTTTGTGCTTATACTCCCCCAATTCCGTGGAAAAAAGGGGGGCTATTGTACAACAATGAATGGCATCTCCAGAAACTCAGTTGTATGCCCGGTATGTCGGCGATGACCACTGTACAGGGATCACGCATTAGATGCCATTTGCAGCAGCTATAATGAGACGCTGTGCTGATGTGACCTGTGGACGAATGCTTACTGCTGAATGTGAAATACGTATGCACGTTGCCATGTACATCGACAAACCAGGCAATCCTGCCCAAAGAGAGCCACCGCTAGAGTCCACAAAGAGGCGTCCCTGAAAGAAAAATGTTCGTTTGTATCACAATATCAATATGCATGCAATAAATCCGCGCTCAATCCTAAATTTGTGAGCACTTGAACATGCTTTCAATGTTTATGCCATTGCTGCTGCAAATGACCCGCTTGTCGGCGTACATGAAAATGCATAATAAGGCGGGACCAAATATCCAAATAGCCCTTATTGATTGGAGCAAGCTATGCCCCATTGTTACTTGTGGATGTCCATAGTTATGGTTGTAACGCGTAAGCAATAAATCTGAGCCCGAGCCACACATGTCTAACAATCGAATCATAATGACCAAAGCGAAGGTCCAGATCAACATTAATGGCTGCAGCAACAAGAATATGGATACAAAGACCACATTCAAGGAAAGATCATCTAAATAAACAATGAAATTGTTGCAGCAGCCACACGAAAATGTATTTACAGCATCTTTATACAGCAACTCGGGACTTGGATGCTAATGACACACATGCTATAAACGTGCTCCATAAACACAGCAATGACCACGGGTCCGTTATTACAGCTGGCATCTGTGCTTCGTATCACCAACAGGAAGCGAGCCGTGCATGCAGGGTCTAGAGCATTCCACTGATCATGGATAACCATGCACATTACAGGTCTCAAAGAAAGCAACATCGATAGCCAACTTGGCTCTCTCATTTTAATCAAGCATCATGTTGAGTATGGAAAGCACATTCTTTTATACCTACACACCATCATGTTGCACGGCGACGTTGACTCCTCATAAGAGGGATACACACATGTTGGCATGTATCACTATACGGCCATTACACGCCATCATGTCATTCAATAATGCTTTCATGGAAAGTGAATTATATATTGTTACATAAGATGTATAGAAAAATGGGTACAAATGGATATTTGTGGGAATATGAAGGCGAAATTGGAGAATAGATTTACAAACGATAAATAAAGTTGGGGTCCTCTCTATCGGTCATGTCGTTCATTTCACCGTTGTTCGTTGTAATTCCACGTGCTAGGCGTTCACGGTTAGACTTGGCCATGAAGTAGCGAGCGATCAAAAACAATACAATGGAAATTGCGTTTGCAGCCATGTAAGCGATCATGCCTATCATCGAAAACGTGTCACGTGAGTCATAGCACTACACAGGTCATTATGATATCTTTACACGTACCACCAAGGTAAAGTGGTGCTTGCCAATCAACCATCATCAATGGACCAGCAAAGTTTCCAATCTATAGCCGATACAATTTTGTGTGTGAGCGAGGCGATAAAAGAGTACAAAGAAAGGTGAATCTTACGGTGTAAAAGATAATGACACATGAGCTATAGAAGATCTTCTTGGTATAACCTGAAACGTTGTTTGCTTTTTTTTGGCCAATGTTAGCTGAATGGAATGCTTTTAAATTGGGAGTTACCCTTACCTAAGGAGACCAAGAACATGGTGTATGAAGCGGTGAATGCCCAGCAAAGGTACAAGCCAAGCAACTTGGCCTTGGGAACAGGGATGGCAACCAGCAAGACAAGACCAATGATGGCACACACCTGCATGGCACAAGCGGTATACAAAGTATTGCCATAGCGATTGTTGTACCAAATAGCGATTACAATGTACAAGGCACAAACAATACCCGAGGGGACGGTGAGCAAGATTGCGTTAACACCCTATTGTGATAACTCAAGTTAGCTCGCATGCATTAAAGCTATGATTTGCAGTTAGCAGAATTACCGAAAAGCCAAAGCCTGCTGTAATAATACTGCTGAAGGTGTTCAATGCACCATTTTGGAAGTTGATAAGCATCGATGAAAAGATGAAGCAATAGAAACGGGGTTCCTTGAGAGCTTCAATGATCTGGTAAAACTTGATCTCACGGGTGATGACAACAGCGTGGTCACGGATACGCTCTTCAACAATCTCACGTTGCTCTGGAGTCAAACGCAAAAACTTGGAACGGGGATCATCGACAAGGAAGAGGAAGATAATGATACCAAATGCAACAGTGATCACACCAAGAATAAGCATCAACCTATGTATATGTATAAATGATGCATGTAAGTAATCCTTCGTTTGTCTATGGATGAGCCAATCGTACCATTGCCAGGCACCATGTCCACCAACGCCGTCCATGTGCAATCCAACGCCATAGCCGATGAAACCTAATACAACAAGGTTGTTGGGTTAGCATTAGACGTCTTTGAATAACGTTGAGCGTGATGATGTTATACCTCCTACAGCCAATGCAATGCCGTTGGTGATATAGATGACGCCTATTCAAAGGTACATAGGATTAATGATCGTTCATAAGGCCTTTTAATGCATACATACCGAGACGACCAGCTTGTTCACGACGACGATACATAGAGCTAATCAACATGATACAGCATGGATACATGGCAGCTTCAAAGAAACCCAACAAGAAGCGTAAGCCTGCAAGGTCGGCAAAGCTCTTAGCCTTGAATGACACGGCGAGCACCATGCCCCATAACATGACAAGAACACCAATGTACCAAGAAATGCGGACACGTTGCAAAAGAAATTGATTGGGGAACTATACATCATTAGTGGAAAAAGGTGAGAATTTACATCTCAGGGGCATTATCACGTTGGCACTAGAGGAAAATGGAACATACCTGGAATACCAAGTAGCCTAGATAGAACAATGAGCCGAGCCAGCTGAATTGAGAGCCACTGGTGTTGGTATCTTCCTTGATACCCAAGACACCAGCATAATTTAAGGTGGATTTATCAAAAAACTAAAAGGGGTTATGATCAGATTGAGCTTCAAGTGGCATTACACTATGTGGATTGTACCTGTAAAAAGTTCAGAACGGCAACAAAAGGCATGACGTATAAAAAGTCGAGCTTTCGCACAAGCGCTCTTTCGGCAGCCGACTTGACATAGATACGATCGCCATTTTTGTCGAAATCCTCGCTCACATCAACGACCTTCTCAGACTTGTTTTCTTGAATGGTGGTGGTGGGAGTAAGGACATCCTTTTGCTCGACTACTTCTTCGGTTGTGTATTCGGTTGTGTATTCAACCTTTGATGTGCGTTGCTCCACAGTATATTCGACTTTTGAATCCACCATTATGCCGTAATAAAGCGAGCAAGGAGAATGCACAGAGATGTGGAAGAGAGAGAGGGGGAAAATAAGGCAAGTCGTAAGAAGGTGAAGAAAAATAAGATTGTCGGACTTGAGCAAACCGGCCGATGAGCGTGCAAGCACGATAGAGCAACGCTACTACTATCCATTGCCCTCGTTTATACTTGTACATTGCGCCGGACTCAGCCGTTTATCTTTTACAACATCAACAGCATCTGATATCATGTATGCAATGCTAATTGAGGTAGCTACTTGTCAAAACCATCCGGCAGGAATTGTTTGTAGCACACAAAGGGGAAAACGAAGCTACTCCAGATTTAGGCTAAGTTTTACTGCTATCAGCGAACGGCACGCAAAAAGCATAATGAATAACACAAACCTTGTCGCCAACACCTTTCGGGGTATATGGAGTATGTCAACATTGGAATATTCATCCATATCCATATGTTCGTTCTTGACGGACTTGGACCAGTGCTGCACTTAATGTCCAACTTAAGTCAGTGCTACACAAGTATTTTTGCTCTTTTTGCTGTAAAAAGCAACGTTACTCGCTCTCCTGGTGATGAATTCTTCCATCCTCGACCATTTTCTCCATTGCTAAGTATGTATTTTTTTCGGCAGAGAGTCCGCCCTATGCAACATAGTTGCGCCACTCGAACAATGTTGTGTTGTTGTTGCACCTGCCATTCCCAACATCCAGCTGCTCCGATTTTTGTGGGGCCAACAACCATCCATCGGGCAATGATCCTGCTTTGAATGTATGATCCATCATTGTAAGCCATTATTCAGCATACATTGGTATACTTGTAGCTATCAGATCTCGCCTTATCTAGATAAGCGATGCTAATGCTCGTTGCAGCTCCTTACTTTATTGATGATTTATACATGGGGAAGGCCACCATGAAATGGCAGGACGAATGTGATGTTACACGTTCCTTTTCCAACACAACATGGTGTGTCCGCAAGTAGCTTCGACGTTGCTGTAAATCTTTTCCTGATCTTTGCGGCATTTTTGTGCTGCATGGACTGACTGTGAATATTTTCCAGAGACCCGTAATCGAAAAAGGGCATTGCTACATGTTACATAGCATCATTGGGATTGATCCGATAAGACAAAGACAAGAAAATAGGGTGATTGATGCATGTATGCATATGCTTGGTGGTATGTCGGCTACTCTTTCATAAGCCTGCTAGCTTAAAAAGTGAAACCAATTGCATGATCCTTCTCCGAAATGAAAAAGTATAGGCACATGTAATGCACATTGTTATAGAAACCACCATTTGGACATAAATCAGGCCATTCGGGTACGCGTGGTCGACTAAATGCGTACGTTGATGGGTGGACAAGACGACAAGCACAGCATTTGTGCTGATGGTTGAATGTAACACAAGCACAGGCAGGTGTTTGTGTCACTTGTCTTGTGCATCTACAGCAAGCGTTTGTGCGTCTTTTGCCCTTTGTATGCATGTTGACCTTTCCTTTACCACATACGTGGGAAAAATCATGTAGCATATATTAATCTCGATCATGTAGAAATCTTAATTACTGGGTACATCAAAACGTCATCCATTGGGGTCTTTGGGAGAACAAGGGATGGAAACGATAATGAAGATATCGATGGCATTTACTATCACCGGTTCTCCCCCGCTCAATCCCATGTCGGATCTTATGCAAAATTTCGTCAGTACAGCTATCGGTGTTCTTTGACTTTTCTCAGATTACTCAGGGCAAGTGGCCGCGTGCATGTGCTTTGCTGTGCTTTGTTGTGTGGTCGGATGGTGCCGCCAGTTCCTGATCCCCACCTTTGGACTTTTTCCTTTATTATCTTTGTGTGGTGCCTTCTACCCGTGAAACAGGATTTGGTGATACCATGAGCAAAGGTTCTTTTCTTTGTCTTCATCCCGATCCATTGTGGCACGTGCTGACTTTGACTTTGGGAAACTTAGGTCAGGCGGGAATTGAATACTGGTCGCATGGCAACAACCCTTATCAAATAACTTCATGCAGGGGCTAACTTATGTGATAATTAATAATGATGTCCCTGGTATCTTACACCCTACCCAACAATTTGGACAGCAGTGTCCTAAGTTCATCTTTCATGGAATGGGACAATGGGTACAGCTTATAGATTAGTAAAAATGGCGGTGATCCAAGCACTTTTTGCAGATGGCAAGGAGTAGCGGTGATAAGCAATATGCATAGTACTGATAAAGCCTTTTTGGTACAGGATAGAATAAAGGATGAATTCGTATGTGTATATGCTCTATCTCGATCACTATACAATTCTCCAACAAACTCATAGTCAAATGGTTGATAGCACCATCATGGTGTATGGTGGCCACTCCTTTTCATTGTAGTTTTTAACAAAGCGACAAAAGAATGAAGGGGAAGAAAAGCGAAATCAAAGAGGGTCTATGAAAAAGGTGCATTGTAGTACAATAGTAGTGGGTGACAATTATTGCTCTTTCTTTGATTCCTCTGCATTGACGATAGGCTTATCCGAGGTAGGCTTGATACCAAGTGCCGACAAACGCTCCGTGAGACTTGGGTGAGAGCGATTCCAAGCCGAGTACCATGGATCAACGTTGAAGCCTCCCAAATTCTTGACGCTGAGCTTAATCAAAGCACTACGCAACGTAGCAGCATATCCAAGCTTGAGAGCATAAGCATCTGTAATCGAGATAGAAGATCAGCTATTACAACTCCGAAGCAAAATGATCATGCATTGATTGAGACTAACCTGCTTCATACTCGTTCATGCGTTGGTACATGTGCATTAAAAAGCCAATGATACTGTCGACGGGTGCATAAATATACTGGAAAAGCATAAATCCAATCAACGTAGGCATAGCTGAGAAACCGAAATCGTGGTAGAGTTGTGCATTGTTGATAAAGTACGAGAAGAGCCAGAACATGGTGAGCATGTAGATTTGGGTGGTAACCAATAGCTTCAAAGTATGGCTCATAGCCCAATGGCCAAGTTCATGAGCTATTATAGCAAATATGAATGAGATGGATGGTATTGGATCACTATCATCGCGTCATACGTACCAAGCACGGCGCAAATCTCATCATTGGTTGAATGGTCAATGAGCGTGTCGAAAAGAACAATGTGCTTGTTGCGTCCGAAACCATAAAAGTAAGCATTGGAGTGGCTGGATCTCTTGCTACCATCGATGACGTAAAGCTTCTTCAAAGGAAAGTTGATGCGACCTGCAAGTTCCTCGATGCGTGTTCTTAATTCGCCTTCCTCAAGAGGAGTCAACTTGTTGAACAATGGTTGAATAACAGTGGGATAAATGGTCATGAAGAAAAGCTGGAATGCAACCCTGCAAATGAAATCAGTCAATCAATCAATCAACCATCACTGCCATCTACAAGCTTTCGTTCCATGGACTTACACTGTGATCCAAACATAAAAGTAAAAGTTGGCACCGGTATACTTGATGATCCATAAAAAGGCAGCAAGAAAAGGAAGCATGATGACCGCAAATAGAAGCTGTGTCTTTGCCAAATCAGCGAAAAACAAGCCAAGCGTTTGCTTGTTGAAGCCATGGCGTTGCTCAATGACGAATGTAGAATACAAGGAAAAGGGCAATGAAGTTGCTGTTGAAATAAAGGAGTACACAGTCATGAAAACCATGGATTGAAGGATCTACGCGTAATAGCAGTGTTAAACGCATTCCTCATTCATCACCAAGCTGTTTTATACCTCATATTCAGAACCGTATCCAGCGTATTGACTGAGTAATCGACCTGAAAAGTCCCAAAGCCAAGGCAAGACGTCGTAATGTAGCTGCAGCAAGATCTCAAGCTGTTTGTAGGCGTTCTCCACAAAGGCAAATCGCGACTTTTCGAGGTTGTAACTTTGTGATTTGCTAAAGTCGGTCTCATTGACGATATCAGCAAGGTCTTGAGGACGTTCACGCATCAAGTAGCGGCGATGCTGTCGATAGCTGTTTGCCAGATGGGAAGATCAGTGGTTGGTCTTTCACGTGTTTCTACCCACTTGACTTACTTGAGATACTGCTCAAAGGCGTATACAGCACAGCTGAATCCTAGTACATAGTCCTTGTAGCTGACACCATCCACGAAGGATAGCGCTTGTTGAACCGAAGCCATGGTGAGAGAGAAGGATGAAAGAAAAAGGAGAACTCCCCTGCTGGTGAAATTCAGGTCGCACGCACAAATTTGCCGCGTGTGCCATGCTTGGTGCCGTACCACTTGCCACACACATCCAATCTATATCAGGCATCCAAATGCTCTAAGCCTTTCAGCCACTTTGAGACTATCCGCCATGTAGTGCTATTAGTAGTAGTGTAGCAATGAACCAATGCGAATTTATTACAATAAACGACATCTTGGCAGCAACAAATTGGGATCAATACAATGACGAGCAACAATAGCATCGAAGTAAAACGTGCATGCATAAAACCTTGGTGGACTATTAGGATACATAAGCATCTAGCGAGTCATCTTGAGTGGGTGGGGTCGCATAAAGAGGGTGTTCTATCACAAGCGGAGCTTCCATGTCCCTCTTCCTCCTTCAACTTCTTCTGCAAGTACCCAACGGATATGGCTGACAGCTCCTGGGTGTATGGAATACGACATCAGGTCCATTGCGGAGAGAGAGACACCAAAGTGGGGAAACGTAATGCTATAAATGGCTGACTCCAACACTTTCCAATTAGGCACGATGCCTCACAGCCGTCAATGCAAGTACAGAAAAGAGCAAGTTCCTCGTTGGTACTGTTGGTGTCAAGAACAATGTCGTGTGCCTGCTTGAATTTGACGAAGACAAATCCGAGATTATACCCACGTCATTCAGTCATCCGGACGAGGTTTGGGATATCTGCACGTGTCCTACCGATGAAGCATTGTTCTTTACCAGCCATAGCCCAGGTTAGTAACGACATTTACCACGCCCTGACAGATGAAGCTGATATGATACATATGTAAAGTGGGAGGTGATCCTGCAAACAAAAAGGCGACATTATGGAAACAACAGCATCAAAACGAGACGCTTGAAGAGCAGCTAACGCTTGATCATGCAGGGATCTCTCGGTAAGTGGCGAGTAAATGTCATTGTGTTCATAGTGCTCATTATAGGCTCTTTGTGTAGTGTATTCTGGGACAAAGACGTCTCCAAGATCATGGCCATCAATGCATCCAATGTATTTATATCCTCCATACGTGACAATGTTGCTGATGTAAGTCATCGCCAAGGAAACGGTTGCCATGTCAATTAATCGTTTATATAATAGACCACTCTTTCTATACATGCATCACATGACAACACTCTCCAAAATGCTGCATGGAATCCGCATGATCCTGAATCCATCATCACAACAGCTGGCACTTGTCTTGCAGGGTGGGACTTGAGATCCAACAAGCAAACATTCGCCCGAAATGATGCCCACAAGTCCACCATCCGTGCTGTCGATTGTAATGCAAACAAGCCGCATCATGTCGCTACGGGTGGTGATGATGCACAAGTACGTATATGGGATGTTCGGCAACTGGAGGAGCCATTGTTGACCGTGGATGGACATACACATTGGTAAGGATCACGATGTGCACACGACAATGAGCAATGGTATTCATTATTTACATGAAATATGGTTGAAGGGTTTGGTCTGTCGCCTTTAACAAGTTCCATGATCAATTACTACTATCGTCCGGGTCCGATACCTTGGTGAATTTACATAATGTGGTGTCGGTGTCCTCAGCATCTTATCTTGGAAGCAGTAATAGCGATGGCAGCGATGATAAGGAATCGGGACAAGGCAACGAGGATGATGACGATGATGATGGATGGGGAAGGTATGACAATTAGTTCATTCATTCATGGTGAAAAAGGAGATACTGATGTCTCTTTCTTCTACAGGCATCACCCCACGGATGGATTAATATGCACATTCGATCAACACGAAGATAGCGTGTATTCGGTCGCCTGGAGCCCTGCTGATACCTGGACATTTGCATCGCTATCTTATGCAGGCCGCGTAGTCATTAGCCAAGTCCCTGTAGAAGAGAAATTTAAAATCCTCGGTGTATAATACATTGGTAATAGAATAATCTTATTTATGGACAAAATAGTCTACCCTAGGATCAGTGTATGGGGGTATGTAAAAGGGTCTCGAGGCAGTATCGTTTTGCTGCGATTGTGAATGATGGATAACACGTTCTTGCTTATCTTGTCGATATCGTTCTTCACGCGTCGTCGAAGACGTAGCGTATATAGTGCAGAATGAATAAAGCTTGAGAATAGCAATGAAATGTGTAAAAAGAACCCAAAAGGGCAAATAAAGAACATCCGTTAGTTGACGCGTGAAATGTGGGAGCAATTCCATGGCGCATGATAGTAGTATCCATAGGACGTAGGCCACTAAAATTGCCCATGCAGGTACGGGATACGCAGCGATTGACCCAAGTTGTTCTATTTGCCTACCTAAGAAAGCAATCACGATAGCAAATATGAAAAGCAGGACAAATGGATCAAGCATTCTACTAAGCATGACGAGTGCTGTGTATGGATGTCGACACCAAATGCGGCGTATGACAAATAATGACAGGAGGTCTGAGCGTAATGCGGATCTTGAATAATGCAGCATCAACTTGGTGAAACGACGATCGTGGGTGCATGAGCGTGAAATCAAAGCGTCCTCCTCGCATATTTGACTACGAGTGTTCCATCCATGCGATACCATCCATCGCCAAATGTGTTGTTTTGCATCATCAAAATTTTGCAATTGTTTTCCAAGCCATACATCACTCTTAAAAGCTTCTTGGAAACTAGGATCTTTTAGAATGACCGTACGATAAGCTGGTATGCTTTCCCAAATGGTCGTTGTGCCACCATCGATATAGGTTGCTGCTGCAGCTTCACTGTTGCATACGCTAGCGTGAAAACGTTCCATTACATTCCATACGTTTTGGGAGCCACCATTCTCGTGTGCTGAAGTTGACGTGATATCAATCGCACCGATCTTCAAATCTTCAAAGCACGCCAAGATCCAATCAAGAACACTTGGCTTCCACGTCGTTTTTTGGTCAGCGAATACAATAATGTCCGTTGTCGCTGCATTGATACCCTTTAGGATCCGCTCCCGCATGTCAGCTTGAGGCATTGTGATCACTCGTAGTTGTTTTTGGTCGCTCGCTATCGTTTCGAATGACCCATCCACCACCGTTTCTTCTGTGACAATAATAACTTGCTTTGCATAGCATGACAACCAGCATTCAACGACTGGTTTATGGATCATTTTTGTACTTGTGGTTGACACGAGAATCGTAACATCCTGCGCAGGCTTGTATGCGGGTGTGGGAATGGGCTTGTTTGGCTTGTAAAGGAACCAAGCATACACTTTGATCATACACCAGAAACTACGACATATGCAAAAAGTAGCCGACAACAAGAGCAACGGAATAAAACAATCGCCTTCAGCTAGATGCACCATCTTAACATGTCAAGAGAAAAAAGAAAAGTAAAAAGCGACATGTACATTCCGTAACCATCATCACAATAAAGCTGCATTGTTATGCATAGAGTCACCTTTTCAAACAAAAACGCACAACACGGTGTATATATTTGTGGCAATGGTATCACATGCTGTTATTCTTTACTTCAAGATGTAACAATGGGTCTGGGGAATCCTACTACTACTACTCGAGAGGTATATTCTAAGCAAGATACAAAGCTTAATTAACTAAAGGGATCAGCATTAGAAATGGTATGAGACTTACATTCTTTTCGCAATGCTGCTTGACTTGTTCAAACACTTTGAGCATCTTGCGTCTTGCACCCAAAGCAGCAACGCCCTTTGCACTCAATTGTTCATCGTCCAGTCTGATCATATCTTGCCACTTCATGGATTCAAAAATGGAGTTGTATTTGTGGAGACGTAAACTTCTCAACCAAGCAGGAATATCTTTCAAAGAAGGCAAAATGAGTATGTTTACGTATTCCCAATATCACAAAAATATACCTACCTTGCAGCAACTCCATGTCAACAGCATCCGTATACTTTTTTTCCTTTCCTCCTGATCCACCTCCACCGCCACGTTGTCCATATGATTTCTTTCTATGCTGATTGTTGTTGTTGTAACGAGAGTGATGGTGTTGTTGTTGGTGACGACGTGCACTGACATTGGAAGATTCACTATGGTCGCTTAGATAATCATAATCCGGATCTTGTAAACGGTCGTTAGGATTGAGAAACCTTCCAAACCCGTTGGCAGCTGGTGGATGACGTGGGCTCCGTGTCGCTTCCCAATAGGGAGAAAGAGTTGCCGAGTTGGATGAGCTTGGAACAGGGGAAGATCTCAGCGCATGGGCACTACTGGTGCTTGTACTCTTTTGTGGCAAGGGACCAGCCCCATCACGTGCTGCAGCATCATCGTCATCATACATTGACAGCACAATGTCAGCTACTTGTTGACGCTCATCGGTCTCAGGGATGGTATTGTTGCTATTGTTGTTGTTATTGCTGCTGCTAGCTGCTGTAGCACTGGTTGTTTGTCCACCACGTCGACGAGGGAAGCGTGTAGTATCTTCACTAAGCATGACATTTCTAGAGGATCCCCAATTGCCACCACTAAGCACACTTGGCACATGTTGATCGATATCAGAGGCCGAATTGGGTCGTTCAATTGTCTTGCCACGTTCACTGAAAGTGCTCACTGTGGGTGAAAGGGCTCCCCACGTGGGTGCAGTTTCAGCCGAAGATGTTCCTCCCAATCCAAAAGACCAATTTGAGATATCTGCCGATTTGGGTCGACCACCAGCACCACCAGCAACCATGCCACCAGCTTGTTTGAATGACCATCCACCACCATTATTATTGAATATGGAAGAAAGATCACCGCCTTCAATGACTGAACGAGGTCGATTCATTGTTGATGCACTTTGAGGTCGAAGTCGAGGTTGTGGCATAAATACATCATCCATAAATCCACTGGCAGCTGGTGTTGTAGGTCTTTGAGCTGTCAAGTAATCTGCACCATAGCTTCGAAGCAGCTGCTGTTCATCCGCTTCTCCAAATGCAAATGAGTGACGATCGACATCTGTACGACCTGCTGTTGTTGCACCACCTTGGTGACGTGGCTGTTGTTGTCGTTGTTGGCTTGTTCGATACGCTCTTGATGATAACAGCTTCTGATTCGCTTCAAGCTCAGCCTTAGCCATGGCACCTGCCAGTTGGGTTTGCATCATATCAGCTATAATAACAACCACATGTCAATCGAGCTGTAGACAAAGAAGAGGAAAAAAGGGGAGGGAGAGAGAGAGAGGGGAGTAGGAGGAGTTGTCCATTTCACTTACATTTTTCAGGATGAGCGGGTGACAGGAGAGATCCCACTGGGTCTTTCTTAGCCATTTGTTGCAACACAGTAATAAAGAAACGGATTTGGACTTGGCTCGAATGTTGTAATAGGCTGTACACCATGGCTGTACGCTCAGCTTCATTCAGGCACATAAACCACTGATCGACATGATTCATCTCATCCTTGAAACGAGTATCCAGGCTAGCTGATGCCATGCTCTCAAGGTTTTGCTCATACTCTTGAAGATCCTCAAACCATTTATCAAGTGCTTCAGCTATAATGTCCATGTCAGCAACAAAATCCATTGTATAGTACTAAGGAGTACAAAGGGAGAAGAGCTTACTCTCGGGTGACATGAAGTTCTCTGGCCTGATAACCTCGGATAAAGGTCGTGCATTGCGTTGTTGAAGAGTGGATGCCCTTGCAGATGCTGATGTTGGTTTGCTTGTACCAGTGGATGAGGGTGGTCGAAGGGAGGATGAGCAAGATTTTGCAGGAACGCTTGTCATTTCGTTGGGTATGGGCCCACCACCACCACACGTGGAAGAAGACGAAGGAGTAGCACCACCGGAAGCATTGGAGTTGAGTAATGGAGTAAATGCGTCGACCAGTGGGGATCGTGGATAACTGGCTTGTGTAGACGACATGGAGCGTCGAAAGAACAAAGAAACAAAAGGGGGAAAAGACCAAAGTTTCACAAGGGAGAAGCAATCAAGGAAACTAAATGCACACCTGTAATGAATGACCTGCTCGTAATAAACTCATCATTATTATTACTACTCGAACAAGGTGGATGTGCCAAGTGATTATCATTTTCATTGTGATGATTATGGATTGAAGAAAGGATGGCTCCGGCTTAAGCGAAGCCTGAAACAGTGAACCATCCATTTATGCCAAAAATTATGCGCTCGATATGTCTTGATTGCCATACCGCAAGGGCCAATAGAGCCCTTGTCGCATGGAGCGTGCCCACAAGTGACACACACCTCGCAACGCGCCCTTTTTTACCTTTTCAAGCGCGGCCTTCTCAGGCTTGTTATCATGCAACATGACACATCTAATCAACTTGTGGTTGCCAATCACATCCTCTTCTATTTGATAATGCAATCACCATCTACAACACGATTCAAGTCATCTTGGTTTGACGTATAGCTGAAAATGATTCATTGCATCCATATTGCTCTTGCACATCCGTGTGGGTTGGTTTATTTAACATGTTGATTAAGATTTTGTTGCTTTTCAATGACCATTAATGCAGCTCCAGCAGGTTTATCTTAATGATGCTTATGATGGTGGATGACATGAAGCCTTAGAATACACATGATGCTTCACGCTTCTAATCCTCATTGCATACCATTATACCTTAAACATCCAATGCACTCTATGTATGGTTCATGCTATCAAGCCTTTCTATCATTGAATCATGATGGAGAAACTGTAAGTCATGTAAGGACCCGTTGCATAACAGCCAACACGCATGTGAAATGTGAGAGGTGATTAGTGATGAATGCATGATACAGCGGGGGACGTTGAAGGCAAGTCAACAAGGAAAAGAGCACAAATGACTCAGCACGACCCACGACGTAATCTCTGTCTTCGTGTTTATGCGGTATCTTCAGCTCCACTGGGTATGATTTAGTGGATAATCAGCTGAAATCAAATGCACAGGTATCTTTTTAATTGATAACCATAAAAAGACAATTTTCTGTCTATGGGTTGTTAATGTTCTCGGGAATAGAGTTAATATGGTTTGTCAAGCTGTGGTGTCTGTGAAACTTTGGGGGGAGATGAAGAGTATTCTTCCCACATCAAAAGGGAGATAATAGTAGTATAGTAGTAGTAGTAGAAGAAGATGATTATCATTAGCGTGGATCATCATCAACCTTATCGGGATTTTAGTGGAATGTTGCAATGTTAAATAGTTGTACAGAAAGGTGGAGAAAGAGAGAGAGAGAGAGTGTGTGTGTGTATGAGTGTGCATGTGGCTCAGCAAAGAGTATATCGACGACGACCATGACAGCAAAGGTAAGCTGGGGAAAAGATAGGCACTAACTAGCTGTGGGAAGAAATGACATAGTTTAGACATACAATTCCGACTCATACCGTGTGCTTGGGTATCTGGATTGGTGGTGGTGGTTGAATATTATTGATGATGTTGGCTGCATTTGGTCATGTCCATCGCTTTATTCATTTTCATTTCCCCCACACCCCGCATCATTTCATTCGTCTCATCTCTTTTACTTTCTTCATCTTCATTCTCCTATGCATAGGACTCATACCCATAGTAGTGCCAGCAGCAGCAGCAGCATCAATGGCACTGAGCCAAGCGACACATCCACTACAACATCCCCTCGTCGTTCAAACTCTTTAGACTTCCCTGCTCATTCAACGGGTAAACGCTCTATTGTCAACACTCTCATTCACCCATCAGCAAAAAGTGATCCTGCATCAGGCACTCCTTTCCTCCCTTCCACCATTCCTCCACCCGAAATCAACGACCCAGCCCTCTTCAGACCGGACTATGGGAGAGCTACAGTCAACGTGGTATGGCGCTATTGCACTATCCGTGGATGGTTGACCAAGCATACACCACCCACATATTCATTTTCCAAGACACGCAAAATGCGATACATTGTATTGGCCGATCGCATGATTTACGCCTTCAAAACAGAATCACCAACACCCTTTTATCGCGAGTTTTTGGAGTTGTCAGCTGATACCAACGTATTTGTGACGGATCGTTTTCCTGGAGTGTTATACTGCATCGCCGTTAACAAGCGAAGCAAGACTTGGTATTTGCAATGCGAGGATGCGCATACAATGAAATTATGGCTCGATCGTCTTAAGCGTACATTGGGATGGTTACGTGCCAACCGAGACTCATCAGGGATCGTCACCTTACAACGCCTATCAGAAGTCCCAACAGAGCATGATCAGCTTATCAACAACGTTACTAGCTCCTCATCTGAGAGCGTCACATCATCCTTATCATCACCTACATTTTCACCCACTCAAAAGAATACCCTGAGAATGTCAGGCTCCGTGGATGGGGAGGAGGAGGAAAATAGCGATTACTCAACACAATGGAATCATCATCATGCACCGACAACATCGCCACAAGAAGATTTGTATTATGCAAATGAGTATGATGGATGGGAACCTCCTCGACAAACATCTTCACTTCCACCTCCACCTCCACCCCCTCATCGTTATCATCCACGCTCACACCGCACTCTTTCTTCACCTCATCCTTCCATTCTACCACCACCACAACGTCCACCACCTACAACAGCACCTCCACCTCCACCTCCTCTATTGCAGCAATAACCTTCACCTTCATTCTTATTATTATTATTATTATCACAAAACTGCTCCCTTGTACGATAAGTTATGTTTTGTGTAGTATATGCATCATCCCCAAAATAAACAATACCCCCTCCTTGTACATTCATCCACATACAAACAAAAAAAGGATATCATCATCAGCATCACATCGATTATCATCTTCATCTTCGGGACACAATAAAGAGTATACATCAACCATTCTTCTATGACCTTTTCAGCTATCGATACCGTTGCTATGCTCGTAAAGAGATCACTGCTATGTAGTTCCCACGGCATGGCGCAGTAAAAGGCAAGCGACCTGCCCATTTTAGCCAATTCCTCTTTGTTATTTGATAAACACAATGCACTACAGCCATACATTATGCAAGGAGGTTTCAATCACTGGTCGGCGTTATTCCCTTTTCAAACTATAATGTTACAAGTCATGCGATGTATCATAGATACGTATCCATTGATCATCTTATTATCAGCAACAAGATATCAGATTGCCCGTTGCTATGCTACGGATTGCTCCTGCGAGATGTTGACAGACCTCGAAGCAGTGTCAAGATCATTATCAAGCTTGCTCTTGGTCATTTTACTGATACCCATGCATCGCAAATTAGTATCTGAGTATTCAACATTGGCGGGTACGATGTCCGCATATGGCCAAGCACATGGCAACTTCAATTACAGGATGAATCCTTGCCCGATTACAGGACCATAAGACATATTTTTAGATCAATGGATCCGATCAAGAGAGTAAGTAGTCGAATGACTGATGATGGCGTGCTGTGTTTGTAAATCTGGTTCCAGTCAGAAGGTTCTCCATTTGTTAGTGCCTTTTTGTTTCCGTGTACACGTATCACTGCGGAGAAGTGAGCGACGCATCGACCATCCTCATTGTGTGCGGCCTCATTGTTACTAGAACCCCATTGAACAAACACCCATCCCATTACTTTTGCTCTTTGTTTAAAAGAATGAGCCATGTATACATAGCACATCAGATAAACATGCACACAATATGCAAGGAGATAAAGTTGATTGCTATAAAGAAAACGTGGATACCGCTCCATTTCATTATGAGAATTGATTTGCTAGGATTCAGGTCGCTCGATCGGGAAGATGAGACACAGGCCATTTTAATCTAAGGAATGCCAAAAATAACATTTTGCCGCCGCTCAGGCACCACGGCACCCTCCGCGATTGGAGCTTGAACACATTTTTCCCGAAGTATATAGCACGCAAGACCAGCTGAGTGCATTCATGGTCATTATACCGTGGCATTGTATATTAACAGCTCTCGTGACTTATGCATGAGGATGACAGCTATGGTTACAAAGGACGATCATTAAGAACAAAAAAAAGAGAACCGATTTTCCCCGAATTCATTGTGTGAGTGTGCGTTGCATGTTGTTGATGATAGTTTGTAGTAGCAACCACTGCTTGGCGGGGACTATCGCACATATAGATCGTCACGCATGACGCCACAAGCAGCAACACAACATGCTTTGTCCTGCTATATTCTTTTGATACCGACTGTGCCGATGCATAAAGATGCATGACGGCATGGACCGATAATGTGTGTGATGAACATCTTGCAGCATCTTGCGTCCTCTTTCCTTGGTTTCTTTTTGATCTATGCTATGACAAACATCTCCTCCCCCCTTTTTTTACTTGTCTCTCAGCAAAAACCATGCTAAAGATTTCATATTCAGCCTTCCCAAAAGCAGTGCACGTGCTCCAGTGGTATAACAATCGCGGCTGTAACGGCGCGCATACCAGCAAAAAGGTATAAGCATAGCCTGTACACGAAGTATGCCTCGTTGTATTTTTTCTTTTCAAGGGTGCTATTATTATTACGACACGCTTTTCCAAAAGCAACTACAAAAGCAGACAGCTGACCATGGTTGTGGCGTCATTAGGATAAACCATATATCGTTTCATGAGAGAAAGTGTAATCCAAGGACGGCAAGAGCGATAATTAGATGGGATGAGGGAGAATATGGTAAAGAGAGAATGCGGATGATCTGGGGTGGAGGTTGGCTTACGCGTCAAAAAAGAGTCCGCAATGCGTGTGCAACGTGGATAGTGGGGTCATGTGCGTTGTCCATTCTTTTCGCTTGTTGCAACACAAAGGATTACAATGAACAAACGCTCGTTCAAGTTGCACATACGCAGCATCATCCATTTTACGTTTGCAAAATGGTCGTGATCATGTGTCTCACGCCTGCTTTTGACTGATCAGCCCTCCTCATCGGTATCGGCATAAGGATAATATTGGTTTCACCGCTATTCAGGGGTCCATAACATCATCCCTCTCCTTTTTCTCTCGTGGTCGATAACAATGGCGACCGATGCCATTGCGCCATTTTCTTGGTTGAACGTACATGTATGTTTCATATTGCGCTTATTCCTCACCCCCCCTGCATCGGAAGAGAAAAGCATTCGTTTGCATTATGCTTATGGTGCTTGCACACAAGGAGCACAGTGGGAAAGAAATTCCAAGCAAGAAAAGCACATGAAAATACCTTCGCTTCAAGGCACAAGCCAGGTGCAGATTCACATTTACCATTACTATCTTTGCTCTCATGTGGTATATCCTTCTCGCCTTATGAGCAGCCCACATAGTGCGCTAATGTGGTAACCATCATCATCGTGTGGTTTTTTTTACACTCTCATGATGGAATCATGCTTATACAGAAATTTCACCATTGCAACCCAGTGAAACATGATTATCCTGGGTCCCTGATTTTTATTATCCAGACATCGGAAGCGATAACAAGTCGTATATAAAAAAGCTATAGTAAACATGCGTAGCCAAGAAAACAAGTGATAAGGTAAAAAAGGGTCATCAGTAATAATATCGTTGTAAAGTGATGGATCTGTGCCATATAATCCAGAAGAGTAACTTTCCACCATTACAGGTGTTTCAGGATTAGGTAAAGGATCTTCATCCTCAAAATGGCAATCAGATCAATGAGTTTAAAACCACAACGTGCATCGTTTCCCAAGTGAGAAGCAGTGGGAGCATAGATCGCGGTCATCCGTGTGTGTGAAAAGTATCCATTACTGCTCGGAGCACGCTCCTTTCCCTTTGAAATCCCATCCTCTCCGCAAAAGCCCACTTTTTTTTTCCCGAGAACAATTGACAGGAAAGGAAAAGAATCTTGACAAGAGAAAGGGGATACCAATAAATGTGTCCTATCAAAAACTCATGGACTCAACTAAAAAAACAAAATCACTCGATGAGATGTTTGATATGCGGATTGCGGAACTGGCCACTTTTTTTTTGTGTATCGCCCATCACCGAAAAGCTGGGGGTTACAAAAGGGGATTGGAAAATGGCGGCAGCGGACTATGCTTCATCTGGATAAGCTGTGCGGATGGGGGGAGACCGAACGAATGGTACATGGACAAAGGGAGCGCGTCTATTGATGCCTGAATGGATCGTGAAACTTATTTTTCCGGACCAAAAGAAAAAAAAATAAGCTGCACCTTGGAATCTACAAGGTTACACGCTTTGCAAGCTTTTCCTTTTTATCTTCCCCTTGAGCCCATTCTCACATTTTCTTTTCCATCTTTCACCACTCACTTTACATCCAGCTTACGCTGAACCCACCACCAATCCTCTTTTCCCTTTGTGCTCTTTCCTTTGGGTCAACGTCTTGATAGACCAATTCCAATCCCTTATCCCGCTCCCTTTCGTTTTCCAACATTGTCTTTTCCCTTTCAATCCTACTTTTGTCGTATAAAGAAGACCCAAATCACCATCCTATCCACGAACTCTACTCACATACACAATGTCACAATCGCCTTCCTCTGATTTACCCCCACCTTCCTCTCCTAAAGCAGATGCATCCAACAATGAGTCTACGGCTGCTGATAATGAGAATACCAATGCATCAAAAGACTGCCAAAATGCTGTAGAGGACCAGAAACAGCAACCTGAACAGCAATCGGCTCCTACACGCAAGCGTACTAGAGCTACAGCCGAGCAACTTGCAGTGCTTGAAGATACCTTCGCTGTGAATGTGAGCCCAAATAGTAAGCTTCGCAAGCAGCTTGCTGAAAGATTGCAAATGAGTGAGCGATCCATCCAAATCTGGTTCCAAAATCGACGTGCCAAGGTGAAGCATATGCAAAAACGTGCCCAAATGCAAATGCAACAAGCATCGATTCGTGCACAGCTTTATCATTACCATCAGCAGCAATATGGTGGATACGGTGGTCCACTCATGCCGTTGCGTCCACAACAACCATCACCTTATTATCGCCCATACCCAAGTCCTCATCATCATCATCACCATGCCAACGACTCACAACACATGTCATTGTCACGCTCACATAGCGTTGATGCTGTTGTGTTGGATACTCAGCAACACGTTTCACCATACACATCTTCGTCAGTCCCCCATCCTTATGCTGCTGCTAGCGTGCCACCCTCATCAGGACAACATCATCATCACTCACCCTCACCATTCGAAAGTCAACCTCATCAACAATTCTCGTATCAACCATGGCAACCAACAGATAGCAACCCAGCATCCATCCCTCAACCTGACAACTTTACAACATCATCTGCATCATCCACTACTCCCAATCCACATTTTCAAGCATCCAATGTTTTTGCCAATTGCACCGAAATGCCTACTTTGGTATCTGTTCCTGATGCAGGCCCAACAGCTATGCTTGCCAACTCGGATATCACTACCACATCTCCGACCACGGCTGATGTTTGGTGCACAGCGGGTAAATACCAATATCAGATATCTTTGTGTTGGCACACGTACTTATTTTTCATATAGATGCACTTGAAAGAGCACATTCTGTTGGCATTGATCCAACGGCTGCTGACCTTGTTGCACCATCACGAGCACTTAGTGACCCCATTGTTACCACCATTGATCCTTCCAGCTTGATGTTGACACCTCCTGCAAGCACAAGCAGTAGCACAACAACAACAACAAGTAGCAACAGCAGCCAACAAGATGAAGAGGATGATCGACAACAACAACAACCATCCAACCCATCATCAGCATCAAGTACACAATATTTCAATGCCACAACACTTACCATTGGCACATGGCACCGACTCAAGTTAAGATCGAATGATTTACTTTGTGCCTATGAGCCTGAGCGACGTATGTTTGCTTGGTACATTTCTGATAACGGCTGTCGATTCAAAATGGAAGTGAGTCTTGATGCTGTGGCCAGCATTGAATATATGGCTGGTGATTGCGATGTCCTTGCGGATGTACATTTCGATATCAGTGAGCCTCCTCTATTCTATATGGAGCAAAAAGACGAGTGGGTGCAGTGCAGTGATTTTACGGAAGGAAAGCAAGCATCTCGATTCTTCCGTCACACGCTAAAAGGTGTTGCCCATTACTTGAAGCAAGAGTTGGCTGCTCTCACATCCAAGCATGAGCAAACACGTAGGTTGGTCAAGTTTATTGAAACGCCTGCAGTCCCACCACCAGCAGCACCACCAGCACCTACAACCATGATGGCACAAGATCCAATGTATTGTTGGCCACCACCACCAGTTCCTCACGTGGCCACCGCACCAGCTTTTATGACTGAAGCGTGTGCTTACTTTGCTTAATCTTGTCCTCCATACAAACCTCTCCCCTTCTCTCCCCCCCAAAAACACCTCCATCCTCCTCCTCCTCCTGCTTTCATCTTGTATCTCTTTGTGTTTTTCACCCCCTTTTACACTTTGGCATTCATAGCCTATTTATTTGTATATATATAGTACAACTACCGAATAAACCTGCATGTGTCTTTTATTATTCATAGCTGATACCATAAAGCCGGCCTTTTTAAGGGTAATCACTTGCTTTTGTATATAAAAGATGGCCTGATGTCAGATGTAAAGGGGATGCATCATTTCGTGGTACGCGGGATGTGTGGAGGATAACGTGACGTGGAGAATGGAGATATGGTGGGGAGGAGACACAGCAGCAGTAAGCGCATTATATCACTCAACGCGCTCTTTTTCTTTCTTTCCCAATGTATTTAGCCACGCTCATCTTCCTTTATGCCTTAATTACAGAAACCATCCTAATCCTCGGCTACTCGTATGTCACTCGCAGAGTAAGTCTATCCCTATCTGATCCCGATCGGCAACAGACCCATGTTGACAGCCATTGGTTTTTATTCCTGCATGTAGGCATACCAGTGGTACATTAACTTTACAAAGGATAAGAGGGTCGCCAAGCAACAAAAGCTCAAGAGGGATTTGCTTGTATTAAAGAACGAGTTATCACAAACGAGCTCACAGGTGAGTTGGTTCATATGGGAAGAGGTGAAGAGGAAGATATGGCAAGTAGCTAAAGACGATTTTTTCACGGATGAATGAATAGGATGAGTTTGCAAAATGGGCCAAGATGCGACGGAAGCTTGATAAAGGGATGGCTGATTTGGAGAAGTTGAGTAAGTTGGACAAAGACGACGATGACAATGGAAGAGGTACTTACTTATTGGATCATGTAGCTTCCGATATCAATTTCAGCAAGGCCAGCTTTGAACTTCGAGCCAAATCTGTTTTATGGTTTCTGGTGCATGGTACACGTACGATCATTGTCATGTGGTTTGCACGTCAAGCGACGTTTTATCTTCCCAAGGGTTGGTTTGGTCCAGCGGAATGGTTCTTGTGGATGCCATTGGCACCCAAAGGTAAAGCATTTAGGATGGGGGAGGGTCAAGGATGCAAACCCAATCTGATCATCATTGGAATTAGGTGCTGTGAGTGTAGCCATTTGGATGTCGGCTTGTCGTCAAGTCATCAAGCAATCAGTGAGCATGTTCAATGATTTCGTTTTACACAAGATCAAGGCGGATCCAGTAGACAATTAGAGTTACTTAATGAGTAGTATACAAATCAATACAATTTATTTTGCATGGGATAGGTGGATGATGAAGCTAGGTAATGGCGTTGTTGGTGGTGATGTACGTGCGACCTTAAGCAATCACGTGTCGACATTTTATGGAAGCGCAAAAGTCAGATGTTGACCCCCATTCTTTGCCTCGCTTGTTTCTAGACAACGCGCTTATGGAGAAGTACTCGCGTTGGAGAGTCAGTATCCTCGTTCATCTCTCATAGTAGCAATGCTTACTAACAGCCATCTCGATCTATCATTAGGATGCCGGCACAGGCATTCAGCCATTCCTGCCTCCAGTTGTAAGGATTTCCTTTGGTTGATCACTTCTTGCACAGCTTTTGACAGCATGTTACTGCTAGCCACCACGTACCGACTCCAACCTCTTATCGACACTCTCCAATGTTATCCATACGATTGTGGGTCCTATCCAAGGCATCGTTAAACTCGCCCTGGTCCTCGTTGCGAGCTTATTGTATCTCATCCTTGTACCTGGTATCGGATTGTTGCTGGTGAGCTATCCATTATCTTGCTTGATATCATTTACAATATCTAACAATGGATATCAGAGCCCTGTGCGATTACTACAACGATGGTGGGATCGATGCTTTTCTTTCATCTTGCTACGTCTTGTGCTGTTCTTCATTGGTTTCTTTTTCATCAAGTCCGAGACAATATCGTTGCGACGAGGGTAAGCATTCTACAGGAGTCCATACAATGAGACATCCAATAATGACACCCTATTTTAGAAGCAGTAGGAACAATGGCAACACCAACAAAGAAGCAAAGATCAAATCAGGCGACATCATTGTGACGAATTGGACATCATACATTGACGTGCTTTATTTGGCATGCAAGTAAGTAAGGAAAAGGATATTGATGTTGATCACTTGTATACAATAGGAACCTAATACTCTATATCCCAGATACAAGCCTGTGTTTACTCAAGTATTTCCAGTGGAAGGTAAAAATGTGCGGAGAATCAGCTTTTGGCAAGCATTGCGTCTGTGCACGCAAGAACCTGCATTGACACCTGAAGACGTTGGCGTTCATCCATCCGAATTGTATACGGTGCGAGAATTGGCTGAAGAAGCAAAGAGTCGTCATTGGGGTCCCATCGCCATTTTCCCTGAAGTATGTATTATCCGTACGAGACCGGTAGGACGTATATTTAAACATGTTCTATGTATAGGGAACCACTTCCAATGGTCGTGCCTTGCTCAAATTTGCACCCATCTTCAAATGTTACGAGCCTTCAGAGCGCAGCAATCACTTTCATATACTCGCATTCAAGTAAGACTATCCTTTTTTCGCTATATGACATGATGAGATCTAATGAAACATGAATGGATATAGATATGAGTACCGTAATTTGCCACCTACTTATACTGTTGGGAACCAATTTTGGCATTTCTTCAAGCTCTGCTCACAGGTAAATGCTACATTGGCTATTTTCAAAATGAGGGCTGACATGATTTCAGTTTCACAATACATTGGGTGTTAGACGTTTAGCAAGCGATGATGTGCCTTGTAATCCAGCAATGACCTCCTCTCAACAAGCATCCGATCTCGCATCACTGGCAGGCACGGGCACAGATGATTTGGTCGGTGGTCAATTGGTAGTTTGTCTTGCCAACATGTCACGTATGCGAAAGACCAATTTGAGCATGTCAGATAAACGTGATTTCCTCGAATACTACCATTCTCGATTCAAGGATAGTGCTAGAAAACGAGAACAGCAAACAATTAAGGCAGCTAGTAATAAAAAGGTTTTGTAATAGCTCACTTCCAAAATCACATGGGGTCTTCCAAAGATATGCATGTCTACAACAACTTCAGCCCCCAAGCAAGATTGATTACAAATTGTGTATGCTATTGGTTCGTAATACCCCAAAGTAGACTTTCAACAATTGGCATTATGATAGGAGAAGGATTTACTGTGAGGACAAGGGTTCCAAACGATTTGTGCTATGATAGTGTATGATGAATGTACATGATAAAGCAGCTATGTGGCTCATGCACCATCCAAGTGGGTTGTCTATTGCGTGTTCATGTATAGATTAGCACGAAGATTGATGGATATCAAAAAGATCTCAGCCCAAGTAGTGACCAGTCTTTATGCAGCTGGATTCAACCAGTCGTGATCTTTTTCTTTTTCCTTTTCATTTATCACAGCTTTTCATGGCAAGTAAAAGTAAAAATGTCCCTTGTGAAGGTAACTATACCATTGTCCCACACCATTCTAGCTATGAACTCAATATGTGTATAGGCTGTCGGGAACGGAAGAAAAAGTGCAGCTCTGGGCTACCTTGTGATCGGTATGTCATGTCACATTTGCCAAACCCGGTGATCTCGACACTGATCGCTTGCCACTCGTTAGCTGCAAACGCCTTGGAATCGAATGCACCTACTACAATCCAGCTTTGACGCATCCTGATCGTTTCATTGGGACCAACAGCAAGGAACTGGAGGCTGAAGTGGATGAGCTACAACGGATAGCCAATAGCTTGGAGGATGAAATGGATCGGTTACAGCAACACGACTCTTCTCTTGACAGCAGTAGCCATGACAACGACCCGATTGATAGCAACGGCGGCGGCAATTTGTCCGATGCCGTGTCAACTACGGAGGAATTGTCCGAGATAACCGAGCCCGTTGATCTTGTAAAAGTCAATGATAGCATGCCATTGCAGTGGCACATGTCTCTTGGAAAATATGGTCTTTCGTTGGAGACAGATATCCAGTCTTTTGACGATTTATTGCATCAAGTGCGGATCTTCGGTCAAGCTCTTTTGCGGGGTAGAAAACCACCATCCTCAACAATGAAAAATGGCAGCAACACATCTCCAAGTCAGCAATCTACCACCATGCTACGGCGTTATCCGATATTTACTCCATTACGACGAGCGAATTATCGAGCAAAGTTGCGTTGCGTGAGCATGAATGAAAAAGACGACACACCCGAGACACCTACCAGCGATACTACAACTACTACAACTACTACTACAACAATAGATCCTGATCTAATCGATCGACAACGCACCTTACAACTTTTAGAAGCGTACTTCGAATGTCAATTTTATCATTGTGTCATGATGCATCGTGAAACATTTTATTCATCCTTCGTCAATGGAAACACCGATTTACTATCATCGCCGGTTGTTTGCTCATTGTGTGCAGCTATCATTACTATGCGATGTCGGCATATTCGAGAAATCATCCCATGTGATAAGCAAGCGACTGCTCACACCTTTTACTTGAATCGAGCACGTGAACTTATTGCCACCAAATTTGACGTTGCCACACTCGAGACGTTTATGACATTCTTGTTCATCGCCCTTTATTATATCAACTTGATGCACCCAATTCGATCCAGGAAATACCTTGAACTCGCTGTTCGGATACGCCATGTGCTCGCCAAAGACTATGAGACCAACAAAGATACCGACATGCATGAATACGAGTTATTCAAGCGATTACACACGATGCTCTTTGACATTGCACATCAAATCGATTTCTTCAACAATCATCGAGGTGTCCCTGATGACAATGACAACAGCAACAGCAGCAGCAGCACACATGATAAGAATAGCAATAGCGGCAGCTTACGGCAAAAGACACAACCCTTATCCCCTGAACTCGCAAAACAGATATCACTCTCCAAGCATACACCCACACCTCTGCCTGATGAGAAAGGGGGTCATTTACGGGCATTGATGAAAGACGTATATACAACACGCATGAACGCTGTATTACATCCATATCTTTGTGCAACCCGCTTTTCCACCAAAGACACCATCCCACAGTCCTTTGCCATAAAAATGGAGACGATGTACAACCATTATTGCTTTACCGAGATACCACCCGAATATCGACTCTCACTCACCATTTTCGAAAATGACCTCAGCGACGATGAATTTCAATCACGGCTCACCAATGATCACCACTTGGATATCACGGCTGTGTGTCTTGCAATACGTTATTATCATGGTCTTATCAGCATCCATGAGCCATTCATGCCATCCCTCCCTCGCCATTTTACACGTGCCAATCATCCTGAGCGCCCTCTTATCAATTGCGATTACACCAGTGAACCCAAACCATCCGATATCCTGTTAACTGAGCAGATGGAAACCTATCATCTACGTGCACTTGAAGTATGCCATCGATCAGCCATCATTATCGTACGACTACTTGAATTCCTTTCACACAAGAAAAACATCTGCTGCTACATGTTCATGCCATGTTTCCTCACAGCGTGGGATATCCTTATGAGAAATGCATGCTTAGGATTGGCGGATCCAGAGGAGGCACAGAAATACGCACCCATTCGAGTACTCAAATTATCACGTGATTATTGTCTTCGATGCGTCGAGCTGTTGCGAAAAGCATTCCATTTCAATACCGGTGATCGTATCATGTGGGAGCATCATCAAGATGTTGAGAATGAGATTCTTTCATCCTTATTCGCTTCACGACCTTATACAGCCGATTATTGGGATCCTTTTAGCTCAACAAGTGCATGGTGATATCCATTGCTGTGTGTATGATGTTTATTCTCTTTGTATATTTCATTACTCCATATAGAAGAAATTAGGTGTGGTCATGATGCAAAATTAATGTAAAATAGTCGTATTTGGTACATATGCATTTGTTGGTATTCTATTGTATGTGTTTGTGTGTCTTATGGTACAGGTTGATTGTGTTGTTGGTCGTGGTGGTCATTATCTTTGATTCGTACAGTCATGAGCCGACTCATTTCACCGTGAAAGGCAGGTGGCGGCGTTGGCGTGGAATTCGAAGGAGTGGAAGAGGTTGGCGAGGTATGGGTTGGTGGTTTTTGTGAAAGGTTGTTGAGAATATACATCATCCATTGCATGTTTTCTTGTGCTCGTGTACGTATCACATCGTCGGCTGCATTCTTGAACGTCATCAATAGATCCGATATTAATACAAGCCAATGAACATCAACAAGACAAGGGGAGACATCATACAGCGTTAATGATAACTTGGCTACGGCGTCACAGCAAGTGGATACGATTGCCAATGCACGTTGACTGTCACGTGTATCGTTGGTATCAGGAATAGTGGTGGATACTCGCATAAGGCGCATTTGAATCAGGATCCAATACATGAAATAAGCCAAATTAAGGTACATGATGTAAGGCTCTTGACATTGTCGGATACGTTCCATGCTAAGGACTTCCATCACCGGTTCATCGGATAAGACATAGGCCCTTGGTAACAGATGCCAGAATTCCACAAGACGACTTTCAATGTATGCCATGTCAGAATACGATATCCGCTCTATCATCCCTGCGTATAGCATGCAACATGTGATATCTTGTCGTTCAAAAGCTGAATCGAAATGTCCAGGGAGGATGCTAAGAGCTGTCAAGTACTGGTATATATCGGATGCTGTGTTGTAACAGGATTCTTCTTCTGCTAGTCGCATAGGTCGTCCCACATATTGAGCACTCGCTATCAGTGATGATAAATCCATCGTGCCGTCGTTGAATAGCATCGCTAAGCTCATCTCAAATGATCGCATATCGTAAAACAACCGTCGCCATGACTCCGCTTCGACCAAGGTAACATTGTGATCGATGTGTCTGCTGTTGTCTCGAGAATGAAGAAGAGGCCAATATTTGTTCTTTAGCACAAGCACCATACGCCATCCCAAATGAACCAATCGCCGTGCTTCTTGAACATTAAGCTCCAACATAAGACAAGTTGAAATGTGTCGTATGGATGCTATGATCTCAACTGTCGGCTCATCGAAAAGAACGTCTCGTAATTGCATATAGGCCTTTTGTTGACAAGATGTAGCGAATGTTTTGCGTGTGAATGGTAATCCTTGTACACACACGTGATTGCATAAACTGTTGGAGATAGCTGCGACAATGCTGTTGGCGAGTAGACAATCGGTATTCTTGAGAAGTAGTGGTAAATAATGTGAACGTATGAGACGCTGATGTGGATAGCAAGTCTGCTCAAAGTAGTGGTGGATGATACGACGTTTGAGGTTGATAACGGAAGGATGGTTATGATCAATAGACTCCTCATTGGCGATGCTCTTTGTTGATGCTCCAGTGACGACAGCATTATTTGATTTACCAAATGCGAGACCAAGAATGAATCGACGCAAGACGTATTCTATAGGTGAGGCACGTTGGATCATCAAGTAAGCATCCTTTGCTCGGCGATCGGAAAAATAAAGAGGTGATCGGATGATTGGAGGGTCGAAATAGTCATCGTCATTGCCGGCACAAAAGTAAGCCCGAGCCCGCTTCATCAAAACCAGCATTTCGGCTACAGTCTTGACAGGTGCTTCGATACGCATATTGCCACCATCATGCGCACTAATCGATAACCATTGCTCAGCTTCACCAATCCTTTTCCTTCCATGGTCGCCAAATGATTGTAACTCGGTCTCCATATCATTCACAAGCTGCTCCAGTTGTCGCACTTGATCTCGTACATGTTGTCGTTTGCTTCGAAGGAGTCGTCGTCGCTTGGCTTCAATAGCTGCTGCTTGAGGACATTCCACTGCTGCTGCAGGCCGTCGTGTGAACTTGTAGAGGCACACAAGAGCCATACGTCGACACCTCTCACAGTGCGTCCCTGTCAACGTTGCGCATTTCCTCCTATGTTTTCGACAATGTTCGCCTATAGGGAAACCACCTGATTGGTACACGGGCTCCATGATTATGCTGGATAGAGCAAATGCTTACATGGCACATGTCTTGATCGGTGCTCAATCGATTCAGTGAAGACCACCTCCCGCATTGGCAAAAAGAGAAAACTGAGGAGGAGTCTCGCTAGAGTATAAGCTCGGGTGCACTATCCGAATTTGTTGACGAATCAGCGTGGATGTTGCACAACAATAGCATTGTAGTCTGTGTCTGTCACTTCACTTGTGATCCTAAAATATAGGGTGGTGGTAGTTGTTGAGTTGCTTTATTGATAATACACACACACATGTTACATATATATATACAAAATGGGGATTGCTACCATATCTGTTTCATTTGTTTTGCAAAGTAGACTGCAACAAGTCGCTGGATCTCGGTATAAAAAGCTACTGGCATCCAAGGTGAAGATGGGTGATACTGTTGTTGCTGGTAGTGTTGATGGATAGGCATCAGTGGAGGAGGATGAGGAGGATAGGGTTGTCCAAATGGGATCATGAAATTGCCCAACATTCTCAATGTCCATTGGAGGTTTTGTTGAGCACGTGATTTGACATCCGGGTCTGCTACGTCCTTGAGTTTCACCAATAAATCGGCAATAAGCACCAACCAATGGATATCCAGAGCACATGGCATGATTTCATATAACGCAAGTGCTACTTTGGTCAAAGCATCGCAACACACAGAGACAATGAGCAACGCCCGCTCACCATCATATCGTCCCAAAGATGTTGTACTAAGATCTGCTGTACTCGGGGTTGCCATAAACCGCATCTCCAACAGGGTCCAATACAAATAGTAAATCTCGTTCAGGTACAGCACATCGGGGTTATTGCATTCCCGTACACGATTCATATCCAGAACTGCCATCAGTGGCGAATCTGCAAGCACATAATCCCGCGGCAGCCTCATCCAAAAATCAACAAGATGACCTTCGATATGCTCAATATCTGCACATGACACCTTGTCAATCACGCCCGCATACAATCGATATCCCACAATCTCTTCTCGAGTCGTCCATTCTGATGCTGGAGATCCACCTGGCAACATTGACAATGCAATAAGATATCGATACGCCTCCACTTTTCTTGATGATGCAGGATCCGTTTGCTCAATATCCAAAACAATAGGACACCCGATATGTTTGGCACTTAATACCAATGATGAGAAATCGGCTTCCCCCTCGTACATCATGCATAAATTGAGCTCAATGTAGCGGATATCATAAAATAATCGTCGCCATGTCTCTGCTCGTGCTTTCATGGATGTCGTAACGTATACAGAGCTGTGATCTCGTTCAATGCTTTTCAATGTGCCGAGATAGGTATCCTTGAGTTGAAGTGCCATACGCCAAGCAAGACTTGTAAACTTCCTTGCATCATCTGATTTCAGTAGCAAAAGGTGGCAACCTGCCAAACATCGTAATGTTGCCAACGTTTCAAGTCCGGGCTCTTGATCAAATAGTGCATCTCGTAATTGGGTATAAGCCTTTTCCATGCATGCTGCTCCAAGCATTTTACGACTGATGGGTAAATCGATGATTGAGATGTGGTTGCATATTCCAAAAGCGACGATGGCGATGATGGCGTTGGCAAGCATAGAATGTGGATTGTCAAGCAAAAGAGGTAAAAAATAGGGACGAACAAGGATTGGTTTGATGTAGCAGCCGCATGAGAAATAGGCATTGATGAAACGTCGTTTGATTTGAGTCATGGAGCTATCATCATCGTCAAATTGAAGAGGTGAAGTGGGTGGTGATGGAAGTACAGCTGCATCGCGTGTAAAGAATCGCCGTAATGTCTGCTCGACTTGTGATATTTGTTGAGTAATGTGAAGCATCCCTTGGGAACTGTCGGAAAAGTAACGAGGAGTGCGCATGATGGGTGACAAGGATCGAGTTGCATGCTCCAATAATGCAATCATATCTGCCATGCTGTGAAGAGGTGCTGTTTCCAATCGCAATCTTTGGTGGCAACTTGTGATGCTTAACAACGGTTTCATGCTGGACAACGACTCCATATCGGCTTCCGTGGATACGACAAGTCGCTCAAGTTGCTCAACATCCTCCATCAACATCTGTTTCTGGGTCATGGATATCCGTTTCCGCTTGTACACCTTCTTCTCTCCACACTGTGGATATTGAAAGGCAGCCTTGGTACGCTTGGAATACTTGAACAGGCACACAAGATCCATCCGTTGACATCGCTCGCATTGCGTTCCAAGAGGCACCGTGCATTTGCGTCGATGGGTTCTGCAATTCTCACCTAGCCATGAGATAGAGCTAGTTAGTACCTTGAGTCATTGTAGTTATATAAATGAGGTTCCTTTACAAGGTGTATGTCGAGCTTGTCTTTCGGTGGTGTTTGAAGAGGAGGAGGTGGAGGTGGAGGTGGAGGTGGTGGAGAAGACCATTACCAGAAAAAGTGGGGAAATTGTGCACTCGGAAAATGCGGACCGATATGAGAGAGATTGCTGATAGTGAGTGCTCTGGAAATGAAAAGGATGGAAGGAGTGCCCAGGCCCAAGGAATATTATCGAACTACCTTATCCTACACTATAATGCACGCTTACGCCATGCTGATGCTATCATCCGCCTTTTTTGGTAACTGGTATCAATGCTCACAGAGCAAATAGATGGTGGCGCCATCAAGGTACAACACCAGCAGTTGCAGCGTGGTCCCTCATGATGATGATGATGATGATGATGATGATGATGTCGTTTTGCTTGCATTTGACAAACAACATTTACGCCTGTACTCTTTTCAAACATCGAAAAGAATCAGCAGGGGCTCTAATGTAATGCTTTGCATTTGATCCTCTCGTGAATACTATCAACTATCACGATGTATGTACATAGGCCAATGATGACGATAGATCAGCAAAGTGAATTGATAACAGTGGTGGTTCATTGTATCATCGCGGTGATGCATGGCTTGTTATAGCGCGATGTTGTCATATACATGTATGCTTCTGCTGCTTACAACAATTGATAATGATTACCCATTACGCATTGATGATATCAACATGACATAGTCCCACACATTCGGTTTTGATGCATCTTGTCGTCATTAAGTCTCGAACAGCCTATATCATACTAAGAAATAAACATTACTCATGCTTCAACCTCAATGCGTTGTGCATCATAAAGGTTATTGTTGCAGGTATTCATGTATGACGTCGTCGTCATACATGCGAAAACAAAAGGCATGACGATAATGACATCAAGAGCAATGATGATAGCAACAATGACGTATTTTTTCAATGCTATACCAGTAGAATGAGGGGTATGATTGACCATCGGGAGGTGCATCTCACTTTGTTGGCAGTCAGTCATATAAACCAAAAACCCCTCAACCTTTTTCGGCGGTAGTTTCATAGATGATGTTATTGTTGTATTTGGTGTTCTACTCGAAGCGCTTTTCTCTGTGTGCCAACTTGAGTAGCAAGTAATGATGATGCTTATCCACGAAACAAAAGGGCATGTATATTACAGGAAGGTTGATCATCGAGAGGACACCTGCAGTGTGCATAAACGTTGTCTTTTAATACCTCCCTAAATCACGCTATGTAACGATGCTCGTATTTGTGGTACAAGGCTGTTATTATTATGCAAACACTTGTATAGACTTACAGCTCCGAAAGCTTCAGGATGACATTTAGGGATGGCGGTGGATGGTTTTTGGTTTGGGGTGGTGAGAGCTTTCAGCATGTGTATGTAGCGCTGATTCTTAATAGTTAGAACAGGACGCCGCTATGTTGACTCTCGCTTTTCACATGCCACCTATTATGGTATGCTTATACGTAAATCTGAGAATCACCAACGTTCGTATGTGTTTCATCATCCAAGAAAGGGGTGGGTAATGAGAAAAATGAAAGCATCATTGCATAAAGTCATCAGCCGCCATATTCTTAAATGCCCACCAACACCGTCTTGGTATTCATAACCCGAAGAAATTCTTGGATGTACATATGCCACCCGTGTCTTACTCAAGAAGAATCAATTCCACCACAAAATTTGTAAAAGAGTATAGGACGGCATAAGCTAATCATCTGGAGTACTACCTTGAGGGAGCTCGAAAGATGATTGATGCAAGCGCTATAGGGGTTCAGTATGTGTAGCCTTCAATTTTTTTGCCACCAAACCTTAAAGGACCATTTTCATTCATCATCAGTATACTACAGTCATCATCCCTTTTCTTGTTGCACATGCTTTAAAATTCAGGCGTGGCGACTATGCTGATTGCAGCAAGCGATCGCATGCCCCTTTTGTATTGTATGTACCGTAATCTAATGAACGCCGGTTTATACCCCTTCCGTCACATTCGGAACTATGAAAAAGGGCTACCTACTTAGTTGTATAAATATGATGGATCTTCAGCTTCTTTGTCAGCTTCACTTTCAGATTCCCATCACCACATTATGGCCCCCCTGAAAATCATCGGTGCTGGATACGGCCGAACAGGCACTGACAGCTTGAGAATGGCCCTTAACATGCTTGGGTACGGGTGATCTCGATTAGATCTCATATAGTAACAACCTGACAACGCTAATAACGCTTGTTTCCTAGGTATAATTGTTTCCACATGCGTGAGTTAATACGCGAGGATCGTCATCCTGAGGTATTCCTTGATGCCTACCTTAATCCTGAAAAGCCTGTGGATTGGGATAAGTTGTATGATGGCTACGATGCTGCTGTGGATTGGTAATACTCTTCAGGTGCAAGCATACATCATTACCAAATGCTTACATTATGTGCGTCTAGGCCAACAGTCTCTTTTGTGGAACGTTTGCTTACTGTGTACCCTGATGCTAAGGTGATCCTTACCGCCCGTGATGTCGACAGCTGGTATCGCTCTATCAAGAACACCATTCACAAATTGAGCGTCGAGTGCAGCAAACGAAATGACCTTTCTGAGCCTTTGCAGCGATGGAGAGAAATGAACAACACCCTTGTATTGGATGGCGCTATCGGGGATCCAGAACGTTTTAATGACGAAGAAGCTATCAAGGCAAAGTACAACGCTCATGTAGAGTGGATTAAGAAGAATGTTCCTAGTGAACAACTTTTTATCATGGAGCTTGGTGAAGGATGGGAGCGATTATGCAAATTTTTGGATGTGCCGGTGCCGTCTGATCCTTACCCTAGCGCCAATTCCACCAAAGATTTTGTCAAAAGCTTCATAGAAAGTAATTTACAAGATGTATGAGATCGAAAAATCCATGCAGGAAGGGACCTGACATTATAATCAATCTCCTTTTGCATATGCAACTTGACAACCCACCCCCTTACAAGCTGCACCCCCAATCATCCAATACATAGACGGCTTGATTTTTGCGTACCTTATGTGCAATTGACCATGAAACATGATGCTGAAGACAACTTGATGACCATTGATCGGTGTATCAACATTGCTTTCCAATGTAACAACAACAGGCGAATACATGCCCTTTCATTAAAGGTAGCTAAAACGTTAACGTGTTTGCTTTTATTACCTCCCTAAAGCAGGTGCCCATTTGGCGTGTTCTTTGTCAAACAATCACCCAACACCTCTCAATGAACATACTACACATCGGCCTTTAATTGCCCACTTTGATTCTTTATGTGGTTTATGTACTACGCGTATTTGGAAAGCACCATTGAGAAGCTGCTGTTTGGGGTAGAGGTTGTTATCTTTGTTCATTTTCATTGTATACTAAAAAGGGGTTGAATGGCTGATCAATTTCGTATCTTTGGTTTAGTAATGCAGCTTCATGCACACCATGTCGTATGAAGCCTGTTTAAAGCCGTCTACTGCTTCTAGCATTGATCACGTAGTAGCATAAGGGTACATGATGCTTTGGTTCAGCCAATCATTGACTTCTGTTACTAACAAGTGGAACTATGAATGCTACCTAACTTGCTATACATACAGGATGGATCTTAAGCATGATTGTCAACCTCACTTTGGAATACTCCTCATCACATTACTGTATGGCACCCCTGAAAATGATTGGAGCTGGATACGGCCGAACAGGCACCGTCAGCTTGCGAATCGCCCTTAACATGCTTGGGTAAGCATGCTACATCGATCATATTGCATTCAGCGATTTGAAAACACTAACACTTGGGTCCTAGGTATAATTGTTTACACCTGATTGATTTCACAACAGCGGATCGTCATCCAGAGAAGTTCCTTGATGCCTACCTTAATCCTGGAAAGCTTGTGGATTGGGATGAGCTGCATACGAACGATTGTCCTGCTTCAGTCCAGCATCCCCATCCTTCAACTTTCTTGATCCGAGGGGATTTGACTGAAAAACGCTCAAACAGAGAACATCATCCAATATCACAAAAATCATTTTGCAAAGTTATTTGTAAACAACCGGCTAATAGCCCATTCCTCCCATTCACCTTTGTTGTCCAATCCAATGCATACGAACGATTGTCCTGCTCCAGCCCATCATTCCCATCATTGAGCTTTCTTGATCCGAGAGGATCTGACTGAATAACGCCCAAGCAAAGAAGTATCATATAACTCTTATTAATTTCCAGCTCTTCCACTTCCACCTTCTTCCCTCTTTCTCTCATTCTCAACTGTTGGCCCATTCAGTACAACCATCACCTGCGAACGATTGTCCTGCTTCAACCCATCATGTCAATCCTACAACTCTCTTGATCCGATTGCCTTTGACTGAATGGTGTGGTGTCCACAGCCTTCTTATCACTCTTCTAAACACACGAGCCTCTTGACACTACGCACGCTCTTTCACGCTTCTCTGCCACGATACAATGTAACAGCATTCAATGCAGTAGTTGCCATTAGCAAGGCCTCTACTCCATCGTCTCAAACAGCATTCACAACCTTAGTCGCTATACTACAATACACGCTCTTGCATACTCCTCTTCTACGACTAGACATATCAGCCAGCTGCTATTCGCAAGGTGTCAAACAGCATCCTTTACTTGCAGCCTTTTTTTCACGTGAGCAGCGGATAGCCATTGTATAGAGGCAACTTTTTTACGATACGATTCCTATGGATGATGTCATATCAATACGCCCCAATACAAGCAATCTTCATCATGTTGAGCTGCGATGGAAAAGGACCAAGAAAGGGATTGACCAATGGAGAAGGATCAGCAGCAATATTGGACATGCAATGGCTATGATGGATGGATGCAATCAAGTGCAGTAATGGGAAGGCTTGAAGTGTCATTTTGGTTACTTGGCGCGTCGCCAGCGGGAACTATGGATTGTGTCACGTGGAAAAGGCTGAGGATGGTGATGATGGGTTGGATGGGATTGAGTAAAGGGTTTGTATCTTTGACGAAAGAAGGTGGATTACAGCCACGGATGATTTTGGAATACTCGAGCCAATGCATGCAGCAGCTATTTTGCAATCATGGACGAAGGATGGTTATGGCGGCAACAACCAAGATCAATGACAATTACCCCTGTTCCCTCGATGTGATCCACCCATATTGTAGTCAATTTGCAACGCTGTTCCTTTATCATATTCACTTGATAGACACCCACACTACTATGTCCTATTCCTCGAACTTTTAATGAATGAAAAATTGGATTCAACATAACATTTGGGGTATCATACTATCAGCTCATACGTGCAGGATGTGGATCATTTCTTTGGTTCTTGGATTGAAAGAGAGAATAGATATTTGACATCATCGTTTCGAAATGCTTTTGTACCTTTGTCACAGCATTATTACTACATTCGCTAAATCCTCCTGAGCTACACACTGATTGTTGAAAGACAGTGGGCATTCTCGAAGGCTTGTACGTATTCGAAAGATAATACATAGCTTGTGGAGTATATACTATTGGTTCGACGATGGAATAATAAAGGTGGTCCGGTTATCGGTCATGCAAGAAGTATATGGCTTTTGTGGTACAATAAGGATAGAGGAGTGGGATGAGCTTGAGAAGAGAAAAAGTGAAGTGATCCCTGCATTGAGTTTCAGGATGAGTAACCCATTCAAAAATATACGTATCTTTTTACCTATACAAATTAGTTTATGCAGCTCGACCTTCTCCTACATGCAAATGTGATACATACCTTGACACACCTTCATGATTGGATGCTGTTTTACTTACGTACCTTTACAAAAGGCAATCATCATCATCATCCATTGTGTAGCAACCTATCAAGGACGTGTTTGTGTAACCGCCACGTGCCGTTTCACTCAGCTCTTCATCTTTCCGTTAATGCAGCCGACACCATCCACTAGGAAAAAGCAACTCCATCACGCTTACAGCATAGGTAAAACATAAAGACGCCTGTATCTCCAAACTTTACAATGAAACGTGGGGTTTTTATTAGAGCAATGTGCTTGGCTTGGCCAACTGCACCTTGTGTGAAAGTTTCATGTTCAATGTCGC